AGGCGGAATTCTGGACCGGCCTCTAGAGACATAGCTGGGTAGAGGCCACATCTTGGCAGCTCGCCCTCTATGAAATCCACATCTCCACTCCATCGTAGTTGCTCGCCTACCTCTGGGGAAATGATCAGGTAGAAACGCTCTGCTGTGGAGATGCCGCCCGCTGCCCCGCCCGGCCGGCCTTCCTGCTTCCTCCTTTGCTACCTGTTGTCACTTTATTCCACACACTCTCTATCTCTATGTTGCCCTCCGCTCCCCTCCCACCCCCTCTCCACACACCTCCTCAACACTCCGCCGACCCATTGTTTGTACCCTGTTACCTCCACCGCTACCCTGTGCAACCGCTACGCTGGTCAACCAAACTTGATCCCAAGATGCTGGTCGAAAATAATTTTGGCAAGAACACCTACTAATCTCCGCATCTAGACTCAGTGTCTTCCTAATAAGCTTGACCCAACTTATGGACCATGCCTTAGTCCACCTAAGCACTCTAATCCCAGTCGAGCAAGAAATTATGTACTTAAGTTTCATACTTGCCTAATCAGCTTCTAAATGTTTACCCATTCTAGTCCCTTAATTTGCAGCCGTGGAGCCGGGAAACCAAAAAAGCAACTTACACTGTAGGATGGAGCTCCTTCTGCTTGCTCGATCTGTTTCTCCCACGATACTCATTTCTAAGTCTCGCGTCTCAGGAATCCTGGCTCTGTCAGGGTTCCAATACAAGTTCTGTCAGCATCCGTAATAATTCAAACGAATCGTACTACCTTTTGGGAGGATTGTTGATAACAGTTGTGATATAAGTGATTTATTGCGTTTTTTTATGTAACGAACCTGAACTCGACAGAGTCATCGCCGATATCTCGTTTCAGGCCACGCGTATCAATGCCTGTCTCACATGCTCTTATATTGGCCTTGTTGCGACGAACCAGCAAAATCGTGCTCAACCCTGAGCAGATGATTCCCATTCCAATGCAACCAAGAGTGAACGCGTGACCAAGGACATATTTTGGAGGGTTTCTGTAGACCTGCGCGCTCACAACGCCTGCAATATTTCCCAGAGTCTGATTGATTCCGAGGCCCACTGCCCTTTTAAACCTTGGAGCCAGATTTGTCGCCAACCAAGCTTCGTTCAAGCCCGGCACGTACAAGCTCATGCAGATAAGATAGCACGCAAAGTACTTGACTCCGCTGCTGGTGTTGCCAAGGATAAGAGCGTATCCTACAGCCCCAAACAAATCCAGGAATATAATCAGCGGTCCCCTTATTCTCGTCTTGTCCGAAATTCTTGCCGCGAGGATGAACACAATACCGGAGAACATGTAGCAGGGGACTGTCAAATATTGTGCCTGCAATGAGGTGTAGCCAAGATCACTCTTCAATATCGATGGTAAGAATGTCGAAAACCCATACATAAGGATATCTTGACAAAATTGAATAATCGTGGATAGATAAACCTTCGGATCACGAAAAGCTGCAAGCGCCTCAGATTTTTTGTCACCATCCTTCATCATGAATAGCCGCCGCTGTTCGCTCCGCCACTCTAGTACTTTCATTTCTTCTTCTCCATGTGCGACCTGTTCTGGTGTGTTTGGCATTCCAAACATCATCCAAAAACTTCCTGCAAAAGACAGGAGTCCCTCGATCAGGTAGATATATCTCCATGGAGCCAAGCCTGAGTTGATCTTTGTAATTCCAGTGCCAATTAGACCTCCAAAGGCACTGGAGAAAGCAGATGCTGCAAATAAATATGACACACGTTGAGAAAGTTCAGACTGGAAGTAAAAGTCTGAAATGATGAGAGAAATGGAAGTGAAGAACGAGGCTTCAAAAAGTCCAAGCAATAGCCGGCATGCTATGAGTGATCCGTAACTGTTAGCAAACATTGTGAATATAGAGACTAGTGACCATAATCCAACCATGCACCCAAGGTACTGGCGTTTCTTATTGTTGAAGTACCGCATCATCAGCAGAACACCAGGAAGCATAAATGGCAAATAGGTAGCATAGACTATAGATACCGCTGTCGAATATTGTGAATCAGAGATTCCAATATCGGTATTCATACCGGCAACTTTGGCGTTTCCGATATTGGATCTGTCCAAAGCGGAGAAGAAATACATTGCTGACAGGATGGGCATTATTCTTAAATCCATGCGCCGAACCAATCGCTTGTGGGCAGAGGGAAAAGGACATTCTGTGGAGACCAAAGGTGCGATCTCAACCACAATACCAGCCTCCTTGAGAGAATCTTCTGACTTAAGCATAATTTAATCTCAAAGACATCTGGCTAGAGTTTTATATTCAAGGTGTGCACATCGATAAGATTGATTATCTTATCTGACACGGAAAATTACACAATATGTTTCTATGACAGACCTCTATTGTTACCCAAATAGGAAATGCCATGGCATTTGTGCCTATCAAAAACTTGCGCTATTGTATTTTGCATCGTTTCCTGCATGCTCAGTACATTTGAAATCGGATTGAGTGTCCAATTTTAGGTCATTTTATCAGATTAGCAGTAGTGGAGCCTGTTTTCCGATGATAAGATGCAAGAAATACCAGGCCGATCAAGCAGAACGTTGTGTCGTTCCTAACGTGATATGGATTTCTGGTTACGGTTTTTACCGGCTATTATTCTAAACGTTTAATTTGCTCACTGGTGATGTCCAGCACCAACATCGCACCCGTAGTATGAGAGATCACTTGGCCCCTGATCTTGTTTTTTTGCTGCATCACCACCAGCTGAGGCGTTACCCCACATCCCCAGAACACAGGAATCTCATCGTCGTGAATCACAGGTTGTCCACCAAAATCTGGTCGATTTAAATCAGTGATTCCCAGTCTCTCTGCTCCTTCGTAACCCCAGTCGATTGGCTCCCCATGTGTTTTCTTAAATTTTGAAGTTATTTCACGGACTCTTGGCACATCTTCTGGTCTGTAGGGACGCATGCTTACAACATATGTGCAATCAGTGAATACACCTGCTGGATCAAGGTTCTTTGTCGTCTTGTAAACAGGCACGCCACGTCCAAGCGCTAAGTGTCTCGGAGTAAGCCCGTTCTCACAGAGCTCGTGTTCAAAGGAATGTGAGCAGCCAATTAAAAACCCTATATGGTTGCTGGACCATTCATTCTTCACATCTGTTTTGGTAAATTTCAATTCTCCATTCTCGTAGACGTTGTATGAGGGAAAATCAGTTCTCAAATCAAAACCTTCTTTGATGTATTCTGGGTTGTCGATCTTAAAAGGATCGCCAACAGGAGTTTTGCAGAGCAGTGGGCATGGCACTGGGTTACGAAGGCACAGGTTGATGAAATCATCTGCGTACTCTTGTGGGAGCACGATAAGATTGGCCTGAGCATATTCTTCACAAGCACCAGACGTGTGGGATGTGTGTTTTGCCTCTCGACAAAGCAATCTAAACTGATGTGGTTCCAACTGAGCGTATTCTGACATGTTTAGTTCTTGAGATGTTTGCGCTCTTATCATATAGTTTAGCTGGTCGCATTTTCTTACCACTAATCAGAGTTGAAAATCATCGGGATGCAACCACCGCGTGCATAAAATCTGATCTACGATCGAGAGCCGCACGCCTACATATCATATAACAGAGACGTTATCCGGAAATTTTCAGAACGAATATGCTAAAGATATCCATCGGTAAGTTGCTTAATCATCGAACTTACATCAGATCGTGGCGGGACATTTACTGATTGCATTGCTACCTCGACTGAGGGCAATGAAATAATCCTGAAAGTTTTATCTGTGGATCCAAAAAATTACGAAGACGCCCCAGTCGAGGCTATCCGACGTGTTCTCGAGATTCATAGAGGAACCAAGATTCCTCGGGGGGAGCAACTTGACCTTTACGATGTCTCGGAAATTCGACTTGGCACAACTGTGAGCACCAATGCACTTCTTGAACGGAAGGGAAGCAAAGTAGCATTATTTGTTACACGAGGCTTTCGCGATGTATTGCATATTGGGGATCAGAGCCGCCCTTATATGTTCGATTTCAAAATCAATAAACATGATACGTTGGCTTCCGATGTTTGGGAAGTGGACGAAAGGGTGACCGTTGAAACCTCTTCCGAGTATAAAGCGGCAAACCTGGATTTTTATTTAAGATTTGTCGAAGCTAGGAGTATCACAAACCAGCCCCTTCGAATCATTGAGCCGCTTAATGTTGAATCAACAACTCTAAAGCTTCAGGAAGCAAAAGCTAAAGGCTATGATTCCGTTGCATTTTCTTTTTTACATTCTTATTTGTATCCCAAGCACGAAGAGGAAGCTGCAAATATTGCAGAAAGCCTTGGTTTCAAAAACATCGTGCTATCTTCAGAGGTCTCGGCTTTATCTGGATTTGTTGGCCGAACACAGTCATCTGTTGCAGACGCGTACGTCACTCCCGTAATGAAAGATTACGTCAGGACTTTTGCGTGTGGGTTTGTTCCTGGTACTTTTGATCGAGTCAAATGTCAAATTATGCAATCCGACGGAGGTTTGATCAGCTTTGAAAAGATCAATGGCTTGCGTTCACTACTCTCTGGTCCTGCTGGAGGCGTTATCGGCTATAGCAAAAGCACCTACAATTGTGAAAAGCCATTAATAGGTTTTGATATGGGCGGAACTTCGACGGACGTTTCAAGATATGATGGGAAGCTAGAGCATGTTTTCGAGACTGTAACGGCAGGTGTTTCAATAAGGACACCTCAACTGGACATCAACACTGTGGCAGCGGGCGGAGGCTCTATACTAGAATGGAAAAACGGGTTGTTCACTGTAGGGCCAAGATCGGCTTCGTCCCACCCTGGACCGGCTTGCTACAGAAAAAATGGACCACTGACGGTGACAGATGCTAATCTTATAACAGGAAGACTTATTGAAGAATTCTTTCCCAAAGCTTTTGGACCCAATGAGGACGAGCCTCTAGACTATAATAGTCCACTGAAAAAGTTTGAAGAGCTAACCCGAGAGATTAATGAAAGTACAGGTACGAATTTTACCGTTTTTGATGTCGCGGAAGGTTTTTTAAAGGTTGCAAATGTGTCAATGTCAAGACCTATCAAAGCATTGACCGAGTCAAAAGGTCATAAGGCTTCAGATCACGTTTTATGTTCATTTGGCGGGGCAGGAGGTCAACATGCTTGCCATATTGCTCAAAGTCTGGGTATTACCAAAGTTTGCATACACAAACATTCATCCTTGCTATCAGCATATGGAATATCAGTGGCAGATAGCGTGATTGAAAAGCATTTGCCGTGCTCAAATATTTTCACAGCAGAGAGTAGCTCTACCATATTTGACAATCTTTTGCAACTTCAGAAGGAAACGGAAAATGAGCTTGGTGAGTCTGATAAGGCAATTGAGTCAAAACTGTTTTTAAATCTGAAATACAAAGGCAGCAATACTACATTGATGGTTGAGTGGAAAGGAGCAAATGATATCATTTCTGAGTTTGAGAAACAGCACTTGAGAGAGTTTGGTCTCAAATCAGATCGTGAAGTTGTTGTTGAGAGTCTCCGGGTAAGATCTATAGCGAGCGGAATTGGTGGCAAAGTTACATCTCCTTTGGACGAGGAAAAGACTACACACTTCAAAGAGCCACAAACAAACGCTATAAAGATTCAAAAAAGTTTCTTTGACTCAAAGTTTGTTGATTGTCCTGTCTATGTCTTAGAGGACTTGCAAAAAGGTGACCTGATTCCTGGCCCCGCTTTCATCGTCAACGACATACAAACTTTGGTCATTATCCCAAATGCAACAGCAAAAATCCTGACAACTTCTGTTCTTATAGATGTGCCAAGGCTTGATAATCAGTCTACTAAATTGAAAGTGGATCCCATCGAGCTGTCCGTTTTTAATCATCGGTTCATGAGTATTGCAGAGCAAATGGGAAGATCGTTGCAGCGCTCTAGTATCAGCACAAATATTAAAGAGCGTTTGGATTTTACATGCTCTGTGTTTTCCGCTGATGGTGGGCTAGTTGCAAATGCCCCACATGTTCCTGCAATGATAGGCTCAATGGCGTATGCTGTCAAATGGCAGATTGATTATTGGGGCAAAAATATTCTTCCCGGAGATGTTATCATCTCCAACTCTCCAATAGCTGGTGGCACACACTTGCCAGACATTACCTTGATCACACCGGTCTTTGATGATGACGGAAGCCGTATTATATTTTGGACAGCCTCAAGAGGCCACCACGCCGACATTGGCGGAATTCTCCCGGGATCAATGCCACCTAACTCGACCCAACTTTGGCAAGAGGGCGCCATTTTCAAGGCAGTCAAGGCGGTAAAAGAGGGTGTATTTGACGAGCAAACAATACGAGAAATTTTGTACGACCATCCGTGCAGAATGCCAGGCAATCATGGGACTAGAACACTGAGCGACAATATTTGTGACATTAAGGCCCAGATTGCCGCAAATGCAAAAGGTATTTCACTAATCAAAGCTCTCATGAATGATTATGGAATGCACGTTGTTCATCTTTACATGAACGAGATTCAATCGGCCTCGGAGCTGGCCGTCAGAAACCTGCTGAAGGATATCAGTAAAAGGTATGCTACGTCCCATTTAGAAGCAGAGGACAACATGGACGATGGCACCGTGATCCACCTTGAAATTGACATCGACACTGAAAGTGGGTCTGCTGTGTTTGATTTTAGCGGAACCGGTTCACAAGTGAATGGTAATTGGAACGCCCCGATAGCTGTCACGCAGTCTTCCATTATATTTGCTTTGCGTTGTATGGTCGAAGGCGATATACCTCTCAACCAAGGATGTCTTGCTCCCATTAGTATAAATGTTCCTCAGGGAACTCTTTTACGTCCTGACGAAGAGGTTGCAGTCTGCGCCGGCAACGGACTGACATCGCAGCGTATTGTTGACGTAATCTTTCGAGCATTCGAGTATGCAGCGGCCTGTGGTGGTGACATGTCGAACTTCACTATTGGAGTTGACGGACCTGACGGATTCGGCTACTATGAGACCGTGTGCAATGGAAGTGGTGCTGGACCTGGTTGGCACGGGGTGGATGCAGTGCAAACAAATATGACGAACACCAAGATCACAGATGCAGAAAGTTATGAGCAGAGATACCCAGTTGTCTTGAGAAGATTCGGTATCCGTAAAGATAGTGGAGGTGCTGGCAAATTCAAAGGGGGAAACGGAGCAGTGCGTGAAATCGAAGCAACTTCTCCGCTTGTCGCTTCTATTCTTTCTGAAAGGAGAGTATTTGCGCCCTACGGGCTTGCTGGAGGTTCCCCAGGAAAACGAGGAAAGACGATGGTTAAAAGAGTTAACGGTAGTGTTATTAATCTCGGAGGAAAAAGTTGCATTTACGTGGCTCCTGGCGATAGAATTATTATCAAGACCCCTGGAGGAGGGGGATACGGCAGTGGCAACAGCGCCGAGACAGTCTCTATGAATGATGAGTATCTGTTCCAGCCTAGAGCGAACGGATCAGTTGAAATAATGAGAGAATTAGCTGAAACGAACTGAGCTTTCAAAATTACTGCACCTTAAAAATATTCAGCATTAAATTTCTTGCTTATGTCAGACCTTCAGGTGCTGATTGATTACTGGCTACCCCGCTTTCTTGGCACAGCTTTCAAGCTAAATTTAGCATGTAGATGTTCCGTGATAAAGAGTGCGGCTTTATCCCAAATTTTCAGATTGGTCACTGTATGACACTCTGCACTCCTCAACCAAGGTGTCTGTGATGTCATTGGATATCACTGTAAATGCAGTGTATGACTCTTCTCTACATCACATTCCTGTCGCTCAACTTGGAGACATATTCTAACACTTCCTGGGCAAACTTACTAGGCATCTCTATGTTGGGACAATGACCACAAGGCAAAGTCCGGAGGCTTGAGTTAGAAAGATGGCTATGTATCTCTTCTGCAAAACGCACTGGACGCACCTTGTCAAGAATACCGTGGACAATAAGAACAGGAATCTTGATTCTTTTCAGTTCAGGTATCAAATCTGTGTCCACTTGAGATTGAAGCATTTTTGCGGCACGTATACTAGGCTCGCTAAGTGACTTATAGTATTCTTGGAAGGCAACCAAGATGTTTGCACTGACGGAGTCAATACTCTGCACTCTAGCAGCAAGATATTGGTCTATAAAGACGTCGGTGATAGGCTGGCTGCTTAGCTCTTTCACATGGCTTCTAATATCCTTATGACCGTTAGTGTTTGCCCCCGTATTCACAAGCACCATACCTTTGATCATTCCAGTTGAGTCAAAGAGTGCTGCTTGCATACAAATAATCCCTCCTGTCGAATGTCCGACCAGGATTACGTTATCATATAGCGTAGCTATTTTCAGCAGTTCAAAGGCGGCTTCTTGCAAAGAAGGAATCGGATCTAGACGCATCCACTCGTAGACGTATTTATCTGGTGGCAAAGCATCAAAGCTCTCCGGAGGGCACAGGTTTCCAGGCACGCATATGAGAAACATTGTCCGCTAAGACACAATTTCTCCGCATTAACAGATTTCGCGAAGGCTTGGCTTGGCAACTTGCGGGCAATTTACTATCAACTATTATTTTCTTGGCTTATGCATGGTTGCAGTTACCCCGCGTCAGCCCCAAAACAAATTGTATATAACAGTGTTCTGTCGGCATTAGTCATTAGCTATGTTCTTACAAAATTTAAGAGGCACTAAGCTGTCAATTGCCATTGCTTTGGCCGGTGCATCGGCTTGGATTTTGCAAGGATACGACCAAGCCATTATGAATGGTCTCCTGACAATGAAGACTTTTGAGAAGCAGTTCCCAACGTTGAACACCAATAGGCCAGGGGTCAACAAACAGCACGCTACCGTGATTGAGGGAACGGTCGTTGCCATTTACGAGTTAGGTTGTGTGCTGGGATGTGTTGCCTCTTACTTTTATGGTGACAAACTCGGCCGTCGCCGTTTCACCATGATGGTTTGTACAATCACAATTATTGGTGTTATAATCCAGACCAGCTCATTTCATATAACGCAGCTTGTTATTGCACGAGTGATAACTGGAGTTGGAGTTGGAGGTATCACAGCCACGGTGCCTACATACATCTCGGAATGTGCTCCAGCACGTTTGAGAGGCAAGCTTGTGCTTCTCTGCGGGTCGCTAGCAATTTCCGGTGTGGCATTAGCTACCTGGGTTGACTTTGGATTTTACTTCGTCAAACACAATTCCGTCAATTGGAGGTTTCCAATTGCGCTACAGATGCTCTTCCCTACTATCTGTATTTCGCTCGTTCTCTTCCTTCCTGATTCTCCTCGTTGGTTGGTGAAAGTTGGGCGTACAGGTGAGGCGGCAGAAGTGTTTGCTCGGCTTGAAGATAAACCTGTTGACAGCGACCAAGTTCAAGGAGAGATCTCAATGATTCAGCAGTCTCTTATGGAGGATCCAGCAGCAATAAAGGCCTCTCCCTTCTCAAGAACCAAAAACAAACATTTGAGACGTAGTCTTATGGCTATTGGTCTAAATATTGGAGCTCAGATGACTGGAATCAATATTGTCACTTTCTATTCCACGAGCATCTTTGAACAGCAGCTCGGCTATAGCTCCGTGGAAGCTCGTATTTTCTCTGGATCTATTCAGATCTGGCAAGCGATCTGTGCATTCGCTGCCATTTTCTTGATTGATATATTTGGCCGGCGGTTTGCAATGATCCATGCCGCGGCAATCATGGGAGTTTGTCAGTTCATTCTTGGCGGGCTTGCATCAGACCTTCAAAATAAAGCTACGGCAAAAGCTATGATCGCTTTTTACTTCGTCGCAATGTATGCTTTTCCTGTCGGTCTTCTTCTGGTGGTGTTTATGTACGCAGCTGAAATCGCACCCCTTGAGTCACGTGCCCAGATCACTGCTATCAGCACTGCATGCAACTGGCTCTTCAATTTCGTGGTTGCAGAAGCTTCTCCAACGGCATTCAACAATATTGGCTACAAATATTACTTTGTTTATGGATCAGTGTCTTTTGTATTGCTTGTCTGCTTGATATTATTTTATCCAGAAACAAGAGACAGAAGTCTGGAAGAAATTGACGACATATTCATTCAGTCTCAGACCCTTTTCGACACTGTTCGGATAGCCAAGACAATGCCGGTTCTAGGTGATGCTGAATTCGATCCTGAAAGGAAGCTTTCTCTTGAGACTAAAGACGCCGTCGAGTACGTGGAATGACTAATAGTTAGTGATTTTCAATGCGGTGTTTTTGAGCCATTCTATGAAAGCAGGCCCAGACCTTATCAATTTTTAGAATATGCCATTTTAATTTTTGTTGATTCTTAAAACTCAGACTCGGCTGCCGAAGGGGGGAGAATAGTTTCTGTGCTTTAGCTAAACGTTAAATATAATTATCTATTAGGTGAATAGCCAAATACATACAAATAGCGAGAGTTAAGGCTGATCCATGGTGAATGATTCTTCTTGCATACATGCGTAATGAAGAGTTATTCCGATCTTATACAAGCTTGTACACTTTTTCTGAACCCTGAGAAGATAAGGTGCAACTAAAAAAAATGTAAGAGATAGCATTGTATATACACCTATCCAAGTGCCTTGACAGCTGGTTCGTATTATTGATACGGATTTACACGATTTGAGTAGCCGTGGATGGTTGAATTACCAATGTTTCTAGGTGAGAGTACTAAACGGGATTACGGTTACTTAACAGCTAGATTCCCTAAAAAAGAGAAACATCTGAACGATCTGCTTCTTTTGGTATTAGGGCACAATCTGCCATCAGATCTGTAGCATCAACCACTATCTTTATTTCCAAAGATTGACGAGCACTAAAGGTACAACTATTAACAAGGAAAAGGTTCTTGGATTGTGTGACTGAAAACATGATAAGACCCTTATCGCAATTTCAGCTCGAAATTGCCCGCAGGGCAAGGAAACTAAATTGAAAAGGAATAACAGGACATTTTTATGTTTAGCCATGACACTGACAATTCCAGAAGAATGGAAACTCGACAACAGGATCGTCCAAAAAGCTGGAAACTGTGTGTTGGATGTTCCAAAGCTAGTACTAAGCACCGAGGAGCTCAACATCACCGATATGTCTGCTAGCTCGCTCCTCAAACGTCTACAAACCGGAGAGCTATCAAGTTATACTGTGACAAAAGCTTTCTGTCATCGAGCCTGCATTGGGCATCAACTTACCAATTGTTTGACTTCGCTTTTTTGTGACGAGGCGTTATCGCGAGCAATTGAGTTGGATAATCACTTCAAAGAACATGGCCCAGTCGGGCCACTTCACGGCTTGCCTGTATCTTTCAAAGATGCATTTCTCATTAGAGGCCACAAAACCACGTTTGGGTATTTGTCTTGGAAGGATAACGTTTCAGAGAGGGATGGTCTTCCGGTTTCAATAATGAAAAGTCTTGGAGTAGTCCCTTTTTGCCAGACGAACATTGCTCAAGGATTGTTGTCGGTTGAAAGCACAAACAATATCTTTGGAACAGTTCTGAATCCACACAACACCAATCTCACTGCCTCTGGAAGTAGTGGAGGAGAAGCAGCTCTGGTTGCAATGAAAGGGAGTCCATTTGGTATGTGTACCGATGCAGGTGGCTCCATAAGGTTACCAGCCAGTTCCAACGGTGTGTACGGTTACATGCCTTCTCCACGGCGAATAAGTAATAGAGGGATAGGTCGTGACAACCCGAAGCCATCAAGCTGGGTAGAGTCGCAGATAGGTCCAGTATCAGGAGACTTAGACTCCATAGAAATTTGGTTGAAGGCTATGATAGAGGCAGATATGTCCCGTTACGACTTTCGGTGCCTGCCTTCTTTTTGGAGAGCGGCAGCGCTCCCGCGGAAGTATCGTATTGGGTTTCTTTATCAGGACGGCATTACTGATCTAACCCCACCCATGAAGAGGGGCTTAGACATTGTATGGAATGCCATAGCTCCTCAGCACGAGGTTTTTGAAGTTGATGTGGGTGACCTCCATCGGAAAATTACGGAAACAGTGTTCCGATTGTATGTGAGCGATGGCGGCCGTTACTACAGGAGTGAAATAGCCAAGAGTGGAGAGCCAATGATTCCACGAACGTGTGGAACTGTGATTTCAGAGCCATTATCAGCAGATGAGATTATAGAGCTAGAGTGCAAAGCCGCTTGCTACGCTGATCAGTATCTACGTATCTTTCGGAGTTACCAGATGGATGCCCTTATCACTGCACCCTCTCCAAACCCAGCAGCTCCCCATTCAAGGTATTCCACATCCTCCTTGGCTGCTGTTTACAACTGTTTGGGGTATCCTGCTGGAATTATACCTGTTGCCAAAGTTGATCTGACAAAAGACCGGCCAACTCCATCCCCAAGAATCATCCAGGATCTTCGTGTAAAAGGTTACCCATACGATTTTTTTGATGGCTATATCAAAAAAGAGCTGTACACTGATGCAAAAGCGTTTGAGAACGCGCCGATATGCATTCAAGTTGTTAATACGAGGTTCAAGGACGAGGAGCTACTGCAAATTATGAAAGTGATAGACAATTTAGTTAAATCCCAAATATAGTTTTGTTGGCCAATTTACGCACAGCAACTTGGCCGGGCGTGAGACCATCCTCTTCTGTATTGAAAGGCACCAACCCCAATGACTGCAGACCTTCCTGCGTCAACACATTTCCCTTCATACCCCTGTCTTCGAACATTGATTCATCAGGACCGTACTTATATTCAAATGTGAAATCACGGGGCTTCTTACCAGTGTTAAAGCACGCTTTGGAATCTTGCAGAGTTTCAATGTTATAAGGACACAATGGGGTATGGGCAACGTAGAGAACTGAGGACTCCTTACTGCCTTTATGTTCTTTATCAACTTCATGAAGCAGATCTGCGTGCCAAAGAACGAAGTCACCTGGTCTGACATAGGGAATTCCAACAACACTTTTTTCATGGTTTAAATGCGGAAATAGATCCTGATCATGGGCTAGGAATTGTCCCGAGCCAGGGGTCGCGCCAGGAAAGTTACTCGAGCTGAAGTCGAGTTCACCATTCTGGTCAAAGAATGGTCTTAGCAGTATATATGCGAGTGCATATTTTAGGTCCGGAAGAAACCTTATAGTTCCTTCTCCAGCTTTTGCGTCGGACAAAGCCAGCCAGCCTTGAAATGCGCGGAACACACTGGAGGTGGACCCATTGCTACTCATTCCCTGATATAGGTCCTGTGTTCCTTGTGGTCTCCTATCGATGAGGTTGGGATCCCAGTCTTCCCACCGGCCCTCGAAAATCTCACGATAAACGTCCCTGTAATTATCGTCCTCCCATCTTTCTATGGAGCTTGAATCCAGATGCAAAGGTAAGGTAACATCTCGTCCAGGATATCTGATCCTCAACCTATCAGCATAAACAACCTGTGAATCCATGTCCAAAAGAGCGTCCAGGTTATTGTTCCTGTACAATGCGCCAACAGCCTTCATCAACTGTATCATCCGTGGATGGCTTCTTGCTTCCACTTGGGCTTTGGACCAGTGAATATACCAATTACTAGCAACTCCGGAATGTGGGCTTCCTGTGATGCCTGGATGATGTTTGATGTATTGCTTGGTCTCCTCTCTCCACTGTGTGCACATATCATCCTCAATCAGATCGCGAATAATCAAACACCCACGCTCGTTGAACAGGGAGGCAGGCTCCTTAGGAATGGTATATCCATTACTTTCAATGTCTGACCAACTCACCTCTGGTATGTAGGAAGAGCCCGCACGCTCAATTTCCTGGGTTTTTTCTGCTAAACCCTCGAGCAGTCTTTTCCATGATTTTTTCACTGCTTCGTAGTTTTCAGGCTTGATAATGCGGTTTTTAAGGTCCAAGAATTTTCTCTCTGACAGACTAGATGCTCTCAATGTAAGCTTTTGTGTTGATGAAACGGTTTCCGTGGTATTCATGCTGTATTGAATTTGTGATTGATTGCTGCAAGGGCATTCCACATATATACATTTTCCCCCGCAGCCCAACATATCAACTGACAGCCATTTCGCGTACGGCAGCGGGCAACCTGGAGAAAGACGAATTGTCTAGCGGGCTCCGAATGCTTTTGAGAGATGATTTGTTTCCCCAAACTGCAGTACGACAGACAGAAGCTTTTCATTAATCTTGCTCTAAGTCAGCGGGTGAGGCCATCTGACCCCATACTTTAAGTTTGATAAGCTTTTCGATTGCAACGTTGAAGCGCGCTGCGCTGCCTCGAGATCAAAAAAAAAAAAAGCTGGGCTGCGGGCAAGGAGGAAAATCCGCGGGGATTGAAACGTTTTATCATCATGTATCTGGATAACAAATTTGAAGAGTGAACTTAGATATGACCTCCATAAAGGTCTTCATGGCTATCTTCAAAACGAAACATAAAAAGCCCCCAGATCGCCCTATATAACACGTAGAAGAAAGCCTTTGATCACATGGACTCTTCATCCCCTGCTTATGACTATTGCACAAGGAAGCATATCTCGCACCTAGTCCCAAAGACAAGATGGGGGATAATTGCCATAACTGTTGCCGTGTCTCTTATTGAACCCACTACTACAGGCATGGAAAGCTCCATCATGGGAGCAATCAACTCACTGCCACAGTACAAAAGCTACTTTGATCTCAAAGATCATACAATAGGCTTAAATTCAGCTGCAGTGTGGATAGGACTGTGTCTGACTTTGCCGTTTGTTCAGCAGATGTGTGATGGACTGGGAAGACGGAAAACAATTTTTTATTCTCTTGCACTCATGGTTACTGGTATTGTGCTGTCTTCATGCTCCGTCCATATCGCCATGTTTGTTATTGGACGCATTGTGCTTGGAATGTCTTCGGGAATATTTGGGTCCGCTGCATCTGTGCTGGTTGCAGAGGTTTGTCCGCCCAAACACAGAGGACTGATTCTTGGACTGTTCCATTCAGGATACTACATTGGCTCGCTGCTTTCCTCAGCAATCACTTATGGAACACGAGATATGGCCAACGATTGGAGCTGGAGAGTACCTTTGATTTGTCAGATAGTCCCTACCATCATATGCTTTACAGTCATTTTGTTTGCACCAGAATCTCCTAGATGGCTTGTAATGCACGGGAAAGAAGACGAAGCCCGGGAGATCTTTTATATTCTTGAAGGCGGAGACACTGCAAGGGCAGAATCGTTAATCAAAGAAGTCCACGAATCAGTGATAAAAGAAAGCATAGTTGCCAAGGGACTCGGATTGTGGAGAAGACAGTTCTCAACAAAAGCTAATCTCAGAAGAGCTTTCATATTACTGAATGTCGGAATCTTGTGCGAGTTAGGAGGTTCAAACATTGCTACTTACTACTTCAACATTCTACTGAGTTCTGTTGGCGTTACAATTGTTCGCACACAATTGGAGGTTAGTATGATAAGATCTGCCTGGTGTCTTGTCTGTTCCCTGGCCGGATGCTACACTTTTGATATCATTGGTCGAAAGAAGCAGGCTTTTATTGCAACTACTGGCTTGATTGTTTGTCTATATATTTTGGGTGGTTTGGTCAAAAAGTTTCAAGAAGATGGAAGAACATCCACAGGATATGGTGCTATTGCGTTAATGTTCCTCTTCACAGGATTTTACTCGTACTGTTACACTCCTTTATTATATTTATATGCCCCAGAGCTCTACACCAACCCGAGCCGTTCAGTTGGAAATACCATCCTGAAAGCATGTGATTACTTTTCAGGTCTTTTTGCAACATTTGTGCTTCCAATAGGAATGAGCAACTTGACTTGGAAGTTTTATATGATCACTGCTAGCTACGACATGATATTTTTGCCATTTATCGCTTTCACTTGGGTCGAGACAAAGGGAGTGCCTCTAGAAAAAATCTGCGAGCTCTTTGACGATGATCCTGGGACGCTGGACTGGCAGGAACCACAACTTGAATCAGGGGTAGAATACGTCACCGTGGATATCTCGGACAAGAAGAAATAGCTACTGGGATGATTTCCTTTTATAACCGAATATACTCAATTATCTCTTGAAACCTCAAGCCCATTTGTTGATAACCACTCTGCAAAGATATCATCGTCTGTAAGCAGCGGATGTATCTTTTGTACTTCAGGGACACTAGAGTTGTGGACTGGTTGCATTTTCTGCGCTGACGTTTGTTTTATTTTCATGTACAGTAAACCAAACCTTAGTAGAGCGAGCTCTGTGACGTGTGTATGCTTCGTTATAGTTTTCAGATTAGAGTGATAGATTTCCACTTGTTCTTCCCAAGTTTCGCCCTCACCGTTAGTTGTTCCAATAACGTAGAATGCAAGAAGACAGGAGCCAACGATGGAAAAATTAACTCGCGAGTAGGACCACCAGAAAGTATCGAGATTCTTCATATCCAAACTTGAAAGATAAGAGTTGAACTCTTTTACGTAGTCAAATGCTCGCTCTGATAAAGAATGGTAACAAGCATTGGCATCGATGTAGAGCACAGACCGACAGCAAGACAGAGCTAACGCAGCTTTAGCTACATGCAATGACACCATCGCTCCCAAAAGTCTTTCGGGACAGGATTGGGGAAAATAAACACTTTCAACGGCGTTGATGCGATTCATGAAACCGATTCCTGTAGCCAGAGCCTCTTCAGGGGACTGTGGTCTGTGTAAAAATGATTTCACGGAGAAAAACGAGAACAACAGTTCCGAGAGAACCTTGGTGAGTCTGACCATGGCAACAAATATGTGGATGCCAATCACATTGATGTTTTCGAGTGCTTCATCTTCGTTTTCGAAAAAATCACTTACTGATATGTCACTAACGCTGAAGTCATGGTCTTGGATATGGGATGGTCTTGATAGCCCAAAGCTTTCCCACTTGTCTTGCACATAAACAGCCCACCAAAGTCTGCGTCGGATTCGCTTTTCTGGTAGAGGTATGTCCCATTCCAGGGGATCAAGATGAAGCCCAAGCTCTTGCGATGAGGCAACTAAAGAGGCAGATTGGGACCAGTGGCATGGCGAATTTGCGTTTCTGATCACCAACGGCTTCTGATTAAGTTTTAAAAGTATTGATTGGATTGTTTGCAATGTTGGAGCTCCTTGTTCCAGCGGCAGAGCCTTGGACGTAAAGTCCGCAAGTTTGAACCAGTCTCCTGCAGCCTTGTTCTCTATTGCAATGCTCTTTTCCTGTCCCTCCACATACGGATGTGAGATAACGTACATTGTTGCCAAAAGTGTTGCGGAGACAGTGTTCATATTCATTTCTTCATAGAATTTGCATTCGTTGACTAGAGGATAAGCACAGTTCACAACAGAAAAGAAAGTGGAGATGATGCTTTTCTCTAACGGTTTTGCTACCTCCTGCACTGAATCCACGCAATAATATCCGGGGCGTGGATCCAGATATTCAGTCGGATACACGGCAAAAAATATTGGGGCTTGAGGTCCTCCATCAGAGTTTTTCAGAGCATAATTGGTATCTGAGTTGTCCTCTGGGATTTGCTGAACAATGTTTTTCAGTAGCCATGGGTCTTGATCTCCACTGAATCCGACAAAAAGGCTTCTTTTCCCATTGTGTAGCTCAAGAGCATTTCGTTCATGCGAGATTGAGTGCGGACGGGATTCGACTTTGAAAACACACGGATTTGCACTTTGCACTTCTAGCACAATATCTTTATAAGCCGGAGGCGAAGCATCAGAAGACTTACGTGATTGCCGCTTTTTGATGGGTGCCATAGCGTAAGTGCAGTCTAGGTTTCTTAAATGACACCCTATGCATTTGTCAAAGTTCTCCTCTTTCAAGCAGGCCATTCTTCGTTTTCTGCAAAAGTCGCACGGCCGATTCTTTCTGCTGCGATATAGTCTACCCTTCGGAAGCTGCACCTCGCTCACTTGGCTTGCCATTTTCTGGGACGAACGCGTGTCCTTTCTGGTGGATTTATAAACTTTTTTGGCTGTGGCGGCAATTTTCCGGCTATCTTTTCTTCAAATTTAGTCTTATCATCTTGCATATATAGATCAAGATCAAAACCCGCAGCGAGAGAGGGAAACAATGTACATGGAAAAAGCAGTTGATAGTAAATCACAGGGAGGGGATTTGAATACTGTACACTAAAATGCGTTCAAGGAGTCCTTCTGGCTTCATTAGTATAGAGCTCTCACAAACTTTTTCGCACTGAGTGGCAGTAATTGTTCCAAACCATACTGATCAGACATCATTATGAACTGTATGGACATTAAATGCTAGAACACATCTTAGGTATCATAGTTGTACTGCTTCGTTTGAGAGATTGCAGATAGCAGCCTGGCCGGCACCAAGCCGCTGTAGTGAATATCAAACGGAGCCAGACCAAAAGCGACTGCTTTGCTTTTGGAAACACAAGCTCTCCCTTTGCAACGTGCTCATACGAGAGTTCGTTGGAACAATGCCTTTATTCTTCCCAAAAATGCCTGGACCTGGCACACAACCTGAATTTGTCCCTTATACTCTTAAGTTTCTCCAACTTATAGAGTCTTATTGGATTGCATGCGATGCAAACCACAAACAACTCTTTATTTGTCTTAGGCTTCTATCTTAGCCCACTTTGTGGAGGAAGTCTCGTGTCAGCAGGAAAAGCTAATGGGTTTCACATATGAAATGCTGAGAACACGTCTGCCGTGATAGATGAGAACGAGGTTGTCATGGGAGCACGAACTGAGCAGTGCGAGGGCGGTCCCGAGAAACGAAGCAGAGCTTGTATCCAAGCCCTGCCTTTACCAAAGAGAGAATTTAGTACGATGTGTGCGAATGCAGATTTCAAAATCTGCAAGAGATTAGATCGTCTCTTCGACTAGCTCGGCGGCAGAAAAAGCAAAGATACCCTGTACACTCTACACACTACGGATTAATTTGGCGCTGGTTATCCCCTGGTAGAAATTCTTATTAGCTGTTGGTTCACGGTCATAACATTTTGTTTCAGTCTCCCGCACTCGAATTCTCTTAATACATCTCTTGAAACACGTCTTCAAAGTTTTTATTCTTCTAGAGCTCAGTTGAACTCAGATCCAAGTGCTGAAAAATCTCTAAAAGGATCCGCGGTGACTCTATGTCCAATAGGGCATCTATTTCATTGTAGGCCTACAGTGGTGCTACAACTCTTATGAATTGCTCCATCAAGAGTTGTCTACAAACCATGACTTGCACGTTCAGCCTAGTACTCTTGCAGAAATTGACGTCAGTTCGGTTGAATTCTTAGATATAGTTGTTGAGAGCTCCTCGTGAATAGGGGCAATTAACGACCGATCCCCTAAGATTTCTTGTCCGAAGCTGTCAACGATTGCATCTACTATGGGTTCATCGCAACGTAGTTCTGGGGATTGATAATTCTCATTTTAGCTTATGAAATCTGGTCCCTGTTCCGAGACTTGTCACTGTGGTGATAGTGATGATCGATTATTTTCTCAGGATTTTCTCTTGTTTATCTGTCCCAGGCTGGATTCTCTTCCTGCTAGAGAATGCCCTTACACCTAGAGCTCTATCTTCGTAACTCGCCTCACCGACAACGTCGTTGTGGATGTCTGACGGCCGCTAATGGCCCGGAGTTTGCCCTCATAGTGCAAGCAAACATTTTCGCACAGTCTTTGTCAGATGCTATTTCGGTGTGATAAGATATCCCCCTTTTTGCACAGCCCATGAGCCGCTTTATCTAGATTGAGAAGCATCACATAGGGCGCCTACACTGCTTTTGCCTACATCAGGAAGGGCTCGCACAGCAAAAATCTGACAGCTTCAAAGTCGAATATCTTTTTTTCTTTCTGGCTCGCAGCTTGTCACAAGAGTTGGGATATGCTACGACACACATCGTTGCCAGGTATCTTCGTGATATTCCGTTGCATTCCCCGCAACCGGATATGACAAGTTCACCTCCTTGAAGAACATCAGCAAGAAGTTATTTTCCAATGGTACCTCAACCTTTGTAGCCGCTCCAACTTGGGAGCTTCCAACCTGGCCTTGGTACTCGGTTGGCTGCAACGCAAAAATAACAGCAATCTAAAGTCTGTGCGCTCCGGCTCTTCTAGAGTGTTGCGAATCTGAACCCCCTTCAGTAGTCTGAACGATTTCCAACAAAATCAAGGGATTTTCTTTGCTGCCCGAATTCACAACATTTATTTCCAGTTGCGTAAGTCTACTGGGTCCTGCCCGGTGGATTTGAGTTCCGGCCGAGATTCCAGCCGAAACGAGCAAGGGCTCGCGCTTTCCTCGATAGGACTATCAGGACTACTTTCTGAGAGGTCCGGTAGTTCCAGTGGAGGTCTGATCGGGAAGCCAGCGGCTCAGATATTATTCGAGTGTGGCTCTTTCAAGCATGTGGACTGACGCCGCAGAACAAAATCGCGGGTCTCAATTTTTGAGTTTCCATATTTTGTGTGGCTCGTAATAATTCAAGAAAATATGCTTACTCTTTATCATCTTCCTTACGCTGAAGGATTCGGTGCCAACGCGCGCAAGATTGCAATTTTACTCAATGAGCTGGAGCTCAATTGGAAGGGCGAAGCTGTTTCACGAAACGCTGTTCGTACTTCCCCTGAGTACGCACTTCTTCATCCGGACCGTAAGGTTCCTGTCCTCAAAGACGGTGAGACCATTGTGATTGAATCTGCCGCAGTTTTGCAGTATCTGGCGGAGGTCTATGGCTCAGGCAAGTACCTTGAGTCAAAATATGACGCTCTCGCATGGGTTTCCTTGCAGAATGGTTTGTCATCGGCAGTTTCCTCGCTGTTCCAAGCCGATGACGAATCGCAGAAGACAAAGGCGATCAATAACGCTAAGCACTACCTGGAACTTCTGGATGACAAGCTAGCATCCTCAAAGAGTGGATACATTCTTGACTCGGGATACTCAATTGCAGATATTGCATGGATTGCATTCATCGATGACAGACGCAAGGAGAAGCTTCACATTGAGAGCTGGGAGCAATTCCCCAACATTGCCAAGTGGCAGCAAAAGGTTCTTGCACGTCCTGCTGTTGCTAAGGCTTACGAAAACTAGTAGGTATGATAGAGGATTCTGGTTGAAGATGCTCCTGAGTCCGATGAAATTACCGACGAGCCGATTTCGAATGGAAAACTACTCTTCTAGTCCGTTGAGGAATTTATATAAGATGTTTTGCACAATATGAGCCAAAAAGACGTTCTTTATATCTGGTGGTCTGCTATGGAAGGATCTCCTCGGACCCATGCAAATTTTAGACATTACGAATGATTAGAAATGAGTAGCATGATTTTTTTCATGGCACAGCTCACTTTAGGAGCTGCACAGTGACGCGGACATTTAGAGGTTATAGTGTCCGGTCAATGGAGGTTATACCCAACAGCTGGCTCATCGGAGAATATTTTGCTCAAAATCCAAGATTCCAATTACGGAAATTGGTGTATTATCTTAAGTATCACTGACGGAGATTTCTTTGCATACTTTTTGCTACCCTGCTATTATGATAACAGCGAAAAAGTTGATAAGATTTTTTTGGTAAAACAGTGTACATATATAACGCTGTTACCACAATATAGAAATGCTCCCGGACAAACAACTCTCTAAGCGATGCGTCTATCTACACTATGGGAATCGCCTAAGGTGAATCCAAGAAACCTGAAAGCTACCTCAGTACCAGTTTTCAACCTATGGAACGTCTATGGAAGAAACTTCTTTTTCGCATGGTTTGGATTCTTTGTGTGTTTTCTTTCCTGGTTTGCATTTCCGCCTCTACTTCATGGCATGCTGAAGAAAGACCTAAAACTCAGCGCAGTGGATATATCCAATAATAACATTTGTGGACTGACCGGAACCTTGTTAGGAAGATTTGTCTTGGGACCTCTCAACGACAAATACGGCCCACGGCTTACTTTGGTGGGCGTTCTGATTGCAGGAGCAGTTCCAACAGCGTTTGTTCCTTTAGTCACAAATGTCGCGGGTCTGCATGCCATCCGTTTCTTTATTAGCTTCCTTGGCTCCTCGTTTATTTGCTGCTCCCAATTCTGCGCAGTATTCTTCGATAACAATATTATAGGAACAGCAAACGCTGTGTCCGCTGGCTGGGGAAATTCTGGAGGGGGTGTAGCATTTTTTGTCATGCCTGCCATTTCAAATGCATTGAAGAAGAGAGGTTACTCTTTACACCACTCGTGGAGCTACTCTTTTGTGATCGGGCCCTTCTTGATTCTTATGGTGACGGCGGTTTTGATTCTTGTCTTTGGCAGTGATTGTCCGAGAGGCAAGTGGTCTCTTCGTGGAGACATCCTTGGAATCAACATGGATAACTCTCTCGTGCAGACTGTCTCTGTCAAAAGAAAATTTTCCAAGGAGGGAGAGGTCACTTCTGTTTGTGTTGAGCCTGTTAATGCAATCGACAAGGTTGTGGTCGAGCCTAACCAGGACCAGAAAATTTTTGAAGTGGCAGACATCATAAATGAGGACGAAATCATTGAAGACCCAACTATCAAAGACGTCGTCAAGATCTGCTTTTCCCCACGCACGATGCTGGTTGGACTTTGCTACATGTGCTCATTCGGAACCGAGCTTGCAGTGGAGTCTATAATTTCAAACCTGTTTGAACAAAAGATGCCAAAGTGGAGCACCTCTAAAGCTGGAGCATGGGGCTCGATGCTTGGGCTCCTAAATGTGGTGACAAGACCTGCAGGAGGCATAATCTCTGACTTCTTGTATCAGAGATTTAAGACTACAAAGGCAAAAAAGTTCTGGATGATATTCACTGGCTTGATGCAGGGAATTTTTCTGATCTGGATTGGACTGGTTCCAAAACTATCCATTGCGGGACTTATAGTCTCCGTTTCGTTCTTGTCCCTCTGGTTTGAGATGGGCAACGGTGCAAATTATGCCTGTGTTCCGGTCGTGAATAGACACCATAGTGGTATTGTGAGCGGAGTCACTGGAGCAATGGGTAATCTTGGAGGCATTCTGTTTAGTTTGGTCTTCAGGTACACTATAGCTAACGGGGTAAACAACTACTTCAAAGCTTTCTGGATTATAGGAATCGTTTGCACTGTGGTGAACCTAGTTTGCGTGCTTATTCCGATTAGAGAGGAGAGGCCCAGGAAAGCGGAAATTTGATTGAAAATCTCGGTTATTCTTTTATCTATGCAATGCAAATGTGATTTTTTATAGATAAGAACTTTTCTAGTGCATCGTGCGATAAATAAATCGCTAAGCGGAGATTAATTGTATGGACGGAAATTATATAGTAATCAAAGATGATGAGGACCACGACAAATAAAAGCAGTTGCAAAAGTCATCTAAACTCTGCAGACTTTGATGACTTGCTCTGTTCCACCTTTGCCGGAGGACATCAATCCCCCAGCCGCTAAGAAGAAGCTTGTCATTGTGGGTCTGGGTATGGTTGGCTTATCATTTCTCGAGAAACTACTTCTAAACGACTCAAAACTGGACGAGTACAGTATATTTGTTTATGGAGAGGAGCCATATCTTGCTTATAATCGAGTTGGCCTCACGGAATATTTCCAGCACCGTGAGTTCAAAAACCTCCTTCTCTCGCCAGAGGAGTTTTATCAGCAACGCGGAGAGAAATGGAACTATGCCATTGATGAGAAAGTGGTTGAGATACAACGACAAACTAGGACTATTACCACGAACAAAGGAAACAGAGCGTCTTACGACGTGCTCGTTCTTTGTACGGGCTCTACAGCGATCATTCCCACCGATTTGCTACCACCCCCCACCAAGAAAAGCTACCGTGAAATGGGGTGCTTTGTCTACAGAACTATTGATGACCTTTACTCAATGATAGATTATTGCCAGGGTGCAAAGAAAAAAAGAGCCATTGTCGTTGGTGGGGGACTTCTTGGTCTAGAAGCAGCCAAAGCCCTCTACGATATGGAGTCGTTTGAGGATATCACCATTGTCCATAGGTCCCATTGGCTTCTTTCTCAGCAGATGGATCAGAAAGGTGGATCTCTACTTACGGGAAAAGTGAAAGAACTAGGAATCACTTGTCGAACTGGAACAACTGTGTCGGAGCTGATATTTGACGAAGACCAAAATCTGACAGGAGTGAAATACCATAACGGGGATATTGATGAATGCTCTCTTCTCTGCTACACTATTGGCATTAAGGCAAGAGACGACCTTAAAAGTTGCGGTTTAAAAACAAGTTCAAGGGGGGGATTTGAGGTAGATAATATGTTACAGACTTCGGATGAGAGTATTTATGCTATTGGAGAGTGTGCTTCTTGGAATAACATGACCTTTGGATTGATTGCTCCCGGATACGAAATGGCAGATATCCTGGCCTTCAACCTAACCCAGGGAAAACTCCACCAACCGAAAGAGTTTTCTGAGCCTAATATGGGCACCAGGCTGAAACTGATGGGTGTTGATGTTGCATCCTTTGGAGATTTTTTCGCAGACAGAAACGGGCCCAAATGGCTCCCTCGCGGCTACGAAAAAGAAGTTCGTGCCCTTGTCTTTGAGGATCCGATAGACGGAACGTACACAAAATTACTTTTCACAAAGGATGGCAAGTATATGCTCGGCGGAATTCTGGTTGGTGATACAAGCAACTACACCAAGTTTTCCGCGATGATAAGGAAACCATTACCTAAGTCTCCTTCAGAGCTCCTCATTGGTAATGCTGGAGACGATGACATGGAGTTGCTTTCAGATGAGACCCAAATATGCTCCTGTCACAATGTCACCAAGGGAAAACTTGTAGAAGCCGTGAAAAATGGTTGCAGCAGTCTTGGAGATTTGAAAAAGTGCACTAAGGCAGGAACAGCTTGTGGAGGTTGCGAACCTACGGTGAAGGTCATATTTGAGACAGAAATGAGAAAGCTAGGTGGTAAAATATCCAATCACCTATGTGTCCACTTCGACTATTCGAGAGCAGACTTGTTCTCGTTGATTATGGTCAAGAATTTCCGGTCTTTTAAAAGGGTCATGGAGGAACTGGGAAATAACCCGGACTCCTCAGGATGCGAGATCTGCAAGCCAACCATTGGCTCCATTCTCTCAACGCTATACAACCGACACCTCTTAAAAAAGGAAGTTCATGGTCTGCAAGACACAAATGACCGGTATCTTGGAAATATACAGCGAAACGGCACTTTTTCGGTCGTTCCTCGGATGTCGGCCGGCGAAGTCACTCCGGAAAAGCTTGTTTCCATTGGGCAAATTGCCAAAAAGTACGGAGTCTATACAAAGATCACAGGAGCACAAAGACTAGACTTGTTTGGCGTTAAAAAGAGCGATCTGCCGAAAATATGGAGAGATCTTAACGAAGCCGGCTTTGAGAGTGGACAGGCTTACGGCAAAAGTTTGAGAAATGTCAAGTCTTGCGTTGGATCAACATGGTGCAGATACGGAATAGGAGACTCTGTGGGTCTGGCTGTCAGGCTGGAAGAACGGTACAAAGGGATACGCTCACCTCATAAAATGAAAGGGGGTGTGTCTGGGTGTGTTAGAGACTGTGCGGAGTTTCACTCAAAGGACTTTGGTCTTTGTGCTGTAAAGGACGGATTCAACATATATGTCGGTGGCAACGGCGGAATGAAACCGGCACACGCGCAGCTTCTTGCCACCAATGTGCGTCCTGATGAGGTGATCCGTATTCTGGACAGGTTCCTAATGTTCTATATCACCACGGCAGATAGATTGCAGCGGACAGCTCGATGGCTAGAAAGCCTTGATGGTGGAATCCAATACTTGAAGGACGTCATCATACACGATAAATTGGGAATTTGCAAGGATTTGGAAGCCCAAATGTGCCAACTTGTGAGCGGTTATTACGATGAGTGGGCTAAGGCCGTGTCGGAAGAGAAAGATAACCCAATTTTCAAACAATTTGTGAACACGCCCGAGAACCAGGAAACTGTGGAGATAGTCAATGAAAGAGGCCAACCAAGGCCAGCTATGTGGCCCGAGAAAGTGGCAGACCAAAAATTCAACGAGATCAAGTGGTCTTCTGTGACTTGGCAAGAGGTCTGTCAGAGCTCAGATCTACCTCTAGCAGAGGCAGGGTCCTCGGCAACTGTCTTGGTTGGAGAGACCCAAATCGCTCTATTCAGAACCAACGGAAACCAGCTCTATTGCTCTCAGAACATGTGCGGGCACAAACGTGCATTTGTGCTAAACCAGGGACTTCTTTCGGAGGATGGTGACAAAAATTGCTACATATCGTGTCCGATGCATAAACGGAACTTTTATCTCAAATCCGGTGCCTGTAAAAACGATGAAGCACTATCTATCGCGACATTTGAGGTCAAGGAGGAGAATGGCAAAGTTTATGCCAAACTACCTCCCACAGCTGAGCTCGACGAAATCTTGGGAACTTCCAAGTGGAAGGTGAAAAGTCAGGAAACAGAAGCTAAACAGGTACGCAAGATTACAACGGCCAAAAATTTATCTGACAAACCGGTATCGTTAGACTGGTAATTTCCTATGGATAGAGGTAATAAAAAAAAGTTAAATAATTAATGAACACGCAGACCCTGAGGATCTGCACTTCATGTAAAGTATTACGACGGAAGGACTGCGACGGAAAGACCCCTTCATGCTTGAACTGTATCAAGAGAAAGCGGGAATGTATCTATCAGACAGATAGCGACAAGCGAAGACGAAAATACCATACAGATTATACCCAATACCTTGAAAAGAAGATACAAGTCCTTCAAAAATTTCTTTACAAACATGATCCGCAGCTACAACTGGGCGAAAACAGCGAAGAATCTGAAAACAGGTTTTTGAGGCGGGTAGATGAGGAAGCAAAACTGACCACCCTTCTCAATGACATGGATGACTTGAGCCTCGACAACTCGCCGGAGCCTGATTTTCAGTACGAGGATTTCGGGCCTTTGGTCGGGGTTGCAGGACTCAACGTGTACTATATTGATCCAATATTCAAGGCAGAACTGCTTTCGCTATTCCAGAAACACTGTTCCGAGATCACCTATGCTATCAGCCTGACGTTACCCACCATCGAGACATGGGATTTTTCCACAGACACGTATCCATCCCATCAGCTTCTTATGCTCACCGTGTATGGGGTTGCTTGCTTATATTCTAAGAATCCGCATGCATCCAAAATCAGCAAATTATTGATAAACCAGGCTGCGCAAATCGCAGTATATGCGTCGAAATTCAACTTGGACGAATACTTGCTACAGGGCCTTCTGCTTCTGTCATGCTACGAAATGGGCCTGGGCAATGACTCGATGTCTTACTTGTACATTTCGATGGCATGTTCGCTGACCCAGCATATGGGGCTCCATATATCGTATGACGAGCATTCTTCCGCAGCCAAGTTTGCACCACGAACCACTCCATTCCAATCTGCACTTCTGTGGTCTATCTGTACACAGGATAGAATTATCACATCAAGAATCGGTGTGCCGTCTTGCATTCACTTCAAGCGAATTATCTCCCCCGTCTATGAAGTGCAACTCTCGCCGCGCAATCCCAGATATCTGGAAGAGCTCTGTTTTTGCTACACGACTCGTGTGTGGTATATCATGGATAGGTTCACAGACCAAATATGCTCCATACAAGGTGATTTAGGTGATACCCAGGAACGAGGAAAGCTGCTCAAGACCGCAGAGCTTGCGTTCCAGACGCTGAAAAACTCACTTCCACCGCCATTCAGAGCTGAAGAACACTCCAAAAGCTACCACATACTAATGTTCCAGCTTAATTACGAAGCATGTGTGGTCTTGCTACACAGACTATTTGTTGACGATCCCTTGAGCAGCAACAAATGCGTTGCCTCAGCCACAGAAATTACGCGACTGATTCGGATTCTACTAGAAACAGGAGACATCCAAAGAGCCTCCTATCACTTTGCCTTCATTTGCTATTTGGCAGCAATGATACATCTGGTTCTGTATTCCGAGAAGCTACGTCCAGAACACTTACTCCACCTAGAAACCTGTGTCACCGCGTTGGACATTTCAGGACAACGATGGAAAAGGGGTGCACAGCAGTTGGAAATGCTACGTGAGTTTTCGCGAAGCCGCGGAATCAATGTTCCAATTCTAGAAATGCTCTCGTCCAAATGGACAGAATTTTAATTTATTCCCGCTACCTTAATTTTATTCTCCGTCTTATCTGCACGGGAATTAATATAGTAGCTACTGAAAAACATATTGTAATTCTTCAAGAAAGCTGCCCAGTTCGATGGATTCTGTTGTCACTGAAGTAGCTTATGGCCTCGAGATCAAAAAAATCAAGGAGATCACGGAGCTGCCCTTTCCAGTCAGACAAGACTCTCCTTTAACCAAGGTGCTTCCTGCAGATCTGAAGACCAAAGATAATTTTGTCGCTAGAGATCCCGACCTTCTTCGACTCACTGGCTCACACCCATTCAATTGCGAGCCACCATTGTCAAAGCTCTACGACTCGGGGTTTCTCACTCCAGTGAGCCTGCATTTTGTGAGAAATCATGGCCCTGTTCCTCATGTTCCTGATGAGAGTATTTCAGATTGGGAAGTTTCAATTGAAGGCATGGTTGAAATGCCTTACAAGATCAAATTATCAGAGATTATGGACCAGTTCGATATCTATACGACTCCTGTGACTATGGTATGTGCTGGAAACAGAAGAAAGGAGCAGAACATGGTGAAAAAGGGGACCGGTTTCAATTGGGGAGCAGCTGGAACATCTACTTCTCTTTGGACCGGTTGCATGCTTGGAGATGTAATTGGCAAAGCCCGACCTTCAAGACGTGCAAGATACATATGGATGGAAGGTGCTGATAATCCAGCAAACGGTGCATATGGCACCTGCGTCCGCTTAAACTGGGCTATGGACCCTGAACGATGCATCATGTTGGCATACAAACAGAACGGCGAGTGGTTGCATCCTGACCATGGAAAACCTCTCCGAGTGGTGATTCCTGGTGTCATTGGTGGACGGTCAGTCAAATGGTTAAGGAAGCTAGTGGTTAGTGACCGGCCATCCGAAAATTGGTATCACTATTTCGATAATCGGGTTTTGCCCACAATGGTGACGCCAGAAATGGCCAAAAGTGATGACAAATGGTGGAAAGACGAGCGCTATGCCATTTACGACCTAAACTTGCAAACAATCATTTGCAAGCCAGAAAATCAGCAGGCTATCAAGATCTCGGAAGACGAGTACGAAATAGCAGGTTTTGGCTACAATGGAGGTGGAATCAGAATAGGCCGAATTGAGATCAGTCTCGACAAGGGAAAGACTTGGAAGCTGACAGAGATTGACTATCCGGAAGACAGGTATAGGGAAGCAGGTTATTTCAGACTGTTTGGCGGACTTGTGAACGTCTGCGATAGAATGAGCTGTCTGTGCTGGTGTTTCTGGAAACTCAAGGTTCCTCTCTCTGAACTAGCAGCGTCGAGGGATATTCTCGTCCGCGGAATGGATGAACGTATGGTAGTCCAGCCCCGCACAATGTACTGGAACGTAACGTCTATGCTCAACAACTGGTGGTATAGAGTTGCCATTATTCGCGACGGTGACAATCTTCGGTTTGAACATCCAGTCGTGGCCAACAAGCCTGGCGGCTGGATGGATAGGGTTAAAGCAGAAGGTGGGGATATATTGGACGATAATTGGGGAGAACTGAACGATAAGGTTGAGCAGAGTGAAAGAAAGCCAGGAGCTGATGAAGACATAGAAATGATGTGCAATCCAGAGAAATTAGATGTCATTATAGCTTACTCAGAGTTTGAGGCGCACAAGAACAGTGATACAGAGCCATGGTTTGCTGTCAAGGGACACGTTTTTGATGGCAGCTCGTATCTAGCGGACCACCCGGGTGGAGCACAGTCGATCTTGATGGTAAGCGGTGAAGATGCCACTGAGGACTTCATTGCCATCCACTCATCTTATGCTAAGAAATTGCTTCCTCCTATGCACTTAGGGAGACTTGAAGGGGTCAACTCTGTTACCAAAGTAGAGTCTATCAAGGAAAACGTCAAGCGCGAGGTTTTGCTTGATCCGCGAAAGTGGCACAGGATAACGCTTGCGGAAAAAGTGATAATCTCTTCCGACTCGCGTATATTCAAGTTCGACCTTGAGCATCCAGAACAGCTTATTGGCCTGCCAACAGGTAAGCATTTGTTTTTGAGGCTAAAAGATTCATCTGGTAAGTACCTGATGAGAGCATACACCCCTAAATCAAGCAACAGCTTGCGAGGTCGACTGGAGATACTGATAAAGATTTATTTCCCATGTAGGGAATATCCCAAGGGGGGAATTATGACAAATCTTATCGAAAACCTGCAGGTGGGGAACCAGGTCGAGGTTAAAGGACCTGTCGGTGAGTTCGAATATATCAAGTGCGGACACTGCAGTTTCAACAATAAGCTCTATCAAATGAAGCATTTCGTAATGATCTCGGGAGGATCGGGAATCACCCCAACTTACCAGGTTTTGCAAGCTATTTTCAGCGATCCCGACGATACAACAAGCGTGCATTTATTTTTCGGTAACAAAAAAGTGGACGACATCCTACTGCGAGAAGAGCTTGACAATCTTCAGGACAAACACCCAGAACAACTGAAAGTTGACTATGCGCTGTCGGATCTGCGGCATGTGCCGAAGGGCTGGCGGGGAATAAAAGGCAGATTAACATTCAATATCCTGGACAGCTACGTCCGGGGAAAAAATGCCGGAGAGTATATGCTACTGGTATGTGGACCACCGGGAATGAATTGTGTGGTCGAAAACTGGTGCAAAGCGCGCAAGCTTGATAAACAGTATGTAGTGTACTTCTGACCTATGCAAATTCGAAATCAAAACTATCAAGAAACGTGGGTATGTTGTAGATGTCGAGGACAGGCGCGTCCGTTGCAAAGTCTCGATCCATTTCCGCTGTAAGATAGTTTTGGTAGACATCGTTCTGAGCGATCACGGTCTCAGGTGGCGGTTGACTTCCCTGCCTCAACTCATCAAGAATAGGAACACTTACATTCCACTGTTTAGCAAGATTGTCCAGAACTTTAATATCCTTTATTCCCCGGGTCCACACATCTGCATATTCGCTCAAAGCGGTCACAAATTTCACAAATTGTGAGTTTGCCGCTGCTTGGAACGACTCATCTTTGTTCGCCAGAATAAACAAGTCGAACATGGCACATTGGAATAGGAGGTATCCGACAAAGTAGGGAGCATTATTGAAACCGTGAAGTTCAGAATATCTTTCGGTAACCTTAGATGCCGAGGTGCATAGCTTGACCATCAGCTCAATGATGGTCTTGGGGTTTTGAATAAGATAGGACCTGTGCAATAGCAGCAGCACCACATAATACGATAGATGCAAAAGAAGAATCCGTTTATCTGTTGTCACGGGCTTGAGCATAATTGCATCGGGAAATGATTCGTAAAGCGCACGAAGATTGGAAAAACCTTGCTCCAGGAGCATTTGTCGATGGGAATTGTGCAGATAGTCGGCTCGGAAAGAGTATATCTGTTGAGTGGATCGATCATGAAGGTACCACAGCCTGGAGTGGAAGGAGAATGTCAGCTCGCTTATATATCTGTCGAAGTTCTCCGGCGAGTTTTTCGGGCTATAGAATGGAGTCAGGATTCTGAAATATTGAATTCTACAGCCGCGACCCAACACAGTAGTGATAAATCTGTCCTGCAAGATGATTGACCAGAAAAGCGCGCTCTTCAGTGGCGATGTGGACACTACACTTGTTGGGACACTCGATTTCATGGACCTCTCAGTAGTATGAAGACCAATGTATTGAGCCTGAGAAGCACACATGGCATCAAACAGCCAAGAACTTGAATCGTGGGCCATCCCAAGCTCAAAACATGACAATATAAGCAGTCCCTGTAAGGTGTTCTCATTCAGAGCTTCTTTGCACGCAGTGATTGCTGCGTTTTCAGCACTTTCAAGAAACGCATGTGTGATGGAGGGTCTGACATAAGCCGAGGCATAAGCAAGAATCGAGCAGGTCAACAACTGGTGGTCTGGTTGCACACATGGATACGGTAAGGATCGTACCATGTCCAGTGTCAGCTGAGAAACGTAGAAGAACTGGCCAAAGTTCTCTTCAAACACGTTAAAGAGGTGCTCTCGAAACTCTGGTGAACAAAAATTTATGTCCAGCAGCTCAGTTTCCGGATTCAAAAACTTCTCGTCCCCATCCTCAGCGACGCCCTGCCGTCCCGAAAGCGGCCCGTAGAACTCTGTTTTGTCTCCTTGCTTTCTCACCTTCCATGCGGTTGAGACAATTTCCTCCAGAGCGTTCATGTTGGTGTAGTGATTTCCCATATCTCCCAACTGAGAAAAGTCATTATTTTGAGTCAGCTGCGGCGGTTGCGGGAGAATCGAGCTGAGATCAAAATCTTTCAGTGACTCAGTTCTCTTAATGAGATTAGCAGCATGAAGCTCCAAGAGGTCGGCCTTGACCTCCAGATAGTCGATGTGAGTCGAGTCGTATTTCTTCTTTCGTCGATCGTTCTCGGCACTGTATTCGCAGCCATCAGCATTGTTATACTTGATGCACGTCGCACATGGTTGTGCTCCGTCGCATTTTCTCTTTCGTTTTTTGCAAAACAAGCAGGCATTGGAAAGCAGCTTTGGCGGCCTTCCGGGGACGGAACCCGACATGATAAAAAAAATAAGGCAAAAAATAATTTAGCTATTATCTATTTTCGAGACTGTTTTCCTCGATAAACCAAGTACTTGCCGTTGCTGCGATGGCCGTGGTCACAATATAGATGAAGACAGCGTGGGAGGATGAGTCGTAGGCTGAGATTATCGCATTGCGAGCAAATTCTGGACACTTTGTATGGGCGTAAGTGGTGCTGTGCAACGCTTTTTCTATTATCTGAGCGATTTTTTCAGGAGAGTCGAACTCTGGAGGCACGTTGCTGAGATTAGAAAGATTGCGGCGCAAATCGCGTGATAAGAAGCCCTGCAGAATTGCAGACGCGATTGCCACGCCAATTGTTGATCCTGTAGATCTGAATCCGTACTGGATCGAGGTCACGAGAGCCTGCTCTCTTGCAGTGACAGAGGATATCATGGCAATCAGGTCGACAGTGATCACGGCACCAGTACCAAATCTTGATGGTACTAGCACTGCATACTCGAAAACCGAGCTGGTATTTGGCGTGAGCGAGTACACAAGCGTGCTTCCTAAAATTGCAAGAAGACCATACGTGTGCATCGCAACTCTATACTTTCCAGTTCTTTTGATTCTGTAACCTGCGTATAGTGACCCCCCTGAAATAGCCACTGCAGCTGGAAGAAGACGTAATCCGCTCTCCATGGCTGTCATATTCTTCACTGAAAGCCAGTAGAAAGGCACATAGTAGATGATAGAAAAAACATTCATTGAAGTGAACCAGCAATTCAATGAGGAGCTAAGGACCGTCCTGTTTGCCAGCAGCTGGACGGGAATCACAGGTTCGGTTGCAACTTTCAGTTCATAGAAGTAGAAGAGAGTCAGAAGGATGGTACCCGTGGCCAATAAAACTTTGAACTCTAGACTTGAATAGGCGAATTCCTTGCCCCCAGAAGAGGCTGCGTACATCAGAAGCAACAATGATGACACTAAAAGTGAGGATCCTGCAAAATCCATCGTCTTCAGCTTTTTCCAAACACCGTGGCCCTCCAGTCCACGGCCTGGTGAACCCTTTGGTAGCTCCAGAAAGAAAAAAACAAGCACAGCGGAAAGGAGGCAGATAGGCACCTGGACCAAAAATGCTGACCTCCAGCCAAAGTAGTGGTGGAAAAATCCAGCAACAACCCCACCACTTGCGGTTCCCAAGCCAAACGCAATGTTCATATATCCTTGGTATAGACCCCTTTGACGAGTAGCGATCACGTCTGATAACGTGATTGTTGACAATGTGTTGAAGCCACCACCTCCTATACCGGTGATGAATCTTCCGAAGACGAGAACCCAGAATGAGCTCGTTATTCCACATAGCAGACATCCAAAACCAAATAACACAGTGCAAATGATGGTAATGCTTCTGCGGCCAAAGATATCGGATATTTTGCCAAATAGTGGCTGGAAGGCAGCACAGGCTAGTAAATAACTAGTTGCCAGCCAAGAACCGTTGGTAAGCTCATTCAAGTCGCTCGAGATCACACTCATCAAGGTAGCCACAATGGTAGCGTCCAGTGAGGACAAGAACACATTGACAAAAAGGCAATACAGAATAATCTTTAGATGTGAGGGTGATATCACACCTGCTGGTTTTTGAAGCTCCACGGCGCCATACTGCCCAAGAGACGCCAGGGACGATTCATCAGTGTGATCGCCTTCAATATCCTTTGCAAGCTCGCGAGCCACAATGGCGGCAGACCCTCCAGAAGGATCTTGTAAAAGCGGTGTTTCTTCCGGCATTGAAATTTTATCGATAGCGGGACTTCCCTTTTTAATTATGATGAAAAAATATCTCAGTTCCCGGCGATCAATTTCCGTCTTGGACTAATATACCGATTTTGTTAGACCATTATATATTATACTTCACAATGGACTTGTATCCGCGAACAGCCTCATACAAATCTCCAGGCAGAATGTACTCAGCGGCACTATGGGCGACAAGAATAGAGCCGGGCCCGTACAAATAGCGTTTGGCAGTCTTACCTTTGAAATAGGGAATATCAGTAGCATAGGAGCACGCGACTAATTCAAAGCCCGGAACGTCGTGGTCCAAGTACTGAGGTTCCAGCATCTGAACTATTGAGTAGTTTGAGTGAGCAGTAGAAAATATCCTGCTCACAGTCTGATTAACCAGCTCAATGTTTTCTGCCACCCGTATGTAGATTTCTGCCTTTGCGGATGGTGCAAGTAGATTAGCCGCCACCCCGCCACTGAACTTGCCAATATTGACTGTTGTTGGTCCTAAAAGAGTAGAATAAGGGAACTCCTGCTGCAGTAGGCGCTCGATTCTATTCATTAGGTACTCAACAGCACTAAATCCCTGTTCCGGATATCCTGAGTGACACGAGACGCCAACAGCGTTGACGTCAAAACGAAAATTTCCTTTGTGTCCAACGCTTAGCTTATTTTCTGTTGGTTCCCCAACAATGACTGCGTTTGACCACGAAGCGTTGAGGTAGCTGACGGCGGTGAAAGAGCCTATACCGTTGTATTCTTCTCCCACAACAAACAAAAGAGCCAAGTCACCTTCACTAATGATCTTCTCCTCCCAGAGCTCCAAAAAAGCAAACACCTGGGATGCAACGCTCCCTTTGGCGTCGCAGGCTCCACGCACATGGATTTCTTCCCCTTCAAGATGGTACGGAATTTTTCCAGCAGGATTAGTGTCTATATGAGAGGTGAGCAGCACCTTATTATCTCTTTGCCTTCCTAGATAGGCATAAACGTTCTCGCGGCCCTCTTCTACAAGCTGCAACTCAACGGTCAATCCGTGGGCAGAAAGATAATCAGCCAAATAGTGCACCACGTCGTATTCGTTCCCAACCTCGGAATCAATCTGAGTAATCTCCTTATGGAATCCTATCAGCGACCTTTCCCTCAAGGGAACTTGTATTGCAAAGGCAGCCAGCAAGTACAAAAAGAATGCCCAAAACATAGCTGGCTAAGTTTTTTTATCTCTCCGGAGTTTATTTACCGGGAGTCTATCTCAAATATTTCCATTTTCATTTATTATATGGAAAGAAGACGGGCTACGGTGACTTGTTTGAGATGTCGATCAAAGAAGATCAAATGCGATGTCAGTGTTTCACACCCATGCTCCTCGTGCAAGAAACACAGCTTTGAGTGCATTAAATTTGAAAAGGACAGACGGAAGGAGAGACACGATAGTAAATATATCGAGTCACTCGAAGAGAAGCTCAAGCTGCAGAATGATGTTTTTGCTCAACTTCAAAGGCACTGTACAGAGATTACACGGCTTATCTCCGATAGAACTACAACTCCAAACACTATTTCAAAGCCGAAAGACGACAAAGAAGACAGAAATGTGCTGTACCCTTGGACAGAGTCATTTCCCCAGTACAAAAATCAGTCACTCGCCGTCTACGGACCCACAAGTATTTTCGATAGCGTCTCAATCCCAAACTCTGAGATGGACGAGGTGGATCAGCTTAAACACCTTAATTCGAGCTCTGAAATTCTAGAGTGCATCAAGCTGTTTTTCAGGTGGCTCTACCCCGACATGCATTATTTTCTTTATCGGGAGGCTTTTCTTTTGGACTTTTTTCATCCAAAAATTGACTTCTCGTATTGTTCAAAAGAGCTAGTCTTTTCCATATGCTCCATTGGCTCTCTGCTTTCAGAAAATGAAAAAATCAGGCAAAAATCAAAAACGTTCTACGAAAGAGCACGCCAAAGTGTGTTGAATAAAATTGATCACCCTACAATCACTTCTTTGCAAAGCTTTCTAGTTTTGGGGTTGTACGATATCTATAGTGGACGCAACAATGGTGGTTGGATGCTCACTGGAATTGGGTTACGTATGGGTTTCAATCTTGGTTTCCAGCTTAGTCCAAAAAGCTATCATCCCGAAGCCAACGAAGAGGTCAACGAAACAAATATTGGGATCCGCAGCCGTGTTCTCTGGGGTTCCTATGTGGTGGATCACTTTATCAGCCTTATTCTTGGTCGTCCCAGTGTTCTTAAAATGAGCCAGGCTACAATGGAAGAGTCCAACACCATGCCAGACTTGTACTGGATCAAAGAATTTACTTATACTGATCCGCAGAAGTTAGGTCACACACCAAAACGAATTGATATAGCCAATCCTCTGAAAGCAACAATTGATCTCATCAACATCACAGAAGGTATGTTGCAGGATATTTTTACGGGTGCTGGTTTGAAAGAGCAATCGTTCCAGCTGTCGGAGAAATTAGCACTTCTTGAAAAATATAACCAACAGTTAGTCCAATGGAAGGAGTGCCTACCATCAGAAATTAGCTGGAAAACTCAGGATTTGCTTGAAAAGGGCACAGATCCTACCATAATGGGACTTAAATATTATTATTATATTGTCGTTCTATGTCTCAACAGACCCTTCATCAGCCATCGAGAAAAATGTCCGCAATCAGTTTCCATATGCGAATCCACAATTGATGATCTCTACATGGCCGTCATGACATTCACAGGGTTGCACGGATACAATCGTTGCTCGATCTTGATTATTTATGCTTCTATTTTATCGGTCTCTGTTATCTTGCTATCGTCTGGAAAAAACGTCGCGAAGTACCTGGAAGAGAATCCAGGGGCAGGATCACAGTTTTTTGACTTCATGGACGTTCTTCGGAAAGCCGGCAATACTTGGAAGTTGGCCGAGAAATCCTACACCATGATTCGTTCGAGATTGCTTAATGATTACAACTATGACTACGATCTCGGCTATGCGGCGCATGTCCAGGCATCGCTTCCCCAACCAACGCCCATGAGTCAAACGCCCCGTGTTCCAAACCCATTGGACAGTACCTTTGGGGGTCCACCACTATATATGACCTCCGAGGATATTGATGTTTGGGATTCATTGTTTCCTGACTACGATCTCGAGGAATCATTTGACCCGCTTATCAAAAAATAGTTTCGGATTTTGATAGCCGTTGCATAAAAATATAAAAAGCTGTAATTCGCAGTAAGTGAGCAGCGATGACAGTAGGAAGCAAAATAGAGCCCTCTGATTTTTGGGAAAAGGCCGATAGCTGTCTTCTCAATTATGGAGGTGAATTTGTGAGAGAGATCATAGTTGGCTCAAAAGGCCTGTACGTGTACACAAACGAAGGTAAAAAAATCCTTGATTTTACCTCAGGCCAAATGTCGTGCTTGATTGGCCATTGCAATAGCGAGATTTCAGAGGTTATTTCATACTACGCCGAGAATCTGGATCATATCTTCTCCGGCATGCTCTCTCCTCCTGTTGTGGATCTTGCTTCTAAATTGGTCTCCCTGACTCCTGACGGATTGGATAAGGCCATTTTCCTTAGCACGGGAGCAGAGTCCAACGAGTGCGCTATCAAACTGGCTAAAACATTCACCCAAAAATTTGAAATCGTTGGGCTTTCGCTTTCTTGGCATGGCATGACCGGAAATGCTGGGTCCTGCACCTACCAGTCAGGGAGAATTGGTCACGGCCCGACTGTGCCAGGCCAGCTGATCCTCCCAGCTCCGAATGAGTACCGCTCAATTTTCAGACATCCAGACGGGTCCTACGATTGGAAGACCGAGATGCTTTATGGATGGTCTCTTGTTGATGCAGCCTCTGTCGGATCTCTTGCTGCAGTGATCTTGGAGCCTGTGCTATCTTCTGGCGGAATGCTTGTCCTTCCTGACGGTTATCTGAAGGAAATGAAATTTCAATGCGAGAAGCGTGGAATGCTGCTCATTGTTGATGAAGCGCAAACAGGCATTGGCCGTGCAGGATCCTTGTTTTCATGCATTGATTCCGGTGTTGTCCCCGACATTCTGACTTTAAGTAAGACTCTTGGAAATGGACTTCCTTTATCTGCCGTGATGACTTCCAACGAAATAGCCAGAGTGACGAAGGAACGGGGATTTTTGTTCTACACGACTCATGTCAATGATCCGATACCTGCTGCCGTTGGGTCGAAGGTGTTGGACATTGTGCTGAGAGAGAATCTTGTGCAAAACTCCACTGAACGCGGTGAACAGTTCAGAAAGGGACTATGGGACTTGGCTAAGACATATCCTTGGATTGGGGACGTCAGAGGAAAGGGCCTTATGTGCGGGATGGAGTTGGTCAAGGACCGCAAATCAAAGGAACCTTATCCCGAGCTTGCATCAAAATTAGCAACTAAAATGATGGACCTTGGGCTGTCCGCTAATCTGATTGCAGTCAAGTCTTTTGGCACCACTTTCAGAATGGCACCACCTATTTCCATCTCCAAGAAAGAGATGGATGAAGGGCTGGCTATAATTAAGAGTGCATTCGAGGCTGTTGTGGCTGAAGGTATATAGCTCTATCAATCATCGATCTCATCTACACTCTGGATATACTCGAAGTAAAACACGATGATCTGGAGATGGCTGTCGAATTTAATCCACTCGTTGACTCCATGGGCAAAGTTTTCAACACTGGTATACTCACCAGGCCTATAGCGATAGATATGATCAGAAAGATTCCAGTAGTATTTTGTGTCAGTGTTTCCGGGAGCAATGCCGGGAGACACGATAATGGGATTTTGGGCATCCGGTCCTTGGTATTTGTCTGGCCAGACGAGCTCTTCATACACGTGTTTGATGTTTCCAGCAAAGACCTTCCAATGGTTGTCGTTTACAGGTGTTAATGGCGCAACATCGAAAAATTCGTCGGTATGGACCAGAAAGTCACCTTGAGGAGTTGGAGGAAATATTTCAATCGCTTGTCCATTTTTCAGTTGATAGCTTAAGCCAAGATCGTACTTTTGGGCAACATCTTTGACGTTCCCCAGATACTTTTCCAGCACTGAGTGGATGGATTCTTCAACGGCAATTCGCGAATTGATGGTCAACTGAACAAATTCCGGCAACGCGTTAGATTTTGATCCTCCGTAAATCACATCAAGTGCTTGCGATGTTTTAATATAGTATTTCAGCCAGCGACTCGACTCAATGTACTCTCGGACCCGTTTATTGGACAGCGAACTTGTTTGGCTGTTGAGGATATGTTTTTTGAGTTCTTTGTCAATGGTGGCAGAATTTTCAGCTAGGCAGACGTATTGGTGGTACGTGGGATTTTTAGGAGTGAAATAGGATGGAAATGGATCGTTTTCGATTTGCACCATGAGATCTGCCATGATTCCCAAGGAGGTATGGTCAGGAGGCACAGACGAATGGCCGCCTGGGGTCTTCAGATCAATCCACAGATTCAAAAAGCCTTTTTCTCCTGTTCCAGGAACTGCCATGGTGGTCCCATCTATAGTTGTCAAAGAGACACCTCCTTCGTCGCAGATCGCGTACATGGACTTGGGACCAAACTTCTCCTCCAGCCACTCGGCGTTCCTGTTACGCACACCACTCACTTCCTCGTCAAAACCAAACGAGAAAATGACAGTGCGACGAGGAACAAACCCAGTCTTCATAAGCTCCTCAGCAGCCTCGAAGTATCCAACAACCAGATTTTTGCAATCCGATGATCCTCTGCCAAAAAGATGGGTGCCATTGTAAAGCGCATCAAAAGGTGGATACGTCCACAGAGGAAGCGTCGAGTCCGGCACTGGGCTGGTGTCTTGGTGTCCCATTAAAAGAAGTGGCTTTAGCGTTGTGTTTGTACCTCTCCAGATGTAAACGAGGCCATGATGGTTGACCTTATGGAGCTCTGTGTTTTGGTAGAATAAAGGAAATGTTGACTTCAAGTAATTCTCAAAGATATCAAACTTTGCCCAATATTCAGGGTCATCCTCTACAGTAAGCGGGTCGTCATCATGGGTTTCTGTTTTAATGCGAATTGCATTTTGTAGTTTGACAAGAGATTGGTTGCGGAATTCGGGGTCATGCAAAATGGTGTCTATGACCTGAGTGTTGGCGAGAAAGGTCGAAGGTCTATGAGGTTCGGCCATGGGACAATGAGGCGTGGAGAAGCCTATTTCTCCACTTTGATGTGTTTTATAGAGTAGCAGGAGGCTTCCCACCAGGCACGCAGCCCACAAACTGATATAGGCCTGAAAGTTCATCACTTAAATTCGTTGTAACTACTCGTATTTATTATAATTATATCGGATATCTAGAACCGAAAAGAAGTACCCAATACGGCAATCCAGAAGATAAGCTAGAGGGTGTATCTGAAAAAAATATTCTCCTTGTCGGTCAAGTCCGAGAACTCGATATTCTCTGGAGCCAGTTCCGGACGTGCTTCATCCATGCAATCGCGCCTGTTGTTTTCTCTCCTGCAAAGAATATAAACTCCCAAGATACAAGCGGCCGCGACAGCTAGACACACAAGTATAGCGATCTTTGCTGGAACGTAGTGAGGTGCATCTGAAGCGCGGTACGTTTGGGGACCGATAAGGTTGCCAACACAGTATCCAATCAGGTAGATCCCTGTGACTGTGATCTTCTTGGTATGGCCAGGAGTGTTGCTTGCGAAATAAGAAAAACATCCAATAGGTCCAATCTGCATCAAATTCAGCAAATAGTAGCCTGCTAACTTTGCGTGCGTTGCCTTGCAAAAAGCAAGCATACAGGCAAAGGGAAGACATACCACAATAACTATACTCGTGGTCAGCAACCGTGGCCAGTTGTATCTCTGGATGAAGTACGCGATGATGGGAAGTCCAACAAATTCTACGACACCCTGAGGACATCCGTAGAGCAATGCATCGGTTGGGGAGTATCCGAGGTCTGAATTCAGCAAGATAGACCCAAAAGAGCTGATTCCACCATTGGGAATATTAAACGACACGGCGTAGAAAAAGAAGAGCCAGGTTTTCACGTCGAGAAGCGCCTCAATGCACTGGTATTTTTTGAACTTTTTGTTTCCAAAACCTTGGAAGTTCTCCCTGAGTCTCTCCACCACTAGCAGTTTCTCTTTCTTGTACAAAAACCAGGCTTCTCCGGGAGTGTTTGGAATATGAACGAAGACAATGATTCCAGTTGTGAGCGAAATAAGCCCCACGACAATAAACAGGATTTTCCAAGGCTGGATCGAAAACTGATCTGCTCTGATGGCTATACCATAAGACATCAATGACCCAAAGAAAACTCCAAACCCTGCCGTACTAAGCCAAAATGACACTCTCAGAAAAGCCTCTTTTTTCCGGTAGTACTGAGAAGTCAGAATGGTGGTGAACACAGAGGCAGAAGCTTCCGAGCAGCCCAAAAGTGTTCTTAAAAATGTGAATGCTGCGTAGCTGTGATTAGAAGCTTGAAGGCAAATAATGACTGCCCATGTCAACATGTATATGCTGAACGTTCTTGAAAGAGGGAACCGTTGGAGAGTGTAGCCAGCAATTGGCTGGAAACATAAGTATCCCAAATAGAAAGCTGAGGAGGTCCAGGCGTACTGGTTGCCAACCATATTCATGTCTGTCTTGATCCCCATGACTGCTGCGTAACCATTACAGGCTTTGTCAATGTAGAACAGTGCGTACAGGAAGGAGACCAGAGGCATCAGGAAAAAATCGAGTTTCCGTAGAAGAGCGTCATCGGCCTTTTTGTCGAGAATCACCTCCTTGGACTCCTTGGCCAGGGCCATGGCCTGGTCCACGTCATTCCACTTGCGGTCCTCCACACTGCTCACCTCGTCCAGATTGTGGGTAGCTGTTTCTTTCTCGGACATTAAAATTTAGTGAAAGTTTGCACTCCGTGCTAGATTTAAATATTTTTTGATCTGCGTCAAGTTCCCAGAATTTCTTATCTCGGAAGTTGATAACCGGAGATCTCGCGAAAGATAAATGAGTGGTGCAATTTTTGAAGCCTTATCTAAATACTTATTGAGAGGTGTTTGCGGCCTCCACGATGTTGGAGAGCGTTCCTCCGGCCAGTGGAGCCCGTGGCAAGTCGTGGCCAGACTTCATCACAACTTTGTTTCTTTCTTTCGGATCGCCGTAGCCACCTCCTCCTGGAGTGAGGATCGCGATGTACATGCCTTTCTGGAGCACTATATCAGCGAAGGCTCCAATTCCAAACCACTGGACTGTGCCGTCCTTCATCTCCTTTCCAATTTTGTTGATACCACGAGCGCCACAACACCCGCCGGCCATACCATAGGGAGATGTAGCACGTCTAAATGAGGAGATCGAGGCTTCCACTTTGGTGGTGAACTGGATGATCCGTTGCAACCCGTCACCTCCTTTCCATTTACCGTCTCCACCGGTCCCTTTTCGGATGCTCCAGTCCCAGAGAATACACGGATAACGCTTTTCGAGCACTTCGGGATCTGTGATCTTCGTGTTCGTCATGTGACACTGGGTGCCTGAAAATCCATCTGCCCCCTCTGTTGCACCGCTACCCGCGCCGATGGTCTCGACCATACCAAAACCTTTGACAAGCTGGCCGTTTTCCAGACCCCCAACACCAAAGTGGAGCGCGTTCATCGAACCAGGACCGCTGCCCACGACCTGGTAGGCCTTGAATATGGTCTCCGTAAGAATTTGGGAGCCACTGCCGTTTCCAGAGCTCACAGCCGCCTCTCTGGACGGATTCAGTAACGTTCCTTCTGGGACAATGATCTCAATTGGCACCAGACAGCCCTCGTTCAGCGGGATGTCCGAGTTGATGATACAGCGCAGACCGTAAATGACGCAGGCGTGGGTCACTGCAATAGGCGAGTTTTGCGGACTGTACACCTGCTCTGTTGTGCCAGTAAAATCGTAGACGGCAGAGCCGTCCTCCTCGTTGATGTCTATGGACACCACGATTTTAGAGCCAGTGTCCAGGACCTCTTCTGCCCGCAGGGGAAGCTTTCCACGGTGTATTTTAGCAAGCTTTTTAAGGGCTGCACGCACTGCCATCTCTGCCGTCTTCTTGACGTTGCGCATGTAGAACAACACAGTTTCGACGCCGTACTCTTTGAATAGATCTACCAGGAGATTCACTCCACGCTGGTTTGCGGCAATCTGCGCCTTGAGGTCGGAAACGTTGTCTTCCAGCTTCCTGGTGGGGGAGCAGCCAGGAGCTTCCGCAGGGACCTCCATGAAGTACTTATGTAGCCCTTCGTAGTCAAACTGGCCCTTGGAAACGATTTTCCATGCTTCAAACTGTGCACCCTCCTCAGCGAGGCTGGTGGCCATTGTAGAACCAGAACCGGGAGTAAGTCCTCCTATTTCTGCATGGTGTGCCCTGGAGGCGGTAAAGAACCGAATCTTCCCCTCGATAAAGACTGGAGAGATAATAGTGATATCAGGCAGATGCGTCCCGCCTGCCACGGGGTGATTGGTGGCAAGAACGTCACCCTCGTGAATATTGTCTTTCCAGTACTGGATCGCATACTTGATGGAAAAGCTCATGGACCCCAGGTGAACAGGAACGTGAGGTGCATTGGCTGTCAGGTTTCCGTCCTCGTCAAATAGGGCACAGGAGAAATCCATGCGCTCCTTGATGTTGGCCGAAACAGAGATTTTTTGCAGCGTCCTGCCCATGTCCTCGGCAATGAACATGAACCTGTTGGAGAAGACGGAAAGCAGGATTGGGTCGACATGGTCCAGAGAGATTTCGTCCTGCGTTTTCTCGTTGTTGACGTCGATAATAATGTGTCTGGGTAAATTGATGGCTCTTGCTCCGGGAGTGACCAGAATGGTCTGAGTCTCGTCTAATATCATGGCAGGGCCGTTGACAATGTCACCCATGCTGAGATCTTTCATGAAATAAACCTTGGACATCATTTTTCCCTCGTCAAACGCAATCTCCTGCTGGCTCACCTCGACGCCGCTCTTCACCGGTTGCTGTGCAACCGTTTCCAAATCCTTATACGGCGACCGCTCCACGACCTTGGACAGTGCGCCAGTGCCTCTGACCCTCAAATCGTGCACAATCACGTCTCTTTCGTCGTCCACAAACGTGAACTGTCTGAGATGCGATTCCCTGAAGGACGTGAAGAAATCTTTCTCTGGAACCTGGTTGATCATCAGCTTTGTTTCTGAGCCGTGGTAGCCCATGTTGAAGAAGACCTCAAAACGTATATCCGACTCCCTCAAACCCTGTGCTAGAAGCTTCCGTTTAGCCTCCTCTTTCAGTATTTCGCATTTTTCCAACAGCTCCGGAACAGCCTCCGGCTTGTAGACGGCGCTTGATGGGATCTGTTTTTCCACCACAGTGTCAGCCAGAGCTATGCCGTACGCCGAGAGAATAGACGAGTACTTGTGAATTACGACTCGCTTTATTTTCAGAATCTCGGCCATCGGAGCAGCATGCTGCCCGCCGGCCCCGCCAAAGGAAGCAAGGTTGTGTCTCGTGATGTCGTAACCTTTGGACTCAGTAAGCGTTCTAATCAGCTTCGCCATGTTGTAGTTGGCAACGGTGAGGAATCCAAGGGCAACCTCCTCTACTGTCTTTGGAGAACCCGGGTTGTCCTTGTTGATGAGATCGGTGAGCTCTTGGAATTTCTTCTTTGAGATCTCCACGTCCAGCGGCTCGTTCGCGTCAGGGCCGAATATTTTGGGAAACTGTTCAGCCACAATCCGGCCAGTCACGAGGTTGGCATCCGTGACTGTGAGCGGGCCACCTTTACGGTAGCATGCAGGACCCGGATGCGAACCGGCTGATTCAGGGCCGACAACAAAGATACCGTTCTTATAGAATAAAATAGAGCCTCCGCCGGCAGCAACGGTGTTGATATCCAGTTGTGGCACAGTAATGTTGATTCCCGCCGTGTTGGTCTCAAAGACGTGCTCGTACTGGCCAGCATAACGTGACACGTCCGTTGAGGTTCCGCCCATATCGAAGCCGATGATGGGAATACCGTGGTCTGCGTCGTAGCAGGTTTCTGCCTCGCCCACAACGCCGCCAGCAGGACCGGAAAGCAGGGCTTTGAGACCTGTGAAGTGTTCTGCCGTGCACATACCGCCATCTGACTGCATGAATTCGATTCTCGTGTGCTTTTCGAAGCCAGGCTTGAAGCCTTTCAGCAGTCCGTGGATGTACTCTTTCACCACAGGCGTCAGATACGCATCTAGCACGGCAGACTGTGCCCGTGGCACAGCCTTGATCATGGGGATGATTTCATGGGATGTGGTGATGAACTCGAAGCCCAACTCCATGGCCATTTTTTTCAGCTTTTTTTCATGGTCCTGGAAATTGTAGCCGTGAATCAAGCATATAGCCACAGACTTGAACCCATTGTCTCTGAGCCGCTGCAGTTCGCACTTGGCTGCTTCAAGATCAATGGGCTTTAGAATCTCAAACACCTCCTTGGTGGTGCCCTCGACGAATTTCTCTCCGTCAAGCAGCTCTCTGCAGTCGTTCAACAGCGGATCCTCTGTGTACGCAGGCATTGTGACTCTCTCGTCGATCTCAACGACCTCTTCGTACAGAACGCCCGGCTTGACAATCTTGAGCGCAAACAGATCAGGTCTACTCTGGTCGCCAATCCGCAGAAGATCCTTGAAGCCCTTGGTGGTGATAAAAGCGCACTTGGCTCCTTTTCTTTCGAGAAGAGCGTTTGTCGCAACGGTGGTTCCCAGACGGATACTGCTGACGATCGAGGTGTCTAGCGGCTCACCACGGGGAATTTTCTTTCCCTGGACATGTTCCAGAATTTTGCGGATTCCTTCGATGTTGGCATCCTCGTAGTTGGCGGGGTCAACAGAAAGCAGCTTAAAGACGTAGTCTTCCTGGCCGGGAATGATAGCAAGAAAGTCGGTAAAGGTTCCGCCACGGTCAATGGCAATCTTTATGTCAGACATGAGGAGTTGACACATACGCAGGCTGGCGATGGGTATTTATCTTTTTGTTTGATGCGCCATTTTAGGTAACTCCGCATCCACTGATAGATAACGCATAAAATTAAATTAAAAAAAGTAGAAAATTTATCCGCGCACTGATAAGCTCCAAAAAAGGAGATCGGCCGCTGATAAGCGTTTAAACCTGACTTACATCGGATCCTGCGGGCACCTCCGTCACAGACACAATAGCCTCCACCTTGCCGCTGCCAGACTTTGACTTGATCACCTGGATCGATCCCAGCGCGTTCTGTGTGATATCGTCCTTGTCGAAAATAAGTGCAATCTCCTCCAAAGAGTGGCCCCTGGTTTCGGGAAAAACAAAATATATGACGCAGATAATCACCAGCTGCACTCCCAGATAGACACAATAGTACTTCCAGTGGATTGCGTTCAGAGCAATTCCGTTGACAAAAATATTGAAGAACGTGGTGGCATTCAGGATGAACATTGCTGAGAAAAGCCCTTTTGATCTCGTGACCTGGGGCCACAGCTCTGCTGGATATGCCGTGACGAGAGGACTAAATGCCACATTGTTGAGCCCCAGACAAAGGAAAATGAACACGATGATGCCCTGGCCCACATTCTTGCCTGTTTCCTGGTACACTGCGGTGATTGTAGTCAGCGGAATATAGAAAATGAACAGAGAAATCATGGACATCAACAAAAGCGTCCTTCTTCCCACCTTGTCGACCAGCATCACGCCAGTGACTGCGCATAGCCAATTGAACAGCTGTAGACAAGCATTGATCAGGGTTTTCTTGAGCGTGTTCGTGATACCCACGGCGTCCAGCACCGTGCTCAGATACGACGAGACAATGCCTGTTCCACACCAGGAGCACGAGGCAGCAGTAAAGCAGCCGATGAACATCCGTTTCCTGTTTCCAGGAGTAGCCACGAGCGATCTCCAGGACGCCAAGTTGTTGGCCTTCTGGGCCTCGATCGAAGCCACGATCTCGGCAACCTCAAGATCCACGAGCGGGACGTACATTTCCTCGTAGTCTGCATGATAATTCATGAGAATTTCTCGTGCTTCGTCCAACCTTCCCTTGGACGCAAGCCATCTTGGTGATTCGGGAGCCATCAGCAGAGAAGGCATCAGAGCAGTGGGTAGAAACGCCTGTAACGCAAGCGGAATTCTCCAGCTGTTGCTGCTTGGGAGCGATCTGGTGCCAAAAACAATCCATGCCACCATCAGCGCGCCAAAGTAAAACATTGAGTGGTAAGCTGCCGAGAATTTTCCTCTAGTGGTCGGAAATGCCATCTCGTTGATATACAGCGAGGCGGCGTAGTTGCAAGCAAACGAAAACCCAATCATAATCCGTCCCATGATGTACGCTGCATTGTTCTTGGCCGATGCGGCCACTATAGCTCCGATCCAGATAAAGAACGAGGTTGCAAAAATCACCAATTTACGGCCAAACCTGTCGCAGAAGTAAGGCACGAAAAAAATGATGGAGCAGGTGCCGATAAACGGACACGAGTTGATGAACCCCAGCCACGTGCCAGTGGGATGCCCTGTGAACTCTTGCCATTGGGGCAAAGCTTGTATAGCGTTTGTCAGCGCAGAGTCGTAGCCGATCGCTGCTGCGTAGAGGATGAAGCTAAACATATAGAAATTCAGCTTGACAAGGTTGCGTCTCTGGTACCACTTGCGACTATCGTCTGGAAGAGCAGCAGAGATCTTCTCTCCCGCCAAGTTGAATGAGCCAGTCATAATGACACGTCTAGGTATCAGCTCGTTTTATAGATCAGGTCGAAGCATTGCAACTGATAAGAGTTCACGATATAGTTTTTTAATGCGCCGCGCATGCGCCTGCGTCAAAAAATTCAGATAAAAAGAATCTCCTACAACGTTTGATTTCCGACTCTCCTGCAACATTTGCGGGATCATCACTCTTTGGCAAAGGTGATCTGGTCAAACTCCAACAGCTGCTTGGTCAGTTTCCAGTCCGTATTTTTGTACTTCTCCAGCCCCTCTGGCTCACCCCTCCACTTCCATCTTTCTGCAGTTGTAGCATCCAGACGGCCCTCCAACATCGCCAGCACATAGCTCCCGATAATTGGAAGAAACTTGAATCCGTGGCCAGAGTCTCCCGACGCAAGATATACGTCCGAATGGCCAGGAACCTTGTCTATGATGAAGTCTGAGTTCGAGCTATCTGCTATCCAGCAGGTTTTGCTTCCTATAAAAGGCTTGGTAGCCAGCTCAGGAAAGTACTTGGTCAGCAGCCTGCGCGCCTGAGAAAGCGAATTTTGCGGAATTGTGTCCGTTGCTGTGTCATGTTTGTAGCGCGGCAATGACACCGTGCCATAATCGTGAGGATTTGCCACATTGTTTGCTGCTGCCACGCCAGATATACAAACTTTCACAAGCCCGGTTTCCTTATCAGGCGGGAAAAAATACCCAAGACCCGCGTCAAAAATCACCGGAATATCCTCCATTTCTGCGGCCTCTGCGGGAGTCAGCTGGATGTGTGTGACAAAGAGACCAGTGGCTGCTTGCACGCCGGCGACATTCACAACAAATCCAGAGCTCGCACCACAAGCGACAAGAATCTTGTCTGCAGTGTATCTGGCTCCAGACTTCGCAGCCACAGCAGTCTTACCGTCGGTCTGCTCTATTCCGACGGCCTCTCCAGCCTCGCCAAAGACGAATTGGACACCGCACCGGACAGCTTTTCTCCAAGCTGCTTTCAGGGCATTAGACGAATGTGCGTATCCGGCCCTGCCGTTGTAGACATACACATCCTCTGACGAAAATTGGCAGTCTGCCAGACAGGGCAGATCCCGTTTCAGAGAGACGGCGTCGGCGTACTTGGTAATTTTATCAGCCTTGCCCAGCTCACCAAGCACAGCGATACTTATATCGTCAAATCTTCGCCTGTTGGAATTCGACTTTGGACAGACAGACAATCTGCCGCACTCAAAGTACGTTTCTGAGTACTCTGGGTCGGAATTCCACGCTTCAATTGCATCAAGGCTCATTTTGGCGTAGAAATGCGAGTCGTACTCGCTGCGGATAATCTTGTTGATATCGCATGCGGCAGAGTACGGAGACGGAACTGGGTGCTTATCGATAACAGTGACACTATATCCCTTCTTCTGCGCTTCAATCGCGGCAGAGAGCCCAAAAACACCAGCGCCGACAATCAACAACGACATGGTTCGATAGGAAGAAATGGTAGCTTTGAGCTTTTTTCCTGGCCCAGTTTGGGTGGCACACGACGCGGGTCGAAGAGCTGGTGAAGGTGTTGAACTTTTTCCCCAGATTCTTTTTCAGTACTGAAAAAGCAGCAGACATGAACATTATCGGAAATTACGACAAGCTACCCACCGAGGCTCCTCAATTGCCTTCCAATGTTTTCAGCCTGTTCTCCCTGAAGGGCAAGGTTGCCAGCATCTCGGGTGGCTCGACGGGAATTGGGCTGGCTGTGGCAGAAGCGTATGCTCAGGCAGGCGCAGACGTGGCCATCTGGTACAACAGTACCAACGCTGACCGCGAGGCCGAGAGGCTGTCCAAGACGTACGGGGTCCGTGCCAAGGCTTACAAGTGCGCAGTCGGCGACTTTGACCAGGTTAAGGCCACGATCGATGCCATTGAGTCCGACTTTGGCACGATTCACATTTTTGTTGCAAATGCGGGGATCGGCTCCCAGTCTGTGCCTGTGGTCGATGCGTCGCTGGAAAAATACCGCGCAATCATGAACACCAATTTGGACGGCGTGTACTACTGCGCCAAGTGCGTAGGCCCGATTTTCAAGAAGCACGGCAAGGGCTCCTTCATCATCACCACGTCGCAGGCCGCCCACATTGTCACGGCTCACATATGGCAGGCGGCTTACAACGCCAGCAAGGCGGCGTGTATCCAGATCGCCAAGAGTCTGGCCATGGAGTGGGTCGGATTCGCCCGTGTCAACACGATCTCTCCAGGGTACATTGTCACCCCTATCTCCAAAGATGTGCCTCACGAGGAGAAAGTCAAGTGGTGCACGCTGATCCCAATGGGCAGAGAGGGGCTTCCTCAAGAGCTTGTGGGTGCGTACTTGTACTTTGCGTCGGACGCCTCAACCTTCACCACCGGCGCTGATCTCATCGTTGACGGTGGTTATTGCTGCCCATAAATGTGCGGAAGTGGCTAAACTTTTTTTTTTCATGTTGAAAAAATATGGATATGAAGAAAAACAGCAAAAACGTGTAATCCGGAGTAAAAGACCAAGTCCTGTATCACCTAAACTGCCCGACCTGAACCCTTCACTTCGCCCGGGCCTAGCAGTGGTGTTTATCGGCTACAACCCCTCGATCCACTCCTCGTCCTTGCAGCATCATTACGCACACCCCACTAACCTGTTTTGGAAATTATTTAACGAGTCGGGAATATTAAGCATCGTGACTAATGGGGCACACTCTCACCCCTGCGCCGCCAAGGACGACTGGGATCTGCTCCAATATGGCATCGGGTTCACGGATCTGGTGCTCCGCCCCACGCAGAACGCGGGGCAACTGACTAAAACGGAAATGGCCCACAACGTACCGAGACTGTGTGCCGAACTCAGGAGCAACCAGCCCGCCGTGGCCTGTTTCGTGGGGAAGGGAATTTGGGAGCAGGTGTGCAAGACGCTGGGCTACAAAGACGCCTTGAAGAGCTTTAGCTGGGGACGGCAGCCCCTCGAGCTCGAGGGCTGCACTATCTTTGTGATACCTAGCACCTCCGGCCTCGTCACCATCAGCTACAAAGAAAAGCTCAGGCGGTGGTTCGAGTTGGGTGCTTATGTCAGCAACCTCGGGGTTGATAAGACCGCAAAAACTTGTGGTGTCTGGGGTAAAACTCGCGGAGCGCAGAGTACCTGTGAAGAGTATAAAAAGAAGCCGTTGTTCCTGGATGCAGGAGACGCTGGGATGGTTCGACACGTGAGCGGCAAGGACATCGATCATCTGGTTGACGTTTTGGTTCGTCTGCACGATCAGAAAAGCTCAGGACAGCGTGTTATTGTTGCCGTGTGCGGTGCGCCGGGCAGTGGCAAGTCCTTGATCACCGATAAGGTGGTTAACCGTCTAAATGAGCGCTTTGGCAAGCAGATTGGCGTTGTGGTCCCCCAGGACGGGTTCCACTACTACATGAAAGAATTGTTGCAGATGGACGATCCGGACACCATGGTTGCTCGACGGGGTGCAGATTTTACGTTCAATGCTGAAGGACTGGTTGATTTAGTGAGGCGGATTAGAGAGCATCCCGAGGAGGAAATATATGCGCCGAGCTTTGACCACAAAATCAAGGATCCAGTGGAAGAGTCGATTGTGATTCGTTCCGAAAACGAGATCGTTATTATCGAAGGCAATTACGTTTGTTTAGACAAGGAACCGTGGAGCAAGATTTTGCAACTTGCGGACGCGAGCTGGATGGTCGTTGCGCGGCCCGAGCTGATTCGGGAGAGAATTGTGCGGCGGCATTTGGAGGCCGGGATCAGCAAGACCAGAGAGGAGGCAGAGAAGCGGGCCGACGAGAACGATATGGTGAACGGAAAGTATGTGATAGAACACTCACGTGGGATCGATTTGGCGATCGATAATGAATAGCATATAAATAGAAAATATATAATGCGCAGAAGCGAAAACTACAGACGCGACGACGCAAAGTCAAGACTTGTGGTAGCAGAAATAATAACCTGGCTTTGCACACAGAACGAAATTCTCGATCGATTCAGTCATCGGTGTTCTCTTTGAGCCTAGGCCACCGCAGAGCTCGTGTACAATTGCAAAAGCAAACGTCCAGTCAATAGAAAATTCCTCTCTTTAAAATCGATAACACCGTTACAGTCTATGGATATCCGCGAACAGGACCGGTGGCTGCCCATAGCCAACGTTGGCCGCGTGATGCGACAGGCTCTTCCACCTCACGGAAAGCTCTCCAAAGAAGCAAAACAGTGCATGCAGGAGTGTGTGTCTGAATTTATCTCCTTCATCACCTCCCAGGCAGCTGAAAAATGTTCGTTGGAGAAGAGGAAAACGCTCAATGGTGAGGACATACTGTTTTCAATGTACTCTCTCGGGTTTGAGAACTACGCGGAAACGCTGAAAATATATCTTGCCAAGTACCGCCAGTACGAGCTTTTGGAGAGCGAAGCCAGAAGAGAGAAGTACCGACAACGAAAAGGGCCAGCAGTAGACGCTGATGACGACAACGGAAGCGATGCTGAAGGTGATGAGGAGCACGGCGGCGACGCAGAAGGCGACTTCCTCAACTATGAGAACGAGCTTGGCTTCGAAGGGTGGTAGCTATGCGGCTTTAGCCCTAAAATAATTAATCTTCATCGATCCCGTATAAATTCATGAGACTGTTGTTATTTGCTCTCTTTGCATGGCTGTGTCACTGTACAGAGCTGGTCAACTTGGTGCTGGAGCTTGAGGACAATCAGGATCAGCGCCAGTTTATCGAAAGATACCGTCCGTTGCTTTCTGAATCGTACAAATGCTTTGATCTGGGAAAAATAAAGCTGTGCCACGGCGCCTTCAATCTCAACTTCGTCAAGTCCGCGTACTTCGACAAGGCCGTCAAGCGGATCAGTCTGGACCGCACCGTGCAGATCTCCGATGTGGAAGAGTTTGCGCCCAAACACCTGGTGCGCATATCTCAACTGGGAACTGTCAACCGCCGCCAGCTGATGGACTACACTTACGAGCCCGGCGCAGGGTCCAACGTGAGCGCGTACATCGTCGACACGGGCATCAAGACTGACCATCCAGACTTCAACGCCAGAGCGAGGCTGGGGGCCAGTTTGGTCCAGGACAACTTGTACGGCGACCCCAACGGCCACGGCACGGCGGTTGCGGGCATCATTGGCTCCGAAACGTTCGGTGTTAGCAAACAGTGTGCTCTGGTGGACTACCGTGTTTTCAACGAGACCGGCACGGCCCAGTTGTCGACGGTACTGGAAGCACTGAAGCTGATTCACGACCACGAGACGCCTGGCGTCGTACTGTTGGCGATGATCTCCGAGCGCAACGAGATCTTCCACTCTGCGCTTTCGCAACTGGCAGACCGCGGTTTTGCAATAGTCTCTGCCGCGGGAAACTTCAACAGCAGCGCGTGTCTCTATTCCCCGGCGGCGTTCGAGTCAGGGCTCACAGTCGGGTCCATAGAGACGCACGGCGACAACCTGGGCTTCTTCACAAACTGGGGAGACTGCGTCGACGTCTTCGGCGACGGCATCAACGTGGCCACGCTGTCGCCAACGGCCGAGCGCGTGACGCAAAAATCGGGCACCTCAATGTCCGCCGCCATAGCAGCAGGTCTCGTGGCAACGTACATGTCAATGAACGACACGAGCGTCGAGGCTCTTGCGAAAGTGCGCAACCTGGCAGAATCAGGAAGCATCCCTGCGCACAACTTTCTGTACCGGCCAGGAACGCCAAACCGGATCCTCAACAATTACGGCGGAAAACTGGGCCAGATCCTAAATAGCTAGAATTCCATCTCGGCATCAATGGCGCGCCGACGGCAGATCGGGCAGCTATTGTCTGTCAGAAGCCACTGGTCGACACATGTTTTGTGGAATTCGTGTGTGCACTGTAAACGGCGGCCCTGCTCGCCTTTTTCGTAATCTACCAGACATATCGGACACCTGTCGAGCGTATCTTGTATGTCGAAGACCGACTCGGTGTGGTCGTCCAGAACCGATTGCGAGAGCTTGTTTCCGCGGAAAATCCGATACAGCGAGTCTCTGAACGTGCTGATCCGCGTGTCTGAGTTGTCCTCGTGCTGCGCCAGGGTCGTGTTGCTGGTGCTGGCCACGTAGCTGGCAAGAAGGCCTATGAACATGGCCATGGAGCTGAGAACCGGGTCTGAGGCCGAGTAGTGGTGAGCCATCACAATGATCACCCACGAGCGGTATTGTTCCGATTGTGCTTGAGGAACATTGAGCCCTACCACCCCTACGATCAGAACAGGCACCAGACGTTCAAACTCGTGCAAGGACGAATTGTAGCCCAGATGGGAGCTGTTGTCGAACCTGAACGCTCTAAAGAAGCTCAAAGTGCGGCCGAGGTCCATCTGGTATCCAAGAGCATGCTGCAAAAGGTCTTCGCTGGTCAGGCTATGAACGAAGCTGGCGAAGTCGGTGTCCATGCTTCCGTCCAGGTTGTCCTCTGGATATATTCTTTCGCCCACGTAGTCGACATTGACGTTGATGAGACGTCTCAGAGTGCTCATGGTGACTGTTTCGAGCAAACTCGACAGTGATCTAAATTGAGACGTCAGTAACTCGCTCTGTTCTGGCTCCTCGGGAGACTCGGCCACAGAGCCGCTAGATGCGTTGAGGTTGGACGAAACGCTGCGCAGCGCATCCACAGACGACTGGGCCGGCGACAGAAGACTTCTGCTCACCATTCGGCTCGGCTCAGATAGTGTTTCAGGGCTCCGCCTTCGTCTGAGCAACCCTGCCAGTTTGCGCCATTTGCGTGGGGACGAAACAGCTGTGGAATGCAGGAAGCCAGACTTTTGTGATGCGCTGGAGCGTGTGGTGTGGGCGTCCGAATCGCCGCCGGGAGCGCTATTATTCCGCGAAATTTGCTGTCCCATCCTAACCACTTATCTGATTCTGGGGAGAAAATGTTATTACGTAAAAATAAAATTAATCACTATTGGAAGGTAATTAATTAGCCTGCTATAGACAACCGTTTACCTGTCCACGCAACAGCTCTAGTTCAGCTTGAAGGTGGTGTGGCACTTACCACAGTATTGTCTGTCCTTCATGTTGGCCATGAAGATACCAGCACCACAGGTGGCAGATGGGCACTCTCTTCTGGTTCTCTCAACCTTTCCGTCGTCGTCAACAGAGTAGTAGGACAGCACAGCGAGCTTGTTCTTTCTGTGCTTGTGCTTGATCTTCTTTGGGGTGGTGTAGACCTTCTTCTTTCTCTTCTTACCACCACCTCTCAGTCTGAGCACCAAGTGCAAGGTCGACTCCTTCTGGATGTTGTAGTCAGAAAGAGTTCTGCCGTCCTCGAGCTGCTTACCAGCGAAGATGAGTCTTTGCTGGTCTGGTGGGATTCCCTCCTTGTCCTGGATCTTGGACTTGACGTTGTCGATAGTGTCGGAAGACTCCACCTCAAGGGTGATGGTCTTACCGGTCAGGGTCTTGACGAAGATTTGCATTGTAGGATTGTCTGCAAGGGATGCTTCTTTCTCACCTACTTGGTTGAAAAAAAAATTGCGAGTTGGATTTTTTTATTTTGGTCTTCCCAGCCCGTACCTGTATCACGTGACACAGCCCCCCGCAGAGTAGGATCCGGCCCTTATTTTCTGCTGATAAACAGAAAGCATAACCCCTTTTTTTCGTCTTCCGTGAATTAAACACTTTTCTGCATGGTGGCTGTTTCGAGAGTTAACTCGATCACTGACTCGGTCGCCTGTAGCACTGACAACGACCTTCAGAGCTTCTACACAGCCCTAGATGACTCCAACCAAGACTCCATCTTGGACATAGTCACAGACACAACCATTGCCGACGTTGGATCTGTGAGCGCAGAGGAGGAGTCCCTTGTTGAAGACGGCGATCTGCTAGCGCACAATATGGTAGTTCTCAAGAGAGCATCGGACACCTCGGATGAGACACTCAGGGTCGGCAGACAGTTGCTGAAAGATGAACTGCGGGTGACGGGGCTTATCAACACGTTGATAAGCAGTTACCCGCCCAGTTTAGAGGTTTCCGAGGACATTGAAGAGCCTCCTCGTAAAGCGCTTCAGATTGTGTGGAGCAGGCTCCGCAGGTTGATAATAAAACTGTTCAGACGTCACCATTAATACGCATTACATATCCTTCAGTTCAGGATAAATATTTGTGAGCAGCAAATCGAGTATGTTCCACATCAGAGACTTGTTGATGGCCTTGTGCTCAAATGAGCAAAGGAAGGACTCTGTATCGATGTACGGACGGGAGAGCACCTTTTCCATCGCGATTTTGGCATTCAGCTTAATTTCATCTAGTTCTTCGGTGGTCTGGGGCACGTATCTTGGGGTAGTATTGAAGTTCGCGTCCGTTGGGAACATAATATGGCGCAAAGTGCGCACTGCGCTGGCGATCGTCCCGCTGGTGAGGATCCTGTTGTAAACCAGGTTATTAAGAACGTTATTGCATAGGTGATTGAATTTTTTGGACTTCTGGAGCAGTGCCGCTGTCGTTGTGACAACCAGATGTACCAGCGGATGTCTGTCGCTGAAATGGACCATATTGTTGATGAAGGGGAACACTGCGTACTGCGTTACCAAGCTTTGGGGAGCGGGCTTGGAGGAGAATACAGAGGTGCAATAGGCCACGATATGGCCCACTTGACGGCTGCCGGCCGACACCTGCTCGAAAAAAGGTCTTGCCGTCTTCGGACGCCCGCTTGATGCTTCGCTGATGGCCTTGATCATGTTCCAGAGCATGAAGTTGTCTGTGAGGTTTTCCACAACGTTCCGCAGAATGAGGTCTCCAAAAAAAGTCTCTGCAAACAATCGGCTCAGGGCCGACTCTGCTTCCTCGTTTGGCAGCATCAAGACCGTAAGTTTCTTGACCAGCACTTGCATATATTGCCGCTCGCGTTCAGGGTTATCTAATTGGATAGCAAAGTGGCCGTTCAGAGATAAATAGTTGGCAGTGAGCTCGTTTTCATCCTGGCTGCTGAATTTTGTTCCTACTCGTTTCCTGGCTTCCCTTAGTGCCTCCGTGTGTTTACTGAGGATCACAAAAAGGTCGTCTAACAACAATCGGGTCCAGTCAATTCTCAAACACCTCTGCTGGAGATCTCTGGTCAAATGGGCGATCAGAGCAACTGTTTCATTCAAGAATTCCCCATTCTCGTCAAACGCAACATTATTGTACCATCCGAGGACAAACTCTCGTAGCAACAGCCCCACCAACGCGTGAAGCTCGTTGTCTACCGATGAAGACGACGTAAATGCAGGAAGTGACTCCTGCTGCACTCCATACAACTGGGCTATGAGACGATGCAAATACTCGGGAGAGTCTCGCTGAGGCTGCTCGCACAATGGCTTGGTGTCGTCCTTGTCATTTCGCCGTCGTCTATATTTTAGACGAGAAGACATTGCCGAGAGATTCAGAAATAATAATTGCAGATTAATAAATCGTCAAGCTGTGCCCTAAAAATATAACATTCTTTTATCACCACAATGTCGGATTCAGAGTCGCTCAGAGAGCTGGAAGACGAAATGGATGACTATTTAGGCCGTTACCGCGAGCAACGGATGGAGCAGCTGGCAAAGGAGATAGAGCACGCGAAGCGCAGCGAGGACGCGTACCAGGAGGTCCATGACGAGGGAGAGCTGATGCGCAAGACACTCTCCACCCAGACCGTGGTGATTCTTTTCCATAACCCCGAATTCCAGACATGTCAGATGGTCGACAGCGCTCTCAGAGAGATAGCTTCCAGATACTACGATACACAGTTTTACAAGATTAAAGCCACAGAGGCGCCCTTTCTCGCTGTTAAATTGCAAATTAATGTTTTGCCCTGCATCGTGGTATACCGCGACGGCAAGGAAATCCAGAGAGTGGTAGGACTGGAAAGTCTCATTGATGGAACAGACATCGGCACTTTCACAACCCAGAGGCTGGAAAAGTATTTCCTCAAATGCCACGTCGTCAAGCCGAGGATGCTGGACATGAAGCAGTGAGGAGCAGGTAGAGAAAATGTGAACCCAAAGATTATTACTGTTATATTAATTTGTATAATATACACCAATCTCGCATAAATTAATTATTTTCGAGATTTATCATGCCACTAGTTAAAGCCCAGGGAGCGCCTTCGCGCAAGTTCTTCACACTGGCGTTCACGGTCGCGTCTCAGCTTTACAAGAGCGCGTCTCTAGCGGATCAACTGGAGCGCGGCGAGATCCATCGAGGTCCAAACCATGATGAATTACTGGCCAGGAAGAAGGGCCCACTGTTTGTCAGGCCAGAGCCCAATTACCCACGGCATGTGCCGTTGTACGGCTTTGAGAAAGCGCTGCTATTTGCTGGATCTGCGATTGGCGCCTTTTTGCATCCCGAGAGAAACGAATTCATCGTTGCTCTTGGAGAGTCTACTGCACTCCCGTACTTTCTCAAACAGCTCAAGGTGCAAATGCTGAACGACCCGACAGGCCGCCAGATTCTCAAGGAACGTCCATACATCACCTCCGAGTCCTTAGATCTGGTGAAACTCAAGCAGTATCCAGAAAATACACTGGCAAGAGCCTACGTCGACTGGCTTGAGAAGGAAGGGGTGTCCCCAGATACCAGAGAACCTGTCCGATTTATCGATGACGAAGAACTAGCATTTATTTTCCAGAGGTATCGCCAATGTCACGACTTCTACCACGCCATTACGGGACTGCCTATCGTCAGAGAAGGAGAGATTGCACTCAAGTTGTTCGAATTCCTGAACCTCAAGATCCCATTCGCAGGATTGGGCGCGCTCTTCGCTCCGATTCCAATCAAACAGGCCCAACGGAGCCGCCTGTTCAACATCTACTACCCCTGGGCCTTGAAAAACAGCTTCACGTGTAAACCTCTGATCAACGTCTACTGGGAAAAGATTCTGGACCGCGATGTGGACCAGCTTAGACACGAGCTCGGCATAGAGAAACCACCCGACATGAGACAACTCAGAAAGGCTAAAATCACTACGTTGTAATAATTCGAATCGTTTTACTATACTATGCATGCGCTCTATGAAATCTAGTTTTTGTATCCGAGTGCTTTCGCCAGAGTCCCTGTTTTCTCGTTGACTTCCGACATGACATCGTTCGTTTTTTCGTTAACTTCATCAAGCAAAGTCTGTGTTTTGCCGGCTAATCCGTGCCACTGTTCCTCCAAGTTTTTCAGGACTGAATCGAACCCAAGCTTCCCTTTGCGCGCGTTCTGGCCAAACCGCTCAACCGACCAGTCCTCGAGCTTGTCGCAAAGCTGGCGCAGAGACGCAAATGCTGTGATTTCGGCCACCTGGTCAAACCGCGTGCGCGTGGCTGGTGACACAGGGTCTGGCCTGTACACCACCGTCTCGTAAACTCTCAAAAGCTTGCACATGGTCAGGTTGCAAGACCGCATGGTCAGGGTCCGCTGGTTTCTATCTATCACTGAGACCTCCCGCACATACGACTTGTCCTGCCCGCCAACAAGAAACATCAGCCAGCGCGGAATTGGCTGTTTGCACGTGATAAGGCGTTCCGTGGTCAAGGTTCCCTTGTCCGGATCAAACTCCCGACGAAGAACATCAACGCCCACGACATGAGTACTCAGCTCGTTTGGGTACTTGCACCAGTTGGCAGCGCTTACATAATCCCACGAGTAGTTGTAAAATTGTGTCGAATTGAACACCTTCATGACGAACGATATCAAGAGACTGGCGAGCGATTTAAATACCTCTTGTGCGTAAAAATTTTTGGTGGCGGTGAAAACCGGAACGGTCAAAAAAGAAAAGCCGTATCGGTAGTGACGTTTTTTTGTTCCGGTTCCTTGCTTACGTCAGCGAGCCGATAACGTACTCCTGGAATCTGGTGTCGGTCGTGCTGAAGCGTTGACGCAACGGAAGCGTGCTCAAGCCGCGTGGCCGCAGCCATTGGCGCAGCCAGTTTGCAAACAGATTTCCCGAGTTGAAAGGATTCAGACACACGTCTTTCAAGAAGAAATGACCGTCTACTTTGTCTGTTGTGAGATATTCTCTGGTGGTAATGCCTGTCAAACCAAAGCACAGATGGGTAAATAGCAGCGAGGCGGGAAACATGACACAAAGCGCGGCGTATATGAGCAAAAAGAGGGTCATTGGGGTGTCAGCTATATTCTGCTGCGAGATTCTATAAGCTGTCTGTGCGCATACAAGTGCACAGAGTAGCACGATAAATGTCAGAAAGCATAGAAAATGCCAGTAATTTCTCTGTCCCACGCAATTGGCCAGAAAGGGACAGTGGTGGTCCATGTTCATGATGCAAGCGTTACAGCTGGAACAATGCGACGAACGTACAGGTCTCCAGATGTAACATGTTGTACAGTACTTCAGCTCCACCTTCGATTTTGGTCCGTCCACAATCGGATTGTTAAAGTATTCAATGGGCAGCCCATTGCGGACAACGTTATCCACCAGATGAATATTTCGCGGAAGTAACCCCGGGTCCTGAAAGGCTGCACGAACAAAACATACGGCTGACAGGCACCAAAGGTAGCAAAAAATAAAAATTATAGCGGGTGAAATATGGGTCCATGTGTATTTTGCTTCAAATATGATATACAGCGGCAAAGATGCAACGTGAAGTACTATGGTGGAGATAAATGTGGAGTAATCGTACAGGTCAGAGAGTCTCAGGCTGCGTAGTCTGCCGCCAAAAAGGAAATATTGAGATGCTGTATATGCTTGGTAATTGTAGACTGGATTCTGTGGCGACGTCCAGGTGACACACCAGTTGGTAAACAGCGCATTTTTCAGCCGGGAACCAACTGGTTTGAGCTCAGCAGCCTGCCAGCTTTTGTTTTTGCCAAAGGTCATCGCCGTTCATCTAGTGGCGTAAATTGTCTTTTATTTATTTATTTATTAGTCCTTTATTTTTTTTTTTTTGTTTTAGCGTGTTTGGTCCCCGGTGTGCGCGAATTTGCGGCCTGCCCAGGGGCGGCCTGCTCCAGCAGATTTTCCGCCGCTCTTTTTATTTCCACCACGATAACCGAAAAATGACTGACGAGGTGAAGAGTGCCAAAGATGCGGTAGGTGCGAATATGAAATAACGCGTTTCTAACAAAGTAGCTCGTGTCTGCTCTCGTGGAGCTCTCCAAGGCAGCAAGTGATGCGTCGAAAGCCACGTTCCTGTTCTTCAACGCGTTGGAAAACAACAACACTGACAGATCGTTGTTCGAGGACCTGATGGTTCCCATCGTGGGGCACGACTCAGTCCCTATGCTTGCGAACATGGGACACCACGACAAGAAGGAGGAAAAGAAGAGGAAGAGAGCTCCAAAGGACCCTAATGCTCCAAAGAAGCCTTTAACTTCGTTCTTTTTGTATTCAAATGCCATGAGAGACATCATCGTCAAAGAGAGAATGCTCTCGGGCGAAAGCAGCCTATCACAACCTGAGATCGCTCAGGAGACTTCCAGGAGGTGGAAGGAGCTTAGCGAAAGCGAGAAAGCCAAATGGAAGGAGCTGTATGAAGAGCAAAAAGCCATGTATGAAGAGGAAAACAAGAAATACCTTCTGGCAAAGGAAACTGGTGCAGCATACACTGCTCCCAAGAAACCTGAGACTGCTCCGACTCCCTCGAGCCTGAAGAAGAGCGACCATGAGAAGAAGAAGGAAAAGAAGAAGAAGAAGAAGGAAAAGCAGCACCAGCAACAGCAACTCCTTCTGAGCGAATAGACTGACGAACTTGTGACCAAATTCTGTGGAATCGCGGTTTTCTATTTGTTTTGTCGCTTTGTTATATTAGTTTTGTGTGTAAGAGTAGAAACAATTTCTTCAGCTTGACTTTTCCAGCTTCATGCTTGTAAACTCGTCGGGATGACTGCTCTTTTTATGTTCATACAATGCTGGATAACTCGAGTAGATCTCATCGTTTAAACAAGCGTCACATTTGTAGAGTCCAAGGCTGGTGACCGTGTATCTGAGAGGTTTTTTCGTTATAGCGGGAGCTGTTTCACTTGTACGGTCTGAACTGCCAGACGCTTCATTCGAACTCGGCGATTCAATGGCTTGATCGAATTTCCTTTTTGCTGGTTTAGTCAGCTTCGCAGGCTGCGGAGTAGACTCTTTAGAGTCACTAGGCGACGGCGTTTCAGTCTCGACGTTGGGCTTTAGTGGACGCAGGTGTCCTTTTCTGTCCTTATTTAGCGTCTTGTTAGCCAGCATTAGCTGTTCTCGAGGAACTTTGAACCTTTGTGCCAACTGGTTGAGCGATACTTCGGGCCACGGCTTCAGCACAACATTTTTTTTCGCTGGTTTGTCGATGATCTCAGATTCTGAAAGGGCCGGTGTCGAGTAGAGGGGCGTGAATCCAACAGGTATGCTGTCGTCTGAAGGGGATCTGGACACCTTTTCGACAACTAGGCTTTCCTTTTTCGGGTCTGGAACAGGAGGTTCTGACAGATCTTCGCCGTTCAACAGTCTATCCAGATTCTCATACTTTTCTAGTTTCTCATTCAGCTCTTCAACCTGGCCCTGAAGGGAGAGTACAGCAACTAGCAGCTTGGAAATCACCTCCTTTTGGTTCAGCGAAGAAACGAAATCTGGATCTTTGAGTTTTTCCGGATCGTTGATTTTCAGTGATTTAAGGAATGACATGGCAAGAACGGACGGCTGTGACTTGGGAGCAATTTTTCAAGCAAGATGGGCGTTTTTGGAGCAAAGAGGTGTTTGCAAGCAACAATATATTAATGCTTCAGAAAAAAAGGGGATATCAAATACGTAAAAAGGAGGTTTAAATTTTATGGTCGCAGAAAAAGTGTAGGGGAAGTGGGTGGGAGTATTAAAATTGGAAGCGCTGGTTAAGCTAGCCCGTTTGGGGCCGCCTCAGTCCTGACTTCTCTTCCACGATTAGAAACATCCCTTCAGGGAGTAGAGTTGCGGGTATAGATTCCGCTGTGGCCAGCACCCATTCCGGTCGATCGACCCAATAAAATGCTTCGACAAAATTTTTAACAAAGCATGTTTGGACGACTACTGAGGCCTTCTGCCAGACAGTTTTCGTGCGCGCGGCCCACGCTGAACGCCGCATCAGCGCTGGAAGCTATTGATAATCGAATCAAAAAGTTGCAGAAGGAAGCCCAACTGAGCCCCGAAGACAATTCGCTTCTCAACAGACCGGAGCTTTGGCAGGGTCTGCCAGACGAAAAGGTTCTAGAGTTGTACCAGCAGAGAAAGATTAATCTCGGAAAGCACTACCGGCGTAACAAAGATGAGCTCAAGGCTTTAGTTGCTGCCTCTCCTGATGTTTACACGGCAGAGATGGCCGCATACGCATACACCGCTGAGGAAGGAGATATGTTTAGAAACCAGCTCAACTACCAGTCGAAAATGTATCACTACAAAGGTAACTTCATGTCCGATGAGATTGAAGAGGACGAGTACGACGAATACCCAACAGACGTCCAGGAAGTGGTGGATAATTTCAGAGACCACTTGGAGTTCAACCGAGTGGCTGCATACGAGCTGCCGCTCCTTACCAAATACAGAAAGGAGTACGTGCCGCCTAAGAAGGGAGAGAAGCCGGTCACGTACCGCTACACCAAGTACTTTGGCGAGAGCCATCCTGCTGAGCGCAAGGTGTCGGTGTCGGTGAAAGTGTCGGAGCTCGACCTGACCCGCGAGCAAAAACACAAATTCAAGCTGCTGGCCGGTGTGAGATACGACCACGTGAGGGACATCTTCAAGATGTCCAGTGACAAGTACCTCGAACCGGCCCAGAACGCTTCGTTTTTGTCGGAGGTGATGGACGACTTGATAGCCGAGGCCAAAAGAGACGCTCACAAGTATGCCGACGTCCCGCTCGACAAGAGACACACCAAGGCCAAGTACAAGAAGAAGCAGCATCGCAAGAAACGCGTTTACGAGTTCCCGAAGGAGTGGGAGCGTCCAATCATGCCAGAGTCCAAACAGGTCGACTGGCAGCAGATGCTCACCGAGTAATGTACATAGGCACCAGATATATCTTTTTCTCACATCCGTACACCGTGTTCTGGCCGTCGGTAAGCTTTGGCGAAAAAAATAAAACAAGGTCGACTGATACACTCAGGATGCCTCCACGCAAAGCGAATCGTCGCAAGGGCAAGAACATTGTGGGCAAGGGAAAGTCGACTCCCGGGCCGACAGGAGCCGTGGCGACGGGCTTGCCGTCAGAAACGCTGCAGGCGGTCCTTGCCGAGCTCAATCTGAGCTACGACTCGAGTCTCGGTTTGCTGCAAGGCGACAGCATGTTTTCGACCCCGTCGGAGGCCAAGCTGGCAGCATTGAAGAAGCTGCTGGAAAAGCTGATCGGAGAACTCGAGTCTGGGGTGGAAACCGACAAACGGTTGATAGCGTCGATCGACTCAGAAATTTCCGTGCTCGACGGAAACGATAAGCAGAGGACGGTCGCAGTCAAGGAGGAGGCGTTGGATACCGTTGTTCCTCCTGGAGTGGTGGTCAAGCAGGAAAATGACGAGGACGACGAGGACAGTGCAATACAGATGCCCAAGAGAAAGCGACAAAGAATTATAATTACTGCCAACGGAGAGCGCAAGGAGATTACGCCGGACTCACGTGACGAGGGCGACAACTCTGCTTCTGAGCCACCTCCTGTTGCGAGCGAGGACGACGAGGACGCGTTACCGATTGGATCTGTTGCGGTGAAGAAGGAAAAGCCGATACTGAAGATCACCCAGAAAAAAACAGACGAGGACGACAGGCTGGAGGACGGAGAGGTGATCCCGTCTGTCTACGTTGGGAAAGAGAAGCCTGACTTCAAGATTAACGAGCTCCTGGCGTCCGCTAGAGATCAGCTGGAACTATACGACGAGCAGAAGGCCCACGAGAAGTACGGCGACGGAGAGGAGTTCCTGAAGTACAAGTACGCCGTTGCCGACTTCCCGCACGACGACCTCAAAGACCTGCTTCCAGGTGAGATCCCGATGACCGACTTTTCCTCGGCGAAGCCGAACAACAACCAGATCGCATTTACCTCGTTCCAGGCGTACGTGGAACCGTTTTTTAGACCATTTACAGAGGAAGATATTCGCTTGTTGCGCACGAAATGCAATTTGAGCAGCAATCTTCCTCGCGACTACGACGACCAAAAGACGCCGTACCACATCCCGCGGCTGGGCCCGCACTACCTTGATGTGTGGTACGACGAGGATCTGCGCAATGGCCTGATCAAGAACCCTGACGGCATGGGGTTCAGTCTACGCAAACAGCTGGAGATGAACATGTTGAGTCTCGTTGAGCCAAAAGCGTCCTCTGACAGCTTGAGCAGCGACGTTTTGGAGACAGAGGACGTCTCGTGTGGTCCGCTAACCTCGAGGCTTCTATCTGCCTTGATTAAAGATACGCCTGACAAAGAAGGTGGAGATGACAGTCTTGCGGGTAGCCCTGCTGCAGAGGAGAACGGTGGCGACAGCGGAGCTGGAGACACGCTGTCGTCGTCGGCTTTGGCAGACCAACAAGGGTGGAAGTCGTCTATCATCAAGACAGACTACAAGACTCTTGAAGAGCGTTTGAAGCGGGAGTTGAGATACATTGGCGTGTACATGAACGTGGAGCAGACGCTAAACGAGCCGGGGTTTGACCAGGACTGGGTCCAAAATAGAGAAGACGACGAGATCTCCACCGAGCTGCGCCGTTTGCAGAAGGAACTCAAAGCTGTCCAGGCGCGCAATATCAAACGCAAGAAGAAGATCATCCCAATAGTGGAGGAGCAGATTGCCTGGCAGGAGTACATGTCTATTTTGGAGGACCTGGATAAACAGGTGGAACAGCACTACAGGAGAAGAATCAACGTGGCCCCCAAAAAGGCCAAGAAACGGGGTCCGAATGCTGGAGGCAACGCCGCCAAGGAAAAGGAGGAGCTGACAAACCAGCAGCTGGTGAGCAACTCCTCCTTCATGAGTCTTCTGGAGAAGCGCAACAAGTGGATCTCGCGTATTGGGCCTCTCTTCAAATCACAGAAAGAAATGAGAAGAATGCCTACCGAGAGCGTCTTCAAGGACGTCAACATGGTGGAAAACGAGGACGAGGAGGAAGCAGAAGAGATTGCGGAAGATGACGTTTTGGACCAGATGGACCTGGAGTAGCTACGCGAGCGGTACGAATAATGCAAGTAATGAAAAAAAATGAGTGTATATTATTTTTTGATGTACTCGATTTTGTTTAACGAGTATGGTGAAATATGGAGAGAATCCCCGACTCCTGTGAACGAGCTCTTTGCATTTGGGACTATTGCCGACTATAAAGCAAACAGACAGCTGATAGGGCCCCTGGACGACGACCAATTGCTGAAGTTGCGCCAACTCACGCTGATGTCGGCGGCCAAGCAGGGACTGCTCACGTTCGGCCAAGTGGCCGAACTGTTGGACTTGGATTCCAGTAATCTGGTTGAAACTCTGGCTGTGTTGGCTCGCAGTCCGCTTCTGGAGCTGGAAATTGACGAGCTAGGCCAGACGGTCAGATTCATAAAGGCTAGCTCCAGAGACATATGGGTGTCGGGGGACCCTTCGCCTTCTTTCACCAAACCGATCACAATAGAGCTGCTGCAAAAGGAGCTGAACTACGGAAGTGACGCGAGTACCCACAAGCTCAAACGACGTTTGGAAAGTTGAATTCGAATGCATTATATATAAATATCCACCGGCTCCTCAGGCCTTCCAAAGCTTCTTCACAACGCCCACTAGCCCTTCCTTCTCGGTTTTCTCGATAATGTAGATACCGTATCCTGCAACAAGAGTTCCGAATCCTAGTAGGCCAATGGCAGCCTTGTGCCAGATGCCGTACACTCTCAGTGGAATATAATCGATGATACAGCTCTCGAATCCGACATAGCAGTGATAAAGAAGCAGAGTTCCCATAACGGAGTCGACAAGCGGATAGGAAGTTCCCGTCACAAACGGCGTCATCATCAGCGGAGCCATGCCAATAGCAACTACTCTCTCGCTTGTCCAGTGGAGCGATCCGTGCAACTTGTGTGGGGGTGGAGGAACGTAAGCGTCGTTCACAGTTCCCACAATGTTTCCAGGAGGCTGCGGGATGGTCTTGATGAAGCCGCGAACGGCAAGCGGTCTGAAGGCAGTGGAGGGTTTTGCGCGTAGTCCGACTTTCAGCATGGTGTATTTTTAATCTTTTGTTCCGGGGATGAGGAAATATATAAGGGTGTTATGAGCCCTGCTGGTGATGACAAAATTAAAGCCTGTGATTGCTTGCAATTCGGAGGATGATCGGAAATGCTGTTTTGTGTCTCAGCTGTGCCCTAAAGCGCACGAGAAGCGTCGCGTTGGGGCTGCTGGTCATATTGTCGGCCGCTTGGGTGATCATGTGGCGACGGATATTGGCAGCCTCTTATCCACATGCGCACCCTTGCACCCTGCGAGCACATCGCACACTTGACACCAAAACGTTTTTCTCTGGAAATCGATCGCATGGCTAAAGGAAGCGTTGCTGACGAGAACGGCATACCGTACAATTACCTGATAGTCATAGACGCAGGGTCAAAGGGGTCGCGTGCATACGTATATTATTGGCTTTCCTCGCAGTACCTACTGGCCAATAATGTTCTGCGCGTGCCTGACGATCATGTTCAGCTGCTAAAAAGAGTCGAACTAGATCCGTCCGATCTTCCTCAGGTCCAGACAGGCAGCAAATGGTACAAAAAGATCCATCCTGGCATCAGCGAGTTTCATGAGAACTCTGCACACATAGGACCGAAATACCTCAATTATCTGCTCAAGAAGGTCTACGACATAATCCCCATCGAACAGCATTACCGAACGCCAATATTTCTCCATGCTACGGCCGGCATGCGGCTTTTGAAACCGACCGAGCAGCAGGAAATTCTCGACAATGTGTGCTCATATTTGCAACAAGAAACCAATTTTTACCTGCCGGATTGCCCAAGCCATGTAAATATTATTGACGGTGACGTCGAGGGACTTTTCGGGTGGATCGCGCTCAATTATCTGACCGGCACCTTAGCCGCCAACAGGAGTTCTGTGGGCCTACTGGAAATGGGCGGGGCGTCCACACAAATCTCGTTTGAGCCTAACGAGAAGGAGACGAAAGAGCATTACAACCAACTAATTAATTTAAAACTGGCCACGATGGGCCAAGAGGTCGCTAACTTGAGATACAACGTCTACTCGGACTCGTTTCTTGGGTATGGGCTTTCGCAAATGCGGCTGAAGTATCTGCGCGGTCTTGCTCGCAAGCTGGAGGACGGAAAGGAGTACGTGGAAGACCCTTGTCTTGCTGCTAAAAGACGCCAGACGGTGGAACTCGACGGCCTGGAGGTTGAGGTGAGAGGAACAGGAAACTACGGACAGTGCAATGAGAACGTGTACTCTCTAATAGCCAACAAATGCGGCGACAAACAAGAGGTGTCCTCCTGTCTGCTGAGCAACACGAACCCGGACTTTAACTTAAACTCTGATAATTTTTATGGAGTGTCCGGATACTGGGACACTATTTCCAAGCTGCTGAGCTACAGCGACAAAGAAGAAGACTACGGAAAGATCTACGCATACGACAAGATGGTACAGGAAACAGAGAAAATCTGCTCTTTGAATTGGAACGAGCTAAAAGATTACAAGGACCTCAAAAAGTCAGAGCTTGAAGAGCTGTGTTTCAAAAGCACGTATTTGATGAACCTGCTCCACAACGGGTTCGGCCTAAACCATACGCGGTCGCAGTTCACTGTCAATGACAACGTCAATGGGTCAGCTTTTACGTGGACACTGGGGCGAGCCGTGCTTTATGCTAGCGATGAAAGCCTCATCGAGGTGCAAAACTACGTTCATGATGAGGTGGACGACGGCAAGCGCGACAAGGTGGGGTATTCGCGCAACTCGGCCCCCGGAGTGTTCGTTCGCGGCTCGGAGGTGGACGGAGTGCCGCCGCGTCCTGTTTATGAAGTGTTTGATACATATGAAGAGCCAGGGTTCCTCCGAGACCTCAAGGAAGGAGAAGATTACGAAAATGACGACGTTGTTGAGGAAATTGACCATAAATCGATATTCAAAGCGCACTCGTGGATAGTTGTGCTAATAGTAATGGTTGGTTTGATTTCCGTCGTTTCGAACAAATCACGTGTGCTACGCCTGATTAACGAAATTGTGCTTTTTGTCGTGTCGCTGGTGAGAAAATATATACAGGGTCGCGTGGGCGGCATCCACTGGCCATATGTGACGCGGAACCGGTACAAGCGAGCACGGTCGATGGACCTGGGCACCAGCGAGGTGGAACTCAGCGAAATGGATGTCACAGAGCCGGAAGACCCCGAGTTCGATCTGGGCGTGGAGGACGACGACGTGTTGAGCGGATACGAGGATTTCGATCTTTCGGAAGACAGCGATGACGGCATAGAGCGCGCCGTCTAGCTTTCAAGATGCCAGCTGCGCAGGTCATCCCGGTAGTCTGACTCCTGCGGCGGGCCGGGGCAGTTATTCTTTCGCGCATTATAATCGTGTTGCACGGTGTCAATGTACGGAATGCCGAACTCGTTCCGTTTCCAGCCGTTCCCGTTGCGCTGCGTAATATCCTTAACGCACTCGATAGGCGATAACTCGTCGTAATTGACACCGTTGAACTGCCAGTTGAACTTGAACGTTTTGTTGATGATGTCGTTGAGGATGGTCTCAGAGTCGTTTTTGTGCGTCTCCGGCTCGGGGAACTCCTTCTTGGAGTTCTCAATCGAGTCTTTCAGGTCCGCGTATATCTGCTGTGTGCTTTTTTTTGGGACGTGATAACGATAATCTTGTGCACTATTGAGGTGTTTCATGTACACTGACAGGCGCAGAATGGCATTTGTCTTTGAGTCTTTGAGGAGATAGCGTAGATTTTTCGGCTCGCGGTCGTTGACGTACTCCGTCAGATTGAGCTCAAGTGTGCCAAGCTTGTCTTTCTTGCTATTTAGCGAGTCGTGAACGAAGAAGGTGATGTACAGCCATTTGTCAGAGAGCGTATAGTGTTCCTTTGGATTCGCGTAGAGCTTCACTCTGGTCAGGATTCGCTCGTTGTTGAACACAGATTTGTGATTCTCGACTGGACGCTCCGCCGACCGTATCGCGTGTCTATGATGGTACTGATGCTTGCCTGTGAGTCGGCTGTTGGAGATTGTCTGGATGTAGAAACAGGACAGGTGGTCCAGCTGTGGAACATTGAACAGCTCCGCAAGCTGCACATTTAATTCAAACTCTACAGCCTTCAGATTGAGCTTCAGCATTTATGTTGCCCGAGTTTTAGTTGTATATTAGAATTTCATTTGGCTTTATTTTTTTTCTGTTTGCCACTATGTCCAATTGGAAGAAGCTGTTTAACAAGTCGCACAAGTCGCAACAAGCTTCCAGTGGCTCAAGCCTGAAGACGACTCCTTCCATCGATACAGGAGCATCGCACACAGAGGATGAGTTCCGAGACTCCCGGAAGACTCTGATCAATGACGTCGCGTCGGGCGTTGGAAACTTAAATCTGGACCCACAAACGCCTCAAGTTATCACCAAGGACCTCGGGAGCACCGACCCGGTTCTCGAAAAAGAGGTCTCCGAGCCTGTGAAGCTGCGTCCGGGGCTTCTCACGGTCAAGATCTACTCCTCCAAGGACCTGCAGATACCTATTCCACTTAGAATCACAAAGGCGATTCTGACCAGACTGGCCAATATGGGCACGAACCTGAACGAGGACGAGCTGACGAAACGTATAGAGGCGCTGAGCGAAACAATGGATGAGATCAAGAGCTCCAACATTTCGTACTACCTTCCCTCCACGTTGAGCATAAATTCAGGAGACACCACGAAAAACATGGTCACGAACTACAGTCTGGTCTACGCCGTTGTAGAAATAGAGAACAGCAGCGAACGCATCAATTCCATCGGAAACACCATCAGCAATACAAAGTTCAACAGTGTTACCACTTTCGATGTGACGTCACCCAACACGGCCATTTTAAGTGTCCAGGTGTATGCCCGGGTGCCCGGGTCTCTCTTGGAGTCGGAAAGACAGGAAGACTGTCTTCTGGGGTCATTCCAGTACCCTATCAACTCGTCCGTTCTACAACAGGAGGCGCCTCAGATCCGTATTCTGAACCACGAGTGGAAAAAACTGCGCAACCCGTACACAGACGAGGACCTTCCCGGAGCGGTCAGTATCACGCTGGACTTCAAGCCACTGTCGATGTCCTCTAAGAAGAGTCTGTCCATTGACGACTTCGACCTCCTCAAGGTGATCGGCAAGGGCTCTTTTGGAAAGGTGATGCAGGTTAGAAAGAAAGACACAGGCAAGATCTACGCTCTAAAATCGATTAGAAAGTCTCACATCGTGAACAAGATGGAGGTGACACATACTCTGGCGGAGAAGTTCGTTCTCAGCAGAGTTACCTCACCCTTTATTGTTCCGCTGAAATTCGCTTTCCAGTCTGCAGAAAAATTGTACCTGGTGCTATCGTTCATTAACGGCGGAGAATTGTTCTACCATCTGCAAAAGGCTAGACGATTCCCACTGATCCGCGCAAAATTCTACATTTGCGAGCTGCTCTCGGCCGTGGAAAATCTGCACTCGATGAACATCATCTACAGAGACTTGAAGCCAGAAAATATTCTGCTTGATTATCAGGGCCACATTGCCTTGTGCGATTTCGGTCTATGCAAAATCAACATGCAGCTTGACCAGAAAACAAATACATTCTGCGGAACTCCAGAGTACCTTGCTCCCGAGTTGCTCATGGGCAAGGGGTACACCAGGGTCGTGGACTTCTGGACCTTGGGTGTTCTCTTGTACGAGATGCTCACCAGCCTGCCTCCGTTCTACGACGAAGACGTCAACACCATGTACAGAAAGATCTTGAATGACCCGCTGGTGTTCCCGGCAGACTTCGACCCGGACACCAAAGACCTGATCGCTAGACTTCTTAACAGAGACCCGAAAAAGAGACTCGGCTACCACGGCGTGGAAGAGATAAAAAATCATCAATTCTTCAAGGACATCGACTGGTACAAGCTTAGCCACAAGGGCTACATTCCTCCATTCAAGCCGCAGGTGCAGGACTCGGCGGATGTGAGCAACATCTCGTCAGAGTTCACGGACGAGCGTCCGATGGATTCCGTGGTGGACGATTTCCTCAGTGAAAGCGTCCAGAAACAGTTTGGAGGATGGACCTACGTCGGCAGCAGCTTCAACCCAGAAAACTACGCGTAAATCAAAAATCAGCCGAATACACTTTCTATCCGATATTAATTCATTAATTAGTTTTACTCGATGCGAGGACCCGGTTTACCAGCAAGTGAAACCACCGTCAACGGTGATGTTTGCTCCCGTTGCGTATGAAGAAGCGGAATTGGAGAGCAAATAAAGAACCGTACCAGTGAATTCCTTGGCTTCCGACAAACGGCCCATCGGGGTCAGCGAAAGCCACCTCTGGTACATTTCGTTGTTACCGTTGATAACGTTCTTTGTGAGCGGTGTAAGGATGTATCCTGGCGACAGAGTGTTGACTCTGATGCTGTACTTGGCCCACTCGGCGGCGAGGGACTTGACCATGTGAATAACACCAGCCTTGGACATGTTGTAGGCAACTTGCGGTTGTGGATCGTTAACGATTTCTCCGGACATGGATCCGATCATCACGATGGAGCCTCCCTTAACGTTGTTGTCGATAAGTGGCTTGGCGAATGCTTGTGCGACGTACAATGCACCCAAAAGGTTGACCTTGAGAAGCTTCTCGGCGTTCTTAGCTGGGTATTGTTCGGCTGGGAAATTCTCGCAGTAGCCGGCGGTGTTGACGAGATGTAGCGGGTACTTTCCAAAATCGGTGTAGATCTGGGCGAAGACCTCGTTCACGTGCTCGGCGTCGCTGATGTCGCAAACGTACGAGTGCATCTTTGGGATGAGGTCTTCCTTCATTTTGAGTTCCTCAACGCAGAACTTGAAAAGCTCTGCTTGAGTTTCTTTTGTTCTTTCGAGGTTCATATCGAGCAGAGCAACCTCTGAGCCGTAGGCCAGAAGGCCCTTGATGATGGCGTTGGACAGCCCACCGGACGCGCCAGTGACGACTGTGAGTTCGTTGTCTAGTCTGAATGTTGGGATGATGTCAGCCATGTTTTGTGGATTGGATGGATCTTATGAAGAGAAGGGAAAAGGCTGGCTTTTATACTTTGGCGAGCGCAGCAGCCTCTCACGCATATTTTTAGCTTTAGGAAATCCGTTTGTGGGGGTGTCACGGAAAAAGAAAGAAAGCGTTGGGCTACCCCGAAGCTGCCCGCTGGAACAAGTCATGAAAACGTGGAACTCCGTCTGCGGAATTCCGCCAAAAAAACGCCCCGTGGTGCGGTGCTCCAGAAGTTTCTTTTTCCAGCCGTTTGATTTGTCGCTGCACATCTCTGCACCCCTGGTTTCTTTCTTTTCATGACAAGACTGAATGTAGGATTGGTCAGGTCGATCGCGGTCATCGGGGGCGGGCCTTGCGGTGCGGCTTCAATTAAGGCGCTTCTGAAAGAACGGGCGTTCGACTGCGTGCGCGGGTTCGAGAGGCGGGCAGGCTCAGGCGGGCTCTGGAACTACCACGACTCCCACGCCGGGCCAGAGCCTGTGACAGGGCCGTCCCTCGATCCGCACAGCCCAGATCTCGTCAAGCCCTGTAGGCTGGCCGCAAACCACTACGTCTGGCCCAGCGCCATCTACGAGCTGCTCGATACAAACGTGCCCCGTCAGATCATGGAGTACAGTGGCTTTCCGTTTCCGAAAGACACGCCGCTGTTTCCCACCAAACAGCAGGTGCTGGACTATATGAAGAGGTACGCGAAGGACGTAGAGCCTCACATCAGGTTCAACACAAACGTCGTTTCTGTCAGGTACAGGCCGAACGAGGAGAAAAAATGGCTGGTTACGTATCGTCCCGTCTGCGACGAGACGGAGGGTGGACTAAAATTCTCGGCCGCGCATCCTGACAAAACCGAGCACTTCGACGCCGTGCTGGTCGCCTCGGGCCATTACGAGCTGCCGTACGTGCCCGAAAAGAAAGGACTCGCGGAATGGACGGCGAAATACCCCGGCTCTGTGTCGCACTCGAAACACTTCAGACACCCGCGACAGTTTGCGGACGTCCCGGGGAATCTGCTCATTGTGGGCAACTCCGCGTCGGCGCTGGACCTTGCGTACCAGACGGCAGTGATACTGCAGCGCAACGTTTACAAGAGCGCGAGGTCGCAGGCAACGCTCCCCGGCGGCAGCAGCGAGTACATCAAAACCGTGCCGGACATCGACCGGTTGGAGCCAGAAACAAGGTCGGTCAGGTTCACCGACGGGTCGGTGCTCCATGACGTCGGCCACGTCCTGTTCGCCACGGGATTTCTGAGACACTACCCGTTTCTGGACGAGATCAACAGAACGGCGACCCCAGTGGTCACCGACGGCCTCAGACTCCACGGCTTATATAAGCAGTGTGTCAGCTACAATTTCCCCGGGCTCGCCTTCATCGCAACGCCGCGGTACATTCTGCCGACCAGAGTCGGGGAGGCGCAGGCGGTGTGGCTTTCCAAGATCTTTCAGGGCAAGCTGGAATTGCACAGCATTGAAGAGATGAAGGCGGACGAGGAGAACACTGTCCAGCTGCGCGGCGACTCGCCCAAGTTCCATAATCTGATGTATCCCGACGACGTTCACTACGCTCACGAGCTCAACCGGCACGTGTACTCCACGCCGGGCTGGCAGAGCGGGCTGCTTCCCTGCGAGTGGAACCGCGAGGATATCTTGTACCGTGCGTCGGCCGTGAAGATGAAGGAGGCGTATCTCAAGTACCGCGAGCGTACCAATGGCAAGCGCGCAGCTAGCGTCGAGGAGCTGCAGCAGACGGTTGGGTTCAAGTTTGAGGACGTAGACTGGACAGAGTTCAAGTTGCGAGTTGCGCAGGATCCGCGCCGCGTTCTCGAAAATGTTCCACCTCTCGGTTCGGCAGCTCGCTAGGTCGCCGCCCCCTGCAATCTGGATTTGACGTGCAACATCATTCGCTGTCGATCTTATCTCTAGAGTCCAAGGCAGCGGGGGCGCAGGCTTTTCAGTAGCGGTTTTTCCATTGGCTTTCTATTTTCCTAAAGCAGAAAAAACTTGCACGTCTGTCACGTGTTGGGCGGGCCACCAAGACCTAATTTTTGATAAGATAATGCAGTCCGTCTAGCACAGACTCGTAGGGTCCTTCACAATATATTCTGCGTCTCGCGCTCCCGGTGCGACCAGAATGGGAGGATACGCAAACTCGGGGCTCGGCTCGGCCGAGCTGCTCATGGCAGCCAAGCGCGACTCGCTCGACACCCTCGCCGAAGACACCTCCACGTACGTGGCCGCAGACATGGGCTACGTGATGTTCTGCACCGTCGGAGTCATGATTCTCACGCCAGGCATCGGCCTGTTCTACGGCGGCATGCTCAAGAAGAAAAATATCATCCAGATGCTGTTCCAGTCGTACATGGTGACCAGCACCATCACAATCCAGTGGTTTTTGTTTGGCTACTCGCTCGCGGTCTCGGTTTCTCCGTCGCACGTGTGTGGCAACTTTAGACTTGGTGCGCTCGCGAAGCTGGGCGCCGGGCCGTTCGTCGAGGGCGGCACGATCCCGTCGATCATCTACTTCACCTTCTCGGTTTTCTTCCCGGTGGCCACCGTGCAAATCTTCGTCGGGGCCATCGCCGAGCGCGCCCGAATCGTGCCCTCGCTCGTGGTCGGGTTCCTGTGGTGCACGGTCTGCTACTGCCCGTTCGCGTACTCCACGTGGGCCGCCAACGGCTGGCTGTACAAGCTCGGCGCGCTGGACTTCGCCGGCGGCGGCCCTGTCCACATAGCCTCGGGCGTCTCGTCGCTCGCGTTCTCGTACTTCATCGGCAAGCGCAAGTACTGGAAAAACCCGTCCACCAACAAGGACTACAAGCCGCAGAACATCGTGGCCACCTTCATCGGCGTGTCCATCATCTGGTGCACGTGGCTCTGCTTCAACTCGGGCACGCTGCTCTCTGTCAACACAAGGACCGGCTACATCATGGCCAACACGCAGATCGCCGCGTCCGTGGCCAGTTTCGTGTTCACGCTTGTCGACTTCATGTTCGAGCGCAAGTGGAGTCTGGCGGCCGCGTGCGAGGGTGCCGTGGTCGGGCTCGTCAACATCACGCCGAGCTGCGGCTTCTACACGCCGTACTGGGCGTTTGTCACATCCGCGTTTGTTGCTGCGTGCTGCCGGCTGCTTTACAACGTCAACGAGTGGCTCGGCATTGACGACACCACACGCTCGTTTGTTGTGCACGGCATTGGCGGCATTCTCGGGTCGATCTGCCTCGGAGTGTTTGCCTCGCCATACGTGGCTGGTCTGGACGGCGTGACCGAGATTCCCGGCGGATGGATCCACCACCACTGGAAGCAGATGGGCTACCAGTTTGCCGGCTGGGTCAGCATCACCGTGTGGAGCTTCGTCGCCACCTACGTGCTCTGCTTCCTGGTGGACAAGATCCCCGGCTGCAAGCTCAAGGGCATCGAGGAGGCCGAGGAAATGGGCATGGACTTCTACGAGATGGCCGAGTACGACGGCGCACTGGAGGAGTACGCTATGGACAGAAAGGACTCCGGCGTGTCGTACAGCGGCGTGGGGACCGTGGTGGGCGCGGGCACCTCGAGCGAAGTCCACGAAAACAAGCTTGTGCACCACCACGTCAAGTCTGTTGAGGTGTAGTATTCTAAGCAGATTCATTCACTCATTATTTCGTTTACGTCGTTACACGGGGACGCTTTTCATGTCGACCTCCACGTAAGGATTCTCGGGGTTGCACTTCACGTCGAGGTCCACCTTCCAGTGTCTGTTGTACTTGTCGGTCTCCTCGCCGTAGCCGTGGTCCGAGTAGTCATGCAGATGGAACAGAATGGTTCCGTCCGGCCTGCGCTCGACAACCGCCTTCTCGAAGTTGTAGTTTACACCAGTGTAATAGTTGATCTCCGAGAGCAGGTGTCTCTTGATGTGGTGGCCCAGGTGTCTAACGAACTTGCGCGAGCGCGAGTTCATGGTGGGTTTGATCTTCTCTGGGTTGTCGTGGATGCTGTGGAGAACAAATGGGGGCAGGTAGTTCACCTTGAGGTGGAAGTAGTCGAACTCGTTGTCCCAGGTCTCGTCCTTGAGATACTGCTCAAAGGCTACAATGTCGTCGAAATTTCTGAGTGGCGGTTCGTCCACGGAGTTTTTCCGGGAGGTGGCTGGAGACAGGTGCTCCAGGTGGGTTGGCTCGGTTTGGGAGTAGGAAGAGTACTTTTTCGTCATTGTCGTGGCTGCTGCCGGGTCCCGCAAGCCCTGGATTTTATACTGGGAATTGTGGTCTGATTCCCGATGTGGGGCCATCGTGAAACGTAAACACGGCCGGCGCACATGACCAGGCTGCTCCAGTGACCACAATAATTCCTAAAAAATACAGTTTCTTTTCGCTCGCATGCAATTCCCCCCACATGAATCTGTGCTGCGCGGCATATGGCAATTTTTGGAAGCTTTTTTTTTAATAATTTCCAGATGTCATCTATCGGAAGCAAGCTTTCGCTCACTCTCAGTTATGTGGTGATAACGCTCGGCAGTCGCACAGTGCACCAGCTCCTCGCACTCGAGCTGCCCCCCGAACTCCAAGAGGGCGGCCACTCCCAGTTCCTCACAAATCTTGCTCTTTACGTGACCATCTTCTATTTCTCGCTCAATGCTGTGTACCAGCTATTCGAGATCAGAAAGCTGGCCTACGCACGCCAGTTTGTCAATGCCATGGCCATCTCGCTGGAATTCATTGTCACATACGTTTACTGGGGTCTTAGACTTGTCAACAAAGACCTGATCATGAAAGGGCCGGGGATCCCGCTCTCTATTGATCTCACCATCCACGCCCTGCCCTTTGCGTCTCTCGTGATCGACTATTTCTGTTTCATGGACCCCTGGACGATCTCTAAAAAGGAGGCTCTCGTTACCACCTCGCTCATGGCAGCCGCCTACTGGTGGCACCTCAAACGGCTCATTTCTGCCGAGGGCCACTATCCATACCCGTTCCTAGACGTGGATGACTGGCTGCGTGCCGTCATCTTCGCTGTAGTGTCTCTCCTTGCGTTTGCAGCATTCTGTCTGTTCAAGCAGCTCAGACAGCCGAATGCCAATGCCCCGAAGGTGCTCAAGACCAACTGATATACAGATACTGCTTATAGAAAAACCGCCCCTTTCCCCCACGTCCACTAAATTTAATTGATATCGAAATTAATTCTTCTTATATTTAATGTTCCCTATCGTCCTTGTTTTAACTTTACTACTGGGACACACTTGTGCGGGCGACTGGGCTCTCCCGCAGCTGCCGTTGCGCGTGAAAAAGTCGCCGGAGGCAGAGTTTCGCTCCCTGATCGACCAGGAAGCAACAAGGGCCTCTGACTCTGTTCATTACTCGTCGCTCGCCAGAGAAGACTGGACCATCGACTTTGACCAGTATCGGGGCCAGTACGTGCTGAGAGTTGGTGTGGCGGCGAAAGAGGACCTGAAAACTCTGTACACGGCAGCTCATCAGCTAGACGTGCCTGTGTGGGAGTTCTCCGTGTCGAAGCTCTTCATTGACTTGCAAGTTTCAGTCGACTCTGGAGTAAAGTACCTGCAGCACATTATGGCCCAATCGCCTGGAATGGACCTCCAACTAGAGCGTCTTGTGCACGACTTGCCCCAGGCAGTGTTCGAAACGTACGCTCTTCCAGACATCGACGACGATTTCAGTGTTCAGCAGGACCTCTTCTTCAAACGGTATAGGGACCTCAAGACCATCTACCGGTGGTTTGACCTGCTTGTCGCGACCTACCCCGACCTGTTGGAGGTCGAGTGGATCGGCCAGACCTACGAGGGAAGAGACATCAAGGCTGTCAGACTGACGGCACACAAAAGCGAGCCGTCGCCAGAAAAGCCCCTAAAGACCCTGGTCATCACCAGCGGCATCCATGCGCGCGAATGGATCAGTGTATCGACCTCGTGCTACATACTGTACCGACTGCTGCAGGACTACGAGAAGGGCAAGAAAAAGGCACGGCTGTACCTGGACAGCATGGACTTCCTGTTCTTGCCGGTCATGAACCCTGACGGATACGAACATACATGGACCACTGACCGCCTGTGGAGGAAAAACAAGCAGCGAACGTACAACCCCAGATGTCTTGGAATAGACATTGACCACTCTTTCAATTACCACTTTACGAGAAGCGAAGACTCTCCTTGCAGCGAGAATTACCCAGGAGAGGGCGCCTTTGAGAGTCTGGAAAGCAGCGTGTGGGACAGATATCTGAACGAGACAAAACATGACCATCCAATTTACGGATACATCGATCTCCACTCGTATGCAGAGGAAATTCTTTATCCCTACGCATACACCTGCTCCGAAAAGCCTAGAGACGAGGAAAACCTGATTGAGCTGGCGTATGGTCTGAGCCAGTCGATCAGACTCACTTCAGGCAAGTCGTACGCCGTGCTGTCTGCGTGCGAAGATAAAGGCTCGGACCTGCTGCCGGCCATGGGTGCTGGCTCTGCTCTAGACTACATGTACCATAACAAGGCCTACTGGGCGTTTGTGTTGAAGCTGCGCGACACGGGAAGCCATGGATTTTTGCTGCCTCCGAAATTCATCGTTCCTGTTGGCAAGGAGATCTACTCGTCGATCAAATATTTTTCCAGCTTCGTTACTGACAAATAGACATTATTTTTTCCCCTGCTTCACCATCGAGGTGATCAGTTGGTAAGCCACCTCTGCACCGTTTGTGGCAGTTACCTCTGCGTGGTCGTACTGAGGCGACACCTCGACAATGTCGGCTCCCACAAGGTTGACGTCGAGGTTTCTTAGCAGATAGAATAGCTCACGGGGAAGCAGTCCGCCAGACTCGATCGTTCCCGTGCCAGGGGCAAACCCAGGGTCCAGGCAATCAATGTCCACAGACACATACGTTGGGTATTCTTTGGGAATTCTTTCGTTGATGGACCTGACAATCTCCTTGAGTCCTCCGACTCCGTTGATCCAGATGTCGTCCGCGCTGATCCTAGCCCAGCCCTGGTCGTTGTCGTCCTCATAGTCCTCCCAGTCTTTGCCGCTGATTCTGGTCCGGAGTCCGATGTGGACGTTATAGTCGTCGCTCAGCAAGTCCTCCTCGTTGGCCATCCATAGCATCGATCCGTGGGTGAACTTGGACTGATCGCTCGACCAGAACGAAGGGTATTTCGAGGGCGACCACGTGTCGAGGTGCGCATCAAAGTGGATCACGGCCACTTTTCCATACACCTTGTTTAGAGCTCTTAGGTGTGGCAGCAAAATGGAGTGGTCACCTCCCAATGCAACAAGCTTAGGAGGCCCCGAACCGTCGACAGCATTTTTCCTTCTTAGCAGCAACTCCTCAAACGCCTTGGTCATCTGGTCCAGAGCAAGCTCGTTGTCCATTGGGGTCACCGGGATGTCTCCGCAGTCGATCACCTTTGCCCAGTCCTGGTACGGGTTGATGCCAGCTCTGGTGTTGAAAGCTCTCTTTGAGGTCTGACGCTGCGAGCCGGTTCTGATGGCCCGAGGGCCGAACCGCGCACCGCTGCGGTAGGTTGTTGCTGTGTCGAACGGCACGCCAATGACTCCGACGTCGAAACTGGTTTCCGGGTCCAAGAGACATTTGGTGTAGTTCAGGTGTGCAAAGGTCTGTATTCCGTTGAACGGCCAGTCCTCGCCCCAAAGCTGGTCCAAGGTAGGTTCCGAGTTTGATGCAAACTGAATGGGGCTTTGGAATGGCTTGGCCGCTGCCATTGCGGCAAGAAGAGAAGCTGCAACGGTAAGTCTCATGAATAGAGTCGAAAAAAAAAAAATTGGGGCCCAGATAAATAAATAATTAATCTTAGCGGCTTATCGTGTTAGCGCAAGTTCTAGGGGTCTCGAACTTTATTTTAGATAATTCAAATAATTATTTTGACGTCTCTAGCCTAGCATCATGAAGGCCCGTGTCTCGCCACAAAAAAGCCGCAGCGGGTGCAACACGTGCAGACGAAACAAGATCAAATGCGACGAGCACAAACCCCAGTGCCACAACTGTGTGTCGCGGGGGATAGAATGCGGAGGTTACATCAGAGTGTTCAAGTTTAAGGAGATCAAATCTGCCCGTGGGGGCAGAGCTAAAAGCATCAGCAACTCTGATGATGCGGACCTTCTTCAGCTGCAGCCATCTGACTCCCAGCTGTCGCAGGTGTTCCGCCACGCTGCGCAGTCGATCACCCGGAAAACGTACGAACGGCTTGTTCTGGAGCAGCATTTGGCAAGGAAGGGGAAGAATCCGCAGCTGGCGTCGGAGCTCGAGACCGTGCTCAAGGAGTTCGGCAGCAAGCCGAAAGGCTTGCTTTGTCCACAGCGTACTTCAGATCCATCTGTCTCAGAGGAACAGGGACAGTTTCTGTTCGGGGCACCCCAACCTCCGTATCCATTTGCGAAATATCACAGAACCCAGTTTGTGCTCAACAGTTTTGACGGTTGCACTTCCAATGTGCTGTGTGTCTACGTTGCGTCGCATCTCAATCCGTGGCGCAGAGAGGTTGTACCGTTAGTCGACAAATATCCAATAATTTTCAATCTCCTTGGAATGATTGTTTGCTCGCACCTGGGTGCGAAAAATCCACAGATCAAGGCAATGGGACTCGAGTTCAAGGTACGCGCGTACCAGCAGCTCTCCCACGGGCTGGCAAAAAACCTCTTCCCTAATGATATCTGTCTGTTGAGCTGCATTCTGCTTGCGCTGGACGAGTTCTGGGACAACAAGTCTCGCGCAGACCTCTCGCATCTGCGAAGCGCCTTGTATTTTGTCGACCGTCGACTGCGCAGCACGACGCAAGACCCGCGCTTCCAGTTTCTGCTGAGCGCGTGGCAGTACATGCGCGTAATTTCACGAACCACGCTGCTTAATCCAGGCCTATGCTTCAGATCCGCGTACCAGCCGCGTCTGGTTAGCGACGGCTACGCCATAGACCATATACTGGGGATGTCGCAGGAGCTTTTTGCGATCCTAGATTCGCTCATGGACGTCATCGAGCTCGTCAAAAACGTTCCGGAACACGCTTATCCTCAGAACCTAATTGAAAAAGTGCTTGGACTACAGGCCGCATTGGTGCGCTGGGAGCCTCCAAAAAACGGCATGGAGCTGTGGACGCCGGAGGAAGTGACCGACCACGAAGCAACCGCGCAAAGTTACCGCTATGCCACGCTAATTCTTCTCCAGAACGCGTTCCCGCAGGTGAAGCGGTACCTTGCTCCGCGAGAGCTGTCTCTCAAAGTCCGCGAGGAATTGTCGACGCTGCGGCTGTCGGGAGGCGCGTCGGTCGTGATCCATGTGTTCCCTCTGTTCATAGCTGCGTGCGAAGCTTTCACAACGGCAGAAAAGGACTGGTTCCGCACAAAGACGGCAGCCGTCTTCGACGCGATCGCATCCAACAACATCAAGGTGCTATCCAGCGTAATGGCAGAGGTGTGGAGGCGCAAGAGTCTGCTGAGGGCGCAGTATGAGCTGCAGAACGTTTTTCTGGCCCCAGACGACCACCTGCTGAGCGGCCTCAAGAGCTACGCCAGCTGGTTTGCGGTAGCTGCAGACTGGAAAATCGATCTTTTTGTGGGGTAAGGGTGCGCGAAAAATTAGAGATACAATTTTTCTGTCGACGGTCGATGGATGACAAACTAGAGGACCTGCAGAAACTCTTCTCGGGGCTCCAGCAGAGTGTCGAGAGCGAGGAGCTCTGGAAGGGCGTCGAGGCCTCTATCGACAGCGCCATGGCGCAGTACAAGGCGCATCTGCTGGCACGATTGCGCAAAGAGCTCCAGCAGTTTGTGGGCCACTGCGAGATGCGACTGGAGGCCATTCGGCTGCGCCAGTCGGCGACCAAAAATATGCTCGCTCTGGCGCAGTCCGACGTCGACAGCGGCGACACGATTGAGTCGAAAACCAGAGAATTGCGCATCTTGAAAGAGCGGCTGGCCCTGCTGCGGCGACAATACCGTGCAAGGGTGAAACTGGGAACGAGGAGCGCGAACTCTCCGAAAGGAAAAAAAGAAATACCCGAAAGCGTGCGCAGATACCGACTGCCCCGGGGTCCGCGCCAAAATAAGAGCCTGAGTCTACGCGAGCTATACGAGGCCTGGTTCGTGGGGAATGAGCGCACGCCGGACGGAATGCCGATCGCGCGGGTGCTGCAGGAGTATCCGAACTGGAGCTCTACGGAAACGACGTATTTCAACCGGCTCAAACGCGTGGCGCAGCTGTTGCAGACGGTTGGCGAGGGCGATGTGGCTAGTGCCGTCGATAAGGTGGAAGCATACATGCAAGAGTACAAGGTGCCTGGAGTCAACGCTCTTTCGGACCAGTGCTCCAAGCAGAAGGACGCCCCAGGCATGGAGGAAGTAGTGCGACGGGTGCAGGAGTGCGTGGCCCGGAGGGAATTAAAGTAAATTATTTGTAATCCAATCAAATACCGCGTTTTCGCAAACAGTTACGTAAAACTTCGGCCCAAAAATTTTTCCTCCTTAATTTACGTATTTCTCTTCTAGATCTCTTACCGGAACGCATAATATTCACCATGGCTTCTACTTACCAGACTCCTAACTACACTGTCAGTGACTACGCCAAGTTCGCTCTTGCTGGTGCCATCGGCTGCGGTGTCACCCACGGATCGATGACCCCTATCGACGTGGTCAAGACCAGAATCCAGCTTGAGCCTACCGTCTACAACACCGGTATGATTGGCTCTTTCAAAAAGGTCATTGCCAACGAGGGTGCCGGCGCTCTGTTGACCGGTCTGGGTCCAACTGTTTTGGGTTACTCTCTGCAGGGTGCCTTCAAGTTCGGTGGTTACGAACTTTTCAAGAAAACTTTCATCGACGCCGTGGGCTACCAGACCGCTGTCCAGTACAAAGATGCCATCTACATCGGTTCCGCTGCCATTGCCGAGTTCTTTGCCGACATTGCTCTGTGTCCGCTGGAGGCCACCAGAATCAGACTGGTTTCGCAGCCAACCTTCGCCAACGGTCTGATTGGCGGTTTCGCCAGAATCTTCAGAGAGGAGGGTGTTGGCTCGTTCTACAACGGTTTCACCCCAATCCTGTTCAAGCAAATTCCTTACAACATTGCCAAGTTCCTGACCTACGAGAGAGCCTCCCAGGCCATCTACTCTTTCGTCACTACTCCAAAGGACCAGCTGTCCTCCACTGCTGTCACCGGTATTAACCTTGGTGCTGGTGTCATTGCCGGATGTATGGCTGCCATCGTCTCTCAGCCAGCCGACACTCTGCTGTCCAAGGTCAACAAGACCAAGAAGGCTCCAGGACAGTCCACCGTCGGTTTGCTGGCCCAGTTGGCTCGCGAGTTGGGTTTCAGAGGTTCCTTCACCGGTCTCTCCACCAGATTGGTCATGGTTGGTACCTTGACGTCTCTGCAGTTTGCTCTCTACGGCTCCATCAAGGGCGCTCTTGGCTGCCCACCTGCCGTCGAGTTGGGTGCTGGCGGACACTGAACAGTTGTAAGATTACCAGTTTTTCATTAATCGATCACATACACTCTACCTGTTTATTCGACCATCATGTCTGTAGCCGCAAACGCAGGATTGCTGTCGCCGATCTCACCCGTCTCGCTCGGCTGTTCCGCCGCTGCTGGCGCCTCTGTCGCAGGAGCGCCCATGTAGCTGTTCAGCTCCGCGTCCAGCTCCTCGACGGTCTTGCGACGCGGTTTGGGCTCTCTGTCGCGACTTCTCGCCTTCTTTCCGCGTTTGGACACGCTAATCCGCTGCGACAGCGGAATCGCGTTCTCCACGCTGATAATCTGGCCCGCGGCCCTGCGCCCGTCAAACCGCTCTATCGCAACCTCGCAGTCGGCAGGGTTCTGGTACCCTACGAAGGCAACCCCCGTAGACTCGCCTCTGGTGTTGTATTCTATCTTTGTGAAAAGCAGGTCTCCGATGCTGGAAAAAAGGCCCTCCAGGTCTTTCTCGGTCAGCTCCGGGTGGAGATGCGACACGCGCAAATATGGTCGTCCGCCGCTGAGCTCCTCCGCTTCCTTGCTGCGAGGAAGAGGAGCCGACGGTCTGTGCGGTCTTCTGCCGCCCCTGGAGGGCTTTCCGTGCGCCTTGGACACTCCTCGATGAGCCCTCTGCCGGGGCCTACTGTGGCTCTTCCGCGAACCGCCCGGTCCGCTGTTAATAATCTCGTCCAACGACTGTTCAAGAAGCGACATGTCAACAAATGTCGAGGCTGGAAAAAACATGAAATCCGCGTCGATCGACCGCGCGCCTGGGGCCGGGAGCCGACTATGCAGAAGCCAATCTTAATTAGCTCCACCCCACTTTTGCTCCGGTAAACAGGGGGTGCACTGCTATCGGAGGAAGGCAGATGTGCTCAATCAGCCCGGGGCAGTTTGTCATCACCAGGAGTCCGCTGATTTTGAAGGCGGCCAATGGTTGCTGCAAGCTGTCAAACTCCGATTATTGCTGCATTGGTAACCACCACGTTTACCTGGCAACTTTCCAGCGGTTCTACTCGGATCGCAAAGCCGTCTGCTCCTAACATACCCCCAGCTGGCCCCGCATAGGCTATCCTTCGCGGTCCAACCCGTGTTGCCCCTCACGCCATCCGGAGGAACAACAACTGCGGCAGTTATTTTTTTTTGAAAGGTCATGTACTTTTATTGTCTTGTAATCGTGGGGCAGAAATATAAATACCCCCAGAAAACCGCATTTTGATCGTGTAAAATCCCAAGGCTCTACACGATATGGTTAAAGTTACTGTTTGCGGAGCTGCTGGCGGCATTGGCCAGCCACTGTCCCTCATGTTGAAAATGAACCCCTACATAAACGAGCTATCCCTGTACGATGTCGTCAATGTTCCCGGTGTTGGCACCGATCTGTCTCACATTGACACAGACACCAAAATCTCGTACCACCTGAAATCTGACGACAACAACACTGGACTTTCCCAGGCCCTCAAAGCCTCGGATTTTGTCATCATCCCCGCAGGAGTTCCCAGAAAGCCTGGAATGACCAGAGACGATTTGTTCAAAATCAACGCAGGCATCTGTTCGGAGCTCGCAACAGGCATTGCAGAGACCTGTCCGGATGCCACGGTGCTGGTCATCTCGAACCCGGTCAACTCCACCGTGCCTGTGTTCGCGGAGGTGTTCAAAAAGAAGGGTACCTTCAATCCCCGCAAGTTGTTTGGTGTCACAACGCTGGACTCGGTGAGAGCAAACACTTTCATTTCGGAAATTGCAAGTAACGAAGCAGACAAGGCACCTAGCGCATTCAACATTAGAGTTGTGGGAGGACACTCGGGTGAGACGATCGTTCCTCTGTTCTCCGTTTGTGCTCCGCACGTTTACGCATTGGAGGACGAAAATAAAATAGACGCCTTGGTGCACAGGGTGCAGTACGGCGGAGACGAGGTCGTTCAGGCGAAAAACGGCGCAGGTAGCGCCACGCTGTCGATGGCATACGCTGGCTACAAGTTCCTGCACGCAGTCCTCGCGGCAACTACAGGAGACACGACGATCATAGAGTCGTCTTACGTGTACTTGGACGACTCGATCCCGGGTGCCAAGGAGACGAAAGAAATTATCAAGGGACTCTATGGCGGGGAGTCGCTGGACTACTTCGCGATGCCTGTCGTGCTAAGCAAGGAAGGAATCAAGGAGATTAAAAGTGACATTCTCTCGAGAGTCAACAACAAAGAGAAAGAGCTGCTCAAGATTTGCTGTAAAACGTTGGCGGGAAACATCGCCAAAGGAGCCAGCTTCTCGCAATGATGCCTTTTTTATTTTTTTCATATGATGATTAATTCATTCTCCGCTATCTAATTAGATGTAACCGATCTTGTTGGCAATGTCGAGAGCATCGTAATCAGCAGTGAGTCTGACGTAAGCCTTCTTGGTTCCATTTGGTCTCACCAAAGTGTTCACTTTCTCAACATCGACCTCGTAAAGCTCCTTGACAGCTTGCTTGATCTGGTGCTTGTTGGCCTTCAAGTCAACTTGGAAAACCAAAGTGTTACCGTCCTCAACCTTCTTCATGGCAGTCTCACTGGTGACTGGTTGGACGATGATTTTGTAAGAGTCGGCTCTTGGGTAGTGAGGCACAGACTTGGTGTATTTTGGCGATCTGGCAAGTTTCAGGGTCTTTGGCAGTCTGAAGGTTGTCGAAGTTCTCACCTTGTTAGCCTTCAGCGAGTTGGAACCCTTGAGGGCAGCCTTTTTGGCGGCTTGAGCTTTAGTTGTTGGAGCCATGTTTGTTAAAGATATTTTTCAGCTAAAATTTTTCAAATATATGAGGGCACTCAGCCCGTAATATTTGTCACGTGACATAGATGTATGTGCTTTTCAACTCGAGCTATATACAGCGGCATTACAATCTCCTTCGGGAAGGTCCCCGGACTCCACCAAACTTGATTGGAGTCATGTCTGTGAGCTTGCAGACATGCTCTCTCACCCCTAGTCCCTCTTTTCCTTTCAAAGCGTCGAAGAAGGCTCGTCTGCCCTTTCCGAATTCCTTGACCACCACCTCGAGGTTGACGTCTCCTCTGAAGTACTTACGTTCTCTGATTGTGCGGAAAAATGCTGATGAGAGCTGGTATGCTGCTTCGTACTCCCCTCTTTGAGCTCCACGGAACCCGATGGTACCTGTATTCAGTGTGTAGACGGTCTTTTCTGGTAGAGTGAGGTAATAGAGCACTTTTTCATTGAACGACAATTGTGGGTTATTCTGCTCAAAGTTTTTGTCGTATTCAACCTTGGTCAGTGTTAAGTGGGAGTTGTTTTTGCGGAACAAACCGTGAAGGACAAACTTCACTAGCTTCATCTGTGGCGCTTTCTTTCTGGCCACCAGCGTGTCGCTCTCATTGTTCTGCTTATTCAAAATGGCTCCGAGCGTCGACACAGACGACGACTCCTGGCGAAGCGCGCGAAATGTACCAAATGAGCGTGTGAGACCAACTCTGTTGAGCATTCTGATCATGATGCGAAATAATTTGTGTGAAGAATATTTCCCTATTACCTGGTGCAAAGATGCTCCACCTAGTTGCGCGACTCAATGGTGTGTCTTGTTTGTTTCCGGAGGTTACTCAAAACAAGATCTACTAGCTTTATATTTACACCTCGGTTGCTGAATTGTGGATCAGTGCGCTGCCTGACTGTGTGAAAAGTCGCTCTGGTTTCTATAGACCCCAATTTGTCGAATCAAGAGGAATACGTTTCCCCCAAAATGGCCATTGAATACTTGGTGGAGGAGGTTACCAACAACCATACCAATGTCACCAAGCCCATGATAATCAAAGACATCGCCAAGATCGGCGAGGGTGCCTTTGGAACGGTGACACAAGCCCAACTGCGCAACGCCACGGCATCCGAAGACCAGTGGCTCGGGCCGTTCGCCATCAAGAAGGTGCCAGCACAAACCGAATACAAGAGCCGAGAGCTGGAGATCCTGAGACAAACGTCCCATCCCAACGTCGTCTCTCTCAAATACTTCTTCAACTACCCTAATCCAGAGGACCGCAATAAGCTTTACCAGCACCTCGTGATGGAATCTTTACCATGCACGCTTCAGACAGAGATTAAGAGATACCACAGTTCCAACCTGATATTACACGAGTCGCACATCCAGGTGTACTCTTTCCAGATTGCTAGAGCCATGAACTACTTGCACAGTTTTGGGATCTGTCACCGGGACATTAAGCCATCCAATATCTTGATTGACCCAGATACCTTGGTGCTCAAGATCTGCGACTTTGGCTCTGCAAAGAAACTTGAATATAATCAGCCCTCTGTCTCTTACATTTGCTCAAGATACTACCGTGCTCCCGAGTTGATAGTTGGATGCTCTCTCTATACGACTCAGATTGACATATGGGGACTTGGCTGCGTGATTGCTGAGATGTTCATAGGCAAGCCTGTTTTCCAGGGCCAGGACCCAATGCTTCAACTTAGAGAGATCTCGAAGCTTCTAGGACCGCCGGATAAAGAGTTCATCTACGAGAGCAACCCTAGCTACAATGGGCCAATGTACTCTCACAGATTGTACACATCCAAGGTAAGCACCCGGTTCCAGAAAACGTTCTCCCATGCCAGCCCAGTTGCCGTTGATCTTCTCATGAGTGTGCTTGTCTACCGTCCGCAAGATAGACTCCGTCCGCCTGCTATTCTGGCTCACGATTTCTTCAAACCGCTGCGGTCGCCGGATTTCCAAGTCATCAGTCGCACTACCAACTCCCGAGTCAATGTCCACAATATGCTCTACAACTTTAGCGACTACGAGCTACGTGTCCTTGGTGGTGCGGCAAAGGAAATTCTTGTTGATGGATCCTGAGTATTTGCATTACAACGCCAACGAATAATTATAGTCCTCTTCCACGTTCTGGACGATCCATAAAATAATACAGCTCAGCGTGATGCTTCCCGTTGCGTAAATGTTTTCCAACGCCATGCCCAGCGTGGGCATGGATGTGTAGCCCTTGATCACGTATTTCAGAATCACCAAAAGAGCACTTCCCGACATGCCCACGGCTAAGAGCGTGCATCCAATAAAGAGCACCAGACGAGCCTGCCATCTGATAGAGCCGCTGCCGAAGCTGTCCGACGCCATTAGCTGCTTTTTGTCGATCATGTTCACAGTTATAGTCCCTAAGGTGCTGCAAATGAAAGGAATCCAGTCTACAAAGGTGACGTGGACCACGGAGGCGTTGACTGTTTTGGAGAAGATGGATGCGTCCACCATCGCCCAGAAGCCAATGGCATATAATGCTCCGGAAACATAGATGGCCGCCGCTTTTGCAGTCTGCGTGTTGGGGAAGCGCAAAATAGGAAAGCGGAACAGTCTCTGCGACTCCATACTGAGATGTTTTTAGATAAATTATATATTTTTTCAAAACCTCTCAATCGGCTCGTCTATGGTGATGATAGGATCTTTCGATCTTTGTTTCAACCATTGAGGCACGTAACGGCTCTTCTCAAGCTCTATAACCCCATTGAACACAAGAGTGCCATACAGAAGAAGGCTGAACCCCACCAGTTGCAGCACTCTGAACTGCTCCCAGCCAATAGTCAGCGACACCAGCCACACAAGCAGCGTTCTTGAGGTATCAATGGTGGAGCGAGCAGTGGCACTAAGTTTGTGGGTGAGGGAAATGCCAAAGAAATTGAATGACGAAATGGAAAGCATAATGAGCACCGAGCTGAGCAGCACCCGAGAATGCGTGAACATAAGCTTCAGAGCATACACCATATCCCATGCGTCCTTGGGTGACTTGTGCATGAATGCTTGGCCAAGCAGCATAAAGGCTGTGGTCGCCAGTGCACCATATATGCCTTCATAGCCAACGAGTTTCAGAGGACTCACCTCCAGGTTGGCGAGAATGCTTTCCTCAATCACAAACTGGGCGGCGTTGCACATGATACCGAGAATAATTATGAGCATTCCAAACACGACGTTGTCTTGTTCTGATTGCGTGGACTCCTCGCCAGCTTCGATAGACCCGCTCAAACCAACAACGAACACCCCAAAAACAACTATGAACAAACTGAGCCACTCCAGCTTGGTAATGATCTTGTGCAACGCAGTGACCGAAAATAGCCCAACGAACAAAATGACCGATCCCCTAGTCATCTGGTAAATTGAAACAGGAGTGTACAGTAACCCGACGTTTAGCAGTGTCGTCGCCGTAAAGTCGCACACAGCAGGTAACGAAAGCACGAAGGACTCGCGTGCTGTGGTAATTCTCTTCTTCCCCAGCAAAGGGGCTTGTTCCACGACATCCGCAGACCCCTTCCGTGCACGCCCTATGAGAACAGGAATCCAGCACAGAATTTCGCCCACGAACATTTGCAATGTTTGTAAAACAGGCTGTTCAAACAGAACCTCTTGGCCCGGCTTATCACAGTTTTCTATGCACTGGTTGTCCTGATACTTGGTGATTATGGAATTCAAACATCCGGCAATCACAGTTCCCGCGACCAGGAGCAGGAGCTGGTGTTAGCGCATGGTTATGATGACTTACCGTGACGTTTCTGGCCATGTTTTTAAAAAAAGTGGCTAATTATTTTTGATAGCATGTTATTGTGGCAGTGTAACACAATACCCCTTATCTAGGGGAAATAAATAATTACAGCTCGTTAATTTAATCATGTCAAAAAGAAGGTCGTCGTTGTCACAGCTATCGACACTAGATGACCTCGAGGGCTTTCGCTCAGAGTCCAAGAAGTCCATAGAGCTCACCAAGTGTTTTAGGTGCTCAAAGAAAGTACCCACCCCCACAGCTTCCAGACGTCGAAGGTCCTCTTCTTCTGTGGTCTTCTCGGAACTAATTACATCGTCGGAACCGCTCCCCTTTACCATGAAGCTGTCGGCTTGCTCGCCAACGTATCAGAAGCAGATTATGTTGCCATTCACGGCATCCTTCATGAAAGACATTTCTGATTCGCCCTATTTTGCAGAAATCAATCTGAATGATTACTACATTGCTAAAGAAAAGGAACGCAACTCCAAAGGCTCCAAACGTAAATTTCCCGGCCTCGAAATTCCAATAAAGGGCAAATTGCAGCTGATTATCTACAACAACGAGAAGAGCGTAAGCTCGTTGCTGTTCTTTCCTTATGATCTATCAAGTTTGAGAGAGAATCATAAAAAAATCATTAAATTCCGCAAAAATAGCATAATAACGTACGACTCAGAATCAGACAAAGACTTTAAAATTAATATCAAGAAGCTCCATAACGAGCTGGAGTTCAAGGCGCTGAACTACAAGAACAAGAGGTTCTACGTGTTCGACTCGCTCAAGATCACATTTGTTCCAGGCTTTTTGTCAGAAAACGTTAAGCTACCACTAAGCGCAAGTCTGCCCGATTTCAAGCACCATCAGATTAACCCAAAAATACCCCTATATCCTCGAAGCTCTCAGACTGACATCGAAACAATCGAATCTGGAGAGTACCCCGTCAACCTTTCGTATTATATCCGCCGATGTGCTCATTGCAATGACCATGAAGATGATGACGGCGAGTGTGTACAATTCCCTACCTTCGCATACGCTTAATGACAATGAATCAGACGTATAACTCGCGGAAAAAGTAGTTACCTGTCAGCAGCCTCTTGCAATCTTGCGCCACGCAACGATTTGGAGCTGAGTACTCAGGATCGTTCAAATCCATGTGCTCCACCCCAACTTTGGCCAGATCGGTTTTTCTCTTCTTGGGCCGCGATTTGCCTTTCTGTTTTGCGTATCTATTGATGTTGTTGATACATCTCCCACAGTAAACATGGCCGCATCTCCCAAAAAATACCTTGCGCGAGAGGTCTTTGTCTGCGGTAGTGAGATTTTTACTGAATTGCCATGGCGACATGAACTTGTCGTGCACCACGAGCTTGCGCTTCAGCTCCATATCTGTGCTTGTTTGGAAATCATCTGGTATTCCTTCGACCAATGGGACGCCGCAAAGAATGCAGACAGAAGTATCTTTGGACGAGAATCCATTTGAAAACATATTTCTCTGTTCTTCAGGTATCTGTGCCTTGGTTTCCTGTGTCATCTTCATCTTGTTCGCCATGTTTGACCTCGACCTTACGCGACGGTCTTCCTCTTCCTGTTCCCTGCGCCTGATTTCATCCATTATGCTATGGGGTATCTCGTCTCCTTCGCCTTCTTCTTGCGGGCCAAAATCAACTTGGTGTGCAGCCAAAGGCATAAATCCCAGTCTGTTTAGATGTCTAACATACGGCACACGCGAACGCAAATCATACAGCACTCTCGAAGCAATGGAACTGTCACTATCGGTTCGCCCAAGTCGGAAGGCGTTCACCATCCAGTTGTTGCGGAGGACTTCGTTAATGTATTCACTCGTGAAATGCGCTCTTTGATTATTCGCTCGTCTAGGATACCGAGGACGAAGCCGCCTGCGTGGTCTATTTGCTGCTATTGATCGCTGTGTTCCGGATATTCGCACAGACTCGTATGGCTGGAAAACCGCGCCGTTGGGCTGATACAGTGTGAAACCGGGCCGTTGTCTCGAAAAAGCCCTCCGTTGTGGCGGTGCCAGAGTCTGTTCGCCTGTGATCTCAACATCTCCATCTGAGTGAGCCTCTTCGGCATCAGATGGAATCACTATCGGGTCCTCGGCGGGGGTGGTAGACCGGGCCTGACGCCTTTGCCTCACACGACGCCTATCTGAGGTGGAGACCACAAAATTGTCTTCAGAGTCTGAAAGAAGCTCGATGACCGAATTCCGTCGACTCATCAAGAGAGAGTGTTTTGGAGCGTCCACTGTGTATTATTTGTTAAAAATAAGAGTGGCCCTTGTTTGGAAAGTATGGCTTCTAATCTATAACAAAGAGATTTGTATAAATTCTGAGTTGCAAACTTTTTGCTGCACAGCCAGACAGACGTCTGTTTTTTCTTTACAATTCAAACGCACATTATTCTGGTACAAGCTACACCTCTATAAGCCTTTTACAATCCGCTTCTCATGTATCTTCCGACCACGATACAGTGATCTCTCTCGTAAGGCTCCAAGGTAAGCTGCTCAAGAGGCTTTATTCTCTCCTCTCTGAGTTTTTGCACCTCCCTAGCGAAAACGGTTTCTGCGTCAACAGTAGAGTCGATACAGTTGGCCTTGATGGAAATGACCACTCCTCCCTTGTCCTTGAGGAAAAGATGCGAGTTCAGGGCAATAATTCTAGCCTGATCTGGCTGCGCAACGTCTGCAAAAACAACGTCCACCATACCGATCAACATTCTGTATTTTTGCGGGTGTCTAGCGTCTTCGATGATAGGAATGACATTTGGTCTCTTCTTGGCCATACCAATCAGCTCTCTGCCCGGTCTATGCGAAAACTCAACAGCATACACTATACCTTCTGGTCCCACAACGTCGGCGACGTGGGAAACAGAGGTACCTGAAGCTGCTCCCAGATAGAGCACCTTTTTGCCAGGAGCAATGAAAATCTCGTCCAGTCCTCCCATGATACCGGCAGCCAGCTTGGATCTGAAAGGATTCCAGACTCTGTACTCGACCTTGGTAGCTGGAGCCGACTCGTCTTTGGAAGGCTCGTCGACGGATATTCTCTTCTCTCCGTACACAGACTCGCCGGGAGCGAGGTTCTTCGTCACCAGCAAATCCTCTTTTCCCCTTGCAATGTAAACGCCCGCATGTCTGTGTGGTTCGATTATCACCTTAGCTCCAGCCTTTCCCCCAGCCTTTCCTCCACGAGCACCACCTCTTCCACCTCTGGCACCGCCTCTTCCACCTCTAGCACCACCTCTGCCGCCGCGAGCACCACCTCTTCCTCCACGGGCCCCGCCTCTTGAGGCTCCTCTGAAACCACCACGACCTCCTCTGCTGCCGCCTCTGCCGCCTCTGTCTGAGAATGCCATAGTTAATTCGTTATAATAAAATCAATTTTGAATTTTTAACAAAATTTATTTAAAAATTTTTCAATCCAAGGAGGGTAACAAATGGGCAGATAAACGAGCCGATAGTGCTAAAAAAAAGATAAATACATTACAACGCGCTTTTGCTATGCTCGCCGATCTGAACAGAAAATACCTCGATACTTTGGAAAAACGCCCATTGGCAACTAAGGCGCTAACTGCGGCTATACTAAATGGACTCAACGAACAGCTAGCCACCTACTTTGCTGGAGAATCCAGAAAGACAACTATCAAGATCGGGTGCAAAGAGGTGCAGCTCTCACATTTCCTCACAAAACGCGTCCCTTTGATGTTTCTGTACGGCCTCCTGATCAACGGTCCTTTTTCTCATTATGCGTACAAACTTCTACATCTAGTTTATCGTCCACCACTGGGTCCTAGAAAAAGACTAGCCCAGATCCTCACTTCCCTGGTGACTATCACGCCGGCCATTTCTGCCCTTATGATCTCCTACATCTCGCTAATCTCGAGCACTAATATTGCGAATGTCAAGGACTTGTCATCTGCCAAAGCAGAGCTGCTGGACGTGCTTAAGAAAATCAAGGGTGCACTCCAGAAATCGCTGGTCTCGGTGGTCCGTTCCTCGTGGATCTCCAGCCCTATATTCATGCTTGTAGCCCAGAGTTTCCTCAAGCCTAACCAGTGGGCCGTGTTCTTCAACTTCTGCTACTTTGTGCTGGGCACTTACAATAATACCATAATCAAGCGCAGGCTAAAGGAACAGAGCTCGAACACAGAAAAACAAAAATGAATGAGCAGGTTTCGTTTTATAATACACTTCAATTAGAATCGTTGCCACTTTCGTCCTCCTCTTTCTCGTCACCAGCTCCCGCACAGCTTGGTTTCCTGACCTTCCGCATCGGAATCACCGCCTCAAAAACATCTTTCCAGCTGTCGAACTCTCGCTTTCTAATCAACATCTCCACCACATGTGACGTCGCCAAAACTCGACGGCCACTCACCTTGATATACTCGTCTATCGGAAGCCTTTTGGTGGAAATTCCTAGTTTGTCGGCCTTATTCTTGCACAACAATTTATGGCGGCCCTTATCCACGATGCCACCAACAATGTACGTCATTCCTGGCTCTAAAGTCTCGAGCTTTTCCTCTGTGTCTGCGGTGAGATACACCACCCTTGATAAATTTTCTGGTAGCACGTTCTCCAGCTTTTCCTCGGTAAACTTCATATGCTCTGGCTTCCAGTTCTGGTAGTGCGGGAGCACGCGGTCAAAGCGCTCCTTCATTCGCTTTCCAAAAGAAGTCACTGTTATGTCCACTCTATAGGGGTACTTTTTGTTGTCTGCGTAACTAGTCACCAACTGGTTGCTCATGGAAACGATTTCCTTCTCGAGCATAAAGTCGTCAAAATCGCAGTCCACAATAACCGAATAGCCGGCTTCCTGCTGCTCGATCTTGCAGCGCTTCGGCTTATCAGCATTTTTCAGCTTCCTGGTCTCCTTGAGAGCTTTCCGTTTCTCCCTGCGCACCTCGCGCATTTTTTCTCTGTTTTCCTCCCATCGTAGCCGTTTCTGCTCCTTTTTCCACGCCGACTTGCTCATCCCTTCCGGGATGACCGGTTTCTGTCTCCGGTACGGCTCTTCCATTGGCAGCAGTATTAAAAGTATTTTCCCAAGTCGATCGACGCGAGGTCAAAAATTTTTCAGTTCTGAAACTCCACCATTGCTCCATGGCTCCTCCTCCGAGCCCGCTCATTATAGATGCCCAGGCCGTGTCGGGGATCACCGGTTCTATCTCGATAGCCTGCTGGATCATTGTTTTTGCGCCCCAGATCTACCAGAATTTTGTGCGCTCGAGCGCCGAGGGCCTGTCGCTCATGTTCGTTATTCTCTGGCTACTCGGCGATCTTTTTAACGTTGTGGGCGCCATTTTGCAAGGAGTCCTGCCCACTATGATCGTGCTGGCCATTTACTACACGCTCGCAGACGTGGTTCTTCTCTGGCAGTGTCTCGTGTACGGCCATGGCAAACCCAAACATGTGGACCCTATCCACCTCTCGCCCGCCAATCCGCTTACCGAGCACGAACCGTTGCTTGAGAACGTGATAAGTCGCGGTGAGGAAGACGCTGCAGACACGACTGGCGACGTGGGCAGCTTCAACGACATCGACGGCGTGAACATGAAAGGGCCCCAGGAACGTAGCAAGGAGCTGTTTTACAACCTGCTGATGGTGCTGCTCGTGGTGGTATCTGGATTCGGCGGCTGGTTTTTCGGTGGGTCGAGAGACGACAATTCGCCGCCGCCAGACGACGACAGTCTGGTGTTCAATCCGCTAGCCCAAACGTTTGGCTGGCTTTGCGCAGCACTGTATTTGGGTTCTCGGGTTCCTCAAATCTTGCTCAACTTTGAAAGAAAGTCCTGCGAGGGCATCTCGTTCATGTTCTTCCTCTTCGCATGTCTCGGAAATATCACCTACGTGGTGTCCATTCTGAGCGTCAGCACAGGCTACAGATACCTGTTGGTGAACTCGTCGTGGCTGGCCGGGTCCCTAGGGACTCTGGCGCTGGATTTTTGCATCTTCATACAGTTCTTTTTGTACAAGCACGAAGAGGAGCCGGAGGAGTTCGATACGGATGACGAGAGTGCTCCCATCGCCTCGTCGACACGCTCTTACGACGCTGCCTGAATTCCGTACACCTCGCACCATTGAAAACACGAAGACGCGTTACATTTAAAAAAATAAAAATCCGTAAGCAATAGTAGTATGTCGAGCATCCGTCCGGAGCTGAAATTCGCCGACGATCGCGACCAGTCGTCATTCTACAGCAAGTACTTCAGACTGCCTCCGAAGTCGGCGCGCACTTTGCGCGTCGTCGACAAGGGCGAGTACTATATTGTTCTGGACGAGGACGCAGAGCTGGTGGCCGATCTGATATACAAGACCCAGTCGGTGGTGAAGACCGCGACCGCAGAGCAACGCACGGTGCAGTACATCACTCTGTCGCCTGCTGTTTTTGCCAATTTGCTGAAATTGGTGGTGGTGGACTCCGGCCACAAGCTGGAGATATATTCCAAGAACTGGGACAATATGCGGACCGCGTCGCCGGGAAATCTTTCAGAAATTGAGGAGCTGATTAACACAGCCGATCTGAATGCCGTCTCGATCCTGGCAGCTCTCAAGCTCGTCAGCTCGTCCTCTGAGGGCAAGAAACTGGGACTTTCGTTCTACGACCCCAACGCAAAAACTCTCGGAGTTACAGAATTTTACGACAACGATCTATTCTCGAACCTGGAGGCCCTGTTGATCCAGACGGGCGTCAAGGAGTGTCTGGTTCCTGCGTCTGCCTCCTCGGACCCAGATATGGATAAGATCAAACAGCTTATCGATAGATGCGACATCGTGGTTTCTGAAGCGCGTTCCGCCGACTTCTCGGACAAGAACATCGAGCAGGACGTAGCGAGACTGACCGGAAACGAGCTTGTGCTGTCGGCGAACGAGCTCTCGTCGCTGCACGTGGGGCTTGCCTGCTGTAACGCTATTCTGGTTTATCTCTCGCTGTTGGCCGACCAATCCAACTTTGGATCCATCAACGTTATCAAGTACGATCTTGAGCAGTTCATGAAGCTCGACTACGCTGCTGTGAGAGCCGCAAACCTGTTTCCGCCGCCGAACTACAACAATACAATGAATAAGACGTCCTCTCTTTTCGGTCTGCTCAACAACTGCAAGACGGTGGGGGGCACCAGACTGCTATCGCAGTGGCTAAAACAGCCGCTAGTCGACGTCCAGGAAATCCAAAACCGCCATTCTATTGTCGGCCATCTTATTGACGACCTGAACCTCCGCGAGTCTCTGCAGACGCAGTTTTTGAACGAAGTGCCGGACATTTCAAGACTGGTCAAACGGCTGGCCAATCCGCGCGGAACAAAATCGCTCGACGACGTCATTAGACTGTACCAGCTGTGCATCCGACTGCCAGACCTGCTTGACTTCCTGAACACCTCGATGGACAGCTTGGAACCTGATAGTGCCGTCAGGAAGCTCTTCCAGGACTTGTGGATCTCGCCAATCAGCCAGTACGCCGGCGCGCTGTCGAAGTTCCAGGAGATGGTGGAGACCACCGTGGACTTGGAGTCTCTGGACAACGCGTCGTCGGTGCAGGGATCGATGGTGGCAATTAATCCTGAATTCGACGCCAGTCTGACGGAAATCAGCCACAAGATCGAGCACGTCAAGTCCCAGATGCGCCGCGAACACGAACTAGCAGGCGATGACCTCGGAATGGAGCTCGACAAGAAACTGAAACTTGAGATCCACCATGTCCACGGCTGGTGTTTCCGTCTCACGAGAAACGACAGCTCGTGCATTCGCGGCAAGAAAAAGTACAGAGAGCTGTCTACGGTGAAGGCGGGAGTCTACTTCACGACGGCTGAGCTCAGCCAGCTCAATTCCGAGGTCAAGTCGCTGGAGGAACAGTACGACAACGGCCAGTCTGAGGTGGTGAAGGAGATCGTCGCCATCACCGCAACCTATTCCTCGATTTTCCTCAAGCTGTCGATTGAGTTGAGCAAGCTGGACGTGCTGGCCTCGTTTGCACACACCTGCGCGTTTGCGCCGGTTCCGTACACGCGGCCGGAAAAGCTCCACGGTCTGGGAAGCCCAGAGCGTCGCGTCCGTCTCAGGGAGGCGCGCCATCCATGCTTGGAGCAACAGGACGGACTGATGTTCATTCCCAACGATATCAACTTTTGTCGCGACTCGCAGGAATTCCTCATCATCACGGGGCCCAACATGGGCGGTAAGTCGACTTACATCCGCACCATGGGAGTGATCGCCCTGATGAACCAGATAGGCTGTTTTGTGCCTGCCGCAGACGGCGCGGAGCTCTGTATTTTCGACTCTGTTCTGGCCCGTGTTGGCGCGTCGGACTCGCAGCTCAAAGGCGTCTCGACCTTCATGGCGGAGATGCTCGAGATGTCCTCAATTCTGAAGACGGCCACGTCTAACTCGCTCATCATTGTGGACGAGCTCGGCCGCGGAACCTCGACGTACGACGGGTTCGGGCTGGCCTGGGCCATTTCCGAGCACATTTGCAAGGAGATCCACGCGTTCACGTTGTTTGCCACGCACTTCTACGAGCTCACCGCGCTGGCCGACAAGTATACCGCGGTGAAGAATCTTCAGGTGGTGGCCCACACAGATACCAGCTCCGACTCGAAAAATATTACGCTGCTCTACAAGGTGGAGCCGGGAGTGAGCGACCAGTCGTTCGGCGTGCACGTGGCGGAGATCGTGAAGTTCCCTACGAAGATCATCGAGATGGCCAAGCGCAAGGCCAGCGACCTGGACGATATCAGCAGGCGAACTGCCAAACAGACGAAATTCGGCAGTCCGGAGATTCTGGAAGCCAACGAGGTGCTCAAGAGGGCGCTGAAAAAATGGAAAAACCGCGTCGAAGAGCGCGGCGGACTCGAAAGTATCGGCGCGGACGAGGCAGAAGCAGAACTGCGCAAGGTGGTCGAGTCAGACTTCCAGAAAGACTTTCAATCGGGTGTCCTGCAGGAGATGCTAAAACTGTAAAGCAGAAGAAACCAACGGTTTCCACGCGGTGTACGGATGTACTAGATCTGGCTACGTAAAAAGAAACAAAGATAAAGAGTCTACAAGCCAGCATTCTGAAGTGCTGCAACACCTTCAGGCAGGAACGGCAAGTGCAGCGACGACGACCTCCGGCCACGTCGCTGAGCTGCCACCGCTTGGCCTCTCGGGCAGCCGTTATCAGTGGGGTCAGGTGGTAGCTGCTGATAACAAACCTTCCGCATTCGGCGACACCTTGCACCTTGTACGGAATCCACCGAAAATGTTTTAAACCACCGGGCACGCTGTAAATTAACCTTATGAGCAAAGCCATCTCCTCTTCCAGAGTAGTGGCCAACGGTACGGTTGGCCCAGCAACGATTATCTATTCAGACTGCTCTGGCAAGATTCTGACCGTTATTCCAAACATCCTGGACGATGGAGATCTCACGTTAGCCCAATACCATGTGGTTTCCTACCGCAAGTTGGATCCCCTGGTCATCATGCCGGGCCTCGTCGATGCACATGTCCACTTGAACGAACCCGGCCGGACCGAGTGGGAAGGCTTCGCAACTGGAACACAGGCTGCTGCCAGCGGAGGTGTCACCACCGTTGTGGACATGCCCCTGAACGCCGTTCCCCCTACAACCACCCTTGAAAATTTCTATCTCAAGCTGGAGGCTGCTAAGGGACAGTGCTGGGTTGACACCGCTTTCTGGGGCGGGCTGGTCCCTACCAATCTTGACCATCTGGTTCCTCTTATCCAGGCTGGCGTCCGCGGCTTTAAGGGTTTTTTGATGGACAGCGGTGTCAGCGAGTTCCCCATGATCACCCCTGAATACATCCAGCAGGCTCTCAAGCGCGTCAACGGGTTCTCGACAGTGCTTCTATTCCACGCTGAAATGGATTCCGATTGCGACGCGTCGATCGACGCGCACCACCATTACGACGGACTCACCGACCACCAGGCTCAGCTGCTGGCCTCGTCGCCAACGCTGCATCCCGTGGAGCCAACAACAGGTACCATCTCGCAGCTCGCCAAGTCGCCCAAGATCCACGCCCTCTCGTTGGACGACGAGATCACTCCGCTCGAAAAAGCCATCGAGGACAACAGCGAGCTCGAGTCTGTCGATCCAACGGCCTACTCCTCGTTCCTCGCTTCCAGGCCAGACTCTTTTGAGATTACCGCGATTAAGAACATCATCACTTGCTCCAAAAAGTATCCCTCCACAAACGTGCATATAGTCCACCTTGCTACCAAAGAGGCACTGCCAATGCTCGAGTACGCCCAGAAAAAGCTGAACTTGCCAATCACCGCAGAAACGTGTTTCCATTATCTCACTCTCAAAGCAGAGGACATTCCTAACGGCGCCACCCAGTACAAATGCTGTCCCCCAATCCGCACGGATAAGAATCGTAGAGAACTGTGGCAGGGACTCAAGAAGGGAATAATCACCTCAGTGGTGAGTGACCACTCCCCGTGCACGCCTGAGCTCAAAGGACTGGAAAGGGGAGATTTCTTTGAAGCTTGGGGAGGAATCTCCTCGGTCGGTTTTGGCTTGCCTTTGCTCTACTCCGAGGGCCAGAACTTTGGCATCTCGTTCACAGATATTGCTAGATGGTGTTGCGAAAACACAGCCAAACAGGTAGGCCTAGACCATAGAAAGGGGTCCATTGCACCAGGAATGGATGCCGATTTCGCCATCTTCGATCCTGAAGCTCATCATACCGTTGCTAATGTCCGCACGTTCTTCAAGAATAAGCTCACTGCTTTCAACGGCCGCAAGCTTTGCGGGCGCGTGGTGGAAACCGTGCTTCGTGGCCGCTCGGTATATGCTCTTGGTAAGGGAGTCAGCGACGTGCCGATCGGTGAACTGCTCCTGGAACCAAGAAATAAATAGATGTATGCAAAATTAAATAACTTAATTATTTATTATAGTGTATGATATTTTGTTCTGCTACACCCCGTATTTCATCTTAAGGATTTCGCCAACAAACGGATCTAGCTCGGACAGCAACGCGTTCCACTCCGCGTCGCCTAATCCGCTCTTAAAACAGGTGAGAAGGTGATGTAGCTTGCTTCCCAGTCTATTGGACGGAGCCTCGTAATATGCAATGCAATCGATGAAGTGCTTCATAGCCATGCGCCCGGAAACATCGTGTGGGTTCAAACAAGTGGGGTTTGCTGTGATGATGTTGCACATTCCTTCGAACGATGTTTCTTTTTCGTCGTTTTCTTCCAGATACTTCATGAACGAGCACCAGGTGACAAGCACCTGAGGAACATACGGACCCATATCTGCGGCGTTGTGAACCCCCATGCGTCCAATGGTAATGGAGGTGTTGTCAAGAATCGTTTGTTCGACGTCCGTGCTCAGAAGAAGAGGAATCAGCACATTCATGAAATTTGCGATGTACTGCTTGAAGATGTCTGCGGAAAGACGCAGGCACATTTCGCCCAGCGCCCACACCGCGTTGTTGCAGGCCGCGCTAGAGCGAAATGTCCTATTCGTCACTTCGTTCCCAATACAGACCATCACCTGGTGTAGATGCGGAACCACTAGTGGCTCCATGAGAAAGATAGCAAAATCTCCGAGAAGAGCATAAGCACTTTGACGAACATCGTCTGTTGGGTCGTCGAAACAGTATATCACAAGCTTCATCAGCGAAACTTCGTTCGTGTCAAATTGCTGGATAAGCTGAGCGCTGTGCTGTTTGAGGCCTTGCACCAGACCATCGATCAGGTCCAGGGAAGTAACGATGAAGTCCTTCTCAGGGGCTTCAAAGCCTGGATTGTCATTTGACAATCGTGCCTGCTCAACGCTCATAGCCAGAATCCGGAACGCACGCTCGTAAACTGGCACCGCGTATGGAGCGAACGACTCGCCCAAGGCAGCTGCAACAGAAGACATACACTCCAACAGTGGCCACAAATCCTTATCGTTGTCGGTCAGCTGCTGCCATTTCTCTATGAGTGGAGGTAGGAGAATCTCGATATAGTCCGGCTTGTAGCACAGTTGGTCGCCAACTTTCTCAGCGAATGTTTGTACGGTGTCGTAAAGGATGATGAGGTTTTTCCGTTGGTATTTCTTGAAATAGGCTTGGAAGTGGCTCAGTAATGGCTCAATGAACTCAGCCAACAACTCGGGTTGAGCTGAATCAATGAAGTCGGCTAACGAAGAACAGGCGCTCTCCTGAACAACTTTCTTTGTGTCCAAGGCGCATTCCATAATCGACTGGAACGTTGGAGCAAAGTAGTTAGCATAGGAGCCTCCGCTCAAAGCTTCAGAGCACACCCACGAAGAATAGCGGCCCAGCGTCCAGCAGGTGATTTGACGGACCCGGGTTTCAGAGTCTTTCAGTCTCTCTACCAGGAACGGAATCAAAGATGGAAGCTCAGCAGAAGCCTGGTCCAAACAGCCCTCGGCTATTGCTCCCAAAGCAAGGATTGAGGCTTCTCTTACTGGCCACTGTGGAGAAACTATTCTCTCCCTGATAATCGGAAGAGAAACTTCCAACACCTCATAAGGGTAGTTTGTAGCTAGAATATCCATGGTGGCAGCTGAACACTTTCTCAAATTCCATTCCGTGGATCCATCGATGTCGTCCTCGTCGTCAGAATCGTCCGAATCTTCTTCTTGGTCATTGTTTGCGGCATTCTTGCTGGCAAGCTTGTGGGCCTCTTTTCCTTTAGCCATTTGGGGCTTGATGTCGTCGTCTTTGTCCTCGACATTCTCGTTGTCCTGCTCATCAGAGTTCTCAATTAAAAACACATTCATCTCAGAGTAGACCATCTTCTCCAAGAGCACTGGGATCAGAATTGGAAGCTTGGATTTGACAATTGCCTCAGGCATGTCGGACGTTGCCAAATTCAGCAAAAACTCACATGCTTCCAGAGCCACTTCCTCGTTCGAGTCTCCCATCGAATGAATACAGTAGTTGATGACGCCATCCAAATGAGGCATTAGCTTATCTGGACGTTCTTCGAGAATGCTGGCGAAAGCAGTACACACTTTGGTTCTAACGTTCGGATCTTCATCCGTTGCAAGTCCAAATAAACGTGCCATGAACTCATCCAGGTGGATATACATGCTTTGTGACTTTATAGTCAGAATCTGGTTGATACACCCAATTGCGCTGGCTTTCACCTTTGGATTGGGGGAGCCTGTCAGCTCAATAAATTGCGGCACCATAAAATTTACAGGCCGTTCGCCATTATATTCGCGGTCCAAGAGGCGAGCGGAATCTTCACAGATTTTCATCAAGGCACTCATAGCTCCCTCTTGCGACTCTGCAGTACCTGCAGCACCAGAAGCAAGCTCCATCAAGTTGGGCAAAATATTGGGCCACTGACGGACACCGAATATGGAAAATAGTGTTGTGATGACATTCCCTGTGATGTTCCTCACTAGGTTCTGCGAGTCCAACAGCCCTTTAGGGATCTCTTGTAATAAATGTGACTTCAAATCCTCAGACTTTGATTGAAGGTTCTTTATGAGGTCATTTTTCAGCAAGAGTCCGGCAGACGCCCTAACTTGGGACTCGAGGGATTGTCCGTTAATCAAAATATGCAAAAGATAATTGTCGAAGTCCGTTTCCTGTCTTACTTTTTCTAAAGCTTCTGTGGCCTGCAACCGCACGTTACTGTCAGACGATAATGTTCCTGCAAGAATAAGTACAATCTGATCCAACGCCTGTGCGTTAGGCGTCCATTGGGGCATTGTAGGGGAAATCTGATATTTTGTGTGGTAGGAGTTAAAGCTTGTACCCTGAAACCTCGTCTTTGATGCTTAACGGAGCACGTATATATCACAGATGTAATCAGGATCACGGTTGAGCTTAGATGAACAAATCTGAATCCTTCCCCCCGTTAATTTTTCAGTAAATCAGCACTTGTTAATTGTTCAGAAAAATTTTTGGAATTTTTTTTTTTAGGCCTGTGTAAAGATGTGTATTTATTTTACATCGAGCTCATCAGTTATTATAAAATCGTTCAGCATATTTTCCAGGACCTCCAGTTGGTCGAAAAGAGGATTGAACAGCTCACTAGCCACAGGATGCAATGGTTTGGATCTAAGAAGATCAGTCTGGGATGCTTGCGGTGCTAAAGGATCGGAAGAAACACTTGACAAGTTTTTGCGTTGCGATAAGCTTGATGTCGTAGAGTCATTGGAAGCCTCTCTCTGAGATAGCTTGCTATCTTTCTTTTCCAAAAAAAGTGTTCGCTGCTCCTGAAACGACAGCGTTCTGAACTGCTTCTTTGTCGACTGCGCAGTCTCATCAAATGTAGTAGTAGAATTATCAACCTCTGTCGTCGAGGTAGTGGGTGAAAAGGAAGCAGCAGACTCGGTACGCTCTTCTTGATCCGACTGTTTATCATCAATGAAACCCCCGTAGAGGTCGGAGTCAACGGATGATATGCTGGTTCCGTCGTCGTCGACATCGTCAGGCCTTTTCTCCTGGAACGAAAACCTGCGATGTTCTTGGTAATCATCGAGGTTTTTCACCAAGAAATTCGAATTGCTGACTCGTTTTTTGACTGTCAAGGGGACAGGCTGAGGCTGCGTATCGCTCCCAGGCTCGGACTTGGTATCGTCGACCTCTTTCAGCTCGGAAAGAATTTCTGGAACGAAGGACACGGTCTTGCGCATGGACGATTTGCTACGTTTGAGCGAGCTTTTGCGGCCCAGCAACGAGTTATCGCTCTTGCTGCTATCATTCTGGTTCTCGTATAGTGTCAAATTGGAACCAGAGTAAACCTTTTGCGAGTTCAGCTCAAACTCTTTCAGATCGTCAACCGACAGGCACGTTGTATCCTCTCTTTCGATGACCTCATTTTTCCAGCAATTAAGTCTGGCAAGACGCTCTTCAAACGTCTCCAACACTTCTGCGGGCGCAAATCCAACTTGATTATTAGAACTTCGTTTCACCAACCACCAGTAGCTGTCGGAATCATTAAGCAGGAGCACGGAGTCATCTTTAGACAGTTCCAGGTGCGATGGGTCGGGCCCGCTGAAGTCGTATAGCGCGTATAGCTTATCAGGATCCAGTTCTCGTGGAGGAGAAGAAGGTGGCGATGGCAACATCCCCTCCATGTAATCGTTGTAATCATCCTCTTCTGGTATATTCTGAACAGCCTCTGCCACCTCTTCCGCATCGTCGCTCGTCTCGCCACACTCATTCTGCAGGGCCTTCAATGTATCCGCGAACATCTGGTCTGTATTCAAGGTAGCAGAAACTGCTTGTTTCAGATCCTCAACGGTCCGCTTTGCTTCCGCCTGGTAGCCTGGATGTATCACTGTTGATGACGCTTGTGATGAACTATTAGACATCTCGTCTGGCAGAAAATTCCGTCGCGCAGGAGGCATCTGTCGCAGATCTATGGCTAGAGAATCCTGCTGTAACCAGAATTCCTCGTCCTGATCCAGATCTTTTCGCGTGTACTGTCTTCGTTGATCTATGTTCATGGCTAGTGGTGACGCGCTCTATGTGAAAAGCCGTCTAATTCCCTTTTTAAACCGCGCCAGACACTCAATTCCGTCACGAATGCAGTTCTAAACAGTATCGCGACCTTGTGTTTTGCCAGGGAATGGTGTTTTTCTAAACAAATAAATCTTTTGCATCTCTACACCCGCAATAGAAGTCAGGTACTACGTCAAGATCTAGGCTGTTGGGATAGCCGCAAAAGGCATATTGATGCTGACACGAATGCAGCGTTTTTTTGCTCATGCTCATGCTAAGCTGGGCTGCGCCATCTTGCTGACATTGCTGTGCAACATCACTTCCGTCCGCTACCGTCATCCAAAAATCAGAAGCACAGCCACCGAAGCCATGTGGCGATACAGGAAATACAATCTGGCAGATTCTAACATAAAGAATCTTCCGAAGTATAAAAAACTGCAATAGATTTTAGTCTTAGTTGAACATGTCTGAATACAAAGTAAGTACGAACAGGTCTTGAGACTAACACTACAGCCACCATCCGGCCCTCCGCCCGCAAGTAAAGGCGCAGCAGCAGAATATTACAATTCGGGGACCACATATAGCGCACAGCCTCCAGAGGAGAGAGGCATGTATTCAGGAAATCAGTCATACTATCAGCAGCAACAACCGTACTACCAGCAATACCAGCAGCAGCCGATGTATGGGCAGCAACAGCCATACTATCAGCAACAACCCTATTATCAACAGCAGCCGGTGTATGCTCAGCAGCAACACCCAAATAATGACGGGACCGACTGTCTAATGGGATGCTTGGCTGCAATGTGCGTGTGCTGTACACTGGATGCGATATTCTAGTCTGCCGCTTTTGCCAATATGGAGAGAAAGTGCTCTAACACTTTATTTTCGAATGAAATCATCTCCAATCTCGAGTCTTTATTGAGTGTAGAATTAACAGACGCGTCCACGAGGTTATGATGAAACTGTTCATTTTGTATCTTTAATTTAGCCACCAGTTGATCATAAGCTTTCAGTTTTTCCTCTTTGCTTTCCAGCTCGGTGAGTAGCTGCTGTTCTTTGAGCTGACTCGTTTCGTGTAGCTCATTCAACTGTGATTGGAGAAATCGAGCTTGTTCCTCTTTCTCTAGTAATGCTTCTTCCAGTTCTGCATCTTCTGAATTTTCCTCGAAGCCCTCGAATTCAGACCGCTTGTCGGCAATGAGACTAAACTTTTCCAACACCTTTTTATACTCCAGCGGCAGGTAATTTATATTAGTCATAGCCCACGCCATTCGCTTTCCTCGAACGCTACTAACCAAGAGCAAGCAACAATAATGGTAGATAGCTTCGGTCAAAGCTAAGTCTTCGACAAACTCGCACTTTGTCTCCCCCTTCACGTACCTGTCCAACAAAGAAGAATCCATAGCTTGGAGGTGCGATTCTACCACCTCAGTGCCAATAAACATGTCTGCAAGAAATTCGGTTAATACTTTGAAATACTGCGTGTTGTCATCAATTGAGCTTGTTTCGATAGGCCGCTCACCAATGATACACTCAACCACTTCGTTGACAAATTTTGGATCTAAAAACTCCGTAAGTCGCGGTCTCGAAGAAACCGCCAGCGCCTTGTACTCTTGCAACCATTTGATTGTGGCCTCAATTATCTTGTACTGGCTGTTTGGATTGCTCGTTTGAGGGATTGAAACATTTGGATGATTAGCCATTTAAGTGATCTGAGTTTTGGCTGACGGCTCGACCTGGACGCTTGTCTTTAGTTCACCACTTTTTTGATTGGATTTGAACTTTCTAGCCTTTGCTTTCTTTGGCTTCTGTTGTGCGCTTGTATTTTTCTCTTTCTCCTTCTTTACGCCCTGCTCCTTTTTCTCCCTCTTTTTTTTCGACGCGTCTTTCTTTTTCTCCGTCGCTTCATTTCGCTTTCCAGCAGATGAGCTACGACCCTCTTTGGGTGCTTTCTTTCTTTTAGCTTTCGTCAAATAGGGACCCAGGAACTCCTCTTCAGTGATCTCGCTTGAAGCCATCTTCAGATAGTTCTGAAATAAGGGTGATTGTTCCAGTTTGGTTCTGCTTTTTCGATGCCCTGGAATAAAGGGTGCAGGAACAGATTCGTTAAGAGCTCTCTGTATATCTGAGTTTGCAAATGCAAAATCAACTGACTGAATGGAGTTCCGAAGTTGGCGGATAACAGACTTGCTATGCTCTGCGCTTGCCATATGTAGGTAGGCCCGTGAGTGAACTGGAGACTCATTGAGGTCGCATGAAACTTTACCTTGGACAAAATAGTAGGACTTGACCCCTTTCAGGCTGGCTATTTTCTCAACAAAGCGGTCATAATCCATATCAGCAGGGAGCTTGCGCAAGACTATCCTACATGGATCATGTACCAACTTAGATACGTTTTCTGATTTGCGTTCCTCATTGGATCCAAAGAAAATCATACTAAAAAAAATAATCCAAAAATAATTATCTACTGCATGTCGCTCGCTGATTATTTGCAATTGGTCCATAATGCGATTCAAACAGACACGCTGCACACCGCTCTTTCAGTGAACCCTGCTACTTCACACCTTCCTCCATTGCAAAAGAATCTACAAAACTACTCGAACAGTCACCTCATGAATCAGATAGAGAAGGCCTCATTTTTCGGCGGAGACTGGCCGTCGTTCGAAACACTAGTTCAGAGCTACCTCATATTTGTCCGCGATTTTGATCCATGGTCGCTGCAAAAGTCGATAGACCTTCTTATCAAATTTTACGAGAGCTTGAGCGTTGCGCTCAGTAACAGCCAGAATGCCAAACTTTTGAGACTAGTACAGGAATCCACCACCAGCATTCTCCGCCTAGCCAAGTTGGTGGATGAGAAATTAATGAGTATCAATGGACGCACGAACGATTATCCTCGCTTATCATACATGACGACATTGCTACTGAAGAGTCTGAACAACATAAGAAACGACCCAGAGCTCAACATTCCCTCCAAGAGGTATAAAATCTCGATTTTAATGTTTCTCAGCATCACGCTCTGCCAGACCTACATGTACATAGACTCCGTCATGCTGTGCAACAACGTTTTCTCCAATATCAACATTCTGGCGCTCGACAAGAGTCTCATCTCGCGCAAACAGCTGATACAGTACAGATTTGTGCTGGGCAAATTCCACTTGCTCCAGAGTAACTACTACGTCGCATATCACCATTTCTATTGGTGCTTCAAAAATTGCCACCAACAGGCGCCGCTGAAGAATGTACTTCTGATTCTCAAGTACTTGCTGCCGTCGGGGCTGCTTGTGGGAAAATGCCCCAACTTGCCGTATTTGGAGGCGCAGCTTGGTAACCATGAACTTCTACAATTGTATCGTCCATTGATCCAGTGCTACAAAAATGGAGATTTATTTGGATTCTCCAAAATGGTGGCAGAAAAGCAAGAATATTTCATTAAACTTGGAATTCTAATAGGGTTTTTGCAACGGGTAAGGATTTTGGTGCTCAGAAATCTGGTGCTCAAAACGTACAGATTACAGGGGGGCCTGAGTTTCGATTCTGTACGGAAGGCATTAGAAGTGTCACTGAATCCAGAAGCAATGACGAGCGAGTTTGCTGCAAGAGATCAATGGTTTTACACGGTTCTCAATAAGCGTCTGGATGAGACGTTCGTCGAAACATTGTTGATGTCGCTGATAGATGCAAACTTGCTTAAAGCCAAGCTCACTCCTTCGAAAACAATAATTTTGAGTAAAACAGCGTTGTTCCCAGCCGCGTACTCGGTGTACGAGAAAAGCATAAAGAGAAACGACAGGGAGAGGTGGCTCGACTGAAATCTTGTACAATATTTCCTAATTCGCTACAGTTATAGACGTTCCAGCGTGTAGATTTCGCTATTATTGATGATGCGCGCGTCAAAGCGTTAGCACGCGTCAATGGAAGGAACAGGTACGGTAGCTCTTATTGTTGTCGCACCTTCACACCGCATTCTCCTTTGAAAATAAATTGAAAAAAAATAAACGCGTCCTCGGGGATGCCTTTATTGATACAACAAACAACGCGTATATATTAATGAAAAATTTGAAGACGGTAGTAGCAACCGGAGATTTAACAGAGGCAGAGGCCAAGATCAGCAGGTGATGGACTGCAACGGCGACCTCTTACTCTCTCTAACAACGCGTTTCTAGGTCCATTTCGTAAAATTGGTTCCGAAACTATTTTAAAGGAGTTTCAGCCAAGCATGCACACTCCTTTGCAAAGCCATTACTAAATTTAGCCAAATTGACAGCCGAGGTATATATAAACGCGAGATCCACTAGGCCTTTTCTTCAGTCAACTCGCTAACACCATGAAGATCGCATCCTCACTCGCTGCCATCAGTCTGGCCTCCAACGCATTCGCTGCCTATGTTGGCTCTACCTTTTGGACGACCATGACCCCATCCCAAACCCTGGATGGTGCTATGACTAGCTACTCTGCCACCTTCGGTATTGCTGTTGAGCCCCTAGAGACCAGTTCGTCCGTGACCGCGTCTCTCAACGTTGAGAAAAGACACGTTGCTTCCCAAATTGATGATGGCCAGATTCAAGCTACCACAGGCACCGAGGAAGAAACCTCCAAATCGACTGCCGCAGCTGTTGTCACGCAAATCACGGACGGCCAAATCCAAGCCACCACTGCCACCACCACCTCTTCTTCCTCGAGTTCCAAGAGCACCGCCGCCGAGGTTGTCACTCAAATTGGTGACGGTCAAATCCAGGCTACCACCTCCACTTCCTCCAAGAGCACTGCTGCAGACGTTGTTACCCAAATCGGCGACGGCCAGATTCAGGCCACCAGCAAGTCATCTACCTCTACTGCTGCAGACGTTGTGTCTCAGATCACTGATGGCCAGATCCAAGCTACCACCAGCACCGAGGCATCTTCCACCACCAGCGGTGTGATCTCCCAGATTTCCGACGGTCAAATCCAGGCATCTTCTACCACCGCTTCGACGACCTCTTCCGAGGCCTCGTCCACTGCAACCGGTGACTACATCGACGCCGTCTCCTGTAAGAAGGAGGGTGCTCTGGCCATGACCTTGAAAGACGGCGTCCTGTATGACTCTGAGGGAAGAATTGGCTCTATCGTCGCTAACAGACAATTCCAGTTCGACGGTCCTCCACCACAAGCTGGCGCCATCTATGCTGACGGATGGTCCATCTCCCCAGAAGGCTACCTGGCCATTGGTAACAACACCATTTTCTACCAGTGTCTGTCGGGCACCTTCTACAACTTGTACGACGAGTCGATTGGAGGCCAATGTAATGAAGTCCACCTGAAGGCGGTCGAGTTGGTCGACTGTTAGGCATCTACTGTAATAGGTCGAGCAAAGAGATACAAGGTTATATAAATGATTAGTCATAAGAAAATTATTCGTACCTACCTATGATTTGGCACTGGAACTGGGAGACAGTCTGGCAGTGTTTTCACATTCTTTGTTTGGTTTTCCGACTAGAGGCCGTTGCCTGGCTCTCTTACATCCACCCGGACGAGTTTTTCCAGACCTTCCAGCCGCTGTTCAACGACAATGTACCGTGGGAGTTCCGACACGCATGTCGCTCGATCGTGCCGATCAAATGGATCCAGATAGTCGTTGAAAACCTTGGAGAGTCGCCAGTCGGTTCCTACAAGCTTGTCAAACTGATTTATGCGCTCATGACACTGATCGCCGTCCAAGTGACGCTACGCAAATTGCATCCTCGCAGACGAGACTTCTCCAAGACCCTGTTCCTGGCAGACACAAGCTACGTTACTCTGGTGTATCAGTCACACACATTCTCCAACAGCATCGAAACCTGCGTTCTTCTGTATACTGTTTGGATCATCAATGACATGAGAAAGGCCTTGGAGAGCAAAGACAAGAGGATCTATTGGTACAAGCTTCTGTTTCTAGGCTTTTTGGTTGCCTTTGGAATCTTCAACAGAGTCACGTTTGTCGCCTGGCTGGTCCTTCCGTCAGTCTTTGTTCTCAAGTACGGCCTCCAGAACAAGCTTCAATCGCTGTTGGCGATCCAAAGTTTCCTGTTTTTCAGTCTCGTTTTCATCGCCGCTGATTCCTACTACTTTACAGGCTCCATCAATGCTTCCATAATAACTCCGCTGAATAATATACTATACAACAGCAAAACCTCTAACTTGGCACAACACGGTCTGCATCCGTACTACCAACATGTACTAGTGAACTATCCAACTATGTTTGGCCCGCTTATATTCCTAGCCTTTCCATTCACGACAAAAAACATCAAGTCTACCTCGTTCCTGACAATGGCATCGGGGATCATAGTATTGAGTCTGGTTCCCCACCAGGAACTTCGTTTCCTCATTCCTATGGTGCCGCTATGGGCCAGCTGCGTCAACATATCGCGGTCCACAGTCAACAAAGTGTTCTTGATGCTCTGGATTCCATTTAACCTCGGAATGCTAGTTTTCATGGGAAAACTGCATCAGGGAGGCGTTGTACCTGCTATGCAGGAGTTGCAACATCGCCCAGGGAATCTTGTGTTCTGGAAAACATACAAGCCTCCAACATGGTTCATACACAACGATTCGTTATCGTTTATCAACAAAGATGAGCCGGACTTTGAGGATAGAGCAAGAAACGCGACATCTCCATTTGTGATAGACTGCATGGGCTTTGAATACGAGTTACTGGAGCCGTTGCTATCGGACATTACGCAAACGAACGGACATGTCCTTCTCATCGCTCCAGAGAACGCCATGCTTAATTTTAGAAACACTAGTCTCCATTACCGTCAAATTTGGAGCTATAAATGGCATTATAGTATGGATCATTTTGAATTCGATAAATACGGATGGGAAACCTTCAAACCAGGCATTGGAATCTTCAATTTCACTGCTTATTTATAGAATTCAAACTTATCGACTTCGTTTCCTGTCTTGACTTGTGCCGTGTACGCCTCTTCCAAATCGCTCTGTAAGATAACGTATCTGTTCTTTCTCACTGCACGGAGACCAGCTTCTTGCATAATGGCAGCGATGATAGCTCCACTCAGCGGCTCATTTCTCATAATCAACGAATCCAGATCCACCTCTGGAGAAAGCGACATCTTGGCTGCGATTGTACTGAAAATCAACCTCCTCTCCCTTCTGTCCCTCAGCGATGGGAACTCAATCTTTCTGTCCAATCTTCCAGGTCTCAAAAGAGCCGGGTCCAGCGTATCTGGTCTATTAGTTGCCATGATCACCTTGACATTGGTGGATTGGTCGAATCCATCCATCTGCGTGAGAAGTTCTATCAGGATTCTTTGCACCTCTCTGTCTGCACCGGTCTGGGCATCAAACCGCTTTGTGGCAATTGCGTCGATTTCGTCGATGAAAATAATCGATGGCGAGTTTTCCCTGGCCAGTCTGAAAACGTCCCTCACCATTCTGGGACCTTCTCCGAGGTACTTCTGCACAAACTCTGAGCCGTTGACTCTAATAAACGAAGCGGTAGAGCTGTTGGCAACGGCCTTGACCAGCATGGTCTTACCTGTACCTGGGGGGCCATACAGAAGGACACCTCGAGGAGGGTCTATACCGATCTGCTTGTACAGATCTGCTTGCGTGAGGGGCAACTCAACAGCCTCTCTGATTTCCTGTTTTTGCATGTCTAATCCGCCAACGTCGTTGTAGGTGACATCTGGTTTTTCGTTTTCGCCGACTATGGATATCGATGAATCTGCCTCTGGTGGTAAGATGTCTACAAGGGCGTTGGAATGACGGTGGAGAGCAACAGATGCCGAAGGTTTCAAAAGCTCTCTATCCAAGGTCGACAAGATTCTAACGACGTAATTGGAACCAGTAGTCGACGAGACGATACCTGTGTGCTGATCGATAGGCTCCAGGAATTGTCCAATGACAAGAGGAACGCTTTGAATTTTCTTCACTTCTTCCTGTGCTCTGATCAATTCTCGTTTTAAGTGACGCTGTTCGTCTTTGATGTAGTCTTCTTGCAGCATCAGAAGTTGCAATTCCTTCTCCAGCTTCTTCAGCTTTAAATAAACGTCTGTGCTACTCTTATTGGCATTACCATTGGCACTCGAGTTTACACTTTGCACAGGCTGGCCAATACCAGGAGTGTGAGATGGGTAGATACCAATTTCTTCCATGCTGGATTGATATTGTTATAAGGAGGATTCAAGTTTTTGTTACGCTCTAACCGGTGGCAAACTGATTTATCCAAAACTTTTCGCTCGCTTGTCTCTTGCTCGGTGTAAGGCGGATTTAATTGTCGACGCGTCGGTAGACTCTATATATTTATAAGAGCAGTCTAGATACAACCATGCCTAGGATGAGGAAGATAGAGCTAATTGCGCCGCAGAATGCAGACAGTTCCACCGACGACACATCCAGCTTGTAGACTTTGTCACTGAAAAATATAAGTCTCAGCCTGGTGGCCCAATGTTTTATGCTACTCCAAGATAGATCGGCAGGTAGTATACCTTCCACGTGCTCGAACTTGTCAAGTCTGTGCTCGATCTTCTGTAATCCTGATTTTAGTTGGGCCCAATTTTCCTGTTCTTGGGTCTCAAAGAGCTCTTTGACTTTCGATTCGAAAGAGCTCAATAGTCTATATCGTTTCCAAGGCTCGAATAACAGCTGCACCAAGAGCATAAGCAACAAGTTTACACACACGATGAAAATGGTGCCCCACGTAGAAAACTGCCGGATCTTGTCGGACCACACCTGCTCCTCGTGATACCTCTCCATAATGCTCTGAATCAATTCATTGTGCAAATCATTCTCCTTGGCCTCCAACTCAGCCACTTTGTTGGAGTTCGCCTGCACACGGCGCTCCAGCTCGTGGCCATTTCTGTAGAGGTTTGTGAATTTCTCGAGATCTTGGGAACTCCAGTTGTGTTTCCGCTCAAGAAGCTCGTTGATCTGTTTTTGTGCCGACGTCTGCTCTTCAACAGCACGCGCATACTCCTGCTTGCTTTCACTGATCAAAGCTCTCAAATCTCTCATCTTCTGTTCGTTCTGCACTATCTTCTCCTTCAATTTGTTGATCCTCGTGTAGCCAGTCAAGTCGTTCATGAGTTTGGAGGCTATAGTTGCACTTTTTCTAAGCTCACCGGCCGTTCGGTCGAGCTTCTGGCTGAAGGAGCTGTGGTACTCTTTCGCTAGTTTGGCTCGCTCGGCGTGAAAACGTGCAAACTCGGCCTTGAGCTCTTTGAAATTTTCGCTTCCAATGACAGCGTTGATGTAATCTTTGAAGGCAGACCCGTTGTTTTCGGGGCTTTTGGATTCTATGTCATGGATCAGCTCGGCTGTCTGTTTATTTTTTCGTTCTGTTTGTTGTCCGTCTGAGGAAACCTTGTCAGTTTTGCTGGAAAGCCGGCGAAGGAAAGCGAGCGGGTTCTGCGAAGGATGAATTCTTCGCAAGATCAGCATGGGACTGATTATTTTTTTATTTCCATTATGAACTTCTCCACGAAAAAGCCGGCGCCCAAGGTGGGATTCTCGCTCAAGAAGAAGTCCACGTCCTTGAAACGGAACGAGCTATTTGAGGACGAAGAAAATAAGGACACAAAGATAGAGATCAGCAATGTCGACGACATACGACATAAGAAAGATGAGCCTCTAGTAATTAAGCCCATTATAAAACAAGACGGCTGGGAGGCACGACGGAGAGAGCGAACAGAGCGCGAAAACAAAGAGCTACATTATGGCCTGAACAAAAGAGACACCGAAAGGCCGCAAGCAACAGGCTCACGACTGCTACCCCCCAAATCGACGGAGAGCCAGGACGGCGAGGTCCCTACTTTGAAAAGTTACGAGAAGATGCCAGTAGAAAAGTTTGGCGAAGCAATGCTACGGGGAATGGGCTGGAAGGGTTCTGGAACTCGATCGAAAACGCCTGTATCAAAGCCCAGGCCGCCATACTTAGGCTTAGGGGCCAAGCCGTCGCCAGCTCAGCAGGGTCGCGCTTATAAGCTTGATACCAACTATGTACCCGTTGTCAAAAAAGAGGACATCGCCAACTCGCGAGAAAGGTCTCCAGCAAGAGATCAGGAATATAGGGAACGAGGGGACTGATAATTTGGTAATGTTGAGTATGATGATATAGCCTGTAATCTTTCTTATTTGGGTCGATCGACCTAGAACAATTATGGGGGAATTGGATTTGGAAGATATACTTGAGGTAGAAAGACGAAGGGATCACGAATTATTGGACTCCATGTATGCCACGCCACAGCAATCGGCAGCTCGTGGAATGAGCGACGATGAGGATCCCGCTTGGGAGGACCTTCGCGAGGTCCGTCTCCAGGACTTTGACCACCAGCGACGGTTCGAACGGTTTCTGGCCCTGTGTGGCGTTAAAAGCAAGGTAATCAATCGAACTAGTGGTTTCAGCACCAGGGGATCAGTGGCAGGAAACAGTGAGCGCTATAATTTGTTTCCCGACTCTAGCGATATGAGTGATGGGTACGATGACGACCGGTTTGACCCAGACTTGGAAGACAATGCTTTACAGCCGTTAGTGGTCACGGAGTCAAGTTTGCAGGACCAGGACTTGTTCTACACGGAGAATCAACTGTCGTTTCCTCCACAGGACGGAGAGTACGAAGCCGATACATTGTTAGACCGCAGAATACGCAGATCCGGCGAGAGCAACACAATTTATATCAGCGAGAACTACTACGAGCATGCTATGATCGGGGGCTACGAGTATGTCAGCCAGGATGCATGCAAACATCCGTGCCCTATAAATTCCAACGACACGTTCAAAAACTTCGAAAACCATCACAGTGATGGGGAGATAGAACTCATTCAGGACTTCGCTAAAATAGACTCGCTCGAATTTCCTCTGAGATCGCAGCCGGCCCAGAAGTTCAAAGACTCTCTGGAGATTGAGTTTCACGGATTTACAAAGCTTGATTTTGGCAGGCCGGATAAGTACAAGAACAACATTGTGTGCTGTTCCGCCAGACATGATCTTTTATTTGTTGCTGTCGGAGCGTGTGTCTACGGGTTTACTCACAAGAAGGACAAGTACCAGCCAGACAAGCTGCCTCGCCTGCTGTTCTATACACATCCTTCTGTCACAACAGAAGCTCATCGCCAAAGTGCAACCAGACCGCATTTTCCTCACACAATTAATTACATGGTGATCGGACAGCTCAAAGAGCAGGAGACACTCGGCCTTTGTTGTGACGACGGCAGAGTACTTCTATACAACGTGGATAGGCTGGTCAAGAGCTGCCAGGACAAAGGAATACCCAATATGGGCGAAACACCTGATTTTCAGTTCTCCGCTTCGTCCTCTGTCTGGGGTCTGGACATGTACCAGAATATGGTTGTAGTGTCCGATAATAGCCAGAGCATTCTGTTGCACTATATCGATGAGAGCGGAAACGATTTCCATGTCCAGACACATCAGATTTTGCACAATATTCCCTCTGTCAGTTTCATAAAAGGAGAGGACGAAGTGTATGTTAGTGGGGCTTCCATCAGTGGAGAATTAGTTGTCTTCAAGTTCCCGATGGTGATTTACGAGGGGCCATATAATAAAGAAAACGGAGATAGGTTTGCCAGGGTCCGGTTCCGACGTCCGTACGTCATCAGTCGAGCATTACTGGGAGACAATGTGTGGATCACCAAATACGTGGATCCTAGTTGCTTCAAGAAGGTAGACTCCCTAGAACTGATGACTGGCGATCCATGGATTGACCAACAGAAAATGGTATTGAACAAGATGCTCAACGAGAGCAAAGTGCTCGACTGTGAGTCTGACGAGTGCTATTCTAGCCACATCGGTATCTCAGCCAACTTCCACAACTTTTTTACGCCAACCGTGGCGCTCGACCACCTGAGCCTGATTACTCAACAGAAGCCATTTACCTCATTGTCTGATAACTATCGGCGGATTAAAAAGGTGTACGATGATTATTACATTTCGAAACAGCGCTCAAAGCAGAAATCGCACATATCGATGAACTCCAAAAAATACTGGGAGCCGCAGATCAGAACGCCTCAATTCACCGACAAGTTTCTGGTTGTGTCCACAGCGTTACGCATGGGGCTTTTCCGCGTGAACAAGCTTATCTGCAACGCGACAGTGCCCAAGGTTTTCCAGTTCAAACCATTTAACGAGGACTGGCTCCATTCCAACCGACTGTCTCTGGGATTTTTGGTTCCTGAACTCAATTGCTTTGTGGTGGGCTCGCAGTCAGGTTTGGTGTCGGTATTCCGTTTGACCACATTCCGGGGCATCTACGGAATGCGCCAGGAGTATGTGGTTCCGAACTACGAGCGGCTATGCCTGAGTGGCGATTTCGGCGTGCGGACGCTCATTGGCATTGATTGCAGAAGAATAGCACAAGGGCGGTACGTGTTGTATCTCGTCTACATCGATGGGATATGTCTCAGCTACCAATTGAGCGACAAGTCTATTGGTTTCTACGACGATATGTGGATTAAGTAACACTATTTTTTCTCTAAATTTTTCGTTTCTGACTTTTTCGTCATGAATAAAGAGGAGCTACTTCAACACCTCCTGAACACTCTGTCTCCGGACAATGCCTTGCGGAGCTCGTCTGAACGGAGCCTTGTGAAAGCATTGGCTGAGACAGGTGTTCTTGCAGACTGTCTGGAAATCTCTACCGAGCAATCGTTGCCGTCTCATATTCGGCTTGTCGCCATCACTTTCGTGAAGAACCGGATCCGCAACTCGTGGTTCATCTCCGAGCGCTCTCCAGAGCAACTGCTAGGGCAGCGCATCAAACCAGAGGAGAAAGAGCGGATCAAGCGCCAACTGATCCCGGCAATTATTAGCTGCACAGGGAACCAGGCTGTCCTCAAACAGCTCACCTCCTCTATGGAGCACATTCTTCGTTTGGAGTCCACGTGGGATACAGAGCTGCTGGAGTCGGCACACAGCATGCTCAGAGAGCACTCGGACAATTTCGACTACGTTTATGCCAGCTTGCTTCTGATCCATCAGGTCTCGAAATACCACCGTTTTGATGCCCTGGAGAACAGAGCTTTCATGAATGCTCTCGTGGCCAAATTCTTCCCTGCACTAGAGACACTCCTAGAATCATACATTACCCAAATACCGTCCAGCATTCAGGTGGCTCAGCTGATTCATCTGGTTCTGAAAATATACAAGTACTGCACTTACACTGAAATGCCAGACTATTTCAACAGTGACCTGAATCTGCTTAGTAAATGGTGCGGCTACATGTTCCAGGTCATCGATCTGGACAATACCAGCCTCAGGGACCTTGACGCTGTTGAGCGGGCAAGCCACCCTGTGTCCAAATGCCAAAAATGGTCATTTGCAAACCTTCATAGACTTAGGTCGCGACACTGCACTAACGACAACAACCAGGCACTGCAGCAGAGCCTAATAGCACATTTTCTTCCTTCCATTCTCCAGCACTACTGGTCAGTCATTGGCAGATGGACGCAATCAAAGAATGACCATTGGCTCAGCGAGGTGTCTCTCTACCACCTTGTGGCATTTATCAGCGAGTGTTTACAGTACGACGGCATCTGGGGATCCATCAAAGAACAACTCGATCCGCTGATTCGTCACGTGATTGTCCCTATGCTCAGCGCGTCTGAGGAGACCGTGGAGCTGTTTGAGGACGACCCTCAGGAGTACCTCCGAAGGTTCTACGATATAAATCACGACTCGAAGACGGCAGACGTTGCTGCCAACGAGTTTGTGTACGCGCTGACGTACCGGCGCTTTGAGGAGTCTGTTGTTGTGGTGATGAGCATCTTGAATGAGATTTTCCAGAGCAGGCAGCAAAACCCGGCTGACGAACATGTTGCGTACAAAACTGAAGCCGGCTTGAGACTTCTCAGCAATGTGTGGATGAAGCTCAATAAGCCCAACAGCCCAATGAGGGATCAGCTGGACGAGATCACAAAGTCGTTTATCCTACCCCAGCTCTCAGACAGCAAGTATAAGTGGCTGCAGACGAGGGCCTGCGAGACGATCGCCCTCACAACACATAGCTGCAAGGATATTCAGCTGCTTTCGAGCGTATTCGAGAATGTGATGACCTGTTTTGCGAAAACCAGCCCGCTTCCGTTGCGGATTGAGGCCGCCGATGCTCTGCGGTATCTAGTCTCGTTCGAGCCGATTGCGAACGAGCTTTCTCCTAGAATATCTCTTGTGATGTCTGAGCTGCTTGAGATGAGCAATAATTTCGAGTTTGAGCTTATTAACGAGATCATGGACGATATTGTTTCGAAGTTTGCCAAGGATCTCGAGCCGTTTGCCACGCAGCTGGCTTCCAACCTCAATACGCAGTTCTTGAGGATTGCAGAGGAGCTGCTGCGGTTGCAAAATGTCGACAGTGACAAACAAAGCTCAGAGGAAACGGATAAAGAGTACCAGGCTGCGTCGATTCTGAACACACTCACGACCATGATAACGACTATGACGTCTCAAAAAGAGATCACTTTTGAGCTGATGAAAACTATCGAGCCGGCAATTAGATTTGTGCTGGAGAACGGACTTGCAATCTTCTTGACGGAGATGATGGATCTCTTGGAGTCCATAAACTACACGCTGAAGGTGATGATTCCTGAATCGTGGGTCATTTTCCAATGTGTGATGGACTCTTTTGAAAATTACGGATTCGAGTACTACGACAACTACGAGCCTTATTTTGAGACCGTGTGCATCCACGGGTTCAGGAACACCGACATCGCCAACGACGTGCATTTGCAGCAGTTCCTTTCAGCCATCCTGAGGCTACTCGAGACCGATGACTATGAGGCAGATGTTGGCCTTGTGGAGTTCGTATACAATTTGCTTTCTACTGTCATTTTGTCGGTAGGCCCAAATATCGAGCCGGCCCTGCCACAAATTCTGCAACCAGTCTTGCAGACGGCTGCAAAAATGCAGGCTGACCCCAACGATGACGAGATCTTTCAGGACACCCTTAAGCCGTTCCTGAAAATATTTATTTCCTGTTGCTTTGTTCGTCCGGTGCAGACCTCGCAGCTGATTGGCGAGCAGTTCATGAAACTAATCGAGCTGTGGTTCAATAGCGAAAACAGGCTCACTACGGTTTTCGATCTCAAGCTGCAGATTCTGGCCCTGATTTCGCTCTTGAGCGTCGATGTGGGCATCCTCTCAAACCATAGTGACGTGATTTTGCACCGCTTGATTGCCTGCTTCGAGAAACTTCCCGCAGCCATCGAGAAGCGCGTCATGCTCATGAAACGTGACATGGCAATCTCGCAGCTCGTCGAGACCGGAGAATACGACGGAGAAATATTCGGCGAGCACGACGACGACGAAGAACTGGACGAGCTCACCAAGGACTCGCCCCTGGATCCAATCAACGTTGTGGAGGAATTCAAGTCGTTTGTGTCAAGAGAGCAGCAGAGACTAAAAGACCTGCTGCCTCCTGAAAAGCAACAGTTTGTGCACGACCTGATCAATAAATAAAATATATTACTCGGCAGTGCAAATCTGGTCAATAATCGTACATCTCTATCTATCCACTAGAATACATTACTCGCTCTCATCCTTGACATTCTGTTGCTGAAGACGGTTTCTGCTGGCGCGGAATAGCTCTTCCTGCTGTCTCAGCAGCTCTTCCTCGGACAGCCCGCTATTCTGGAACTTGCTGTTCTTGCGCTCTTTGAACTTATTGCTCTCCTTGAACTCGCTCAGACATTTCTCAAGCACCGGGATGTAATCGACAAATCCGAGCTCGGTCACTGCCTTGAGCACATGGTCTGTCGAAATGGTCTTCTTGAGCTCCTTGTCGGCGATGTCGTTCGATTGAGTGGACAGAATCATGAGGAATTCAATGCAGCACTCGATCAGTGCTTCTCGCGCGTCCTTGGTGAAACTGAACTCAGACGGTAGCACCTCCGAAATGATCTTCTGCACGGTTGCCTTCGGGAGGGACAACTCCTCCTGCGGTTGCTGGTTTTCTGACATTAACGATGGTGGTAATTATGCGGGGGTCCTGGTGTACTCTTGTTAAATTATGTCAATACTGACCCGCGTCTCTGCCATTTCGTGCACCAGCCGGACTGGAAAAAAGTGCTCTTTTTATACTGAAAAATAGTTGCCTGCCAGACGGCTTCCGGGCAGGGTAAGTACGGCTCATAGTTTCAGGCTGTGTTGAAAAATTTTAGAATTAAATATACCACAACCATGTCTCTCGTTGCGTCGGCCTTCGATGCGACAGGGCAGTTCTACGCGAGTGTATCGGTATCTCTCGACTCGCACGTCCTTAGGGTACAGAGCTCCAGAGATATGGCGGATAATCTCTCCAACGTATATCCATTTGAGAAAGGAGTCAAGGTCCGAGCTCTTTCCTGGATCCAGGCCCCCTCAGAGGCGTCAAAAGGTGTCAAAAACAGGCGTGTAGACGCCTCCTTGGAAGACCAGCTGATTGCCGTCTGCTTGGAAAATGGCGCTGTTCATATATATTCCCCAAGCAGAAACGAGATTGTTCACAAGCTAGCTACTTCTAACCACATAACCACATCAGACTTCCATCACAATGCGCATTCTAACGTGGCATACAGTTGCGATATACAGGGAAATCTCTACGAATTCAACCTCAGAGACTGGCAGCTTTCCAAGACTCATAGACCGTTGAGCGAAGAAACAACCTTAACTCGTCTGGCGACAACTGCGTACAATGGTCAGCCGCATCTTATCCTTTGCTCCCACTCCACGTACCTGGTGAATGCTGATGACAACTTTGCTGTTGTCAAGACTCTTCCCGGGCACGTATCTCCTATACATACAGTTCTCAACTATGGTGACGATATAGTTTTCACTGCTGCGCAAGGCGATCGGTTCATTAACGCCATTTCGATCTCGAAAGCCACCACTGTTGGGGTTTTGGTTGCTGAAGAGCCTGTTTTGTCGATAGCAATGGCGGACAATGGGTTTGGTATGACCATCTTGGCTGCTACCACTGAGTCTGGGGCAGTGGAAATATTCAACAGTCCGCTGAAGAAACAGGAGAAAACTGCTGAGTCTGCCAGTTCGCCTTACAAACGCAAGAAAAAACCAGTCAACACACAGAAAAGTGTCGCCAAGATCACGGTCGCTCGGCCTGCATCAGAGGTTGCGGAAAATCTTCCAATTCAGGGCATTTCTCTGGGGCCAAAACACCTCACCTTGACTTGGCTTGAGGATTCCAGCGTTCCCTTCTTTGATGCTCTAGACTGGTGGGTGCTAGCCGAAGATGGCTCAAAAATCTACAAAATAGTCGAGGACGTCAAGCTGGAAAAACCAAAGCCTAATCTCAAGGTTTCTCAGTTCTCTAAAAAGGGCCACGACATTGCTGCTCCAAAAACCTACAACGAGAGCAACGCGGTCGTTTCATCGGGTGACAATCTTAGAGATCTCGAAACAGCCGAGGACGACGACGAAGACGAAATTTCTCTTGCAGAGAGACTGCGAGCAATACAGACGAACGGCCACGCGAATGCCGCTGAGAAGACCGGAAAAGCTTCGACAGGAACCTTGACAACTGTGCTGTCGCAGGCACTCAAATCGAACGATCATTCTCTCTTGGAAAGCGTGCTGAACAACAAGGACGAGACGGTAATCCGCAACACTATCCTAAAACTGGACACGATATATGTTGGCCCGCTTCTGGACAGGTTGGCAGAAAAGATTGCCAGAAACACCAATAGACAAACGAACCTCGCCTACTGGGTCAAGCACATTTTAATATTCCACGGCGGATCTCTGCAAAACTCAGCCAGCTTGAATTTGCTGGCCACCACCATGAAAAGAAAAGCAGGAAATTTAGACAGATTGTTGGAGCTCAGAGGCAGGCTAAGCATGATGACAGACAGATTCGAGCTGAAGCGAGAGCTGGTAGGTCTCGAGACACGCGATGATAACGAGGAAGACGCGGACGTCGAGTATATCGAGGAACTGGACGACGCAGGTCTGCTGAGCAGCGAGGAGGAAGATGAGGAAGAGGACGAGGAGGAGCAGGAGGAGCAGGAGGAGCAGGAGAACGCGGACGGCGCAGTGCCGGGGGACGACTTCTCAGATGACCAGAACAGTGATTTGGAAGTTGAATCGAACGGGAGAAAAATAGACCTTAGCGACTCTGAGGAGTCGTCGTAAAATAGACTGCATTATAATTACGGCTGTGTAAGCAAATGAAATTCTCACGCAACTTTTCTGGCTATAATAGTGAGTGGCCAGAAAAAATGATTATTGTTAACGGGATATTTTATTAGTCGCTTGTCACGGCAGTGGTTATGGGGACCGAAAAACAAATTCCGCCTGAAAAGCCTGATTTTCTGACGTACTCGTCGTTCCCCTCAGGGAGAAATGAGGGCAAGACGCATATCGTGATTGTTGGCGCAGGAATAATTGGAGTTTGCACAGCGTTCTATCTCACGAGACATCCCAGCTTCGATCCGGAAAGTTACCACATTACCATTGTCGAGAGCAAGCGTGTCGCAGGAGGAGCCTCTGGAAAGGCAGGTGGGCTACTGGCCTTATGGGCATTTCCGCAGCAGATTGTGCCATTGAGCTTTCAGTTACACCAAGATCTCGCGACCGAGTTTGACGGAGAGAAGGAGTGGGGTTATAGACGATTAACAACGGTAAGCGTTCAGGGAGATATCACCGAGTCGCGATTGAATAGTCTGGACCTTAAAAAGAGCGGAAGAACAACCAAACGCAGCCAGAAAGCAGAGGAGGACAGGAACGAGGTGAAGTCCACTACAATCTCGAAAAACAGTAACAGTATTTCCATTGAGAGCCAGAACTCAGCTTTTGGGCCGAAGCTCCCTGACGATCTGAGCTGGATCGACCGCAGGCTAATCGATGACTGGAACCATCTCGGTAACAAGAACACCACGGCCCAAGTGCAACCTTACCAATTCACCACATTCATTTTAAAGCAGTGCATTGCCACAGGAGCTGTGGAGCTGATTATTGGCAAAGTCGACGACATAATGATCGATGAAGAAACGGGTCACTGCAAAGGTGTTTCCTACTATCCTTCCAGCGCAAAGGCAGAGTATGACAAGACCTCCAGCGAGAAAGTTGAGCTTTTCGCAGACAAAGTTATGATGTCGGTCGGCCCTTGGACATCCAAGATCCTTCCCGACTGTCCTATTTCTGGATTGCGCGCCCACTCTATTACAGTCCAGCCTGCTAAAGTCGAAGAAATCACGCCTTACGCAGTTTTCACAGAATTACGACTTAGTAAGAGTAAATTTGTGAGTCCTGAAATTTACGCAAGGAAAGACGAAGTTTACGTGTGCGGAGAAGGAGATTCGTCAGTTCAGATCCCAGAGACTACAGACGACGTCGAAATTGTGACCGAAGAATGTGATAAATTGTTTGGCTATGTTTCCAAAGTGTCCGAAAATCTGAAGAACGGCAGAGTGCTCAAAAGACAGGCGTGCTATCTCCCGGTTTTGGATGTGCCTTCTTCTTCGGGTCCACTTATCGGTGAGACGAATGTGGAGAATCTTTATTTGGCCTCAGGGCATTCGTGCTGGGGTATCAATAACGCACCTGCTACGGGTCTTCTTATGAGCGAGCTGCTTCTTGAAGGTAAAGCGACGTCCTGCGACATCAGTGCTTTGGATCCAAGTCTGTACTTTGATGCGTCATTAGTTGTCGATGATGATGGTGAAGAAAGTGAACACGAGCTTGACGAGGAGAACGAGGAGGATGAGCAAGAGGAAGAAGAATGATCATACGAGCAGTTTGGCTACACTAATTAAATTGTGTGATCTGTCAGCTAATACACGGGTAAACAAGATTTTTGTATGCAAAACAAAAAAAATTAAATGTATTTATTCTTTGGGGAACACTAAGCAACCTTTTATTAGTGAAATGTGGAAATTAGTTCAATCAGGACTGTCGGTAGTTGCTGGAACCGCCGAACCGGAATTCGGACCGGACTCAATTCATCCAGTCTGTTCCAATCTGTCTGAAGACGAGCCTCTGTACTCTCCTTTGTCACCAAAAGACTTGGAGTATCAAGTGCCGAGCCACACCTGTGTGGAGACCCAGACATTTTACTTCAACGATGGCGTATACGCTGGTTTTGCCCAGGTGATTCACTCGAATTTAGTTGGTTTGCATACAACGGCTCAGTTTACCTTCAAAGTCTTCAAAAAGAGCAAACCTGATGCCTATGTCTGGACCTCCACCAAGTTGGAGAACTTCACGGCTGCCGGTGCCAACTTCTACGCTGATAATCTATCCGTTGAAGTTGATGATGCGCATAAAGTTTACCGTATCAAATCATCCGTTAATCCTGCAAGCATTGTTGACTTGACTTTCGAGCTTATTGGCGAAAGCGTGAAATTCGGAAAGGACGGTACCACCTACTATGGGACGGATCTTGCCAGGCCATGGGGAGCAATGAGGCACATCTTCTGGCCTCGTTGCAAAGCCTCCGGAACTCTCAAGCTGGAAGGAAACCAGCAATTTGAACAGGATGTCACTCTGAACTCGGGACTCGGAATGTATGTTATGGCTCTTCAAGGCATGAAGCCACATCATGCTGCCGCGGCATGGAATTTCTTGAACTACCAGTCCGAGAACTATTCAGTCGTCGTGATGGAGTTCACCACTCCTAAATCGTACAATACTACCACTGTTAATGTTGGCATTGTTACAGACAAGGATGGAAAAATCCTTCTGGGATCGATTGACAACACGACGAAGCATCTCAAGACATACACAGACACTGTTTCTGGCTGGAACGTTCCTGAAGAAATCGAGTTTACTCTGAGGGGAAAGGACCTAGAAGTTCAGGTTTCAGGTGCCCTTACGCACTTGATTGAGCGTGTCGATGTCATGAATGAGCTGCCTCAATTTGTGAAGAACATTGCTAGCGGAGTGGCCGGCACAAAGCCCTACATCTTCCAGTTTAGCAACGAACTTGATTTCAAACTCATTAAAGATGGAAAGGTTGAAAGCGCTGAAACAGGCTACGGATACACCGAGACAACGTTCATCAGCGATGTCATTAAACCATCAAACTAAGCAACTGCGTTATCACTTATAATGCGTTTAATTAATGTAATGAGGTTAATAATATGCTATATTGCAATGTAGGGGTGTCCTGCAAAAGAAACAACTCTCCCGTCCGAACGGAGGCTCCTTACAGGCGTCTATTATTTTCTTCCGGTTTGCGGGATGTGTCTCGCTCAATCGGATCCTAAATAAATATAGGGGAAAGCGATAAGACAAATCTTAACAATTGTTAGCAATTTGATTCATAGAAACTCTTTCTCAATCCTTTTGGTACTGCTCGATATCCATTAACTAAGTGGAAAGTCAAATAGGGGAAACTCTACAGAGAAAATGGCCTCAAATTCAGTTTCGTTCGTGGCTAATCCGCAAACTCCTAACAAGCCCAAATACACTTCGAACGAGCGATCCTCCGTATCTTCCACGTCGTCTTTGCTTTCAGCGGGCTCGCCATTGTTGAACCAGAACATGGACCTAGCGCGGCTGGGTTCATTGCCTTTCCGTTCTGGAAATTCCAGGGGTAAGACACAAAATGTTAAGTTCTTTAGAACGCGCTCCTCACGGGCCTCTAACTTGGAACCCGATGATGCCTACGATATCAGCACTATTGATCAGGAGGGCATGGGCTCTCAATATCGCGAGAGTTTTTCCTCCGGCGGTCTAGACTCGTCTAGTGAGTGGATCCTATTTTCTCCGGGCCCTTCAGAAACGGGAAAGCCCGCAGAGGATCCTTATTACGACGACGTTTTGAGCACGTCTCTAGAGAAGACCTCTACACAGGATGCGAACGAGGAAAGCTTCGTTAATGTACAAGATGAAGCGGACGATGACGACTCTCTGATCGAAGATCTTCAAGAACACATTAATTTTGACATACCGTATAGAAAGGAGGATTTAAATTCTCGGATCGACAGCTGGCGCAAACAGCAAGTCTCCATCCTTCTCAAGGACCTTGCTGGAGACCAGAGTGAACTGGATGATGACACAATCGAGCTCATTAAGGCCTGGGGAATTGACGACACTGGGCCGGGAGATATCTACCAGAACATATGGTTAAAGCAAACACCTGTCATTGATACGCATTACGGTGATGGTATACTAAAGAGCTATTCAAAGGAGGATCTCAAGGTACTTAGGCAAATATTGGTGAAGCTTTCTGACTCTCTGAGGAGGACCGTCAAGTCTAGATACGTCAAGCCACAGTTAAGCCAGGCGCCAACGAGAACAACTTCGATGGCGACAATCACCGAAGCTTACACAAACACAGCCAAGAAACGGGATCCTGACCAGTTCATGAACAACAAGAGTCTTCAAAAGTACATACCCTACTTTTTGAAAAACCTCATCATCACTTCAGACTTGCTGCCACAGTTCGAGAACTTTGATGTCGATGACGCAAGCGAAGACGAGCGACAGAAAATAATCACAGACGATGGACCTATGGCACCCTATGTTGCTGCTCGTAAAGAGAGTATAATATCTAATTTTTCGGAGGGAGTCAGAATGCAGGCAATTGATGGTGGTCGTCGGAGAAGCAAAGGGCTTGCCAGACGCAACAGCAGCGATAATTTTTGGGACGCGTCTGACCTGAAGAGTGTCAATTCAAGTATATTGACGTACTCTACAGGCAGCATTGTAGGCTTTTAGTTAATATGTAAAGTACATGTTTGGGAATAAATAAGCACAGCTTACACAGCTTTCATACTAAACTTTGCCAATTTGTAACGCGCAAGCACAAAAAGCAAAGTAGCGGAACATGATCCTGCTCCTGCAAAACCAACCATACCGTCATACCCAGCAGCGGTATTTGTGATTGCGATACCGATAGGAATGCAGATCAAATTGCCGAAGCTGACAAAGAAATATGCTGTGCCGTATCTTTTTCCGAAATCTCTAGGATTTGAGATCTGAGACGTGCACAGTGGAGTCAGCGCAAGTGTTCCTGCCGTAGCAAACCCATATATGATACAGAAAATAAAAAATAAGGGCTTGATATGGCCAAATGGCAGCCAGAAAACCAGAATTGAGAGCGCTTGGATGGCTGATACTGCCACCATTAAGTTGAACTTCCCGTAACTATCAGAGAGATGCGAAGGGAGGTATCTTCCAAAAACGCCAGCGGCATTGACCACCGTCAGCGCAATCAGCGACAACGACTCGGAATAACCGTTGTTTAGGGCGTAGGATGGAATGTACGTGAAGCACAAAATTAGTGAGAATTCGTTCATGAAAAGGCCCCCAACAAGAAGTAAATAGACAGGGTCCTTCAGAGTCTTGAAATCAATGCTATGTTTCACTCTATCCCAAACCTGCGAACTGCCATGGTTTTTCGAGTCCCTATCAATTTCGTCGAGACGGTCATCGATCAACAAACAACTCACGGTCAGCAGTCCAATAAAAATGAAAGAAAGCACTCTCATAGTCCATGTGAAGCCAATCTTGGGATAGAGAGAATTACAGACCAGAGGCCATACTACTCCTCCAATGCTGGCTCCGGGCATAGCGATGCCTAGGGCTAACCCTCGTTTTTTGCGGAAGAAATGAGCTATACAACTGACCATCGGTGCCATAAGCAATGCGCAGCCCACCCCACAGCAAATGCCAAACGACAGGATAAATTGCCAAACTTGTGTGCAGTTGGCTGTCGCCAAGAGACCAGCACAGACTAGTAAGGCACCCGGAATGGCCACTTTTTTCGCTCCAAAGGTGTCAAATAGAGCACCGGAGAAAAGATTGCAGCCAAAAGTCAGGAAGGTGTAGATGGCAAAGATCCACGATATAGTGGTAGTTGGGGTTGTTTTGAGTGTATTTTTCTCAAGATACGACTCGATCGCACCCGTCGAATTCATCAGTCCAAAGGAACAGATAAGCCCCACTAGTGAAGCAAACACCGCGGAGTATGCCTTGAATCCCCCATCTGGATAGTAGATGCTTTCACTGGAGTCCTCCTGAGATAACTCGTGGGAATTTTCCTGGGTATTCTCTTCAAATGATTTATTGCCTAGATTAGGGTTTCGGGACTGGAATGCCGACGAAGACCCAATTGGCCGTTCGTCTAGCCTTGAGTGTGTCCCATCAAGATTCTCAAGCTCTACAGACTCTTTTCTATCTCGAGTTTCATGAGCAGGGAACATGAAGAGCACAACTTGCGATAAGAAATCTTTTAGGAAATTGGCGATTTTTTTATTAATACATCTATGTCATGTCCACGTCCCGCGGAGCAGACTCCGTGATCTGACCAGCATCCTCATCAGGATCAATTTCGTCCAGATAACTTAGGTCTTCGCTATCGCGGTACTCATTCATGGTGGACTTCAGAGTTTCTCTTGCCTCATCGAACTCCATGCTGATATCTCCATGGTCAAACTCGTATTCTCCCCGGCTATAATTATTGAGAAAAGCTCCCCTGCTTTTCAGCTGATCGTATTCGCTTAGAGTCTTCTTGAGGAGCTTCAAAATGGACGTGGAGTTTGCCAACATCAGACCGCTGACCTGCTTGTGGGATTTGTTCAGGAATGGTGACTTCTTTCCCAAAGCCATGTGGATAGCCGATGAGCTCCAGGGCACGTAATTTATCCGCGTGCGAGCTTTCACAAGCGCCTTTTGTACATCTGATTGCTCTATCTCTCCAATAATAATGTCCAGTACCGAGAGATTCATTCCTGTGTCGCTGCAGCTGCACATTCTGAGCTTCTTGTCCAGCACTTCCAAAATTACATCGTACGCCGTGCTACGTCTAATTTCGTGTGCATTGGAGACGTAGTCGCTCGTAAAAGGAGTGTAGCTGGCTATCAGAAAATGCAAGTCTGGTGTAGGTATCAATGTGGAGAGTATACTCGTCAACGAGTTGTACGAATAACCTGGAAATCGCAGCGTATTCGTTGCAGCAGACATCACTGTGGAGATAAGCTTGTTAGTGTCTGTGTACGAGGGACTTGAAACCTGCAAGTTCGTGGACGCTATCGACATTAGCGCGTTGTTGTCGAACACGACATTAGCGTCAGAATTCTCAATTAGCCGTTTCAAAGTGAGAACTGTGTTATACGGTTGGACCACAACCTCAGAAGCTCCAAAAACGGAGTATGTCTGGACCAACTTTTTGGGAAAACGATCGCTGAGCTCCTGCAAGAAAAAGGACCCGATTCCTGATCCTGTTCCTCCGGCAACTGAGTGGATTAGCTGGAAACCTTCAAAAGAGTCGCACGCGTCGATCTCCCTATTGACCATATCTAGAAACTCTTCCTCGTGTCTTTGCGCATGGTGATACCCCTCCGCCCATTTGTTTCCCGCCCCTCCGCCTTCTGGGGCAACGTAGATGTTCTTGGGGTTAAATAGACTGCCGGAGTTGCTGCGAATATTATTTATCACTCTTGGTTCCATATCTATAAGAATTGCGCGAGGGGTGTATCTGTTATTATCATTGCGTTGGAAGAAGATGTCTGTTTGATCCTCTCTGTATAAATTATGTGTTTCTGGGGATGTTGTCCCATCGGGTAGTATTCCGTGTTCACTGCATATCTGGCTCCAAAACTGCTCACCAACCTGGTTACCACATTGACCTAGGGCATTAGTCTTTTAGAGCAGCCGCAATTCTACTTACCTGCTTGCAAAGTGATTATTTCACCGGGCATGGTGTATAGTCTTGTTTGTTTGTTTCGATAATTATTTTGCGCGTCGCGAAATCTTGCCAGGGCTCCAAACTAAGATCTATTTTCCACAGCTCAATTTCCTGACAAAAGCATGCATTGGACCCCTTTCGTATTAATCCTGCTGTCTTTGCTACCTGTGGAGGCAGTGAAGTCATTCCTGTTCAAGAAATGCAGTGAGTCCGGATTTTGTTCCAGAAACAGACATTTTGCAGCTGAGGTCGAGAAGCTGGGAGCGGAGTACGATTCAAGGTACTCTGTCGATCTGGAGTCGCTCAAGATCGACTCCTCAGCGGGAGATCTGCATGCCACACTACTGAAAATGCTCAATGATGGATCTTTCGTGTCATTGGATATGAACATAAGCGTGCTGGAGGACGACAATCTGCGGTTACAGATTGACGAGGCGGAGAGAAAACCCGTTGTCGACCATGTGACCGCTCGCCGGTTCAACGAGACGGCTAAATGGGCACTAGCTGACCAACCTCACTTGCAATCATTCAGGCATTCGGTGGACTCTGAGAAAATCACCCTTGAATTCCACGAGTACCGTGCCGAGATTGAGCTCCACCCGTTCAAGATCACGTTTCTGCGTGACGGAAGAGCTCAATTGGTCCTTAATGACCGAAATCTCTTGAATATCGAGCACTACAGAACAAGGGAGCAGGAGAACGCAGAAAATTCTATTCACGTGGCTCCAGAGGAGTCTACTTTTGATGCCTACACAGACAGCTTCAAAGATTCTAAAGACGACAAGCTGCCGCTGGGCCCAGAATCTGTTGCCCTGGACGTCTCTTTCCTTGGTGCGAAAGCTGTTTATGGTATCCCTGAGCATGCGGACTCCTTCGCACTGAAAGACACGACCGACACAGAACCTTACAGGCTGTACAATGTGGATATTTTCGAGTACGAAACACAAAGCAAATACCCAATGTACGGCTCGATTCCGTACATGATTGGTCTTGGCGAAACAGGAAGCGCTGGCGTATTCTGGCTCAACAGTGCGGACACCAACATTGACATCAAGAAATCGGAAAGTCAGATCCAGACCCACTGGATTTCGGAAAGCGGAATTTTGGACATTATCCTTTTTGCTAAGAAAACCCCGACCGAGGTTGTGCAGTCTTACAGCAAGCTCACGGGCCACTCCGCCCTACCAAACATTTTCTCTCTTGGATATCACCAGTGTCGCTGGAACTATAATGACGAGGAGGATGTTCTGGACATCACGGCCAAATTCGACGAGTTTCTGATTCCGTTTGATGCCATATGGCTGGATATCGAGTACACGGACGACAAGAAATATTTCACGTGGAAAAAGGAGCTATTCCCAGACCCTGAGCGCATGATGGGCAAACTGGACGAGACAGGACGAACCCTGATTGTAATCATTGACCCCCATCTCAAAGTTGGCTACGATGTCAGCGACGCGGTTGTTGACAAGAAACTAGGTATCCGCAAAAACGACGGCTCGGAGTTGTACCACGGACACTCGTGGCCAGGCGAGTCTGTGTGGATCGATGGCATGAACCCGGCCGCACAGCCGTTTTGGGATAGCTTATTTGCCAATGGGTCGCGCCTGCTAGGGTATGCTACCAACGCTCATCTTTGGAACGACATGAACGAACCGTCGATTTTCAACGGCCCAGAAACTACTGCTCCTCGGGACCTAATCCACTACGGTGACTGGGAGCACCGGTCGGTCCACAACGTGTGGGGACTTACTTTCCATCAGATGACATACAATGCCCTCATAAAGCGGAACCCTAAACAGCGGCCGTTCATTTTAACCAGATCATTCTATGCGGGCTCCCAGCGCACCGCTGCCATGTGGACAGGAGACAACATGGCCAAATGGGAATATATGCGTGAGAGCATTCCAATGGTGCTCACCATGAACGCTGTGGGCTTTCCGTTTGCGGGGGCAGACATCGCCGGATTTTTTGGCAATCCGGATAAAGAAATGCAGGTCAGATGGTATCAAACAGGCATTTGGTATCCGTTTTTCCGTGCTCATGCTCACATTGACTCTCGCAGACGGGAGCCATGGGTTGCCGGCGAGCCATATACGGGTATGATGCGAGACGCGATCAAACTAAGATACAGACTGCTGCCATTGTTCTATACGCAATTCTACAAGCATTCCGTCTCTGGAACTCCCGTGGTGAGTTCTCTCGCATTTGACAGCCCTGAGAACCCAGACGTGTACGCCATCGACGACCAGTTCTTTGTTGGGCCGCTGTTGGTGAAGCCTGTCACCAGCCCAGACACACATTCCGTGAGACTTTACCTGCCAGACGACAAGCCATACTACGATTTTGAGTCGTTTGAGAAAATTAGCGGGAAGGGCTACCATGAGGTGGAAGCTCCGCTAGAAAAGGTGCCTGTCTTTCTTCGCGGTGGCTCGATTATGCCTTCCAAGGAACGGTACAGACGCTCGTCCAGACTGATGAAAAACGATCCATACACGTTGTATATTGCTGAAGACGAGGGCAGAGCCACAGGCGAGCTATATGTTGACGACGGCGAGACGTTTGCCTATCGGGAGGGAGAACAGGTATTTGCCCGGTTTGAGCTGGAAGGAACCAAAATCACGTCTACCGTTGAGAGTACGTACAACACGGACGTGAGGATCGAGCGAATCGTTCTTCTAGGCGGCCCCCGGGCCACGACAGCCACTATCGAACAGGACGGACAAAAATGGACAGCTGAAGTTCTCGACCAGGGTACTCACGTAGTAGTGAGAAACCCTAGACCTCTCGTTGCCAAGGACTGGACCATTTATCTGAGCTAGACTAGTGGCACGCAACCGACCCAGGAAAAGCAGCTCCATTGTCTGTGAACCCGAAAACGTATCTTCCAGCGATGCTGCCGAGTACCACCGCAGCCATCAGCCACACATTGAACGTCATGAATATCAACATGATCATAAACGAATATAGCACAGACACACCGTAAAGAACCGAGCTTTTGACCTTGTAATTCTGCAGCGCCTTGCCGGAAAGCGAGGGCTGTTTATATGTGCGGGACTCCCAGCGAGCGGTCCAGTTCTTGAGCAACTCATATCCAGCCGATAAGGCAAACACCGCAATAAGAGAGAGGACCAATGACTGCGCGGAGGTGATCATCCAAGACGAGGAAAGCACACAGACATTTTTGTAGTCTGTGGTGAGCGTCATGGACATCTTACACATGGGCATTGGGTCCATGGGATCCATCATATGGTGAGAATGGTCCATAATAAATTTATATAATTTATTTATGATTTTTATTTGCTCATTCTTCTATGTGTATACACCCTCTACGTATTCCTGCAGCGTCTTATCATTGACCGTGTAGCGCACGTGCGTTTCTATTGGCTCAATGGCAATCGACTCCGGGAACTGGTTCAGCTCCAGTGGGTGCAAGCTTGGCGATTGTTCTTTAGCAGCTTCTATCTCGAACATCAGCAGAAACTTGCAAATCAGTACATACAGTTCTTTGAAGGCCAAGTTGTTGCCAAGACACATGCGCGATCCCACACCAAAGGAGAAATGTCTTAGGTTTGTGTCCACGGTTCCCGTTTCTGGGTCCAGCCATCTTTCAGGAATGAATTCCATAGGCTTGAAAAACCGCGTTCTGTCGTGGTTGCCAGCCCAGGCGTTCATAAACAGTGTGGTGCCTCGTGGAATCACCGCATCGCCTACGACAATGTCTCTAGTCGTTTCTCGGGGTAACGACATGGGCAAAACCGTGAAAAGCCGCAAGGTCTCCTTGACGATGGCCACCACATACGGACACAAAACGTCTGCGTGGCATTTATTCCATGCCTCTATGGAATTATTGTTGTAGCATTCCAGAAGCTTAGCACGTGCGTTGGCCCGTATGTGTGGTGACTCGCTGAGCTGCATCATGGCGTACTGGAAGTTCAGCGGAGTGTTGTCCAGGCCAGCACTGACCATTGTCAAACATATGCTACCAAGCTGGCTCCCGTTTAGCAGTTCCTGGTCGTTGTTTTTGACATAGTTGAAGATTAGACTTCGGCGCACGTATTCATCTGGCATGTCTAGACGCGAGGTTGTGAATTGGCTGAACTTGTACAGATAACTGTTTCTTCGATGGTACAGTTCCCTGGCAAATTTTGACTTGCCGTGAAAAATGTCAAACACCAGACGGAGATACCAGGGCAGATAGTCCTGGACGTTCTGGATGTGTGAGCGGATTTTTGTGATGTAGTTCTCAACATAGACCATTTCGTCCGCCAGCTCTTGCTCGTCCCTGTTCGCACGAGCGTTTATTTCGTAGCCGTAGGTTAGAATCAATGCCACCCCCAAATGGAAGTACTGACAGTCTCTCGTGATATCCATCTCCACAATGTCATCTGTCGTTCTAGACAGCATGTATCGCACGAGCTTTGTGGCTTCCTTGTCGATGATGCTGGAATTGTATTTTCTGTTGCTCGACTCGTTCAGTAGCTTGCTGGACATGTATTTCCGGCTTTTGAGGTACGATTCCCCAAAAGGGGTAGTCCCCACGGTGAATACCTTGGACTGGGACAAGACGCCGTGAAATGTGTGCAGAATCGGCCGCGAGTTGTTATTTCGAATGTTGTGGTAGCACCAAAGCTGAAGAATGGAATCGTAAGAGTTGGCTACCACAACGGTCCTGGTCCCCAGTCGGACTTGAAACACATCTCCGTGTTTTTGGGCTAGCTCCGCAAACCTGGAGCACGGCGACTGTGTGTAGTTGTGGGCTTGAGGGAAAAGTATGGAGAGGTTTCCCCAAAAGGGGATCATCCAGGGGACGGACGGGAGATTTTTGATTCTATGCGGGCGAATATATATGTAATCGGCAGCCACGAGTGCCAAAAGTAGCAGTGCGGCGATGAGTGAGAGTTCAAGCTGAGACATGTGCATAAGAAGTGCGTTTGCTATGCGGGAGATGGCCGGTATCAAGAGATCCATAGAGGTCTTGTAGTCCATTGAAATAAATACAGGCAAAGGATTTTATTCTGGGCGGCACGCTATTTTACATCTTTAGTCTGCCACCCATGCAGAATAAGGTTCTCTGTGGGGAAGGACAATGCTGCAAATAACGCACGGTGACACAATAATTTGACACAAGGTTCAGAGAAGGGCTTTCGCATCAGAGTTGGGTGTTTGACCACAATGCTCGTGAGTAAAATATTTTTCCTATCTTGCTATGATCCTTGCTCAGAGCTAAGTTGTAAATAAATATTTTTTTGTTTATCTTCAAATGTCCACCGCAGGGGAGTTAGAGCAGTCGCTGCAGAGCTACGAACAGCTCAAAGAGAAAATGCAGATGCTCAAGACGCGTTTGTCAGAGTACTTAGAATCCGTGCAAGCAGACCTGCTCGCCAAGAAACGCAATTACGAAACGTCTATGATCCATCTCCAGGAAAAAGAACGAGACCTGAACACGAAACTCCGCACATACGAGGGCCTCCATAACGAGCTTCTGGAGGAGCTGAACCGGCTGATATCCGATCGAGACGCGTCGATGTCACGCGTACAGCAACTGAAGATCCAGGAGGAGAAACTGCTGAGAGAAAAGAAGGAGCACGAGAACAAGATCCAGGCGATAAATGACGAATTGGAGGACAGCATGAAAGCTATCAGTGAGCGGGAAACATTCATAACCAAACAAAGCGACCTTATAGAGGATAAGGCGTTCCAGTTGGAGCAGCTTTTGGGACTACGTATGGAGAATGCTGGTCGCGATAATCAGATACTGTTTGTGTTCCGCAACGTGGACAGCAGAGACTACTCTCGCGAGGTCTCGTTTGTCTTCGATCCCGAAAAATACTCGATAGTTGAGACTGACCCTGTGCTGGACCCAGGAACAGTGAAGAGTGTGATGGACGATTTTCTCAGGCACCAGGAGATCGGTTATCTGTGGAGAGACATGCGCAGGGAGTTCAAGCGCAAGGTGAGGTCATGAACTATATGAAGGTTAATTGTACTATAGTGTTTGTGGATTGAATATTTAATTAAAATCCTTAAAAAGAATTTCTATGGAATCTGAGAACGGTGACGGTCCGTCCGTGAAGAAAATAAAGACGGAGTCTCCGACGCCGCAGCCAATTCCACAGCTCAACACGCAAGTCTCTGCACAAACAGCAAAGACCACCAAGGGAGTGGACGAAATCGTGGATGGATCAGATTTGCGCAAGTTCCTGAATAAACATTTCACCGAGGAACTCATCAGTGGGCTAAAGTACGTTTGGGACACACATCGGAGCGAGAAGCTGAGTGATGGAGAAGTGCTACAGAAGCTTGGAGAGCGGCTTATCGAGCGCGGGAAACAGAAATCGGAGACAGGCAACTAATTACATATTACTTAAAATTTCTCAGAATTTCGAGACTCCTGGGCCAGCAAGTTGAGGAAGAACCGCGACACGAGCCGGATCAGCTGGATTCTCCAGCCTCTAAAAACGGCCTCGTATCCCTTGTTGATTTCGTCTGTGTCCTCGATCTCCAGAACAACGTTTTCTGCGAACGAGTTGTCGGCGCCATAATCGACAGGTTTCGTACCCGTCACAACGTAGTAGAGAGTTGATAGGTAGCCATAATAGCCGCCAAACTTAATGCATAGTTGATCTGGAGACAGTTTCATCGACTGGGGAAGTGTCGAGCATGTGAGAAGATGGCTGACCTGAGCTCGGTTGTATAGCGTTTCGAAAGGCAATCTGACGAACAGACCCATCACCTTGGATATGAACACCAGCGCGTTGTAAAGGAACATGGAATTGTATTTGTTAACCTGCCATATGACAGTCAGGAAATAGGTTGGATAGTGGATCGTGAATGATCTGACGGCATTGGTGATGATATTTGGTATGATGAGCTCTTTTGGAGGCGTGAGGATGAAGAAACGTGGCAAAGTCCAGATGATCTCTCTAAACGACCGTGGGCCCTTCCCAGAGTTTGTAACAATGAATTTCATTCTGATGAGGTTGAGCTGCGCCAGCAGTAGTCCCGTGACAACGTCGGCACCGACGCTAAAGGCCAGACTCAGACCTGCGTTTGGTGAGTGTATCATGTCCACGTAGAATGGGTCCGGAATGCCTAGCAAGCCCGAGATAAAGCCGCTGACCCACGATCTGATGGTGTACTGGAGCGTACCGATGAGAAACGAGGTGTTGACCGCTTTAAACACTCCTCGAGGGCCCTCTTTGGACACGAGAGCAGAAAGAATGTCCAGAGTGTTGAGTGAAACAGGCTCTATCTTGTCAACCATCACTTTTCTCGGCAGGTTGGTTGAATGGCTGAGTCTCGGCGCGCGCTCGATGTGCGATTGTCTCATTTTGCTTGAGTTATCATCTTCCTTGGTGAAATAGTTGTCGTCGTCGTCAGACTCGGAATCATCTTGAATTGCACGGCTGGAGAGCGATATGTGATTCTGAAACGATCCTACCTGCAACAGAGTGGTGGCAATTTCGAAGGGCTGATTGAGCACCAACTTGAAATAATTAGTGGCAAACGAGTGGAGCAACGAAGACACCAATTGCTTCAAATTGTTCCAGTCTAAATACTCCTTGAACTCCAGATCCAAATAGATATTCTTATGGTATGTTGTTGGAGGCCTAGTGACCAGCGGTTTGATAATTTTGCGAGCAGTTCTGCCAGACCCTGAGGAGGACTGGTTAATGAAAGGGAGGTCCAGGGAAATAGACTGGTTGCTTGTGTTGTCTATGATCCCCACATACGGCTTGTACGATATTGGGTAATGGAGATCAAACTCGTTTTTATCCTTATACGGACGCAGAAGTGTTTCGTAAGACTCCTGGAGAGCCATCGGGAATTAATTAAAGTAAAAATAATTGAGGAATTCTTATTTTTGATATTTATGTTTCCTACTCGTCTGCAACCCTCCAGGACTTTAGGACATTGAGGTATTTGTAGTTTGCATTTGGCCCATCCATACCAAATGTGAGAGGCTTAAGGAATATGAACCAGCCAATCACAAGAGCGTAAAGGAAAATGTACAAGGCACCGGCTGCCCAACGGTTCAGTTTCTCCGCCAGCCTATAGACGGTGTAGCAGTAGACAATCATGGCAAAATAGAGCGCTGGAAGGTAGTGGTGAACGTAGGTCACCCTACCCATAATGCAGAACGGAAGATAATGGAGCAGCCATCCCAAGAACGGATACAGACCGCCCATCACAAAGAGATCGGCCTTCTTGGGCTGTCCTTCGAAATCATTGATTTGGCGTTGCCATCTCAGTAGATAGCGCACCACCATAATCACAAAGACAACAATAGCAATCGACGAGGTCCAGGTAGTGGCCGGAGAACCAATAAGGAAGTACTTCACGTTATCGTCGCCCCAGCCGCACAATCTGATACCAACATGAAGTGTAGGCCATTGCCAAGCACTGGAGGCCAGGTCGTCCTGTTTCTCCGGATCCGGCACCAGAGCGTTGTTGGTGGCCATCATGGCGATGTTGAGCTGGATGAAGTCTTTCAAAAATGACGTCTTGGGCAGCTTGAAGTCTTCTGGAGGATTTGGAAGCTCAGGGTTGCTGTGGTTTTCGATGTTCCACCAGGTCCGCTTGTCTCTCTTGAACGGATTGCTAATACACACGACCTCGCCCTGACGGAATCCCCACGGAGGCAGCGCTATTCCGGAAGAAGCCAGGTAGCAGCCCAGAGCCTCGGATCGAAGTCTGAACGAGGTGGTCAATGGGTGTAGTCTAAGCTTGTCCTCTGTTCCGTACTGGTCCACCACTTCGACGACCCAGTTGTCCTTGAAGTCGCCAACTGTCAGGTTTCCGTAGCCAGACACCTCGTAGTAGGATGTCGACACAGGAGCAGGGATCTGGTGTGTGTGCAAGTTTCTGCCGGTCGACTTGTGGATCAGTCTGACCGACATGCCGTCCACGACATAGTGAGGCTCGGTGAACTCGTTTCTGGGGTCTTCTCTCACCAGCTCAAACACCCAGTCGTTGTTCGCATCCTTGTGCGAGTAGGTGGTGACCTGCTGCTGGTTGGAGCCTTCAGGATACGTCTGGACATGAGAGTGAAGAAGGCCGCCAGTGAGACCCTGGTTCTTGATGGTGACGACAGAATTGAGCGTCATGACGTCTCTTGGACCGGATTGCAGTTCCGAGCCGACCAGGTTGGCCTGGAACAGCGAGGACATGTTGGCGTCACCCGGACCCGAGCCGAAAAGCAGATCAAAGTGGACTTTGAAACACACCACAAAGACGGTGAAGGGAACAATGATGAGCGCCACGATTCTGGCAACCCAGTGGTAGAAGTAGCGTTTGAGAGGCATCGTCGTACGTAGCTCGCCAAACTTGATCCACAGGTCCACCATGGTGTACACGCCAACCAGAGCAGTCACAAACAGACCCACCATCTTAACGGAGCAGGTGCAGCCAATACAGATACCCGTCAACAGAAGCCATTTCCACCATTTGCGTGAGAAGGAGTTTGCTTCGTCTCTGTTCTGGTTGTGGAATCTGGCCATGCTGAAGACGGTGGCGACCGTGAAGAACAGAAGCATGGAGTCGAGCAGAATGAAGCGGCCGAGGGTGGTGTATGACGTTTCGAGGGTGACCATCAAGGTGAAGAGCCAAACGGTCTTGAGATCAAAGCCCAGCTCTTTCATGGTGAAATAGGCAAAAGGAACACAAAGAGAGCTGAACGTGGCGTTGAAGAGTCTCATCTTGACGTAATCGATGTACTCAGGGTAGGCCTGACCGGACGGGAAGTCCCAGGACCCGTTATATCCTGCCAAGTACCCGGAGAGTCCCACCAGCATCTTGCCCAATGGGGGGTGAACGTCGTGGTAGAACTCGTGTCTGAGGTAGTAGGAGCCAAATTTGCCAAAGTGGGCCTCATCCCAGACGACGTTGCTGTTGATGCCGATTTTGTACATCCGGACGAAGAACGACACGAAAGTGAAGACAATCGGCGCAACAACAGCTTCGAGCTTGCGCCAATTAACTCCGCTGACAGGAGGCAGCTGTAGCTCTGGAGTCGGGGCAGCCAGCTCCACAAGCTTTTCCTTCACCTCCTGGTCGGAAATAGTGTCTTTTTTGGACTGCATGGGCACCATGGACACTAAGGAAAACAAACGATTTATTCGACGACACGTAAAAATAGCGAAAAATAATTCTATCGAATAATACACTATGTAAGCACCGTGGGTGTTTATTTGACCTGACACCAATTTCCGTCAGTTTGCGTCCCTTTTCTCGTCGGTGCTGGAACTGTCCCCAGACGAGTCTGCAGGATCGACTGACCCCGTGGGCACTCTCCTCAACCTCGGCTCTGTGGGGCCTGGGTAGGACACGTCTATGGAGTTCTGGTGGATACCTGCAATATCGTTAGAGTGGCTGGCGATTTTTGCGGTGATTCCCGCAGCAGACAGCCGTTTGCGCATTGCGTCCATGTCGTCCCTGCTTGAGTTCCTGCTCAGATGGCGGACAATCCGGTCTTTGATAGTTTCCTGGCTCCTGGAAGCGGAATCGGGCTGTGCCTCTGCGTCTGTCCGTGTAGCTCGACGACGCCAGCTGCCGCGGGTCAGCGACAGTCTGAGGTTTGTGCCGTCCTCAGTTGCTTGTGCTATGCTCCGTTCGCGCTCCAAGGGCTCCCCCATGTCATAAACAGGGAACACTCCGCTAGGCGACCGTTCTGCGGTGGACGGAGCATACGGTTGCACCTCTGGCGGGTTGTAATTGATAGTACTGTTGAGCGAGGCGACGGTCGAGTGGCCAGGAGTGCGGACCACCCTGGAGTCCATGTTCAGCTCCGGCTGCTCGTCGCGCTCCTCGTAGTCTGGAAGATGCAGTTGTTTCATGTCCTGTTCGATCACCACGAGATGCAAATACCACGGAATAACCACTCCAAAAAACGACCCGCCGACCATATTCCCCAGCGTAGCAGGAAGAAGCAGCTTCCAGAAGTACCGGCCCCACCCAAACGAGCACTTGTTGAAAAGCCCAGCAGGAATCAGAAACATGTCCGCCACGCAATGGGTGAACCCCATAGACACAAATGTGAAAACCGGAAGGTATATCATTATGAGCTTGACGTGCAGCGGTTTCACCATTATTTGCAAGTAGACAGCGAGACACACAAAGAAGTTCCCAGCAACACCTTTCAAGAACGTCTGCATGAAAGAGAAGGACTCTTTGTCTTCTGCTATTGCACGGGAGCCTGATACGTAGGTTCCTGAGGAAGTGATACCAGAAACATGGCAAAATAAATACACCACGAAAATAGTGGCACCCAAGTTGACCCAGAGCGAAACGAACCAACTCGTGAGCAGGTCCACCACCGACACTGCACCTCGCATCACCCCAACAGAGAAAAATAGCACGTTAGAGTTGAACAGCTCCATACCCATGGAAATGACAAAAAATAGACCGATCGAGTAAACGCTTCCCTGCAACAAACTGACCACCCCGACAAACCCATGATCAACGAGCCCTGGATTCAGTGCCTGCACCATCAGGTCCAGCATTCCTCCGGCGGAAAAGAGAATAGCGCCGATGATCGAGTTGATTACCAGGATGTGCGGCTTCAGTCTGGACTTCTTCATGGCTGTGGCAACTACAGCCAGGGCGGCCTCGTGAACAGTTAGATAGTATGTGTCATCTGCCATCAGCTGTTGTGCGGGATAATTTCGGAGTATAAACGAAATAGCTCGAAGCGTCCCACCCCTTGTGGCTCCTTTTTGAATGCCTGGAATCTGAATCCGTCTTACCCGGTGATAGATGATTGGATGTTTACTGGTTTGGGGTGTGTTTGTAGGGGTGTCGGGTCTTTGGTGTGCATTTCTGCTGGAAATTTTCAACGTTTTTGGGACCACCGTTCGGATAAATTTTTACGTAATACCAAGTCAAAGTCGATCAAGGCACAGTAAACTAAGAACTAAGTATCTTCGCGCGGCAAAGTCAATCTATTTACGTGATCAGCGTCAGAAGCAGCGTGAATATGAGAGTCGATAGGCAGTTGAGCGGGAATATCAGATCTTCGCGTATATGGAAAAAGCACAGATACGACACGAACGGCCACATCATGTAGTAGTATTTGAGCGACTGGATATATGTTGTTCGCAGATGGGCGAAAAGGTCCTGCCGTTCCCAAATGCAGTTATATAAGATGAACAAGAACTGAAAGATGAGCCCACCAAATGTTTGGTCGTACACAAATCTCATAAGTTTGGTGTCCACCTGAGACACCAGAAATTTGATCCATAAAGTGGTAGCTGCTCCGTTGAAAATTCCGTAGACGTAGAATTTGATATGCTTAGATATGCTGATTGTGCGCTGGTAAAACTGGTTCAACGACTGTGCCAGACATGACGTTTGTGCTCCCAGAAGAGCCCCGGCTAATAGCGGATGGTACTCGTTGATGTGATCGTAGTAGAGGTAAATTAGGTACAGCAGAAACACCTGGAGGACGATCACGTAGCTGAAACGCTCGCGTATAGGGTCGTATTTCTCATACTCAGATGCCGCCAGTCTCTTCTCTTCTTTGTGGTAGGGCAGCACTTCTTCGGGCATTGACGTTATCGTGTCTTTTTTCAAAAAATACAATTCCTGTTGCACCGCCGCAAACGAGCGCGTACCAAAATATTTTCCTGGAGCTCGCTCGTTCAGTTCGTAAAATCAGATCATTTTGCGCTATAAAAAGCTTCGTTTTGGAACCATTTTTCTCAATGTACGACGTGATAGTGGTTGGTGCCGGAGTGGTCGGGCCATGCATTGCCACAGTGATGGCTAGGCAAGGCCGCAAGGTTCTGATTGCCGAGCGGGAATGGACAAAGCCAAACAGGATTATCGGAGAGCTGTTGCAACCGGCAGGCCTGAAAGCACTCAAGCAGCTGGGTATGGTCGGTGCGATCAACAATATAGATGCAATCCAGGTCGATGGGTACTATGTCTCGTACTACGGCCGCCATGTGCAGATCACGTACCCCGACAAGAGCGTCCTTGCTGAGATCGACACCGAGCCCGTGCCCGGGGCTTTGAAGCTTGGAAATGAGGACAAGCTGGAGACAGACAGCACTTTGAACATGTCTGAATGGGACCGCACGCCCACAGTCCGCGGAGTCGCCTTCCACCATGGGGACTTCCTCATGAACCTACGGGGTCTGTGCTTGGCAGAGCCGAACGTGACCAAACTGGAGGGCAACGTCACGGAGCTTATCCGCGAAGACGGCAGGGTCGTAGGTGTGAAGGTTGCCGGCAAAGGAGAGTACCGCGCGAAGCTGGTGATATGTTGCGACGGCATCTACTCGAAATTCAGAAAGGAGCTCTACCAGGACAAGCAGCCGGAAATCGAGTCGTATTTCGTGGGTTTGGACCTCGAAGACGCCGAGCTGCCTCTCAAAAATCACGGGCATGTGATACTCGGCAAGCATGCCCCCATTCTGATGTACCAAGTCAGTCCCCGTCACACGCGGATCCTGTGTTCGTACCGAAGCTCCCAGTTACCAAAGCAAAAGGAGGTTCTTGAGTACCTGAGATCGCAGGTGCTTGTGTCCTTGCCTGAAAAGCTGAAACCATCGTTCGAGAAGGCTTTGGGCGCCGAGCAGAACGTGTACAGAAGCATGCCAAATCAGTATTTGACTGCCAAACCAAACACGGTTCCTGGCCTGATCTACGTCGGGGATTCGCTCAACATGAGGCACCCGCTCACGGGCGGGGGCATGACCGTTGGCCTGAACGACGCGGTTCTGCTGTGCAAGCTGCTGGCAGACGTTCCAAGCGACGATTTCCTGGACGAGGGCGTCATGCTAGAAAAAATGCTCACCTTCCATGGCGAACGCAAGCCGCTGGATGCGGTCCTCAACACCCTTTCTATTGCGCTCTACACCTTATTTGCAGCGGAGTCGAGGTACCTCGAGCTTCTGCAACGCGGCTGCTTTGCGTATTTCGAGCTTGGAGGCAAGTGTATCTCGGAGCCTGTTGGGCTCTTATCCGGCATGCTGCAGTCGCCTGGTATGCTGTTCTACCATTTCTTCAGGGTTGCATTCTACAGCTGCTACCTCAACTTCTGTGACAGAGGCCTTTTGCAAAGTCCGATTGCTCTCTGGGAGAATATCTGCACCCTGTCTATTGCCGCGTGCGTGCTACTGCCCTATCTGATTAAAGAATTAATGTAGATGCTAGAATATAGATGAGACCCATAAAGATGTTGGACCGCAGCGGCGCAACCCTCTGCAGGCGCCAGACGGCTGCTAATTGCATTTTAAAGCGGAAGCGTGCGTCACTTTTATTAGCACACGAACCTGCCATAGCTTATTTTGTGCAATCTCGGAGTACATAAATGGCAGGGTCTGCCCAAGATCAGCAAAAACTAACCTACCGAAAATGGCTTGCTCCTGTTGCCCAAAAAACTCCGACTGTGCTACCGAGTGTGCTTGCGATAAGTGCAAGAACGGCCAGTCTGCTGACAGCTCGTGCTCCTGTCGCTTGTGCTCGTGCAAAGAGAACTGCAAATGCACCGATTGCAAGGTGTGCCAGGCAAAACACTAGGCGTGGGCGCGATGTTACGTATGATAGCTGAATTTATGGCTTTCTATTTCATTACCTACGGACTTGCTACTCCGTAGTCGTAGACGAGATTTCGGATAGCATCCGGGCTTTGCGCATGCGCTATTTTCGCCGGACTACGTAAGCTGCGCACACGGCTAATAAAAATCAATTGCCTACGATAAGCTTGGATACCCGGATATCCGATCATGCATTTTCGTCGTATAAATCATGCAATTGTAATAAGGAATGCAAAACCGGCCGGAGGCTGTGCTACTCGAAAATTATTTTATTTAGCGGAGACCCTAAATTACCTCGAATAAAATGCCTTGTTCGTGTTCATCTACTAAGGACTGTGTCTGCGAAGCAGGATGCTCGTGTTCTCACTGCCAAGACAAGAAGCCAGAAGCTGTGTGCTCCTGCGGAAAGTGCGCTTGCAAGGACGACTGCAAGTGCACTGACTGCAAGACCTGCGAGGAGAAGAAGTGAACGGTTTGCCCTTGAAAAAAGGATATGCTAGTGTTGACCTTTGCTGGTGCTATGTATATAGATACTGTGAATATGGCTAAGCATTATCGCTCATTCCGCTGTAGCGACTTTGTAGCATTGCCCCAGACGCAATTCTAACGAGATTTTCCCCGTCCTGGCTGTTTAGTCGCGACGATTTATGGAATTCAATGGCAACAAACTTTTCTGCAAATGAGCGAACAAGTTGTCTATTCCTCGTCCTTGCTGTTTGGAAAGCCGCCTCAAGAGGCCATGGAGGCACTCAAGCTGCGCCATGCGCAGTCGAAAACCATCAACCACGAGCTGGCAGAATGGTTTACCGCGTACGGCCGGCTCCGGCTCCAGTATGTTGACCAGCTCAAGGCCCTACTGAAGAAGGGAGACGGTCTGCTGACGAGCCTTGATAACCCAAAACTGCATAATGCGACGGTCGATTCGCTTGGGCTTGCCTCGCCAATGTGGACAGGAGTTTTGAATATAGTGCACAAAGAAGCCGAGCTGCTAGACTCCAGCACCCGGAAGATGGGAAGGGACATGATCGCGCCGTTGAAAGTGTTTGGCCGCCACAACGACTCGAATTTGATTGAAATGGATGATCTGGTGGTCCTCGCTTCGTCGATTTCGCAGAAAGAGGCCCATGGCGACGCAGATGCCCTTAGAACCGAGTGGAGCGAGAGAGCGCCCTACTTTTTTGAGGTGTTCGAACGCTACGATTACAATCGGCTCGTGCTACTAAAGGACGTATTCCTCAAATACCAGACCGACGTCAGCGACGTTCTGGAGACTTTCAAAAAGCTAAACGAAACGGCACTAGAGCACACTCTGAGTTTCAATCCGCCGGACGAAATCCAGCGTTTTTCGGAGGCCGTCTCGGCCAAAACGCTGCCAATTGAGCTGACCAAAGAGGCTCCTCCAACGAAAAAGGCCCAGGACAACGGTTTCACCGCGACTCCGAAACCGTCGCACCGCAAATCCCGGATCCTCAGCCTCGCCAGCTCCAAGGCCGAGCACTCATCCCCAACCAAATCGAGACATCCGGCCGCTCCGTCCCCGTCTCCAGAGAAGAAACCGAAGGAAAAGCACGGTCTGCGGCTGAAATTCGGGACGATCATGCGTGCAAGCAGAAAGAAGAAGAGCGACGCTCACAACCTCAGCAGCACCGCCATCGCAGAAAGCGAGGACTCGTCCGTGGTTAGTGGCCCTGTACCCTCCACCGAACGCAGCGAGCCAAGCGTAAGCGAGAGAGCCACTCCTCGGGCTTCGACTCCGCCGGCCCAGCAGCCTTTGGCGGAAAAGGTGCGGGAAAACGTTCCCGAGATTATCCACGAGACTGCCCCTGCCTCCTCCACGCTGGCCAATGGCTACCCGGCCATGCAGCCTACGAAGCGATCCAACTCGACCGCCAGCGAGCTCACCAACAGCTCCTCCATCCAGCCGTCCTATAGAGGCTCCGCCAGCTCTCTGGCCTTTGCTTCTGCGGGAACAGTTCCTACCACGGCGCCGGAACCCGTCCAGAAGGCCGTTCCTGTGGCTGCCTCTGTGCCTGAGGCCGCTACTGAGTCGAGCTCCGAAGCAGCAGCTCCGCCAGTGCCTTCCGCCAGGAAACACACGTCAACGGACGTGGGTCTCGGCCCGAGACAGCCACACGGCTCCGCGCCTGCTCCTCCACAGCAGCGCAGAGTCAGCACTCTTGGCAGCTCGCTGGAGCCGGCGCCGATCGCTGCGACTGCGACAGGGTCGACGATGTTGTCCAGAACTAACACCGGCACCGGTGGCCTGTCCAGCGGCCAGATTCACCACCCTAACCTCACTCAGCCCGGCTTAAACGCATCGATCGTAGAGATCTACAACGCCTCCTTCAAAGACGGCCAGGTCACCGGGTCCAACGTGATTGGCGAGATTGCCTTCAGCTACCTGCTGGATAAGAGCGTCCAGAAAATTCCGTCCAAAGTCGAGCTCCAGGTGTCTTCGTCCGGAGCATTGCCAAGCTTTATTACGAACCCGATGTTCATCCAGCAAGACCAGCAGCAGCCCAACCATTTCACGATCGTGGATCCGTCGCAGATCCATCTTCGCACAGTTGGAGGACTCAAGTACATGCTGAATGGCTCCAAGCCGCCGATCGTGGTGCATCCAATCTGGAAGCACGAACAAAGCCAGTCGACAGTAATCATCTCGGTCAAGCCGGCCGACGAGCTGCTGCCACTGCTGGAGTCCGGCTCCATCGAGCTCGCCAACCTCATGGTGTCGGTGTCGATCACCGGGGCACAAGCGGCCTCTGCTGCTTCCAAGCCGTCCGGGTCGTTCAATAGAGAGAAAAATAGAGTCACGTGGAACCTGACGTCGACTCCGTTCGTGTTCTCGGCGTCGCACCAGGAAGAACGGCTTATTGCGCGGTTCATGACCAACGGCGTCGCCAAAGAGGCCGACGCCGGGATCCAGCTGCGGTTCACCATCAACAGCGAGGCGGGAGCAGACCTGGTCTCGAGACTGAACACCGACATCGGCATCAAAGCGCTCGCCGACACCGCGGAGGACCCATTCAGCTCCACAGAACACATCCAGGAGGACTGGGGCCCCGTGACGACGCTCCAGACGGTCATCGCCGGCAGCTACTCGGGACACGCCTAGCTGCTTTGTGGTGCAAGGATGTGTAGGTTGTGTGATTTGACACGGAGAACGACGTATTTTTTCTATTCTGTAGTCGGTCGTGCACGCTCGCACCCTTAGGTACATAACAGCTCACATTATTTAGATTTCTTTTCTATTCCATCAGATATAATCGTTGTGATCTCCTCATTCACCCGCCATGAGTAAGCACGCCAAGTCCCAGAGCACCTACGCTTTCGAAAACACGAGCACCAGCGTTGCTGCGTCGCAAATGAGGAACTCCCTCAACAAAATGATCGACGCCGTGGAAGATCCCGAGGTCAGGGCCAAGTTCGAGGTCGAGATGGATTCGTTTTTTTCCCTCTTTAGGCGCTACCTTACCGACAAGGCCTCAGGCACGACCCTGGACTGGAACCAGATCCGTTCCCCTACTCCTGACGAGGTTGTTGCCTACTCGAGCTTACAAAACGCGGACAATAGCAACCTTTCGAAATTGGCCGTGCTGAAGCTGAACGGAGGGTTGGGTACCTCAATGGGCTGTGTGGGTCCGAAGTCTGTCATTGAGGTGAGAGACGGCCAATCGTTCTTGGATCTGTCTGTTCGCCAGATCGAGCATCTGAACACAACCTACGACGCAGACGTGCCATTGCTGCTCATGAACTCGTTCAATACCAACGACGACACCCAGATCATTGTCAGAAAGTACCAGGGCCACCGTATCCGGATCCGAACCTTCAACCAGTCCAGATATCCTAGAGTGTTCAAAGACTCTCTTTTGCCCGTTCCGCAATCCTTCGACGACGATTTGGACGCCTGGTACCCGCCAGGACACGGAGACATGTTCGAGTCGCTTGTCTCCTCTGGCGAGCTGGACGTCCTGCTGGAGCAAGGCAAGGAGATCCTGTTCGTTTCCAATGGCGACAACCTCGGTGCCACCGTTGACACCAAGATTTTGAACCACATGGTCGAAACGGGAGCCGAGTACATCATGGAGCTGACAGACAAAACTAGAGCCGACGTCAAGGGCGGCACTCTGATCAACTACAACGGACAGGTCAGATTGCTTGAGATTGCTCAGGTTCCTAAAGACCACGTCGAGGACTTCAAGTCCATCAAGAAGTTCACAAACTTCAATACTAACAACCTGTGGATCAACTTGCGTGCTATCAAGCGTCTGGTGGAAGCCAACGCCCTGGAAATGGAGATCATTCCAAACAGCAAGTCTATCAGCGTCGGAAACTCAGAGACGCAGGTGTTGCAATTAGAGACTGCTGTGGGTGCTGCCATCAGACACTTCAAAGGTGCTCATGGCGTGGTTGTTCCAAGATCCAGGTTCTTGCCAGTCAAGACCTGTTCCGACCTGATGCTTGTCAAGAGTGATCTGTTTAACTTGCAGCACGGTGCCTTGAAGCTGGATAGTGCCAGATTTGGTGGCGCTCCGCTGATCAAGCTGGGATCGCACTTCAAGAAGGTTTCCAACTTCCAGCAACGTATCCCTCACATGCCAAGAATTCTTGAGCTCGACCATCTGACTGTCACTGGTAACGTTTACTTTGGCAGAGGTGTCCAGCTTAAGGGTACTGTTATCATTGTCTGCTCCGATGGTCAAAGAATCGACATTCCTAACGGCTCCATTCTGGAAAACGTCGTCGTCACCGGCAATTTGACCCTTTTGGAACACTAGTAAAAACTAAAGAAATCAAAATGATGTTTATCTACTTGCGTCACCGTAGTTGCGTTCAAACTGCCGCATTTCCTTTCCGAACCTCCGTTTACGTTTTCTCTCCAATACCTTCTCACGCTGCTTGCCCTTCATGTTCTGGAATCTTGCAACTTGGACCAGCTTCCGTTTGTCGCTGCGCTTCACAAACTCCTTTCCTGTCTTCTTTTTGTAGTCTTTTATCACCTCACGCTCCAAATCTTTATTCTTGAGCGCATCCAAACGTGATTTCGTGCTCTTCGCAATGTAATCCAGGTCCTGCAACTCTTTTTCGCTCAGTTTGTTGCGCTTCTTCGGATCTTTAAGAACACTTTGCACTTGCTCCAGCTCCTTTTGTCGATACTCGTCCAAAAACTTGTAATTTCGCCGAACCTCGCTCTCGTTCACTTTTCCAAATGCAGAGTCGAATCGTATGTCATGGTATTTTGTCTTTGCGTACTTTGTGCCATCAAGTAGTCCGGGAATTTCTCGCACTTTCGAAACCGGCTTTTTCGCAGACGTCTCGCTGGGAGCGTGCTTATTCTTCTTCTTTTTCTGTGTATGGCTTTTTGGTGTTGGCTCTTCGAAAAACCCGCCATCCGAGTCGGGTTCTGATTCCGAGTTTTTATCTTCTTCTTCGTCTAGTTTCTTCTGAGCAGCAGACAAAGCTCCAAACGACAGCGACAACAAGGAGTCATTAGAAGCCTCGCTCGAGTACGCATCTTCGTCCTCGCTGTCCAGATCATGGCGCGAAAACTGAGGCCTTCTAGACATAATACACTTTTTATTATCTAATTTTTTGAAAAAATATTTTAGTCTACAATACAAGGCTGTGAAACCTATTGTTACATTACTTATTCAGAGAATAGTACTTATATATGCCCCGTTCGGTGAACTCGCCGGGGAACGCCAACTCATCGTTCTGGAAGAGACCTTTGGAGCAGTTGATTTTCCGTGAGGCGTATTTTAGAAAGGCCGGACGCTCAATCTTTTGCATAATCTTCCTACCTGTGTTAATGTCAAAATACACCAGGTTATTATTGAAGTTCAAAGATTGACCATTTAGCTCCTTCTTCAGCTGCTCCTGGTTAAGCTTGAATACCCAAGCTCGTCTGCCTTTTCCATTATCGTTGTAGGTTTTCCAGATCTCAAGGACACCGTTATCGTAGACCCTGAGTTTACCTGTGGTATCGTCAAGCAAGTCAACCACTTTGTAATCCACCTCGATGGCCTGTAATGTTGGACAGCACGTGAGCAACTGGTTGTTGTCCAGAGACCATCTGGTGATATTTTTGTTTCCTGTGAGATCAATAAATTTGAGATTGTGCAAGCTTGACAACACTAGTAGCAAATCATCAATAGAGAGTTGCGAATGAGCGATCACGAGACTCTCGAGCGCTGGAAATCTTTCGGCAATAAGCATCAGATGCTTGGGCTCGACGTCGATGCCGGCCAAATTAAGGTAACGGAGATTTGAAGCGTACATGTTTTCAAGCAAAAAGGTTAGTGTGTTTGTGTTGAATGGAGATGCAATGTTTGTGTCGACTTGCAAATTGAGCCAGAGCAGAGAATCGTCGTTCACTGCTGGATGTTTGGTGAGAAACTCGATCAGGTGTCGAGCTGCTCCAAGACGTGAGCAACGTGCAATGGACAAATGGGTGAGCCGTGCGGAGTCCTGAAGACTGTCGTTAAGAGTCTGGATGGTGACCTGTGTGTGGCTGAGATCAAGCCGTTCCAACGCGGTGAGGTTGCGTAGAATTCTGGCAAATGCTTCGTTCGTGAGATCCGTACATTCGTGGAAAGAGAGGTTTTTGACGTTAGAGTTGGGGAATATGTGCAAGTTCTCAAAGCTTTGAGAGAATCCGATACCACTTGAGCCGCAAAAATCAACGGCCTCCAGTTTAGGCAGTTTGTTGAAAAGGTGGTCAACTACCACACTGTCGATGTCGCCCTCGATGCTCTCACTGGCAAGAAACTCTGTAAGGTTTGGGGTGAGCTCCAGACACTGGAGGATGGTTTTGTGTGTAACCATCTGGATCTCTTGCATCATCTGGCCTGTCCTTCCCAGGCCAACTGACGTGAACTCCGAGAAATCCAGAAATTTTACGTAGCTCCCGAGAAGATTGTTCTTTTGCAAATTCTTGAGGAATCGGTCGAAAAAAGTGGATCTGGTAAAATTAGCGTATCTGAACACATACTTGAGACTGAGCAGATAGAATGCGCTGTTTACCAAGCTGACAGACCGACAAAGATCCTTAGTATTAGCATTCAAAGAGTAAATTTTGTCGGTGTCGTTATAATAAACATATCCAATTATTTTGTCCAGTAGTTCATACGGAAGAGGAGAAAGGGCATCGAGGTGGTCCAGCTTCTGCTGCTGGGCCAAGAAGAACTCGTTAGGGGTATTGGTAGACTCAGGAATACCGCCAAAAATAAGCTCTTGGGCGGAATTGAGTTCCAGTGTAGTCATAAGAAGGGGAAAGTTTTTTTCGAGGGGTTCGAGCCCTAATTATATGCAAGGTTGCGGTTACACAATGAAGAGCTATTGATTACCTGCACTTCTTGAAAGGACAGTCCCCGATCTACGAGTCCGGCAATAACAGCCAGCGCGTGCCCTGATGGTGGTGTTGGCAACGATATTTGTGCTCGACGAACGGTGGGCTTTTGGGCCGATATATCACGGATGTTGCACAGCCTTGGCGCCGTTGGATTAGCACAGAGAGCAATTTTTTTTAGACGGGAAAAAAAAACGGTCCTTCCTCGTCTTGACAGGACATCCGTGCACCGCAAAGCGCACTCCCCCGAGCCCCACCAGGCTTAGTGGTTGCCGGCAAGCCACAGCAGATGCGGTTTCAAGTTGTCTGTGCAGTACTTGCTGATAGCCTCCTTCGATTTGCGGTCGTGCGGGAAGTGTTTGTCCAGGTATGAGCAGCGCACCTCGGAGTAGCAGATATAATCCACCATTATTCTCCATAGAGTGGCCTCAAGGTCGTTGCCAAAGTTTTCGTTCTCGCCAAACATACGGATCCGGTCACCGTTCTCCTTGACAATGAAGCCGTCGTTGATGAGCTCGATCGGCAGCAGTCTTGGAAAATTGACTTTGAAGAAGAGCGCAGACTTTCTTTCTGGAGCGTCGTTGAGGTACTTTTTGAACTCCTGGTTGGTGATTTTGTCCGGGTTTGTCTCGTACTTCTCTTTGAAGGAGTTCAGCGAGTAAAAGTCGACGGTTGGGTCGAATTGGAGCATTCCTACTCCGCGGAACTCGCCGTTATACCAGAACCCGTTGGCTTCTGTGGCTGTTCTCGTCTGGTAATATGGCAGTTTGAGCGCAGTCGCAGCAGCAGCAAACGTCTCTTTTTCTCCCGAGGCGCTTGACTGGATAAGCAGCGGGTAGAAATAGCCCTCTCCGTACAGATTATAGTACAGAGCGAGCAGCATAGTTTTCCAATGGGTCTTTTTATTGATCATCAGCTCGCCGCTGTCATTGGAGACGTCGGGAATAGCTCCGCGACGGTCGTGCAGCGGGTAAACGCTCTCTGCTTTGGACGAGCTGACGTATTTTGATTCTGGCAACTCGATCACCGAGTCCCGGACCAAAGTGTTGTCCACAGAGATACCGGCCGCAAGGTACCAGAACGGAGACGTTTTTCTTTTCCAGAAGTCTGGCCACAGAACCAGGCCGTGTGAATTGAATGGCTCAGAAGTGAAAATCGACTCGTCCAGAGACTTGATGAGCAGGGTCTCGCTCTCCAGGAGCAGCACGTTCTGGTAGTTGGACGTCAGCAGAGCCAATGACCTGTACATGTTGGAATTGATGTCGAAATCTGAGAAGAACAACTCTTCCTCCTCGGGCGTCTTGATCCCCAGCTGTTCGGTCATCACCACGCATTTTGCGTTCAGCTGCGGGAGATAAATGTCGCAGATCTCGCGGTCTTGCAAATAGTCCGACATCCGTGGAAGCATCACTTCAACAGGCAGAGACCCACCCATGCGTCTGAACATTCTCGTGCACAGCAACGCCAGCCACGAAAGATCGCCGCCGCCTAGAATGATCACACCGTTGCCCCTGTACCGCATCACCTCGTCGTACTCCGGCAGAAGCTTGACAAAGTTGTGGTGTGCGTTCTTCATGCTCGACACAAACTCGTGCGAAAAGCTGCCAATCGCAGAAAGCCTCCTGGAGGTGGGAATGATGTCCTCGCTGTGGCCAGACTCGTCGTACTCAAAGGGATCCAGCTTCACAGGCGGCTTGTTCTGCTCGATGAGCTTGAAAATCTCTCTGAACTTGTTGGTCTTGGCCAGCTCGCGGTCCAAAAGCTCCTGCTGTGGATCCACGTTCGGAGTAGATTTTTTATTTTGCGATAAGTTGTTCAGCCATGAGGTGTAATTAGAGGGAATTATCTTTTGTTGGATCTGGGGAGAGGTGGAGGTGAATAGAAAGAGGAAAAGCGACACGACGCCGGCCGCCAAGAGCAGCACCCGTGCCGGATAGCGATAGTAGTACGCTAGCGCACGGGTCTTGAAGTACCGGTAGTTCTTATTGAAAGAGCCCATACTTCCACCTGCCAAATAAAAACGCGATTTTTTCGAGCGAGGTGCAGTGCGCTCGAAATTTGTGTGGGATTATGTAAGCCGTCGTGCCGTTTAGGGTCCTCCAGATCTCATGAAAGGGTTACCCGGCCTTCGACATCTGTGGCTCCCGTGCGGTGGCAGCGTGGGCTTGCACGGCGTGCAGCGCAAAATGCGGGATAGGCACAAAGGAGTGAATTTTTCCAGGCGCTGCTGTCCGCGGGCCCGTTGCCCGTTTTATGCATCCCGCGCTATCCCGCAGCTCTGATAACTAATACGCCCTGTCGCTATCGTACAAAAGACCTGGATAAGCTCCTTCGCGTGGAACTGGATGCTCGTGGAAACGCTGAATGGATTAAAGGCTTCAGGAAGGCCTGTGCTGGTCCACATGTGGCGCAAATACGTGCTTGTGCCATTCGGGACGCTGCTGATGATGCTGCTTTTGTATGGCATCAACGAGATAATCAAGAGGACCACAATCAATTTCCCAGCATCTGTGTGTCTGATGCTGCTTATGTATGGCGGGCTCAGCTTAAACTCCTGGCTTTTTGGCGAGCATCGCACGGATGTCTTTCTGAAATACATTGAGATTCCATGTGGATTTGCACTTCGATGGATGAATTTGTACTTCACGCCTCCCTTTGTGACGCTGGTTCTGTCAGATAAGGTGAATGTGGCGGAGGCGTTCACCATCATGGCGGTGTTTGTTGTGGGCTACATCTTCACGTTTGGGTTCATGGCCTACTTTACGTGGGGGTTGCAACTTTTGCTAGGCACGTACAAGGATCACGTGGAAGCGGACGAAAAGGACGAAGAGTGCCGGATTTCGGAGTCAAACCACAACAACAGCGAACAGTCTTCGAGTACCGACAAGGAGGAGGTTGCGTGGGAGGTCAAAGTGCGGGACTTTGTGCTTGAGTGGATCGACTTTTTCGTGTACGGTCTCGTGTTTGTTGCCGGCCTCCCCGTCTACTTTGTTACGGGCTACGAGATGCCTGTGCAGCTGGCCGCTGCGGTGCTCCTATTCCGGGCGTGCTTGCTCATCCCTGCCAAGCTTCGCCGCGTCCTACATCCGATTTTGATCAGTTTTTCTCTTTGTTTGCTGGTTTACTACATTCTTTCGCTGATCAAGGGCCAGAACTATTTTACTTGCATCAGACATTACAAAACGGGACGGACCTACCTGACGCTCTTCGACAGCGAGGCGTACCGCGAGTGGCCGGGCGCAGGCGATTTCCTTATCTCGCTGATGGATATCTCCATTGTGTCTCTTTCTCTGTCAATGTACAAATATCGAGGAGACCTGAAACGACATTTTGCCTCGGTGCTTCCTCCAATCGTCGTGTGCGCATTTATGTCATTTTTCATATACCCGCCGCTGTGCTATCACCTGGGCATCTCCTCGGCCCGAGCGCTGGGCTTTACGGGCCGGTCCGTGACGATGGCACTCGGCATACCCCTGGTGACGGCCTTGGGAGGATCCACACAGCTCATGGCGGTGACCACGATCATCAGCGGCATATTGGGGGTGCTGGTGGGCGATTTGATTCTTTTCAAAGTGTTCCGCGTGCGCAAACACGACTTTGTGAGCCGCGGTGTGTCGTTTGGTTTGAATTGTGGAGCCGTGTCCACGTACTACCTCACGGTGGTAGACCCGCGAGCAGGAGCGATGAGCGCATTGAGTTTTACCTTTTACGGAACTCTCATGATCGTTCTGAGTGCGATCCACCCATTGGTCAGAATCGTGCAGAAGCTTGTTGGGTGGTGACTATGACGTTGGTGGGGCACCCCCAAGCCCCATAGCGGATTGCGAGGCGTCCCCGTCGGGGTGCACCATTTGTGCGCTGCTAATCTATGTAAATTTAGTCTGACCCGCGTCCGTTTCTCCATCCACTTCTCGCGCAGTTCTATTGTCCGCGAGGGGGTGACGTGTCGTGGGGAAATACTATTCGAATTCCGTATTATTTAAGCTTTCTTTTTCTGCGCCCCTAATTGGTCACGCACACGAAATTACCCAATCTATTGTTTCCCCAGAATTTTACCAAGGTTTGGCGGGGGTGCAGGTGACGCATTCGAAACCGTCCATGTCAAATTATAAAAGCTGCCACCGGCCCTGGTGTGCGCCCGTGCGCAATTTCCCCATGTCTTGCGATCGAAAGAATCCCTGGAACATCATCAAGAACCCGGTCAACGGCAGAACAAGAATCTCCCAGGCCTGCGACAGATGCCGCAGCCGCAAAATCAAGTGCTCAGGCAAATCCGAAGACTCGCCTCGCTGCACCAATTGCAAGCGCGACGGCTTCCAGTGCGTCGTCAGCGACAAGCTCACCAGAAACAGCTTCCCCAAAGGCTACACCAAAAACCTGGAAAAGAAGCTGCTGGAAGTCGAGCTCGACAGAAACAAGCTGATGCTCGAGTTGCGCGAACTTAGGAAAAAAAGCGGGGACGAACAGCTGACCGCGAATATGCACCCCTGCCGGGCGTCCCGGCCAGAGACCCCCCTGCTGGTCGATGCCTCCGGCGTCCTGGTCATCGACCAGAACCTTGTCTCGCCGCTGCAGAAGTACGTCGACCAGCTCCAGCTCAACATTTTCAATGGCTATGAGAAACAGCCCTCCGCAGCTTCCGACTCAGAAACCAAAATGCTGGCCAACTACCACATGAATCTCAACCGGTATCTGAACCTCGTGCTGTACAAGCTTGTTTTCCCGCTGCTGGCAGACAAGGCCGAGCACAGTGTCGACCACCTGATCTGGCTCTTTTTCAACGATCTCAACAAGCTCATTCCGGTGCTCGACTTTGAGCTTTTCTACAACGACTATCTCACCTTTATCAACAAGTACACCCCGGAAAGCTCGACGTACATCGAGAACGGCGAGAAAAAGAAGAAATACCACGAGTTTTCGCCGAAAGAACAGGACTTTCTCGTGAAGCTCATCCTCGTGCTCAAGTTCGCGCTACCTACGCCTCGCACCGTGGGCCAGTCCTCGATCCTCAACAAGCAGTCGCTCAACCAGTTCGAGGAGGCCATCAAGCTGATCAACACGAAGAACCTCGCGCTCCTGTTCCGCAACATCAACTTTGTCATGGACCCTTCGCTCGACAAGTTCGAGGTGGCCCTGCTGATGCTCTACTACCTGCTCAAGTTCGAAAACTTCCACATCAAGAAGGACGAGCGGCCGCCTATCTCTTTCCTCAGGGACGTTCTCAACGTGTGCGTCTCGCTGTGCCGCCTGCTCTCGCTCAACAGAGACGCCGAGCACGTGCGCTTCAAGCCGGAGCTGGCCGAGACGCAGAAAATCCACAGACTCAAGCTCTACTGGAGCCTGCACTCTTTGGCCCGGCTTTTTGAAATCTACTTCAACTTCAAGCTCGACCTGTTAGAGCACCAGCCACAGTCTCTGGAGAGCGTGCGTCTAGCCGCGAAGGACCTCGACATCACCATAAAATTCGTTGACTTGCTGGATCTGGTGCCCCACAATTTCATGGAGCTGGGCGACCACGAAATGCTCCAGTTCGACGCCCAGCTCGAGACCTGGAACACGCTCGACCAAATGGCTACAAAAGAGAACGCTTTTGCCGTCAACAAGCTGAAAACGTACTACAACTACTTCAAGCTGCATATTTGCCTGAGAACAGACAGTCCCGAGCTTGCTGCGCTCTGTGCCAGCGTGGTGCAGCTTGCCGGCGAGCTTGTCGAAGGCGATCTCAAAAAGCTTGCCCTCAACAGCTTCAACTTCCACCTCACCACCCTGCTGGCCCTCGTCAACGTGGCCAAGCTCGACAATCGCCCTGCCGAGTACACCTCGCTTTGTACACTATACTCGCAACTGGTGTCTGAGATGCACTGTGACCCAGTTATTATCCAGCTTGTCAAACATATCACCAATTCCACAGGCTCCGACGACCTGTACTCCTTCAACTACCACCTCGCTCCTTCCTCGCTGTTCAGACGCAAGGACACGGACCTGTTCGATCTCTCTGCCTTCGAAACGCCCTCCGAATACCGCTCCATTGCTCCTTCGACGGATCCGGACGTCGACAGGTCTGCGAAGCGCGCCAAGCGCACCACGTCGGGCTCGCCGCCTTCGCCGTCCTCGAGCGTCTTTTCGTCTGCGTCGAGGGCCTCTTCCACCTCCTCCAACAGGCTGTCTGTCGGCTCGGCCGACGCTCCGTCCTGTCTATTCCCGTCTGCTTCAGCCCCTCTGCAGAAGGACGACTTGCTCGCAAAAAAGGAGCGCAGCGCTCTCTACGAGACTTTTAGCCAGTCGGTCACGGGAAACCTCAACAACGGGCTGAGGAAGCTGCGCCACGAGGGCCGCAGCCGGTCAAAATCGGTTGTCGAAAGGTCCAAGAGCCACTACGATTTTGTCAAGCCGGAGTCGCTCATGCTGAATGACTTCAAGTTCGAGCTCAACGACCAGCTCCTCGAAACAGAGCAAATGGACAATGCCCCTACAGACGCCCTTGAGCAGTTCAGCAATCTCGAGGCTAACTTTGGGAGCTTCGATATGCTCGCCACTGTGGACAGAAAAAGGTCTGCCTCGTTTAGGGACGACGACGACCTCACGAAACTCAAGGAGAAGGTTCTCAACATGAAGTATGCAACCACATAATATTCAATGACGATATATTCTATTTTCTTTTGAAGTCGAACTCACAGCATCACCATCTCGTTCTTCTCGTCTCGGGCGCTTCTTTTGAGGTCCCATTTGCTCTTGGCAATGACAATCTTGCGCAACATAAGATGAATCAAGAACGAGACCGAGCCCACGAAACGGAATAGCGCAAACCCGAAAACGCTCCATAAAATCACCGCCAGATACTTGTTGTTCTTGATCGAGTCTGGCTTGTAGATCTGCGTAATCGTCATCACCAGAATCACGTTCATGATCGTCCACAAAAGCACGACTCGCGAACGCACGTCTCTGAAGTAGTCCTCCGAGCTTATCTTTGGTTTCACAGCCCCTCCGTCTCTCATCTTGACCGGGGTCTTTCTTCTTTCCTTCAGCTGGTACAGATTCTCCGTGTACATTGAATCGATGTCTCTCTGGTCGCCCACAATCTCCAGCTTGATCACCTCTTGGCCCTCCTCATTGGTCACAATCGTGGCAGATCCCAAGCTTGAAATAGGCTGGTTCTCTCCCTTCGTACCCCACGTGACGTCATGAGTGTTGCAAAAAGCGTAGATCTGCAGAAGACAGGTATATGCTGGCAGCAGGAAGAAGTACTGGATGGACGACGAGAGAATGTGCCATGGGTCCAAATACAGAATCGACATGAGCACGTACAGACCGTACGTGGAAGCCAAACTGACGCACATGGACGCAAAGGTGAGCCCTCCTGCTTTTCCAGCATTGTGTTCTTGCACCAACAGCACCATGAAGTAGAACCCGGAGATGATGGCGTAAGCACCGCACAGAGTGAGCAGGATCACCGCTGTCAAAAATAGTTTTGGAGCTCCCTGCGGTCTGTTGCCCATGGAGATCACCAGCATGCTTAATAGTGTGCACAAACACAGGTAATTCATGATTTCAAACAGCACCTTTCCGCCAGTTCCAACGAGATTGATGAGCGAGCCCGCAAGGTAGTAGAACGTCAGGTAAAAGTTGGAGATGGAGAAGAATGTGAACACAAGCGTGAAGAATTGGTAGATGAATTCGATGTGCAAGAAAAGCTTTCTTACGATCGAGTGGTCTGTCCTCCAGATCTGAAGAAACTTGCTTTGCGAATAAACGGCTGCAAAGAATGCGCCGTTCAGCCATCTCCGTCTCTGCGAGATAAATTCAGGTAACGCCTCAGGAACATCTGTTTCTCCCTGGGCACTCTTAACGTACTTGAGGACCCATTTGGCGTCTTTCTTGGAGACGAGCTCCCAGGCAAGAATTCTGTCCTCAGCAAGATACATGTTGGCAGAGAATATTCCAGCGTCTGCTGCGCCGTCGGTGTTCTCTCCCTTGAAGTAGGCATTTAGTGGACCAGTGCCGTCTTCGTGATTCTTCAGAGCGGCATACCTGTAGGCAGAGAGGGCACCTGGCAAGACGGAGATGTACCCAAACACGGACTCGCATGGCTTGTCGAGAATGTTTGACATCTTGTACTCAAAGTTTTGCGAAGCAACCAGTGGATTGGCCAGTTTTCTCCACAACTTACCTTTCATAGCAACAATTTCTCCAGCTGCACCCGCGACGTTGGAATCATAGTCGAACGCCTTCCATAGGTTGTAAACGGCGCTGTCGCAAGGACGGGTACCGACATCAAGGAGAACACACACCTTCGGCTCCAAAATAGGGCAAACGGCGTTGAACAGCCATCTATGGGAGTTGATCTTTTTTGCGTTCTTTTCTTTCAAACAGAAAACCAGCTGCACAGGACAGATTCCTTTCTCGATGCCGCTGAACTTCAAATCCTCGTCAATGGACAATTGAGCAGTGTACTCAAATAAATGGGCCTGGACCTCCTTCTGATTGACAAGAGATTTGGCAATTCCCTCTTGGTAAATACCAATTGCAGAAAGAACCTGCAAGACACCAGGAGAAATCTTGTTACGCCCGTCAGCAACAATCACAACAACAACTTTCTTCCAGGAGTCCTTGCCCCAAGTTTTGCTGTTTTGTCTTCTGGAAAGATAGGCTATGTTTCTGAACACCGCATGCAAAGTTCTTGTCAGAGCAACCTCGTCCTCGTTATACATTGTAATGCAGACAACAATTTCTGTCTCTCTTCCCATGTCGCATGTTCTCAAACTGAAACCTTCTTCAGCAAAATCATCCGGGCCCGTAGTAACAGCCGAGTATTTCATGTAATCAAACTCATCTTCTCCCTTGACCGGCAAGAAGTTGTACAGCGTGGATGGAATTGGGTTATCGAGTACCAAATTACCATTTTTCGATTTGAAGGTCTTCTGGGTGGTTCTGTAGTTGTTTCTTCTTGGCTGGAAATCCTTCGGAAGCTCATCGAAAAGCTTTCCATCAAGACTAGTGGTGAAATTGTACTCTTCGTCGATAGTCTGGGATCCGAGAGTATCACGATCAAAAAGAGACGGATTGGTATCTTGCTTGGCCAAGTCGGCCATGGCCATGTCCAGAGTAGATTGAGACGACTGAGAAGATTCTCTGGATGAGTCCAGCCTAGGAATAGACGACTTAAATGGGCTGGCATTGGCGGCTGTGTAGGCAGAAGCGGAGAATATAGGCCGTGGGGTGTCTAGAGTTCGGTCGCTGCGCAAAGACTTGGTGAAATCGTCAGTCTTAGCACTGAAAACGTCGTCATCGTCATCAGAATTAGTCCTCACAAAAGCTGGTTTGGATCTGGTCGGAGACTCGCTGGTGGTGTAGGCTGCTCTCGGAGTAGCTCCTGTTTTTTCAGCAGCCATGATGAACTTGTTTGCTGTACTATTGCTAAACAGCTCAGAGTCACTGCTTTTAAACGAAATTGCTGGCGAGTACTTCAAAGCGGCCTTCGAAGGAGATTCTTGATGGTTAGCCAATGGAGATTGCAACTTACGCTTTCTCGGGGATGAGACCGGGGTATAAATGCTTTCCGGCTTTCTTGGAGACTCCGGAAAGTCTTCAAAAGGGCTTTCATTGAGATTGTTTGGCATCCCTAGCAAAGACCAAAAGAACTTGCGATGAAGATGGGAATCTGAATTTGTCTCTGAAAAATCAAATGTTGTAGTGTTTTCAACTTTCCGTAATAGGAAGCTTTATATTTTTCGAGGCTCACCATAAACATGATTATGTCAGCGGAGACAGCGCAGCTTATCGTCCGCATGTGGTAAATTGAACGCGTTGACATGCAGAATCCGAAACATCTTGAGCACCTGCTGAAAATTTATGCCAATCGAAATTAGACTCCAGTGCAACAGCCTGTATCACTCCCATCCCTTTGATGCCCTAAAAGGGTAAAATTGGTGATGCTCAGAAAATATACGACATGGAGACTTCACAGTATATATTTGTGGCAAGCCCTGCTTCCAGGGTAAATGCTGCTGCTTGTGTGTCTGAGTTTCTTCCTGCGTACTTGTCTGTCCGCCACCACCATCACCACCACTGTTGCCTCTGCAGATGCACAGGATTTGGTTTTTAGTGCAAATGCGGGTGTGCTCCAGGTGTTCTTGAACGATTTTGCATCTCGCTTCGACGATTATACCTCGTATATGAACTCTGTCGGGATACCTTTCCCAGGGTCTCTGGTGCAATTTTATATGAACTTCGAGCAGGCCAGTACCAACCAGGCCGCAGCCACCTCGATGTTGGTGAGCGACTTCCCAATGTCTGAATTCAAGACATACATTTCTGTCTTCCCATGGTACAGCTCGCTTCTCTCTGCTGGCGGTGATTCGACAATCTATTTGACGGAAGATGTGGTTTCCAAAACTGTTGCCGTATACGAGGAGTCTAATCGGTTTGATCTGAAGGTGGTCTCGTCCACTGCTGCGGCTTCGTCTTCGGCAGCGTCCAGCAAGTCTAGCCCTTCTTTTTCCAGCTCCTCTTCTTCTTCCAGCTCCTCTTCTTCCAGCTCCTCTCTGTTGGCAAGCTCCACAGGCGGCGCTGCCAGGCTGGTTGTGCCCGGTTTCGGACTTATTCTGCTGGGAATAACAATATGATATTATTTTTTCAGGATTCTATCGAGCTTGTAAAGCAAGTATTTAAAATCCTCGTCTTTTAATTTTCCCAAGATGTAGCTGTAAAGCTCTTTTTCACTGAGCGCGCAAAAATCCACAGTCGCCACCTTCGTCGACGTGCTAAGGTCACCGATATCCATGCTTGTGCTGTTGAAGTTCAGCGACGGGTCCTTTGTGAGGTCATCGTCCTGGAACGAGGTGTAGTGGATAGAATTGAGGAAATCTAGGTTTGGGGTGGGCTCGATCGCAGGGATCTCTGGAATCTGGCTGGCAGACTCTGCCACACCCTGTTGCTCTGCAGGCTGCGACCAGCTGTTTACCATCCCACCTCTGATAACGTCGTCGCTTTTCCTGTCTTTTCTCTCTACCTGTGAGCTCTGGGAGAATGCCATTTGGCTGCCGAAATCGATCTGCGATTGCATTTGCGACTGAATCTGGCTGCCCAAAAAACGTGCTTTTTCTTGCTGCTGGGTTGGAATGCCATGAGAGTCAAGCACCTGGATGCACTTGCTGAACTCGTCGTGTGACGCAAACCCCAGCTGGAGCTTCTTACAATATCTTGCATTAGGATAGTATTTTAATGCAATTGAGGGATATTTTGCATATGCTTTGACCATCTGGTGCTCATCAAACACGAGCCGTTCCAAAACCTCTGCCTTCCACATGATCTTGATCAGCAGGTCATCTCCCGGCTCCTGTGTCTTCTTGCTGCCGCTTTTCTGGCCCACGTTGAGCGACAGGTCGGAACGATAAGGAAAGTGAATCCAGTGGTTTTGGTCGCTTATATACGAAAACTTGCGGAAGGAAATTGAGGTGTACAGGGAGCCCATATCGAGTGAAAAAAGGATAAGTGTTTTTCTTCCCTGTATCCCCCTTATGTTTTCCCAATTTGGCACACCTGGAACCGGCCTTATCTAAAAAAACAAACATATATATGCCCCAGTCTCTGACAAAATGGATAACGAAAATGACCATTTGCTGGGGCCTTTTGACAAATCCAGGATCGGAAGTTCAGAACATGTGGACGAAGAAAACCCCCTGACACAGCAGCTGGCTCCCGAACTTGTTCTCCAGCAACACATGCTAGACGAGATGAATTATCTCCAAGAGATGGAAGACACTCCGCATGGCCGCCATCTGGGCGTTTTCTCCATGACCATGATGATCCTACAGCGTATAATTGGGTCTGGTATCTTTGCCGTGCCTGCTCTGATCTACCGCGATGTTGGAGGGTCGCCTGCGCTGTTCTTTCTTGTGTGGGTCATCGGTGGCTATATGAGCTTCGCTGGACTGTACTGTTTCCTGGAGCTAGGACGGGTGATTCCGCGCAGCGGCGGAATGAAGGTGTTTCTGGAATACATTTACTACAAACCGCGGATGTTCATGAGTGTGCTCTACAACACGTATTCTGTCGCGTTCGGCTTCACTATTACCAATGCAATTATATTCGGCGAGTACACGCTGTATGCGCTTGGCTGGGACAACGTGGACGGAATGGCCCCAAAATACGTTGGCTGCGCGTACGTCGTCGCGGTATCTGTCGTGATCGGGTTCTCGACGAATCTGGGGGTCAGGATGTCAAATTTCACGGGAGCTTTGAAACTGGTGCTTTTAGCAATCATGTCGCTGACGGGGCTTTACGTGCTTTTGCTTCCTTCCAGCATCACGGGGGTAACGAACAACCTCCATTGGGACGGGTTCTTCTCCGTGAAGCGCTCGTTCTCGTCCAGCTCGTTCATTAGCGCCTTGCTCAAAGCCATATTCTCGTTCGGAGGCTGGCACACAGCTCACATCGTCACCAACGAAATCAAGGACCCCGTGCGAACCTTGTCCATAGCTGGGCCTCTTGCGCTTCTCATAGTCAACCTGTCGTACCTCCTGGTCAATCTCAGCTATCTGGTTGTGATTCCGGACGCGGAACTGAACGGTTCCGGTGAACTGGTGGGCAGTCTGCTTTACGAAAAACTATTTGGCTACACCCTTGGCCGCCAGTGTCTCACCCTGACGGTAGCCATTTCCTCCGCGGGAAACATCCTCACGGTGATGTTCCACATCTCCAGAATGAACCAGGAGATCTTCCGCGAGGGGTTCTTGCCCTTTAGCAGGTTTTTCGCATCGAACTGGCCCTGCGGCGCGCCCCTGCGTGCCTTGCTGTTCCCCTTGGCCATATCATGCTTCTTCCTTCTCATACCAACCCCAGACAACGTCTATGACTACATCATCAACCTCGAGAGCTATCCATTGCAGCTCTTTGTCGGACTCACCGTCGCTGGTATATTTGTGCTAAAATATAGAGTTCCTGGCTACCACACAAGCAACCGGCTTCTTGTCGTGCACGCGTCCGCCACAATTGCACTCTCACTGTTTCTGTTTGTGGCTCCGCTCAACCCCTTCAGACAAGCAGACTTCAAGGGGTTCCCGAACTACGCGTACACTTCGCTCAGCATCCTGCTACTGTGCGTGCTTTACTGGGCGTATACATTTGTGTGGGCCCCAAGATGGGGGCGGTACACGCTCTACCCGGTCCAGGACACGCTGAGCGACGGCCTGGTGGTGAAACAGTGGGAAAAGAAACAGCAAGAATAAAATAATTACTTCTTATATGCCTGCTTGGCGAGGTTGACCAGATCGTCGAACTCGCCCGTATCCTGACACATTTTCCGGAAGTCGGATTTTTTGTTGGTGATGAGCTTGTAAGGATGGTCGTACTCCTTGACCTTGCCGTGGTCTAGCAAGAGAATTTTGTCGTAGTCGATGATGGTCTTGAGTCTGTGCGCGATCGTGAGAACAGTGCTGGTGGAGAACTCCTCTCTGATGGTGGCCTGGATCTTGGCGTCCGACTCGTAGTCGATCGACGCCGTGGCCTCGTCCAGCATCAGGATCTTTGGCATTTTCAGGATCGAACGGGCGAGACACAGCAGCTGCCGCTCTCCCTGCGACAGGTTGCTGCCCCCCTCGGAGACGGTCGAGTCCAAGTCCAAGAACTTGTTCACGTTGTCTCCACGGGCCCGGGCGGTCTCGTCTGCGACAGCGGCGCCGTTGCCGTCCACGATTCTCTGGTAGTCGTCGACCGAAATGAGGTTGACACGGCGAAGAGCCTCGAACATCTGGAGATCGCCGTACTCGCCGAAAATGTCCAGGTTCGACCGGATTGTGCCCGAAAACAGGGTAGGGTCCTGCGGGATGATGGTGAGGCCCTTCCGCAGCGACTTGAGACCGATTTTCGAGATGTCGAGGCCGTCAATCTTGATGCTGCCGCTTTCGAGGTCCACAAACCGGAAGAAGCTCGTGATGATGGTGGATTTTCCAGCACCCGTGCGGCCCACCACCCCGATCTTCTCGCCCGCGTTCACGTGGAACGACACGCTGTCGATCACGCGCGGTAGCTCCGGGCTGTACCTGATGCATATGTCCTGAACGTCGATCACGCCGTTCGACGGCCACGAGTTGACTGGGTCCTGCGGCAGGTATTCCGGCGGCTCCTGAGGAGTCTGTTCAATGTACTCTTGCACTCTCTCGACAGAGTTCATGCTGATCTCCACGTAGGCGTACATTCTGACCACCCAGACGGCTGTGTATCTAAAGGACACGGCGAACGAGAGCGAGATACCAGCCAGACCGGCATCGATCTTGTCTGAGTACGCCACGGCAAAGGCTGCCGCGAAGAAGATGAGGAAGGCGCCAATCATGTCGGACCTGTACGCCAGCCACCTGTTGTTGACCCAGACATACCAGAACGGACGGTTGTTGAGGTCTATCTTCTCAAAGTTCTGTGTTAGGAACCGTCTTTCGTCTCCGTAGGCTCTGATCGTGGTCATGCCAACAAGCGTCTCGGAGAAGTGCTGGTGAATAGGCGACTTGGTGATCGACTCGTACCGTTTCAGGTCTCTCGAAAGCTCCAGGTAGAGAGCGCCCACGGCGTAATAGACCAGCAATATCAGCACGCCGGCCACCAAGAAGGCCGGCGTGACGGCACAAACCACAACGAGCGTCGACAGGCACGAAATCAGCTGCGTGACAAACTCTTCGGCATAGAGCGCGAGCTCCTGGTCGATCGCCTCGATGTCCTTGGAGAACCTGTTCATGATACGGCCGATTGGGGTCTGGTCGAAGAAACGCAGTTTTGCATGCAGTAGCTTGTCCAACAAATCCTTGAAGATCTTTCTCGACACGTTGAGACCGCCCATGAACGTCAGAAACACGCGGCTAGACCCTAGCGTCGCGAACGCCAGACCAATCAGGCTATAGATGGTAATATAATACATGGTGCCGCGCTCCTCCACTGCCAGTCCGAACGGCTGCAAAACATAGTTCACGAGCGGCCTGTGCCAGTTGATGCTGTCGAATGAAGGGAAGATAAGCAGACTCATGTCATTGGCGTGGGATAATGCAGCAATGCCGCGCCTGTCTTCCACAGCCGACCAGCGTCTCAGCCAGTACGACTGGTACACGTTGACGGACTGAGAGCCAATGAACAGGATAGCTATCATGATCCACAGGGCCACATTGCCAAAGTACCTGAAGTAAGCGTAGTAGATCTCAGCTTTGACAGAGCCGTCGGACTTGGTCTCGTCCTCGATGAGTTTCGACTTCTTGCGCTGGTCTGGTTGCTGCGTCTTCTTCGCAAGCCCTTCAGCAATGGCCTCGCTCGAAATCTGTGACTTGTTATCCAGCGCTGCCAAATTGGCGGTCGATGCCGATCGCGACTGCATGACGCTCTTGACCACTTCCTCGTTCAGCAGACCCTCCTGCATCAGCTCGTCCACGCTTCCTTGCGCCTTGATGCGGCCATTGTCCATCATGACCACCAAGTCGGCCTCCTTGACCGTGAGAGAGACGTTGTGCGACACAAGAATGCAGGTTCTGCCCTTCATCAGCTCTCCGTTGATACAGTTCTCGTAAATGTGCACCGCTGTGTGAGAGTCAACAGCCGACAAACAGTCGTCCAGCAGAAGGTACGAGGCAGACGAGTACAGCGCTCTGGCCAGCGACACCCGCTGCTTCTGTCCGCCCGACAACGTGATGCCCTTTTCGCCGATTTCGGTCTCGTCGCCGGCCTCCAGAATGCTGAGGTCTCTCGTGAGTCCACAGGCATGGATAACGGCTTCGTATCTCTCTTGGTTGAACGGCGACGCAAAAATGATGTTCTCCTTCACCGTGGCGTTCAGCAGCCACGCCGTCTGCGAGCAGTAGGCCACAGACTCCGTCAGACCAGTCACAGGGTTCGGCGTGAGGTCGTCTCGAGGAATGGCGCCCGGTAGAAAAACATTACCCTTGTCAAGGTCCATCTCTCCAAGAAGAGCGAGCAGTAGCGAGCTTTTACCAGAACCAGTTGGTCCAACCACCACATTCAGCTTGCCGACCTTGAAGTCCACATTGAGGTCCCTGAGCGCAAACTCAGCCTTGCTGTTCTTGCTCCAGTAGAAGGTGGCATTCTCGAAACCAATGAGAGGCGAGTTTGGACCTCTAGGAGCTGACAGTTGCTGGTATTTTGTAGTTTCGGGCTCGTTCAGAAATTCTTCCACCCTGTCCAGAGAAACCTTGCATTGCATAGCCATGGACAACATGTCAGCCAGTGCGTCCACAGGACCTCTCAGTAACGTGAACAACGCAAGCGCCGTGAACGCGATCGGTGACGTCAGAGCGTTCCCCTGGATAACAGTGTAGACAAAGAAGGTGATCAGCGTGACGACAGTAGGCACCACGAGCCAAAGAAAAATCAAGAGCGCCCAAGCGATAGATCTACCAACCAAATGACTGAGTTCCTCCTCTCTGATCTTCATGATGGTGTCCGCAAATTTGTCCTCCCAGGCAAAGTATTTGATGATTCTGATGTTCTGAAAGGTCTCATTTGTCTTCTGGATTCGCCTGTCGGTCACCATAAGCATCTGCTGCTGGTACTGGCTGATCTTTTGCACTAGCATGTAATTAATAGGCAGGATGCCTATGAGCGTAGATGATCCTATAAGGGAGGGCCAGCCAAGAAGCTTGTACAACAGGTAGATAGCAACAGCAGCCATCACAAACGAGTTAGGAAAATAGTGAAGGTAGCCACCGATCTCAGACACTTTGAAGGCGTCCACAGACATCAAGTTGATAATACCACCCAGTTCCTTATTCGAAGACTCGTCTTCTTTCTTGGGCTTGGCCGACTTATCGTTCTCTTCTTCGGTGGTCTTCTCTTTGTCTGTCGAGCCGAGCCGTCTTCTCAGAGCCTTAGAATAAATTTCGCCAATCAAAATCGACCGCATACGCGTACAGATTCTTCTGCCCAAGAACAAACCTCTTCCCGAAAATGAGCACGCAATAACCCCAGACCCAAACATGATGAGCACATAGAACCACGCCATGCTCCTGGATTTGGTATGCGGAGATTCGATGTACTCCAAGATTTTTTTGAGACACAGAGTGGGCACAAAAGTCAAAATCGCATCGAAAGAGGTGCACAGTGTTTGCAACGCTAGTTCTTTTTTAAATTGCAGGAAAAGGCGGAGGGTGAATCTAGCAGAACTTTTCAGTTTGTGGAATCTGACCAGCACATCGTGAGAGTAATCGTCGTAACGCAGCCCCCAAACTTCGTCCATGGTGATTGGTTTCCAGTATGAAGAGAACACCATTTTGTCGAGATAGCCATACGTTATGATGTCTATCAAGGACGAGGTCGTCTCTGGAGAAGGCGTCACACCTTCCTCCTCGTACACGATTGCGGGTTTATCTGACAGTCTCTCAAGACCGTTCGTGAGGCACAGGAGCGTATTAATGACAAATTGGGCAACGTAAAACCAGTACCCATACGACCCAGACACGTGGTGTAAGAGTGCTGAGCGGAATAGCATTGCCGAATTAAACCATTGTAGATTGTAGAGGGCAGCACAATGGTACCAGAGGTCCACTATGTTTGCGGAAAAACCCTTCGAGACATTCAGAAGTCTAGCAGAGGTTATTACCGTCAAATAGAACCACAACGAAAAATTAATGTATTTCACAAGCGGGAAACGAGACTCTGAAAAGTCCTCAAGACGGGACAATGCGAGAAATGCAAGAACGGTTTGTGATACCAGGAGAACCTCTTCAAAAGCAACCTTCAATTTCTCCGCGGTGTCGCGGTAAACTATGCGGACGACACCAATGGGCTTGCCATCATCCTTGATAGGTTTGAGCAATGCTATGTCGAAATGCCTCTGAGAGATGTCGGTGGTCCCGGACTCGGTCGAGGAGGTATACAATGCACGGCCATTCTGCAGCAATGGTTGTTGTTCCGCGTCTAGTTTCGAATATGGCTCTGCTTTTCGTGAAGCAAGGAAGTTTCGCAGCAAATTGAAAGCCACTACCAGAGCGGACAAAGCCAACGGCACTGACACCCAGCTCTCCACCAACTGCCTTCCACACACGGTGAAGTCGTCTACTGCCCAATATGAGTCGCACGGAGTGCTATTTGACGACGCAAGACTCATTGAAAACAGTAAATCCAGCAGATATATAATAATTAGGGCACAATTTTTTCTTTATATAATGTGCACGCTCTTGTAATCTGACAGATAAGGTTGAAAATTTTAGTGAGCCTAGCCGTTCATAAGCGGCACCATAATTAGTCACTATTCACAGCCGGAGGAGCTGCCACCATCGCATCTGATAATTGCCTATAGAATGCACGTGATTAGAGAGAGATATATAAATATACAAAGCAAAAAAGACACAAGTCTACGTAAACGCGTGTCTGATGAATGAGATGTCTAAACGTGCTGAATGCTTTCACTCGTTTTCCTTGCCCTCTGAAGAGGCTTGAGCAGCAGCCTCCACAGCGGAGTCAATTGCAACCGTGACGTTGAGCTTTCTGTTCTTGTACTCCTTGTTTTCGAACTCCTTGAGTGCCTTCTGCTGGTCCTCCTCGGACTTGAATTTCACAAAGGCAATACCTTTGTTGTCGATTTGGACGTTTCTGGCCTTCAGCTTCAAGTAGAGGTTCTTTGGAAGCTCCCTTCTTGGAACACGGATCCAGACAGGCTCGTACTCGGCGAACAGCTCCTTCAAATCTTTACTTGTGACAGACTTGTCGAGGTTGCCCAGGAACAATGTGGTCTTAGAAGGAACACCCTCTGACAACTTCTTCTGCTTTTCCTCCTTGGATAAGACTGGCTTTCTGACCTTTTTCACAGGCGCAGACGACTCAGCAGAGGTGGCCTCGCTGCGAACAGCAGGAGATGCCTCTTTAGAATCGGTCTTGGCCTCGGACTCAGAGCCGGATGGCTTTGCTTCCGCCTTGGCCTTGGCCTTGCTCTTCTTCTTCGCCTTGCCGCTGGCGCTCGAAGCCGCAGACCTTTGCGCAGTCTTCTTTGGCTTTCTCTCCCTCTTAGGTGCAAGGCTTGGAGGAAGAGCAGCTCTGGCGTACACCTCTCTTTCTCCTACCGTCTTGCCGCCAATCAGCTCGATTGCCTTGGCAGCGTCTTCAGAGCTCTTGTAGACGATGAAACCGTGGCCCTTTTGAAGTTGGACGGTGGTCTGGTCTGTTTTCTTAGTGACAGTTCTGGTTGGAAGCTCCACTGACACAACCTCCAGTTCAGGAGTCAACGCTTTCAATTGATCTTCAGTGGTATCATATGGCAAGTTACCCACAAAAACCTTGTTTGGATCAGTCTCTTCGACTGGCGATGGAGATTGCTCGGTAACTTGCTGGGCTGATTCGACTTCGGAGGCAGACATATTCAACGTTTGAGGTTCACCAGGATTCTTTTTGCCGCAGTTGGGTTCCAGATAGGATTAAATTGGTGGTACAATCGGTGTCTTTTTCGGTCTTAATAGCAGAGGGTTTTCAAAATTTTTCGTCCGATGAGGGCAACACGACGGCAGACGGAGGCGAGAGACATTTTTCCAGAAACGAGACAGAAAGTGACAGGTTACCCGGCCACAGCTACTGGGTGTCTTTTACGGTTTTTTTTTTCTCTCGCTCTCGCAGCAATATGGGTCCGACGCGCCGATCGACCCCAACTGGCATCCACCAATGAAAACCATAAAAATTGAAATTTTTCGGTGTAGAGTGTTTTCTCTAGAGGTCAAAAAGTTTTGTAGAATATCCACTCGTGTTGATTTGCAATGTCCTTGCTTAGAAATTTCATAGACGCTCTGTCGCCAATCACCGCCTACGCAGAGGAGCCTGCCGAGGAGCCTGTTGAAGAAGTGGAAGAGGAGGCTTCCGAGGAACCACAGGAAGAAGAGGAAGCAGGCGGTGACGACGCCGAAGAAGAAGAGGACGACGAGGACGACGAGGACGAGGACGATGAGGAAGAGGAGGCCGGCGACCCAATGGACGCCCTCAGGAAACAATGTTCCGAAACCAAAGAATGCGCACATTATGTTCACCACTACCAGGAGTGTGTCGAGAGAGTGACTAAGGAGATGGAGGAGCCAGGATACGACGAAAAGGACTACAAAGAAGACTGCGTGGAGGAATTCTTCCACCTCCAGCACTGTATCAACGACTGCGTTGCTCCAAAGTTGTTCTACAAGTTGAAATAAGGGATAGAAGTGTATATGTCATCAAAATAGCAGGTATTCAGAGTGTAATAGAACAGACGCTTGCACATCATGCTATCGCTGCTACAGCCACAGTATTATCTGAAATGTTTGTTACTCTCCATTATTTATGCCTCGACTCTCTTTGGAGCGTTGGCAGCAGCAATGGCAGCAGCCTTGGCTCTCTTGGCCAGCTTAGCATTAGTCTTAGCACCCATCACACCTCCACCCCAGTGTCTTCTCTGGTCCTCGTACTTTTCAATGAAGTTAGCGTTGATGGTGGAAACGAGCTTGGCCAACGTAGCTTCGTCCTCTGGTCTAACGTCGACCAAAGCAGCAACAGCACTGGTCTTCTGGTGGACAAGGGTTCCCAATCTAGCCTTACCCTTGACAATAGCGTACGGAACACCCATCTTTCTGCACAGGGCAGGCAGGAAGACAACCAGCTCGATTGGATCGACATCGTTGGCAATCAACACCAATTTGGCCTTCTTGTTCTCGATCAAAGAAACAACGTGGTTCAAACCGTACTTGACAACAAATGGCTTGGAGGAAACGTCCTCCTTCTTCTTGCCCTCAGCAATGGCAGCAGCCTCCTTGGTAAGTCTCTCTTTCTTCTCGGCAGCAGTCTCTGGTCTGTACTTGTTCAGGAGCTTGAAAACCTCGGCAGCACTGTTTCTGTCCAAAGTGTTGGCGAACTGAGCAATAGCTGGAGGAACCTTCAATCTCATCGAGAGCACCTTCTTCTGTCTCTGCAGTCTGATGTATTGTGGCCACTTGACAAATCTGTTCAAGGCTCTCTTTGGCTGGATGTTCTGTCCAATACCAAAGTTTCTTGGAGTGGACTCAAGCAAAGGGTTCTTTGGACCAGTGCTCTTAGCAGCCTTGGTCGACAAAGGAGCTGGGGCGACCTTCTTTCCTTTTGGAGCCATGTTTAGTTGTTAAATTATCCAAGTAAAATTTTTGAAAAATTCACCCTCGTGCGACCCACGAAAAATTTCCTTACCTGCCTACATGCACGTGACTTGCACAGGAGGTTTTCCAGCCCTCTCTATTATATACGCTCCGGCATCTTCATCATCAGCACCACCAGCGACGTCCAGCCGGAGAAGTGCCGTGTCCGCTGTCCGACGCCTGTCTCCTCGTTGTACTGCTCCCACGTGTATCCTGTTTTCCGGTACTGCTCGTAGATATTCTCGATCAGGTTTTTCCGCAGAGACTCGTATATATCGCTCATCTGCGCGCGGATCTCTGGAGATGTTTCTGGCTGCGCGGCATAGTATTGCAGGCTCTCCAGCACCAGGTAGTTGATGTTGACCCAAACGTGGCCTCTCCAGTAGTCCTCGCCCTCATGGAAATAGGGATCGTTTTTAGACAGCGATCTGATCCCGTACGGCGACCACAGCTGCTCAGGGTCCCGTAGCTGCTCCAGAACGTGTTTCAGATGCTCTGACGACGCAGGAATCAGCCGGTGCACAAACGGCATGATGCTGACGTACCCGATGTGGCACTCGAATATGTCCTCGTCCTCCTCGTCCACGGTCACGTCGCAGTAGCTCCGGTCCTTACTGCTCCAATGCAGATCCTCCATGTTGGCGACGATGTTGTCGTATATCTCGCTGTAATGCTGTGCGTCCTCGTGTTTGTCGAGCAGAAACGCGATCCTGTACATCGACCTCGTCATTGCTCCCATCCAGGCCAGCAGGTCAACGTGCAGCTCTGCTATGTCTGGCGGTGATCTTGGGTAGTCGTCGATCCCGCTGGGCAGACAATGGTCCTTGGTGCGGCCCTTCCAGCGGAACACGTCGAGCGCAGAGTGGCACGTTCTGCCGAACAGTTTTGTCTCACCGCGCTGCGTCCTGCGGAACCAGTCGTAATGTTTCTGGAGCTGCGGATATATTTTATATGCGTAGCTCACGAGCAGCTCCGGATTTTCCAGGTGCATGTCGCCCAGCCGCAGGGCACCCGCAGCCGAGCCGGTGTCCACGCCGTACTTCTTGGTCTCCTGGGCCTGTTTCGCCAGGTCCAGCAGCTTCGTGAAGACCAGCATCAGAGTGGGCGGGTTCGCGATGTTGGGGTTCTGAACGGTAAACTCTGGTGGCACCTTGCTTCTGGCCTCGTCGCCCAGGATCTGCTCTCTGGCTATCCAGCCGTCCTCGTCGATCAGCGAAAACCAGCTCTGGACGATTTCGAGCGCCAGGTCCGAGTCATACTCCAGAACGGGCAACAGGTGGAAACCTTCGTCCCAGTAAAAACCCCGGGGAAAAAACGGTCTGCTCGGAACGGCAGTAAACAGCTCGTACGGTCCCTCCGACTTACCTGCGAGGCTGGCGTGGCTGAACTCAATATCGTCCACCACGGCATTGCGGTCCACCAGCTGGTCGCCGTAGAAGTAGCTAATTCCACCCAGCAGCTGCGAAAGCATCTCCTGTGCAAACTGGAAGTGCTTGGGCTTCGCGTACGGCGGAGCGAGCTGGAAGTTTTTGGCGAACTTAGAGTTGAAGTTCTCATTCATCTCGGTGATTTTGTCAGGAAGCTGTTCTGCAGTCAGCGGCTCGTTGTCTGCCAGATTGAAAATGATGTCAAACTGAAAGCTGCCTTGGAACGTTTTCTGCACAAAATGCATGTTTCCCTCGTAATTGTCGATATTCTTCATCTGAAACAGCTGTTCGGGCGGGATCCTGTCCTTCTTATCCAGCTTATCCTGCAACCTCTTGATGTTCTCGCCCAGAAGCGTCAGAAAAATGTCCTTTGCTCGCCAAACGTTGCCTGTAGGAACCACCAAGGACAGGTGTCTGGTTTTCGACGGATCGAGTCCCAGACCGCGATAGTCACCTTCACGGGCGTACTGGCTGGACGCGCCTTTCGTGACGTCCAGGTCAAACACCCCGCCAAGCCGCTCTGAGTACCCGACCAGCTTCACGTCGCCGTCGGTCACGTCGTCGGGGCCGGCATACGTCAGCTGTCCTTCTCCCTCGAGACCGGCGTAGAACACGACCGACGTTTTAGCGTCTTTTTTCTTGGGTTTTCCAGACACACGCAGCGCCCAGTTGCCGTCGTCTGTTTTCACAAAATCTGCCTCGAGCTTGAGACCGAACTGCGCGTCTTTGACCACCTCGTGACCCCCGATCCGCGGGTCGTACCTGGTCCACCCAAAAGTGTCCAATTGGTCGTCCTGGCGGCACTCGTGCCGCAGACCGCTAATTCCCTGGTAGCTGTCCACGTTGAACCACATCAGGCCCGTCAGCAGAGACTCAGGCAGCCGAGGCTTCACTCCGAGATACAGATTCGACCGGTACGCTCCCCAGAAAAGCGATCTGCTGTTTGCGCCGGCGTAGTCTGCCGCCAGGCTGCTGAATTCCTCGCTGCTGTTGCCCAAGATGCCATACTCGATGGCCAATGCCGAGCAGGCATAGAAAAAGGAGGCCAGTAATACTTTCCACAGCATGGGAAGAATATTTTTGAGAGAAAATAATATTAGTGCAGATACGCATGGCAGCGTAATAATTACATAAACCCGCCCAGTTTGCGCTTCTTGCGCTTTTTCTGCGACGAGGTGCCTTGCGTCAGAAGCGACGAGCGCAGCTGCGACGACACTGGCGCCTCTGGCTGCGAGCTTGGCGGAGACGCGATCTGGGAGCTAGCAGGGGACGACGCGTTGATCTGGGAGCTCCCTGGGGAACGCGACTGAGAGAGCCGCTGCGAGAGCCCGGCCAACTTCGCCGGCCGCGCTTTCAGCTTTTTCTTGCTGCTCTGCGACGTGCTGATCGCCGGTACCTGGCTCAGAGGCTCGGCGTGGCTGAAGCGGCTCGTGTCCTGTGGCTCGTGCGGCCGCCACTGGTCGAGCAGCGCGGCCAGCTCGACCGGCAGCTGCGACCGGATCGCCTCGATCCCGTGGTCGCCCTGGTCCTGCTTGTGCACCGTGAGGAGGCTGAGCCCGAGGTTCGTGCTGATGCGGTCCAGGCACGTGTCTCTTTTGCTCTGCAGGATGTCCCGCAACCGCGTTCCTCTGTTCTCGAACGGTCTCAGCAGGCGGAAAAGGGTTTCCGGCACCGTGTGCAGCCTGTCGATCTGGCCCACGTCGGAAAACACCCGCTCGGACGCGCAGTAGACGGCCCACCCGTTCTGCGCGACGAGCGACTCGAGGTTGCTCGGGACAGCGCCCGACGTCGGGACGATCGACGCAAGCGACAGATACGCGTCGTCGCTCTGGGCGAACCGGGCGACGAGCTGCGCAACGCTCTCCTCGGCGTCGTTCTGCTTCGCTGGCTCTGGATTCCGGCCCACGGCGGCTATCGCTGGAGGCTGGCTCGGCGGCGTCCGCTCCGGCACCTCTACCGGCCGGTCGGCGCGCTCCATGTGCGCTCGCGAGATCTCGAGATCTTTGGTGAGCTGCAGATACACGGGCGCGGCGCCGTAGTCCACGAAGACGATCGACTGCAGCGGCTCGGACGGGTGCGGCACGTAGAAGTAGGGGTCGCCCACGACGCGCGCCCTCTGGCGCTCAAACCCAAACGTCACTACGCAAACCAGCGGAGTGGCCTGCGAAATTATGTGGCACTCGAACCTGCCGTCGTAGCTCTGCACAGAAAGCTTGAGAGACAGATCCTGCTGGTCCAGATGGTGCGACCAGCCCAGCACAAGCTCGAAGCCGGACATGTCGACGACAGAAACCTCTCTCGTGGTCAGCAGAATGCAGTAGTCGTGCTGGCCGGCAGGAACAGCCAGGTCGAGCAGTCTGGTCCAGTAGTTTGCAACCACCTTGCAGTTCTGCGTCCCGGGCGACCACACATGCAGCGACGAACGCGACATCACGAGAAGCTCGTCGTTCCGGTGCGCGAACTGCAACTTCTTGAAGTTGGACAGTTCTGCCGGATCGTGGATCGAGGAGAGATAGAGCCGTTTGTAGTCGTTGAAGTTGCGGTCCAAGTCCCGTCTCACCAGCTTGAACAGCCCGAAATTGCCCTTCACATCCACCAGCGCAAGATAGGCCTCCATGCGCGGACACACGCACGCGTGCGCAAAAGCCTGGCCGGCCAGGCTTTTTTGCGGAATCTCAACGAGTCGGGCCACCCCGACGCTGAATTTGCTTTCCACACGCGCCTCAAATATGCACACGCTCACGCTCGTGCGCACGCCAAAGTAATGCGTCTCGGGAATCGTGAATATCTGCCTGATGCGGGAGCTGAACCGGACGGCCTTGGTCGACGACAGCGATGGAAGCCGGCCCGAGTCCAGGATGCTGACCGCGACGATATCCCCGTACGGCCCAGTCGCGCTGATCAGCAGGTCGGTGCTCGCCCTGGGCACGGTGTAGCGGAGCACCGCGAGCAGGTCTCCGTACGTTGGGTCGTAGATCTTGCGGTCGAGCGCAGCCAGAGACTCCTGGTGGCCCTTTTTGAGCACCTCCTTCGGCACAAAATAGGTGTCTGTGGACTGCTCGACGATTTCGGACGCGAGCTTGACGCTGCCTGCGCCGATGTCTGGTGACTTCTGTTTGAGCTGTGCAGGCACCAGACAGTGAAACGAGTCTTTGACGGGCCGCAGCTGGTTTCTTTTAGGCTCGCGCAGCCGCGGAAAATCAAACGAGTCCGTCGCTCGGTCGTACGTGCACGAGCCGTCCACCCCGTAGGTGAGGTGGGTGTTTTTCCCGGGCCACATGTATTATCAGGTATTTTTCAATTTTTTGATCTAAAAAAACTATGTGAGTTCGCGTACGCCTAGGCAATTATGGTGGTGTGCGGGTCGGACGGTGCTGCCACACAACAAGCCTACGATGGACCCCAAAAGTAAGACTGGCAAGTGCAGTGCTCGGGACGTTAGCGATTTCCAGCTCTGAGACAGCTGCTACCATTTTGGGCCGCTGGGTGCGCAATTAAGCAAGACAGCTGGCACGGCCCTCCAGCGGGGGAGCTACGTGCAACCACCCTACACCAGAGCTCAAACTGCCATATAGTATATTGCTCAGGCTTATTAAAATACGAATCACGCATCCATCGTTCTCACAACATAGTCCACCTTTTCTCCGGAAGCAGAGGCAGCCTCGAAAACCTGGGTCTCCATCCCGTGGAGCACGCACCGGTCGTTGACGAACTCCGGGTCGACCTCGTCCCAGGTCTTTCTGATACCTCCTGCAGGCGGAAATATCGCACACAGCACGTAGTACGCAGCTCCTCCAATGAAGATCCCGATGGGCAGCGCAAAAATATAGAGATGAATTGCCCCCAGCGAGATGTGTGTGTTCCCGCACGCGTGCAAGAACCCGGGAAAGACCGGTCCCCAGCTGATGAAGTACGCGACGTAGGCGCGCCAGTTGATCCCGTACGTGTAGTAGTAGATGCCGTCTTTTTTTCCGCTGTACAGGTCAGCGAGCTCGCAGCGGCCCTTTCTCACGAAAAAGTAGTCGCTGATCACAATCCCCAGGATCCCAGAAAGGAAGATCTGCTACGAGCTGAGGTACGTCGTGAACGAGAACGAGGTCTTGGTCAGGTTCCACGGAGTGATGGCGAAGGAAAGAACCATGACAATGATGGCCCCGCGTCGGATGTTGATGTACTTTGGACACAAAGCTGCCGTGTCGTTGCCGCCGGCAATGATGTTGGCAAACAGTTGGGTCACGGCCTGTGCGATGGAGAACCCTAGCGCAATGAAGAAGACGCTTTACCTGTTCTTCGCCGAGTAGCTGGTGGTCAGGAACGCTTCGAGGATCTTGGTCGGGTCCCAGATAATGCGGCCGAAGATCTTCTCCGATGTCGACGTGACGAGGATGCCGAGCAGCGACACGATGATCGATGCCATCGGCGCGGCTATCATCTGCGTGTACAGGGCGTCGTTTCTCTTGGCAGCGTTTCTGGTCAGGTCTGAGTTGTTCGCTGCGAACGTGACGGACTGGCCGGCCTGGGTGAACATCTGCCCCAGAAAAACCCACGCGTGGCTGTTTCCGGCGGCCACGTGAGTCTTCTTGGTCATGATGGAGCCCACGCCGTGCGCCTCGAGGAGACACCAGATGAGGAAAATGAGCAGCAACACCAGCATCAGCGAGGTCTTCCAGACAACCACCTTGTTGTAGTTTTTGATGGGGACAAACGCCAAAAGCAGGGTGACCACCCAGCCGATCGCAAAGCCAACAAGCCGGCCGCCGGTGATGGAGTAGTCGCTCGAGAACGAGTTGTGGATCTGCGCCATCTTGGGCGTGAGCGCATACAGCATCACGTAGATGCAGTTGCCGGTGGTGATTCCCTGGACACCGCACCAGATGATGGTCATGGCGTTTCTGTTGAAGAACGGCCAGAACCCGCCATAGACGCCGAACGACGAGCGAACAATCACGGGAAACGGGATCTTGTACACCATGCCTGGTCTGCCAGACATCACCATGAAAAACGTGATCACAATTCTTCCCAGGATAACACAGAGCCACGTCTCCCACCACGAGAGCCCGAGAGAGATCCCCGTCAAGGCCACTGTCCACGACGTGACGGAGGCCTGTTCTGCAAACCAGAATAGCGAGTAGGTGACTTTGTTCCATGTCCGTTTCGAGGGAGGCGTTGGAAGCAGGTCGGCATTGCACAGAAAGGCCTCCTTGCCGGTCCCCACGCCGTCGACCTCCAGCTTAATCTTGGAGAGCCTCATTGATTTCAGCAACTTTGAGATGTATCGTGCGGCAGACTGGTGTTTGGACGCACATTATGTACCTCGAGCCAGGCCCTGAGCGATAAAAAAGCTTATCTTTCTGGCGGTGTCGGTGCGAAAAAACTGGTGCGAAAATCTGTGATTATCGGGACTCGAGCGAAAAAACAATAGCCTGCAGAATGCACGCTGTCGGCAAGGGCGCGATATGCCTTGGGAGCCCCGATCTGCCAGAAACAGCAGCCTCAACAGATTGGACGCTCTCACAACTCTCAACTCTCCAGATCAAGCTATGCTGCCCGAGAAGCAAGACGAAGCAGCAACAGAGACGTGCTCACCTGGCTGCTCCCGGATTGCTGCCTGGAAGTCTTTGAGACCCAAGATGTCGCCCCAAACAGAGCGCAAGCCGATCATCGGCGGCCTCGTGATGGCGATTTTCCTCGCCGCTCTCGACCAGACAGTCGTCACGGTTGCACTTTCCACCATATCCACCCAGTTCACCGACAATGCCAGTGCGGCCACCTGGGTGGGCACTGCGTTCACTCTGGCCCAGGCCTCGGTGATCCCTATCTGCGGCAAGACCGCCGAGTGCTGCGGAAGAAAGCCCGTCGTGCTGGTCGCCCTGGCCGTGTTCTGCCTGGGCTGTGTTCTGTGCGGCGCGTCCCAGTCGATGCTGATGCTCATAATCTCCAGAGCGATCCAGGGCCTCGGCGCCGGGTCTGTCAACTGCATGGTTTTTCTGATCATCACCGAGATCTCCACGCCCGAGCAGCAAGGCATGCTGCAAGGGCTGATCGGGGCCACCTGGGGCGTAGCTGCGGCATGCGGTCCCCTGATAGGCGGCGCGTTCACGGAGTACTCGAGCTGGCGATGGTGTTTTTTCATCAACGTGCCGTTCTGCTGTCTCGCGCTACTGATCTTCACGCTGTTCTACCACTGCTACCAGTTCGAGCACTTCGTGGATGGCGAGCGTTTTGACGCGATGGTGTCCAAGTCGTGCTACATCCGCGACCTGGTCATACGGATCTGCATAGACATCGGGCTGCACCAGAACGCTTCCTCGGACACAGAGCTCAGTCTTCTGGCGCTGTGCTGTTCCGTGGACGCGTCGCTTGCTCTCCATTTCCACTTCCCGCTGGCCATCGACTCGCAGTCGATCAGGAATGATATTCTAGAGAAAATACAGCAGCTGCGGCCGTACTCCGTCTACTGTCTCGTGAGCAGCTTCTGTCGCGTGCAGAGCGAGCAGCTCACAGACAGCGAGAGACACGCCGCGTACCTGCGTCTCCACTCCGCGGCCCGGACCTTGGAGCAAAACGTGCGCGTCTCGCCCGCCGATCCCAGCAGCAAGTCATACAGCGTCGTGCTTTATCTGGAGCTGCTGGTGCTGCAGGCCGAGATCTCGCAGCAGCTGGGCGACGCCGCCGCGCGGGACGGCTGCCTGCACAAAATCAGAGACGTCCGGGCCGGCTTCCGCGCCCAGATACCCCAGACCCTGCGACACACGCTGGACCATTTGGAAACGTAATCTTGTACATGCGTAATACACACTATTTGCTGGCGTCGTCAAACGACTCGAATCTGAGGTCCCAGCCGATCTGAGGACCGAGCTTAGGAAGCACCTCGGCAACGCTCTGGACGTCCTTGTCTCCTCTGCCAGAAACGTTGATGATCACGTGCTGGTCCTTGGACATTTTCCTGGCAGCCTGAACAGCACCGTAAATGGCATGCGACGACTCCAACGCAGGAATGATACCCTCGTACTGAGACAGCAACCTGAATCCCTCTAAAGCCTCAGCATTGGTGGCAGCTATGAACTCAACGCGACCGGTGTCCTTCCAAGCGGACAGCTCAGGGCCCACACCCGGGTAATCCAGACCCGCAGACACAGAGTGGGTGTCGTGGACCTGTCCATCAGTGTCCTGCAGAACGTACGTCTTCACTCCGTGGAAAACACCAGGCTTGCCGGCCGTCAGCGTGGCAGAGTGTCTGTCGGTGTCAAGGCCTTCGCCTCCGGCTTCCACACCAAGCAGCCGCACGCCAGTGTCTTTTTCGAACGGAGAAAACATACCGGTCGAGTTGGACCCTCCACCAACACAGGCAACAACCAGGTCCGGCAGCTTGCCGTCGTTCATCTTTTTGAATTGCTCTTTGGTCTCGTTTCCAATCACGCTCTGGAACGTTCTCACCAAAGTTGGGTACGGATGTGGGCCAATGGCAGAGCCAACAATGTAGTGCGTGTTCGATAGGTTGGTGACCCAGTATCTGAAGGCCTCGGTGGTGGCGTCCCTGAGCGTCTTCGTTCCGTTAGTGACGGCAACAACCTTGGCTCCCAAAATCCGCATCCGGAACACGTTCAGAGCCTGCCTTCTGACGTCCTCTGCTCCCATGAAAACAGTGCACTTGAGACCAAATTTGGCACATGCCGTGGCAGTGGCCACTCCGTGCTGACCGGCACCAGTCTCTGCAATGATCTCGCTCTTCCCCAAACGTCTGGCGATCAGGATTTGAGCTAGCGCGTTGTTTATCTTGTGCGAACCGGTGTGGTTCAGATCCTCTCTTTTCAGCCAGATCTGAGCTCCCCCCACATACTCGGTCAATCTATCAGCGCGATGAAGAGACGACGGACGCCCAATGTAGTCATACAACGAGCGGAACTCCTCCCAGAACTTTGGGTCTGCAATGGCGCTCTCAAAGCCATCCTCCAACTCTCTCAAGCAGGCCTGCAGAATCTCAGGCACGTACTGTCCTCCGTACTCGCCGAATCTTGGATTGTGGAGATGCTTCTCGTCGAAAGTGACGTCTGAGCCCAAATTGAGCTCCGCCTCGAACAATGACTCACCAACAACGTTCTCACCCTCGCCGGTTAAAATCGACCTGACATACTTCTCGGCAGTAGCAGCTCTCTCGCCCGCCGGGGACTCGTCCAGCAGCGAAACCAGCTTTGAACCAATCACAACACCATCCGAAGACGAGCCAACTTGAAGGAAGTGCTCTCTGGTGGAAACACCAAACCCAACAGCCAACGGAGCCTTGCCTCCAGTGATCTTGCGGACCCGGTCGACCAGAACTCCAACAGACGTGCTCACAGAGATGGAGGCGCCGGTGGTGCCCATACGAGAAACCACGTATATGAAGGAATCGGCAATGTCGCCGAGCAGCTTGAGTCTTTCGTCGGTAGTAGATGGAGCAACCAGCGGCACGTACGACATTCCCTCTTCTTTGCAGTATCCTCTAAATTTCAATGCTTCTTCTGGCGGCAAGTCGACAACAATAAATCCATTGGCGCCTGCCAGACGAGAGTCTCTGATCATCTCCTTCTCGCCGTATTGCAGAATAGGGTTGTAGTATCCCATGAGAACGAACGGAACGGTCACCCCAGAAGCTCTGGCCTTCTTCACCAGGTCCAGAACCATACGCACAGTCACGCCGTTGTGCAGAGCAACGTTGTTTGAGTGCTGAATCACTGGTCCGTCGGCCATTGGATCAGAAAACGGAACACCAAGCTCAATCACGTCCACACCACCAGCCTGCAGACTCTGTAAGATCGGGACCGTCTCCTCAACAGTGGGGTGTCCCGCGGTGACGAACGTCACCAGGGCTGTTCTCTTTTCAGACTTGGCCTTGATAAAAGCCTCTCTTAAAGCAGTTGCCATACTGTTATCTAGTGAAAAAAATCAGTCATCAGGGAATTCTTGAACCGGTGAAAAAAATGTTGAATCGTCCCGTCGATCGGCGTCTATTTCTTTTTGGGTGCTGGCTTCGCTTTCGAAGGCGGCCGTTTCGTGGCGCTATTCCTCGTCCCTGGTGAGCCTACGCTGCCCGAAGACAGCGGCCCACCCATCTCTACCGAGGAAACAAGCGGATTTTTCGAGGACTCCGTCCTGTTGAGAGATTGTTCGTTCAGATACTTGGTTTCGATCTTCACCTCATGGGGTTCAACCTTGATCTGATCCTCAGGATTGGCTCCCATTTTGAGCTTGGCGTACCTGACCACTGGCAGTAGCCTTTTGTATGCATTCTGATACGCATCCAGATTGCTCTTGAGCAAGTTGATCTGCGTCGCCACCTCGTGATAAAACACCGATGACGTGGTATCCTCATCCACAGAGGCCAGAAGCCTTATGTAGCGGGCCATTTCGTACCGCAAACCACTAATCTGAGATCGGAGATCTTGTATTTCCAAGATGATAGAATCGACGTCCAATTTGCCGTTCTCAAGGTCCTGAATCGCTATAGTCTCTGTCACTGGCGTGCTCGCTCCACTAGTTCCCGGAAGCGGCCCCGACGGTGTTAGATTGGCGGCAGGCGTGGGCATAGACATATCTTGCAAACACTAAATCGGTTATAGAAGTTTATCTAGTTGGGTGTATGATTACATAATCGGCGTCCTGGTAGCTATTTCCTGCGACGGATTGTGACCGTGTCGTTGTCCAGCGTCCACTCAACACTGTGCTCTTTGCACAATTCCTCCCACGACGTATTGAGAAAGCCCAAAAGCACTTCCTTTCTAAGCATAAAGTATGATCGACGCAGCGTGTCAACTTCCGTCTGTCTGAATGCTTTAAGTCTAAGATCCATTACCGACTTATAGCAAGCGTTCTTCGATAAGTAGCTATATTGGCGCGTCCAGAGATAAAAGTCTTTGATCATGAGGGCGTAAGTTGCAAAGAACGCGGCTTCGGGGACGCACGAAGCAGGCTTTCCAAAGTCCAGTGAGATGTCAAAGTTCTGCAGAAGTAACTCAAACACCGACTCGAACTCGCCGTTGTAGTGGGCCTTGTGTAGCGCTAGAATCAACAGAACCTGTTCTTTTTCAGTGCTGGACATAAGCTGGTTTTTTTTCTCGGCTTCCATTAGATGCACTATGCTGGGGACGTATGACTGATGATGGCCTATTGATGCAGAATAACGGATCGAACTCACAAACACGTCTTTTGCGAATTCTGTGTGCGGCTGGGAAAGAAGGCTTTCCCTCAGTTTGCGAAAGTCCATGAGAACTGAATCTGCTTTGGCGTTGGATCTGATGTTGGACTGGATTTTTGTCAAGAGATCTTTTCGAGCAGATTCGCTCTGCTGCAACCGGAGGTCCTCCCCTCGACTAATCAGGCCGAACTCTGCATTTTTTGAGCCTCTGATTTGATCCTGGTCCTTTAGGAACCTGTTTCGGCGCCTTTCAAGGGCGTGAGGGTCTTGCAGCACAGATTCGGCAGAATCTTTTTTCTCGTCGCTGCGATATTTCATTGATAAATAAATTATTTGACTAGATTTTTTAAATATATCGATTTATGAACGAGCTGAAGAGGCCTGCCGACGAGCACGTCAGAGACCCAAAACGGGCCAAGCTGGAAAACAGTGATTTATCTGAGCTTCAGAACATGAATTTTCTCCCAGAAATTGGTACCCAGCCAGTGAAATCCGACAGTAACGAACCTGAGATCACGAAAAATCCAAACGAACTAGACATCAACGCCACCACAGAAGGATCGAGCGACGAATCAGAAGATGAAAAGGAACTCTCTTCCAAAATCATAGCAATACCAGGAACAAACATAGTGCTGGATTCGGAGGAAGACATTCAAAAATGGATTGAAGAGCGACGTAAAAACTGGCCAACGAACAAAAGAATACAAGAAAAGAACAACTTGCAGACGAAGCAGGCGCAGGCGAATCCTAGTGGGCCACAGAACCGCCGTGTGTGCCGGTTTTGGCAGAACTCGCGCAATTGCAAAAATGGAGCAAAGTGCAGGTTTCTCCATGAATCGGGCCCTCAGAGGCCTCGACAACTCCCTAACCATAAAGTAAAACAAATCCAGGGATTGTCTGTGCAGATTCCGCAACGGTTCACTCCGCTAGTTCACAAAGGTCGCTCATTGCACAATCTGGTGGCAGAGAGAGAAATGCTCGATGAAAACGTTAGACTGTTGGGAATATTTAAGAAATTGATTGAAAACAACCTTATACAGGACTGGACGGAGCTGAAACAACGCCTCAATCTCGATAAGCTGGACTAGAAATTTAGCATATTTAATAACGGAGCACTATTAATTTTATTATACTCACATACCCCTAAAAGCGTTCTTACTTGCACGACGTCTTCCTTCATAATTCTGCCGCGTTTTGCCTCTATCTTCGTTATTTTCAATCCGCACTTTCTTCTTCTTCTGCGGCACAAAGCTGATCTCGGCCTCTCCACGAACGTTTTTGTGCACCCTGATTTGCTGTTTCTGTTCTCTTTCCTGTTCTCTTTCCCTATTGACGTCCTCAAGTCGCCTGCTAAACGACAAATTCCTGTGGTCCGTTTTTCCTGTCAGTTCAGCTGCAGCGTCCAAAGGTTTCATGGAAACAGTCTGCATTTTCTTTAAATATTCTTCTTTCTCCAGCTCCTCTCTCAGTCTCTGGTCATGCTTCCTTCTGATCTCCTGGCGTTTCTGTGCAAGAGCCTCGTCCTCGCTTTCGCTCTCACTTTCGCTCTCACTTTCACTGTCACTGTTTCCTCCCGGGTTCATTTTTTCCTCGTCAGACTCCTCAGCTGCAGTCAAAGGCTTACTACCCTGAACAGGATTAAGCTGCTTGTAGTCATGTGACTCCTCGTCAATCTGGAACATTGGGTCTTCAAACATCTCTTTGAAACGATCATCGTTGACAACTTGCTCTGCAGCATCAGAGCCAAGTTTCTGTCCAAGTTTGGTAGCATAGTCTTTGTTGACCTTAATCTTGGTGTTGGAAATGGCTCCTGTGCTCCGGATACGAGACTCCCTTTCTTTCTCGACACGTTTTTTGATTTCACGCTCACGTTGATCTTGAATTGCGTTAGGATTGGCGATCAGGTTCACCTTGTCGTACAGTTCGGTGTCAATGAAATAACCATGCATGTAGGCACGCATAACCTTGGTGCCGATAAGATGAGAGATATTGAGACGGACGACGTCTTGCTTGGTGATGAATCTATAGTTCGAGTAGACTGTGTCTGAAGGCTTCTCTTCCAGCTCTTCGGTGATGTTGTCGAGGAAGGAGCACCATTTAGGAGCTGGACCAAGAGCTGGGATGTAGTAAGTATGCATTGGAATCGATTCGTTTGCCATGAAAAACATGCCAGAGTCAGGAATGTACTCCACGTCATTTATGTCAACACTTGGTTCCATGCTGGCAAACAGGTCCCCGCTGTGACGGTCCCAGATTTTAGCGATCTTTTTGTCTGAGGTCATGATTTTGTTGCTCACACTAGAATTATCGTCCAGCCAGGTTATCTTGTTAATTGCGAATCCATAACCTTGGTCTTTAGTCATTAAAGGTTGCGATCGACGGAGGTCATACAACAACGAGACTCCGTTTGAAGTACCCACGGCCATGTTCAGTCCATCAGTGCGGAATTTGAGCGCGGTAACTTGGGTAGAGGGCATTTCAGAGCCGTCAATGACCTCCATCTTGACCACTCTCTGTCTTGCTCTGTGATCCCAAAACTCCACAGTGCCGTCCTCTAATCCGGCACCGACCAGGCCGTGCACGTTGTTTATATCAAGAATGTTGACACCTGTCTCGCTGTCTATCTCAAATGGCTGCATGAAGCGTCCTTGCTCCAAGTTCAGTCTGTAGATCTCGTTTCCCGCAGCTCCCACATACAAATCACAGTTCACCTCGTTGTATGCCAAAGAGCGACCAAACTTAGGAACTCGAGTTCTGTAGTGCATTCCGCCTTTCACCTGAAATTCGATAGAGCGATCATTTTGCAAGTGCACAGACTTGGTCCAGTCGTCACTGAGAAGCAGGAAGTCCACATTCTCACAGTCCGTGTGGCGCTCGAACTTGAGCGAAAGATTGGCAAAGTCGTAAACGTGAATCTGAGGTTTGTAAGTTCCGGTTGCCATCGCATATTGGCCATCGCGAGTGACCCTGATCCGGTTGGAGGCTTCACTGAACTCAAAATCTTGGATTAGCTCAACACGGTTCTGGTAATCGATATCGTTCTTCAGAGCCCGCTTGCGTTTACGAGCAATCCAGTCTGGAAGAGATCTAGCCACGTTAGTTCCCGAGATCTGGTAGACCGAAACGTCGTTGGCAGTCGTAGACTTTAGAACCATTAAAAAATAAGGAAAGATATTGCAGAAAAAAAATATTTTTTTTTGATTTTTTTCGGTCTGGTCGATCGACTTGAAAATCTTGTATCATTCGTGTAATTTGTTCATGGACATTGCTCAACTTAATAATCCTGTCGCTCAGGAAGCAGCCGTTGACTATAGCCAGCTGTACGAGGACTTGCTCACCAAGTACGCAAAGGTGCATGCTGATGCACAAAAGCTCAAGAACAAAGAAACACGAACAAACAGACTGATCAAGTATCTTGAACTTAGAAACAATATGCTTATCCAGCTCTTGATGCGCGCCGAATCGCTGGGACTAAGTGGAACGCAATCAAAGATGTCGAGCAACCAGGAACAGGAGATCCTGCAATCCATTTTGTCCCAAAAGCCATACCTCCAAAACATCCTTCAACCATTGACGCAAAACACAGGTGATCTAGATTCTCCCGAGCTCTCGCAATTATACGAATTGCTTGAGAAAAACCCCAACTCGTCCCTTTTGAACAGCGATCTCGAAACAGTGCTAGATCTTGACGAGGGCTCTGACAGGAAGAGAAAACTCGAATCAGCTACAGATATCTCATGACGATGCATTAGTCATTCTACTCAATCACGACCAGCTTCTTCTTCTTCGGTTTCTTTGGTTTTTTAACCACAACAGGCGGCTCTTGTTTTTGCTCTAGCTTCTCAAACTCTTTCCGCAATTTCTCCACCTCCTCGGCGTGGTCAGGCTCGTCCGGTGATTTGGTGAGGTCGAAGTGTGACAAACTCGAAGAGTCAATGAGTAACTTACTTTTGTCCTTCTTTTTCTTCGGTTTGGATACAGGCTCAGGAGCAGACTCCTCGCCTGGATCCTCGTCGCCAAGAACGAGCACTTTCTCCTTCTTGATCTTTTTTTTGCTGGGCTTCTTGCGTTTAGTCTCCACAAAAGGTTCTGAAATTGAGACATCATCCGGGGTGCTTGTGTCCATGGATATATAAAATGGGTCACCTATGCGGTCAGAGCGGTCGGGGCGCCCTTTAATTGGTTCCTCCTCACCATGGTCATCGGATGAGTGGTTAATCTCGGACACCAGATCTTCCTCGTATTCCTCCTGCTGGAGCTGCTGGGCTTCTTTTTCTTCAAGTTCAGCAAGCATCCGCTGAAACTCAGAAATAGAACCGTGGTCAATTGCGTCGTCCAGGTCTATGGCTATGGGTATGCGGCTTTGGGCGTGCGGTCCGACGGGCTTTATTGGATATTGTTCAAATAGCTGCGAGTATCCGGAGACCAGGAAGTTGGGGAAACCCTCGTAGTCGGCCTCGACAGCATCCAGTACAAGCTTCAGAAGCTCAGTGAAGGAGATGGAACGCTCCTGAACCTCAAAATTCACAGACTGATGGAACTTCTCAAGCCATCCAACTAGCCTTTGACAGACTTCAATCACGTGTTCCCGGTCTTCAGGACCCCAGCTCTGTCTCAAAGAGAGACAATATTTACCAAACAATTTAGCCATAGACTGAATGTAAACGCTGAGTGTAGGATCCGTCATTTCAGTGAGACTATCGAAGTCGTTTTGTGCCACCACGGACTTGATGATTTCTGCGCCTGTTATTTTGTACACCTCCTCGTTGTCACTATCGTCGTTATCGTCGTCATCCAATGTAGTGATATACTCCGTATAATACTCTCCGACAAGCCACATGCAATTGTATAGACCTTCTTGTAAACTGACCAGCCGCGAACTATCAAGTATCAAATCCAGACAGCGTTGAACCAATCTGCTGCGAATGCTTGGAACCTTCAAGCCCACACTCATGAATTGCGATGTGACCATTTGTTCGACTCCAGCGAGCCTATGTTCGGCATTGATGTTGAGAATGTCTCCTAAAACACCAAGATACCAATGGAAATTTGGAATGCGATCGTAATTGTCCATGGAGCAGATCTGGATAATTTTGGTGATGACAAGCAGCCTGTACTTATCTGACACAATGAGGGGACTTTGAAGGGCCAATTCTGTTTCAATATTGATGTTTTCTAATCTTTCTGCCTGCTCGTCCACAGGAATCAGTTGGACAAGTAGCCTGGACACAATGGAAACGATGTTGCGGTCGGTCACGAGAGAGTCGATCAGTTCCAAAGACTTTTCTCTGATTGTGGGGTCGGGGTCGTAGGTTGATGCCATAATGACTTTCTCATGCTTTTTGATGAGATCCTTGTGGATCTTGCAGGTCTTGATGAACGCCAGCAACCCAACATATCTCAAATCCTGATCGCTGTTCTGAATGAAGCCGAGCAGTTTATTGATTATCAGTTTTGCAACTTTGGTATCATCAGGAGTAAGCATCTTTCCATTGTGGATGCAGTTGATCGACTCGTAAACCAGAGACAGGGCCGTCGTGTTGTTCATGAGGTCCACCACCTCTGGAAGCAAAATATAGCGAAGACGAGGCTCTTCTAGACACAGATACGACAGAAGCTTCAGCAGTCTGATAACCATCCAGTTGTTGTTCGTCTCCTTCAGCAGCCCAAAGAGCCGCGGCGCGAGCTCGACGTAGTTTTTCGGATTATTATGAGCAAGTTCGCAAATGACGTTCACAGTGGCAGAAACCACAGACCCGTCTTCGTCGTCCAGTTTTTCTATTAATTTGTCGAAATGCAGTCTCAATGCGTCCGGATACTTGAGAAAGATCTTATACATGGCCAGAACGGCCTTCTTTCTAATGAACGGCTTGGAATGGGAAAGCATCCGCACCATATCGTCACAGATATCCTGTGCCAGCTCGGGAGTGACTATGGACGCAATGCCGCTGATCGCCACGCCAGTCTCCACCGAATTGCCCGAATTGATGTCTTTTTTGAGCAAATTGGTCATCAGCATGAGCACGTCATCGTTGTTCTGTCGTTGGAACAACTGCATCGCAGCAAGGTATCCTATTCTTTTGTGCTGGAACTTTGGCGAAGAGATGACCTCCAGCACGTGAAACGAGCACCAGCTCATGTCGTAGCCGTACATCTCCAAGTATGCTAGTTTGAGGATCGCCATGGATTTCAGTTCGAGGTCGTTTGTTTTCAGCTCAGCCCGACATTCCTGGATAGATTTGTCAAAGAACGCAGCCAGTTTCTCTGGATCCTGATTGTTCGCTCTAATGCCTCTGATGAGATCCGTCAGGGACTTCTCAAATGAAATCCCGAACGGCCGCAAACGCGCTCTTATAATATCCCTGGACATGAGGTCCCAAAAGAAAACTTATTAAATTTAATTATTTTGCATGGTTCTTGATGCAAATAGTTTCGAGGTCGACTCCGATTCTCAGTCTTACACAAACACAACCACCGAGGAGACGCCGGCGGAGGAGCGGTCGACGTTCAGTGCGGTCGACTATCTTATCGGCTCGCTCAATAGCTCCCTGGACTCTGTGCAGCTAGACCGCTCGCTCATGATGCAGTCGCAGGTGTCAGGTACGATAAATAACACAATGCAGGACTTGTTACGAACGATGAACGAAGTGAGCGAAAAGCTGGAAAATCACATCAAACGATACGAGCAGCTGAGAACGCAGATCATCCCCGAGTTGAGCGCAAACCTGGCTAAGAACACCAAGCTGTGCAATAAGCTAACAAAGAAAATGAAAGACACTTATCCTGTGGAGTACTCCAAGAGCCGTGATAAGGTGCTAAATCGCGTGACCGAAGAAGAAGAGGACCTCTACATATAATATAAGGCATGAATATATTGCAACACACATGAAACCCCTCCTTACTCAATGGATGGACACCGGAACGTCGAAAGCCAGCTTGGACTCGCCTTGATAAAGGAAGTCGTGTGGGAGCTTCACATAGAAACGCAGGAAATAGATGCGTCCACAAAACATGAACTCAAAAGAAGGAATAACAATATCTTTTTTGGGTTTGGTAAGGATGATCTCAAAGGAGGTCGGGCCCATTTTCTTATACTGAATCACCTTTGGCATCTTGGTTGCTGTAAACTTGAGCGTGCTCAAACTTTTCACAAGCTCTAGCGACTCTTCGTTGCCGCAACCCTCCAAGCTTGTCTCCAGCTCCTTGAACTTCGGTCTAATAACCGTCTCAAAAGGAACATGGTTGATAAACCACTCCGAAGACAGGTGAACGGGTATCTTGTGCTGGTTGTAGTAGTTGACAGCATACAAGTCAATCGAGGTTATTTTCATATCCTCTTTGAAGGTAATGGCGATGTTCCGTTTCGTCTGGAGGTGGTCCGAGCTTAGCGAGTAATCTAGATACTTGTCGATAAACACGCCAGGCTTGTTTTTCAGCTGGAGTCGGAATACTACCCGCTCTTGTGATACTCGGAACGAGTACCCGGGCGCTTCGTCTGCCTTGGCCCCGGGCGGCGGCTCGCTTTTGATTTGCAGAGTTCTGATCTCGTCCTCAAGCGAGTTCACAAGCAAGCGCAGTTCATCGGCCGGATCGAGCAATATCAAAGCATCGTCCGGTTGTAACTTGGGCTTGAACGCAACCATGTGTCTGCTGTGACGTCTGATGACAAGCTCGTCCTTTGTCTCGCTCAGTTCAAGCAATCTGGCATTGACCGAGTAGCTGATGCTATAACTGTCGCAGCTGTAGTCTCCACGGAAACAGCAGTCCCGCATAAAGAGCGAATCCTGGATCTGAGAGTGTATCTTGTGTCTGAGATGCAGATCTCCCATGTACGGAGGCAGAGAATGTCCCGATTTAGACGTTTCCGGGATTTGGAACTTGAAGCGCACCATATATAAGCTGTTTGGTCTTAAGATACGGTCAGGCGGGAGCCCTGCATCAGGGTCTTCGCACAGACAACTGGCTTCAAAATCTATCATGTCCAAGAAATTATGGATAAGCATTTTGGAGGAGGACTTCAAAGCCCAAAAATACCCTTCAAAGCTAACAAAGATGTTTGCGAAGGGGATCGGGTGCGGTCCGATGTTGTGGACTTTCACCGTTCCTTTCACAATGTCTCCGCTAGTGACCGGAGCATAATGAACATTTGTGTAGTCATCCAGTTGAATATCAATATAAACAGAAGTTTGATCCATGTACCTTAGTTTGTCAATCTTTCTCCACACAGAGTTCTTCTGGTCCGAAACCAACGAAGCCATTCCATCCTGAGGCTCCTCACGAATTTCGAATGACATTCGCGATCTTCCTCCGGCCTCATTTACGACCTCAGAATAATCCGGTGGAGAGTCAAGCTTGTGATCATTGATAATCTCGTCCAGGTGTCTATTCAGATAGCGGTGGAGCTGGTATGAAGGAAGGAAATCTTGCATTGTTTCTTGTTCTTTCGATGGCGACAGTGAGGAAGGCTTCGTTTTGTTCTGCCTGGAGGTGTCTTCGTCTGAGCTGCTTATTTTGATTACAAATCCTCAAGGGAGTAATCTTCTATTGCAACGATGTGCTCCTATTTATATGGACCATAGGACGTAGAGGATGAGTCTAGGCTAATCGATTCAGGCGTACTCGAGCAAACAATAAAAAATGTCACAATAGATTAATTAAAGGAAGTAGCTTTATTCCTATATTTCCACGCAGGTAAAAAAAAATATCGAGTACTTTAACATGAGGGAGCACAAGACTTTTCGCCCGTGAATTGCAAGTGGACGGCCAATTGCGAACCCTTCTCAATGGCAGCCCTGGCCAGCAAAGAAGCCAAACAGCTGGTCTGGGTAGCAGTAATGCTCAGAGAGCGCAATAATCTCGACGAACTGAGTCGGAGCACCTCCGTGTCCAGTCGGAGCACCTCCGCGTCCAATGCCGAACATTGTACATATGCAATAACCCATCGGTCTGGCAGCGGAGTTAAGAGTCCGACAGCATCCCCGAATCGCCATTGACGTGACCTCTGCCTATTAATAAATAGCAGCAAAAACTAATGCTCAATGAGTCATTAGTCTTTTCTTGCACACCTGCAGTACTCAATTCACATAGATTCTCGAGAATTCAGCAGTGCCCGCAGGAGCAGTGGGAGGCACCTGTAGCCAATTGAGCTCGTCGTAATGTGCATCTCCCTCAATCACGTGGAACGTGTATGCGTTTCTGGACATTCTGGACAGGTTTTTTTCGGACTTGTGGATGACCCTATTGTGGATCAAAACGAGACTGCCGGCGGGGATTTCCACGCAAACGAACTCTGAGTCATCCGGGTCGTTCGCGACCTTAGTTTCCTTGAGTGTTTTCGGGTCCACAAATTTCGTGCCACCATTTTCCAGATCCTTTACAAAACGGCGTTTAATCTCTGCAGTCTTATGGGAACCAGGCACAAAGCTCAGGCATCCGTTTTGCAGCGTACAAGGCTCCAGGGCAAACCAGAATCCGATACAAGATTGAGGTTCTGTGTAGAGAAACTCTCCGTCCTGGTGATTAGGCACCTTTCCACCTATTTCGGGCTGCTTGATTATTACCATACTTTGGAGTGCGCGCGGATCCTTAAAGCCCAGCTGCTTGCAGATCGCCGCAATGTCTTCAGTGATGGTGACCTTCCTGAAAGCTTCATTTTTCATGTGCAACCCATGTCCTATCTTGTTGATCGCCTTTGGCAATGGCTTGACCAGCTCGCCGTTTGCAAAAGCGTCCACCTCAAAAAAATAGCGTATCTTGTCTGACGAGTTAATGAAGTAGTCGTCGCCAACATGCTCCTCGTCCTCATCGGTGGTGAACCTGGTAAGGGGGTGCGTTTTGAGATCAATCTCGCCCAGTAGCTTCTGAATCTCATCATTCAGCTCTTTCACAGTACCAGGACTGAGATAGTTCTCAATGGCAATACAGCCATCTCTATCAAATTGCGCCAGCTGCTGTTGGGTAAGCATATTTTGATATCCTTATCAATTTTTTTTTTCACGGTTCAATTCAACATGGCAGATATTCCACCGTAAGTACGAAATGTTATAGCACTAATCTCTAGTCGCGTTATCAAAAAGCTCATTATCTGCACAGCATTGATGATCATTGCTCCGTTGCTCACATTTTTTATTAGCAGGGCCTTGTTTAGCAACTCCATCGTGTCAGGAGGCTTGGCGGCCTTAGTGGCCAACATCGTGTTAATCGGCTACGTGATCGTTGCGTTCAACGAGGATATTGACAAGGATACGAATGAAAAGAAGGATGAGTGAACCCGTGCATGAATGAATTTATTGCAAGGATAATGTACTATGATTTAGTAATTGAAAACAATGTATGAAGGCCAAGAGTAGCCCAAGTGCTGTGATGCTGAATTGGTTGCATTCAGTCTGTAATCAAATGCAGTATATAGCCATCCTTCGCGTCTTAGTAGGAAAGATCTCCTGCTTGCTTAGTGCTTTCGACACCTGCATTTTCGAACCGTATACAGGAGTTATGCCTCAGAGCCCTGACTACAGTGGGACCTGATGCTGTCATTCTTTGCTTCTTCATGTATTGTACTATCAACATTTCTATATTCAAACGTTAACCTTGGCCAATTCTTCACGGCCGGCCTTGGTATAAAGGTACTCGTTGTAGTCTCTGGCCCAAACCCAAACTTCCCAGACAATCAAGGCTGGAACAGTAACATACAGAAACTGGGCCTTAGTTCTTCTGAAAGTGTTGAAGAATGCGTTCTCAAGAGAACCCTTCAGTGGAGATTGAGCGTAAGGAGAAACAGTGTATTGAGCAATGTATTTCTGCTTTGGGGAGCCTGAAATGTTAGTTTGCCGAGATTGCAACGTGATTACTTACCCATGTGACCCCACCATCCCATATAAGCACCTGGATGTCCTGCCATGATTGTTGTTAGAACGTAAAGTTTTTTTCCACGAAATTTATTGGTTAATAGTAACTGGTGTACAGGTGCTGCACAGCCAGCGGCGAAATAATCAAAAGGACAATTACAGATATTTTTTTTGCATATTAAGACCGATTGCCTCATACTGTCAACTGGTGCAAAAAAATCGGTGCATCATTCTTTGAACTGCGTGGGCGTCTAGGTGCACTTTGATATACTACGATCCCCACAGTGGTTCAGAGTAGCTCCCGTCTTTCCAACGCATTCCCCGCTTATATGGAAAGCTACACAAACAATGGGCTGTCTAACCCCAACATTCCCACTCTTATCCCACGCTCTTATCAGGACTCCAGAGTGATCAACAATATTGACAATGAGGAGCTCATACCTGCCACGGACTTTCATGACCTGCTGAGTGATTGGGAGGTCGAGGGTGGGCTTTCCAAAGTCTCCTCAGAGACAGACAAGACGTATTTTGATACAGCCGGTAGGCGGATGATCTACAGTCGTGCCGGGAGCCATAATTGGAAAACTTTACAGGGAATTGAGGATGAATATATTCCAGATTTGGTGGATTTCAACTTCAGAACGTGGATTGACGACAAGCGGGCTAACGAGGACCATATTCTAGATGAACTGCATTCCAAAGTCCAACCAATCTCAATTGGAAAGCACGAAGGCGCAACGCGTCCTACATCGCGGAGCACAGGGTCTCCAGAACGTGAAAAAGACCGTATGATTCTTGCCTCTCTCCCCTCCAATTACCTATCGCTTTCTTTCAGTGAGAGAAAAAGAATCATGAACGAGGCATTACCTGATTTTCTGCAAAACGACAAGGAGTACAAAAAACACATCACCAAATTGATCCGCCGAAATTCAGTGTCGAGCGCAACATCTCCGGCGCACAGGCTCTCTAATTCCTTCTCGCTGCAAAACTCGGTTAACAGCACTGTCACAACCCCCGACAACACCAATGTCAAAGGTTCATTAGTTCTTGGCAAGTGGCGACTAGGCCGAATCATAGGGCGAGGTGCGTACGGTATCATCCGCGAATGCAGCAACGAGAGCGACGAAATTAAAGCAATGAAGATTATCGATGTTCACGGGTCTGTGGAGTTTATAAAACGTTTCAAGACCGAATCTCTGATATGGTCGCTCTTGAACCACGAGCGAATTGCGCCATTGTTAGATTTCAAGTTTACTGATCACACGTTCTTCCTGCTGACCGAGAAATATAGCTCTGGATCGCTTTTTGATCAAGTGAAGCAATGGGAGTCAGCTAATGATCCCCAACGTTTGCACCGCATTGTGACATTTCTTACTGATATTTGTTCTGGATTGCAGTACATGCACAGTCTGGGGATATTTCACGGAGACGTGAAGCTGGAGAACTGCCTTCTTTCGAATGGCAGAGTCGTGCTCTGCGATTTTGGGATGGCCAACTTCTACAGCAGAGATACCAAGGCTCTCATCAAAATTCCTGACCTTTCTAGACGAATCCTGGATGAAGCTGTCGTGCCCTCTTCCCCCTACAACATCTCGACAGGCTCGTCGCACTCATATCGCAATTCTCCTCTGTCTTCTGTTGCGAACACGCCCACTCCCCGCTCCCCACGCTCCTCAGCAACGGCCTCCACAACTTCTTCCTACAAGAGTGCTCGTTTGCCTGATACGCACATCGGTTCACTACCGTACTCTTCGCCTGAAATCTTGCGACCTAATCCTCCCGCCCTTGATCACCTGACAGATTCGTGGGCAGTGGGGGTGCTGCTTTACACGTTGGTCACGCTGAAACTACCTTTCCAGCATAATTATGAGCCACGGCTCAAACTCATGATCATGAATAACGATTACGACAAAACCCGTTTCCGAGCGGCACTTAATGATTTTCCGCGCGCAGACGATCTAGTCTCTATTTTGAGCGCATGTCTCGAACCGGATCGTTCACAGCGTTGGGACATGTCTCGTATTTTGTATGTACTACTGTAAGGAATTAATTGTTTCGAAGAGCATCAAGTGCGCAAAATGGTCGTCGTTTTCTCTTTCGTAGGCTTCTGGCGACCTGTCTAGCAATTCTCGCATTTCTTCGTCCGAAAGCTTGTTGTCCACAATTTCTCTTTTTCTAAACTCTTTTGCGCTTAGAAATTCACCAAGATTGTCCAGAAGAGCATCCTGTGGGTTCCTGTTGCCGGTACCATATTTGAGAAGATCCTCAAAATGACCCAGCTGGATGACCAGCCTTTCGAGACGTCTTTTCGAGTCTGCCTTCGCTAGCATGATTTCTTCAACAGTGTTGGCAATTACCAGTCGATAAACAGATACAGGTTTGGTCTGGCCTATTCTGTGAACTCTATCCATTGCCTGGAGATCAACCTGCGGATTCCAATCAGAGTCAAAAAGAATAACCGAGTCAGCAGCCGTTAAGTTAAGCCCCAGACCCCCAGCACGGGTAGACAGCAGAAACACGTCTACCTCTTCGGTTGCAAACCGCTCAATCTCGTCTTTGCGGTCGGCCTGGTCGGTCGACCCGTCTATTCGACAGGACTTGTATCCTAGCGTATTACTGACAAATTCTTCAATCAAGTCTAGCATTGACGTGAATTGTGTGAAAATCAGAACGCGGTGTCCGTCCTTATGAAGCGCAGGAAGCAATTGGTTCAAAAGTTGCAACTTTGCAGACTGTTCCACCAATCCTGAGTCCGCATACTCATTCCACGGATAGAAAAAAAGATGAGGCGAATCGCACACCAGACGCAGCTGCATCATCGCATTCATCAGCTTTTTGGTCCCGACCTGTTTCCTAACAAACTCAAAATGCTCGTACAACCTGCTATCTCTAGGCTTGTTTTCCATAGCCACAAAGTTTTCAACCTCTTCGTCAGAGACCTGCAACAAACGGTTTACTGAAAGATATTCTTTTAGACCATTCACTAGAAGGCTTTCTTTCAACTTGTGCCCTAGTGTAGCACGATACAGTTGTTCCTGTTTGGGCGTGAGCTTGCCATAAATAATAAACTCTCTTTTTGGTGGCAAGCCCTGTACCACGTCTCTTTTTAGCCTGCGGAGCAAAAATGGCTGTAGAATGGTGTGCAGATTGGTGACCAAACTCTTTTGGATCTCTGCATTGATCAGCTCGTTGAATTCCGTGTCCTCGTCTTTCATTTCCTCCAGAGCAGAAAAGTCAAACCACTGCTGAAACATATCAACGTCGTGGAAAATTTCCGGCAAAATAAAGTTCAGCAGAGACCAAAGCTCGTTCAGGTTGTTCTGCAGAGGCGTCCCCGTCAACAGCAGGCGGTTTGAGGTCCTCAGACGTTTAAGTTGGCGGATCAAAAGACAGTCACTGTTTTTTAGGCGGTGTCCCTCGTCGACAATCAGAAACTTCCAGAGTCTGGCGCTCAAATAGCGGAAATCGCGTATGCTGATCTCGTACGAAGTGACAATCACCGCATATTTCGAGAACTGTCGCCGCAGCCTGGGACGTTGCGTCTTGGAGCCTACGTAAGCAAGCACCTTGATTTTCGGAGCAAACCTCTCAAACTCGGAGATCCAATTCGATACGGTCGACAACGGACAGCATATAAGGAATGGGCCTTCGATTCCTTGCTCAATCAAGAACGCAATCAAGGCAATACTTTGCAAAGTCTTGCCAAGTCCCATTTCGTCGGCCAATATCCCATTGAGACCGTTCTGATACAACGTGATCAGCCATTCCATACCTGCTATCTGATAGTCTTTCATTTGGCACCCGGTGAGTAGTTTTGGCTGCAAAGACTCATCCTCAGCAGCGCTACCGTCGTTTGTCTTCCGGCGCTTTTGCTTGCTTTGCACTTCCTCCTTCTTGGAACTGTCTAAAAGCGTGTCAGCAATAATACTACTGAACACTTGCGAACGCTTGACCAGCTCATTGAGCTTCTCCAATTTACGCGTTTTGGAGAGATTCTCAAATTCAGCCTGCTCGGGAGTCACCGTCCGCGACTGCTGTTCGCGTAACAGCTTCAGGATACGCTCTTCTTCCGTGTCTGACTGGTCTGGCCAGGTCATCCGTACACCGCGAATAAAAAATAACAAGGTGAGAAAAAATGGAAACCATTATTCTTGTTTTTACTTTCTACATGTCTTCACCAACGGAACAGGAGACGAAAAACAATTTTTTGAATGATGAGGCACGCGCATTTGTGGCTAAACAAACAAAGCCAGTTGTTTTGCCCTCATTTTCGCGGTGGTTCGACATGAACGAAATTCATGAAATTGAGAAACGCTCTTTGCCAGAGTTCTTCAACAACGAATCCAGATTCAAGACTCCCAAGGTGTACAAGGAATATAGAGATTTCATGATCCACACATATAGGCTCAACCCAATGGAATATCTCACAGTGACTGCTGCGAGAAGGGGACTGGCCGGAGACGTGGCCTCGATCATAAGGGTTCATGGCTTTCTGTGCAAATGGGGTCTGATTAACTACCAGATCGATCCAAAGACAAAACCTGTGATCATGGGTCCCCAGTTCACGGGCCACTTCCAAATAACACTCGACAAACCAACGGGATTAGAAGCTCACATTCCCGTTAAAAAAGAATCTGACAAGGTGGAAGAAGAAACGGAGGAGTCTGCTGAAAAGGCTACAAATAACTCTTTTCCCCTGAATCTGGAAATCAGAAAGAACGTTTACGACACTGCCCAGGATGCGTTTGCTCTGAAAGCTGAGGATTCTGCCAAGAATGGTCTCAAGCAGCTTTTCTGCAGCATTACTGGTAACGAAATCACCGAGACTAGATACCACAACTTGAAGACCAAGCAAAACATCAGCAAGCAAGCATTTGAGGATGGCCAGTTCCCTGCCGCGTTCAAAAGCAGCGATTACGTCAAGCTAGAGAAATCATATAACCAGTCGGACGCCAAGCCTTGGACAGATCAGGAGACATTGTTGCTGCTCGAAGCTATTGAAATGTACCGCGACGACTGGACGGCCATAAGCGGCCACGTTGGTACCCGGAGCAAGGAACAATGCATTTCTCGGTTCATTCAACTACCTATCGAAGACAGGTATTTGGAGAAACAGCTTTCCAAATCGACGTATCAAGAGTTCCTCAAACAGAGTTCTAAGCCTACAGGGGTGGTGGATGCTATGAACAATTCCATCAAGCAGCTGCTGGACCAAGACAGCGAGGCGCTTGCGAAGGTGGCTGCCAACTCTCAACTACAACTCCAACAAGAGACCGCTGCTCAAGACGCGCTAATCAGCCAGATTCTGGCGCTTTCGCTCAAACAGTTTGAGCTTAAACTTTCAAAGCTCCAAGAAATGGATAATCGGCTGCAGGCCGAAAAACGCAAGCTGGCTTTGGAGAAGCACAATCTGGTGGTGGACAGACTGGCTCTGCGCAAACAGACTGCTTCTGTGCGCCAAAAACTGCTCAAGGCTAGTGAGCTGGGAGCCACCGACGAAGGCTTGATGCTGTGCGAGGAGGCCATGATGGAGGCCACCAGAGCTCCTAGAGTCGTTGTTACAAACAAGACGAACGAACTGGGAACCACAAAGGGTGACAATATTCCAGAAAAGGTGAACTTAAACGAGGATTTCGAGCCAATCAGTGTCAAAGAGCCGCAGCTCTACTCCATGTGGTCCCAGTGAGAAAAAGTTATGTCTTTGTGTGTATTATATAAGCTGTTAGATAATTTTTCCTAATAATGCACGTTTTGGGTAAGCTTAAGCGGATAGTGGAGATTAAGAAATACCGGGCGAAAAAAAAACAAAATCGATTCCTTCATGACTACGTCACGTCCAAAGCCTTGGGAAACTGCCAACTCTACAGGCGGAACCACAGACAGCTTAGATACAGACACGAATGCTACGATAAGCACAGAGAACTCCACGGCGCCTCCTGAGTTGCCCACCAGACCGTATTCCTTATCAACCAATACAATCAGCAACATGTCCGGCTCCAGCATACCTCCGCGCACGTCTCCGTACTACGGTGGCTATGGCAATTCAAGCTATAGTAATCCCATGTACGGGAACATGTACAACTCATACGGATCATATGGGTCGTCGATGTACGGGTCCTTATATGGTGGGGGGATGTATGGTAATCGCTACGGGGGCATGAGCGGCATGAGTGGCATGAACGGGACGATGATGAACCAGGGGCTTGTGGGCTCGTTTACGCAGGGAACGGAGGCTACATTTCAGTTGATAGAGAGTTTGATTGGTGCGATTGGAGGTTTTGCTCAAATGTTGGAGAGCACGTATTACGCTACACACAGCTCGTTTTTCACGATGATATCCATGGCAGAGCAATTTCAGCACTTGAAGAATGCGATGGGTTCCCTTTTGGGGATATATGCGCTGCTGAACTGGGCAAAAAAGGCCTTGAGAAAAGTCAGAGGAGCCAAATTAAAAATCAGCGTTGACGAGTTCAAGAAACAGATTGAGTCCAATAAAAAAGACAAAGACGCCAAAAAGGAGAGAATGTCTTTGAAACCGCTCGTTTTCTTCTTAGCAGCCGTGTTTGGGCTCCCGTACGTACTAAAGAAACTGGTCACTCACATGGCTGAACATCAAAGAGCTCTCTCACACGGACAGCCGGACCAGGGTGCGATTGCTGGTCTTGCAGTCAACAGAAACCCAGAACCTAGCATTGATCCTAAAAAGCTGGAGTTTGCGCGGGCGCTGTACGATTTTAACCCTGAGAACGAAGAGATGGAACTCAGGTTGAAACGAGGAGACTTGGTGGCCATACTGAATAAGACTGATAGCTGGTGGAAGTGCCGTACGCGGGACGGACGCTTGGGATTTGTGCCTTACAATTACTTGGAGTTGGTCAAGAGAACAGCTAACGCGGTCAAGTCGATCGAAACGACGGCGAAGGCCGACGTGGAGGAGTTCAAGAAAGATCAGAAGCTTTTGATCTGAGTTTCGCAGTTAGCACAGCCATTAATACGACGTATTTTGTTGCACAGCCGAATAATTTGTTTTTTCGTAATTTCTCTCCTATTTGTGATGGAGTATAACATGGAAGGGGCAAACCAGTATGGTTGTAAGTAGAAGCCACCCGGTTTTGCACGCTAACACGTCAGACCCAGCGGATTATAATGTACAGTATCAGTACCAGATCTCCAAAAAAGACAAGAGGCGACAACAGATACAGTCCAAGCTGGGCAAGGTCGAAGACCAGTTTCAGCAGGATAAGGATTATTTTTACCGCGACTCGCTTATTCAGCTTCAGTACAAGCTCAGTTCACTTCATGCCGGTGATAATCCGCAGTACATGCAACGGATCCGGGATTTCGAAGAGGTCAGAGACGCAGAGCTTGTGCGGTTGAAGTTGGCGGAGGAGTACCAAGTACAGCTAATCAACAAGCAATTCAAGGAGGATTACGACAGTGCTGTGCAGGAGCGCGAGAGGGTGGTGCAGCTGTTGAAGGAGAAACTTCACGAGCGCATCCTCAAGAAGATTAAGCAGCTCAAGGAAGACAAGGCACTAATTGATATTGCCACGACCTCGTCTTCTCACACAGCATCGAGATACACGACAAACGGGAGCGCGCATAGAGAAAACGGGTATAACAGTGGATTCGAGTCCTCGACGTCATTTTTCTTTCCTGGAGAAAGACGTTCTCGCAGAACGCACAACAAGCGGTACGATGGTTCGTTGAACTTGAGCAATGCTGAGGACTCCTACGATTCGGGGACGGGAACAGGAACTGCCACCGGCTACGCCTCAAGCTCGTCAAGGAAAAGACAGAAGCCTAGCCGGCATCTTGGTGGCCATGTTGTTCGGAACGGAGACGTGTCGTCTGCTGGAGAGGAAAGCTCCAACTCCCTCAAAGTTCTGACAGACAATCCGGAGTTGAACGAGTTCCTGTACGGTGAAGAATTTATCAAGCGCCAAGAAAAAGCCAACACGAGACATTCCACAAGAAGCTACCAGGGATGTCCAGGGCTGAAACCGGAGGAGGTCAATGAGGACCTTAATCTTTTGCGCGGGGCGATTGGTGCCATCCAAAGCGTAAAGAAGAAATAGATCTGTATCTACAAATTAATCTTTGTGGAGCTGGAGCAGCAATTCGGCAAGTCGCTCAAACTTCAATTCCGTGGATTTGTGGTACAACTTCGAGCCAAGGTGGAAAATCACGTGGTCGTAGCAATCAGAGTTCCAGCCTGCTCCATTCGCGACTTCAAATGTAATCTTGCCATCGTCGCTCTTGACCAGCAGATAAGGCGCCAGTTCAGCTTTGTCGAAAGCCGAACTTGTGGCCTGGGTTTCCAAATAAGTGTTGAAGCGTTTGGATTCTTGGTATAGTTCTACCATTTGCGCAACAAGATCGACATCCTGTTGCACAAGCTCGTTCAGCTCTTCAAGACGCTGCAACACAAGAATCACTGTCTTGTTAAGAATGGGAACTTTCGCCGCGGTCATCATCTCAAGGAGATTGAGAATTTGCAACCTGCGTGCGACGCTCATGTCTGAGCTCAAATTTACCACAAAAAAATGGTGCATTAGAAACGGAGTTGGCCTTTGCGGATAAAGGATGAGAGGAGCGTTTTCTGGTAGCCACTCGTTGATGAGCTCGATCTTGTTCACCAAATTTCGCCGACGCCGTATCGTCATAAGTCCATGGTGCTCGTACAATGTGAATTTGCGAATCAACGGCTCATGGTTGCTATTCTGTTGAACCCGAAACGGTTTTTCTGCGATCTTTTGTGAGGTTTCGAACATGATGTCTAATATAGATTTGGCAACCATGTACTCGTCAAAAACGGCGAGCTTCACCAAAATCATGTTTAGAACTTCGTGATCCAAGTGCATGTGGCGTTGTTTGAATATATCGATTATATTCAACACACTGTTCAAAGAGGAGCTTTTTTCTAGTAATTTGAGCAGCAGCGGTCTGTCCGGAGAAACGCGCGTCCGCATCAATCCCAAAATCTCGTCTGTATGAGATGTGTAGAGTTCAAGCAGCAGATGCCATGTGTGCGGATGAAAATAGCTTTTTTCCAAAACCTTTTGGATTATCTTTTCAAATGGCATTTGCAACCGTGCATAGAAATAAACAAGTTTTGTCTGTTCGAGCGGTCCTAGCCCGTTGAAATCACACTCTATGTCCTCTAAGATTCGTATTGCCGTATCCGAGGTCTCAAGATTGGCGCGCTTGATGCTCAGGATTAGCGATAGAAGCTGCTCTAGCTGTAGTATGGAAAGATGAGCTGCTCGAGGGGTAGGGATTTCAAAATAAACAGAGCCTATATCATCCAGGTTCTTCTGCTGCAGATACGTCGAAATTCGATGGGACAGGTGAAAGGGCATGGACCTGCGCTTCACCTGTCTGCGCAATACCTCTGGAGCGTCGTAGGAGCTAGGAACGTGGGGGAGAATGCTCTTGGAGTTTGAGGCATGCGCTAGAGGTCGGTGCCGTCTGAAGGGCTTCATGAAGAGATAGCTAAAGGACCGGTTCGCCGGAGATCGGAGGCCTTCAATGACCTCTTTCTGGAAACTGGCCAAGCGTTGTTTATTCTGGGAAGGTGGTTTGGTTAGCAGTGTGTACCAGTTTTGAGGCTCAGGTGGAGATAGAAACTCCTTGTTTTGCTGTATCGTTCTCACATAATTTCTGCGGGTTGGTGGATGAAAGCGGAACGTAAAAAATGGGGCTGATCGCTCTTTAAGCAGAGCAGAGGGGGGTCGCTGCATAAAAAAAGACGATCGACTGGTGAGAAAATCTTGAAAAACATATGACATCTATACACCAGTAATATAGGTGAGAAGAGAATCTATTCTGCTCCTTTCAGTGTAGAGGTGTTCAGGCTGAAAAGCGATTACCGATTAGCTGGAAGGTAGCATGGATCTCCGGTCGGCTGGTCAAGTAGCCATATTGTCACAGCAGTTCATACTGTGAGACTGCTTAGAGGTGTGGCTGAAGGAGACTTATTGGAGATCGCCTATAGTTTATTGATACTCTTGCTTAAATTCTAACCAAAGCCTCCCTTCTGTCTTGCCACGCGTGTTCGTCCTCGGGTTGTTAAATTATCTCATCGGGCTTTGCCAAAATTAATTTCGGTGATCCACATGCGTCAAAAAGCACCGTTTTGGAATATGCTTAGTCTCCCGGCTTAACGAGAGATATTTATATAGAGGGCGATTTTTCCTCCTTGTTGTTAATCATGTCTTCCAAAACAGAATTGCCAGAATACGCTGAAGTCACTTTGCCTCGCGAAGAGGTAGAGAAACTCTACAAAATCAAGAACAGATACGAGACCAACAAGAAGATTGCCAAACTCGGTTTGGGAGTGTTCTTGTTCTTCGTCGCCTGTCTAGTTTTGAAGTCCGGTTCTGTTTTTGGTAGTGCTAAGTCCTTGACCCATCCCCGCCACCCACATGCCCACGGATTCCATGGCGACAGCGGTCCTTCATCGGAATTCGAACACATGCGCATCATGGACAAGGAGCACAAGCCATTCAAGAAGTGCAAGGGAGCGAAAATAGGCCGGTATGCTGCTCAAGCGCAACAAAAACACCAAGTTGCTGAGGGTGAAGTGCAAAAGACTGAACATGAGTTGGATGTTGAGGAGCACAACCCCCATCAGAGACCACACTCTAAGGGAATGAAGTCGACGGGGCACAAGAAAGGCAAGTTCTCCAAAAAGAAGCAGAACATGCATCTTAAGGAAGAGATAGAGGAAAAGATGGAGAAGGAGCCAAAGGACGAGGAGGAGAAGAAGAAGATCGAGGTCGTTGAAAAGCAGCACAGAGAGAAACATCGGAGACCAGCTCGCGTTCAGGAGGAAGTTCTCGAGGAAAGCTCCGAATCGGAATCCGAGAGTGAGATGGAAAACTAGGTTTGCGAAGTTGTATGGCTTATGTTTTTTATTTAGTAACCATTGTCAATCAACCATTGGCCCAGTTCAGGTCCGAAGAAGTCAGCGACCAGGCCGTGGTCGTAGGTGGACAACTTAGCCGCCATCTCGACCAGGTCGTAGTTTATCTGCTCACTGACAATACTGTCCTTCTTGTAGTCTGGGTGGCTCAGCACAAAATTCCGTATGTATTGGGCTGTGGATGGGATTCTTGCCGAGGCCCTGAAGCTCACCAGTTTGAGATACGTCTCAAGCTTTGGTGGAAGAGCTTCTCCCCAGGTCTCTTTGATGTATCGTTTGACCAGAGACAACAGTCCCTCGAAAGATGCGGACCCGTTGAAAATCTCATCAAGACTCAACCGCTCCACTGTTGCCTGTCCTGCCTCCCACACATTTGTCCGGAAGTGAAACTTCTGCTCCACTATGGCATTGCGGCGATGTGCTGTCTTCATATTAGCCTCCGCGTAGGATATTGGGAGGTAAAAGTTAGGTCTATATTTGAGCACCGCCAGCGACAGCAGGACGGAAAAGTTGGCGTACGCAGCATTTTCAAAATCTGTCAAAGAGATTTCCATTGGCCGGAGCTCAACTCTCCATCCCGGCACATCGTGCTTTTCAGGCACAGCTGACTGTTTTGGAGGCTTGAAGCGCAACGTCTGCCAGTTGGTGGACTGAATGTTTTCGAAATGGTCGGTCTCGACAGTATTGTCTTGCTCTATGGATTCGGTGAAAATGACGATGGGATCCCGAATGAACAAGTGCGCAAAATGGCCCGCTAGTGTTTCATCAAACCCGTTGGAAACGAGTTTGTCGTAAACCTTGCCATTTTTTGGAGACTCGATGTCATTGTACTCTTTCCTGAAATAGGAGAACCCGCTACCGGAAGAATCCAGGTCGCCCAAGTACTGATCCACTGAGTCATACCGTGACTTGGGGATGCGCATCAGCTCTGCTGTGTCCAGGGTGTTCCCTCTCTCCTTGTGGCCTTTCAATGGCGGCTCTCCACGTTCATACGGAGTCCGGTCATCCACAGCTCCCGCAATCACGTTCCATCTAACGTCCTGGTCAGCAAGATGGCCACGGAAAATCGGGGCCGCAGCCGTCACAGCCAGCATCAACGGAGCGATGTTGACCAGAGAATCGTATAGGAATCTGGCATGCACCATGTCCGGCGCCTGCATTGTCACTTGCAGACACGACGAGCCCATACCGAAGCCCATCGAGTCCATGTAAATGTGGCCCTCTTTGGCGGCCCCCAAAAATGGCTCTTCGTCGTGGTGAGGGAACAAATTTCTTCGAGGAATGGACGGATCGATTCCTGAAGCCACAGTTTTCTCGTCTTTGAACAGAGGAATGTTGATGCTCACCTTCTGGTCCCTTCTGCGACGAATGTTGGCCGTCAGCGTCGGGAAACGGAAGTGGCGATTGATAATCTCGTCTGGCAGGAAAAGGGACTTGGATGCTTCACCGCTAGGCTCGGCCGCCGGATACGTAAATATCTCAACGCCCATTCGCGGAAAAGACGTGAGCGTCAATGGCAACACGTCCTTTTCTCCAAGCTCCTTTGTAGCAATCTGCCTTCTTATTTTCATGTTCTCCTCGACGTATTCGTAATCCCTCACTTTCGTCCCATCGTAGGGCTGGAGCGGTGTTGCTTCTATCATATATCTGCCGTACTCTGGGTGGAACACCACATTGTTACTGACAGCCACCTCATAGGACGAGCCATCCTCGCCAAGATCCTTCAGAATATAGTCCTTGTCAATGGCAAGCCGAGCAAATTTATGCTCTCTGTCCAGCTTCACCATCATATATTCTACTTCGTCGCCCCACAAGAACGGGTCATTCTTGCGGTCTCGTGCCGCGTTGAAGCAGTTGATCAGCTGGATAATACCGTTTATCCGCACATGCTCAGCATAGAGACGAGAGTCATTCCAATGTAATGGGGTACCCAGAGAGAGCAGACCCATGGTCGATAAGGTTTTTCAGGAAACTTTTTCCTTCTTTATATATTTATTTGTCAGCATGTACAAGTGAAAGCTGCATTTTTATAGTCAGCTAACAATTACGCGTTGAGACGCGGACGGAGACAGTCCAATACTTGTGCAGCAGCGGTACGTCTACAAGATTTTGTGAGATCTTGCGCATTGGCTACATGCGGTGCCTGCTTATCAGTCAGTAGGCGTCGATCGACGCGCCAGATCTGTATAGTTTTTCCGCTCTAATTTTTTTTTCTTAGCCTGCTATGTCTATAGTTATTCCCGGAGACCACTTTACGCTGGAAACAGGGACGGAAGTCGTTCTTGGGCCCAACTTGCAGACTACCGGCAACATAGCCAACCCGACGACCGCAGGGTATCTTGTGCAAACCCAGACCGGCTCATCCTCGCTAGCCTACGTGGAGGCAGATTCCAAAAGATATATGCCTGCTGCGCAAGACTTCGTTGTTGGCACCATTGTGGGCTCTTTCGGGGAGTCGTATAAGGTCTCGCTCGCAAACTTCTCGACACCGGCCGTGCTGGGCTTTTACGCGTTCCCAAATGCAAGTAAGAAAAATAGGCCAAGACTAAAAACTGGAGACCTTGTTTATGCACGCGTTGCGTCTGTCGACCCCGATCTTGACGTGGAGCTCGAGTGTTTCGACGCAACAACAGGCAAAGAAGGTGGATTTGGCCATCTAGAAGGAGGTTTTCTATTTGAGGTGCGGTTGGCTTACGCCAGATATTTACTCAGACACCAGGACGCTCCAGTGCTGACCAAACTAATGAGAAAATACCAGTTTGAGCTCGCCATTGGCGCAAACGGCAGAATATGGATCAAGTCAGACACCCTACAAAACACCATCGAATGTATGAAAGCCATCAAGAGAGCCCAGACAGAGAAACAATCTTAAAAGTCCACTTTCGAGCTTGTCTCCAAAACATCATCAAACGTCAGTTCATCGTTTATCCGCAAGTCAAGGCTCACACATTTCTCGTAGCACTGTTGGTTCTCAATCGATACCACTGGATATCTATTGGAGTACTGTTGGCACGCCACTTCGAAATCGGTGCTTCCCGTTGCGACACTCATGGTATCAAAAAGCGAATCACTATCGGACACACCGATAAGCTCATTAGTTGCGAGATCAACAACAGGGAGCTCTTTGTTCGGAAGAATGCGGTCCTCGATTACCTCATTGATCTTATCAATTCGAAGTGCCTGCTGTTGGTCCGACAACCTCAGTTGCTCGAACTGATGACGGTAAAACTCCAAAAGGTCTTCGGACTCTGGCTCTATGGACTCGTGAACTTGCGTGTTATCGCTCATATCTTCCAGGTCGAAGAAGTGAAGTTCCCTGTGTGGCTTTCTCGACTTGAAGGGCGACACATAACCCTCATATTCATACTCCGAAAAATTGGAAATGCTATTTTTTTCAGTCAAGGCCAGCTTTTGAATCCGTTGCTTTGCTTTGTTTCTTGTCTCTTTGACCTTGTTCATTGTTGAGTGTGTCGAAACCGCAGAGGAAGCGTCTTTCGGTTGCTCGTCATTGAATCTCAGAGTTGAATTCATGTTAAATTCAAACAACTGGCTGAAACTAGTCAGCTCCCGTGGAACGTACTTTATGTTCCAGTAGTTGTCGAAGCACCCTGGATAGGGGTCGATTTTCGGCACGAACATTCCATCGTCCTTGCCACAGTCGGGTGATTCAAGATGGCAGTCTGAGTACCAATGCGTGTAGCTTGGTTTGTAATTTAGAAGAACTCCGTAATAGTCATTGTGCAGATAGTAATCGGTGTTCAGGTCCCAAAGCATCGGGAGCCCTTTCTCGTAGACGTAGTTACCTAAGAACAAGTTGATAGCTTCTTGCCGTTGCGCGTCAACAAACGAGTTACTGTAGAACCGTTTCACACTTTCAATCATATCGCGCGAATGCGAGGTCCATTGGTTGATTTTTCTGTAAGTTTGCAATGTGTTGACGAGGTGAGAGCCACCGTACTGCAAAGCGATTGTATCGCCATGGTCATGAAACATTTCGGTCAGAATGTTGATTGCGTCGGAGTCGTACTCCAAATACTTCTCCTTGATAAGCCCTAAGGCATGCAACTGGTGGCCGAGCGCCCTTTTACCAATCACAAATTGCGCGGTATTGGTTCTGTCCAAGCAATCAATGCAGTTCGTACGACATATGCCTTGCTGCAGTTTAGTCTGTGCAAGCGTTTTTCCGTTGTGGAAGAAACCTGTCGTTTCCAGGGTTTTCGCACTGTAATTTTCGAGCCACTCGATAACGTCCTGACCGCGGTTTTTCGACGCTCTGGACATGTCCCACGCCGTGTAGTCGATTTTCTTCTTTTCAGGAAGAAACTGGTTCAGGTATTTTATGCAATCTTCGAACGCGCTCAGTAGTTTTGTCTCTCTTGCAGTCTTCTCTCGTTGTTTGATCAAATTGAGAATCTGCACCGGTGCTCCGTACCGTTTGAACAAATTATCAAAATGGAGAGCAGATGCGGAATAGAAAGGATCGACCACGTTGATTTCGATCGGGGGTTTTGTCATTCTGATATTCGGGGCAGTCTCCTGAGACCACGAAAGCGGAATCGATCCTCTATGTTGCACAAACGAGGTGTACCGAGGGTTATTGTAGAATCCACCCTCCGGATCATGGAAGGAAGTGGTGAGCATGTCACTTACTATCTGCTCCGTTTCCACTTCGTTCGCCACATCTCCGCGATCGTTGACGCCTCTTTTGAAAAATCTTGCACCTGCAAAATGGTGTGATCGGCGAGCTATCAGGGTGACATATACCTGAACGTCAAAAATCGAAATATTCACCTGGTCAATAAATCCGTGAATAATCGGCTGGAACCAGTCGTACACCCGGTCGAACGTCTTGAACACAGGCTTGAGCAGAAACGAGTTCCACACAAAGCGATCGTGATACTCAAATGTTTTGGCAAGGTCCTGTTTGTTCAGACCTAGTGACTGTCTTTTATTCTTCAGAAAATTGACCTGCAGCGTGTTGGTAAGATCGTAATTGTAGCTGTAGTAAAATGTCTTTCCAAGGTCAATATTTTGAAATGTGGAGATGTAGCGAGCTTCTTCCGAGTTCCGATCTGGCCGTTTGGGGCTGCTAGCAACGGGAATTAGCTCGGTAGCATCGATGTGGTACAAATAATATCCTCCGAGTATCGCCACTGGCCGCCGTTTTGTCACCACACACAGGTAGTAATGCTTGGTAAATCTTATAAACCCCAGAAGCCCGACAGCGGTGATTTTCTTGCTGAGACCGCCCTCGCTGCTCTCCTCTAGTCCGTTGAGGACGTCCATGATCTCATTTCTAGTGAAAAAAACATTGTCCTCCATGATAATCAGCTTATCTCCAGAGGTGAGGTCAATTTCCATGATCCTGAACACCGTTTCACGGCCATTGCTGCCAACAATGTACATTCTCTGCGTGGTAACGTAGATGGTGTATTTCGTCAGGGTGATTTTGCGGGGCTTCGTTGTCACTGGAGGCAAACTTGTATTTGAAACATCGTCCTGCCGATCGGGTAGGTCCATCTGTGGCGGGAGAGAGGGGTCGAGATACGACTCTCCCTCGTTTATTCGCTCGCTTGACATAAACAAAATTATAGAGAATTACACCGCCTTGATTAGATCTTATTCTCAACTATTCCTTCGGGATATATAGTCTGCAATAAATAGATGTAAAAGGTTAATGTTCGTTCTAGAACAGTAAAGCATGCTCCTCTATTAAAGGTCGGTGACACACCCCTTGGAAGCGTCGGAAACAAGCTTCGTGTACTTGTGTAGAGTGCCTCTTGTGTATCTTGGCGCAGGACGTTTCCAGTGCTTTCTTCTCTCGGCGAGCTCTTCTTCTGACACCAGAATGTCGATGGAGTTGTTGTCTGAGTCGATGACAATAATATCTCCATCCTTGACCAGTCCGATTGGTCCTCCCTCAACCGCTTCCGGGACGATGTGTCCTATTAAAAATCCGTGCGATCCGCCAGAGAAACGTCCGTCTGTCAGCAGAGCAACGTCCTTGCCAAGACCGTAACCCATCAGAGTGGACGAGGGCTTCAACATCTCTGGCATTCCTGGGCCTCCCTTAGGACCCTCGTTACGAATCACACAGACGGTCTTTTCACCCTTCTTGATCTCTCCACGCTCAAGAGCCTCAATAAATCCTTGCTCCTCCTCAAACACCCTGGCCTTGCCTTTGAAATAAGTTCCCTCCTTACCAGTGATCTTGGCAACAGCTCCACCAGGGGCAAGCGATCCCTTCAAGATCTGCAAATGTCCTCTTGGCTTGATTGGGTTGGAAACGGGACGGATAATATCCTGGTCAACAGGAAGCTCCGGGAATTTCTCCAAGTTCTCCTTCATAGTTTTACCGGTGACAGTTGGAAGATCACCATTCAGAATGCCCTCTTTCAGCAAATACTTCATCACAGCAGGAGTTCCACCAAACTTCTGCAAGTCTGCCATCACATATTTTCCAGAAGGCTTGAAGTCTCCGAGCAATGGAGTCTTTTCGGAAATGGCCTGGAAGTCATCGATTGTGAGGTCGACATTAGCGGAATTGGCAATAGCCAGCAGATGCAAAACAGCATTAGTAGAGCCTCCAGTGGCAATCACGTATGCAATAGCGTTCTCAAACGCCGGTCTGGTCATAATGTCTAGAGGAGTCAAACCAGAACGGAGCAAAGTCTTCATAGACTCTCCGATGTTGTCGCACTCGACCATCTTCTCTTTGGAGACGGCTGGTGCAGAAGATGATCCCGGAAGAGAAATGCCCATCACCTCAGCAGCAGAGGCCATCGTGTTGGCAGTGTACATACCGCCGCAAGATCCCGGACCGGGACAGGAGTGCCGCACAATATCCTTTCTTTGCTCTTCGGTGATCGATTTACTCAGGTACTGTCCGTACGACTGGAAAGCGGACACAACGTCGAGCTGCTTCGGGACTCCAGAGCAGGTTCCCGAACCTGGGAGAATTGTACCACCGTACACCATAATGGACGGTCTGTTGTGTCTGGCAAAGCCAATGAGAACACCAGGCATGTTCTTGTCACAGGAGGGAATACCGATACACGCATCGTAGTGCTGGGCCATTATCATGGTTTCAAAGGAATCTGCAATCACCTCACGACTCTGCAACGAGTAACGCATACCAGTGGTACCCATACTGATACCGTCCGAAACACCAATTGTGTTGAACTGCATGGCTTTCAAGCCAGCCTTATTCACAGACTCACTGCACCGATTGTTCAAATCCATCAAGTGAATATTGCAAGGGTTTCCTGTCCACCAAACAGAACCAACTCCGACCTGTGCCTTGGAGAAATCATCGTCTTTGAACCCCGTAGCGTACAACATGGCCTGCGAGGCACCCTGAGACTTCGAACTAGTCAGGATTGAGGAATATTTGTTGAGCTTCTCGAGCGCAGAAGCTTGTGAGCTAAACTGTCGGCGCGAAACTGTGCTCGGCACATTGGAGATATGTTTCAGCATGATCAAACAAATAAATCGGTGAAAAATATTAGTCAGAATAAAAATTGAAAATTTTCCAGCTGCAGTAGTAGGCCAATTAAAAAAAGAATATTACCAATACTCCAACACGTTTATATATTACTGCCCATGTCTTTACCGGCAGACTTTTTTCTGGCATAGGCCTTGCAGTAGCTGTACGAGGCCTCAAGCATACAGTCGCTCACTTTTTTTGTGCGTTCCGAAACCCCTTCATTGAGCTCATACTCTCCGAGATTGTGCTTGCCAATGCCATGTATTCCGAGGATGTAATTCAACACGTTGCGCAAAAATACGATCTTGATGTTCGCGTCAGACTCGCTAATCGTAAGACCCATATAGTCTTTGTATAGTCCTTGCGGCACGCCGTCTGAATCTCCCGAGCTATCCTCCGGATGTTTGATGTTCCAGAACGAGATGCCATTTGGCGTAAGGACATTCGGCCCGCTTCCGCATCTGGAGTCCCTCTCATCCCATGCTAAGACATCTATGTCAAAGTCAATGCTATCTGTCATCAGATCAACGCGGAAAACGCCGTCGTCCTTGGTCAGCACCATAAGGCTTGGTCTATAAGTGGTATCTCCGCATCCACAGTTGTCAATATGAGTCTTGACAAAACCGACCCACATCTGTAGCCTGCTTTCTGTGCTGCCGGTGCTCTGTTTCTGTAAGATCTGTCTTGGCACGGGGACTAGCTCTGTACCGCCACGAATGAATCCCAACGCATTTCCAGCAAAGGAAGAGTAGTAAATGTTGTCTTGCAATTTCTCGCACTTACCATTGTCCAGGCTACAACGGAACACAACCAGAGGATCGACCGTGTAAAGGAACTGAACGTAGCCTTTAGTCCTCGATGAATCTCCAATCCGGATTGAGTCAAAAAAGGGGGCCCAATTTTTCTCCGTGGAAAGTGTTCTGGATGCAGCAATTCCCGATATCTTGAAGTTCACAAGATCGCGTTTTTGAGTCTTTGGATTGGGCTTTCTCAGCGGGAAAACTGCATGCATAGTACGTTTGCCGTTGTCCAGCATATTGAAGAAGATGACCGGCTCCTGAACATACTCTCCGTCTTTGAACAGAATGCGTGGGTCTTCGGGACCAAGTAGTTCTTTTGCGTTCACTTTTGGATCAAACGGAATATCGAGAACGGTAGGAAACTTGATCGAGATCTTGTCCAGCAAGGAGTCGTCCTGCGCCTCGTTGTAGTCTCTCAAAACGTTATCGATCTCCTGTTTCGTGATATCGCTGTATCTGATCCGTCTACCTGTGATCTCTCTCCAGTTGGCATCAAATAGTTGAAGCCTGATAAACGAAGCCACGGGATTACTTTTGGTGTTTGGTGCGTATATTATACGGCTAGCCATCAGGTGGCACTCCTCGTCAGGAAGCCACACAGATGCTCCGGAAAATTGACGCCAATTTTCGGCCACACGGCTGCCAACTTTGTCACCCATGGTGATCAGATTTTTGTATTCTGTTGACAGCAGAGATTCACGAGCGCTAGCTAGGTCGTCTGTCAAGAGTATAGGCTCCGCATATTCGATGTTCCGGTTTTCTTCAGGCTTGTAAATAATATCCGAGCATGAAAGATCGTAATAGTTAGAGGTGGACGGCACATCGATGTTGCCAATAAAACCCTTCACTGACTGAAGAGGCTTGTAATCCCTGCTGGTAATAAATTCGCTCAGCAAATTCACTTTGTCCAGAGACTGCGAAGGCTTCTGGGGATCACTATTCTCCCGTAATGGTTTCAAGTTCAAGGAGCTCAATGCCTCGTTCACCGAATCGATTTCTATGATTTTTGGGACCTCCAACTCGTTCGTGTCAGGGTTGAAGTTAACGCGTAAGGGCTCCGTACTGATGCGATAAATTCGAGTATCCTCTTCTTCTGCCAGCTGCCCGGGATCCTTTGAAGCGTCCCCACCGCTACTTTGAACAGTCGATCTGTGCACCGAATCGGACAACTGTTCTATCTGGTTGACTGGCCAGTAGTAGTACGTCAGGAACACAAACACTGCCAGCAGGATGTACAGCCGATATCTTGATCGCGACCGAAGAAAGGGAAATGCCATTCTTGGAAGTCTTGCAAATGCTGTCGAATATTTCCCAGGAAGTTCCCTGCAACAATCTTTTGGTTTCTGAAATTCTTCAGTGCATGAGATATGTTTTACGGTGTACGGATGGAAGATTGATTTATTTTGGGAAAAGGGTTCTGGGAGAAGGATCGGAGGAGGCCTGTGGCGAACTGATATGTTTGCATCCTACTAGGAAACTGTCGTGCGCATCTTTCGGATAATTAAACTGTACGACGGGGACAAATAATTAACGACTATCATTTTTCAACTCAGCGGCAAACTGTATACCCTTTTTTGTCCCCATGAGCCATCGTTCCGTGACATACAGCCCTCCGGCAGGGCCTCCAAACACAGCTAATACCCATACCACAGTAACAAGGGGTCTGGTTGTGACTCAAGAAAGAGATAAGGAGCAGGAGCAAAGACTCGCTAGAGCCCTGGAAATAATATCCGCTTCAATGCTACCACCTCAGCACACCATCGACCAAATCCGGAAAAGGATATACTCATATCTATTAGGACATAAACAAGAAGAAGCTCCGCGTATAAGTGAAATCAAGGACATACCACGCTGGAAAAGAGTTGTCCTCTATCTTATGGGTCCTCCATTGGACAGGCTCAGATCATTTTCTCAGTACATCATTCTGCAAATACACATACTATACAACGTGACACTGATGATGGTGTCAATTGTGTCGACGCCGCCGTTGATATTCTACGTGGTTGGATTTGTGCTATTCTGGGCGAAAGTGGTGTACGAGATGTACAGAGACGTCGTTCACAGAGACGATCAGTTCCACACGTCATTTCTCAGTCGCGAGCTGGCCTTGATGGCCACTCTTTCAGCATCCTATGGAGTTGTCATGAAGTTCAAGACTGAAGCAGGTATCATCACAGAGGCATGGTGGTCTACTTTGACATAGTGATACATGCTAGGGGCAGGTGCAAAGATGCGTTGATAAAAAAGTATGTAGATATTTTATTGTTTTGTTTTGATACGCGTCATGCCAAAGAAGAGGACAACAAAGCGCGCTGAACTACCCAATAAACGCACCACTAGAGCAAAGACGCTTAAAGGAGACGAAAATGAGCTGGGAGAATCTGTGTTCGAGGCTGAGGTCAACGACAACGACAACGTAGACGGAATGGGTAATCCTAGCGCGATTCACGATCAGAAAGAAAATCAGGAACCACAAAGCGAGGGTAGCAAAAACCCAGGTGATAAAAAGCCCCTCTCACCTATACTTGGGCTTGAAAACCCACTGATTACGCCATCAAAGCGTTTATTTGATAGCCCGGAGCGCCCCACACTGCTTTCCCCTACAAAGGCGCGTCAAGAATTCAGGCTACCTTCGGAGGCTGCCGTGTCGCAGTTAGTTCAGCGTAAGGACTTGAAGACGCTTACGAGTATCCTCAACGATCTAACTACATCCAAAACTGAAAAAATGTTTCAAGATTACAAAAAGCTATCCGAACGAAAGCATCAGACTAGTGAGACGCTAATCAACAACCTGACAAAAGAAAACCAAAAACTACGTTTGAGTATCAAATCGTTGCAGGCGAGCAAGCAGAATTCCAAGGAGACGGATTCATTGAGACGGCAAATTGAGACCCTCAAACGTGAGAACACACGTCTAAGCTCCGAAATTGAGTCGCTGAGCGCGAAACGCGGCTCTAACCAATCCGAGATTGACAATGCAGTGGCAGAACTGGATCTTATGGGCACGAAATTGGAGATCACTGAACTGTTAACAGGCCTCACATGCCAGGAATACATCGAAGACGCTGAGAACATGATATTCAAGATGAAGCAGCAGGGAGAGACTTGTTTTTTGATTTATCAACTTTTGATCAGCAAGACGGGAGCCGGAGAGATTGTTTATATTCCAATCTTCAAGCAAGAGGAGAGCCAATCGGGGTCAGAGCGCAATGAGTGGATGGAGAATGTCAAGAAACTTGAAAAAGTTCTGCCGGATTATCTGCTGGACAATCTGACATTCCCAGCCAATACACTCTACAACTTCTATAACAAGTTGGGGAGATCACTCAACAAGAAAGTGGAATAAATAAATAGAGTGTATCTTAAATTTACATGAGGGATTCTCTATTCATAGGGAGACAGTGATGGTACCGTCTGCATTCTTAGACACTTTTAGCGACTTCAGGAGTTCGGATTTATCTTTCTTGAGTCCTTTGCGGGCCTTCTTGAGAACTTTGTAGAGTGATTCAGATCCAGAAACGAACGATGCAAGCGATGGCTCAGCGGACTTGGCCCTTGATTTTTGCTTATTGTTTGTTTTTTCAGGTTCAGACGAGTGAGGTCTCTGAAGCTCCCGTTCGCTCTTGACAGACTTGAGTTTAGGAGCTTTCCAGCCCTTCTCGTATTTTTCAGCTTCGGTTATACAACTGGTATGACTGTTGTGGTCATTGTTGTAGAAGGTAGCATTGCAATCAATACATGTAAAGTATGCACCATGACATTGTCTCTGATGCAGAGCAAGCTTCTTCTTGACGACCGTATCGTTGCAAACCTCACACGAAAAGGAAACCATTTGATCTGACTGGCTTTTTTCAGTTTTTTTTCCTAAAAAGATTTCTTAGTATGAGGAAGGTCTCTGCACTGCCTCAAAACACATTTTCGGATTCCCCAGGAAGTCTTTCGACTCTCTTTGGTTCCCAGTCCTGGTACTCATCTAAGAGACCCTGTAGTTTGTAATACTCTTCTTTAATATCAACCTTCCGTCTTCTTGTGGCTAGGTCAAGGGCTTGGTTTTCGTCAAGCTCTTTTACCTTCTCATCTCTTTGCTCGTAACGCAATGCTGTGAATTTAGAGAGAATAACCGAACCAAACGCCACGGACAACATCATCGGAAGACCGAGATAGAGGAATGAGTTTTTCTTGATGAGCGCTTGATAGCGGCCTATGAAGGAGCGCTCAAATTCCGCCTGTTGTCGCTTGGAACGAAACGTCTTATTTGCGAAAGTGCCCATGATTATTAAAATATAATTTTCATTGATTTACACAATAATTTTCATCACTCTATCAAATAGGGCCTCGAGCGGAAGTCCTTCCAAATTATCAAGAATTGGCTCAAAGATTTGCGAGTTGAGCACTTTTCTCTCGTTCTCTGCTTCTGACTCGGTTTTCCTAATGGATGCCATTTGTTTGGCATTGTTGAGGAGGGCGCTGAGCTCGTACGCGCGGTCAAGTTCTTTCTGCTCTTGCATAGTGGAAACACCTGCGCCCAGTGTTCCTATGCGCGAGTCAGTATCAACTATGACAAATGAGGACATTCCGGGGGCAAACCGTACACTGGATATACCGGTGTCATGGTCGGAAACGTAGAGCGGCTGCAATTTTGATGGCTCGAACACAAAAATTCGAGATCTCAAATTGTAACTCTTTGTATAGTAATTCACGCAAAAGCAGAAAACTCCTCGGGTTTCGTCAACAGCCAACAAATTGCGACTTCCAGGCTGGGTGTGGACTTTCACGGCAAGGTCTGTGGCCCGGAACGTGAGCAGATCAAACGAGACCAGTCTGTCTCGGGCAAGTATCACCAGATACTCGTCGATAATTTTCAGACACCGCACCCTGGAGCCGGCAATAGATGGGAGTTGAACTGGTGTCTCCTCGAACGTGTTCACATCAATGAGACTAATGTTCATCTCTTGGCCAGTAGCAATCACTGATGCGTCTGGCGACCAGCAGATGCTAACGTTTTGAGCATCCGTGCGCTCGTTTCCGTTGCGAACTTTACGCAGAGTCCATGCGGTTTGCTGTAGTTTCTTGTCCTTTCCAACTTTCTGGTATATTTCTTTTGGCACCCGTGGTCTCCAGAGACGCAGGCCCCCCTTGACGTCAGCAGTTACGAACGCCAGACCATCGTTGTAAGATGGTGGCGCTGGAGCCACCGCCGCCACGTCAACCCCTGGTCCATGAGGATTGATAATCTTTGTCGACAATGACCAGCCACCTCGATCTTTACCGTCCACATAGCTCCAAAATTTCAAGGCGTATTGAACGTCGTTGCGAGAAAGCAGGTTGTCAATTTCTGGAGGCTGCAATTTGTCAAATGTGCACATCCATTTTCCGTCGCAGCTGAAGGCAAACTGCTCAATTTCTGGATCCTGAATTGATGTCTCGCTCCGGACCTTACCTGCCTGGATTGTTGGTGCAGCGGTGATGACCGAGATTTGCTCGTTCCTGATAAAATCGTACGACTGGAGATGTGCTCCATAGGGAAAGTAGCAATGATTGGAAACAGGATGCACCTCAAAGTGAGAAGAGAAATCGTGTTTGATTTTTGTCAGAGTGTCCTCATCCAACACGACGCTGCTCTTTGCGAGTCGCCGACGGTCTTTTTCAATGGTTTCAATATGTGTTGCAAATTTAGGGCGCACACCATTGACGTTCAATCTGGAAGTCAAGTCTACCGCACTTAGAACCAAAAACTCTCTATCGGAGCCGTTCAAGAGCAAACTAACGCCATACAATTCTTCTGTTGAGGCAGAAAGCTCAATATCCACAATTTCTCCATTCAAACGAGGCAGGAACTGCTGATTATCCGATTCCAGGTGCCAAAAGACAAGAACTTTTTCTTGACCTCCAGATAACAGATAAGCACCGTTTGTGCTAAATTCAACGCAGTTGATCTGACCAATATGCCACTTGAGCAGCCGCTGGGGTCTGGTATTATCTGAAACAAAGATAAGCTGAATAATGCCTGATGAGGTTCCGAGAGCGATCATCGGGGTCTCTGCATTGGAGACGGCCAAGGAGGTAATAGGTGTCTTGTAGGCAAATTGGATCATCTCGAGAGGACCGTCTCCGGACTGGAAGTATAACTGGTTTCTATTGGTGAGGTATGCAATTGTGCTTCTGTCAACGGACATGGCAAAAAGCACCACGTTTTTAAGAGTCGATATCTCCTGAATTTGAGAGTCATTAGTGGATCTCAACAAAGTGCGACTATGTGGTTGGTTTTTTGCGGTGGACTTGCCAATGATAAAATAATACTCGTTCTCAGAGGCTCCAAATCGCACAAACCTCACGATTTCGGCAGGCAGCTGTAAGTTGTAGGTGGCAACCACCGGCGAAATCAGCTTTTCTCTCCAGTTGACAACAACCACACTGTTGGTCCTCGTAAACAGATACATAAGGTTTGGATCCTGGGCGCTGAGAGTAGCATCCACCACCAGAGAAAGATCCAGGTCGAGTCTAATGCTACGCACTGACTGACGGGTGGCCAGGGAGTAAACTTTGATCTGTGACCTGAAGGGCACAATGGCAAATTTGGAATCTGTGGAAACGAGCTGTGCACGCCCGAGAAGACGGCCACCAGCGCCAAAACTGAGGTTCCAATCAGAAAGCACCATGAATATATTTTTTTTAAATTTTTTTGGTACTGAAAATTTTTAACAACATGATTATTCCTGTCCGGTGTTTCTCTTGCGGCAAAGTTGTGGGCGACAAATGGGAGACTTATCTGCAGTATCTTCAGGAGGACAACATGACTGAAGGAGATGCTCTAGACCGCTTGAAACTAAAGAGATATTGCTGTAGACGGATGGTGTTGACGCATGTGGACTTGATCGAAAAGTTCTTGAGATACAACCCGCTGGAAAAGAAGGAGATCGAGGGAGATCAGTATTAAGAGAGATACAACAGGGAAGCAACGTTTTTCGACGACAAACGTCACAAGAGAGGCCAACTGAAAAGGAGTACACGGATGCGCAGGCACTGGTCCACAACACTCTACGAGGATTGATGACGATGTCTGATATTGCAATGTTCGATGTGCTTGGGAAGAAGATCCTTCGAAACTATATGCATTTACTTCCTTTTTTGTAGGCATCCTATGTACATTAATAGCTACGGAAATATTTAAAATTCGATTTTCATGGATTCTGTCTACGAGGAGTTTTCCAGGTATGATTTTGACTCTAACGAGGAGTATCTCGCCGGTCTCAAGCAGGTTATGGAGCAGTACCTGATTTTGCAAAGCCAGAGCGATCCCGAGATCTCTAAAGATATATCTGAGGGCGTTTTCGACGTCTCTAAAATCAAACCTCAAGATAAGGAACAGTTGGTATGGCAGGCAAAAGTGTATTTTTTCTGTTCGCAAACAGGAGAGATTCTAGATCTTGATGACTATCGAAAGTGGGAGAGCACGAGGAAACTCCAAGAGCCTCAAGGAAGGAACACGAAGGAAATCCCATATTCGTCGAACTACGAGCAGTTGGTGGATCTTATCGTCAACAACAAGCCGATTCCGGGAATCAAACAAATACCAGATACTGTTCTTGGGCCGGAGCTTTCATCCAGCAGCATGCTAAGCGAGCGTAAGAAGCCCTGGGAACAACAGAAAGAGAGAGATTGTTCTGAGCAAAAAGATGCACCAGGGGATGGAACTCAGATTGGACCCGAATAAGGCTAATGTACACAAGGTAGTGCACCGCTGTGTCCGAGCCAGCTGATGATGAAGTTGTCTATTTAATAAAAATGTTAACTACCTCTCTATGCTATCTATCCGATAAAGCACAACAGTATGTTTAGGGGCTGTGTAGCACAGATGGCTGAGATGTGGCACCTTCTATAGCAGCTCCACCAAAAAGCAGCCCTAGTCCTCCTATTGCGACCTCCCAGCAGTGCCGTACGGCGGAACGACTTTAATAGTCCAGACTTTTACGTTTTAGGAAATCTCAGTATCTTATCTTCGTAAAAATCCCCGATGCAAAACTTCCGCCGATATGCCACACCAAATCTGGACAATCGCGATTTGTCCGGCACAATGGTTTGGGACGCTATAAATATGTCGCGATGCCTAATTTTGAACAACAATGTCTAAACCGAACGTGCTTCTTATAGGACCCGGCGGTGTTGGTACCATTGTGGCCTACGGTATTGATTATGCTGGCAAGTCGAATCTCTCTGTGGTGGTGAGAAGAGACTACCCAAAAGTCAAGGATCAAGGCTGGGAGATCAACTCGTGCAACTACGGCACCATTAAGGGCTGGAAACCGGCTGCCGTGTACGAGTCCGTGGCTGCGGCAGGCGAAGCAGGAGTTACCTACGACTACGTTGTGATTTCCACCAAATGTCTTCCTGACATTGTCAAACCTGAGGTCCTCGCGGAACCTGTCATCACTCCTGGAAAAACCGTGGTGGTTCTGGTGCAGAACGGCTTTGACTTGGGAAGGCCGTTCATTGAGAAGTACCCAGAAAACGTCTGTCTCTCTGGAGTCTCGCATATTGGCTCTCACAACCATAACGGTGTCATTTCGCACATCCAGCCAGACAAGGCTGTTATCAGTGTGTTCGACAATCCCAACCTCGACAAGGACTTCCAGGTGGAAAAGGCAAAGGAGTTCATTTCCCTCTACAGCAACGATAAGAACGACGTCTCTTACTTTGAGGACGCCAAATGGTACAGATACAGAAAGCTGGTGTACAATGCTACGTTGAACACCGTGTGTGCTCTCACGGGCGTGGACACTGGGAGATTGGATCTCTCCGGCACTCTCGAGTCCGTGTCTATTCCTGCTATGAGAGAGGTTGTGAAGGTTGCCAAAGCCGACGGTGTCGAGCTTCCAGAGGACGTGATCAACACTGTTGTCCACTCCGACGACGGCGACTGGTTCGAGCCGTCGATGCGTGTGGATGTGAAGAAGGGCAATCCTATTGAGCTGGAGGTGATCCTGGGCAACTTGTTAAGGGTTGCCAGAGAGCTCAATGTCGACACGCCTGTGCTGTCTTTGCTTTATGAGCTTCTGAAGGCGGTCCAATTTCGACTCAAGGAGGGACAGGGGCTGATCTCCGTTCCTGAGGAACGCCCAATATCTACTAGATACTATAGCTAATTTAGATGGGATATTTGACTCCAGTTCTCTGGATGCACCAGAAGCGAGCCTGTAAGGGCACAGGGGAGTTCCACACTTAGTCGTCGCATAACCTGGTTCCTGGTTTCACATTAAATCACATTGGCTATAAAGAGTATCTAAACTCCGGGTTCTCGATATCGGTGAGGTCGGCAAAAGCAATGGTATCTGGGATCTGGTACTTGTCGCCCAGGGCAGCCCGCTTTTGGTCGCGGATCCTGTTTCTGTGCGTGTAGAGCAGCAGGAGCGACACGATACAAAGTAGTCCCGCGGCGAAGCTGACCAGCATTGCCGTCTTGGCCCCAACGTAGCCCGGCTTCTGAGAGGAGATGAAAGTCTGCGGCCCTATGATGTTGCCCACACAGTAGCCGACAAGATAAAACGTGTTTAAGGTGACCTTCTTCGTGCTTCCAGCGACATTCGACGAGAGAACAGACACCATACTCGCGGAGACAGAGGTTGCCATGTAGAAAGACAGATACCCAAACAGCCGCCACCCCCTGGGGCCCGCGAAGTTTAGGCAGCACATCCCGATGATTGCGATTAGCTGAACGATAATGCTCGAGATAAGCCGGCGGTTGTTCAAGAAGCGATAAGTGAGATAGGCAACAGAGATCGGGAAGACGATGTCAATGGCTCCGCCAGGCATTCCCATTAGCAGCGCGTTCTGTGTGGAGAAGCCAAAGTCTCCTTTCAGAAGAATGGAGCCAAAGTTGGTGAAGCCTCCGTTGGGGATGGCATAGGACATTCCATAAATGAAAAACAAGTACAAGACCGGGTCCTGGAGCGCCTCGAGCACCTGGTGGCGCTTGAACTTGTGGCTTCCAAAGCCTTGCTGGTTTCCCTTCACTCTTTCAACACAGTACTTCTTCTCTGTCTCGTTCAAGAACCATGCTTTAACGGGCAAATCCGGAACGTGAACTATAGAGAGAACACCCAAAAAGATAGTGATGATTCCGGTGATGATGTACAACATTCTCCAGGAGGCAAAAGAGTAGTTACCTGAGCGGTGCACTGCAAGACCGTAAGCGATTCCTGCTCCCAGAAGAGTGCCAAAACCCTGAAATCCCCACCAGATAGAGGCACGCATGAACTGCTCGCTCTTGCGGTACCATTGACTGGTAAGAAGAACATATGCAGGGTTCATGAAGCCCTCGAAGATTCCGAGAATCACGCGGCAGACAAGAAATCCAGCAGCATTAGAGCAGGCTGCATGGCACATCAAAACGATACCCCAGATGATGACTGCTGTTCCCAGAGTTTTGGAGAGAGGAAGTTTCTGCAGCAGCAAGTTTGCTGGAAACTGGAAGATAAGGTATCCAAAGTAAAACGCGCTCCCGACCCAGCTGTACTCCTTATCGGACATGTTGAGGTCCTTCTGTAGATTCATGATCGAAGCGTAGGAGTTGGTTGTTTTGTCCATCAGCTGGCAGGACATGAGCGCAGCAATGACCGGCATGAGACACCAGTCTATCTTGCGCAACAGCTTGCGCTCGAATTGTGGGTCCAAGACCAGATCCATCGCATCCTGATGGTACTGCAGAGCGACGTCGGCATCCAATTGGTGGATCTCGATCTCGCGTCCGTCGAGCGAAACGACGGTTGAGAGAACAGGGTTTATCTCAATTTGGGAGACCGTTTCCTTTGACTTATTGTCGCTGCGTTCTTTCATTTTGTCTAGCAAAGCTGAATTTGCTTTGCAATAAATACTGGTCTGGCATCCATCATTTCTTATCTCGATTGATTTTGTGCCAAAATGTCCGACATTTTTTATCGATAAGATTTCGTCAGTCGGAGATACACGCTTCGGAATGAGACGTCGATTTATGGTCGATCGCAAAACAGCGGCCTTTTAAAGGAGTAGTATCACTGAATGCCCCCACATGTCAAAGAACAGCTCTGAGGTCGGTCTGGAGACCGTCTCGACTGACAAGTCTGATTTTGATAGGCATCTACAGCTCGACGAGGGCAAGATGCTCCAGTTCCAACCGGAAAGTCCCCGGAGACCAATCAACTGGAGCACGAAAAAAAAGCTGGTACACACAGTGCTCTATGGACTCACCACCTTCGGCGCGCAATTCAACTCTACAACCATGTCCTTCGAGTACTGTGTTGACGGTATACGGAAGGAGTTTGGAGCATCCCGAGAAGTGGTCCTACTTCTGACTTCTCTGTACATCCTCGGCATAGCCTTCGGCCCTATGGTATTTGCTCCGCTGTCAGAGATCTACGGCCGCAAAATTAGTATATTTGCTCCATTCCTTATGTCTGCTATGCTGACATTTGCAACCGGTATCTCGTACAGCCTCGGTGCAATGATGGTGACCCGGTTCATGGGTGGCTTTTTTGCTGGAGCACCAATTGTAGCATCGGGCGGTGTTCTTGGAGATATATGGTCGCCAGCGCAGAGAGGAGCGGCGTTTGCATTCTATGCCTGTTTTGTGATCAACGGAGCAGCTCTGGGGCCTACTGTCGGGTCCTTATTAAGCATGAAAACCAATTGGAGGAATCCACAGTGGTTTATTGGAGGGCTGAGTATTTGCATCATTGCCATCTGTTGCATTTTTCTGCATGAAACATACGAGCCTGTTCTGCTGGCACGGGAGGCGAAAAAAGAACGCCTGAAGTCAGGATCATGGGAAATACATTCAAAACTGGATACTTGGGACCTGAACATTCGCGAGCTAGTCAAAATCCACATGGTGCGGCCGTTTGCTATTCTGCTCACCCCCATTGTGTTTTTGATGGCGCTATATGCCAGCTACGTTTACGGGTTATTTTATTTGATCCTCACCAATGTTTCGGAAGCATTTTACTTGACCAAGGGGTGGAAAGGAACGACAGGGACATTACCCTGCATTTCGCTCCTGCTCGGAGTTCTTTTTGGTTGCGTAGGAAACATGATCTGGGCCAATCGGTACGCCAGTCTGGTGGAAAAGAACAATGGGGAGCCGCTACCGGAACAGCGGCTTCCAGTGATGATGATCCTGGGATGGCTAATGCCCGCTGGAATATTTATTTTCGGGTGGACCTGCTCTCCACACATCCCGTGGCCCATTCCTTGCTTGGGCATTATGATGATGGGCTGTGGCTTCATAACCACTTTTCAAGGAAGCCTGAATTATCTCATAGACACCTACAGATGGTACTCTGCATCTGCCATAGCGGCGGCCACGTTTCTGCGGTCCATCTTTGCCGCCTCCTTCCCGCTTTTTGCGAAACAGCTGTTTGTCACCTTGAATGTCCACTGGGGCGCCAGCTTGATTGGTTTCATTGCTTTGGGAATGATTCCAATTCCGTACCTTTTTTTCGTTTTCGGGAAGAGGATACGAGAGAAAAACGTTTTTGTACCAGATCTAAAATAGACTACTTAAGTTCTTTAGTGCTTCTGCGTCTTCTACGTAGCCCGTCTTGCTTCCTTTCATCTTCGGGAATTATTCTGCTCACCAAGCCAGAGTAAAACCAGTCGATCATTGTGATTGCATCATAGACCGGCAAACCTATCGCTTTCTGAACTGCACGTGCAAATGGTGGCATCTGAGTGCATTCGAGAACGATCGCCCCAATTGACGGATTATCCTCAACAAGCTCTTTTGCAATACGAACCATCTCTTTCTCCAGGTCCTCGTGAACGTAGGGGTCTCCCTCTATGATCATTCCTCGTAAAACTCCCCCAGCAGGACATCCCTTGACGACGATTCTGGACTGAAGCTCTTCGCCTATCCCCAGACCCCGAAAGTGAGCTTTGCCTAGAACTTCTGCATCGAAAGTCAAAACTCCAATAAGCTTTGCTGAGCCTATCGCCATGGAGACAAACGGCACCTGGATAAGACTGCTGGTTGCAACCGGAATCTCCACCGCGGCAGCTAGACGGTTTTGCACCTGAGCCAAGAAGCCGCAGGAGGTGATCACCCCAACAGCTCCTCTTTGCTTCAGGCGGTTGCAGGCGTCAATGTAGTTTTGTAGTGTCTCGTCTGAATACTCGTCTTTTCTGACAACGTTCCACACAGTGGCCTCCTTAACTGTTTCGTGGATCACTGGAAAGTGGTAAGACAGCTCATTCAGCGGATCGCCTGGCGGCCGGTGGATATCATCAGTGTAATCAAGACACAGTGCGCCCAGTGGCGGTAGTTCTTCTCTTGGACGATATGCCGACATGGTCCTTAGCTAAATTCATATGTCATCATATTTATCATCCGTCCAACGGGAATTTCCGCCAGAATTTTTCAGATAAGATAGCGTCGGAGATATTGTTATTTAAGGTATGGAATCTTATCTTTCGCAAACTTTAATTCCGCAAGTGCCAGACTATCCAATGCAGTCGGAAACGGCAGAGCGGACCCTGAGGCGGAAGACAGGAAGAAAACATCAGATGGCAGCGTGCTGCTTTTGCAAGAAGCGAAGAAAAAAATGCGACGGGAAGTATCCTAGCTGCTCTGCCTGCCTCAAGCTCGGAATCGATTGCACGGTGATTGACCCTCCTACGGGAAGAGAAGTCAAACGGAACTATTTGGAGATTCTGGAAACAAAATTGCAGCAGCTTACTGCCCAATTGGCCAGGGTTGATGACATGCGAAAAGAAAGTTCAATAGAAAAGCCACAGTTCCAGAACCCTGCTCCCAACAAATCTGATCTCGCTCAACAGGTTGGGTATATCACTTTGCAAGCCGCGGGCGAATCAAGGTATTTGGGCGAAAGCAGTGCCTACTACATTGCAAAGACCATCAGCGAGTCTATCAATTGTTATACCGCAAAGCCTAACACCGCTGCTTCTAGCATTGAAGAGGCCGAGCCTCCACAAACTGTCTTTTCCAAACCCTCAAAAAGACTTGCCTCCGCTTTTCTCACGGCTTACAAGAACTACGTTCAGTGCCAGTACCCGTTTCTGGACTGGAATAGCACTATCACAATGTTTAACCAAGTGATGAACGACGACTCCCAAGACCCAGAGGCATTGTTTTTCGTTTATATCATTTTTGCCATAGGGACACAGCTTCTCGAAGACCGCACTCAGACATCCCACAAGCGGAGCTACTACGAAAAAGCGTTCGAAAATATCGGCTCGGTCATTGGAGCCACTACTCTGCGCGCAGTCCAGGCGTATTTGCTAATTACCGTTTTCGCCCAGAAAATGCCTGACGGCTCCTCGTGCTGGCAGACCACAGGACTTGCCATTCGAACGGCGGTGGCCCTGGGTCTTCACCGCAAACCGTACCGCAACTGCGACCCAAAACTCGAGGATCTCAGGTCACGTGTTTTCTGGTCAGCATACGGGATGGAGAGAATCAATGCCCTGGTTTTGGGCAGACCGTTCAGCATTTCGGATGCGGACATCGACGCGCCCTTCCCTCAGTACTCGGAGGATACCAAAGTGGCCTGTCATGTCGCGCGGCTGCGGAGAATACAATCGAATATCTGCACCTTCATTTATAAGCCTGCACATTTATTGGGGAACCGAGAGGACATCGAGGCTACGCGCGTGCAGATAGTTGTGGAGCTGAACGATTGGATGGCGACGTTCCCATTCAAGGATGATGCAGTCTCAACGTTTGAGACAGACAACTGGTCCATCATCTCGTACCACAATTCCATGCTTCTTCTGCTCCGGCCGGTGGTGTTAGAAGTCGCAAAACTGAGAGAAAAGGCCCCCAAAGAAGCTCTTGACTGGTTCAAGATATTCACAGAGTCCGCCTCCGCTATCTGCATCAACTACAAAAACATCCACGCGAAAGGAAAACTCAGCTACACCTGGCTAGCCATGCACTGCTGTTTCGTCTCTGGCATTTCCTTTATATACTGTCTCTGGCTCGACGCAGGGCTAGGCGTGTTGAAATGGAAGCGGGAGTCCTCGATTTACAAGACGATCAATGCCTGCTCCAGCATCTTGTATGTGATGGCCGAGAAATGGCCCTCGGCTTGCTTGTTTCGTGACACGTTTGAGCAGATCTCAAAAGCTGCTCTGTGCCATCTCGAGTCGCCGAGAGAGCAACCGACTGACCTTTCCGACGGTGAGCTGCTAGAAGGAACCATTGGTATAGACCAGTATCTGCGCAATCTAAGCTCGCAACAGAAGCAGAACTCGACAGACGGAATGGCATTTGCTCCGCCTAGCAACGACGTCCTCGAAAAGGATACTGATTGCCAGATCTCAGACTCGCTGTGGGAGTTCCTGGACACCACCGGAGACCGTTTTTTGCGCAACATATTCTACGACATGGAAGACAACCTTCTCCTCTAGAGACCAACGAGCAGTTGGGATATAGCATCTAGTCCATCGCGTAGCTAGCTGATTTACACCTTAGACCGGTAAAAACTAACTATTTTTTGTTTATTTGTTTCGCGCATGAAAATACAAGACAAGCTAGAGCAGATAGCGTCGGGGTTCGATTTGTCGGCGTCGGACGACGAGGCGAGTTTTCTGGGACGGCAGGACGTCGAGTACTTGAATCGTCAGTTTTCCAGGCAAAAAAACTCGCCAGAAGTCGCGGACAATGAATCTGACGAGGAGTGGGTGGATGAGGATGAAGAGTCGTATGATGAGTCTCTTGACGAGACCATTGTTGAGTCCAGCGAAGAAGAGAAAATGCAGGAACCGGACGTGGAGCCTCCTGCGTTCTTGAAATCCAAAACCATCGTGTACATCATCAAGACGTTTCCTGTGCTAGTCATGATCTTGTTCCTGATGGTGATTGCGCGTCTGGCATCCGCTGGCAGCTACTACGACAATATAGTGGATCTGGGGCTAGTGCATCACAAGTTCAGAGGTTTTGAGAAGAAGCTTGGCGAAATTGGTGAGAGATTGGAGCAGCTTTCCAATACGCATAATAACAATGATGTGCACAAATTGGAGCTTATCGAAGAGCAAATACAGCAATTACAGAAGAACGAGCACATCTCGGATCGCGAAATCAAGCATCTCGTGCAGAATGCTGTCATCGAGTTTCTCCAAGAATCCTTGGACGAAAAGCTAGAACAACTGGTGTCTGACAAGATGGGGCATCTAGATTCTGTCATGGAAGAGCGAATCTCGCAGCTCGAAATCGAAAAGCTGACGGACAAGATGTCGCATGAGGTGCTGGAAAAAGTGGATACTCAGATATCTTCGGTGAGTTCTCAGCTCGAAGCTCTTCAATCAGCAGGCTACTCCGAGCAGGAGATAGAGACTACACTGTCGCGACTGGTGCAACACGAGTTCAACCAGCGCCTGGAGCCGCGTGTTGCCGGTATTTCGAACTACGCGAGCTACGATCGCGGCGCTCGGGTTTTAAAGAAGTACACCACCCTGCCCAAGCTGAAACGCGTCCGCACAAAAGTTGTTGACCGTGTTCTTCACGGTTGGCTTGATTTCATAAGGCGAACCATACAGGGCCACAAGCGTACTTTGACGGGCTTGAACAATGTCGAGCTCACGAGCTCGGAAAACTCGCCGGCAAACGTTTTGGTGGACAGTTCGCAGTACTGGCAGGCTCTGGCGCAGGACCTTCCGATCACGTTTGGGGTCCAATTGAGCGAGCCTGTGTATCTGCGTCAGGTCGGTCTGTACCATCCACGCGTCTCGTCGCTTGCCGAGTGTGCTCCGCGCCACGTCTCACTTCTAGTAGAGCCGGCCAACTCCAAGCAAGCTAAACTGCTACGAAACAAGCTCGCAATTTATTACAACCAGGATCTTGTATTCTCGCACCTTCGCGGGCTCGCCAAGGTGAGCGAGTTTGAATTCCAGGCATCAGGCGGCCAAAGCTACCAAACGTTCCCGTTTTCGCGCGAGATCCTTATGATCTTGGACGAGTTCCCGGTGAAAAACGTCGTGCTGGTTGTCGAGGACAACTGGGGCCACAAAGAAGTTGTGGTTCTTTACGGGCTAAAAGTGTTTGGGCTGAATGAGTTTGAGATGAAAGCGACGAGAGTGACGAGATCCGACGAAATAATAAATTTGGGCGAAGATAGTGTATTTTAGTGTATGTACGCAATATATTTTTCAGTTGATAAAAAATACTTCTTTTATCAATCAATTACTCATAGTTTGCGGCATGACTTTTGTCGTCAATTCTTTGCTGGACACTGATCTATACAAGATCACGATGCACGCAGCGATCTATGTTAACCTGCCAAATGCAGAGGCCGTCTTTGGGTATACCAATAGGACTCCGTCGATGCAACTGAACGAAGCTGCCTTGAACTGGCTGCGCACACAGATTGACCATTTGGGCTCCCTCAGGTTCACTCCGAGCGACATTGACTATCTGAAAGCAGAAATGCCCTTTTTGCCTGCCAGATATCTTGATTTTATCAAGGATTTCAAGCTGCGACCAGCTGAACAAGTGAAACTTATAAACGTGGACAAACCGGAGGAATTCGGTCTTGAGGTGACGGGAAAATGGGTTGATGTCACGCTATATGAGATTCCACTACTGTCTCTCATCTCGGAAGCTTATTTCAGATATGTGGACACCAAGTGGACCAACGACGGACAGTTGGAGAAAGCTAGGCAGAAAGGAGCCAAACTGCTTTCCAATGGCTGTGCATTCAGCGAATTCGGCACCCGTAGAAGACGGTCTTTGGAAACCCAACGTCTCGTAATGAAGGGGCTGTGCCAAGCTGCCAAGGAGGCCAACAACGGCGAGATGTTTCTGGGAACGTCTAATGTGATGTTTGCTAGAGAATTTGGAGTCAAACCAATCGGCACGGTCGGACACGAGTGGATGATGGGAATCGCAGCCATAACGCAGGACTATAAAAACGCGAACAAGCTGGCGATGGACTATTGGCTCAATACAATGGGCACTGCAAACGCCGGTTTAGCCTTGACTGACACCTTCGGCACAGATGCTTTTCTGAGAGTATTTGTTCCACCGTACTCCGACCATTACATTGGGGTGCGACAGGACTCTGGCTCTCCTCTTGACTACACGGACAAAATATCTCACCACTACTTGGAAGTCCTAAAGCTACCGAAATTCTCGAAAGTGATCTGCTACAGCGACTCGCTCAATGTGGACAAATGTATTGAATACAAGAAGAAGGCCGATAGCTGTGGCATGCGTGCATCCTTTGGCATCGGCACAAACTTGACCAATGACTTTGAGGGCTCTTCGCCGTTGAACATTGTTATCAAGCTCAAAAGCATGAACGGCAACCCAGCTATCAAGATCAGCGACAACCTGGGCAAGAACATGGGCGATCCGTCTACGGTTGCCCGGGTGAAGAAGGAACTCGGCTATGTCGAGAAGGAGTGGGCCGAAGGCGATGAGGCTCACCGGTGGTGAGCGCGATATTAATTCGGAAATATAAATCCAGCACAGCCAGGAGAGCTTGCTTTTCAACATAAACTTGGTGGCATGTGATAAACTAATTTATTTAATATATTTTTGATCTTGTTGACCTAAGAGCCCAGGATGACAAAAGAGCCTGAATCGCCACCCGACGATGTCAAGGTGACTGACAATGGCCAAGATACCACAAAATGTGTGTCTGAAGACACAGAAACGGGCACCACAGAGAAGTCTGACGGGATTTCAACGAGCCAGCCATCAACAGCAAACTCCGTGCCGCTCATGAAATCTGCTTCCGACATGGACTCGCCGATCTTGCTCCCATTGGATTCAGGGAGCGGACCTAAATCGAGGTATTTCAGAAGAGGCTCTTCCAGCAGCATCAACGTGGACGATCTCTCCTTTTTCGATCTGCTCAATCCCCAGATCCTATCAACAGAGATCCGAAAACATCCAACCTACCAGCGAGTCAAAAATTACTCCTCGGAGTCTATCAAGAAGTTTAACAAAAAGGGAATCAAGTTTAACATTAGCAATGATGACATGAAGCGTCTCAAGTTGGTGCTCAATAACAGACTCGATAAGCTGTATGTTGGAATTGACAAGACTATCACGGCGTCCAAAACGGAAAAACTGTACTATGCCAGTTCTGTGTATCTCATCTTCTTTCTTGGTCTTGTCATTGGAAAACATCCCGAATGGTTTCATGTGGTGTACACGGTACTATTTGCTGTATTGATGCCAATCAGATTCATCACTTACTACAAAATGAACTGGAACTACTACCTAGCAGACCTGTGCTACTTTGCTAACGGGCTGCTCATGGTGTTCATATGGGCTCTCCCAAGCTCAAAAATTCTGTACGTGACTTGTTTGAGCTTCTCTTACGGTACGCTTTCATTCGCTGTGATCACTTGGAGAAACAAACTGATTCTTCACTCCATTGACAAAACCACCTCCACCTTCATTCATGTGATTCCTCCCACTGTTATGTACGTGATAACACATCAGCTACCCGTCGAGTACCGCCAAACACGGTTCCCAGGATCCATGAAGCTTCAAGATTGGGAAATATGGAACGGAATCCTGTACACGTCGCTGATGTACTTTGTGTGGCAGTCGCTGTATCATTACTTCATTAACGTTAAGCGCGCTGAGAAAATCAAGAACGGAAAGGTGACGTCGTTTGTTCATCTTCGAAAAGCGTTTGCCAAAAAGCCGATAGGGAAATTCGTCAATTCGCTCCCAGAACCGTTCCCTGTTTTTGCCTTTATGGTGATCCAATATTTTTACCAGCTGGGTACAATGACAGTTTGTCCTCTGGTGTTCAAGTACAAATACGTTGCGTCCATTTACCTCTCGTTTATATTTTTCATGGCGAGCTATAACGGTGCCACATACTACATTGATTTCTACGGGAAGAAGCTTCAGGGAGAGGTTGAACGTCTTCAGAAGGAGATCGACGAACTTCAATCCAAGGCACGTGAGCACGAGACGGACGGTCAGTCTCCGACAACAGTGCCAAGCTCTTCGTAAGATAGCCTGTTGCACAGCCATGCGACTAAGTAATTTATTTAATGAAAATATTCCTAAAAAATTCAAGCACCATTATGTCCAAAGTCAGTCGTAAAAGACCCTTCGAAGATGAAGGGGCCGATCCTCACTCGTCGGTGTTTGAACGATACAGCAGAACCATGGATTTGCAAGACAAAATTGCCGAACAGTACCCGGACAACGACGAGCCAGAACCGATGGAAACGGAAAGAGACGTTGCACCGCTTCCGCAGCCCAAGCTGCCCCGAGACAAGTCCCTATACTCACAGGAGCAAAAGAACAAGAACCTTAACTGGCTTTCTACTCCTGAGTATCACAATACTACCCAAACGAAGCCATTCAAGGATTTTGAGCCTGCGCTGGATCCGGTGATAATTTCCAATCTCGAGACCAAGTTTGGCATAACTTCTGCCTTTTCTGTGCAGATCAACGTGATAGAATCTCTTTTGAAAGACATCCGCGCCAATACGATTGACCCGACCCCTTTTGGCGACTATCTGGTCAATGCATCGACAGGTTCAGGTAAAACTCTAGCATATCTGATTCCTATAGTACAAAGCTTAATTGGTCGAGTTGTTCCTCGTTTAAGATGCATAATTTTGGCTCCAACGAAGCCGTTGATTACACAGGTGTACTCTAACATATTACAGCTGACAAAAGGACTTGATATCAACGCTTTAGCTTTGCGTAGCGACGTGGGTGTCAAAGAAGAAGCGAAGAAACTAGCAGCTGTCAAGCCAGATATCGTTGTTTCCACGCCAGGTCGCCTGGTTGAGCATCTGCTGAACGGCATGGACCTTTCACAGCTCCGATTTTTGGTGGTTGATGAGGCAGATCGGCTGCTGAACCAGTCATTTCAAAACTGGTGCGACACTCTGATTGCCAGATTGGAGAAGGACCAGAAATTTGGTGCAGGCGAAGACTTTTACAACAGCTACACTGTGAAATGTAGCAAACTGATTTTCAGTGCGACCTTGACGACAGATTCGGAAAAGCTGTTTCATCTTAAACTTTTCAAGCCTAAATTGGTCGTGATCAACAACGCAGAACAGCTGGTGAACGAGCTGTACCAGATCCCGCCAAATCTTGATGAGAAATATGTGCGGGTCAACGAAAAGCTGTCATTTTTCAAGCCGATGGTGTTACTCCGCTTCTTGGAACGGCCAGAGTACGCTTCTCACGGACTTGTGTTTACCAAATCTAATGAGTCGGCAATAAGACTTGCCCGCCTGCTTACGCTCTTAAGTGGGAAGCTGGGACTGGGTTTGGATATAATGTCCGTCAACTATAGCCTAAAATCGCACGAGAGGGCTAAGATCCTCAAAAAGTTCCACGAGGAGGGCGGTATTTTGATTGCTACCGATCTCATTGCGCGCGGAATGAACATCGAATCAATCAAATTTGTTCTGAATTACGATCTTCCTCTTTCAACCAAGGAGTACATTCACAGAGTTGGCAGAACAGCCCGTGCAAATAGGCATGGAACTGCTGTGACGCTCTGTTTTGGGGATGGGGATTTCCGATGGTTTAAACGTCTGGTCTACTCGGGTGGAGTCATTAATAGAAACGGCAAGGATATCGAGGAGGTTAAGGTGGTGAGAGACACAGACGAAAAAACAGACTCCGATTTTGTGCTTGAGCTTGATAAGGATGTCTACAACGAGTGTCTGGACGAGCTCGAGAAAGAAATTAGAAATAGCAAGTAATCACTCAGTTAATGGTTCTATGTACATCATTCTTTCGAGGGCTTTTTCACTCCGTACTTGGATCTGGCCGTCTTTCTATTGGCAACACCAGCCAGGTCCATGGCTCCACGTATCAGATGGTATTTGACACCAGGTAAATCCTGCACTCTACCACCTCGCACATACACGACAGAGTGCTCCTGGGCATTGTGCCCGATACCTGGGATATATGCCGACACGACTCTTCCATTGGTAAGTCTAACTCTGGCGGCCTTTCTCTGGGCAGAGTTTGGCTTTTTTGGTTTGAGAATCATGACTCTCAAAATGACGCCCTTTTTGATTGGATTTCCCTGGAGATCTGGGGCCTTAGAGCCTCTCTTCTTCTTGGTGATAAATTCCTGTCCTCTATTGATTTGGTTGATGGTAACGAATCTCTGCTGCGAGAATGCAGTGGGGGATGGTGATATGCGCGACATCAGTGATGGTGTTGCACCTGGCAAAGGAGAAAAGACCCGGCCTGCCTTGAGCAGAGATCCGGAAAACAGTTTGAGCATGGCGAGCGAGCAAAAAATGAAAAATATAAATCCACTTTATTATCAACTATCGTTACCCTGCCTTTCACCTTGGCTCAAAAAATTGGAGTAGCTGTGGAGATTTGATACTTACAAAATAACATGTTCCCAGCATCCCGTTTTAGCTGTCGAGCTTTGGCCATGGCAGCTCGCCAGGGTGTTGTGAAGCCGACAGCGCTTATGTCCCCTACGTTAGGCCTGCGATTCTACAGCTCTGCCCCCACACTAACCAGAGACATAGTGATGGAGAGAATTACGGAGATGCTCGAATGTTACAACAAGATCAAGCCAGGCACTCCTCTCACGGAAAAAACATCGTTCTCCAAAGACTTGGGACTCGATTCGCTCGATTCAGTTGAGATAATGATGGAGATCGAGTACGAATTCAGCATCCATATTGCAGACCAAGACCAGGACTCGATCAAGACGATTGGCCAGGCCGTCGACTACATCATCAAGCAACACGACGCGTGCTAAAACAGGTCTATTTATTTGGCAGTTATTTATTCGGTGTAGACGTTATTAGAATTACATCACTAGGATACTATCTATACATTTTTTATGCGTAAACCGTAGCTATACCAACGTTTCCGGGGATTTCATCGCGTCCAGATCCTTGTCCTGTGTATCTGTGTTCTTATCTTCCTCTGTGCACACTTGAGTAAGGTCGCCGTCTGCTGGTTTTCTTCTGCGACCAAATCTTAGCCACCATATCGCGTGACTCATAAAAATTCCAACTTCTAAGCACGCGCAAATCGAGTATAATATACATCCCATTGTATCGATGTCCCCAATAGCCAACGAGGCGAGCGAGAACACTGCTCCGCTAAGGTCCGTAGCCAGAAAAATGAAGTTTATCCCGATAACTCGTCCTTGACGCTTCGAAAGCTCGTAGTATGGTGGCAGCAATCCGACTGCTAGAAGCACGGAGCCGATGATTCCAAAAATTAGCAGCGGCCACTTCACTCCTTTAGAGTATTCCTTGCGTAGGGGGATGATGAAAGCAACCTCCAGTGCGAGCCACAAAAACACAAACAGACCCCCGCGCAAAATTATATCCCTCTTTGGCTTGCTCACTGGAGGGTAGTAGAGCACTTGCAAGTAAACAATGAGGCAGAAGAAGCCAAAGAGATGAGGCTGTAGCTGGATGGGAATCGAGCTGTTTTCTGAAACAAAGTAGATTGCGAAAAATGGAGCACATAGACACCAAAGCAAAACCATCCACTGGTTGAGTCCCTCGGTGTCTTTGCGTCTATAATTATGAATAATTTGGGGTATCATTTGCACACACCAAAAAATGGTGCCTATAGTAGCCAGGACGTTGGCTGTTGTGGAGGACATTTGAATTGATTGTAAGGAGACCATACATAGGCGCCATACTCGCTTTATATAGCGCCAAACCCGAGCCCTGTAGTGCCCTCACAAGTCTCGAACCAGCACTGCCAGTGAAAAAAATTTTGCTACCGTTTTCTTTATTGTTCGAACAATAATGTCCCTCTCGAAAATTTAGCATCAGCCTTCTCGATTGGGAAAGCTATTCCGCCGGGCGATCGACGTCAAAACTTGCTCGTTCGACGCGTCGTCGTTTCCCCAGGTTTTTCCAATCACCCGAACTCGTCTTTTCCATCACCAACATGCTCAAGTTCTTTTCTCAGTACTCTACCTGTGACGTTTCCGATGCACTTCTCAAGTATGGTGTCTCTAACGGCGGCTTCTTTCCTAACCTGACTCGTTTCAGCACCAGCGGTGCCACAATGGCAGGTAAAGCCTACACTGTTCTTTTTGCTGCGCGGGACGACCCAAATTACGAGGAGATTAAAGGCGGATATATCGATAATTTGCCTGAAGACGCAGTCTTGGTGATCGGATTGACTCCAGAGCTGCAGAAGCTGGACGCACCTTACGTCAAGATCAACAATGCCCTTTATGGTGGCCTCATGTCCGCACGTGCAAACTACCTGAAGAGCCCCGGAACCGTAGTTTTCGGTCGGATCAGGGATTTAAAAGAGCACCAAGACCTCGAGAGGAATGTGTTTGCTTACGGCTTGGGCACTGCAGCGCACGCCCCGGTGGTTAAACTTGCCGGAATCAACGTGCCTCTCAAAATCACCTTAGACTCTCATCCGGAGCCTTATCAGGAAACTATAAACCCCGGTGATTATATAATCGGGGATGAAAACGGCGTGGTTAGAGTTGATCGATCGGGCGACCTGGCCCAAAAATGCATAGAGTATATTCCTAATCGGGTTGCTGCTGACCAGTTAGTAGCCGAGGACATCCAGGGCGGAGCCAAGTGCAATGAGGCTCAAAAGCGCAGAAGAGCTGGTCTGTAAGCGGCTATGGTGCACGGATGTCTGATCCACGGCTGGCGTACACAAAAAATATAGAAAAAATATTTCCTATTTACCTCAATTCCATGGTTGTTGACACAACTTACTATGATCTTCTGGAGGTGACTCCGACAGCTACTGATCTGGAAATCAAGAAAAGCTATAGGAAGCTGGCAATCAAGTATCATCCCGACAAGAACCACGGCAATGAGGAAGCCGCAGAAATATTCAAAAAGGTCAGCGAGGCGTACCAAATCCTGAGTGATAAGCAGTTGCGAGCCAAGTACGATCAGCATGGACTCAGTGAGGTGCGGGAGAGCAGCGAAATGGCCGATCCCGAGCAATTTTTCGACCAAATTTTTGGTGGCGAGGCATTTCTGGATTACATTGGAGAGCTCACGTTGTTCAAGAATTTATCGAAACAATATGAACTGGAGGCTGAGGAGGAGGCTCGTCAGAATGCAGCTCTTACTGGTAATCTAAGACTAGAAGATGGGAAATATGCAGATTTGAGCGAGGAGCAAAAGCTTAAGATGATGAAGAAAGAACAAGAAAGAGTGAAGAAAGAGGAGCAGGACAGGTTGGACGAGGAGAGCAGGCAGCGCAAGGAAGAGATCAAAAAGGAACTGGTGAAGAAGCTCATTGCTAAGCTTTCGTTGTACACAGAAACAGACAAGTCGGACGATATAATTCGCTCGTTCAAGAGCAAGTTCCAACTGGAAGCCGAGAACCTCAAAATGGAGTCTTTTGGCTTGGAGATTCTCCACACGATAGGTTCTATATACATTGCAAAGGCCAATATCTTTATGAGATCCCACAGGACGTTTTTGGGGCTTGGTGGTTGGATGGGATCTCTGAGAGAAAAGGGAGGAATCATCAAGGATACATTTAGGACTATCAGTAGTGCTCTTGAGGCACAAAGCACGATGCAGGAGCTTGCGAAAATGACCGAGAAGCGGGAGCAAATGCAAAAGAGCGAGGAAGGTGGTGACGAGACGTTGGACTCTGGGGAAAAGAAGGACGAAGGAAACGAGAACTCAAAGGATGCCAAAAATGCCAAAACGGCCCAGGAGGAGATACCTTCAGATGAAGCTGTGGCGGAGATGGAGAAGCTGCTCATCGGTAAGATCATTGCTGCTGCATGGAAAGGTTCGCATCTGGAAATCTCGTCTACCATCCGAGACGTCGTTGACTCTGTGCTGTATGACAAGAGTATCAATACCGCAAAAGCCCTTGAGCGTGCTGAGGCTCTAAAGATGATTGGAGAAATATTTAAGAACACTCAGCGATCGAAGTGGGAGGCTGAGGAGGCCCGTATCTTCGAGGAGCTCGTGGCCGAGGCCACCCAGAAACGCGCTAAATAACACTAATGCTAATAAGATATGAGCTATGTTCACTATGTACATTAGGACGCCGAGTAGTACATGCCCCTGAGATCGACAACCTTCTTTCCGCGTTCGAGGGCGATGTCCGAGATGGTGCGCTGTCCGACCAGGGCCTCCGTGACACACTTCACCACATTCATCTTATTTCTGGAACGATACACCTTGGCACCGAGGTCCTTGATTCCGGCGCATCTGGCGAGCTCGAAAATCACCGGGTTGCACTTTAGACCAAACCCGGGCGGAGCAGAGCGCAAGTGAACCACCGTCGAAACGTATTTGTGCTCTATATTTCCGTAAATCGTTCTGTTTTCGTGCAGAGGAATCTTGGCCATGTTCTTGACAGCCTGCCAATGGGCCTTGAACACGGCCATCACGTGGTCTTCTCTGTCCTTTGCCTCTCCGACTCCGAGCATCCCGTTTCCGTCGCCCACGCAAACGAGAGCGTAGAAAGAGCTGATTTTTCCCTTGGCCGTCTGGTTTCTGACGCTTTTCAAGATCAGGGTTTTGCTTCGAAGTTTGGAAATGTAGTCTTCGCTAAACCCCGTCGATAGCACCAAGTCCTGCATGACCATCGACATCTCATTTCCGTCGTAGTCTCCCATGAACTGGTCAACATCTCCTTTGACTCCCGGTGGAGGGTCTGGTTTATTAAGTTGTCTCATTCCCAGGTAATCCGTGAACGACTTTTCTGGCACGTGGTCGAAGTATGCGTCTCTCTGCGTTAGATCGTCCAGGTAGTGTGGCCCAAACGGAACGGTCGCTAGTTTCTTGTTGTCGAAGTGTTCCTTCTTGATCGACGACTCGGCGAGCATGATCGACTCCACCACCTTCGGGTCGTAGTATTGGAGCAAATACTGCATGTGCTTAAGCTTCTTCGGGTCCAAATTCGAGGTCTGTGCGTTAAGCAGCGTCCTCGAGGTCGAAAGCAGCCGTTTGAACATGACTGAAGAATCTATTCTCGACTTGTTTTCCAACGCAGAAAAACTTTCACCTATAGACCGTCGCGTCGATGTTTTTATTTTTTTGTACAATTCGTAAGGTTATTCTCCCAGCCACCAACCGTATACCGATTTTCCAACAATGCCCAAAGTCATGCCTGCAATCACTTTACCGCGAATATACGAGAACCAGCTGGCCGAAAGCGTGAATGCACGGACCTCAATTCTCGACCAGCTGAGCGAACTCGGACCTCCCGACCTGGTGCATTTCACCAAATACGACAAATCTCTGCATTCAAGCATCGGCGAGTACCACTACTGCACCGGAATCAACACCGTATCGATGGTCCAGCCTTATATGTACTTGCAGACGGTCCAATTTGGCGACAAACAGGCGGCCTCCGAAAAACACCCCGTGACAGGCCTCTATTGCTCGTACAATTGTTTCAGCAGGGGAGACCTGCGGATCCAGCGTCAGTTTCCCGGTACGGAAGAGCCTCTGGCCGAATTTGTTCCCGCATCCACCAAGAAAAAGTACGAAATCCTGGATGAAAACTCGACTATATGGATCGAAACGTACGTTTCATGTATCGTCAGATCTCTACTCTTCAGTGACGACATTGAGCGCCAACTGCCAGGGATGTGTAGGTACAACATGTTCGAATCCAAGAAGGACGTCCAGGAGGCTATCATTGCGCTGGTACGAATGATACCGAAGGGCGTCGCGTGCGGGAGCTCGAGTTTGGTGAACCATCCGACAATCATGAACAACAATTTGATAGACGCCCTGATGCGGCTTCTCAAAATAACTAGGTTCCACGATTTTGCTCTTCGCGAGGTCGAGGCACTCGAAAAATCACACAAGGGCTTGAACGCCAACGTCCTCAAGGTGAAGATCCTGCTGCAGCAGGGAGAAAATGTAAAAGCCGTCAAGCTGATGCATTCCGCGATTAAGGAGCATTCGCGTGACGGGCTAATGCTTCTCGAGCAGGCGCGGTTTCTCAATGGCCAGAACAGAGCGGATCTGGCCCTGGCATCTGCGCAGCGGGCCGTCGAGTGTCTTCCCACAGAATTTGAATGCTGGAAGACGCTCATCCACTCTCACATTCTAAACAAGGACTTCCACAACGCTCTGTTGGCCCTCAACTCCTGCCCCATGTACACGAACAAGAAGAAAGACGTTTTCAAAGCATTAAAGCCAAGGGAGTTTGAGTTCCCGCTGCCGTCTGAGGGAAAACTGGAACGAGTTTGGGAGGATACGGAGACATTTGGCTGGGTGTCTGGCTACGGCGGGATCGTGGAGTTTTCGCCCGTGGCACACATTCAGAGTGTTTCGCAATCGCACCTCGCTCTTTACGACGACGTCAACAAGCTCCACAGCACTTTTCGCGAGGCGTACGATCTTCTGGCAATCATGGAACGGGCTTTGGGGTGGTCTGAGATTCTGAGGCTGCGCTCAAGCATTTTTGTGATGGAAACAGAGTACAACGACTCACTGCAGATGGAGCAACAGGAGCAGCAGCGCCAATGGGAGCAGATGTCTCAGGGAGATGACAACTCGCTCCAAGTGCCTCCTGAGCGGCGCAGCCGTTCGAGATCTATCCGTTCTCGGAACGGTTCTGTCTCGTCGAACTCGCACGTTTCGAAGTTCCGGGGAAAGAGACTCAGCGAACGCTGGCTGGATTCCCTGTTTCTGATTCTCTACGATAACTTGAAATCTGTGCTGATCTGGGAGAATGAAAAAATGAGCAGCGACGAAACCCCGGTCCAGCACATCGCTCTTGAATGGGAGCTGATCGCCATGGAGTGCCAATATATTCACAGGTACGAGGCGTCGCTGGTGCCGTACAAAACGTCCTTTGACAATCGGTTCAGCGTTTTCGCAGCATATACGCTTCTGGAGTACTATCTGTACTACACGGAGCATAATACAGAGTTTGTGAAGCTTAACGGCATCAAGTCCGAAAATTACAAAATCACAGACGAGTATGTTCTGAGGGTGTGTTGCAAGCTCATGAGCTGGAACTTCCGTTTCTACGGAGAGTTCTCGTACGTGTGTCTCCAGGTGCTACAGAAGCTATTGCAAACGCAGGACGCTATTCTGATAAAGGATCAAGTGAAAGGATTGTTCGATTACGATCCAAACAAGCAGGGACTGGTGTCTCTTGTGGACAGAAACCTGCGGTGGCTGGATCAGTTCGAGGACATCGACGTATAGTGTAGACATGTAAAAGGAGAGCACCGCCTGGAATTGAGGCAAAAAATTTTGGCTCCGTTTTACCCGGATTTTCGGAGGTCGACGACAAGTAAAAAAGGTTGGTTGTCTGGCGAAAAACACAAGAGGAGATTTATTTCACCAATATAGGAGCCAGCACGACAAGCCTGAACAACATCAAGGCGAGCCGACTTGGTTTATCCCACGCACAGATAGAGCAACAGAATTGGTTTTTTGCAGTGGCAAAAGAAAAAGCCAATCTGAGATTGGGAGATATATAAAGTAGTGGATCAGGAGCTTTGGGGTTGCTACATTAACTTGCATTTTTCATTTTCGTTATAGCATCTTGGTTTAGGGTTATACACCAGTCATAATAGGAGGCCCAGCATGTCCGGGTTTTGGAAGTTCACAAGTAACTATGCTTCTCGCGTGACTAAGATCCTAGAACAACCTGATTTCACGCTCGAGGACCTCTTGGACGAGCAGGAGACCATTCCGGAGCTTTTGGCCTCAAACGCCAAGCTCGTGGAATATTTGCGAGAGCCGGAAGTGATGGAGAAGCTGGTGGACTACATTGTTGACGACGACAAATACCAGCGAGAATTGGAAAAGGAGATAGAAGGTGGTGCAGACACGAAAGAGGAGACGGCTCTCCAGGGTGCGACTGCGGGTAAAGAGGAAGAATGTGAGCAGGAGCACGATAGTGATTCGGGAAGTGATTCTGAATCCGAGTCAGTAGAGAAAGACGACACCAAGGACGACGACCAATTAGGCGACGACGATACCGAATCTTTCGGAGAAATTAATATGGACGATGAAGAGGAAGAAGAAGAAGAGGAGACGCCTGCCGAGAGACATTCCAGAAGAGCACAGGTTGCGGCAGAAATACTGTCGGTGGACGTCTGGTCATTGACTGATGCGTTCATGGAAACTCCGCATTTAATAGAGAGGTTGTGGAGTATCCTGGACAAGCCTGCCCCGCTGCCTATATTCCTGGCAACTTATTTCATGAAGATTAACGAGCATCTGCTGGACATGAAAATGGACGAAATGATACAATTTATTCTGCAAGACTCCCATCTGATAGAAAGATTCATGAGACATATTGACACACCTCCTCTGATGGATTTTCTTCTCAAAGTAATCTCTACAGACAAGCCAGATTCGAGTACTGGTGTCATTGAGGTGCTGAAGGATCAAGACTTAATACCCTCCTTGATAAGATTCTTAGGACCAGACGTGCCCTCCTCCACTCAAAGCGCTGCTGGTGACTTCCTCAAAGCGTTCATCACAATATCGGCCAACAATGCTGAAAACACTACGATTGGACCGAACGAGCTCACCAGGCAGCTCGTGAGCGAACCAATGGTGAGAGAATTGGCAAAACAAATGCTTTGCGGAGGAACTGGATTATCTAATGGGGTGGGAATCGTTATTGAGATTATTAGGAAGAACAACTCAGATTACGATGCGATACCTGTGGTTTACATCACCATCGAATCACATCCTCCGACTCCTAGGGACCCAATCTATCTTGGCTCCTTGGTGAAAGTGTTTGCCGAGTACATGACTCAATTCACGGAGATGTTGGAAAGGAAAGTTGACAAAGTTTTAGAGACTCCTTTTGGTCAGATAGAACCGCTTGGATTTGAGCGTTTCAAGATTTGTGAACTGGTTGCAGAGTTGATCCACTGTTCTAATATGGCATTGCTTAATCATGAGAAGAGTGAAGAGATTGTGCGCGAGCGAGACTTGGCCAGAGAAATACTCATTCAGAAGCAAAAAGAACTGAGAAACAATGAGGACCAAGGGTCCGATGATGAAGTGGACATCTCTAGAGAGGTTCAGAATCTTAATCTTGGAGTATCAGAAAATGACGATGGTAAGGATGAGACAAATGAAACCAATTACGATGAAACGAATGAAGGAAGTCGCTTTGACGAGAATGAGGAGACTCTTAATCCTGACGATTATGACGAGAACGAGCAAGCACTCAGAAATAATCCAGTTGTTGGAGATCAACTGAAAATCGCTCTCTACGATAATAATGTTATTGTCACGATATTGCAAATGTTTTTCAGATTCCCTTGGAACAATTTTTTGCACAATGTTGTTTTCGACATTGTGCAGCAGATACTGAACGCCTCGATGGACATCGGATACAACAGGTATCTTGCAATTGACCTCTTTGACCGAGGAAACATTACCAAGCTAATTATTGACGGGCATAATAAGTGTCTGGACTACGAAGAGCAGACGGATCTGCGTCTTGGATACATGGGACACCTGACCTTGATTGCTGAGGAGGTGGTGAAATTCACCTCTCTGCATTTGCCTAGCGGCAAGGCCTCAATTATTGAAGAGAGTGTCATGAATCCAGAGTGGACGCATTATGTTAATGAGACCCTCGTGGAAACAAGAAACAAATACAATGCCGTTTTAGGCAATGACGAGGAACAGGATGAAGAAGACTACCCACAGCACCGTCAGTTGCATCTTGATCCCGATCAAGATCATGATCTGTCGCTGTACCAGCGTGACTACCGCATTGATGCTGAAGACTTGGACGAGAAGAACGAGGAGCAGGAGCTGGACTCGGATCAATTTTCGCGATATATCACACAGCAGATGACCAGTAACGTGCAGGACAAGTTTGGATCGTCTGACGAGGATTCCGAAGACGAAGACGGCCAACCAAGTGGCTCTGATTCTGCGTACGACAAAAATTTGGTGAGTTCCTCCATTGGAGGCCATCCTTACCACCAGATGAGTGCTGATGAAGGACCCATCCAGGATGACGATGAGTACGATGAAGACGATTATGAGGATCCGAACGATGACGGACAGTCGTACGTGAAGGAGAATCATCCATTATACCAGGCCGATGGATCGCTCAACTACCAAATCGGGACCCCTGGAGTGAGCGAGCTCCCGATGTCTGATTCGGATTCTGACAACGAGGATCTTATTGGCCAAGGTCACGATAACGAAGTTGATGACTCTGACTATGCTGAAACGCACCACCTTGGGCGTTTTACTAGTAGGTTTGAATAGAGAGAAATAAAATCCCAGCATAAAAAAAAAGTTCTTTAATCCCAACATAGCCCAGCATGTCTTCTCCTTCCTGGATAGTCAATTATAATATTATATCCGGTGCATTGTGGTCCTTCGTGCTGGTTAACACTCTGCTGGTTGCAGTTCTGTACTCAGGCTACGAGGTTTTTGATCTGACGTCCACCTGGAATACGCTCATTCAATGCTGCGCTGTAGTGGAGATCTACAACTCTGCAGTGGGCAATGTGCGTTCACCTCTGGTCACTACAGTGATGCAAGTGGCTTCCCGTTTGCTGCTTGTAATTGGCATCTTCACAATTCTTCCGGATTCTCCCGCAAACGCTCATTGGTCGTACATCACGATGATCACCGCGTGGGCCATCAGTGAGATTATCCGGTACTATTACTATGCGGTCAACATCCTGAGCGAGGGCAACCCGCCTGCCATTCTGAAGTGGCTGCGCTACAACGCTTTTTTGATTCTGTATCCGGTTGGCATCTCCAGTGAGTGCACTATGATCTACAAGAGCCTGGACGAGGCTGCGTTGGCGGTCGGAGAGTGGTACAAGTGGTTTCTCATTGCGTGCTTGGCTGTGTACGTTCCTGGCTCGTATGTGATGTACACCCACATGCTCAAGCAAAGAAGAAAGGAAAACAAAAAACAGGCTGCGAAGACTGAAAAGAAGAGGGAGTAAATAAGTTGGTTGATATATAGCTGGGATATTTTTCACTAAAATTTTTTACTCCATGTTGAACCGACTGGTGATTAACTTGGCTAGACCGGGATTCGCAGCCGGCATATCGCGCCGGTTCCAGTCTACGGTGCCCGACCTTACTCCGCTCAAGTACGAACAGAACCTGTACGCATCGTTGCGCGTCCACAACAGACCGTATCTGGTGACCAAAGGCGACGAGATGATTCTTCCGTTCCGCCTAAAGAACGCCGAGGTGGGCGACGTGCTCAACTTTCACGACGTGACTACCATCGGATCGCGCAACTACACCTACAACGTTTCCGGCTCCATCGACCCTAGCATTTTCACCATCAAGGCCGTCGTGGTGGAAAAGACCAAGAAACCGATGTACGTGAAGGAAATCACTAAGCGCAGAAACAGACACACGAGGCACGTCAAGGTGAAACACGACTACACCGTTCTGCGCGTGTCGGAGCTCAAGCTGAACATATAACGTGTATATAGTAATCGACGATCAACCTCTTCTCACGTATACACCCTTACACCGCGCTTTCAGAAACATCCAAATAGTTCTATCTTGACTTTTTAGGCACAGACGAAACTTGTTCGTTATGTCTAACAAAGGGGATCGGCTGCCACGGTTCCTGTACGACCAGATCCCGAGCGAGATCACAAACTCGGGCGCCCTGAACAGCGAGATCAAGTCGTCCAAAGACTCCCCGTATTCCACTGCTGTACCCAGTAGGCCTCCCAAGACACAGAGTCGTCCTCCCTCCTCGCTGACCCTCGATACCTCTGTGAGCCGAGTTGCGGCCGCCCATATTCCTGTCAAAGTTTCCAAAGATGCGCAGTCGCTCGAGGTGCCCACATCAGAGAGCAATCCGGGAAACTCTCCTTTGTATGGGAATGTTAACGAGAAGCTGTCCACCATTTTAAGTGCACCTGAGGAGCCTGATGGCAACGAGTTTTCCTTTGAGACCTCACATCCGGAGCAATCACCGCTACGTGTTTCGAGGCGGATATCGCGCGGATTTCACTCAAACTCGTCGTCTGTGTCCTGGTCCGTGAATAATCCTGAGGAGTGGACTCTGGAGAATGTTGTTTTCTGGTTGTCCACCAACGGTTTCAACGAGAGCTGGATCTCGCTGTTCACCTCAGAAAGACTTATAAAGCACGATTTCCTCAAGCTCCAGTCCTACAATGAGCTTAAAAAGTATGTGCCGTTCTTGGTGGCAGACGAAAATTCCACCCCTACTCGCTTTATTCAGCTACTAAGAAAAACGCTGGGCAAGAATTCGGTGTCAAAACTAGAGTTTCCCAGTCCGTCAATTTCGCTTGTTTCTGGGTCTTCAGTAGACTCTTCTCTGGAGGAGCAGGACCATCAAGCGATAGGAGACAAACTGCAGCCCGTGGTATCTGCTCCTCCGCTGGCTGCAGACGACCTACAAAACAACGACATGTTCTCAGGGGATGACGACGAGTCTCAGAGACCGCGGCCTGTGTCGACCATCGAGCCGTCGACGACTCAATTTTATCCCTCCTCGCCGTCGTTCCACTCCAAGGCTTTTTTCAAACGACACCAAAAAAGCAGCTCGTCGGAGTTGTCTTTCTTCTCGTCAGTGTTCGGCAATAATCCAGCCGGTGTGCCTCCTGCTTCTGCTGCTCAGCAGCAAAACACTTCAGCGGTGGAGTCGTTTCAGAAGAAGCACGAGAGAACAGGCTCCAAGGGCTCTATTTCCGACTCGAGCACGCCTAAGAATATCTTCAATAAGTTTTTTGGCAAATCCAAGGCTGAGTATGCTTTTCCAAAGAAGGATTCTCCAGTGAGTCCCTCGTCTGCCAACGGGACCTTCAAGAAACCGCTAGATCGCAAAGCCACGCACGAAAAGTCTTTCACGGTCTCGAAAAATAAGCCAAGTGACCCAAAGTTTGAGAAATTGGGGCCAGTTGGCAAGAAACCGTCGCCGATCGGAGTCACGATCCCAGTGGTCACCAAGTCCACTTTACACTCAAAAGACTCGTTTTGGTCGTCGACGTCGACGCTCGCTCCGCCTACCAAATCGTCGTTTGTTCTGGATCAAAAATTCAGGCCTGTCCCGCGCAACAACCGCGACGTGTTTGTCCTGGCATCCCGTGACAACGTCAATTTTACCAGGGTCGACGTGATGAACTGCACCCATGTTGACGAGTTGAAACGCAAGATTGCCGACGCACTGAATATCAAGTTTCTGTTCAAAGCAGAGTTTGCTCTCACAGGTTTCAACAGCGACCCGGGACAGCCGCTGGATGACGAGACGTTGGATGAGCTTATGAAACGTAAGTTTTTTGGCGAAACCATGAAAATCCTGGTCACTCAGAAGGGTCTGGAACGGTACGCAAGCACGCTCTCTGCCTACTCTTCGCAGTCGTTGACGAGCGACAACTCACTGGACCGAATCAACGAGACTCCGCAGTATTTGCTCGAGGCAACCAAGAGCGTTGGTGTCGACTACGTGAACTTTAAGGAGTACATGAGCCAAGAAAATAACAAAATGGCGTTTGTTGAGCCGAAGCGGTCGACAAGCTCCTCCCTCACAAGGGCTCGGTCCATCACAACGACATCGAACCCGGACCCGGCCACGTTCAGGGTGATTCGTCCTGAAAAGCGCGAGATCGATTTCGACAAGAAGCGCGAGTCGCCGTTCGTTCGTCGCGACAGTCTTGTGGCTCGCCGCACGGCTCCTGCACCACCTGTCCAGGAACCACCTCCAAGCTCTGGCACTTCACCAGCTAACGCAAAAAACAGAAAGCCGCCGCCTCCGCTGCCAGAAACACATGGCGAGAAAAACAGTATATCCAGAGCGAAGACTATAAAACGCAGCGGAACGCAAAAAACTCTTTTTGATCCGTTCAAAGAAAACACTGTCAGCTTCGAAAACGCTCCTGAACTCGAGGAAAGCGACGACGCTTCATCGCTAGACTCGGACGATGGACTCTTTGCAAAGGCTCCGTCCAAGAACTCAAACCAGAGCGTCAAAGTGCCGACCAACATCAGCTCTTCGTCCACAGACTCTCCGCTGGAAATCCGCCCTCCTCCTGAGGTGTTGTACGACAATCTTGAGATTTACTTCCCGAACACAGATCTTGACAAGCTGATTATCGACGAGGTTGTGTCGCCTCCAGTTTCGCCGGTCGCAGAGGAGAAGCAGCCTGTGAAACCAGACTACTCTGGTCATCTCAAGGCCCCTGAGCCGTCTGGAAAAATCCACCGTATGAAGAGCATCCGTATTGTTGCCCAGGAGGCAAAGAAGGAAGCCCAGAAAAAGCTAGGAAACAATCGTTCCTCCGGCAGCCTGCTCAGACGTACAAGTACAAAGATGTGGGGACAGAAGGTGGTAGAGGTTACGCCTGGTAACCGTGCAAGCTACGTGAACAAGTTGAAGAATCACAAGGGCCAATATAAAGAGTTTGCATGGGTGAAGGGAGAGCTGATTGGAGTTGGAACGTTTGGAAAAGTGTATCTCGCACTGAACGTCACGACCGGAGAGATGATAGCCGTCAAACAGACGGTGATTTCCAGCAGGTTCAGGTCTAGCAGAGAAACGAAGGAAATCATGGACACGTTCCATGCGGAGGTGGATTCTCTCAAGGACCTAGACCACGTGAATATTGTCCAATATCTGGGTTTCGAAAAGAAAGATAACGTCTACAGTTTGTTCTTAGAATATGTTTCTGGAGGCTCGGTGGGACATCTGATAAGACGCTACGGCCGCTTCTCGGAGGATCTCATCAAGTTCTTGACAGAGCAGGTGTTGCAGGGGTTGCAATATATCCATTCCAAGGGGATTTTGCATCGTGATTTGAAGGCAGATAACTTGTTACTGGAAATGGACGGTATTTGCAAAATCAGTGATTTTGGTATCAGCAAAAAAGCCAAGGATATCTACACTAACGAGTCAGCAATGTCCTTCCAAGGAACTATTTTCTGGATGGCTCCTGAGATCATAGATAACACACAGCATAAGGGCTACAGTGCGAAGGTCGATATCTGGTCTCTAGGATGTGTGGTGCTGGAAATGTATGCGGGACAACGGCCTTGGTCCGATTTTGCTATTGCAGGTGCAATCTTCAAGCTCGGAAACAAGAGCGCTCCGCCGATTCCTGAAGAAACACGCAAGATTATGAGCAATACAGGCTCTGCTTTCCTGGACCGATGTTTCGTGACAGACCCTGAACAACGTCCTACAGCCACTGAACTTCTCAAACACGAGTTCTGCGAGAAAGACGAAACATTCAATTTTGCGGAAACAGAGCTGGCGCGCAAAATGAAGCACGAGGATACCCAGGAAAAGAAGAAAGCTGATATGATGATGCAGAGCAAGGCGGTGTAACTATTATGCAAAGAATCTCTAGAATCTAAAAAAATTCAGAAAAATTACAAAAAAATTGCAAAATTATTGTAGATCATCCCCATGGCAAAGGTCAAAAAGAAGCACACGCGGGAGGAGCAGAAGAGGATGGCTGCTCTTGCAGCGAAGGAGCTGGAGCAGCTGAAGCAACAAATTGAGGATTTGCCTCTTGATCATGCAAAGTCGTTCACGAAGTTCGATGAACTACCACTCACTAAAAATACGCTTCGAGGAGTGAAGGAGAGCAGTTATGTCACAATGACTGACATACAGCGCGATTCGATTCCTCTTGCCTTGAAAGGGCATGATATTCTGGGCGCTGCAAAGACGGGGTCGGGCAAAACGCTTGCCTTTTTGATCCCAGTGATTGAAAAGCTTGTGCATGAGAATTGGAACGAGTTCGATGGAGTGGGAGCGTTGATTATTTCCCCGACCAGAGAGCTCGCCATGCAGATTTACGAGGTGCTACTGAAGATTGGAAAATATCACAGCTTTTCGGCGGGACTGGTGATTGGAGGGAAAGATTATGAATTCGAGAAGGAGAGAATTGGGAAGATGAATATACTGATAGGTACCCCTGGGCGTCTTTTGCAGCACATGGACCAGTCCGCCACGCTTAATCTTACTAACTTACAAATTCTTGTTCTTGACGAAGCCGATAGAATTCTTGATCTTGGCTTCAAGAAGACGGTGGACGATATTATCAGCAATCTGCCACCAGAGCGCCAGTCCCTTCTATTTTCCGCTACGCAGACCAAATCAGTGCAGGACCTGGCTCGCCTTTCTCTTGTAAACCCAGAATACGTGAACACGAGCTCCGACACGAGCTCCACTCCCGAATCACTAGAACAATCTTACGTGGTGATACGGCTTCAGGACAAGCTGGATATTCTATGGAGTTTCATCAAGTCGCATCTTGATAGCAAAATTTTAGTGTTTGTTTCGTCTTCAAAACAGGTGCATTTCATCTACGAGGCTTTTCGGAAGCTGCAACCGGGAATCTCACTCATGAAGCTGCATGGACGGCAGAAGCAAAAGGCTAGAATGGAGACCACATTCAAGTTTTCAGAAAGCCGTCATTGTTGTCTCTTTGCGACAGACGTGGTTGCGCGTGGACTCGACTTTCCCGCCATTGATTGGGTGGTCCAGCTGGACTGTCCCGAAGACGTGGCTACATATATTCATCGTGTTGGCCGGTCGGCAAGGGCAGGTCGTGCCGGAAAGTCTCTGCTGATGCTGACTCCCAGCGAAGAGGGGCCTTTTGTGAAGAGACTGGAGAGCAAGAAGATTGTTCCAAAGAAGCTCAACATCCGCAATTCAAAGAAGAAAAGTATCCGCGACCAGATTCAGTCTCTGTGCTTCAAAAGCCCGGATCTGAAATATTTGGGCCAAAAGGCTTTCATTTCGTACGTCAAGTCTGTGTACATACAGAAGGATAAGGAGGTGTTCGACGTGAAGCAGCTTCCTCTGGACGAGTTTGCCAAGTCTCTGGGACTGCCTGGCACGCCGAAAATTAAGATGGTTGGAGGAGAAGAGGAGCTCGCGAAGCAGAAACAGAAAAAGAACGCGTCGCGTCAGCTTAGCTTGCTGGCCAAAGCGGATGAGAATGGTGAGGTGGAGGCCAAGAAAACGAGAACGAAGTACGACAAGATGTTTGAGCGGCAGAATCAGGGTGTCCTTTCGGAACATTATCTGAAACTGAACGTGGATGCACAGACCGAGCAAGATGACGATTTTCTGGCAGTTAAACGAAAAGACCACGAGCTGCAGGATCTGCCCCCTTTGGAGGCGAACACTTCTAAGCGGGCCATAAAGAGAGCATTGTCAAAGAAGCTGGCTGCCAGAACTCGTGGATCGGGCACGAAGCTGGTGTTCGACGACGACGGAAAAGCGCACCCGATTTACGAGCTGGAGGATGAGGAGGAATTCCACAAGGAGGGCCCGGTAGAAAAGCTGAAGGAGGAGTTTGTCAACGAGGAGAAGAAAGCAATGGAGGCTGCCGACGTGGAAGACAAGGACATAGTAAAGAGAAAACGGAGAGAAAAAAAGATCAGAAGAAAGGAGCTGGAGAAAATGGAGCTGGAGCAAGACTACAGCGACAGCGAGCCAGATTTGGAGGCAGACCTGGAGTATTCGAGCGAGAGCGAGCACGAACGGCCAGCAAAGAAGCCGAAATGGTTCGAGAAGCACGAGCCAAAGACAGAGAGGGAGCCGGAGGTGATAGAGTACGAACAGCCAGAGACCTTGGAGGATCTGGAGGCATTGACAGAGAAACTGATTCACGGAGAATAAATGGCGTATATAGGTCTAACTTTCTCCTAAATCTAGACAGACGTCGAGTAACCATACGCGTAACCCGCCTTTCTGCGTCTGAGGTACTTGCGGACCTCGTCCACGATCCAGACGGAACTAGCGATCATGACGAGGTCTGCGAGGTCGCTGAAGCTGAGCGCCTCGGTTTGGAAAATCGACTGGAAGAACGGCACGTAGATGGCACACAGCTGGCCGAGTAGCGAGCCGCCAACGGCATAATTGAACATGGAGTTTCTAAGGCCGAGCTGGAACACAGACTTGGTGTACGAACGGCACGAGAGAGCATTGAACATGTCAAAGAGAACAAAGCACGTGAACGTCATCGTGGTGTCACGTCTCGTGACAGAATCCTTCATTTCCCGGACGTAGACGTACATGGTTCCAACAATGATGCAGAAAGCGGCGCCCAAGACTCTTTTTAACACAGCAGCGGTCAGGATCCTCTCGGACCTTGGTCTAGGTGGCTTGTTCATGACCTCCTGGTCCACAGGCTCGACACCGAGCGACTGTGCAGGAGGACCGTCCATTAGAATGTTGATCCATAGGATCTGCATGGCGTTGAGAGGATTAGGCAGGTTGAAGAGCGTGGAAACGGCAATCAGAGAAAGAGCAGCCACAGAGGTCGACAGCTGGAATGTGAGAAAGTTCTGGATGTTGTTGAAAATGCCCTTTCCTTCTCTTATGGCGTGCAGAATCGTGCTGAAGTCGTCGTCGGTCAAAACCATGTCTGCAGCCTCCTTGGCAACATCTGTGCCGTTTTTACCCATGGCAATTCCAATGTCGGCAAGCTTGAGCGCAGGAGCGTCATTCACGCCGTCTCCGGTCATGGCCACAATGTCGCCGCGCATTTGCAACGCACGGACAATGGACACCTTGTGTTCTGGAGTCGTTCTGGCAAACACAGACACGGACTGGATTGCGTCCGCCAGGTCCTCCTCAGACATCGAGTCGATCTTCTCTCCGTTAAGGACGCTGCGCTCCGGGTCGCTCAGCGGCATGCCGATCTTGCGCGCGATGTTGGTTGCAGTGACCTCGCTGTCGCCCGTGATCATGATCACGTGGACGCCTCCTCTGATGAGCGAGGCAATCGCCTGGCTCACCTGCGGACGAGGTGGGTCGTTCATTCCCATGAGGCCGCAGAAAACAAGGTCGGACGGCTCCTTGTCGAAGGCCTTTGAGTTTCTGGCAAATCCAAGCACACGCAGCCCGTCGCAGGCCAGCTCGTCGGCCATCTTGAAGATTAGTTTTGTCACCTCCTCTGTGAGCGGTTTGATCTCACCGTCCCTCGTGTAGTACCTTTTAGACATTCCCACAATTTTTTCGATAGCACCTTTTGCAAACGTCTCGCTCTTGGCCTTGTCACCAAAGTGCGACGAGATCGCCATATATTTGCGGCTAGAGCTGAACGGCAACTCATTCGAGCGGACTCTCGTATTTCGCAGATCTTCCATTCCAAACTTGGACAGAGACTCAATGATAGCGATGTCGGTAGGGTTGCCAAGATATTTCTCCTTTTCGACCGAGTACTTGGCGTTGTTGCACAGGTTTCCCGTCTCGAGCATGCATTTCACGTCTTTGGTCAGGCTAGCAGACACGTCTTTTTTTTCCAGGTTCACGTAGGACGTTTTCATGTCGACGGTCCAGACCTTGCTGATAGTCATGTGGTTTTGTGTCAGAGTTCCTGTTTTGTCCGAGCAGATGACGTTGACCGAGCCCAGGGTCTCGACGCTGGGCAGCTTCTTGACGATTGCGCGCTGTTTAGCCATTCTGAGCACGCCCAGCGCAAGAGTCACGGCGACGATGATTGGCAGACCTTCCGGAATAGCAGCAACAGCCAGACTGACACTGATTTGGAACATGTCGAGCCACGACCGGCCTTCAATCACGCCAATGATACCAATGGTGCCAATAATCGCAAAACTGAAAAAAGAGAGCTGTTGGCCCAACTTGCCCATCGCGTTCTGCAGCGGCGTCTTGGGCTTCTCGATAGACGACAGCATAGAGTGCACCCCGCCAAGAGCAGTCTTGTGACTCGTGGCAATGACGATTCCTGACCCGTGGCCGTCTCTGACCAGCGTTCCCATGAACGCGATGTTGGTTCTCTCTCCAATGCTAGGCATAGGTTTGGTCACCACGTCCAGATTCTTGGAGATCGGATTCGTCTCACCGGTGAGATTGCTTTCGTCAATGGTCAGGTGGACAGCCTCTGTGAGTCTGACGTCCGCAGGGATCCGGTCACCGACCTGGAAATGCACCAGGTCGCCCGGAACCAGCGTTGAGGCCATCACCGTCTCTGTGGTGCCGTTTCTCGTCAGATGCGCCTGTTCTGGAACGAGCCTGTTCAGTGCCTCCAAACTCTTCTCCGAACGGTACTCCTGGACAAACCCGACAGTCACAACGATCAACACAGCGGCAGTGATACTGATGGCGTCGTCCAGATTGCCCATGTAAAAACTAATGCCAGCAGATCCGATCAGCAGCAGGATCATCGGATCGCCGTAGAAGGTCGACACAAATTTGATAAACAGAGACTCCTCTTCTTCGTTCACCATCTCGTTGACTCCGTGAACAGATCGCCGGTACACAATATCGTTCTGATTGCACAGCCCCTTGCGCGCATCTGTGTCCAGTTCTCGCACGGTTTCCTCCACGGTCTTGCCGGCGTATCGCGTGGATAAACCGTCTTCAAACTGGTCCATTCGGGAGAGCTCGACTTCCGTAGTAGAGTCGGTCAGTTTGCTGGCGTAGGGATTATCCGAAGCCATTGAAGAACCTAAACAGATAAATATTTTTTCGTGCCGATTATATTTATAGAGGAAAAAGCCCGTGGCTGAAAAATACACGAAGTTTATTTTCCTAGTGCTGGCCCTTGAGATGCTCTTTTTGCACCGCAATGGTATTTTCGATCGGCCGTAGGAACAGCTTTTCACGTCGCTCGCTGCTGCCACTGATGGTCTCCCGCACCTTTGTAGATTGCCGCAATGCGCTTATGATGGAATCCTTGCTCTTAAGCTGCCGCTTGAGATCCGCAATTTCTTCGTCCTTGTCGCTAGAATTGCCCGCAACGCTGATCCCAGGCTTCATAACGCTCATCTGCCTCCTCAACTGGTTTTCCAGGTGCGAAATGTACGACTTCATCTCCTCGATCTGGCAGATCTGCATCTTGTACTGTCTTTCAAGACTGGCCACGATCTCTGAGAACCTGGGGTCCGAGACCTCGAACTGTAGCAACTGCTGCAAGTTTTCCTGACACTCCATTGCCGATTGGACGTTTTCTGTGTCATGTAGTCGCTTCAGATGCTCCAGCCTCTCGTTCAAGATTCGATTTTCTGCCGTCAGCTGGGCCACAGAGTCATCGTCCGAGCCGCTCCAAAAACGTTTTCCCACCTGCTCGCGCTTGAGGTCCTCGATCTCCTGTTTCTGGCGCTCGTTCTCGCGGACTAGCTGCTCGTATCGGTCTTTGTCTGTGTCCTGCTGCTCGTTCCTCCTCACATTCATTAGAATATTTTTCGCGCGCGCTGCAAAACGCAGCGTGTTGATTGTCTCTGATAATGTGCTGCTGGAAAGATGGATTGTGCACAGGATGGAGACTATGGACTCGCCGCTCAATGATGGCTGCAATAGTCTGGTCAATTTGGAGTCTCTGTACGGGATATGGTTGAAAGAGCCCTGCGACAGCTTCTGGATCACAGTGCTCAACGCGAGCAGCGACTTGTTGATGAACGCTCCCTCCTTGCGACGCTCACTCTGCGACGATGCCTTCTCCGAACCGGCAAGATCGCACAAACAGACCGTGGAGTGCCGCGTGCTGCTGTCCTGCTTCATCTCGACGCGCATCAGCAAAACAGCGTGCGACCGCGACGACCTGTCATTGAAATTCGTGCAACTTGTTTTCCTTGCCGAGTCTCCGCGCTCAAAAACCTCTATCAGCTCTTTCTCGCTGGCCACCCAGTGCTCGCTCAGTCCTACGACACGTATCCCAAAAGTCGGGTCGTCTCGTATTCTGAGGTCGTCCGTTGCGGGGCCATCAAAATTCAACAAATCTATCAGTTTCTCATTGTAAATCTCGAGGTAGGAACAACCCACCTTGAACGCATTGAACTCCGCGTTGAGTTTGCGAAACAGCTCTGTTGCACAAAGCTGAATGAGCCCATTTTCTGTCTCCGAACCCTGCATGGAATGCGTTTTTCCTGATCCCGTCATACCGTACGCAAAAACTGTCCCATTGTAACCCTGGAGACATTTCTCAAGTACAGGCTCTACCACGTCTCTGTAGATCTCGCTGTTGTCTGCGTCCGGCAGAAACACTTTGTCGTATTGAAATTCTCCTGCCTCGACGTTCGCTATTATGTTTCCCTGTTTGTTAATGTTCCAGCTTCCAGTTGAGCTCGCTGTTTCGCTCAAAGGACGGGGCCTCACAGATACTTTGATGGTTCCCTGGTAGGTCTGCGAACCAATCGATCCAAGCGAGCTACTGGCTCTTATTGGAGTGTTAATGTTCGACATTGAGGATCTGGAGCGCAGTCCGGACCCTGGACTGGCCAGCGATACACGGGGAGTCATGGGGCGACGCACGGTCGACGACGCTGCTGTTCGTGTCCTTGATAGCGACGAGGGAACTGGCGTTGAGGATCCCGCAGATCCCAGCGACGATCGGCTCCGTGTAGGGGTTTGTGCCCGCGTAGGCGTGTTGGTCATTCGTGGAGGACGAAAAGACATGGCTATAAAAGTTGAGATTTAAGTTTGTAAACAAAAATATTCCTATTTTGGCTGTTATTGATATTATTTTTTACACAGCCACAAGAGTCCATTCCGCAAGGTAGCAAGCAGTGCTGGCCACGTTTCGGACGACAAATGTGCGTCTGTTTTTGGCATGAAGGTCGTAAGCGACCTCGGCATCTATAAGCCCCACTCCCGTGCCCTTTCCAGCAGCAAGATTAAACGTAGCGCTCGTCGCGTAGCCAATAAGGTATTCTTTCCCAGGACACTCCAGACCAACAGGCACTGTCTTGCCCAATATCGTCCTTTTGCCCGCTTCCTCTAGCCAACGCAAATAGCTCTCTTCCGGAATGGCATAGATCCGAGCATTGTCCGCAGGATGGCCCCTGTTAACCATGCTAAACTTGACTGCTACCACAGACAGCTGGGACGACGCGGTGTCAGGCTGCTCCGACAGCCCGACCAGCTTGATGGGCAGCTGTGTGAAAACTGGCTTTCCCAGCGCGGTAATCAGCCTATCTTTCTCTTTCTGGTCTTCAATTGCCTCAAACACATCCTGTTTGTTCTTTATTACTCTCTCCTGTGTGATCGTGAATTCCGTCCCCGTATAGTCCTCGACTGGCGGCACTTGTTTCAGTTTCTGCCGCAACAGCTGCAAATAGCGCCAATCACAGCCAAACGGCGATCCCGGCTCGTCCAGCTTGTCGTAGTTGACTCGTTTGCTTTTGGGCCGCTTGGCCCAGCGTGCCTCCAGCTCCTCCGCTTTGGCCAGGCCTTCGACAAAACCTGCCCTCGTGAACGCGCAATCGGCAAAACTGAGCTCTCCTTTTTCGAACCGAAGCTGTGCAAGCTGCTTTAGTCCGCCAATCGCAAAATGCGGCGTGTGCGCCAGCTGGTGCCAGAACGGTAGCACCCAGTGCCACGGCGCCAGCAAAACAAATCCGCATTGCATTTTCACAAGCGCAATCGGGACGCTCGGGTCGGAATCGGCTTTGGGAGTTGGCCGCCCTACCAGGTCCGGCGTTCTTCGCCGTCCCAGCTGTTTTAGGGACGGCTGGCCGGCGTAAGACGCAACTCTACCCTCCACAGAGAAAAGGGCCTCCATCGTAGACACCTCTACACCAGCTCCGCTCTGCACCTGGATGATGGATTCCAGCGCGTCTGAGGGTTTGGCGTGGGGCTTGGTTGGCCGTGGCCACAGACGAGGGTCATCGGCAAAAAAGCTGAATGCGGATCCTAGAGGAATGGCTGAGCTGTTCAGCGTGGAAAGCTGACCAAATAGCTGGCTGGCTACCGTTTGGCTGGAGGGATGGATAATGGAGGCCAGCGAGCACAAGGCCTGCGGTCCGGTCACTGTGACTGACCCGATAGAGTATCTGCAGTCCTGAACTTCAATACTGTCTTTTTTGGAAAGAAGGTAGTCCATTACACGATCATAAACTGACGGGTGGATTCTTAACACGCACTCTTTTCCATTTTTAATCCACCAGACCATGGAATGGCACAGAAGCTCGTCGTCCACTTGGATGAATCCCTCCCATATCCTGCCGTTTTGAGCGTACTTTTTTCCTAAAGCTTTTCCATCGGTCAAAGTCCCGACGATCTCGCCCAATCCGTCTCCTTTCAAAACAATTGTAGTGTAAAAAGAAGTGTCGAAGCCAATGCAGCCCTTGGTCCTGCTTTGACGGCTGGTCTGGCGGAAACACTTCATGGTAGGTTCGTAGGCAATGTTCCAGCCCCAACGTTTTACCATGTGCGCTCTTTTCGCATGCCACACGTGGGTCGGAAGCCATTTGAACTCTCGTTGGCGAGTGATGTACCTGATGGTGGACACTTTGTCAATAGTTGCGCGCTCATTGATTCCCGTCCAGTCCACAGACCCACATACATTGTTCAGAGGCGGCTCCACCCGTTGCGAGAGCTCCTGTATCCTTTTGCGCAGCTCTTTCAACTTGGTTCTCATCTTGACGTTGCGCACATTAACACGCTCTCCGTCCACAAGGTGTCCGGAGAGTTTGAGTCGTGCTGCGTAGCGCAGAAGCTTTTCCTGTCGCCGCAGCCGGTATAGCTCCCTTCCGCGCGAGTGTTTGGCCTTCGACGGCCTGCCCTGTTTGTCCACACCCTTGGTTTCGTTCCCGTCCGGCTCCTTCATCAAGAGACCCATCTCCCGCAATGCGCGGGTCCTCAAGCGTTTTGGCACTCTCCGTACATTGTGACTCGCTGTTCTTCTGCGCAGGGATCTCGGCAAGCTCTGGAACACCCTCGTTGCGCTTGAGTAACGCGATCTGAGCTTGGAAAGCTCAAATTCTTTGATTTCGAACTCTCTAGACTGGACAAATTTTTCCACGTCTAGTTTCGCACTGACCCCGGTGACAGGGTCCTGTGCTGCTGTGAATGCCGGATCGGCAACTTCTGCACGTATAAGTCGCGAATTGTACAGTTTTGCCCGCCGTTGGTTGAAATCTGCCATACAGGAATTTATGGAATTTTTTTTCGTATTATTTATTCTACCCATCGTGGCCATGCCAGGCAAATTCATTCGTTAATTGGAGGAGTCTGGAACTTGGCTACCTTCAATTCCGTTCTATTAATCGTCATTAGTTTGCTGAACTTCTCATACTTGTCGCACTGCTGCGCAAGGCTCTCGTTCTTTCTCTGAAGGACCTGTATCTGGTGCTGGAGCTGGCCTATCAGCTGGTTCTTGTCGAGATTGTCGCTTTCCAAAAATGCTATGCGCTCCATCAACTCGCCCAGCCGTACGTCCTCGTCGTCTCTGGAAGACTCAAGAATGCGCAGCTTCGATTCCAGGCCGTCGTTGATCACTTCTGTGTCTATGAGTCTTTTCTCCAGAGTTCGCACTTTCTCGTTCAGTTCGCTGGCCTGCGCTCTCTTTTCATCGTCTAAAAGTGCCACTTGTCGCGTGAGTTCGATATTATGGCGGTTGGCCGCGTCCAGTTGTTCTTCAAGCCTCCTGCTTCTGTCCTCTGCAGTCTGGGCCTGCCCGGTCAACCGCTCAACCTCGCCTTCCAGAAACTCTTCCAGCTCCTTGGACTCGCCTATATACGCATTGAATTCCTTCTCGAGGGCCAGTAGACGTTGCAGAAGCTCGTCCCTGTCTAAATCATTATATGTCTCCATTTGGGAAATTAATAAATAAAATAAAAAAACCTACATATTTAAATAATAAATAAATATTTCTTTCAAACGTTCATCTCCTTGATCACGCCCATGCGGATGGCCTGGTTGATGACACTCAACAGAGAGTTGAAACTGGCGGTGCTGACATCCTCGTTGATACCAACACCCCAAATCAGGTGCTGGTCGTCGACCTTACAGTTGATGTAAGCTGCTGCTTTGGAGTTCGAGTCAGAACCGAGAGAATGCTCGTGGTAGTTGATTACCTGGAACTTCGACTTGAATTGTGTGTTCAGACCGTTCACAAACGCAGAAATCGGTCCGTTTCCCTCTCCCAAAACTTTATACGAAATAGTTCCGTCGTAGTTCGACATGTCGACCACCAGCTGCCTGGTCTTATTGTCCTTGTTCCCGAGGTAGTAGTTGTCCAACTTGAACAAGTTTCCTGCCGGCTTGAGATTCTCGTTGTCATCATAGTTGTAAAGCAGATACTCGTTCTTGAACAGGTCCATGATCTCGTCTGCCTTGAGCTCTCTTCCCTTCTTCTCGGTAGCATCCTGGACCACTTTCGAGAAACTTATTTGCAGGCCACGAGGAAGATCGAGCTCCATGTTTCGCAAAATGATCCACGAGGCACCTCCCTTCCCAGACTGCGAATTGACACGAATGATGGCTTCGTAAGTTCTGCCGATGTCCTGTGGATCCAACGGAAGGTACGGAATCTGCCAGACGCCCTTGTTGTCCTTTCTTCTCTCGAAACCCTTCTTGATGGCGTCTTGATGAGAACCGGAAAATGCACAGACCACCAACTGTCCGCCGTAAGGGGCGCGAGCGTGCACAGGTATCTTGTTGCATTTTTCCACCACATCAATCACAGATTTCATATCTGAGAAGTCCAGCTTTGGATGAATACCCTGAGTGTAGAGGTTTAGGGCCAAAGTGACCAAATCGACATTGCCTGTCCGCTCTCCGTTTCCGAAAAGACATCCTTCGACTCTGTCGGCACCAGCAAGCTGTGCAAGCTCAGCCGCTCCAACGGCACACCCACGGTCGTTATGCGGGTGGAGAGACACACAGACAGCCTCTCTGTCGGATATGTGGGTGCAGAAATACTCAACCTGGTCCGCGTACACGTTTGGCGTCGACATTTCGACGGTGGCAGGTAGGTTGAAAATGATAGGGTTTTCTCTGCTCGGGCCCCATGCCGCCTTGACACTCTCACACACCTCCAAAACGTAGTCCGGGTCGCTATCGCTAAACGTTTCTGGCGAGAACTCGTACGACCATACTGTTCCTTGTTGCTTTGGATGGTCCTTAGTGAGACTTCTCACCAACTTGGTGCACTCCGTCGCAAGCTTCAACGTCTCTTCTTTCGACATACCGAAAACGACGTCACGGAAACAGTCAGAGGTGGCTAGATACAAGTGGACAATGGCATTTTTAGCTCCATAAAGCGACTCGACCGTGCGTCTGATCAGTTCTGGACGGCACGGAGAAAGAACCTGGATAGAGACGTCCTCGGGGGCATTTTGAACGCAATATCTGGTGAAATCGAAATCGATCTGCGAGGCTGACGGAAAAGCAACCTCAATTTCTTTGAAGCCAATGTCGAGCAGTTTCTGGAAATATATCTTTTTCTCCTCAACAGACATCGGATCGGGAAGAGACTGGTTCCCGTCTCTGAGGTCGGTGGAAAGCCAGCGTGGAGGTTTCTCGAACGTTCTATCTGGCCATTGTCTATTGGGAAGCTTCAAGGGCACAAACTTCTTGTATTTTTCAGAAGGATTGGCGAGCATGGTACAGTCTTAAGTCAAAAGTGAGATATTTTTTTTGTTCAATGACACATCTTGGTGAAATATTTTTTTTGTTCAATATGACACATCTTGTGTGGGGGAAACATCCGTGCACTGATAAATTTTCTTCCAGACCCAAATGCACTCTGTTACGGTCAAGTGTGAGTTCCTGTAAGTAGCAAGTGGAGACGTTCTAACTCCAGGGGCGGGCTCGACGTCATTTTCGGGGGAGTGCGCAAGAGCGAGTGCACGGTGGCTGCACAGGAGCCCCCGACCATCAGGGACCTGATGTATCATATTACCGAGACGCTGTTGGTGGATAAGAAAGATTTCGACGTGTTTGTGGAGGATGGCACAATCCGGCCGGGGATTTTGGTGCTGATCAACGACACAGACTGGGAGCTGGAGGGCGAGGACGAATATGTGCTTCAGGACGGTGACGTGGTCGCATTCACCAGTACGTTGCACGGGGGGTGAACCGGTTCATGAAACCACGTCCAACTTGCATCCCAGCAGGCCCTGGCCGGCCCACCTGGCCGGCACCAGCGTCAGTTGCGTGGGGGTGTTGTTTCTGAGCACAAGCACTTCGACAGGAACGTTTTCTGCGACAGCCCCGACTAATGCCTTTAGATTATTATGATTAGTAGCGTTAATTCTTCCAAATGAGAGCAGCAGGTCGCCGGCGCGTAGACCAGCTGTGTGTGCGGGGCTGTCCTGTGCGACGAGGGCGACCGAGGCGAACGGGATGCTGGATGGCTGGGACACCATGGCCGCACGGCTGAACGACTGCGCCAGCTTGGGCTGGAGGGCGTCGGAAACGAGGCGCCAATCGTTGCGGAGCCGGATGATCTGCGTGCGCAGGAGCCGGACCTGCACCACGTCGATGTCTGAGCGGGGAAAACCGTCGTCGGAGACCAGTGGGGTGTCCATGTCTGCGTTCTGGGCATAGAGACGAGCGTGGAGGGTGTCGATCTGGGCCTCGATGCGGGACCGCAAGCTGGCGAGCTGCGCAAGGTCCATGGCGGCGAGCGCGTCGGGCTCGGTGGACGGCACGACGTCCAAATTGAGGACGCTCATGGCGTGTTCAAAGGACATGGCACAAAGATCGACGCAAAAAAATAGAGGACGATTTACAAAGGTTGGTGCAATTTAAATTTTTCTCGACGAAAAAAAGAACAAGCCCGTCTAACTATGAAGCTGCTGTCAATACTCGTGTCCCTAGCCGTTGTCATCTCGGGAGCCGTCGCAGAGCCTGCCGCAAAGCCGGAAATTGCCAAGGGCGACTTCAAGCCGACCGAAGAAAAGCCTTTTGATCTAAGAGTTGAGTATCTTATCAAGGATAAACAAACCTCGCCTACAGAGCTCATCGACGTGGAAAACGGCGAGACCATCACGATTGACTACCAGTTCTACAACGGAGAGGAGGAAGAGTGCACGATTCTGGGTGTGGGAGGCAAGTTGATCTCGCCCGTCACCGGCGACACGCTGTTCAACATCACCGCAACCAATATCGGGCCATTGTCGGTGGGCAGCCAGGACGTTGTGTCGTTCTCGCAGAAGATCGGCATCGACCTGAACCCGGACTCGTACCTGGTTGTTCCGTCGATCTTTGTTGTGTTCAAGGAGCAGATCATGATGCTTGGCTCGAGAAACCAGCTCATCCAGGTCGACGACCCTAAGATCTCCATTTTCAACCCCAAGTTGCTAGTTCTGGAGATTATCCTAGCGGCGTCTGTCGGGGGCATTTTGTACCTCCTGTACTCGCTATTTGGCGCCAACTACTTCAGCACTGTCAAGAAGGACGCCAAAAAACAGAAGCTGCCGGCTGCCAAGCCGTCCAAACCGGCTCCTGCCAAGGTCGACGAGTCTTGGCTGCCGGAGACCCATCTCAAGACCAAGCGCAGAAGCACCAGAAAGAACTAGACTAATAAATGTATTTAGTAACTATGCGTTCAACCCCAGCTCCTCCAATATCCTGTCCACTGCCATAATGTCCTGCTCGTACTGCCGCACGCGCTCCAGGTATTCGTCGTTCTCGACACGGGCCATCGTCGGGTTCAGCGTCCCGCCGTCCTGGTCGATCGCGTGCTTTTTCGCCAGATAGAACCGGATATCGTCGATCAGCTCGATCGTGTCGAACTCCTGCCGCGCGTTAATCCGTCGCGACGACTCCAGGATGATATCGCGGAACTGCGGGTCCGCGCAGAACTTGTCTAGGTCCTGCGCTATCAAATAGGCGACACGGTCCTCGAGCCGGTGCACCTTGAACTCCCACGCCGCGCGCAGCACGTCGTAGACGGAGATCGACACTGTCGAGAAGTCCTCGATCGACGACAGACTGATCGCGGCGATCGTCTTGAGCCGGTCGATGAATAGTGCATCCGCAAGTACGAGCGTCTCCATTGCAAACTGCGGTGGCACGTCTGCCTCGTCAAAATATAAATATCTCAGCAGAATTTCCACCGTTTGTTCGGAGATCTCCAGCATGTCCGACGACGGCAGGGAGATTTCAGCGATCGCGTCTGCTTGGGCATACAGACGATCCAGGTCGACGACGCCATCCTCCTCGAGCTCGGCAAACACAGCCGTATCGTGGAATCCTGACCCGAACAGCGTGAGGTAGTATTCTGCCCTGGAAAAAATAGCCCTGTGCACGGCGTAATGCAGGGTCCTGGACCCGGCGTGCACGCGGAAAACCAGGTCTGCGTGCCACGGAGCCACAAGCGCGCGTTTCTCGGCCGCCGTGAGCCGCCCATCTTTGGCGATCTTGTCGGAGACAATCCCGTCCACCAGAACTTTGAGTTTTTGCCGCGCCGTCTCGTACATGGTGTGTTGCACCGTGTTTTTGGTTTTGTTGATGTCTGCGGCGGACTTCTGCGCAAGAATCATGTCCACGGCAACGCGCATGTACGTGAGACCGGTCTCGTCCGCGACACGACGCAGCTCGTCCACGTCGACGCCCTTCAGATCCAGCGACGGCACCAGATATATGTACTCAAACAGGAACCGGAGCACCTGGCCGCTGGTCCCGCTAAAGTCCACGTCTGGCTGCGCAAAGTACGCCGACATCACCATGAGCAGGAACCGGTGCAGCCGGAAGTCGCCGATGCGCACGTCTGCGGTCGCAATGGACGGTCTTTGCAGCAGAGCAGAGATGTGCGAGGCAAACGGCTGTGTCACGTCGACAGCCTTGGTGATGTCGTACGAAAGCAGCAGGCCACGGATGGCGTCTGTGAGGGCGCCGTAGATCGCCCGCGACCCTTCAAACGTGTCTCGGTTGACAATGGCGCCCTTTTCAAGCAGCAATCTTACCACTTTTTCGTGGCCACAGATAGAGGCCAGGATCAGCGGTGAGTAGTCCCACTCGTCCAATTGATTCATCTGGCGTTAGTGGCTGCGTGCAAGAACACTTACATTGACACCCTGCGCGATGTACTTGTCGACGAGCTCGACATCGCCCTTGCGGCACGCCTGGCACAGATCTCTGAATTCCTGCGAAACATTAGCCATGAAATATTTTATTGTATTTATTTTATTTTATTTATTCTGCCATGAAGGTATATCTGAACAAGAGCCCCCGGTCGGTGGCCATTGTGTCGGACGGGTTTGCGCTGCTGCTGCGAGAGATGCACGGCCAGGCGTCCAAGGAGAGCAAGCCCAAGTGCGTGATCGAGTTCGTGCCCGAGCAGCTCGTGCCGTTGCAGAAGTACGTGGAGGTCAAGGGACTGGGCGGATCCGAGATGCACGCGGTGCTGGGAATCGTGTGTATTAAGGGTCTTGTGTTTGTTGGGTTTGTGACTGGCCGTTCGGAGGTTGGATCGGTGCGCATCAATGAGCGCATTTACAAGATCACAGCCACAACGTTTGTGTGTCTGAACAGCGATTCGTACGACTATGCGCTGTTTGATGGGCGAATTAGAACACACGAGGATTTCCCTGAGATTCCTGTCCACTCGATCATCCGCCTGCTGGCCACAGGAACGTTTTACTACTCGCCCTGCTTCGACATGGTTTCGCGGTTTCAGGAACGGGGCGTTCGCAGCGCGCGGTCCGTCTCGTCGTTCAATCTTGTCGACGACTATGACGGCCGCTTTGCGTGGAACCGGAGCATGATCGGCCAGCTGCAATTGTTCCGCAACCGACTCAGTAAGGACGAGAGACGAGTATTCAACTCGGGCCATTTTGTGGTGTCAATAATCCGCGGTTTCGCGCAAACCGTGACCGTCAACGAGAACGAAGGGCTGCTCACGATCATTTCGAAACAGAGCTGTCTCAAGGGCTCGCCCATGTTCGGGCCGTACTGCGCCGACGACGACGGCAACGTGCCGAACTTTGTCGAGACAGAAATCATTCTCACCAACAAGCACTACTGTTTTGCGCTCGTCCAGCTAAGCGGCAACGTCCCGCTCGTGTGGAAACTCGAGTCGCAGCTGCTCTCGACGAAAATCGAGTTTCCCAGGTCCGAGGAGGCGTCGAACGTTGCGTTCTCCAAACATTTTGAAACGCTCATTCTTGAGCACGGCGCAGTGCACGTGATCGACGCGCTCTCCAGAAGCGGCGACCAGCCAGAACTCAGCCGCAGGTACGCGAAAATGGTGCAGCAGTCGCCTTTCTGGGGCAGCCATCTCTCATACACCAAGGCAGACATCCCGGGCTCGCTGATCTTCAAGTCCAGCTACCATTATCTTTCTCCGCTGTTGCAGCAGATCTCCGACCATCTCAAGACCTACGAGGCTTTCTGCTTTGACATAGAGACACGCACATACATTGGCCGTCAGTCTGGCGTCTTGCTGGTCAACACGCTGGCCTCGACGGAACGGGCCAACACCATCATGGCTGCTGTGTCTGCCGAGGTACTTGACTATTTTTTCAGATTTCTCAATTTTACTCCTGGCTCAGAGTTCTGGGCTAAACACCAGTTCCTGTGGACAGAGAACGGCACGTGTCTGGAACGGATGGTGGAAGGATACACCTCGAGCAAGACCAAGACCAAGAGCGGTGGCTTTGTAGGAAAGGTGGCCGAAAAGTCTAAGAAATACGTCTCTTCGCCGTCGTCTGTGACGTTCAGCAAGCAGAACCAGTTCGACAAGCTGCTTGGCCAGCGCGCATCGCAGGTGGAGGTCGAGCTGTACGACCCGATCCACGATTATGTGGTGGCTGAGCTGCAGAAACGGGCAGACGAGTTCACGATGACCAAGGAGCTCAGTCTTTGGACAGGCACGTTCAACGTTAACGCGATCAAGTACGACGGCGACATGACGAGCTGGTTCTTCCCTGCTCCCGAAAAATACCAGGAGTATGACATAATAGCAGTCGGGCTTGAGGAGGTGGTGGAGCTGAGTGCCAGCAAGATGCTGAATATTGATGCTTCCACCAAGATTTTCTGGGAGAAAAAAATCAAGGAGACGCTCAATTGTTTCAAAGAAGGTGTCAGCTACACTCTGCTCAAAAGCGAGCAGCTGGGCGGGATTCTGAGTCTGGTGTTTGTCCAGGAGAAAATTTTCGAGTACATCAACAACGTCGAGACCAGCTTCAAAAAAACCGGCTTCCGGGGCATTTCGGCCAACAAGGGCGGCATAGCCATTGCGTTCGACTACTCGTCCTCGATCCGGTTGTGTTTCATCGCGTCGCATCTGGCCGCCGGACACCACAACGTGGATGAGCGACACCAGAACTACAAAGCCATCGCCAACGGGCTGCGCTTCAGACACAACAAGAGTATCCGGGACTTTGACTGTGTTTTCTGGGTCGGCGACTTCAACTTCCGGATCGACCTCCCAAATGAGCAGGTTCGCACGCATCTGGACGAGGTGAAGTTCTCGCCGCTGTTTGAGTACGACCAGCTCAACAAGCAGATGGCCACGGGCGAGTCGTTCCCGTATTTCAACGAGATGGCCATCAATTTCCCGCCGACGTACAAGTTCGACCGCGGAACTGACACCTACGACACGTCCGACAAACAGAGGGTGCCTGCGTGGACGGACAGGATCCTGAGTCTTGCTCGGAGCAAGAACGTGGTGCTGCGCCAGCTGGAGTACGGCTGTGCACAGGAGATCAAGTTCAGCGACCACAAGCCGGTGTACGGCGTGTTCCACGCCAAGCTGGACATTGCAGACCAGAAGATCATGTCGGAGATCGAGAAACAGCTGTACGAGACGCGCAAAGTCGAGCTTGTGGGGGTGAACTCGCTGGTTCTGGTGCAGAACATCAACGAATCGACTTTTCTGCTCACGCACGGGTTGCCTGCTCCGTCGAGCAAGACGACGGGGGCCAAGTGGTGGATCCCTGGGGGCACGTCGGGCAAGATCAAAGTGAGCTTCCCGGAGGTCGACAGCGGCAAGTACGTCATCAACCCCAAGCTGCCCCCTAATCCGTTTACGAAAACTACCGAGGAAGAGTTTGTGAAAAAACCAGTGGAGTCAATCGGGCCGAATTCGGAGTGACCTATATAGCCTGGAGCTTGATGGCGTCGCCCTTTCGGATAATCTGCGACGCCGTCCAGGACTCGCCTGGCTCCAGCGTGATGAAGTCGTGCACGTGACCGGGCTCGATGCACACCATCTTGTGGAAGCCGTCCTTTGGCTCGAAGTCGGCCATGCCGGCCGCCTTGTTGGTCCACGGGTTCCACACGACCACGTCCGGCAAGTTTCTTCTCTCCACGTTGTGGACCACCTTGCCCAACTCGATAACCTGCAACAGCTTCTCGCACGAGACGTTTTGGTAGATTCTGTCGAGCTCGCCGTTGAATTCGATCGCCGGCGCCTTTTCCTCGTACGTCTCGGCCAGCAGCTGGTCGTAGCACGTCTCACCTGGCAAATTGTTCACTAATGTGTCGTCGATGTCGTTGACGGCCAGGTACGTGTGGAACAGCCAGTTGAACTTCCATGGCTTGGAGTCCGAGTTGGCCACCTCGATCGTTGTTGTGAGCGCGTCTGGCTTGAGCTCGATCGTCAGTAGCAGCGTGAAGTCGTTGTCGCCGTTGTCCCACTTGGAGTACACCTCCTTGTTGGCCTGTTCGGGCCCGAGACCAAACTGCACCGTTGGCGGGTTTTCTTTGGTCTGGCCCAGAAACTCCCATGTGGAGTTTCGCGCAAAGCCGTGCTGCGGCAGCTGGTCGAACCCTGGCGCGTTGCTCTTGCCGAACACGGGGAACACCAGTGGGATGCCGCCTCTGACCGGTCTGGACCCGTCCAGCTTGGCCGCCGACGACAGCCACAGCTGCTCGACGCCCTCAATGGTCCAGGACGTGACCGTGGCTCCGTAGAGCAGCACAGAAACCTTAGTGTTTGGGTTTTCTGGGGAAATGAGCTCCACTTTGTCGTCGGTTGCTTCGATTGGCATGGCACTAGAAAAATGAATAATAAATTACGAATTAACGAATTGGAAATTAGTATTCCTAGCAAATGTCCAGAATTAGTCGCAATTAAAGGCCTCCCTTATTTGTCAAGTTCCTGTTCGTCTGGTTGCTCTTCGCCGCCACTGTTAGAGTGCACAGCCTCCTGCCGAGTCGTGTCCGTCGTCTGCGACTCGCTACTTCTCTCTAGGTCGTCCATTCTGCTCTCGATCGCATCCAGCAGTTTCTCCAAATGCTAAAGTTAGCCCTCTGCACGTTACTACCTACCGTCGCTGCGGCCTCGGCCTCGTTCAGTCTTTTGTACGCTTCGGCAAACTCCTCCTTCTCCAACGTCATAAACCGCGAACACGTTTTTTTTTTTTCTAATCCATGATTTTTCTCTTGTTTCTTCTGGCCCCCGTGGCTTGGGCCCTGTCTCCGGCCCTGGCAGACTCTAGAACGCTCGTGGTGTACGACACAAGACTGCCCGATTTTGAGTCGCAGTACTCGAAGCTCTTCGAAACGCTCAGGGACAGAAACCTCGAGCCTGAGCTGGCACTAGTGGGTTCGGAATCTGAGCCTCTCGAGCTGTTCAGAAACGGCTTCAGACGGTATCAGAACCTGCTGATCCTGCCGACGACTGCCAAGGACCTCGTTGACATTGACACGTTGCTCAAGTTCACCCAGGACGGTGGAGACGTGTTTGTGGTGTCTGACAACACGGGCCTGCAGACCGACGTCGTGCTGTTCCTGAACGAATTGGGCATCTATCCAAGTCCAAAGGGCTACAAATACATTGACCACCACAACGGCGATACACTGGAAGTGCCGGACGTCCAGAACAAGGTTGTGTTGCGTACAGAAAAGCCAATTTTGTATAAAGATGGATCTGTCGCATTGCTCTCCAATAACGAGTTTCTGGTGCCTGTTGTGCGCGCTCCGCGCACCTCGTACACCTTCAACATTGACGAGGGACGTGTCAATGCCGACTCGACGTGGCATTCCGGTTCCCAGGGCTATCTGTTTGTCGGGCTGCAGGGCCTGAACAACGCTCGTGTTTTCTGGACTGGCTCGGCAGCCAGCTTCAAAGACGAGTCCTTCAATGAGGAGCTCGTTTCAGATCTGATAAACTGGACGTTCCAGATCTCGGGACTCATCAAGGCTACGTCTGTGATACATTACAACGAAAATGGAGATTCCGGCTACAAAATCAAAGATACAACCACATTCGAGATCGGCGTGTCCCAGTGGGACGGCGACAAATGGGCTCCATTCACGGGCTGCCAAGATCTTCAACTGGAGTTCGTTATGCTAGACCCATACTATAGACTCACGCTTGTCCCGAAGCGTGTGGAGAACTCGTCGCAGATCTACGGTACCACGTTCCAGATCCCAGATCAACACGGCATGTTCACGTACAAGGTGCTCTACCAGCGTGAGGGATACAGCTTCATCGACGAGAGCGTGACCGTTCCCGTGCGGCATCTTGCCAACGACGAGTACCCGCGGTCCTGGGAGATCACCAACTCGTGGGTGTATTTGAGCAGTGCTCTAGCGGTCATGGTGGGATGGTTTGTTTTCGTGGTGATATTTGTCTATTCGGGAAACAAGAAGCTTGGCAAGGAAAAGACAAATTGAGAGGAAATAGCACCTGTATAAATACATCTCTAATTCGCCTTGACTATCTTGATATTGTTTTTCTCTTTCCAGTCGAGAAACTCTTTTTGCTGCTTCTTAAGCTCCTCTGTAAGCGTGTCCACTGACTTCTTCATGCCGTCCAGGTTCTCCTCCAAAATCTTGGTCGCGTTGCCAGCAACGAGTTCCACAAGTGATCCGCCAACCATGCGGTAACACTTGCGGTCTGGAGGCACCTCTTTCAACGTCGCCAGCACAATTCCGTGCTCGTCGATCTGCGAGTGCAATTGGACGATTTTTGTGTTGAGCGACTCGATCGTCTGTTGGAACTGGTCGTACTTGGCTTGAAGCGACATGAAAAAAATGCAAAAAAATGGAAATTTATTTAGGGAATTCTGGAAATGCACAGTTTCTATTTTCTGCTTATTCTATGTACATGCTACCACCTCCGAGCACCTTTTGCACAACTCGGCAGGACCCTCCGCAGCGTACCGCCAGCAACGAGGGCATTTTTCTAAGTCTGTTTTAGCGACTGCGATAGAAACCTCGCCGTCTGTAGCCTCTAGCAAGACATCCTTTGTACGTTCTGAGTTGAGGTGGAATTTAGACACCATCAAGTACTCAGTCATTTGAGACTCATACTTAGACACAAGAGTACCCAAAGAAGTCTCAGGAGCAACATTCACGTAGATTTCTGTCTCAGAGGCCATTTTCATGGTGTCTGTGCTGCGCAGCGTCTTGTCTATTGCGGTCTTGATCTGGTGATTGAATTTTAACAGCTGCTCCATCTCGGCCTCCAGCTCCGCATTAAGGTACTGTTGCGGAACTTCGTACCATCCACGCACAAAAGACGACTGCAGCCCACCAGTAACCACTTCTGGCGAGTGGTTCCATGCCTCTTGCGCCATAATCGGCATTACAGGAGCCAGCACGCTCGTCAGCACCTTCAGCACCTCCACAAACACCGTCTGTGTGCTGCGTCTTTTCAAACTGTCTGCAAAGTCCGTGTACAAAGTATCCTTGCGAATGTCAAAGTACAGCGCAGAAAGATCCACGTTGACCAGCTGATTCATGTCCTTGATAATTTTCGAGTAATTGTGCGCCTCGTAGCACTGGCGAGCTGTCCTCTCGAACGACGCCAGCCTGGACAGAATGTATCTGTCCATGGTGTCCATCTGGGCATAATCGACTGTCTGCTCCATGTCGCCAATGTTTCCAAGCAGGAATCGGAACGTGAAACGCAATTTCTTCACCACGTCGGCCACCCTGTTTAAAATCACCGGCCCCACAGCGATATCCGACGTGTAGTCGGCCTGGGCCACCCAGAGACGCAGTCCGTCAATTCCCAAACCAGGTACTTTCTTCGCCTTGTTTCCTTCAACAATATCGACCGGAACAATAGTATTTCCAAGCGACTTGGACATTTTGTCTCCTTTTTCGTCCAGCGTGAACCCGTGCGTGATAATTTTCCCGTACGGTAGCACTGCAGGCTCGCCAGGCGCCCTTGCACCGATCTTGGTCAGCACACTCGATTGGAACCAGCCCCGGTGCTGATCAGAGCCCTCCAGATACACGTCTGCCAGATATCCACGAGCCACAGCCTGCGGAAGCAACCCTGTGGACTCCAAAAACTGCTCCACCAGAGTCCAGCTAGAGCCGGAGTCGAACCACACGTCCATCGTATCTGTGCCGCGAACGTAGTCGGTTGGGTTCACATCGCACTCGGCCGGGATCCATTTAGCCATCGACGACTCGCCAAACCAGCTCTCAACGTCCTCTGTGGCAATGACCTGGGAAATACGCTCAATCACTAGGTCGTTGATTAGTGGCTCGCCTGTCCGCTTGTGGTATACGACGGGAATCGGAACACCCCAGCTGCGCTGCCTGGAAATGCACCACTCGTTTCGCAGGTTGATGAACGAGACCAGCCGGTTCGAGCCGCGCTTCGGGAAGAACTGTACGTTTTTCTCGAGCAGCTCAGTGGTGACAGCCTTGATCTTGCCCACGTCGATGAACCATTGCGGCGTCGAGCGGATGATGATTGGTTTTTTCGAACGCCAGTCGTACGGATACGAATGGATGTAGTTCGGGTCCAGATGGTAGCAGAGCCGTAGCTCTTCTAGTTTAGCGACCATTTTCTGCGTACCTTCGCCAAGAACACGCAAACCAACAAACTCCTGTAAATCGTTGTCCGGCAGCTCGCTCGTGTACTTACCGTACTCGTTGACGGGTGAGTACGGCTGAATGTTGTGCCTTAGACACACAAAATAGTCTTCCTGTCCGTGGCCGGGGGCCGTGTGCACTAAACCAGTACCGGCAGAGTCTGTCACGTGCTCGCCGTGCAGGATAGGAAGACTTGTGTCCTGGCTGCTGCCGGCAAACAGTGGATTTCGATAGCTGCAGCTGAGCAGCTGTGAGCCGGGAATTTGAATGTACGTCTCACGTAATTCTGGATCGACCGCTCTTAGCGAGTCGACCAGTTTCTGCGCCACAATCAGCCGCTCGTCCCTTGATTCCACTATGGTGTAGTCCATGTTCTCGTTGACGGAGATTGCGCGGTTTGCGGCCAACGTCCACGGCGTCGACGTCCATATGAGAGCGTACACGGGTTCGGGGCCAAATTCCGCTGGCGGGTGCTCCAGCGGGAACTTAACATACACTGCAGTCGAGCGGTGCGCCGGATTGTACTCGAGCTCTCCCTCTGCCAGTGCTGTGGCGTTCTCACACCCCCAGTAAACCGGCTTTTCCTGTCTTTTGATGAGATTGTTGTCAAACAGCCGCTTGAATACGCGCAGCTGCCGCGCAACAAAATCCTTGTCCAGCGTTCTGTATGGATTTCCAAAGTCTCCCATAATGCCCATGCGTTGGAATTGGGCCGATTGGGACCGCTGGGTCAACAGGGCATGCTGTTTGCACAGCTCAATGATTTCCAGCGGTTTCAACTTGTTGCCGAGCGCTGACAGCTCGGCCTCGAGCGCTGCATTCGGACCCGTCTTTAGCAGTCGCTTGATTTCCTTCTTGCGCATATTCTTGTGCTGCGCGATCTGTTCCAGTGCCTTCAATTCAATCGGCAGGCCGTGGCAGTCCCAGCCGGGACGATAGTGCACTTTCTTGCCGTTCATAAGCTCGAATCGTACAATTATATCCTTCAGAATTTTGTTCAGAGCATGGCCAATGTGCAGATCGCCATTGGCGTACGGCGGGCCGTCGTGCAAAATAAATAGCTCTTGTATACTTTTCACCTCGCGACGGTTGTTCCAGTCGTACAGTTCCGTGGTGACCTGCGGCAGCAGCTGAGTCTGCACCGCGTGTAGATCGGTGCGCCCTGGGAACTTCGTTTGGGGCAGCCGGATCGTGGCCGAGAACGACGACTTCTGGCGGACAAAAACCCGCTGGAGCATTGAGTTTCGACTTTTTTCAATTTACTGTATTTTATTTATTGTCTAATATTTTTCCGCTCAATGTCCGCAATCGACTCTTCTTCTGTCAGCCCGGTGAGCTCGCCGCCGGAGTTCCGCATCCACGACAGAAGAGGCTCGCTTCTGGACGTCGGAGGCGAGAACTCGATCAACAATTTCGCCTTCGCCGTTCGACGCTCAGTCAACTATCTCTCGTCGTCGGTAGGCTCCCGAACGACGCTCGATTCCGAGTTGGCAGTGCCCAGCAGCCCGCGAGTGACGCCCCAAGTGCCACCCGATGAGCACACGCCGCTGTTGGAGCCGCCTAAGGATGCCGTTTCTGAGATCGTTATCTCGCTCAAGAGCACTCCCGTGCAAACGGTTTTCAACTCCATCAACGTTTTGATCGGGCTGGGCATTTTGTCCATCCCGTTGGCATTCCGGCTCGCCGGCTGGATCATGGGCACAGCGATATTGACACTTGCGGCGCTCTCAACACGATATACGGCCGTGCTGCTGGGCCGGATCCAGGCGCGCAACCAATCGTTAAGAACGTACCACGACATCGCGCAGCAGGCGTTTGGCGCGCGCGCCAGTGTGCTGGTGTTTGTTGTGTTTGCATTGGACCTCTACGGCGCCAGCGTGACGATGGTGATCCTGTTTGCCGACTCGTTCAACGCCATTTTCCAGGGCCTCTCCCCGGCGTTTTTTAAAACCGTGGTGTGCACGGCGATGGTTCTGTTGAACGCGCTGCCGCTGCGCATCTTGTCGTTTTTGAGTTTTGCCGGCATCGTGTGCACCACGGCGACTTTCTTCATGGTGCTGGTGTCTGGACTGATCCACCGCACGCAGCCTGGCTCGCTGCTCCACCCTGCACCGACAAACTTGTGGCCGGTGTCCCTGCCGGACCTGTGTTTCAGTCTGGGCCTCTTCCTTGCACCCTGGGGCGGCCACGCCGCGTTCCCAGAGGTGTACACCGACCAGAAACGGCCCGAGAAATACACCGCTTGCATGTCGATAGCATTCTTGTTCAGCTACTCGATGGACTTGGCCACAGGCGTCGTTGGGTTCCTCATGTTTGGGCAAATTGTGCAAGACGAGGTGACAAAAAATATCTTGCTCAATAAAGCGTACCCGGCGTGGATTCCGACGACGATCGTCGTTCTGATGGGAATTTTGCCGCTCTCGAAGCTGCCGCTCGTGTGCCGGCCCATTCTGTCAGCGCTGGAGCGCCGGCTGCCCCCGCTGGCTTCAAGACTAGCTGTGAGCTGCGTGCTACTCGTGTCGTCGCTGCTAATTACGAATTTCGGCAAAATCATGTCGCTGCTCGGCTCCGCCATCTGCTTCACCGTCTGCATCACGCTGCCCCTGCTATTCTACCTGCGGCTCCACCGCAGTGAGCTCACCCCGCTCGCACAGTTCCTGCTCGCCCTCATGGCCCTGGTTAGCGCGCTGCTCACCGTCGCCGGGTCGATCGCCGCGCTTCTGGTGTGAGGTGTAGAGGGATCGAACCCACCCCAAATATTCCTGTACGTTAAAATAAGTATCCCCAATGAACGCGCTGCTTTCCGACCACGACGAGGGAATGGCCACTATCTGGTGAGTTTCCGTAATGTTGCACTAACTGCAGGCTCTTGGCCACTCTGGGCTCCCGCACGGCCCACTCGCGGCTCACACGGCGCAGAATCGAGCAGGTCTCGATCCCTGCCGCGTGCCGGGCGATAGCGAACCCGCTGTACGACGCACCGTTGCGCCAGACATCCAGTCTGCTGTACGGCGTGACCCTCGTGTACAAGCAGAAAACCGAATACTCGCTCCGTACGTGATTTCCGCCGGCTATTAACATTTAGGGGAGACGCATGCTATCAAGGCCCAGGTCACCCGAGACCTCGGGAGTTACCGGGGAGCGGCAGGCGAACTGAACGTAGCAATCGAAGTCGCAATGCACACGCGGCCAGTTAACGTGCTGCGCGACGACCCGAATTTCGACATCGACGTGGGCATGCTGTCGGAGCTGGATTTGGAGCACACTAACCCCCATGTCGGGGTGCAGCAGCGGCAGATCCGCGAGTTCGATATGCAGCACGCGCTGGTCGCTGATTCGTCGATCTCAGACACATCCAGCACGGTGTTCACGCGAGACTCTGTGCACACGGCCGGCACAGTGTTCAGCGGCGTGAGGTCACCGCTGGGCTCTGTCGCGTCGATCGGGCCGCTCGACGATATCATGAACCAGAGTCTCGGCCAACTGGAGTTCTCGTTCGATGAGCACGGCAATGTGGTCGCCAATGCCGCGGGCGATGGTGTCGGCGACGTGCTAGACGTCGATCTCAATTTCGACCTCGAAGAGCCCATTCTGCCCGAGCAGCCACAACAGCCGGACATAGAAGTATCTGTGGTGGACATGGAGACGCCCAAACGGCGGCGCATCGACGCCGGACGACTGAAATTGCGCAGAATTGTTTGCGACGCTGAAATTTCGATTTCAACTGCCAAGATGAAAGAGGATCGCGAGCGGTACTCGGAGCTGATGCTTGCAGACCGTAGTTTGCCAACATTCTCGTTCATGGAGCTCGTTGGTGCAGAGTTGCAGAGACTGCCGCCCTTCATGCAATTGCTGCTGCATCCAGCAACTGCTAACAAGATGTCCCGCTCCTACAGCCGCGCCTCGAGCGTGTCATCCATTGAAGAGGCCCGGCGAGCGCTTTCTGGCCAGTCCTCGCGCAGAGGAAGCATCTCGAGCGCACATATTCGGTTCGAGGAGCCAATCCAGGAGATGAGCCCCGTCGCGTTCGAAAACGACGACGCGATGCTCGACATCAGTTTTGGAGACGCGTCGTATTCGCGCGATGAGAACCGTCTGCACAGATTTTATCAGTCACTAGTGGAGAAGTGCCGCACGCACGGTAACGGGCTGGTTGAGAGCGAGCGGTCTGATCTGATGCAGATCAGTTTTGGCGCGCTGCTGGGCCCGTGCGCGAGAAAAGAAGCTGTTCAGCAGTTCAGCTATCTCCTCGAGCTTTGCTCAAACAGCATGGTGTACCTGGAGCCAATTGGCGCGAACGGGCGATCCAAATGGGAGCTACTGCAGCCGGAAAATATCAACATCGTTGCACAGGTTTGAAAAAATCATCATTTTTTTATTTTTTATTCTCATGTCTCTACCAGACTACGAGCCGTCAAGCTGGACCACGTCCTCAAACGAGGCCCTCCATATATCGCTGGCAGAGCCAGAGGGCGCGTTTACGTTCAATCCCACATTTACATACCCAATCTTTGGCGACTCCGAACAGATCTTTGGGTACAAAGGACTGCGGATCGACCTTGCGTTCGACTGCCGGTCTATGTATCCGTTTCTAGGCGTCAAGTACGAGTCGAAACTATCCGAGGACGTGAAAGATGTCGAGAAGACGCTGTTGGAGTTTCTTCCCAAGGAAACAGTTGTCAAGGACGAGGCATTGTGGTTGGACAAGATTGAACAGGAAAACTTCGAACTCCCTGGGAAGCCCGTGTATACGTACCAGATCGATGGCGAAACATACAAGATCTTCAAGTTCAAGCTCGACGACTCAAATGGGCTTAAATTGCACCTGCGAATCCAGATCTTCGTCCTGCTGTTCATCGAGGCAGGCTCCTACATCGACAGCACCGACAACGTCTGGGAGATCTATGCGATTTACAAATGCCCCGAAGATAAGAAAGAGTCGTTTGTTGGGTTCAGCACAGCCTACTCCCATTGGAAACACCCAGGTACGGCGGCTCACGATGCTTCAGAGACTCTGGAATTGCAATTCCGCAAGAAAATCAGCCAATTCATTGTGCTTCCTCCGTACCAGTCAAAAGGCCACGGAAAAAACCTATATAACTGCATGGTGGACGAGTGGCTCGCAGACGACAAGGTCAAGGAGATCACTGTGGAGGATCCGAGCGAGGCGTTTGACGATCTGCGTGATCGCTGCGATCTGCAGCGACTGAACCGGGCAGACTTTCTCAATGGCGTCAAGCTGCCGATTGAGGAGCCGTGGATTGAAAAACAGGTTGCACTGCACAAAATGGACCGCAGACAGTTCGAGAGATGCGTGGAGATGACACTGTTGTGGATGTTGCAGAACAAGAAGGGCGGTATTGAAAACCTGAGCGAAAAGAACGTGCGTTTGCAGATAAAGAAGAGGCTGTATCTGAAGAACAGAGACGCGTTGAGCGAGCTGGAAAAGGCGGACAAAATGGACAAACTGCAGACGGCGTATGAGCGACTGCACGAGGACTACGAGCGGATTCTGGAGAAAGCTGGCCTTGCAACTGGCGTCAAGAGAGAGCAGTCGCACGAGCTGCCCGATGCAAAGCGCCCAAGGCTCTAACGCTTCGCTTCCGGGCTCTTTTCTGAAATGTTTACGTCAGCTATTACGATGTGCAATGCTCCCAATCTGGAAGCCACGATATTCCCAAAGAAGAAGCGAAAATTTGTACACTGCCACAGCAACAGTGTTGCGCCCTTTTAGCCCAATGCGGAATATATGGTCGCATACAGAAATCAACACCTGAAATTGTACTAACTTGCTAGAGTTGATAAATAACTTTATTTCAGAAGGTATTTGAACTCATCGCTATCGCAATGCACAGAACCTATTCTTTGAGATCTTCCAGAGCCCCTACGGCCTCCCAGTTGGCCACTCCACCACCTCCACCCTCGAGCACCAAGTAAGTTGTCCGCACGCGTTTATCCAACTAACCATCTTAGGGGTAAATTCTTTGGTACCACTTCCATTGCTTCCTCGATCAGAAAGTCTACTGCTGGATCCTTTGGTCCGGAGCTTTCGAAGAAGCTCGCCCAGTTAATCAAGATTGAGAAGAACTTTGAAAGAAGCGTCGAGCTTGTCGCCAGAGAGAGAAGATTTGTCGCTAAGCAGCTCTCTCTTTGGGGAGAGGAGAATGACGACGACGTTTCCGACGTCACCGACAAATTGGGTGTTCTGATCTACGAGATCGGCGAGCTGGAAGACCAATTTATCGACAAGTACGACCTGTACAGAATCACCCTCAAGAGCATCAGAAACATTGAGGCCTCTGTCCAGCCTTCGAGAGACCGCAAACAGAAAATCACCGACGAGATTGCTCACCTCAAGTACAAGGACCCACAGTCTCCCAAGATCCCAATTTTGGAGCAAGAGCTCGTCAGGGCTGAGGCCGAGTCGCTTGTTGCTGAGGCTCAATTGTCCAACATCACCAGAGAAAAACTGAAGGCTGCTTTCCTCTACCAATTTGACGCATTGAGAGAGCTTTCCGAGAAACTTGCCCTGATTGCCGGCTACGGAAAGGCCCTGCTTGAGCTGTTAGACGACTCTCCAGTGACTCCGGGTGAGACCAGACCTGCCTACGATGGCTACGAGGCATCCAAGCAGATCATCATCGATGCCGAGAACGCTCTGGCCTCCTGGACTTTGGACAACTCTTACGTGAAGGAGCCTGCCCTTTCTCTGCACCAGACCGTCGACGACGTGTACGAGGAGCACCAGGCCGAGGACGCCGAGGCTCAATGGGCTGAGCATGAGAACCAGCAGTAAATTTGCTATGTAGTACTAAATGTTCATTACGTGTAAGGTTGGGTAGAGGAAAACTGGTCGCCATGTCCAGCAAGGAAGGACGCCTGGAGCATGGTGATTTTGCAGACAAAAAAAATGGTTCCTAGCAGGATCGAACTGCTGATCCCCGCGTTATTAGCACGATGCCTTAACCAACTGGGCCAAGGAACCTGGAACAGTAATCTGGAGACATCTCTCCCACATACTCTCCCCGAGCCCGCTGCCGGTCACCGGGGTCTCCTGCGTCAGAGAACGTGAAACACGTAGCTCCCAGCCGAAAACGGTAACCCGAAGAGTTTCATCTGGAACTGCTTCCAGTATAAATAGAACACGTCTGCCTCTGGTCCACTTCCCAATTAGCGCTAATGTCTGCTAACGAGTTCTACTCTTCTGGCCAACAAGGCGAATATCAACAACTTCAGCAACAAGACCAGCAGCAACAGGTTGGCGGCGAGGGCGAGCGAGGCCTTCTCTCGACTATTGTGGGTGGGGCTGCTGGAGCCTACGGAGGATCCAAGCTGGGCGGCTCGCACTCCCAGCTAGGAGGTATTGCCGGTGCTCTGCTCGGAGCAGTTGCTGCCAACAAGATTGAGGACAAAGTTGAGCAGAAGTGGGAGCACCAGGGTGGCTACGGTGGCCGGAACCACGGAGGCTTCGGTGAGCAAATAGGCGGCTTTGGCGGGCTTCAAGGACCTCCCTATGGAGGCCCGCACGGTGGCTTCCAGGGCCGTTTGGGAGGTCCCGAAGGTGGGTTTGGAGGTTTTCAGGGTGGTCCTCAGAACGGCTTCGCGGGTCCTCAGGGAGGCTTTGGGGGCCCGCAGGGGGGCTTTGGCGGGCCAGGCCGCCAGAGCGGATGGTAAATAGGGAGCAGTAGGTGACGGCTAGAAATGCACTTTTACCCGGCCCATGAAAAATTGTGTCCTGCTAAAGCATTCTTTGTGTTAAGCATGAGTTATATTGCGGGCGAGAACGTGCACTTTGACTACGAAGAGCACTCTGTCCGCATGAAGCCGCAAGCGAGAACCCATGCTGGTGCGAAGGTGAAGGTCCAGGTGCAGCTCAACAACGAGAAGGACGAGTATCCAGAGTCGAGGGTTATCAAGATAGGCGAGAACGGCGACGTTGTGGTGAGCGAGCTGAGCGAGCTGAGCTCTGCGGATGCGCACAGCCACTCGGACCACAGCGACGACGAGTACTGCCACTCGTGCGACCACGATAACTGCTCGGAGCACTTTGAGGACTACGACGAGGACTATGACGAGTGTGTGCACCACCAGCCGCCGACGGCGCACGAGAAGATGTACTGGAGCAGCACGCTGCCGAGCGTCGAGGAGCGCGAGCAGGTGCGGCAGTTCTGGACGCAGCTGGACGCCCAGAAGCGTCGCGATCTGCTCAACGTCGAGTACAGCGAGGTGTACAAAGTTGTGCACGAAAACCCGCCCGGGTGCAACTGCCGGGGCTGCAGCGGGCCGAAAAAGGCGTTCGAGCGCGACCTGGAGAAGCTGTACCACGCGATGCACATGACCGCGAACGAGGATCTCGAGCTGAGCTCGGCGCTGGTGCACGAGATGCTGGGGCTCGAGGACCCGAAGCCGGCGCCCACGACGATCCAGGACATCGGCCGTGTGGCCGACGACATACTGAACAACAACGGCAGCTCGTTCATCGACCTTGTGGAGCAGCTGGATGAGGAGCGGGATCTGCGACCCGAGGACGGCGGCGACGACGACGACGACGACGACGACGAATACGACTACGAGGAGGATGACGAGCTCGACAGCGAGCGACAGCGCAAGCAGCTGCACAACGCGTACCGGTATCTGCAGGTGGTGATTGCGCGGATCATCAGCGGGCGGCTGGTGGCTGCGTATAAGGAGAAGGTGGCTGAAGACAGCACGCGGCAGCTGATCGAGGAGCTGGAGGCGGAGGAGCGCCGCAAGAAGGAGAAGGAGGAAAAAGAGCGCCGCAAGAAGGAGAAACTGAAGGAGAAGAAGCGGCTGCAGCAGCTGGCGAAAGAGGAGGAGCGTCGCAAGCGCGAGGAGGACAAGCTCGAGCAGGAACGCATACACCAGGAGGAGATGCGGCGCAAGACAGAGGAGGGCCGGCGGCGCAAGCAGGAAGAGAGGCGCAAGCGCGAGGAAGAGCAGCGGCGGCGCGAGGAGGAGCAACGGCGGCGGCGCGAGGAGAAGCAGCGTAAGGAGGAAGAGAAGCGTCGCGAGAAGGAGCGGCAGGAGCGTGAAGCCGCCCTCAGCGTGGGGGCCGCTGAGAATGGCAGCGCCGAACCACCGGCGGATGAGCCTAACGACACGGCTAATGCTTCCGTGGACGGCAACGCCGTCTCCGCCCCAATGTCGTACTCTACGGAGCAGCTCAGTCAGCTGCTCTCGAAACTGAACATCCCTGTCGAAAAGCCGGCCTCAGAAGCAGTGTCCGCCACGCAGCCCGCAGCGGAGCCCTCCCTCCCCCAGAACCAGCCGCACAGCTTGTTCGACTTCCCGCAACCGCAGCTCCCGTCCCTCGAGGTGCCGCAGCTGTCCTCGCTGGACTTGTTCCCGGATCCGCTCACACAGCTCAAGCAGCCGTTCCCGTCCATCAACAGCTCCCTCTGGGACCTGCCAGCATCGCAAAAATCCATCTGGGGCACCTCCTCCATCTGGTCAAAGCCGTCTGCGCTATCGCCGGCTCAGATTGAGGCAGTGCAGATCGAAACGATCAAGGCAACCGCAACACTGGTTGCAGATAACCAGTGTTATCCGGCCAATTTACTCTATGCATGCACACGTCAGGCAATGCTGTCGTCGTACAGCCTTGACCTGACAATGGATCAATTCGCAGACAGTCTGGCGTCCAAGGTGAGCCAGAAGCTGGGCGTCGCGTTCGACATCATCTACGACGAAATGGCAACGCCCGCACTGGTGAAAGTGTCGCCCGTCGCGACGTGCGCGAGCATAAATACGTGGAATATCGGGTTTTAAGGCTCATTATATAAGCAACCTGTATCTAACCATTTTCTGACACTAGCCTGCTATGTTGGAAAAATTTATTCTTTTCCAAATTTCGATGTCTAGTTTTATGGACAAATCCCGTAATTGATCTATTTCCCTAGTCCAATGTCTCAGAACGTCATCAAGCGGAAGATCGTCATTGTGGGAGACGGTGCTTGCGGTAAGACATCGCTATTGTACGTCTTTACCCTCGGGGAATTCCCAACAGAGTATCACCCAACGGTGTTTGAAAATTACGCAACAGATTGCAGAGTGGATGGAAAACCAGTACGCTTGGCCTTGTGGGATACTGCAGGCCAGGAGGAATATGAGCGGCTTCGACCATTGTCATATTCCAAAGCCCACATCATTCTGATTGGATTTGCGTTGAACGCTCCCGACTCTCTAGATAACGCAGGCATGAAATGGGCTCAGGAAGTGAAAACTTACTGTCCGAACGCACCTCTCATACTGGTCGGGCTGAAAAAGGACCTCAGGCCCGAAGATGATGGCACAGACGAATACTATGACCAGAAATACGTCCGAAAAGAAAAGGCCGAACAGGTGGCTCGTCTCATCGGCGCCCGAAAATATGTCGAGTGTTCCTCGTTGACAGGGGAGGCTGTGGATGACGTTTTCGAGATTGCCACCCGTGCCAGTCTCTTGCTCAAAGAGTCTTCAGCCTCGGGCTGCTGTACCATCACCTAATTTGTTCGGAATCTCCGACGTTTCGCTCCTTATACGCCAAACAAAATTCGCTCGTTTACCGTCATGTTGCGCCCATGACCCTTTTACCCCAGGCCTTTTCCCATTTCACCTGATATCCTCAGTCCTGTCCTTGCCTTCTAATAGCCGGCCACCTGGTACCTAAGTATCAGGTCTAAGGTGTAGTTCGGGGCTTTAAATAGTTCACGTCTAATAACTATTATTTTCAACCTTTATGGCATTCATTTTCGGTTCCGTCAAAAGACACCTTTCGTCAGTAGCCCTGCCCACGGTCTATGCACTGTCGAGTTACCCCGCAAGATCGGCCATAGCCGTTGTCCGCATCACCGGCCCGTCCTCGGCATCGATATATCGAGCTTTAACTGCCAGAGAGCAGCTCAAACCACGAATAGCCACCCTCGCCAAGCTCTACCACCCTAAAACCGGAGTCATTCTAGATGAGGCCATAGCTCTGTATTTTAAAGGCCCAAACTCGTATACCGGGGAAGATATGCTCGAGCTTCATCTCCATGGTGGTACCGCAGTGATCAAGTGCGTAATGGAAAGCCTGGAACTTTTGCACACTCCTGCAAACCCTATAAGGCCAGCGGAGCCTGGTGATTTCTCTAGAAAAGCGTTCCAGAATGGCAAAATAGATCTTACACAGGCCGAGGGCATCAATGATCTGATCCACGCAGAAACTGAACGACAGAGAGTTTTGTCTCTGACCTCCATGAAGGGAGAAACCAAAGAACTGTTCCACCACTGGCGAGAGCAAATTTTGAATACATACGCCCTCATCACGACATTAATAGATTTTGGTGAAGAGCATGACATTGAAGAAATCGGCCAATTGTTCGAGCGAGCAGAGTCGGATATCAAAAAACTGGAAACGGACGTGAGAGGGTACCTAGAAAGAGTCCAGCGATCACAGTCACTAATGGAAGGGTTTAAGATAACGCTTTCAGGCCCGCCCAATGCTGGAAAATCGTCTCTTTTGAATATTATCGCTAATGAAGACAGGGCCATTGTGAGCGAGGTAGAAGGCACAACAAGAGACTCGATCGAAGTTCCCTTAGACATCAATGGGTACAAAGTCGTGATTGGGGATACGGCGGGAATTAGAGACGCTGAAAACCAAATTGAACGAGAAGGGATCAGAAGAGCGAAGATGAAGACCTCAGAAGCAGATTTAAACTTGGTTCTTCTCCCGTGCACCCTTCGTGAGTTGGGAGAGGAAATGAAGGACCACATTCGCTCATGTGATAAAGAGAAACTGGTGATAATTCTGAACAAAAGTGATCTGGTCACCCCTGACCAGGTCAGAAGCTTGGTAGTGCAATTGGAAAAAGAGTTCGAGCCTAAGGAAATAAAAGTCATTAGTTGTCGCAACAAAGATGGTATACAGGATCTTTTGAATGCGATAACTCAAACTCTTGATAGTTGGACCCAAGATGAGCCAATATTTGTGTCTAGCAGAGTTCAAAACATTATTCAGCACGATCTGCTATTTGGTTTTGAGGAATTTTACATGCATTCTAAAACCAACGACGTGGTCCTTGCTGCTGAGGCGCTCAAGATTAGTATGGATGGTATTGGAAAGATCACAGGAGAGGCCATCGGAGTGGAAGAGATTTTGGGATCGGTATTTGAAAATTTCTGCATTGGTAAATAGTTCACGTTACTAGCATTATTACTCATTTCCGCAACGATTGTGCCAGATCATTGAGTTTGGTGGTGACCTTGGATGTGTCGATGCTAATCCTAGTAGGTGGGGGTTTTTGCTCTGTTTGAGGTGATGGCACTGCGGCCTGGTCTTTTGGATTTTGTTCCTGGTAGTAACCAGGGACTTCTGTTCTGTCTGCTGGGGCGCCAGGCAGATCTGGTACTTTCCAGAATCCCCCAACTCCATTGAATAAGTCGTTCACACCAAATCTGCGGGGCAAGTATGCTCTTCCAAGATTTTCAGCAATCAGCGGGAAAGGGAAGTACAGGGAGTAGAAAAGTACGCCGTACAAAATTCCCACGCACATTCCTGCCACCACGTCTCGAACAAAATGTCTGTTGTCAGAAACTCTGGAAAATCCAACAGTGCACGAGATGATAATAGGATACATCAAGGAGATGATGTTTTTGCCGGAGAGACCCCTCCCGTCGAACAGATTTAGTTTACCTGCGGTGAACAGAAACTGGACAGTGGATGTCGTGGTGATTGTCGATGCATGGCCGCTTGGAAAGCTTCTCAATCCCTCAAAAATAAGTCTGTGTGACGGGTTCGCGCAGATCCCGATAGTGCTCAGCGAGCCCGGCTGCTGCGAAGCAAACGTGAAGGGAACACATCTCGTGAGAAAGTCGGGACGAGGAAGCGCAGAAACGTTTTTCAGAATAACCACAGTAAACAACTGAAACGCAGATGCGCCTAGCATTGCGAGCAGTGCGCAGTGGATATCCCACGCCTTGCGAGAAGGTGGAAGTTTGGTGACCACAGAGCCTGCTAGAACCACCGCCAAAATCGGCACCATAATGGCCATGACCACAAGCAGCCATATCGGGGCTAAGGTCTTTGCCTCCTGAACGTACGTGTGCATGATTGATGTGTCTCGGACATCAAAATCGCTTGTCCGCGGCGTTCCAAGCACTCCGTAAAATATGCCCCCCAAGAGAATAACGATGTAGAATGCCCAGTCCAGAACGTACGATATAAAGGTAGGAAGCGAGACATCGTGGCCATTGATGACCATGAATGTTTCCTCAAACTCAAATTCTGCTCCTTGCGAGAAGAACATTGGGTATATTAAGAAGAAGGGTATTTTAGCTTATAACATTATCCCGCTCAGATGTATCCTTAAAATGGTCCCCTTTCTGTCACCTAGATTCCCGTGCCAAAAATAATTCGTAATGAGGGGAAAATAGTAATATTATTCATTATGCTATCGAATCTCGCTGGATGGGCACTTTTCGGGGCTTTTGCAAGGGCATATCAGCAAGCTCTGCGGAATATGAGCTTCACTTACGCACCAATGGGATATGTTTATTCGACGGGAGCGTGGGTTGGATTTGGGTACCTATTTGAGAAGTGGGTCAGGAACAACGACGAGATCATAGAGGAACGATTGAAGAAACTGAAGGAACAGAGACAAAAGACGGCGTGAGCTGCATCGCAGCAAAACGTTACCTATTTATTTACTTATTTGAGATTCTGGTTCATCCTCATTCCCCAAATCAATATAGCCCAGGTCCTCATAGTCCTCTTGCAGATTGTTCAGCTCTGCCTGCAAGTCATCTACCTCAGCCGCCGCCTCCTGCTCCTCGTCGCCGCTCGAGCTGCCGTCGCTGCTGCTCTCGTCACTCTGATAGTTCTCGTCCTCTTCTTCGTCATCATCGACCTTGCCGACTATCTGGCTGCCTCCGGGCACAAGCTTGGCGGCCTCTGCGAGCGCTCCAGGGTTATCGGTATTGTTCTTGAGCTGTCTCTGGGCCTTAAGCTCGTCGGTCATCGATCTGTCTCTGAGCTCTTTGCTCTTGACGTACTGGTCGATCTTCTCGAACTCTTTCTGGTCGATCATGGAGAACTCGTGGCGCTCCGAATTTGGCAGCAGCGTCAATGTCACGTTGAACGTCAGGCGCGTGATGGAGGTGTATGTGATGGACTCGATGTTGGTGGAGTCGAATATGAGGATTGGTTTCTTGAAGCCGAATATCACATGGTTGGGCAGAAAATACAAGTAGCCCTCTTTAGACCCTTTGTACGCGTCCACAAAGAAACATTCCGGGCCAAAGCCTTTCACGAGATCAAACCCGAACGTTCGGAACTGCTGCTGTAGAAAGTCTGTCAGGTCGATCTTGTCCAGCAACGGGCCGAACTGTTCACTCAACTCGTCGTTGTTGAACTGGATCAGGATCGGGTCGTTCTTGTACATTTGGCCCTTGTTGGCGCCGTAGGTGATGAGTAGGGTCTTGTACTGTTTTTTCTCGGGCACGTCCAAAACAACAGCAAACTGAATATTAGTTTCCGACAGATCTGTGATCAGCAACTCAGGCTTCGACTCGAGGCTTTTGGTGAGCGCCAAGAACACCTTGCGCTCTCCAGGGAAACAGCCAAACACAATGTTGAGCTTCTTGCGGATCGGCGACTGCACAGACAGCTCGGGAATCTGCAATACGATGTGCGAGCCCGCCAGAGTCGTAGGCAGGACGTCCACGTCGAAGTCCAGCTTGCGGCGCTTTGTCCCGCCCATATGCTCTATGATCGCTCGGAAGATGTCCTCCGCCGGCGGATACGCGTTTACCACGTCCTGGATCTGAATTCTCAGCTCTGCAGGCAGAAAATCAAACGACATGGCGAAGAGAACTTTTTCTTTTGGTCGCGTCGCGTCGAAAATAGATAAATAGCACGGGACCATACTGAAATTTCTCTGTTGAGAAAAAATTGTCCCCTTTTTTCCTCCATGTCGGTCGCTCTTCCGCTGTATGAAGACGAAGAGTGTAGCGATTACCTGTCTCCATCTCCAAGGCAGGTTCTGAGGATCTCCATCAATCTCAAAACCCTTATTGACAAGGTCATACCCATTCCCCTGAAAGAGGAACAGATCCTTGGGTTGGATTCCATTGTTCTGACAGACAAGCTGATCGACGCGGTGTTGGGCGCCGCAGGCGGCGAAGGCCCTTCCCGCAGACGATATCAGGCCTGTCTTGTGTTCTGTCTACTTAAAGTCAGCGAATGGTATTACTCTCTTACCATCAAGGAGCTCTCTGACGATACCCTGTACGCAACTAGGATGCTGGCAGCACAGAAAATCGCGGCTACGCTGATCGAGCGTGAGCAGGACGAGAAGTACCTATTTATCTCCATGCTCTGTAACCGGTACTCCATCAACCTCCACGACGTGGACTCTGCACCTGAGAACGCTTTGGAGCTGGCTGTCGACACGCATGCCACCATCATCATCTCGTCGGGGGGCTACCAGAGATGTTTGAAATGGATTTGGAGAGGCTGGATCGTCCAGTCGTCTACGGACTCCTCCAATTACGTGCTGTTCAAGGGAACAGGAAACACAAGCTTCTTCAAGCACTTTGACCCTGACAGAATTAAAACCCCACTGTACCAGAACATTTTAGAAATCACGTTTTCGGTGCTGTATTTGGCCCTCTTCACCTTTCTTGTCAACACAGATACCAACTCGTCCCGTTTGGGGGCTGTCGAAGTGGTGTTCTATCTGTTCACCATTGGATTTGCGTTGGACGAGCTGGTCAAGTTCTATCATGTTGGCTACTACTACATGCAATTTTCCAACGTGTTCAACGATGTGCTGTATGCGATTGTGATTGCGTCGGCTTCTACGCGATTCATTGCGTTGGCTGCCCATTCGCCAGAAAAACGTGACCAGTTCAACGTCATCTCCTACAGACTTTTGTCGCTGGCTGCTCCGTTCATGTGGTCTCGGCTACTCTTATTTCTTGACGTGTTACAGTTTTGCGGAACCATGATAGTGGTGGTCAAGAAAATGATCAGAGAGTCGTTTATCTTTTTCTTCCTGCTGGCCCTCATCACCGTGGGCTTCTTACAGGCGTTTGTCGGTTTGGACCAGGCAGATGGAAAGAGGGAACTCACGTCATTTTTGACCACCACGATGGTTCAGACGGTTCTGGGCGGTCCGAACTTCGACACCATTGAGCGCTTTGCATACCCGTACGGAGCCATTCTGTACTACGCCTACACCTTCATTGTGGTTTTGGTCTTGCTCAATATCTTAATTGCTCTGTACTCGCAGGCATATGGAGATGTTGTTGGAAATGCTACAGAAGAGTACCTTGCACAATATTCCGCCAAGATTCTCAGATACGTGCGCGCTCCAGACGACAAGACTTTTTGTCCGCCTTTGAACCTTGTAGAGACGGTGTTCCTGCAGTTGCCGTTCAGCTGGTGGCTGGACAGAAAACTGTACCTTTACCTATGCGACAAGGTGATGGTGGTGCTCTACCTTCCTGTGTTGCTGTTCATTGCTAGCTACGAGGTCCAAGCTGCCAAAAGAGTTGAGTACAATAGAAATAGAAAGGTTGCCGACGACAACAACGAGGAAGACACTCCTTGGGATCTCACCGACGGCTTTGACCACAACGATGAGAACGGAGATGGCATTCGTGCTTCGATCCAGACTCAGAGGAGGGCCGAACTGGAGGACCCTGGGTTCGCGAAGAACTTCAAAGTTTGGGAAGCTACTCTAGACCAGCTTGTTCCTCCCATTGAGCCTAGTAAGGACGCCGGAGTTTCATGGGAGAACTACGAGATTTACCGTAAATTGGACGAATTGACTCAGGCTGTCATAGCGTTGGAGAAAAAATTGGACTCTAAATAGAAAACTATTTATTATAAATTTTTAATTCCGTATTCTTAATATATGGACCCAGAATACAAGGCCCTGACCTCTGTTTTCTCGGCGCACAAAGGCTACAAATCATGGGCCGTGAAGCAGGTGGTAGCCCCGAAGAAGCTGAAATACAAGAGCTTGACCAGAGACGAACAGGCGCTCTTCCCATGGATGGATCAGCACATCGACTATTTGGAGCACTCTGTTGATTTGAATGCGCAGATTCTGGAGCAGATTGCCATGACTGTGGCTCCAATGTGGGGCGCAGAGCCAGACCCAGGCGTGTGGGCAGAGTGCTCATCCCAGGACTTGGACAAAGTGCGCAGCATACTAGTCCAGTTCGCGCGAGAGTGGTCTGCAGATTGCGCTGAGGAGCGAGCTACATCTTTTGGACGCATTTTGCAGGAGTGCGAGAACTTGTTTCCAGATGTCATCAACAGACAGAACGTCGAGGTTCTTGTGCCAGGCTCAGGATTGGGCAGACTGGTTGTGGAATTTGTGCGAAGAGGATTCCGCACCCAGGGAAACGAGTTTTCGTACCACATGCTCACCAATTCCAGTTTCATAGTCAACCACTCGTTTTGCGAAAACAACTACGTCATCTGTCCCTACCTGCATAAAAGCTCCAACGTCAGTAAACGAACAGACCAGATCCGCCAAGTATACATTCCTGATTTTAATCCGGGGGACATTTCCTTTATCAATAAAGAATATCCTGAAATACCGGTTGCCGACTTGATGTCGATGGTTGCAGGCTCATTTGTAGACCTTTATGGCCCGCCTGACATGCCGCGGATCAGCGACGTGTACACGAACGATCCTCAGGCTGCTGAGTTTCGCCAGCAGAATGCCAAGAAGTTCCAAGTGGTTGCAACATGTTTTTTCCTCGACACTGCATCGAACATTGTCGAATACTTGCGGTCCGTGCACCATTGTCTGGCGGATGGCGGCTATTGGGTTAACTTTGGACCTCTCCTGTGGCATCACGAGGACGATGAGACCGTCACCATGAACACACAGAAAAACGAGAACAGCGACTGGGAGCAAGTCGCAACGCCAATGAGAGGATTGGAGTTATCGCGCGATGACCTGATCGAGCTTGTGCAGAAATTCGGATTCGAGTTCGTAAAGAGAGAATCCGGTATTGAGACAACATATGGCAGCGACCCGCGCTCGCTAGGCGGGTTCAAATACAGATGCGAATTCTGGGTAGCAAGGAAGAGACAGAGCTAGTTCTGTGCAATTCCTTTCTGCATGTGGCTTTTCCACGAGACCAAGTTGATAATCTCTGTCGAGGACGGCCTTGGAATGTCCGCCTTTTTAGATCTCGCAAACACGTCTTTGGTGAGCTTCATCACCGTACTGGAGATAAGCCGTAGCGAGCCTCCTTCCTCTTGGTAGTGCTTGAATAAAAGTCTTGCAAGCTGTGCTTGCGACTCTCCTGCTTGGTCCAGAAGCTTTTCGAGCTTTTCGCGCTTGATGGGCAAGCCTGCCGCAGTGAGAAAAGTCTGCAACCGTATGGGCCGAAGTTTTGTTGCTGCTTCCTCATGCGACAGCTTGGTAGAGAGCATAACAGAGAGCTTTGAGCGTTCCTCAGAAACCAGCTTCGTTCTCAGGTACTTGATGAGAGTGGAAAACTGTAGACTCTCAATCACTGCAACGTCGATCTTGTCTTCGCCAGAGGCTGAAAAATTCAGCGACTGGTTAAGTATCTGGTTCCAGAAACCCTGGTGTTCCTTAATCAATTTCCCGTCGCCTAGACTTCTGCCCACGACTCCAAAGGTCAAACAAGAATTCTCGCTCGCTGGTTGGTTCAAAGACTTTATGAACTGTTTCACTATCTCTGGATATTTGCTGCTATTTTTTTCAAATTCCCGTATCCATTCGGCCACAATGTCGTCTATCTTTGCGTCCAAGTCCAACGGCTCGTGATCACCGCTCATGATTGTCACATGAACTCCGACGGTGTCCTTGAGTGTCCGAAGCCCAGCAAAAGCAACGTACCCCAGCTGGTATTGAGTTCTGATTTTTGCTGTGAGGAACGTCGAGTAGATGTACGCCACGAACCTCGCTAGCGATCTGTCCCTTATATTTTTGCGTGCTCCAAGCTGAATGTAATACACCAAAGCGTTAGTTTCGTCCGGTGAAAAGCCATGGATCCGGAAATTGCAACCTGGTGGCAGAGACAGCGTCTGTAGCTGCTTGTACCGAGGTGAGGCGAACTCCGCCACAAGCATCCTCAGAGTGTCTACCGTGCACTGGTAATCCGACCTTGAAACGTCGCCGTGCAGTAGTGCTGTCAACTGGCAGCTTTCAAAGGTGGCTTTGACTGTTGCGGCTACTGTCTCAATGTCCAGCTCCTCAAGGGTTTTAAGCCGATCTTCCAGTGGCCACGTTCCCGGCTCAAGAACGGAAAGAAGACCTAGAGACGCCAGCTCGTGAGACCGCAGCGTGCGCAGGTTCTCATACTTCATTTTGATCCTGATGCGGGACTGGCGGAATATGGAAGGCGTCACTAGCGACAGGAAGTTGTCGTTCAACTCTCGCAGCTTGTTAGTGAGTATCTCCAGGATATTGTAGATCCCCACTGTGGAACCCGAGACATGAATCACCAAACCGCAGGTCCCCTTCATGGAATGAAGAAGATCGTAGGCGTACCACAGCTCCAGAGCAGGATAAAGCGTTTCACGGAGCAGTTCCTTGACTACGTCACAAAAGATCTCCAGCGACAAAGTCGACCGCACGCTCGGTTCAATAGTGGCACTGGTAATTTCGCAACTAAGATAGGCTTTTCCACGGTACTTGTCACGGTCTTGTTTCAACCAGAGCTGGGTTTGTTTGGATGAAAGGACTAGCTCCGGTGGCGTCGTTTCCTCCTTGCTTGCATAGATGAAGTTGCGGCTTGATTCCAGAGTAGATTGCAAGAGCTCATACAGACCGGTCTGGTTGTCAATCTGGCCAACTACGAACTGATTTGGCCGCGGCAGTCGCACCTGAAAGTCCGATTCACAGTATGTTATCGGCAAGATTCTGTAATGGAAGCCATAGTATGGATCAACCCCGTACTCTTGCTTTCCAAATTGTGCAAGAACATTTCCCGGGGCTACCAGGGTAGCCAAAATATTTTCCTTGCACACTGTCGAGCGAACTTGGGCACAGAACTGTTCTGATTTTGCCTTCCACCACGTCTGTGCTTCCAAAGACTCCTCATACGACCCGTCATAACCAGAGTCGCTAAAACCCCAACAAGGAGCATTTTTCAGTAGCCACTCGGAGTAGGCACGCTGGTCGTCAAGTAGCATCTGGCTGAGGCTCCGGCATTGCGAGGAAGCAGACACTTCTGTGTCGTGGTGCAGAAAATTATATAGCTCAATGGAGTTGAACTGCGACAGCAGCTTGGCTATCCTCTTAACGCGCTTTGGATCGGGTGAGAAAACCTCCTGGGTGTACCGGATGAGATACTCAAATATTCTCTCGTAGCCTCTTGTGCCGGCCATGGTCAGATTCAATTCGAGCTGTAATAGGCGGTCCTTGAATGTGATTAGCGGACATGCGGAATATGAGCTTTTAATCAGACCTGCTTTGAACAGCTCTGAATTGAATGAGACCTCGTTTTCGCTGCCCATCACGTAGCTCCACGCATGTGCGAAGATAAGCTGGTCCTTGCCGTCTGCTGTAAATGGGAAGCATATCCTCAGAGTAGGTGTGGTGTTTGCGCTTTCGATCAAAACCATTCTCCCCAAATCTGTAAAAACTGGCGACCGGTAGACAGGAGCCCAGCAGGTTTTGAGCACATTGCTCGTTTCTGTCCTCTGGGATATCATGCACTGCGAAAAGTTTGCAATCGCCAACTTCTTGAGAGCATTGAGTGATTGGGGGCCCATGAGAACGAGGCCAGCCTTCCAGGCCTGGTAATTCTGCTCGTAAAAGCGGGCAAGCTCATCGTGCAAATTGGTCTTCCGGCCCCTGAAAAGGGTGTCGAAGTTGCCTGTGCTAAAACGATGGAACGGATGTCCCGGGCTGGCCAGCAGCCGCAGAGCATGATGGGCCATCTTCCCAACCACAGAACAATTTTTTGTGTGCTCACTGTCGATGGCCATAATCTCTCGTCTTGCGTAGCCTTTGTTGAATGTCGGATTTCTAAAGCAGGAGGAAAACACACTGATCACTTCCTCATACACACAAAGATCTGGCGTCCCGTTGCTGTTGAACGCTGGCACCTCAAAGTAAAAGGACGTTCTCTCTCCCACCGTCGCAGCGTTCCATCTGCCACCACTGCAGTACACAAGCTTCTTGCACAAGTCCGTCTCAGGATATTCTTTAGAGCTCACGCAAACCATGTGTTCGCAAAAATGGGCCAATCCGATAGTGTCGTCCCGATTCGAATGATGGCCAACGGCCACGGAAAGACCGCACGCCGCGGCTTCCTGAGTTGGGTCCGAGATCAACAGGACATTGATCCCGTTGGGGAGCACAAATTGGAGGTGATTGCGGTGTCTGGCGCCAAGTGGAATATACAAAGACATTACCCCCACCAGAGCGCTCCGGCCGCCTTTAAATGGTGTTGATCCCCAACAGCACCACTGCCCCCTTTTTTGTTTGAGACCGGTTTTTTCTCACTAAGTTTCCTTTTTGGAATTTTTAATGCACAGCCTGCTAAGCGGCCAAGCAACCAGCAACATAGCCAATGGGCAAACCGCAAGCTGGACCCACGTAGCACAGTAGATTTACAGCAGCGATAGGATCTGCGTCAAAGCGTGCCAGAGAAGCATGCCCCCACCGTCAACTTATTCCCTGCTTCGCCACCCTTGCCACTAATCTTTTTCTCTTTTTATACCACATTTTATTCTCATGTCCAAACAAACGTCTGTCAAACTTGTGCTGCTGGGCGAGGCAGCCGTTGGAAAATCCTCGCTGGTGTTGCGGTTCGTGTCGAACGACTTCCAGGAAAACAAAGAGCCCACGATCGGCGCCGCATTCCTCACCCAGCGGTGCACTATCGGAACAAAAACCATCAAGTTCGAGATTTGGGATACCGCTGGCCAGGAGAGATTTGCCAATCTGGCCCCGTTATACTACAGAAACGCGCAAGCAGCACTGGTTGTGTACGACGTTACAAAGCCAGCAAGCTTCATCAAAGCCAGGCACTGGGTTAAAGAACTGCATGAACAGGCCTCAAAGAATATCGTGATTGCTCTCGTCGGCAACAAGTACGACCTGGTGGTGGACCCAGAGACCGGCGAGGAGATCGAGGGCCGCAGAAGCGTCTCCGTCGAAGAGGGCAAGGCCCTAGCTGACGAAGAGGGGTTACTGTTTTTTGAGACTAGTGCCAAATCCGCTTTCAATGTCAACGAGGTGTTCACAGCAATTGGAAAACAGATCCCGGAAGAGACGTCAAAACCCCAGGATGAGCCCTCTTCAGTCGGAAGAATAGACCTTAACGCCCCTGTCGACGAGTCCGGAGGGACCGGCAACTGCGCTTGCTGATCTACTTACAACTTCGCCTTCATCGTCAATCCCCCCTTGGTGGCCTCCTGGTTGATCTCCAAAGCACTGTTCGACGAATACTTCTCGTGTTTGTCTCCTTCTCCAAAGAAGACCACGCTCACAGTCAAGTCGTCTCTGTACCGCCTGCTCAACGGAGAAGGAATGCTGACCAGCATGTTCACCTCCTCTTTCGAACCCCCGTTACTTAATGCGTTTCTAATCAGATGTGTGGCCACGTTTTCATCTTCTAGTAAAAATCCAACCTCGTTGGACTTCCGTTTCGTCTGTAGTCTCTGCTTGCTCTTCGAGCTCTGGTCGGTCACGTCTTCGACCAGAGGCAACTTGTCTTTCGAGCTCGGCCACAGCGTGTCCATGAACGACTTCTTGGGCTTCACCATCCTCTTTTTCTCCATCCACCGCACCACGAGTCCCACGATCTCCTCGTTGGTCAGCATCTCGTACAGTCCGTCGGAAGCCATCACCAAAAAATCGTGTTTGGACGGCGAAACCTCGTGCGTCGTTATAACCGGCTCGGCAGTCACATATGGAGGCGTCTTGAGGTTGGCAGGCAGCTGCCTGCCAAAGAACTGGTTGGCCACTCTGGTCTGGATATCCTTAGCCCATTTGTATCTGGCGTCGCCAAACGCTCTAGTCGGCTCCAACGATCCCAGAACGCGGCCATTTCTCACCACGTTCGGCTCGTTCGGATGTTCACTGAGCAGCTTGGCCACTTCTGTCGGGTTGGAGCCTGTTTGATCAGTCGAGAGTGCCCGCACAGTCCACTTGTTTTCGTGGTCGTCCAGAGATCCCAATAGGGCTCGCGAGTCGCCCGTAACGGCCACCTTGAGGTTACGCGAATGGGTGTCGTAGAAGGACATCAGGGCACACGAGCCGGAGAGAGCAGGCATCAGGAGCTCGGCGGCTCCGGCTTTGTTAGAAGGGTTTTCAAGCAATTTTTGCACGTTTTTGTTCACGATCTCGTCGTCTAGCTTGAGAAAGCCCTGTTTGATGGCCCTGTCGATTGTTTCGCTCGACGGGATCAGCCTGAGGTTCTTGTCGCTGACTTTGTAAGCCTGGTCCAACTCGTTGACCACGTAGTCGAGAAGGCTGTCACGAAGTTTGGCCGACGTATTCCAGCCCGCATGACCATCGAAGATTGACCAGAAGTGCCAATCTGTCTCGACCCGCGCGTTGTTGTTTTCCCTGTCCTGGACGGGAACCTGGACGAGCTTCTCGCTACGGTCGTCCTCAATTGGGTTGTTGCTAGGTAATTGACAGATATCATACCGGATCACGCCCTTCCCGCGGTTGACCAGGTACGATTCTTCATATTGTCTCAACCTTCTGCTGACCTCGGCATCACTTAGGAGATAGATGCCCTGCTTGTTTTGCTGGGCCGAGATGCCGCTTAGAGAGCTTGTCGAAGCCGAGAACAGCTGTTTCTGGTCTGCGCTACTGGCTCCCTGGGCCGGCAGAGAGTCAGAGCGCAAATTGTTGTTAGTGAGGGAAACATAGGAGGTGGCCAGTAGGAGGCCGGAAACCAGCGCTAGACGAAACTCTGTTCTCATCTTGGACCCTTTGTGGCAGTTTGTGGCAAATCGGTGGTATCCTCGAGCCAGCGGAATGTTCTTGGAGCAGGATCTGAGTCTTAGAGCCAACATATTAGGAACAAGAGAATTTCTGGATTGCGAAATCAGCGTGGGTGAGCATGTCTGGCTGTGCAAAGATTTAACTCCTTAGGACGATCGAAAAAAAAAGTTTGGAAAAAGTTTGACTAGCCATGCCGCCAAAGAAGGCCCAGAAGGCCCAGAAGGACGCCGAGAAGAAGAAGAACGCCAAGAAGGTGCAGAAGCAGCTGGAAGATAAGACTTTTGGCCTGAAAAACAAGAACAAGTCCAAGAAAGTGCAGCAGTATGTGAACCAGGTCACCGCACAGGCTGCAGACAAGAAGGCCCAGGCCATGGCCAAGCAGCGTGCTGCCGAGAAGAAAGCTGCCGAGGAAGCGAAGAAGGAGGCTGCCAAGCTGCTCCAGGCCTCGATCCCTACGCAAAAAGTGCCTTTTGGAGTGGATCCAAAGTCGATTCTATGTGAATTTTTCAAAGCGGGAGCATGCACAAGAGGCAAGAATTGTAAATTTAGCCACGATCTTGCTGTTGGCCGGAAGGCTGCCAAGAGGGACCTTTACGCGGACGATAAGGACGAGGAAAAGAGAAACGACACAATGGACAACTGGGACGAGGAAAAGCTCAGAAAGGTGATTTTGTCCAAGCATGGAAACCCAAAGACCACCACAGACAAGGTGTGCAAACACTTCATTTCTGCCGTCGAGGACGGCAAGTACGGATGGTTTTGGACGTGTCCGGACTCTGACCCCAAGCAGGGCAAGGAGTGTAAGTATAGACACTCGCTTCCGCCGGGCTTTGTGCTCAAGACCAAAGAGCAGAGACGGCTGGAGAGATTGGCGTTGGAGGCACAGCCCAAGATCACGCTGGAGGATTTCATAGAGACAGAGAGAGACAAGCTGCCACGAGACAAGCTGACGCCAATCACGCCAGCCACGTTTGCAGAATGGAAGAAGAAACACACACAGGAAAGAGAGAAGCAGAGCGAGACGACCAAGAGGGCCCTCACAGGAAGAGAGATCATCATCAAGAAGTTTGCAGATAAGTTTTATCAGGAGGAAGATACAGGCGAGAAGGGCACGGAGATTGACATGTCGCAGTTCCGTGTCGCGCTTGACGAGGTGGACAACGAGAACATCAAGGACTACGGAGATGGAAAGAATGCATTTTTTGAGGAAAATAATGCAAGTTAATTCGGGAGATCGCCTATTTGGCTGTCTTGATGGCGCTAAACGAAGCTTCCATCACGTCCGCGGCGTCCCACCAGAACCGGAAGTCGACCTCTGGCGGATACTCGCTGACAACGTGGTACACGCGCTCTTTCCACAGTTCCTTTTTCCGATCAAAAGCGTACTCGTCCGAGGGGCTTTCTGCCTGCTGCGAGAACGAGAAGTTTTTAGTCGGCGAGTGCGGTGCGTATCGCATAGAGTCCGTCGGGCGACGCGGAATAGGGGGCGGCGACGGCGACTTGTTGTTTGCGAGGCTCGTGTCGCTTCTCATGTAGCTCCGCTTGGGGAGGGGTGGTGCATCCAGAGGTATGTAGTCGGCGGAATGCGAGAGGGTGTTGGAGATTTGAGTCTTGATGAACTCTCGATGGAGTTTTGGAGATCGCAGAGTATCTCTGTAGGATCTCTGATCTTTCGAGGATTCAGTAGATTTTAGCGGTTCTCCTTGCAAAACCTTGGGCTTAGGAGGCGGGATGGGCGAAAACTTCTTCTTTTTAGCATCTGTGTTGGAATTTCGAAGAGCAAGTATGCTTTGCAGTTCCTTGAACACTTTGAGGTCATCGCCGTTCGAAGAAAACGCACCGTTCAAAGCACGAATGTAAACGGCAAGAACCTGGTTTGGAAAAAGGCTCACCAGTTGCGCATAGGCCTCCACGTCCTGCTCTCCGGCGTCCCCGATCAAAATAAATTTTCTATTAGGGAAGTCAGTGAATAGTTTGATGAGCGAGTCTTTCTTCCGTTCTGCGGATGGCATTGTGAAAGATGCTATCAAATTGCCCGAATACTGGCGTAAACTAATGCTGTCGACGGGCAAGCCGATGTAATCCATGAACCCAGACACGACGTTGTATATCTGCCACGGGGAGTTCGACACGTAATGGATGGGGCAGTGGTATTTGAACTTTAGCTGTTGCAGCCAGCCAGCCACGCGCGGGATCTCACATTCACTGAAATCCTTGGCAAACACGTTTCTGAACAATTCTCGTTTATCGCCCAGCACGCCTGTGATTCTGACAGTGTCGTCTATGTCTGTAATGACGCTCACTCCCTTTGATCCGATCACATTCGCCTCTTGAGTCTGTCTAATGTTTGGGTTGTCCACAGACGACACAGAAATGAAAGATGGCTTGTACGAAGATGCCACCGAAATATTGAACGCACCAACGCTGTCAGTGTACAGATTGGCACCCAACAGCGAGTCTGTTTGGTCATCCGAGTATAGCGTAATGTTCAGTGGTGTTTTAGGGATCGTTCTAGCCATGATGCCATGCATGCGCTCGCGGATCGTGTCGTGGGAGGGGGAAGAGTCTGTAGACTGCGACCCAGACGACACCGTCGAGGCAGTGTCGGAGTCAGGGCCTTTAGTGTCGGGATGTGTCAGGGAGTCCTCCAATTCCGTTTCTATCTGGTTGACTGTCGAGGACGAGACGTTGGATTTGGACAAACGGTGCACCAGCGACATCATAAGCTTGTTTTTCCTATTCATCACTCCGGGACAGAAAATGGACCCTGCAACGTCGGTGACGTACTCGCCGTTCATGTAGCGGGTATACGTTCTATAAAGCAATATCTGGGCGTCGTCAGGCACTTGTGCGGCCAAGTTGGCGGCCTCTTCCTCGTCGTGGATAAAATTCTGCTGGATTGCGGTAGTGATGCTCTTGAAATACGGAGACTCCTTGGTGCTTCTGAACGCATTCATTATTCGTCTCTTGCCCATGTTGAGGACTGTGCTGGCCCGTTCGTCTTCACGGGGGCCCGCAGCGAGCGGCTTGCGTGGATTTTCCATCAGCTTCCTATAAAAAGCGGAATCCAAGTCCTTGCGTAGTACGAAGAAAAAGACCTTGTCCTTGCTGGATCGGAGAAATTTATTATTGATGTATCTAGCAAGATTGTACCGGAGAGATCGATGCGGACGATGGACAAGGCCTAGTCTGTGCTTGATGCGTCTGAACAAATTCACGGTGGAAGAGGATCAACAAGCAAAGTTATTTCAGATCCCTCAAACGTAATTTTTATGCGAGCGTCGATCGTCCACAATTCTATTCGTACATATTATATGTGCACCACGTTTTTCAAAGCGTAGCAGACAACTATCGGCATCGTCACCACGAGCGACGTGTATTGGACAATCAGGTACAGCGACAGACAGTTAATCTGTAGCGGGTTCTCGTCCTCCGGGTCCATGTTGCTGGCCGTCAGGTACACCTGGATGGTGGCAGAAGGGAGCGAGAACTCCATGCACGTAACAAACATGGCCATAGGGTCTGTGAGCCAATGGGCGCTTTTCATGCGGTTGACCCAGAGAACGCCGATGATTGGCAGAATGCACAGACGGTAGACCGTGTGGCAAACCACGCATTTCCAGAAGCCCTTGGGGATGTCGTTGATTTGCAGCCGGCCCAAAAGCGACCCGATCAGAAAAATCCCCAGCGGGACACAGGGCATGGAACAGTACTCTGCGTACTGGAGGATGAAAGACAATGGTGGTCTGTGGTCGGGTGCGTTGGGCATGTACACTGTGGTCTGCACAAAAAGCGCCTTTAGCCACGGGATTAATGCAATTATGAGCGAGATAATGAGCACAATGGAGTTTGGCTTTTTCAGGTTCTTGATAAAAAAAATCAAATAATGCAGCTTGTATCGTTTGACCCACGGAGCCTTTGCGGAGTTCTCAATGTCCTTAGAGCTCAAATTGGTCTCTGTGATGATTTTCATGTTCGTCGGCGTGTCCCTGTTGTAGGGTTCGTGGCGCGAATATTCTCTGATGAGTTCCTGGACGTGCGGCTGAGTGAGCACGCTGGAACGGTGCGACGACGCGGCGGAGCGCGCGGACGACGCGTGCGAATTGCACTGGCTCAGTGAATAGTCGTGGTGCGACCGTGCCGAAGGGATGCGCGAGATAGGGTACCGAGCGCTGCGCGAGTTGTGCGACGAGGTATTGGAGAGCAGTGCGTGCGGGTTTAAATTTTCACTCGCGGAAGCAGAGTCGATGCTCGACAGACTGGACCCAGACATCGACGACTTGGGTGAGGGGTGGTCGTGGTCCGCGTCTGTGTCGCGCTCCGGGGGGCTGTCTTCGCGAATTGTGGGCAGCTCGAGGCTCTGCGATTTTTCCTCCGCGTCACGTTGCCTTCGGAAATCCAGTTCCACCAGTTGGAACATCCCGCAGTTGAACTGCACAATTATATACATGGTGAGCCAGATGATCACGTAGGCAGTGCCCTTGTTGATCTCGTCGTCGGTAAAGGTGGTCATGGCCTGCAGATACGAGATCGGGAGGTCGGAAACGTTCTGCATTATCCCTGCAAGCATAGCTCCTCCTATCCAGGACTGATTTTTTTTCTTAGGCACGGGAGTCACCGTCACGATTACCGCTGTGACACCAGCGTTGCAGCAGTACATGACAAAAGCCGACAGGCAAATCACGCCGATCGTCTTGATGTCGGATATTGAGATGTAGGAAACGATTTTGTCGAAGATAAGAGCAGGCATGAACAGAAGCAACACAAGATCGCTAATTGCTCTGGTGGTGGACACGCTCACAAACCCGAGTTTCGTCATAATAAAGCCCGTCAGGATGATCATGTACATCCTGATAATGGGCTTAACCGCCGAGTATATCACTTCAGGAAGTGGCACACCCATAGTTTTTGTGCAGAAAGAAAATAACCACAAATTTTGAGCACCGTTTTTTTTATAGCTAGATAAGCTGGGATATTGATAATCACGCAAGTTTTTTTCTCTCCACCTGTCAAGGCGGCACGTTGCGGGTGGGAGAGGAGAGGGTGTCAAACATCTTTTTTATGTTTGTTGCTGTCGTTTTTAGTTCCAATCCCCTGCTGCTGGTTCCTGCTCTAGCGCATGATTTAGATTTAATAACTTTTTCTCATTCCCTATTTCTATGAGTCCGGCCTTTTCCCAGTTGCAGATAAACTGGTCAGCGAGCAGTTTTGTAGTGCACCTTCCGGGGGACAGTAGCTCCCTTACTGCTGGCATCCGGCTTGTACTTGGCCACCGTTCATCTGTGAACTCTCTGCTCTCCCACCTGGATCCCCACCTGGGCCCCTCTAACTTATGTCTGCGATTCGAGAGAATACACTTATATCTCGAACAATGGTCTGTGCAGATAACAGGATCGCCACAGAGGGTGTCTGAGATGTACGGATTGGTAAGTTCACCTGCTTTCGTTCAACTGTTTTCGCTTCTAACCAGATAATATCCCTTTTTTCAGAAGACCCCCTAATTTTGTGGCCCAAATTCAGCCAGCCGCCAAAAAAGGGGGTTCTGGTGAACAAGCACTACGCTTTTGGTGATATCTTTCGGCTAGATAGAAATTCGGAGCCTCCGCTCACAAAATTGTGCGGAAAGAATGTTGATCTGAGACCGCCAACAAGAATCGGATATCTGCAGGAAAATAAAGTTCTGACCGAGAGAAACACCGTACCTGCTGTTTCTTCTGCAAAACAGAATGTGGCAGTGAAAAAGCAGTACCGCATGACACGCAAGGAGATAGGGTCACTGATTGGGAAGAAAGGGAAGGATATTGAACGGCTCCGGGAACAGACGGCAGCGAAAATCAAAATACACGACGCAGCCGACACTGAGAACGTGGCTTTAGTTACAGGTGTTAACCAGCTGCAACTGCTCGAGATCACGGGCCTCCGAGAAGAAGTGAAGGAGGCCGAGCAGCTGATCCAAAGGAGAATTTGTCAGTGGCGTGCTACCAAAAGTTGAGGCAGTGCTAAAAGAAGACTTACCCACAAAAAGCGTCGTGCGCAAGAGCCAAACCCGTTATTTTTTTCCTGAAAAATTTTTCACTTTGGGAATATTTCAAGGTAAATTTTGGGGGTTTAAAATCTTTTAATTACCTTTACAAATAGACATAATGGCTGACGGCGTTTTCCAAGGTGCTATTGGTATCGATCTTGGTACCACTTACTCCTGTGTTGCTACATACGACTCTGCTGTCGAAATCATCGCTAACGAACAGGGTAACAGAGTTACTCCTTCGTTCGTCGCTTTCACTCCTGAGGAGAGATTGATTGGTGACGCTGCTAAGAACCAGGCTGCTTTGAACCCAAAGAACACTGTTTTCGATGCTAAGAGACTGATCGGTAGAGCTTTCTCTGACGAGTCTGTGCAGAAGGACATCAAGTCGTGGCCATTCAAGGTTATCGATGACAACGGCAACCCAAAGATCGAGGTTGAATACTTGGGTGAGACCAAGACTTTCTCTCCACAGGAGATCTCCTCTATGGTGTTGACCAAGATGAAGGAGATTGCTGAGGCTAAGATCGGCCAAAAGGTCGAGAAGGCCGTCATTACCGTTCCAGCTTACTTCAACGACGCTCAAAGACAAGCCACCAAGGACGCTGGTGCCATTGCTGGCTTGAACGTGTTGAGAATTATCAACGAGCCTACCGCTGCTGCCATTGCTTACGGTCTTGGTGCTGGTAAGTCCGACCAAGAGAAGCACATTCTGATCTTCGACCTTGGTGGAGGAACTTTCGATGTTTCCCTGCTGCACATTGCGGGTGGTGTCTTCACCGTCAAGGCTACAGCCGGTGACACTCACTTGGGTGGTCAAGATTTCGATACCAACCTCCTTGAGCACTTCAAGAAGGAGTTCCAAAAGAAGACTGGTTTGGACATCTCCGGTGACGCCAGAGCTTTGAGAAGACTCAGAACCGCCTGTGAGAGAGCCAAGAGAACTCTTTCCTCCGTCACCCAAACCACTGTCGAGGTTGACTCCTTGTTCGAGGGTGAGGACTTCTCTGCTAACATCACCAGAGCCAGATTCGAGGACATCAACTCTGCTCTGTTCAAGTCCACCTTGACTCCAGTCGAGCAAGTTCTGAAGGATGCCAAGATCTCCAAGTCCCAGGTCAACGAGGTTGTCCTTGTTGGAGGTTCCACCAGAATTCCAAAGGTCCAAAAGCTGTTGTCTGACTTCTTCGACGGTAAGCAGCTCGAAAAGTCCATCAATCCAGATGAGGCCGTTGCCTACGGTGCTGCCGTCCAAGGTGCCATTCTGACCGGGCAATCCACCTCTGACGAGACCAAGGACCTGCTGTTGTTGGATGTCATCCCACTCTCGCTTGGTGTTGCTATGCAGGGTAACGTCTTTGCTCCAGTCGTTCCAAGAAACACCACTGTGCCAACCATTAAGAGAAGAACCTTCACCACTGTTGAGGACCACCAGACTACTGTCCAGTTCCCAGTGTACCAGGGTGAGAGAGTCAACTGTGCCGAAAACACCCTGTTGGGTGAGTTCGACCTCAAGAACATCCCACCGATGCCTGCTGGAGAACCAGTTCTGGAGGCCATTTTCGAGGTCGACGCCAACGGTATCCTGAAGGTCACCGCCGTCGAGAAGTCCACCGGTAGATCTGCCAACATCACCATCTCCAACTCTGTCGGTAGATTGTCCACCTCTGAGATTGAGAAGATGATCAACGACGCTGACAAGTTCAAGAAAGCCGACGAGGAATTCTCCAAGAAGCACGAGCAAAAGCAAAGACTCGAGTCGTACGTCTCTTCCATCGAGGCCACCGTCACCGACCCAGTCCTGTCTGCCAAGATGAAGAAGGGTGCTAAGGACAAAGTTGAGGCTGCTCTGTCCGAGGCTCTGGCTGCCCTTGAGGTCGAGGACTCTTCTGCTGACGACCTGAGAAAGGCTGAGTTGTCCCTGAAGAGAGTCGTCACCAAGGCCATGGCTACTCGTTAAGCGTGAGATAGTTTATTCGCATAATGGAGTGAATTAAGTATCGATTGTTGTGATTACTCTTTTAATATGTAATTTCCAAACTTATCAGTTTCCAGTTCTTCTCCATCCACCAAGGCCTGCACGATTTTTTCGTTGACAGAGTCTGTGTCCGAGCCAGACTCTGAAAACTCTAGCTCCGACCCATACTCCTCCTCGTCCTCCTCTTCTTCCTCTTCGTCCACCTCCGTCCCGTCGTAGTCCCTTCTCATGCTTCCCAAAGCGTCCTCCAACTCCGTCTTCTTCTCGCTCTTGTAGCCAGACGCCTTCACTTGCATGTCCAAATCTCCTATTCTTTGCACGTCTCTGCTGAAAACGGGATACGCGTATCTGAAGCCGTCCCCGTAGCCGTCCGTATCCAGCATCATCGAGTCGTCTTTAGGCGAGTACCCGAATCTGCGCTTGAAAAATCGTCTGATGCACTCCACGTCCCGCTTGAAGTAGAACTCTGCGTCCACGTGGTTGATCGATATACACTGCGGAAAGTCGATCACAAGGAACCCGGGCTCTCTGGCCGGGTCGTAAGAGCCGTCTTCCCTGATCATAATGTTGTACTCGTTGTAGTCGCAGTGAATTAATCCATGGTTGGCTAATTTCACCATAAACTGCATCAGCTGCGAGTACAGCTTTTTGTATTGGAAATGTTCTCGAAGCTGCCGCATCGGGAAGCCCACCACCAGATCCATGACAACACAGTGACGCGAATGGTCTACCGGCCGCGGGATCTCAAACCCGTTCTCATACAGTATCGTCATAAATTCGTACTCTTTTTCTGCTGCCAGCTTCGACAGATGCATCCAGCTCTGAGCTTCCTTATTCCGAAGGTAATCCCGCTTGTTCTTCACTGTGCGGAAAGAGACTCTTCCCAAACGGTGGATCTTCAGTACTCTTTCGTTGCCCTGGCCGTCCTTACCGGCATAAATGTCCGACTCTTTACCAACTCCTATAGTGCTACCTAACTCGACCAAGGTTTTTTTCTGCGCAAACGTCTTGAGCGCCAGATAGTCAAATCCGTTGTATGTCAGCCGGTATCCGTCGTATTTGGCGTTTCGGAGCTTCGAGATGAGGTTCAGTTTCGCCAGATCAGATATCGCTCGGTTAGCGGAGCCCATACCTGTCTTCAGGCTTGCAATTTGGCCTATCAGCTTCGTAGGCACGATCTCGTGACTGCGAGACCCGTTTTCGACGGCCTGGAGTACTCGCCAGTCATCTGCATTGAGATAGCGCATGTGAATAGTGTCCAACTTCATGATACAAACTGAATGAAAAATGCACAAAATTTTTAAAAATGCTAAAAATTAATTCCCGAATGATAACGTGGGATCCGTTGGAATGGATGGCATGAGACTGACGAACACAAAACACGAAGTCTGGTGGATCGAACGGCGGACCACCCAGCCTATCTGGTGTTTTCAGAGGAACAAAAAAAAAACGTCTCCCCTCCCGGGATCGAACCGGGGACCCTGAGATTTCTTGCACAATTACAGTCTCATGCTCTTCCAACTGAGCTAAAGAGAGAACTTGTTGACGGATTACTGTCTTGGGTTGTGACATACAGACAAGCGATAGCATTCATACGCTATATGTCGTGACAGCAGCACAAAAGCAGAGTGTCATACACCGTAGACAGTGGAACTGAGAAATCAGACTAAAAATATTGCACCTTGTCGTAATACATGTTCTCTTATATGGTAGCTCATTCATCATTCTTACTTACAATAGCTTGGTAACCTTTCCGATAGCAATGGTCTGGCCCTGGTCTCTCAGGGTGAATCTGCCCAGCTGTGGATAGTCCTCGTATGTCTCGAGACAAACTGGCATGGCGGTCTCCAGCTCGGCAATGATCTTCATGCCTTGCTTAGCAAATGCAGGAGGCTTCTTGGACTTTCTATTGGTTCCCTTTTGCAAGTGGTGCAGCAGCTTTGTGAATGTAACCTCTTCAATGGCGGTGTGGACGTGCATCACACATGAAAATCCCGATGATAGAATCGACTTGAGCTCGACAATGGCAATTTGCGCCTCGAATCGCGTCACGGTCTTGACTGGGTTAAGCGTGGAAGAAAGCACGTAACCGGCAGACACCTCTTCTTCCTCAACACCCTTCAATTTCATTCTCACCTGCTCTCCGCAAACGGCTGTGTCAACCTCTGCCTCGGTCTCGTTGTAGATGGTCAGCACCTCGACCTGTATCTTGTTTGGCATCATTAACAGCTGTTGCCCCTTCTTGACGTGTCCAGACTCGATCTTACCCTCGACGACCGTACCCAGGTCCTTCATCTTACCGGAGATTGGCAGCATGAACGGATCATTTATCTTTCTAGCAGCAAGAGGCATATTGTCAAGGAACTCCAGCAGAGAAGGCCCGGTGTACCAAGGACACTCTTCCGGCTTGACACGGTCCTTCAACCCTGCACCGGTGTAGCCAGACACAGGCATGAAAACAACGTCATTCTTCTGGTATCCAACACCCTTCAAGTAAGCAGACAGCTTGCTGATGCACTCGTTGTATCTCTCCTCAGACCAGTTGACTGTAGGATCGTCCATCTTGTTGATCACCACAACCAACTTATTGACACCTTGCGTCTTGGCGAGAATAGCGTGCTCTCTGGATTGTCCTCCTCTCTCGAAACCGGCCTCGTATTCTCCCTTACGGGCAGAAATAACCAAAATACCAACATCTGCCTGGGAAGCTCCTCCAATCATCTCAGAAATGTACAGCTTGTGGCCTGGAGCATCCAGAATAGTGTACCTTCTCTTTTCCGTCTCGAAGTAGGACTTTCCAACCTCGATTGTCTTACCGTCGTTTCTCTCCTCCTTATTGGTGTCCATAATCCAGGACAAATACCAACCTTGTCTTCCGGCCTCCTTCGCCTCTCTTTCGTACTTCTCCACTGTCCTCTTGTCAACTGCTCCAGTCAGATATAGAATATTACCTCCCATGGTACTCTTTCCGGCATCCACGTGGCCCATGAAGATGATCGACATGTGGTCTTTTCCGCCAAACATATCCTGCAGAACAGACTCGTCCAGCTGTTGCTCTTGTTCCTTGATGACAGAAGATGGAGCAACAGACTTGTCTGTCTTTTGTGGCTTGGAGACAGTCTTGGTGTCAGACTTGGCGTCGACCTTTGGTCCTGGCTTTGGGGCGGCCTTGACCTCCGCCTTGATCTCCTGCTTGGTATCCTGCTTGGTATCCTGTTTTGGCTCCTGTTTTGGCTCTTGCTTTGTTTCCTTTGGCTCCTCATTTTTAGGCTCTTCCTTCTTCTTACCTGGCGCCTTAACGGTGCTGCTGTTCAAGTTCAGCTTCAGCTTGGTCTTCGGCTTGGTGCTCTTGTTCAGCGACTCCTGTTGCTGTTTCTGGTACTCTTCCAAAGACATCTGGTTGCTTTGTTGTTGCGGCTGAGCACCATATGGGTCGCGGGAATCGTAGCCAAATGGCTGTGGCGGCACGTACTGGCCATATTGCTGGTACTGGCCGTATTGCTGATTGTATTGTTGGTATTGATTAAATTGCTGATATTGTCCAAATTGCTGTCCAAACTGGCCGGGAACAAACGAAGGAGCCGCATTCGGGTTGAATTGCTGGCCCCCCACGTTCAAGTTTTGCATCCCCTGAGACAAGTCGTCCTGGCTGTTTTGCTGGTTAGGGTTCGACATTAAGCTATAATAAATTAAGGATGGATTTGGAAAATTTTTTTTTGCTCCACTACTTTCTGTCAATTTGCAAATGGGTTCAGATATGTTTTAAAAACTAAACATAAACATAAACAATATCGTTCTTTCAGTCATGGATAACGTGGAGTACCTCGATCCAGACTTTGACCCCCACAAGGTGACTGTGCCGCGTCTGAGATCGATTCTCGTTGACAGACAAATTGAGTACCCGTCCAGCGCGAAGAAATCTGAGCTGATCCAGTTGTATGAAGAGTATATTCGCCCTAACGCGGCCAAGTGGCTCGAAGACTACAAGAGAAGTATCGAAAATAGCGTCGAGATAGACGAGGCCAACACTTCGTCTAAGCGAAGCGCGAAAAGCTCCAGAAACTCGACTCCCGACAAAAGATCGCGCAAAAGTCTGAGCCCTGCTCCAGACCAGACTGTCCCGCAAAAACGAGGTTCCGAGGCGGCCACTCCTAAAAGGAAGAAGCTGCATAGGAAGAACAGAAACACGGAAGAGAACGCCGTCTCCGACGATGCTGAGTCGCCAACCGTCAGCAGAATGGAGGAAGGAAAGCCAACTAACTCCATGAAGTCGCCACTGTCTTTGGAGAAGTTTGAGTCTGAAAGCCCGGTTGAGGAGGGTGACATTTCTGATATCCTTGCGAGACTTGTGAGTCCTAAAAAGGAGCAGCCAAAACTCGAGAAGACTGAAAACGAGATGGAGAACACGTTCGAGGCAGTCGAAGATGTTCAGGTTCCGTCTTTTCTTGACGAAATGCTGGCGGGACCTGATAGGATTCTGGACGACGAGAGTGGAGATGATGAGCGCACGATAGCGAGCGCTGCAAAAACGATGCGAAAGGAATCAATCTCGGATGCTGACAGCTCGGACACCGAAGTGGAGGAAGCAGAGGTCAAGGTGCGGCAGAGCGAGGTGTGCGAGGTTGTGCAAGCTGATGACCAACAGCAAACAGAGATGGTAGAGACAGAGACGATAGAGGAGACCATCACTGTGACCGAGTCTCCTGGCGAGATAGAGTCAAAGCCTGCTCAAAAATGGCATTACAAGTATGCACTTTTATTGCTACCAATTTTGTCGTCGCTTTTTTTCTACCGCTCGATGGCCGTTGACGTTGGATTTTGTGGTCGGGAAGGCGAGATAAGGAGTGTACGGTCGTACACGCCTACAGAAAGTCCATTGTTGACGCAGCTCGCAAATAAAGCCGATGCGTTTTTGGAGCAGCTCAAACCGCGCTGCGTTCCGTGTCCGGAGCACGCAATCTGCAAATACGACTCGAAGCTGGAGTGCAAGAGCGGGTACACTGTTTCAAGACCGTGGCAGTCGCTGTTAGGTCTAATTCCTCGGATGGAGCAATGCGTCTATGACGAGAAACGTCTCGAGAAGATCAAGTTAATGACCGACTTTACGCTGGATATTCTGCGCCGCAAGAACGGCAAAGAGATGACACTGGAGGAGCTGCACAACTTTCTCAAGGCCACGAAGTCGGCCGGCATGGCTGACGAGGACTTTGAGGAGTACTGGCTCCGGTTCGTGACGGAGGAGATCTCGAAAGAGCCGGAGATCAAGGTGGACTTTACCACGAGCTCGATCTCGATCGAGAACAAGATCCCCACGCAGTTCCTCACACGGACGCCAGGGGCCAGACGGGCTAAGAAGTCGAAGCTTTTCCAGCGGTATCCGCTTCCGACGTCGACCTTTGGCGGGTTTTCTGCGTATGGTAATTAAATAGGACTATGTAACGAATCATGAAATAATAATTTGGGCTGTGCGTAAGAAAAAGATTTCATAATGGTTTTGGCCAAGATAACAGACCACGGTCTTTTAATGGACCAAACAAGCTCTGAGACCAGCAGTGCTGGCTTGTTTTGCTGCAGTCCGTCTGAGCTGGCTGACAAAAACGGTTTTGAAGAACTTTCCAGCGGTACGCTTATCCCGTTCAAAAACATTGTCTGGGTAGAAGGAGCTCTAAATGAGAGCGTGGAGATCACATATGTAGAGCAGCAGGATTCGCATTTGAAGGTCCGCACCGTTGTGGCGGATGTAACCGGCGGAAAGCAGTCGAACGAGCCGGGATCGAAGAGTGCTGTGTCGCAGCTGATGGCTCTGGCGTACGCAAATTCTGAGCCCAAGAAGTCCGTCATTGTATTTGTGAATCCGCACAGCGGCAAGGGCAAGGCCATTCATCTGTATGCGCACGAGGTGGAGCCTATTTTGAGCGCTGCCCGGTACCACGTCGAGCTTGTCAAGACGGAATACACAGGCCATGCTACAGAATACATGAAACATGTGGATATCAACAAGTACGACGGAGTCATATGTGCTTCTGGTGACGGCATTCCGCACGAAGTGCTCAACGGCATATATAGTCGCGAAGACCGCGTTCGGGCCTTTGAAAGGCTTTTTATCGCGCAGACTCCGTGCGGATCCGGTAACGCCATGGCTCTCTCGTGTCTGGGCACTTTGAAGCCGGGACTGGCGACTCTGGAAATCATCAAGGGCCACACGGTGCGCAGCGATCTGATGCTTATCTGCTCCAAGAGCGCCGGTCTGCGCGTCTCATTCTTGAGCCAGACCTACGGCGTCATCGCCGAGGCAGACATAGGCACCGAGTGGATGCGTTTCATCGGCGAGATTCGCTTCGATATTGGCGTGGCGTTCAAGATTCTGCGCAGGAAGCAGTTTCCGTGCCGCGTGGCAGTCAAGCGGATCACCAACGACAAACAGGAGCTCTTGGAACGTTACAAGTCACAGTACCAGCAGCATGGTGTGACCAGACTGCTAGACGAGGACGCACTAAAGCCGAAGTATTTTGACGGACAACTGTTTGACGACAACCAGCTACCAGCAGGCTGGGAATGGTTGGACGACAACGTCACACAGAACTTATCCATATTTTATGCGGGAAAGCTACCGTACATCTCCAAGGACGTGGACTTCTTCCCTGCTGCGCTGCCGAACGACGGGGCGATCGACCTTGTGCTTTTCGACGGCCGCGCACAGGTGTGGAAGTCTGCGCACAGTCTGCTCCAGCTCGATAAGGGAATGCACGTTTGGCACGACCACGTGGACCATATGAAGGTGGAGTCGTTGAAACTGGTGCCGATGCTCGAACAGGGCCGCACCAGCTACATTTCCGTCGACGGAGAGAATTTCCCCGTGGAGACGATCCAGGTGGAGGTGCTCCTGGGCGTGATGAAGACTGTGATGAACGACGGCCGCTACAAAGACAGCGGATTTTTAGCACACATTCCTTAATACTGAAAACATAGAGAACGCTACTCTTTCTTGTCCTCCTCCTCGTCGCTGTCGTCCACAGCAAACGTATCGTCCACAACCGGTTCCGGCTGGATCACCGAGATCGGCTCGTGTTTCTGTTTCGTATCCGTTGTAGCGTCCTCAAGCTTTATTCCTTCGACTTGCTCCTCCAGCTCCTTGCTCTTGCGCGACTCAGCCCCAAAGCTCGTTTTCTGCGGCCGTGGCGGTCTCACAGGAGGCGGAGGCGGGGTCTGACTGTCCTCGCGGCTTCTGTTGGACTGCATGCTGGATTTCCTGCCAAACGCGTTGAACAGCTGGTTCTCGCCCTGGCCCTGCTGCGCAGTGCCGCCCTCTGTTGTCTGGAGTTTCTTGGCCAGGTTGCTCATCCAGCCGCCAACGGCGTTCTTGGCCCCCTCCACGTTTTTCGCCAGCGACTCGACAAAGTCCTCCTCGGAGTCAGACTCGTCCTCGATCGCAGCCCAGACAGGCTTCTTCTTAGGCTTTGGAGGCGGGGCTTTGGAGCGAGAGCCGCGTTTCTCGTATTCGCGGGCCAGCCGACGCGCCAGCGCCTCGTCCGACTCCAACTGCCGCCGTTTCTCAAACGTGTCCTTCGATGGCAACTTTGGCTTGGCCTCCACAACAGGCACTGCAATGTCCGACGAAGGGTCCGACAAAAACAGCAGCGCATTGAAGGCAGGATCCAACTGGCCCTGCGACGCAATGAGGGCCATTTTCACGTACTTTTCCTCCACGGTTGGAAACGCCTCCTTGAGATCTTGGATCGCCCGTTCGGCTGCAGATACCGGCCTTTTAGGCATTGGCGGTGGGGCAGCCTCAGAAGACGCACCTTCAGCCTTCTCAGCAGCCGGTGCCGGCTCTGGCGTCTCCTGAGAAACCTTCTCCTCCTCCTTGAGGTCTACTTTGGTGGTTGCCTCGGATGTTTCTTGGTCACTCATAGTTTAATAAATAATTTTGTCGCGGCGATTTTACATACCTAAAATAGTAAACGGCACAAGATCCACAAGCCTGATGCTCACTCGGTTTTGACGGCCTTTGCAGCCTTACCCCGGCACAGGACTTTTTCAAGACAGTAGACAACAGCGTCCAAGCACACGCGGAAAATGTACACCACCAGATCTGCAAGAATACAGAGCAGCCATGGCGTGATGATGATCATCGACACGGTGTACTGCACAGTTAGCCCAGAAATCCAATCAGATACTCACGTTGAACCAAATCACACAGCTCTTTATTTTATCCCATGTCTGAGCCAGCAAGTCCCAGTCCACTGACGACTCCAGCATCTATGTGTAGCAGCCAGAAAAATTTAAAACTCTAAAAAATATATTTAATGAGCAGGCTCGAGCTGTACTCGCCTGAAGGCCTCAGGGTCGACGGAAGACGATGGAACGAGCTTAGAAGGTTTGAGTGCCAGACAAACACACATCCGAACGCAGCGGACGGGTCGTCGTACGTCCAGCAGGGAAATTCCAAGGTGTTATGTCTGGTGAAGGGCCCGATGGAACATGGGGCGAACCTCGCCGCAGGAACAAAGCTAGATCCCAACGGGCCAGTGCTATCTCTCAACATCAACTACCCGCCGTTTGCCTCTTACGAGAGGAAAAAAAGACCAAAGAACGATAGACGATTACAGGAGATTAGCATTATTCTCAAACGTTGCTTCATGAAAACTATAGTGCTGAAAAATTATCCACGAACAGCCATCGACATTAACCTCACGGTGCTGGCGATGGACGGCGGCCTGCTGGCCTGTTTCTGTAACGCCATCACGCTGGCGCTGATCGACGCCGGGATCTCGCTATACGACTACGTCAGTGCCGTGAGCGTGGGACTGTACGACCAGACACCGCTGCTGGACATGAACGCGCTCGAGGAAAACGATCTCAGTTTCATCACGATCGGTGTGGTTGGCGACTCCGACAAGCTGAACTTGACCCTCTGCGAGGACAAGCTGCCGCTCGACAAGCTAGAAAGACTGATCAGTCTGGGCATAGAAGGCTGCCACCGGCTGAAGGAGCTCATGGATTTGCAGGTGCGTGTAGCAGGCGGGCAGCTGCAAGAACGCCAGTAATGTACTTATTTCAGATGTATTTTCCGTAGCAAGTTGCGTCCCTTCTGTTTGATCACGGAGGAGGTGCGCAGAAGATCGTTTGCCAGCTCTGCGGTTGACGGCGTGCTCGAATGGTACTGGTCCGAGTTTTTGAACGCGTTCAGCACGTTTGGTCCCAACTGCGAGTCGGTGTTGGCGAACGACTTGGAGCCGGCCTTGATGGCCTCGTGCAGATACCCGGAAAGCCCCGTGTCGTACTCCATGAGCTCCTGTCGTGCTTTCTGCAGCGCTGCGAGTCGTTTTTCAGTTGTTGGCAGCTGCATGATTTTTTTCAGGTCCGCGTCGGGAAACGCCGTTATGACAGGGGCCTCCTTGACAGTCTCTTTTGTTTCCTTGGTATCTTGCGATGTCTCGCTTGCAACTCGGCTGTTGGTGCGAGGCTCCGGCACTTCGTCAATAAGCATGGATCGCACACGGGTCTGCCGAATTGGAGGCTTGGCAATAGGAATCCTTCCCTGGTAGCGCTCGCTTCTGAGGTCTTCGTACACTGAAGACCCCAGAGTCTCTGACTTCACCAATCTCACGGTGTCCTTTGTGTTCTGGCGCACAAAAACCTGTCTGAACTGGTCGGCCTCGGAATCTTCTCCGGGCACGCTTTCGGAGTAGCTATCTGACAAGTCGTAGGTGCGTCTGGTCGACAACGAGCCCGACGAGCTCACAGACCGTGTTTCGTGGCCCGCAAATGAGAACTGGTCGTCGTTCTGTTGCCAGGAAAACCTGTCTGAGGGTGAATTCGAAGGTAGAGAAGAGTACGACAACGACGAGTGTTCGTCGGGAGCCCGGCTTGACGAAGCGTCTGTTGATGCGTCGAACGAGGTGCGAATGGTATCGTTATGTATCTCTGAATGCTCCTCGCTGGTATCGAAGTCGTTCAAAAACTGTCCCCTAAACTCCTCTGCGCCAGTTCCAGGCTTAGTCTGCGGACTATTTTCTGGCTCAGCCAGATCTTGCTCAAACTCCTCGTTTGCCATCTGCCTGGCGTCCTCGCCCGCCAGACCGCTAGCAAACTCGTCGATGGAGCGCGAGATGTCATCGATGGAGTTCCCGGACTGCGCAGACTGCGTATCCGGAACGGAAGAACGGTGAACCTCTAACGGAGGAGTGGTCTCTAAAGGGGACTCAACGGCTGTGTGGTCGGAGAATGACGCGACAGAATCAATTTCGTCGTCAGCTACAGCAAAGCTGCCAACCTGGTCTTGTTGTTGATCTGTGTCCTGGAGTGGCTCTTCATCCATTCCATTCGGTTTCTGTTCGTCATTCAGAGACAAGTTGCGTATGTAGTTGTCCAATCCCTCCTGAGCACGGGTGGATAGAGAAACGCTACCGTCGTCAGCGGATGCAATAGCAGCCAAATTATCTGCGCTTGAGCTAGCCATGATGATAGATTGGTACCTTTATTTATTAACCATAAGAACGGAGACAGAAAAGTTTGAAATATAAATAAGTGGAAGAAAAAAATTACAATTTATTATTTAGACTTTGTCCACTGCAAAAGTTCAGTCCAGGAGGACGGTGCGTTGGCAGAATGAACAAATGGCTACCAATGATGAGTCTTTTTCTATCCTTATCTACATTACCTGATCACAATGATAGACAACTATGACTGAGGATGCCATTTCATTCATTTATTCCTCGCCAGCAGGAATCTCCTCTTTGAGCACTCGCACCAGCCGCACACGTAGCTCTGTTGTCTCGTCGCCTCGTAAAACATCGCTGATAAACCCAACTTCGCAATCTAGCTGGACCATCTCCAAAGCGCCTCTCAGAACACCGCAGAGGATATTCGAGTACCACAGCTCCTTGGCTGCCTTTCCGTCGTCGGGCAGCTCCACGAAGTCTGCCAGAGGGTTTTCTGTAAGAATGAGACTAAACGTAGTCATGTCTGAGGTCCAATTAGTGATGTTAGGCACTACATTCAAAAACATCTTGAAACCAACTTTGGACACGATCTCGGCCGTGTCGCGGAAACTGCTGCATCGCGAGAGTTGCGTTTTTTGTAGAAACTCGTCAATCAAACGCACGCCTATGTTGTAGCCCATTTTGTAGGTTTGCGCGTTGACCTCCTCGTAATTGTTATTAAAGTCGCGGCACAGCTGCGCGACGATCGACCCGTAAGTGAGAGTGAACAGTTCTGAGTTCACCTTCTCGACTTTCGTCTTCCAGACGTCATCCCCTAGTTGCTTAATTTGTTTAGACATCGACGTTGGCGGATTAATATTTTATTTCTTCTTTTATTTCTCTACGCACAGTTTGCGCAAACAAGTCGAGTCGCGCGCCTCTAGAGGCAGAATTCGCCCGAGTAGCGTAATGGTTAACGCGTTTGACTTCTAATCAAAAGATTCCGGGTTCGACTCCCGGCTTGGGTGCTTTCTCTTTTTTTATTTTTGCATATCTCTATCAATGCTCTATCTCTGCCCGTCAAGATCAGCCAAATCCTGACCAATCCTTTTTTTCCTATCACAGTAACAGATTACATTAGCTTGCTCTATATCTAATCAACCTCCTCAACAGTTGGGCCTTGTGTCTCCTCAGTGGATGGAGCACCACCGGCACCTGGGAATCCACCTGGAGCACCACCTGGCATACCACCTTCGGCATACAAGTCTTTCAGAACGTCGTTACCGACTTGCTCCAACTCCTTTCTCTTGTCGTCGTACTCCTCAGCAGTAGCGGTCTGGTTCTCGTCCAGCCAAGCAATGGTTTCATCGCAAGCCTTGGTCAAAGCCTCTCTCTTGGAAGCCTCCACCTTCTCTTCGAATTGCTTCTCAGAAGCAGTTTGCTTCAAGGAGTAAGCGTAAGACTCAAGACCGTTCTTAGCAGCAATTCTCTTAGCTTCCTTCTCATCCTCCTCCTTGTACTTCTCGGCCTCAGAAACCATTCTCTCGATCTCCTCCTGCGACAATCTACCCTTGTCGTTGGTGATGGTGATCTTCTGGGACTTTCCGGTACCCTTCTCGACAGCGGACACGTTCAAAATACCGTTGGCGTCGATATCGAAGGTGACCTCAATTTGAGGAACACCTCTTGGAGCCGGTGGAATGCCAGAGAGCTCGAACTTACCAAGCAGGTTGTTGTCCTTGGTTCTGGCTCTCTCACCTTCGTAGACCTGGATGAGCACACCTGGCTGGTTGTCCGAGTAGGTCGAGAAGATCTCAGACTTCTTGGTTGGAATGGTGGTGTTTCTTGGAATCAGCTTAGTCATCACACCACCAGCGGTCTCGATACCGAGCGACAGTGGAGCAACGTCCAAAAGAAGCAGGTCTTGGGTCTTGGAAGAAGTGTCACCGGTCAAGATAGCAGCCTGCACAGCAGCACCGTAGGCAACGGCCTCATCTGGGTTGATGGATCTGTTTGGCTCCTTACCGTTGAAGAAGTCCGAAACAAGCTTCTGCACCTTTGGAATTCTGGTGGAACCACCAACAAGCACAATCTCGTTGACTTGAGACTTGTCCAGCTTGGCGTCCTTCAACACCTTCTCGACAGGATCCAAGGTGGATCTGAAGAGGTCCTGACACAGCTCCTCGAATCTGGCTCTGGTGATCGAAGTGTAGAAGTCAATACCCTCGTACAGCGAGTCAATCTCCAGCGATGTTTGAGCTGAGGAGGAAAGGGTTCTCTTGGCTCTTTCACAGGCGGTTCTGAGTCTTCTCAGAGCTCTCTGGTTGGTGGAAATATCCTTCTTGTTCTTTCTCTTGAATTCGTTGATGAAGTGGTTGACAAGTCTGTTGTCGAAGTCCTCACCACCCAAGTGGGTGTCACCAGCGGTAGCCTTGACCTCGAAGATACCGTCCTCAATAGACAGAAGGGAAACATCGAAGGTTCCTCCACCAAGATCGAAAATCAGAACGTTCTGTTCACCCTGGCTTTTCTTGTCCAGACCGTAAGCAATGGCGGCAGCAGTAGGCTCGTTAATGATTCTCATGACGTTCAGGCCAGCAATCAAACCAGCATCCTTGGTGGCCTGTCTTTGGGAATCGTTGAAGTAAGCCGGAACAGTGATCACAGCGTCCTTAACGGTGGTTCCGAGGAAAGACTCGGCGGTCTCCTTCATCTTGGTCAACACCATAGAGGAGATCTCTTCTGGAGTGAACACCTTGGTTTCACCCTTGAACTCGACCTGGATGTGTGGCTTTCCACCCTTCTCGACGACCTTGAATGGGAAGTGCTTCACATCGTTTTGCACTTCAGGATCATCAAACTTTCTACCAATCAGTCTCTTGGCATCGAAGACAGTGTTGGCTGGGTTCATGGCAGCCTGGTTCTTAGCGGCATCACCGATCAGTCTCTCGGTGTCTGTGAAGGCAACGAACGATGGAGTGGTTCTGTTACCTTGGTCATTGGCGATAATCTCGACTCTGTCGTTGGCAAAGTGCGCAACACACGAATAGGTAGTACCTAAGTCAATACCGACTGCTTTAGACATATTAATTTCTATAATTCTATTCTAAGAAATGGTAGAAAACAATTCTATGAAAAGATTTAGCCCAGTTGGACCTCAATGCATATATATAGTATTGCCATTCATCGCACTAGAACGACCGACAGCTTCAAAAAATTGATTTCGTCGAATTTTTCACTTATCACACGACTTAAATCCTTCTAGAAATTTCCATCCCCAGCTGAGGTCGCCATATCTGGCTCAATTGCTCTTTGAATAAACCCTGATTATTGATCACGCAATCTCCAAGCCAAACAGGACGGATCCTACAGCTCAGATCTGCGTCTTCACTAATGCGTATGCTGACATCATCAATTAGATAAGCATACCGGCTCTTGATCTCACTCGCCTCAGCAATGCCGCCTTCCTCCAGGGACGCTGTCCGCGTGACTGCCAGTGCACACATCAAGCATTGGCTTGAGCCAGTGTTTTGCGAGGACGAGCTCGGCCACAATTACAAGATTGACAAGGTGCTAAAAGTGCTCCGAATATACCCCAGATCAAACACTTTGTCTTCGCTTCCTTTATGTTTGTGTGATGCTAATTACAAGATTCTTGCCTTCGCGAATTATAAAGCAATTGCTGCTTTTGAGCGCAAGGAGCGCCGCCGAGCTACGCAGAATCTGCTCAACTCGGAGATCATGATCCACTCATTCACAGTGAGGTTTTACAATGATCACCAAGTACAAGAATCTTTTGACGGTTTGAAATTTAAACAAAAGTCCAGCTTGTTCCCTGGATACCTAGTTCTGGAGATTAATGACTTTTCAATGTTCAATCGGGACCAGCTGATCTTAAGCAATGCAGGTGCAATTGAGTTTCTATACGGTACGCCACGGTACGTCGCTCGGTTTATAGAACAGGAATTAGGTGAGAAAGAGTGACTAAGCGATAGTTCGATCCCCTCAAAATTGCTAAGGCCCGAATTTTTTTTTGCAGGGACCCATGTAGCGTAATGGTTAACGCGTTTGATTCCTAATCAAAAGATTCCGGGTTCGAGTCCCGGCATGGGAGCTCTCCTTGTAATTTTTTTTTTGGCACAGGGACCACATCAACATGGAAGGCACAAGTACCTCTTTTTGGTATCCTGCGTTCGAACTTGTCCAAAGCTGCCGTATTAAATGCAGTGTGGCGGACAACTTGATAGATTTATCCAGAGCGCGAAGGAAGCGAGGGAATAAAAAAAGGTCTTACATAAGCGAGGGGGATATATATATTTTGATAGCATATTCTTTTTCGTTCCATTGGCAAAAACTAGGTTCTGAAATGTCAACGCCTGCGAGAAGAAGACTGATGAGGGATTTCAAGCGGATCCAGCAGGATTCCGCAGGAGGTGTGTCTGCATCTCCTTTAGCCGATAATGTGATGATCTGGAATGGAATAATTATAGGTCCGCAAGATACCCCGTACGAGGACGGAACGTTCAGACTGCGACTAACATTCGATGAGCAATACCCTAATAAACCACCTAATGTGCGGTTCACGTCTGAGATGTTCCATCCTAACGTTTACGGGTCCGGAGAACTATGTTTAGATATCTTGCAGAACAGATGGTCGCCGACCTACGACGTTGCTTCGATTTTGACGTCGATCCAGTCGCTCCTCAACGATCCAAATATTAGTTCGCCAGCCAACGTGGAGGCCGCCAACCTGTACAAAGACCACCGCAGCCAGTACATCAAGCGTGTTAGACAGACTGTCGAGAAGAGCTGGACAGAGGACATGCTGGATGTGGGCGACGAGGAGGACGACGAGGAAGACGAGGACGAGGAGGACGACGGTTCGGAGAAGGGAGAAGCGGACGATAAGGAGGAGCGACCATAATAGCATATAGTTCTTTAGAGCACAAGTCATGTCTATTTGACTGCCTGAGCAAGCTTTTTACTTAGGTCGTCAATCTGCAAAAGCTCATCATTTTGCAAATACTCGTAGTCCGGCACCTTGCCGGTGCTGTTCACCTCTCTGTCTTTGCGGTAGTTGAGGAACGTGAGCCCCAGAAGGAATCCCAGGACAAACTGGCTGTATGGGTTCATTTTTCTGTCTTTTTTGTACTGCTCGAGTCTTTTGGGACCGAAAAGGCGCGGATCGCGGGGCGGCAGCGGTGATATGATTGTGTCCTTGGATGGCTTCACGGACTTGAGGACCGACGGCGCGCGGAACGGCAGATCCGGCGGCACGTAATCGTCGACCTCGACTTTATATTTCTGCGACTCCGTTTCTGCAATAATTTGATCAAGAGGAGTGTTGGCTTCTTTTTTCTCTGGAACCACAGTCTTCTTCTGCTCTATGACAAACCCCTCTCGAGGTCCGTGGGGTCCGTACGCCAGCCAGTACATAAACCGCTTCTTGTCTTTGTCGATCCCCGTCCATTTGCGTTTGAACTTGTCCTCGAGCTCCTCTAGAATGTAATGCTGTTTTGGTAGAGACAATTTCAAATACGTTTCCGGATTTTTGTACACGGGCGTCGGATCGAAATTGGTGGTGTCAAATTCGTCGTCGTCTCCTGCGGTAGGGGAGAAAATGGCAAATATGTCCTTGATTGAGGAGAGAGCGAGCTTATTTCGTTCTCGCCGCAGATCCCGCTCCTGTTTCAGTTTCTGGTTGAGCAGTCTGGCGTCTGGCGCCATGCCGCTCACCTTGGCCTTTGCGTGGGCGCCGGCCTGGTTCGTGGAATAATACCGGATCGTACGCACTAGTTTAGACATGGGCCAAAAATAATTAAATTTTCTTGACTTATTTTCCAATGTCGTCAACGTCCAACTTTCTTGCCGAAATGACAAACTCGCCGGTCGTGGTCAAGCTCCAGCATGGCCTCGAATACCACGGGGTCCTCGCCTCCATTGACGGCTACATGAACGTCGTTCTCAAGGACACCGTCGAGATGGTTGAAAACAATAAGGTCAGAAATTACGAGGAAGTGTTTCTCAGAGGAAATAACGTGCTCTACATTTCGCAGAAATAACCTACATAACGACATTGCCACCAGTGTACTATACAAACAAATAAATTGTTCTAGCCCCACTATCTATTCAGCGTTCTCTTTGGGTTCCTCAGAGCGTGAGACTTCGACGTTTTCTTTTTCGTCGGAGTTGCCAGCTTCAGGAGATTCGTTTGTCCTGCTGCCTCGCTTATGCGTCCGCTTTCTTTTCCGTTTTCCGCCTCCTTCTTCTGGCTCCTTTGGCTTCTTTGGCTTTTTCACACTGAGAGGATTCGGCCCCTTTGGACCCTTGCGTTTCTTTCGTGCTGGCCCTTCCTCCTCTATTTTTTCCTCTCCGACGTGCGCCTGCACTCCCGCACGCGGATCGTTCAAGTAGCTCGTCAGTTTTCTGGCTTCTGTCTCCTGGACCACCCGTTCAGAAACAGGCGACATCGGCTCCATGATCATCACCGACCGCTTCATGTAAATTAGGGGAACACCAGGCACAGTTCTCAGAGACTGGCGCAGTCTCTCGTCCTGCGTTACCACCAGATATCTGTGCTTGTTCTTGCCGTCTATGTTAACGATTGAGCCTATGCAGTCTTTACTGCTCTGGGTCTCCTTATGGTTACAGCGCCGCTTCTCCATCTTCTTGGCAATGTCAATAGCTGGCTGGTTGCGAGTCTCATATAAGTGGTTGATGCAACATTGAGTGATCATGAGCTTCACTTCAGTCTGGACGGTCCTGGAAATCGCCTTAATCACATCGAACTTGGTTCTCTCACACTCGAGAATCACGTTATCGTCAACTATGCACTGGATCGGTGGCTTGAACTTAAACGTCGAGATATACTGGTGGATCTGCTTGCGGTACTGCTTTGCTCTCTTCTGCTTCATGCTCTAGACTTCGTACATAAATTTTTTTTAGCCAGCACAGCCTTCAAACACAAGCTGAAAATTGAGTAACCGTTAGCAGCAAAAAATGTTTTAAGTTAAGTCTTCATTTCTGGTTGGGTTTCGCCGTTTTTGAAATTTTGCAAATGTCCACCCCAAAGCCTGCCGCCCCAGCAAAACCTCTCAAAGATCAGCTCATTGAGCTAGTGCAGACCGCCCAATTCGCCTGGTTTGCCGGCCACGTCGCCACACTTTTCTACTCTCTGGTCTACTTTATTTCTTACAGATCGAAGGGCTTTTTCCACAAACTAAGCTACAGTCTAATTTACCTGTCTGTGATTGAGTCGTTTGGAATCATTATCCACCAGTCCTGGAAGGCAGGCGGCCTGAAACTGAACAACCCCAAGGCGGTTCTTGCAGACGATAACGTCCAATATATCCTGATTGCGTTGGCTCTGCTCCTGGTTTTGCCTGTCATTTCGCTGTCAATCTTCCCCTTTGTGTTTTTCTCGTTCTTCCACTGTATCACATACTTCCGGGGAGCAATTCTGCCAAAACTGGGACTCAAAAACCAGGAGGTTCTCGCCAGCAAGCTAGGTTCCTTCGTTGCCAACTACAACGACCTGTCTATGTATTACGCCGCCAATTTTGAGATTGCCACTCTTGCTTACATTGTTGTCAGGGCACTGCTGTGGTCCAAAAGGTTCTGGATTGCTCTGGTTGTCTACGGAGCGTTCATCAAATTCAGATACGAGAAATCGATTTCCACTAAATCGTGTTTCAAGAAGCTCGAGGTGAGAATTGACGGTCTCCTATCCCATCCTTCTGTGTCTCCTCAGATAAAGCAGTATTGGATCAACATCAAGTCGGCTCTCAAGAAGTACGGAAACCAGTTCAAGCTCGTGCAGGAACCTGGCAAGACCGAGTGAATTAGCGTTTTTTCTTCAGCTTGTTCTCGTACTCGATCCATGTTGGCTTCAACCCGTACTGTTTGAAAAGAAGATCCTGGACCGTCTTGAAATGCGGCCCCTGCACAGTGACTTCCACAAGCTTTGGATTCTGAACGTTGTTAGCGACAGTGGTCGAGCCCGAACATTTCACTTTCAGGATGGAGCTGACCTCTTCTGGGTCGATCAGAAACTCCTCCATGCCAATGATTTTGGTGATAACTTTGCGTCCGATTTTCATTTCTTCCACAATTTTGACAACAGGAACCTGTCCTTTCTTAGGCTTGGTAGACTCTTCTCCACGACTCACCTTATAAAACGGCGAGAAATGCTGTTTCACCAAAACGTCCACCACCTTGGCTCTCTCGAGCGTGGTAGTTTTGAGCAGCCGTTGTAGAGGCTCATCCGCGGTGATGCTTTTTGGGTCGTTTTTGCTCACCAGCTGGCGTGTTTGTATGTATTTACCAACCAATGCTTTGATCTCTTGGAGAGTGTAGTAATCCTGCGACGAGTCCAACAGACGGAGAAAATTAGATGCTGAAGAATGGGCTTTGTACAGCTGCGTAACTTGGAGCTCTGTTGAGTCTGTATTTTTGTTTGATGCCTCCCCGGACTTATTTCTCCTGATTTTGTACGGCTCGAATTTCCTGACCTTTTCATGCTCCTTGTTTACCGACACAACCACCACATCGTCACCCTTGCCTTTAAGTTTGAGGAGATCTTCTTTTTCCATCGCTTTGAGATATTTCGCCGTCTTTTTCCACGACGTCTTTTTTATGTTGATCAGATTGCTGTCCACGGGAGGGAAGTTCTTGTACACATGGCCGGACATGAACAACGACGCGCTGATAGGCATTTCTATAGCGTCCTGGCTGATCGAATACAGCGTTGCTCGGAGGAACAGGTCGTCCATGTCCTCGACGGACAACGATGTCGTGATATCCATTTCTTTAGTTTGCTGTGTAGCCTGTTCCAATGTCTCTTCCTCAGGCTGCTGTTCCTGAAGAGGTGCCTTAGTTGGCAGAACATCAACCTTGTCTGGAATCTTTGCTCCCTTAACCATGCTAAACAGCCAGTCTTGGTAGACGTGCAGTATCTCAACGGCTACGCCGTGCGTTCCAACGACCTCTGTCATACCGCCTAAATCCATTTGGCAGTATCCAACAGCAACAGCAACATTGGGCTTTTTGTAGTCACCCACAGCTACAACTTTGCCCCGTTTGGCGTCGTCAGGAAACGGAGGGATCGTGCCTGGAAGCATGAGATTCGAGCCGTTGACAAGTCGCTCTATAACGTACTCGTGGGTGTTGACAATTGGCACAATGTAAGGATATTTCCACAATGTAAAAAGCGTTGGAACTAGTTCTGAGTCCCGTGTTCGGAACCAAATGGGCACGCCCTCCAGATCGGTATACAGCGTGCCCTGAGCATGGGGAGACTTGAATGCAGCGTATTTGACCTCTGGAGGCAACACGAGCGACGCAACACCGTCACTAGCTAGAGCCTCCTCACTCAGCCCGTACTGGCTGCAAATGGCAGCGTACAGCTTTCTGCGCTCTGAAGATTTGAGATTGGAAAGCGATTTCAGCCCCGGGTCTTTTTTGAAAAGAGACATGGTCGAAATTATTTTCTGGCACAGCCAATATTATAGAATAAGTATACATACTACAGAGTGCCAGACAGCACAAGCCCCATTTCAACCACTGAAGCCTCAGATTCCCAACTGAGCCCTGTGTACGGGCGTCCAAACAGCAGCTTAAACTCAGTGCCGCATCTGTGGTAAATAAGGCCGCAAACCTCGAAGATTTTGAGATTCGGAAACACTTTCAGCGACGAGTTGAGCTGGCGACCGGCAAAGTGGTCGAACAGGTACCCGTTGGTCCCCAAGTCCGAGCGGAAAAACCGCGCAAATGGTTTGGAAGTGTCTGTCTGGCGCTGGAAATAGTCTAGTTCGTTTCCGATGATCATCATTGTCGACACTCTGATGGCCTCCTTCACAATAGCTGGCGGGAGGTGTGCCATTTTGTCGCAGAGTCGCCTGCAGTTCTCGCAAGAGCAGTCGTACACGTAGTTAAGCTGCGGGAACAGGTCGTGGACGTCGTCCAGATTGTTGAGCAAGTTGCCGACAAGGTTTTCCGACGGCGTGTCGATGTTGAGCCGGAAGTCTCTGAGCGACGAGGTGTTGTTCGAGAGCGGAGTCCCCACCATCATGAGGAGGTTAGAAAGGTCGAGGCCCTCGACTTTGAGGTCGATCGCGAGCTTGCGAAGGTTTTTGAACGTCTCAGTAAGTTTTAGAAGCATTATGGAGCGCAGGTGATTTTTTTCGCTGTCCGGTTTGACTAGTCTATAATGGATAGAAAGCTCACGCAGGTTCTGGCTTTTGGACCTGAGAAGCGACGCCAAATGCTGTGTCGTGTTAATGAGATTCAACACGCCGCCGTCGTCCTCTATAAACAGCTCCAAGCTGGTCAGGTGCTCGAGGTGCACGTGCTTGCTGATAAGGTTGAGAACGACTGCCGTCGAGTGGTTGGTAAGCGGGAGCGCGAGCTTGGTCAGGTTGTTGAAGAGCAAACCCATCTTGCGCCAGATCGCCATAACCCCGACCACCCGCCTGTACGCGCGGTCCCCGGACTCGGAGTCCACCTCGAACCTCAGCTCGGTCAGCCGTTTCATGGCATGCGGATACGTCGTCAACAGCTTGAAAATCACCATGTCCTCGTTTGGGCCGAGCTTTCCTGCAAAAACCAGCCGTCGCAGCTGTACCAGGTTAACAAAGCTGACCATTCCGTTGTGCTTTTCTGTCTCCCGACAAAAATTCATGTCCACCCTCAGGGTCTCGAGATTAGGGGCCTGTAAATGGCTCAACGGAGATATCACCACACTCTCAGGGAACTTGTACCGGACAAGGTTGGGAAAGTGGGGGCAGTGTTCTCTCCATTCTATAAGGGTCTTGCTTTCGGACTCAGCGTCCTGCAACAAGAGCTCGATGACCAGGTCGGCGTACTGGAAGTTCAAACACGAGGTCTGCGACAGTGCGCGGAGTAGCTTTGCCAGCCGGTGTTTCCCAATAAGAGTGTATTGGTCTGAGATGAGCTCGACGTCGAAGTTCTTGGGACACACTGTCTCGTTGCTCAAATAGAGAAGTCGCGAGTATATCTGGGGGACAACAGTCTTGTAAAAGAGAGTGCACGAGTACGCCAGCCGCAGCTTGTCAGGCAGTTCTAGATGCCTGACAATTTCGACATGAACATTATGTGGAAGGCCTGCCAAGCCCATCTGTCAAATTGTATCAATGTCAACAAACCGTCAGAGACACTTTGCCATTACCTATAAGAATGAAAAACCAGGAAAAAAAAGAAACACTGCCATCTTTATTTATGAATCTATGTGCAGATCAGCTATCGAGCATCTCTTTCGTCGTCGGCACGCTCTCGAAGCCGATTCCCCTGCTGGCCTCGATCATCTGTTTCTCATAAACGTCCTCCAGATCCTGCACCGGCTCTCGCCGGAACCACGAGGCCACGTACCGGCGCAACTTGTTGATGTGGTAGTGGATAAACGACGCCAGCCGGAACAGGTTGTATGTGACAAACCGCTTGAGCACAAACTGGAACCTGTCGTCCTCCAGGTCGAACAGCTTGACCGTCTTCGCCGCCTCGGTCGCCAGGATATCGACTCTATTGCAGGGCGACCCAAAGTTTCTATTCAGCCCCTGCACTATACGCATGCTGCGCATAATGAAGGTGAGAGTCATTGGGAACTTGTCTGAGTTTTTGAAGAATTCACGCATCTTGTCTCTGATGATGGTCTGTCTCTCGAAGTACGACTTCTTGCTGAGCTCCTCGATGTGCTTTTTGAGCGCCTCGTTTTTGGACGGGTCCATCGACGACAGCCCGAGCATGATGTCGTCCGCGTTAAGGCCCCACTCAAGCAACACGCCCTTGACTTTCTCCGGGTTGAGCTCGAACGTGTACTTCCAGAACTGCGCGTACTCGCGTCTGAACTTGTCTCCAAAGTGTTCGTACAGACCGTGGTCCAAAATCACGAGCTGCTGCGTTTTGTCTGGCAAATGCCTCACCAGCAGATTTCCCGGATGGAGATCGCAATGGACCAGCCCCCAGTAGAACACTTGCCGCGAGTACACTTTGATGATTGTGTTCACGAGAGCCTTGATGTTGTAGCCCTTGTCCTTCAGCTTCAGATAGTCCCCAACAGGGTCGGCATCTATCCACTCTGCAGTCAGCACCCGTCTCGTAGACGCCTGCGGGAAGTTCTTGGGAATGTACACCGTCTTCCTGAACTCCGGATCCTTCGCGATCAGAGAGGCTATCAGGTTGCCGTTGCGCATCTCGGTCTCAAAATCGACCTCCTCGCGCATCTTGCTGCAAACGTACTGCACGGTAGCAGCTAACGGCATGTCGAACGCCCACTCGTACACTTTCATCACAAACCGGTAAGTCGCCAGATCCAGCCACATCTGCTTGCTCACAGACTCGTGTTGGATCTTGACGGCCACCTCTTCGCCCGTGCGCAGCCGCGCCTTGTGGACCTGCGCGATCGACGCGCTCGCGACGGGTGTCTCGTCGATCGTCTCGAAAATCTCAGTTCTATACTTTGGACCGAGCTCCTGTCTAAGAACCCGGTCGCAAACTTCCCAGTCGTCCCTCGGTGCCTTGTCGAACAGCTGGCTGAACTTCTTCTGGTACTGCTGCGGGAACATCATTCCCTGGATGGCTATCATCTGGCCCATCTTGATGTATAGCCCCTTGTTCGTGGTGAGAAGATCGTATAGCCTTTGCGCGTTGCGCTCGTGCAACGCCTCTACATCCTTGTCCTCTTCAAAGTTGAGCTTGTAGTCTAGCGAGATCAACAAAAGCGTGGACAAGGACCGAACACTCCTGTTTGTGACGCCGGCCCCCAGCACGGAGTCGTACCCGTAGGCGGCGAGGCCGATCCCTGAAACGGCCAGCAGCGATTTTTTGAGAGCGCCCCACTTTTTCGGACGAACTCCGGTCGTCGAATACGCCCGCACAGCCTGTCTTAAAGATAGCTGGTGGGTTGCTAAAAACATTTAAACATTGAATAAATATTTTCGGCTCTTAAATATGTATCTAGGTGCCAACGCCAGGCAGACGTGTGGGCAGCTCTCGGGAGAGGAGTAGTGGTCACTTGGCCAGACTACTTCATATTTGTGGACCAGCACAGTCTCCAGTAACACCAAGCCGAATTTTGTGTGCTGGATCTGAGGCTTTGGTCAGAGGTTTCCATGTGAGCTGGTTGTGGCTATCTAATCTATTATTTTACGCGATTTCTTATTCAGCACAATAAGTAGGATCTGAAAATTTTCAGTTAATATTCAGATATTTTTTTAGTAAGGACAAGAAGAAACACCCGATCGAGGCCTGCCAATTGCTTACCTTTCGACATTCAAGAGATACCAGCGGTGACACACCAGAGCTACAAAACATATACCGTCTTGCAATTCCCGATAAGAGCGAAACGTATTATAGTCTATCATGGCTAAAGGCAGAAAACAAGTAACCTCCAAGAGGGTATCGCAGGCCCCCAGACACCTGCCCCATCCAGCAGGCGGTGCGCATTCACGGTCCAGAAGACGATTTAGCATTGTGTCCGACTCAGAGGAGTCGGAGTCGAGTGAGGAGTCGGAAGATTCCGAGTCGGGTAGCACTGCATCGGAGGGAGACTACCGAGTCAGCTCTGCTCGCAGACAAGTGGACGAGATAATCTCTAGCAGTTCCGAGAGCGATGACCAGTCGAGTTCGTCTGACGACGACAATGTCGACTTTGTGCAACTGACCAAGGAGAGAGCCAGGGCGATGAAGGCTGCTACTCGTCACAAGAGTCCGCGCAAAAGCAGCAAGAAAACTTCCAAAAAGGCTGCAAAATCGGCAGGTTCTAGGAAACGTCTCGAAGCGTTGGAGCAGGCCGTGGAGGCCGAAGAGGATGAGGAAGAGGAGCTCGACGACGACATAGTGGACCAAGTGCTGGAAGACGAGGAGCGCAAATTCAAGGCTCAGGACCCGACGCCAGACATCCAGCTCGACGACGAGCGTGTGGACTACGCCAACGCGATCGCAGAGGAAGATTTGGGAGAGGAGGTGGACATTGGCACGTTTCACGACGCCACCATTATCGACGAGACAGTCAGTCTGGAGGTCCCAAAGTTCGACGACCAGGAGATCGACTCTGACGCAGACTACGAGTTTGACAAAAACGACCTTATCCAGGCGCTTCAGAACGATAACGACGATCTTGAGCTGCTTGCGTTTGGCAACAGCGACGACGACTACGATTTTTTGCTGCCCGAAGACGATCCTTATTTCAAAGACGATAACTATTTGCTCAAGGAGGAGACTGACGCTTTGGTGAACGACGTCAACGACGTGAATGACTACTCATCGTCCGCAGCGACGCCACGGTCGTCCGTCGTTGAGGAAGCTACCAACAATGGTGAGGGAGGCCAGGACGAAGGCCACGTCAGGGTCAAGGAGATGAAGCCAGAGAAGGTCAAATATCTTCCTGCTCCAGAGGACAGCGACGAGGACGACGAGGACGACGAGGACCTGGCGGATATCGATGTTTCTGCGTTCGACGACATCTTCACCAGCGACTACGACCACTACTCTGGCAAGCGCGGACAGGGTGTGGTTCCGATGAATGCGATTGTGTCTGACGAGGACGACAGCGACGGCGAAAACCAGTTACTGCAGTATTTTTTCTCTTCGGACAGCAGCGCGTCTGAGAAGGAAGACGAGCACGATAATTCGAGCGCTGAGGAGGACGTCGGCGACAAAGTGGGCGAGAGAGACGGCGACGAGACCGACGAAGATACCTCGCTTCCTGTGCACTCTACGCGCAAGATTGGCAGCAAGAGCGCCAAAGAGGTCCTCTCGTCGTCCAAGAACAATTTCAGAGCGCCTGTTCTTGGAACATTCATTATTTCTAAAACACGCAAGCCGTTCGGCATTATTGACGGCATCTCGACGCGATTCCTGCATCCCGGCCAGGACAACCGAACATCGGTGGTGAAGGGCACTCGCATGAGTGTAGCCAATCGCCAGCGCCAACGCACACAGACACAACCGAGTGCACCGCCTATTGCGCTGGACGAGCTGCTCAATATCAGCGAGTTCGATGATGAAGAGCAGGAGCAAACCACGTCCGTGGACTGGGACCTTTTCCACGAGAGACGCGTTCCGCTGTCAGCTTTCAGGAACAAGGGTGTGGTCAACAACACGTACTACCAGCCCCATCCAGATGCGACGCGCAAGTACAGCTTTGGCGATCACAGACGCAAAAAAATGCGTGCTACGGTGGCAGCTTTGGAGAAAACGAAAAAGAGGCGAGCTCGTGGCTCGTTTGGGGGCGAGCTGATGATCCCTGCCAACACTGCCAAGTCGCTGCGCAAGGCCTCGAAGCGACTGCACAAGCTGTCGAAGGGAAGAAGACAGAGCGTGGCCGAGGCCCAAGCAGAGGGCCTGAGGCCCACCAAAGGCGGGCTTTTCAGCGAGGAAATCCTTTGCGACGTGGAAGAGCTGCTGGTCGACATCGGGCACAACGACGACCTCCGTTTCCTGTTTGGAAGCTGAGCTGCATTTATTTTTTATGGTACGGCATTTATAAAGGATGGATACTAAAGTTGATTTTTACATAGCTATTTTGCGCTCTCTTCAGGAGTCATAAAGTTAGTCAATTTGGCACTGAGATCGAGTTGCTGCTTCACGCACGAGGCGAGATACTCGACAAGCGAGGCATCGTCAGCATGGCTCTGTAACATGGAGTGCAACTGGTCAGGGTCGATGGAGCTTGGCTGTGTGTTGAGAGTTTCAAGAAGTCTCTTTCCGACGTTAGAGTCTCCCTCGATCTCGCCCTTGATGACCTTTTGAACATAAGCCTGGAGCGTTTCCAGCAAGCTGGCAACGTTGGCGACGGATCCGGATATTTGCTTGAGTTCATCTTGACCCAGAAGATCCACTGCTCTGGACTCGGCTTGGACACCCTTATTAAGATATTTCAGCGTGGTGAGCTCAGTCTTGGAGTAAATTACCTCGTTTGGGACAGGCGTAAATGCAAAAGAGCCGATCTTGTCGATTCCAATCTGGTTGGCCAGGTTGGAGTTGGCAGGCACTCCGACTGGGGACGAGATATATGTTTTCAGGATTGGCGATATGATGTCTCCGTTGTCGTCTTTGGTTTGCAGAGTCAGATGGATTGGCTGGTGAGGGAAACAGGATCCTTTCGAGTAGAACTCTTGGAAGAGACCAGTGAACGAGTCGAGCACAGGGTTGGTGGAGAACCAGCCAACAATTAGCAGTTCTGGATTCACTCTTTTCAAAAGCTGATACGTGGAAATGTGGTGGCTTTCTTCAATTGTGAGCTCCTCAGCTTCCTCCTTGTGGGGCACAATATAGCACTCTTTGATTTCCAGTTCAGATCCGTCATCAGAGCGGGTTCCAAGCAGAGTTCCAATAGTTCTGCTTTTCGTGAGGTCTTCTTCGTTGTCCATATACACGGCGTCTATGAGCTGCATCAGAGCTGGGGCTTGGATCAGAACCTTGACCGGCCCCACAGGAGCAGATGTGCTCGGCGTGGCCACGTTTGGTTTCACAATGTGCAAAATCGGAGAGGACATGTGAAAGGCTCGTTTGTTCAGAAAAATTTGTCAAAAAAGATTCAAGGTAGGGTAGTTTGACAAAAAAAAATATTTCAGATTTATTTGAAATAAATTTTAGCATGGACTTTACCACAAAAAGGAGCTATAAGAAGGTCGATATCGAGCCTTTTTACATTGGTTCTGCCAATGCGACTATTTCTGGAGACGGCGTGGTTCTGGCGACTGCAGTTCTTGAAGATATAGTTGTCATCAATAGAGAGACAGACGAAGTTGTGCACCAGATCCAAGGAGACGGAGACCTCGTGACCACGTTGCAACTAACTCCCGATGGCAAATACCTAGCCATAGTGTCTCAATCACAGCAGCTCAAGGTGTTCGATCTCCAGGAAAGCAGATTCATCAAGACTTTCAGACTTCCGGCAGCATCGTATATCTCTACGGTGGACCCTACATCGTCCTTATTTGCGTTTGGACTTACCGACGGCAGTGTCATTGTATGGGATATAGAGGGGTCATTTATTACGCACAACTTCAAGGGCCATCCATCGACGGTTTCTTCTCTTCGTTTTTATGGAAAACTCGACTCTAAAGATTGGAAGCTGGCCAGTGGAGATATTCTGGGAACAGTGAAAATATGGGACCTGGTGAAGCGCAAATGTGTGCGAACGATGAAGGAGCATACAGCTACCGTTAGAGGGGTCTCGTTCAACGACAGCGGCGAACTCTTTATCAGCAGTGGAAGAGACAGAGTGATGATAGTGTATAATACGAGGACGTGGAAGGAGGTGAAGACCATTCCTGTCTCCCATTCTGTCGAGGCCTGCGGATTTGTTGAGTTCCGTGACAAGGAGCTGCTTTACACGGCGGGAGAAGCAGGCCTTTTAAAAGTCTGGGACCTGGATTCTGAAAAATTGGTTGCAACCAGCAAGAAACCACTCGATACCACAGAAGAGCTTAACATCATGGACGTTCTGCATCTTGACAAAGGAATAGACTCTTTGCTGTTGGTTTTCTCAGACCAGACAATTGCGGAGATTGATCTGGAGGCGCAAAACGGCGTATTCCAAACTTTGCGAGTGATGGCCGGTAATCACGGTACGATCGCTGACATGCGCTATGTTGGTCCTAATTTTGACCAGCTTGCTTTGGCAACGAACTCTCCGGCGTTGCGGATCGTCGATGTTGCGAACAAGCCGCTGGATGTCACGCTGTGCGAGGCGCACACAGATCTGCTGAATGCTGTGGACTCGACCGTTGACGGCCTCTGGCTGGCTACCGCTGCTAAGGACAATACTGCACGGCTTTGGAGATACGATGAGGAGCGGAGATTTGTGTGCGTTGCTGTCTTCGAAGGCCACATCTCGTCGGTCACCGCTGTTGCGCTGCCTAGGACGCCCGTCAAGGATTATCCTCGCTTCCTCATAACGGCGGCCGAAGATCTGACGATAAAAAAATGGACGATCCCTAGACCAGGACACGAGGTGATGCATGTGAGGAGTTCGGACTACACCAGAAGAGCGCACGACAAGATGATCCACTCCATCGATATCAGCCCGAACGACGATTTCTTGGCGACCGCGAGCCACGACAAAATGGCCAAAATTTGGGACTTGGAGGCTGGCGAGACTGTCGGAGTCCTGAAGGGCCACAAGCGACCAGTTTACGACATCAGTTTCTGTGCCTACGACAGACTGGTCGTGACCGGGTCTGGGGACCAGACGGCCAAAGTGTGGTCGTTAGAGGATCTTACGTGTATCAAGACTTTCCAGGGCCCGGCCAATGCTATTCAGCGAGTTGCTTTCCTGGCCAGAAATCACTTTGTTGTTGGAGCTGGAGCAGACGGTTTAATCAAGATCTGGGAGATCTCCAGCGGAGATTGCGTGCAGACGCTCGACAACCACGACAACAGGATATGGGCGCTGTGTATCAAAGACGACGGCCGCGAGTTTGTGTCTGCTGACGCTGACGGAGCAATCACCCTATGGATAGACAACACCGAGGAGGTGCAGCAGCTGGAGGCAGAGGAGCGCAAGTTGAAGGTCGAGCAGGAACAGTCGCTGCAGAACTACATCACCAACAGAGACTGGGTGAACGCGTTCAAGCTGGCGTTGACTCTGAACCACCCTATGAGACTGTACAACGTTCTTCTGGCGAGTATAGCAGAGGGCGACGAGGGGTCTGTCATTGGATCGTTTGGCATCGAGAGTGTGATTTCCGAGCTGGAGCAGGACCAGATATTGCTACTTTTCAAAAGGGTCCGGGACTGGAACACCAACTCGCGCCATTTCGAGGTGGCACAGAAGCTGATCAAGGCTATATTGACAAACTATTCCAACGAGAAGCTGTTTGAGATGCCTGGGCTGATGGGGTACATTGACGCCATTTTGCCCTACAGCGAGAGACACTATAGCCGGTTGGACGATCTGGTTGAGCAAAGTTTCATTTTGGACTATGTTGTTCAGCAGATGGACGAAGTGGTGTAAATCGAAAAAAAAAAATATTTATTCAATAAAATGTCTGCCGTGGACCCTCTGCCCAGTCGCGAGTACTGGGACGGGCTGATCAATGTGAAGACGAGCAACTGGAAATACACGCTTGAGGAGCTGCAGCAGGGCACGCCGTCGAGAAAGAAGGGGTCGGAGCTGAAGAAAGTCAGTTTCGAGGACGAGTGCCAAAAGCGAGCCAAGGGAATTATATACCTGTTCAAGTGCTGCAGACAGCTGCGTCTTTCGCGGTCGGTGGCAATGACTGCGTCGTGCTACTTTCACAGATTCTACATGCGTCGGGACATGCTGAGCCACCACTATTTCGAGGTTGCTGCCACGAGTTTATTTATTGCTTGCAAAGCGGAAGAGTGTCGGCGACGTCTCGCGGACGTTGTCAAAGTGTGTGCAAAAACCGCGATGGCCAATAGTCAGGATCCAATAGACGAGAACTCAAAGATATTCTGGCGCTGGAAGGACCTTATGATCAACCTGGAGGAGATGCTTCTGGAGACACTCTGTTTCGAGGTCACTCCCTCCAATCCCTATAAATTGTGCCTGAGTGCGTTGAAGCTAGAAGAAGACATGCCCAGAGAAACAGATTGGCTCAAACGGTCAAAGGACCTGTTTATACAGTGCACAAACGTCTACGAGCTGACTTCGCGAGTGCCGTTGGTTCTTCTGCACGAGCCAAACGTGATAGCCATGCTGGGTGTTGTTCTGAGCTGCGCAAAAGACCAGAGCACAAAGTTTCCGCCAGAGTTTGTGCAGGAGCTGGGCACAGACCAGGAACAAGTCTGGGCGTGCTACCAGGACCTGGTGGCGCTGAGCCGGCCTCTGAACAGTCTGGAACCGCCGTTCCAGGTTCTGCAGTATCTACCGAAACTCGAGTATGAGCAGTTCACAGGGCTGTTTGGCGCAGTGGCGCCAGATTCGGCGCCAGAAAAAAATCAAGAAACGCTAGCGCAAGATAAAAAAGAAGGATAATTATATACAGAAGAAGGATTATCACCATACGCTATTTTTAAACATGAGCACCAGTGCCAAGCTGAACATTGTAAGTTGGAGGCTGTCGCTCCGGACTAACCACAAAGCTGACAGCGGAAGAGATCCGCCAAAAAAAGTTCCTCAAACGGGGTTTGCAACTCAGCATTCTGGTTGTAGGCCAGACGGGAACCGGCAAGAGCACGTTCATCAACACTCTTTGCAACGAGGACATCATCACCACCAATCGTCCTGCGCCGGCCGATCTGTCGATCGAGAGCCACTCTGCCAAGATCTACGAAGGAGGGACCCGAATTGACTTAGACGTGGTTATGGCGCCGGGACTCGGCGATTTCATCGACAACAGAGACTCGACAAGGTGTCTCACAGATTACATTGAGAGCCAGTTCGAGAGGGTGCTGAACGATGAGTGCAAGATCCAGAGGACTCCAAAGGCCACCGACACGAGGATCCATGCTGCCATCTATTTCATCAGACCGACTGGCAAGGGACTGCGGGAGCTGGACATCGCTTGCATGAAGGAGCTGGGGAAGCGGTGCAACGTGATCCCTGTGATCTCGAAGGCAGACCTTTTGTCCGAGGACGAAATTGCTCTGAACAGGAAGCTCATTCTGCGGGACCTGGCCAAGAACAGGATCAACACCTACGACTTTTCAAACTGCTTCTCAGACATCGACGAAGAGGACGACGAGTCGGCAGTCAGCAGCGTTCAGGACCTGGTCCCATTTGCCATTGTCTCCGGAACTGACAGAGCCATCATCGACCAGGTGGAGTACAAAGTGAGACGGCTGCCGCACGGGATCGTGAGAGTCGACGATCCCGCTCACAGCGACTACATTGTTTTGAGAACATGTTTGCTGGGCGCGTGTCTGCAAGATCTGAAGGATACGACTCACGGGATCTACTACGAGAAGTACCGTACCGAAAAGCTGTCCAAGAATCCTCCCGGGACCGGGTACCTGAAGCCTGGTTCGAGGGCCTCGAAGCCAACCAGTTCCGGGTCTCTTCTGGACAGATTGAGGACCAACGTGGGCTCCAGACAGTCGAGCGTTCTTTCGTCCGATAGACTGACCATTAGTGAGGGAATAGTTAACTGATTAGCAAGATATATTTCTTTTTATGCTTCTTTCCCGGCGGCAAGCCGCTGATGGAAGAACTCGTCAAACGACTCCACGTCCTTCCACTCCTCGAACCACGCTTTCTGGAACAGCTCTTCTCTAGGCACGCCTTTCACCGGGAACAGCGCAGTGAGCAAAAGCAGAACGGAGCACGAGCTGGCGTAGCCAGTAAAGAAGCTGAAGTAATACACCTTGGTGGCACCGTCTGGCACAGTGTGTGTCTTTGTAGCTCCAACGAAACCAACAATGTTAGGAGCGATGCCACAAATGTATGCCACGATGGCCCTCCAGTTGACTCCTGCCGTGTAGAAGTACTGGCTCGAGTTGTTGGCCGTGTACAGGTCTTCCAGCACGATATGGCCCTTTCTGATGAGGTAGTAGTCACAGAAGTAGACACCTGCGATGGACGAGAGGAACACCGCGTATGCGCTCAGGTAGGTGGTGAACATGCTGCTGGACGAGAGCAGGTTCCATGGACAGATAGCGTAGCCGACGATGGCGCAGATGAAGCCGCCTCTCCTGATGTTGATGTATTTCGGGAGCAGCGCAGTCATGTCGGTACCGGCCGAGAGCGAGTTGGCGGCGATGTTGGTACCGAGCTGGGCGATGGCAAAGCCGAGAGCGATCAGGAAAACTCCTCCCCTGGCTCCGCTGCTGTAATGGTCCAGAAACCGCGAAAGGACGTCCAGAGGGTCCCAGTAAGTCTCGCCGTAGAGCACGGTGCTTGCCGAAGAAACGAGCACGCCGATCAGCGACGTGACAGAAAAGGAGACCGGGATTGTGATCAGCTGGGAGTAGATGGAGGAGTTTGGCTTATGCGACATTCTGGAGAAGTCCGGCGCGTTGACGATGAGCGTGGCGAAGTTGGCGAGCGAGTTCATCATGCTGTTCACAAAAGCCCAGCCAAAGGCAGACCCGCTGAGCTTGCCGTTCTGGTGGATCACGGGGCCGCCTCCGTCGGCCTTGACCAGAGTCCAGGCCAGAAACGCGATGCCAGCTACTGGGCACGCAATCGCCTTCATCGTGAAGAGATGACGGACCGTGTGTGGCTTCATGTAGATCGCCGGCAGCTGGAACAGCCAGAACAAGAAGAACGCCAGCATCTGGAACGAGGAAATGTTTCCCTTCAGCTTGTTTGGTATCCTGGTTTCCAGATCGTTACCGAAAATCGACCGCAGCATCAGGGCCACACATTGGCCTCCCAACACGGACTGGACGCCAAACCAGATGCATGCCATCACGACTCTGTTGATGACGGGCCACAGAGAACCCCAGATTCCCCACGACGACCTGGTAGCAACGGGAAACGAGACATGGTTGTACGCACCGTAGCGGGCAGCCAGAACCACAAAGCAGCCGCAGAAGGAGTACCCGAGCCAGACGGTGATCCACGTGACCCACCAGCTGAGTCCTGCCTGCACTCCCGTGGCGGCGATCTGCCAGGTATTGATGTTGAAGGAGTCTGCTATCCAGAATGTGACAAAATTCCACCATCTCCAGGTACGTCTTTTTTCCTCGAGCGGTTTGAGGTCGTAGTTGTACAGAAACAGCTGGGACAGCGTGAAGTTCTGTGTGCCGTCCAGCTCGAGCCATTTGACCAGCTTCCTGACCTTGCCCAAAAACCCTGTTCTGTCCTCGAACGAGCCGACAGACTGCGACTCGTTGTCGAGCGAAACTTGCCTGACTTCCTCGAGTTTTTTCGACATGGTGCTCGGGTGCGAGGTTGTGAGATTGCTGCACTTATATACGATCTCTTTCTTTTATCAGCAACCGAGAGACCGGCGCATTGGCTGCAGAAAGGAACTTGCCTATCAAAAGACAGGCTGCATGATAAGCAGGCTGCATTATTGCCGTACACCGGAAACCACAGAAAAAAAAGATCTGCATCGAGGGTGCTCAGGGCGGGCGTCGCATTCGTCGCGTCGGCGCACTTTTTGCTCGAGCTGGCAAAATAACGAAAAAAATACGCCCTAGTCAAGCATGTCGGAAGAAACTGGCTCGCCAGCCCCCTCGTCGATCTCCATATATATCCCGATCCTCTACGTGGTAGTGCTACTGACCACACTGGTGCTGTTCTCGGTCGCGCACCGCCGCAAGAAGCTCAACAAACTTGTATCGATGAAACCGATCTTCAAGGACAACTACCAGCGTGAAATGTATCTGCAGCTGAAAAGCCAGACAGAGCCAAAGGTCAACGACAAGGTGCTGAAGGCGGCGCTGATCAGACGGGGCGCCGAGGCGATCCGCAGAATGATCAAGCTCAAAGAGATCCAGCAGTACGTCAACGTGCTGTACCAGCGTGGATCGATCGGTGACGACGTGTACGAAAGCTTCAAGCTGCAAAGCAAATTGCAGGAGCTCGAGCTAAACGAGCTGGCGATGGAGGCCGAGTCGTTCAAAAAGGGATGGGCCCAGACATTCTTCCCTGTGTGTCAGGAGGTCACCATAAACGAGGCGCTCAGAAGACGTCTCACCTCGCTCGAACCAATGAAACAGTCGCTGGACCACCAGTGGCTCAAGCAAGTCGCCGCATAACTTACATAATGAATGTTGTTATACCTATGCTACTCAGATGCTATTACCTGTACTAGTTTTTTCTTCTGTTTTTCTTGCTCACCACCTTGGTAAATGCCATGTCGAAGTCGTCCTCCTGGCCGCGGACACTGGCGTTCAGAGCCTCGCCCCAGCTGAAGTGTATTCCCTGTGCCTTGACGAGCTTCTCGACTTCCGCCTTGCGTTTCATAAACTCGCTCGCAAACCTCCTGCCGTCCATGGTGGCAGAGTTGGAGTAGATGGTGTCAGCAATAATTTCCTGCGACTCGCTTCCCGTCGGGAACTGGATGATGATCGACAGGATGTCCTCCTTGTCGATGCCCTTGTGCAGGTTGCCCAGCTGCGTCCTGCACCACGCCAGAAACTCTCTGGCTGGGGAGCTGCTATTTGTCACCGGCTGCGGCTTTGAAGATGCAACCGTGCTGCCAACAACGGGCTTTTTGGCTGCCGGGGCGGCTGGCGCAGAGACCGACCGAAGAACGTTCGGCGAAATAACCGCAGACGGCTTATTGGTCTTCGTTGGCGCGGCAACAGCCGGCTTCGTCGTCTTCTTGCTGCTCACCGTGGTCCAGCCGCTGCTGGCAGTCACCTCTGCAAACGACGCTGCCGCAGGTTTCTGCTTGGCAGCAGAGTTGGCAGCCTGCAGCTTGGCCGCTTCTTCTCTCTGGATCTCTTCCAGCGTCACCGTAGGAACTGCCTGCGAAACAGTTCCAGCACTGGCCCATGTCGCAGCCGACGGAAGGGCCACGGCCGGCTTAGGTGTCTCCTGCTTGGGAGCCAGCGTGGCGGCCAAAGACTTGGCGGCCTCTGCCTCCTTTTCCTCCCTTTTGCGTCTCTCGGCCTCTTCCGACTGGATCTCGGCCAGCGTCTTGGTTGGCTTCGCAGGGCTTTTGGAAGCCCATGGGGCCCACGTGGTTGGGGACTGGGGCTTGGACTTCGCTGGCTCTGGGGCTTTTTCTGGGGATTTCTCTGGCGCAGGCAGTCCCTCAGACTTGGGAGCTGGCTCTGCCTGCTCTGCTGGGGCAGCTGCAGGAGCCAGAACAGGAGCCGCAATGGCCTCCGTTTCCTGGGCCTCCTGCTTTGTCAAAATAGACAAACTGGATGCCTTGCGCACGATCCTCTCAATGTCGCTGGCGTCCACCTTCGGCACAGCTACTTCCTCTGGCTTGGCTGGCTCAGGCAGCGATTGGGTGGCCGACGCGGACTGGGTCAGTTCGTTAGGGCCCGACCAGTGATTTCTCTCTTGGAACGAAGGGAAGACTGGAGCCATAGCAGGCTGGTTGACCACTGGAGCGAGTGGAACAGAAAACGGCACAAAATACTCTCCTATGGACTGAATAAACTCGGCAAGAGTCATATACGTCTGCTGTTCTTCGCGGCGGATTCTTAGGCCGTAGTCGAAGTATCGGAGGGAATACCATTGCTGCATCAGGGCCGAATCAAAGGGGCCCTGCTCATTATTAGACGCGTCCAGGTAGTACCATTTGATATTTGAAGGATCGACCTTGGGGAGCTGGAACTGCGCATTCAACGTATTGAGGGCTGCAGTGGGAGACTGTTGCTGGCCGACAAACTGGTGCAGAAAATCCTGCGTTTTCAAACGGCTGTCGTCGACAGTCAGGCCGGCGATCTGGTGCTCAATTGGCGCATTCTGCCGGGACTGGGCTTGATCTCCGCTCAGCATGTTGTAGGCCAGCGGTGAAAATGCATCCTGGCCAGGGGAAGGGGCCAGAATATTGGAATTTGACAGACCGTTGGCGTTGTAAACATGTTCTGTGTTTTCCTTGGAATATGTGTTGGGGTTGTTCCTACATGTTAGTGGATCGTCCACGACTACTGCTAAAGCTTTTCACTCACCAATTTCCATACATCGAATGCGACATCTTGATCCTCTAGTTACTCGTAATGGGTGTATTTGACGTCTTCATAAGATACCGTCTGCATCAGTGGTCGAAAAAATTTTCCGTGACGAATTTTTTCAGTCGAGCCTTGCTAGCACACGACGGGGGCAAGACTCGCGGTACCTTGACCACCAATCAAATACCAAACCTCTTCTCCATCTCGGTATGGAAGTCCATTGGAGGTCTGTCCGAGGCTGCGGAGATGTTAGAACACGTAGTCTGCGCAAACTTACCTGAATAAATATCCTCCCAGTCGATGCTGGTCTCTTTGTTCAACAAGATGTCTCTGTGCACGTTGGAGGATCCGCCCAGCACCGCTGGCCTGAAATCGGTGTCCTGCACGAGCTTCAGCTCCATCTCTCTCTTTATTGGGTCTGCTGCTCCGAATATGCGTCTGTAGGCTTCCAGCTGGTGTTCTCTCTGAGTGGCGTCCCAATTCTGCACTCTGCTCTCCAGCGGGTGTCTGTCGTTGATTTTGGACGCGACAGAAAGGGGACCTTCGCCTGATCTTAGCGTATCGTGCAGTCCCGGGGCGGAGGGCGCAGGCTCGCCAAAGGCGGTCACGCTGACGCGAGAACTGTGCGCTTCGCCAGGTATTATTCTTAGCGGATTGGACTGGGTGTTAGAGCACATAGTTCGCCGCAAACACTTACCATTGGAGACACTGTGTATAAATGTTTTAGTGTATTTGGAATACTTTTTTGCCACTAGGCGGGCGACGATCGACGCAGACCGATATGTTCTTTGACGAAAAAAAGAATTTTCCGTGCTAATTAACAGACATGTCTTGGGGTAAGTGCCAATGGAGGCGTTGAGACTAACAGGCAGACGACGAAGACTTTGAATATCCCACCGCTTCCAACGCTCAAGTTTCCGAATCGTGGGAAGACCAGCTCGAGGACGACGAGCCCGTCTTAGACTCCTGGGACATGGACTCAGACGATGAGAAGGCCAAGGAGGAGAAAAAGCCCGCTCCAAAGCCTGCTCCAAAGACCGCGAAGCCGGCAAAGGCCGGCAAGAAGAAGACGGCAGACAAGAAGCTGCTCGATATCGACCTGGTCGACGAGAAGACAAAGAAGGAGATGTTGAAGGAAGCAGAACTGAACTCTGATCTAAACAACGCTGCGGACCTATTTGGCGGTCTCGGCATTGCCAACGAGCACCCGCGTGCCAAGGCGGTTGCTGCCGAGCAGGCGTCCAAGGGTTCTGCCCCGAAGTTGGACAAGAATACCCCCATCAGTGCGCATCCATTGTTCGAGGTGGAGACCAAGCAGGACTACGAGAGACTCAGAAAGGCGATTTCGCCGGCCCTCACCGACCTGGCCAAGAAGTCTCAGTTGCATTACTCCACGTCTCTGGCGATCGACCTAATCAGAGACCTGTGTGGGCCAATGAGTGTCGAGAACACCAGAAAGGTGGTGAGCACGCTGAATGCCATGATCACACAGAAAGTGAAGGAGGAGAGACAGGCGCGGCTCGCCAAGACAGGAGGCACCTCGACCGGAGGAGCCGGCAAGAAGAAGGCCAAGGGCCAAGTCAACATCGGGTCCTCGTTCAAGAAGGACAACTATGACGACTTCCTGCCTGACGACGATCTCGGCGACGACGACTTTATGTAGTTCCATAATTAATATCATGCAACCTGTATCTGCGGCTACGTGCACCCGTCCTGAATTAATCCCGCTGCGATATAAAAGAGCCATAGTTTCCTGAAAAATATTATGAATTTATTTCGACACAGAGGTGCCCAGCATCTGCGGGCGGTTTCGAAGAGCTGTAAGCGCTTCAATTCCTCGGGCCCGGTGCCCAGCGCGATGCCTCAGCCCAAGAAAGAGAGACGCGGCTTTCTCAGGACGGGCGGCCTGTTCCTGCTCGGGTCTATCCTCGGCGCCGCGTACGTTTCTGTGAAAGTTGGGGGCAATCCGCCAGAATTTCTGTTTCCGCTGTCTTCCACCAGCAGGCTCCGGGACTTGCGTCCTCCAGCGTACGGGGACGCAGAGGAGGCGCTCAAGGAGCTGACGGATTTGCTGGGACCGTCCAAAGTGAGCAGAACAAGGACCACCCTGGACGACCACAGCGACACTTTTTTTTCCACCCACCACGCGGAGCCAGACCAGAGACCCGTTGCCGTTGTGTACCCGGAAAACACCGAGGAGGTGTCGGCTATCCTGAAGGTGTGCCACAAGCGCAAGGTCCCGGTGGTTCCGTTTTCGGGCGGAACGTCGCTGGAGGGCCATTTTATTCCTACTAGAAAGGGCATCTGCATCGATCTGGGGAAGATGAACAAAATTTTGGAGCTGCACAAGGACGACCTCGACGTCGTGGTGCAGCCGGCGGTTGGCTGGGAGGACCTCAGAGACTATCTGGATGACTACAACCTGATGTTTGGGCCCGATCCGGGCCCGGGAGCGTGTATTGGTGGCATGATAGGGACGTCGTGCTCAGGCACCAACGCGGCCCGATACGGCACGATGAGAGAGAACGTCGTCGGCGTGACGGTTGTTCTTGCAGACGGCACGGTTGTCAAGACCAAGAAGCGGCCAAAGAAGTCGTCTGCGGGCTACAACCTGACCGGCCTTTTCATCGGCAGCGAGGGAACCCTGGGTATCGTGACCGAAGCCACACTGAAATTGCACGTGAAACCCCGCTATGAAAATGTTTTGGTGGTTGCGTTCGCCAGTCTGGCAGACGCTGCCAACACGGTGGCAGAGATGGTGCAGCGGGCGATCCCGGCCAACGCGATCGAGCTGCTGGACGAGAACATGATGCACTACGTCAACTTCTCGGGCGAGACCAGCTCCAAGTACGACGAGCTGCCGACGCTGATGCTCAAGCTGGGCGGCGACTCCAAGGAGTCGACGCAGCACGTGACCCGCGCCGTGGAGCAGATCTGCAGGCAGCACAACCGCAAGTCGTTCCGGTTTGCTGAGAGCGAGGAGGAGAAGTTCGAGCTGTGGAACGCGAGAAAAGTGGCGCTGTGGTCCACGATCAATTACGGTAAACAGACTATCGACGAGGACATCCAGGTCTGGACGACCGACGTGGCCGTGCCGATCTCGCGGCTGTGCCAGTCGCTGCAGGAGACCAAGGACGAGATTTCCAAGGCCGGCCTGAGCGCGTCGATCGTCGGACACGTTGGCGACGGCAACTACCACGCGGTCATATTGTTCAAAAAGGACCAGCACGAGGTAGCCAAGAAACTTGTCCAGGGCATGATCGACCGCGCCCTGCTCGCTGAGGGCACCGTCACCGGCGAGCACGGCGTTGGATACGGTAAGAGAGACTATCTGGTGGAGGAGGCCGGCGAGAACGCCATCGACCTGATGCGGAAGATCAAGATGGCCCTGGACCCGAACCGGATCCTCAACCCCGACAAGATATTCCGGGTCGATCCCAGGGACGTGGGCAGTCACTAAATGTAATAGATCTGTTAGAAGTCCAACGTGAGTAGTCCGGCCACCGCCTCCAGATGGCGCGTGTCCAGAACGGCGTCCTGCTGTTTCTCGTCCGCACGGTCGTCCACGTCGACCCTGTACCGCTCGGTGTCGCGCTGTCTCTCTTCCAAACGCTCCACGTTCGATCTCACGATCGCCTCGCTGGTGAACAGTCTGATGTACTCGGACACGAGCAGCAGCGTCTTGTGCGAGATCTTGATCGACTTGTCGTCAAAGGCAACCGTGTGGAAGAGCCGAGCAATTGTGGTAGCGTCGATGCGATTGGCCTGGTTCTCCATTGACGGAATTTTTGCAGCAGTAAATATTTGAAATTTATTTAGGGTGCGATTTTTCTCCCGATAAGTAAAAGCTAGCCGTATGACCACCGAGGTCGAATTAGAAACGCAAACCAACCGCCACAGCGAGGACGGCCTGCTTCAGGAGAGCGACCCGGACGAGGTGTACTATGAAAACAACAAGAAACGCAGCTGGCTCGTCGTGCTCGGCTCTTTCTTCGGGCTGCTGCCCGTCTGGGGCCTAGCCAACTCGATCGGTGTGATCCAGACCCAATTGCTCGAGTACGAGCTGTCTGGCGTGTCCACGACCACCGTCTCTTGGATCTTCTCCATCTACACTGCTCTCCTGCAGATCTGCATGATTTTCAGCGGCACATATTTCGACACCCACGGGACTCGCTTGCCGCTTATCGCCGGCACCATCATGATGACCGGCTCGCTGCTCGGGTTCGCCAACAGCTCCAAGGTGTACCAGAGCATTCTCTCGTTCTCCTGTGTCGGCATTGCCTCGGGAATTCTCTCCTCGCCCCTGATGGGTGCTGTCTCGCAGTACTTTCCAGCCAGGAAAAGAGCCACCGCAATGGCCCTCGCCGGCAACGGCGGCTGTGTAGGCGGCCTGATAATCCCCACCATGTTGCGAAAGACGTACGTGACTCTTGGGTTCACGTGGTCCATGCGCTTGCTGGCTCTGATCACGTTTGTGTGTCTGTCGATCTCCGTTTTTCTGGTCAAGGAACGAAGAGTGGTCCAGGCCGAGCAAATGTCCAGAAAGGACACCGTGATCTACTATCTCACCAAGTCGTTCAACTTCAAGGCACTGCGCGATGACCGCAAGTTCCTGTTCTGCGTTCTGGGCTGTGTCTTTGCCGAAGGCACGGTTCTCGTGACGTCGTCGCTCTTTTCGTTCGTGTGCATCAAAAACGGATTCTCCTCGAGTCAGGCGTATCTCTTTGTCACCGTGATCAATATTGGGGCGATCGCGGGCAGACTGCTGAGCGGGCTTCTTGCAGACGTGCTTTTCGGCAGCTACAACATTATCATCTTCCTCTTGGTCATTACCGCAGTCTTCAACTTCGTCGTGTGGATGCCCTTCAAAAGCAGCACTGGCGCCATGTACGCCTACAGCATCCTTTACGGCACCTTCTACGGCGGGATCTACTCCCTGATCCCCACCTGCTGCTCGATGATCGTCAAAAAGGAGGAATTTGGAGCCAACTATGCCACCATGTATGCCATCACCGGGCTGTCGCTGCTGGGTCTGAACCCTGCCGCTGCAGCAATTGTGGGCAACGGCACTAGCACCAAACGCACAGACGGCTTCATTGCCTACGCCTCCGCCTTGAGCCTGTTGGGGGCCCTCTGTATCAGCCTGACGCGTGTATTGTGCGTGGGAGCCAAGCTTAAGAAATTCTGAGAAACTGCCACCACGAAATGCACGCTTTGTCGGTTTTCGCAGTCAGCAATATCGCGGTCTCCTGGCTTTTCACGATGGCTGCCTTGACGGTCTTCCAGTTAGGTCCTTCGTCTGTGCGCGATAGAGTCGGTACCAATTTCGCGAACTCCTCAGGCGTTTTGCACTCTGGCCGAGCTCCCAAGCAGAAGCTCGTGTCGTGTAGTATCAAAACGTCGCTATCTACCGCACGTAGCCGAATTTCCATCGACTCTTTGCTCGGATTGGTTATCACCAAAGTTGAACCGACGCACTCAAGAACCGGCAGTCGACTCATTGCCATGGAAAGCGTCTCAAAAGAGCTCGACGCGGGCTCGGGACTCGGCTGCACCAAGATTTCGCGACAGCTCTTGCACCGCACACTCGATTTGCAGCATAGCTCCTGAAACAGCGGGAGCTCCGGCTCTTCGACCTTCTGTTCTCTTATCACCCCAATTTCAGGCAGCTGGCGGCGCTCTACTACATGTGCAAGCTCCAGCGAAGAGTACCTGCCAATCAAACGCGTTCGGTGTCGTGCTTCGCTGATATGAACGGTCTCGTAAAGGTTCTCATAATACGTCTTGAGCTCGTTGAATCGGCGGTCCAGCGCGGTACTTCTTTTCTCCCTGATGATGTCGTGCAACGGCTGCGGTTTGGTCAGGGTTCCTGTAGTGTAGGTCCATTTACAGTTGGCACAACTAAATCGAAAACTCTTGCTTGTTTTTGTGTCCTCGCTGTTGCTGTCTGCCTTTACGCGGAGTCTTGAGCGGCAAGACGGACATCTGAAGCAGTGGCGTTGACAGTACCGGACTTTGTGGTCAAAAGATCGCCAGCAAGAAGGACAAAACTTGGACCCGTGTTCCAGATCAACACAACGGTAGCATTTGATGCTGCGGCAGGTATTGCAGAAATACAGGTCTTCGAGGCGGTGCCGCAGGCTCGGATCGTGCAGAGTCAGCGGTACCTTGTCGACGGCGCCCGGAGGCTCGCTGCAGGGGCAAAATACAGACCCCATAAATTCACTCCCCGAAATCAAAATAAATTTGGCACTTTATTTTTCGTTCGATTATTGTTGCCTTTGTTAATGAACTGGCTTCGTTTAGCTATAGCAGGCTGGCTTTTTTCCAGCGCTGCCATGTCAGACAAACAGCTACTCTCGGTGGAAGAGAGCATAGCCATCTTCAAAGAGGACGAACCAGCGCTCCGAGAAAGCCTGTGGTTCATCAACGATTATCATCCCGGACAAAACGACCAGGTTCACTTGGCTCTGGACGTGGACTATTACGACGAGGCAGACACCATAAAGAAAAAGTACTGGCACTCAAAGCTGTCCGAACGGCAGTTGCGTGCCCTCGATTCCTTGCACCGCCTGGCCGACGAACACAACGACATCGACGCTACCTATCTGCTGGCCCAAATCAACCTATTTGGCAACTACTCGCTGCCAACGAACGCAACACAGACACTACATTATCATCAAAAGATGGTCCAGCTGGCACCCAACGCGACCTCAAACTACCTGCTGGGCTTCATATACGCAACGGGCCTTTTCGGCAAGCTCGACATGGACCAGGGCAAAGCGCTGATCCACTACCAGGTCGCCGCGGACCAGGGCGAGATCCGCGCGGCAATGGCATTGGCATATAGATATTACAAGGGCATCTCTGTGGAGCAGAACCTGATGCTGGCTCTGTACTACTACGGCATGGTTGCACACGAATGCTTTGAGTTTATCAAGAACGGGCCAATCGGCGGACCCAACATCGATCACTTCAATTTCCGCATTTACGACCTTCAGGGGGGCTTGTATGGCTCGGGGGCAAGCGAAACAACTCCCCTCGTTCCTTCGACATTGAAAGAGGTGGTTGAGTATGAGGACTTCACGGACGTCGACTTCCAGTCCTCTTCCTACAAAGACAAGGCGCGTTCCGTCCGATACTACTATGACGGCAACTACTGGCGACCACGCGATTACCACGCAGCCTTTGAGGTCGCTCAAGAATGCGCAACTCGCGGAATCCAGCTGAGACCTGTCGAGGACGTGCTAGACGGCAGAATCGACCGGAAATTGTCGGTTTCGCGGACCCTCATCCAGAGCGTTGGCCAGTGTTGTTCTGATCTAGGCCACATGTACCTCAGAGGAGAAGGCACGGAAGTGGACCTGGAGAGAGCCACAGTCTGGCTGGAGAGGGGCGTGAAACTGGCCAACTCTGCGGAGGCGAGCGTCGATCTCGGGCTTCTTTACGAACTGATGGACGACGAAGAGCACCACGAGCAGGCGTTTGAGCTCTATAACTCTGCGCGTTATGCGTCCGCGAGAGCTCTGTACCACCGGGCCAAAATTCTCATAAGAAGCGACTTTGACGCCGGACTGGGCCAGCTCATTACAGCAGCATACAGGAACGTTCCCGAGGCCAAGTACCAGGTGGCGCAGATGAAGGAGCTCCAATACGAGCCAGGCAAAGAAGAAGGAATTATCGTGTTCTACAAGGCTTTTGTAGAGCACATGGAGCCGGTTGTTTGCGATCTGCAATGGGCTTTCCACCAGCTGCTGAACAGAAACCACGAACAGGCTCTTATTGGGTACGCGATGGCCGCAGAGCAGGGATTTGAGCCGGCACAGTCGTCCACAGCGTTCCTACTCTATTCGCCTGTGGGGTATCTTGAGGAGCCTCCTAGGGTCCCCTTTGAACGGTTTCAAAGCTCGCTAAATTACTACAGACGTGCGCACCAGCAACAGAATTTGGACGCGGGAGTTTTTCTTGGAGATATCTACTACAACGGGCTCAAAAATTCACAGATTGGAAAGTCGTCAGAGGACGGAGAGTACGCTGTGGAGCCCGATTACAACACGGCTTTTTCGTACTACCTCTCTGCCTCAGCAAAGGGCAGTCTTCAGGCCAGATTCAATCTCGGCTACATGTACGAAATGGGCATTGGGCTGAGCCAAGACTTCCATCTGGCCAAGAGATACTATGACCAGATGTTCGAGATAAACCAGAAACCTTCCCTAGCGGCGCAGCTGTCTCTTCTGCGTCTCTGGCTGAAGATCTGGTGGTACGGCGAGAAAACTGCTGAGGATCCGGACGTGGGACAGTCTACAAGCAGAACGTGGGACGATTGGGTGCAGATGTACACAAGACTTAGAAATGAGAGGCGCGAGACCTTTGCACAGGAGCAACTGGCGAACGGGCCTAGCAGGGCCGAGCCGGACTCGAACTTTATTTTCGAGAGCACTTTTGAGAACGGCAACGCAGACATTTTCTTCCTCATCGCGTTTGCGTCGATCTTTCTGCTAGTCATGCTGAACCGGTGGCGGCTTCTGCGCCAGCGCCGGCCGGGAGAGCCCGACGACGAGCCCGAAGACGAGCCAAACGTGAGGTTCCGGGTGATACTTTTATAGCATGTTAAGTAGTACGTAAAATTACTGGTCGACTTCACCGGCAGACTCCCATTTTCCTGACAGGTTCTCCTTCCATAGCGTCACCTTGTTATCTCCGCCACTGATGGCGAGCACGTTTCCACTGAGCGACCAGCTGGCTCTCCAGCACACGTCAGGGAACTTCTCCTCGGTTAGGAGCTGTTTCTTCCATGGCGACGTGCCGCCAACCGTGTCGTTAGTCCATATCAAGACAGTTCTATCTTGCGAGGCAGATGCAATGTATGACTTAGAGAGCAGGGACGACGACCAGGCCACGTCCCGGACCCAATCTGTGTGGCCTGCGAGCACGGCCTCCTCGACGTAATTATTGACTTGCGGGTCGAATTTCCAGATCTTGACCAGGTTGTCGCATCCGCCTGTCACCAGCCGTCTTTCCTTGATGTTGTCCTTGTGCGGAGGCGCCCAGGAACCCGCGTTAGCTCCGATCGCATGTGCCTGGAACACCATTGTCTTCTGTGATCCGTCTTCCATGAATTCCACCACGGAGGCCTTGCCGTCGCTGGACGTGCACAGCAGCACAGCGCCGTACTCGCTTGGCGCCCATGAGACACTGTTTACCGAGGCTTGATGCACACCGTGCTCTGCGATGTTCGACCACACTCCGTTCTCCTCCTTCCAGATCAGAGCCTTGCCGTCGTACGAACAGGAGGCGAGTATCACGCCAAATTTCGGATGGGCCCACGCCACCTGCCAAACAGGCCCGTCGTGGCCCTTCAGCGTCTCCACGAGCTTGTGGTTCTCGCCGTCGACTTCAAAGATCTTGATCGTCTTGTCCGAAGAACACGTGGCCAGCCGTTTCCCGTAGTAGTCTAGCACGGCATCGTGAATCAGGTCGTCGTGCGCGTTGCCAATTGTCACCTGGGGTTAGCGTTTGGAAAGTGCTTTACTCACCATTTGTGTCTATTTATTAAATATAACAACAAATATTTATTTTCAACCTTCGGTGTGAGGAGGCCAATTTTCAGTCGTTCTCAATCAGCCCGTATTCCTCCAGATACAGAATATTGTCGCGAACAAGATCGTACACGCCGCGGTTGTTCTCGTACTTGACCTTGATCTCGTTCTCCACCTTTGTGCGCCCCACCTCGCTGATCAGAGCAGACAGGGCCAGAATTATCTTCGGCGAGAACGAGCAGTACCATCTGTGGAACCAGACGGTCAGATTGACCACCAGATCCAGTATCTGGTCATTCAGCTTGTTGAGTGCCTCCACATTTGCTGTCTTCTTCTTCTGCTCGGTGTAGTAGTCTAGTAATTTTCTGGAGCTGCGCACAGCAAACCGCAGGCCGAGGCCCCTCTCGTAGCATTGAGCAGCCTCTCTGTGATGACCCAGCCGCTCCGAGACGAGCCCCAGAAGCTCCCATTCGAGCGTTGTTTTCTCCAGGTCCAGCTGCTGCGCCTCAAAATGCATCACCTGCGCACGATACATGGTGTAAGTCCTCAAGTCCTCGTACAGAAGCATGAATAAATTGTCGAGCCATCTTTCGCAAAGACGCTTCTTTTTGAACTGGGACCCAGCAGACCCGTTCGCGGCCTCTGACGAGCCAGAGCTGCTGTCCAGACTTGGCTGTGCGTTTTCCTTCTTGAACTCGTCCTCCATCACAAACACCTTGGTGCGGTATTTCAGAAGCGACTCCCAGCCCGTCTCCAAAACTATGTCTGTCAGCAGCTTGTACGCTTTGGCGAACGTCGACTTCAAGTTGGCTGCAGCCAGGTTCAGCAGGTTGTGGTCGACCTTCTCGTGCTCGGCAGCGATTTCCAGGGAGCTCAGACTGGTCACGTTGGGAAGGGTAACGTCCATGGGAAGAGGAAGGTGCAGATCTTCCGGCTGCGGATTGTTGACTCGTTTCAGCACATATTTGTCTTTGTGGGTGACCATAGGACACGAGTTCAATGTGAGCAACGCCTTCTCATAGTCTCCCTTTTGAATGTATGTCTCCACCAGGACAGACCACGGCTTGAAGTAAGATGGAGTGCTGTTGACCGCCTTGACGGCAATTGGGAGAGCCAAGTCCAGCTTTTTCTTGTTCAGGCAGTACTGGGCCTGCAGTGTGAGCATCTCGCCATCCAGCGGGTTCAGCTTGATCGTATCGTACATCACCTTGACGGCTTTTATTTCTTGGTTGTTGAGCAGGTGCAGTTTGGCAATCAAATACGAAGCCGTGTGGTCTTCCCGCGTGATTCTGTTGAGAATTGCGATTCCGTCTTCCCACATGCCCGTCAACTGAACACACTTCACAAAGGCGTCCACCAAATAATTGTTGCATCTGGTTGGCACCTGGAGATCCTCAGAACACCCAAGTTTCGGGCCATCGTTGTATAGTTCCTCGAACCCTTTCAAAAACAAAGACGCGCACTCTTTAGTGAGAAACGGGTTGATCTTGCGTATCTCCACCACAGACGTGAAATCGTCCACGTCGGCGTCGGCGCTGATCAAAGCACGCACAACCGCACTGACAAAGGTCTCAGTCCACAGTCTATCGGTCTCGCTCACTTTGTTCCCCAGCCCGTCGATCATGTACGACTCCACCTGGCCCGGGAACTTGCACGTGACACGGACGTCGACTTTGCTGAACACGTTGTAGGTGCAGTAGGTCGCCTCGGTCACTTTCCAGTGTTTTTCCTTGCCGAACCAAATTTGGGGCTCTTCGCCAATGATGTTGCTTAGCGAGTTCAGGAGGGCCGCAATGGTGGCAGAATTCGACACGTCGGCCCCCGTGTAGTACAGAAACGTGCCCAAATATGGATGTTTCGAGCTCGACGACGTGTTGTGCTTCTTCAGATGCACCATATCTGGGGGACCTAAATCGCTGATGTTCTCGAGAATGGACGTTCTCTCGTCCAGACTCTCGCCAATGGTCTTTTCGACGACCCTGGAGTTAGAAAGCAGCCACTTATGTACTTACTCCGGGATCGAGCCCTGTGTAACAAAAGTCATAAAAAAAACACCTGTAATGTACAAATAAAATTATTTAATTGTGGACAACTCGATTTATGCCGTTCCTGATAAACGAATTGTAGCTGCCTCAGAGCCAGAACTCTACTGTATCTGGCGCCACAAACGTGCAAGGGCGTTCACTGCGTCCTTTGTCTCTTGGCCTCTCCTTCGGGCCCCTCGTCCTCCTCCTCATCCAGCTCCCAGTCCTTGGCCGTCAAACAGTACTTCTCCGGAGGCAAGCGCACACCCCACGCAGGCATAACAGGCGGCAAGGGCTTCTCGTTTCTTTCGGCTGCCAGCTTCAACAGCAGCTTCTTCGGAGGAACAGGCTTGAACTGGTAGTTTGTGCGAGCAGCAATAGCCAGTCTGATATCCTCGTTCGAAAGCGGCGCGTTTGACATCCCAGCCGAGGCGCCCCCATTGGCACTCGCGTACGCGTGGTCGTTGTACAGCACCGCATCTTGTAGAACTCCACAAGTGTATCTGTACGCGAAGTCCATCAGCTGAAGAGGGACGTGGTCCTGGTACGACTGAATGCCCTGTGTAGCAAGAATCAGGTGCAACAGACGCACATCACGAGGAACCTCCTCGTTCCCTGCTCCGGTATTCATCGTTAATGTTTAAACTTGTTTTTTGTACAGAATTATTTATTATACACACCCGTGCACCGGGTCAGGCGTACTTGGACAGTTCGAGCTCGTACCGTCGCAACACCTCGGCGTGTCCCTGCAGAAACTGCGTTTGCGCACTGTTCAGCACCTCGTCAAGCCGGAAGCTCTGCAAATACGTCTGAAAGTTGGCCTGGCTCGCGACTATTCGGTCCATACACCTAGCGTTGGCTTCCTGTCGCGCCTGGTGGTATTTGGCCATCAGGTGCTGGTAGTTGAAAACCTGTATCAGGTACTCTTGCATGCGGCGCTGCAGCTGGTCGCGTGTGGCCAGCCCAAACTCGGGAAAAGGCGGCGGGGAAATGTGGATTATGTCTGCTTCGTTGCACTGGAGATCCGATAATGTAAGAGGAGGCACGTTTGCATCAGGTTCCTCAGACCGCATGTCCTTCTCCTCGTCCACACTCATGTCGGTGTCCACCCCAAGACTTTCTCCCATAGCTGACATGTTGAAGTTGCCGTTTGTCTGAGTGAAAGGAGGAACGTTGTCCACGTGTATTTTGAACCTCTCATCGTCGGCGTCCTCCATCTGCGCCTTACGCGCTCTCTGTTCTCCCTCCTCCTCCATGGCTGTTCTATTAGTGAACCGTTGATGCGGGCCGGGCTTCCAGAACCTCTGTTTGGGCTTTTTGGGGCTATGTGTGCGCGAAGGCGGGTCGTCCACCACGATGGGATCTTCTTTCGTCCCACTGTCGAGTATTATGGGGTCTTCGGGAGTTCCGTTGAACGGGGCGGCCTCGGGACCGGTGTGGCGTTCGAATTTGAACTCTGGCGTGCTGAAGTCCTTCAGAATATCCGCAAAATCTGTGCTCATGCGCGGCTTTTGCTCCTTGTCGGTCCATTTGCTCGGCTTTTCGGTCTTTGGCACCGACCCAGGGCACGTCTTTTCTCCGGGAGTGAAGGAATAGGAGGAACTGGTCTTGCGCCACCCGTTCGGGCCATTGGTCGAGTGGCTTTCATGGGTATATTGTCTGTGTGTCTCGTGACGGTCGGAGGAGTATCTGCTGTAGTGGTAAAAACTATCCGTATAGTTCCATTTGTTGGCCCAATCGTCCGCCTGCTTCTTGTGAGCCTCCTCGCGAGCCTTTCGCTCCTGCTGTTGCCTCTTCTTGAACTCCTCAAACTGTCGTCTTGCTCTCTCGTACTCGTCGTACGCCGACGGCTGTTTCGAGGCTTTGGGTGTGAAAGAGTAGTTGTGCGTCGTCCGCGGTGTATATGTTCTGTCGAACTCGGCTTTCTTGACTGGATCGGACAGCACGCCATAGCTATCATTGATTTGCTTGAACTTTTCCTCCGCCGACGCACTTTTGTTCTTGTCCGGGTGGTACTTCAGCGCCAGCCGTCGGTAGGACTTTTTTATCTCGGCGTCGGTTGCATTTCTGGAAATCTCCAGCACCTCATAATGGTTTATACTCATGCAACATAGAAATATTTATTTTGCAATTATTCTAGAGGAAAAAGATGGGGGGGTGATTAGATTTTCTCAGATATGAGGCGGTGACATATCTTGTCTATCTGGTGCATCCGCCGTCTTTAGCCAACTACGACCTGAAGCAGGACAGGCCAACATCAAATCGAACCATCATGGCAGCGACCGGACATTCAGATGGAGTGCGATGTTAATCCAGAAAGTTGGCTCTTTTCTGGCTGATGGCCGCTTGTATGATCTCGCGGTGTTCCTGTGAGCGCAGAAAGAAGCAACACGTGCGACAAGCAGTCTAAACGGGTGCGCTCGTTTTGAGACAAATTCAGGTTTGTCATAAAAAGCATACCTAGAGTATGAGATCAGCTACTGTGAAGACCCTACGTGGCATCCGATACAGAAATCCTGATCAACGCAGGCAGTGAGCCTAGAACGACGCCTGTCCACACCCTCCCGCGACTCTGATCGGCACGCGGCATAAAGCCCAGCCTGTCCTGGATGCTGGAGTCAGCCTTGTACTCGTATTTTGGCTACGCCAGATACGACACCGCTTTTCCTAACGTCTGGGCCCTTCGTCGGCGTCGTCATGACTCCAGGTTCCCTGATCTACCTGCTAGACCCTCGATTCAAAACACTGTTGGCGTTGTAGCAGGCCAGCATTTACGTAACGGCGCACTTCCTCATCTTTTTGAGATTTGATATTAACTAGCTCCAAATTATTTTATCCGTTTGCCGGTTTATCCAGCAGGAGCATTTTATCCTACTACATGTCGAAGATCTTCTTTCACAAATTCCCCGTCACAAGCCAGGTGTTCTACAAATCCAAATTCACCTTTGCGTTGGTCAACCTCAAACCGATTGTCCCCGGACACGTGCTGGTCGTTCCTTTGAGAGTGGTTCCGCGGCTCAAAGATCTCTCGCCCGAGGAAAGCGTCGACTATATCATGACTGTGCAGCTGATTCATAGCTTTATCGAGAAGGTGTACAAGGCCGACTCTCTGAATCTGGCCATGCAGGACGGCGTTGCCGCTGGACAGTCCGTGCCCCATGTGCACACCCACATAATTCCACGGTATCTGAACGACGGTTATGGAGACGGAATCTACGAACTGTTGGAGTCGCACGAACAGGATCTCCACAGCTTTTTCCAGATGGCAGTGAAGAAAATGCAGGTTGCAAGGGACGAGGACCGCAAACCAAGATCTATGGAGGTGATGGAAAAGGAAGCCGAGTGGCTGAGAGCGGAACTAAGTGAGTTTATCAAGTCCCGCGAGGCTCTCCAGTCGGATGAAGCAAAAGATGTCGGGTTGGGAGATTCCTGACGAGTCCTGGTATGAAGTGTTCAGGCTATCTTGCACGGGGGATAGACGAAGGGTGAGTGCCGTCGACATGGCACATGTTTTGACTATTTCCTCAATCGCCGTTTTGCAGTGCTGCAGACATTCCAGGATGGTATTTGGGACGTCAGATAGAAGTTGGTTCACTGATTCGGCGCCTTAGCATTGTGCAGTCTCGACAGAACGTTGCTCTCGAGTCATTGCAATAGATTATTTAGGCTCGTGCATCTTAGACTTTATATGGTGACGCTGTGAATTAGTTAGCTGCTCATGTAGAGGGCTTGCAAAAGGGTCCAAGACTTGCCAAATGGCCTTAGTCATCCTGCTCTCTCTGGGTGTAAGGACCGCGTTTCTAAATCTTAGCCTTTTTAATTTCGCCGAGACACTTACCCCCTCGGTGTCTTTCTACTATGATCACACTCTACCCTTCTGTTAAGGACACAGAGCTCACATCACCGTCCCGGCTGCCTGCATGGGGCCGTTTCCAGGACAGAGGCCTATTACAGTCACGTGACCAGGAAGCTTAATGGCTACGAGCTAGTCGGTGAATTTCCAGATACCATGGCTACACTCGGAGCTACCGCGCTAGTGCGGCAGTTTGCATGATACAGCAGGCGATTCCTTCATATACAGAAACGCGAAAGAGTCCTCTGCCAGAAGGAAATAGCTTGTAGCCAAAGGCATCAAGAAGTACAGCAAATGAGCCACTTGAAAGACACCTTTGCAGCAGACTCCAGGTCCGTTCTCCTTCCTAAGTTGTTTCTCACAGCTGCACAGCTCAGGCGACACTCCAGACCCTTGTGGCTGCCTAGTGCAGAATCCAGCTACTCCCTCAATTCCGGGGTGAGAACCATCAGTCCCAGAATCGACCGGGCCACCTCTCCGGCCATAATGGAGGTAACATCGTTGGTGGAGTCGCCCCACGGAGAAACCTCCGTCACGTCGGCGCCGACCACATACAGGCCGGCCAAACCGTCGATAATCTCCAGTAGCTCTCTGGAAGACCATCCGCCTGGCTCAAGGGATCCGGTGCCAGGGGCGGACGGAGGGTCCAGAACGTCAATGTCAAAGCTGATGTACACCGGCGAGTTGCCCAGTCTCTCCTTAATTTTGTCAATTATGCCCTGGACCCCTATTTTGTCCACGTCTCTGGCCATGATCTTGGCGAACTTCGACTCCGAGCGGTCGCGGCCAGCGTCTCCTCTGTCCTCGTACCATCCTCTCAGCCCGGCGTGGATGTTGTTATCAGCAGTCCACCCTTTTCTGTGGGCCCAGTACAGATACGTGCCGTGGTTGAGCGCAGCATACTCGGTGACGTTCGGGTTCATGTAGTACGGATTGACGGTGTCGAGATGGGCATCGAAATGCAGAACGCTGACTTTGCCGAATTTCTCGTGTGCAGCACGGATGCCCGAATAGCTGATGGTGTGGTCGCCGCCGAGCGTCAGGAACCGGGGGTATTTTCCAGGATTCGCTTTGGTGGTGGAGTGGTTCAGAAGAGCTCTTTCGGACCGGTACAGCTGGTCGAGAGCGACTCTGTTGTCCAACGGCGTCATCGGAACGTTGCCGCAGTCCACGATTTTGGCCCAGTTGTTCCAGACATTGAAGCCTGCTCTGTACGGAGAGTACGCCGGAGCAAACTTTCTCGTGCCCTGTCTGATAGCGTCTGGTCCGAAGCGCGAGCCCGGCTTGTACGAGATTCCCGTGTCGAAGGGAGCTCCAAGAACCGCAATGTCGAGTTCCAGCTCGGCCAGCTTCTCAGGGTCGAAGCAGTGCGTCTCCATCGGAAGGTGTCCGTAGGTCAGGTAACCTGCCTGCGAGATGCCGTTGTATCTGTCGCTTCTGCCCGGATACAGGTCGGACGTGTCGTCTGGATCTCTGTACTTGACCTGCTGGGAGGCAAGGTAGGCCAGGTCTTTGGGAAGCTCGATGTCGTCGGCAAAAACGAGAGCGTTCTCCTGGTCTACCTTATAGTAGTCCTCGAGAAACTTGATTTTGGTGTCCTGGTATTTTTGAGCGAGCGCAGAGGGCACGTCTGGAAAGCCTTGGACGGGGATCTGGTCCAGTCTCACATGCGCCGCGAGCGCCTGGACGCTCAGGAAAAGAGAGAGAAGCATAGCGGAAATTGGGACGGACGACGTTTTTATCGCGGAGAACTGCCCAATTAGGAAGCGCTAAAGAAATTCCGCCCAGGTTCGCTTGAGCTCGGTCGACACGACAGACGACCGGACCTAGGCGTGCAGCGGTAGACAGCACGACGGCAGCCTGGCTCGTCACGTGCCAGGCGGAAATGCGACTCGCGGCTCGTATTTAGATGGGGCCTGTTGCCGAGCGGCTGGCTGTGCCTAAATTTATCAGAGATAAGGTTTTTTAAGTTGTCAGCATCGCTTTTTTCTCCATCATGGCGAGAATCATAGTTATAGGGTACGTACCGCCGTTAGACCTGCTAACCGCCCAGTTGCGGCGTGGTTGGAATGACCACGGCCCTGGAGCTAGCGCAAAGAGGCCACACCGTCCAGATTGTGGCTCGACACCTGCCGGGCGACGTCGACGTCGAGTACACCAGTCCGTTTGCAGGCGCCAATTGGTCGAGCTTTGCGCAGAGCGAGGACCACGAGATGAAGTCGTGGGACAAGATCGGCTATTACCGGTTTATGGACCTGGCAGATAACGTCCCTGGCGCAAGTGTGGTGAGACGCACGGAGCGGGTTCTCAACACCAACCGGGTGCCCTGGTTCAAGGACTTTGTGCAGGATTTCCGGTTTCTTCGCAAAGAGGAGCTGCCCGACGGAGTCGAACACGGCCACGAGTTCACCACCGTGGCAATCACGGTGCCGATCTATTTGCACTATCTATTGCAGAAGTTACTAGGTCTGGGTGTTAAATTGCACAGGGCACATCTACACCACATCAAGGAGGCGGCCGGCTATTTCACCGACGGCCAAGTTGACGTGACTGTGAACTGCTCTGGACTGCTCTCCAGCAAGCTCGGAGGCGTGATGGACAAGGACGTCTTCCCGATCAAGGGCCAGGTGATCCATGCGCGCAACAGCTGCCCGTACATGCTTTCCGTCAAGAACATTCCTGGTGCGAGCAAGGACGAGTCGCTGTACATTTTCCCTAGGAAAGAAGGCGGCACGATCATCGGCGGCTGTTTCCGCGTGAACGACTGGACGCCGGACGTGGACGAAGGGCTCTTCGAGCGGACCGTGGCCCGCGCACGCCGGTACTGTCCGGAACTTTTCGAGCACGGCGACCTGGACGTCGTCAAGGTGTACTGTGGCCTGAGGCCGGGCAGAAAAGGCGGGCCGCGGATTGAGAAGGAGGTGATTCCTGGCGTTGGCCGCGTGGTGCACAACTACGGCGCCGCAGGCGCTGGCTACCAGAACTCGCACGGAATGGCCATGAAGACGGTTATGCTGGTGGAGTCGTTTTTGCGCGAGCACAAGCTCTAGTTGGCGGCCACTCCTTTTGTCCAGCTGTAGCAGCCCAGGATGAGCATCATCGCGAGGAAAGACACCACAAGACTGGCCGTGTAGTAGACCGCGCGGCGGACCTCGTTTTTGAGTGCGACAATCTCGTTGACAAAGGTGCTAAGCGTGCTGTACGTACCGCAGAAACCTGCTCCCAGGGCAACCAGCACGTCGAGCTGTAGCTGGTCGGTAACCAGAGGCGCACCCGTGCTCGTTTGTCCGTGTATCAGAAGGTAGAGTATTGCGAGGAGAATAGATGCTGTGACGTTGGTGACAAAAGTGCCAAGGGGGAACCACGAGCGGGCGTTGAGCTTTGCGAGATGGTAGCGGCCGTAGCAGCCGAAAGGGGCGAAGACGATGCCGAAGGACCACGACTTTTTCCAGAAATAGTGGTTGTGCAAAGTGCAGCAGAGCACGAGGTTGGCGATCCACACAATAACCCCGAGCACCATGGTCAGCAGCTCAAAGTAATGCAGTGGTGTGATGAATTTTCTATGGCTGAGTCCCCATGCGTCGGCAAACCTGGTGAGGAAAGCGGCAAGATCGGAGCCCAAGTGGTAGCCGATCATGGAGACTCCCATCTGAGTAAAAGCGACAGAGAAAAACTCCATAACTCCGTAGCCGTGGTTGGGCAGCTTATTGTGTACGTTGAGAATATCCAGTGTTTTGGCGAGCATTTCCATGACCAGGGACGAGAAGCTGGAGAAACTGCCGACGAAGCCGGTGGTGAGGGCTGTGTAGATCACGAGCGATTTTTTGGTTTGTGTCTTCTCGTCCGGCAGCAGCGTCTGCCAGCCCTTGTCGTACTGGTTAATTAGAGCGATGAGCAGGCAGGCGGTGAAATTCGACCAGATGCACGAGCCTGATAGCTTGTAGTTCGGGTTGATGTAGGAGTTTGAGTAGAATGTAAGCTTGGTCATGCCCTCCCGGGCCATGAAGCCGAGAATCGACCAGAAGGCCAGCTCGAGATGGACATTGAGCCAAGACATGGAAATAAAAAATTGCATATAATTATGGTTGCACAGCCGTGTAACTACGAAATTATAACTCTACGCGCCGGCACAGTGGCCGCCGTCGATTCTGAGGTCAGAGCCTGTCATGAACCGCGACCCGTCGCCGAGCAGGAACACCGCAGCCGTCTTGAAGTCGTCGGGTGCGCCCAGACGGTTGAGCATTGCGCCGCGCATCCACGTCTCGTAGAGCTCGGGTTCCACGTCCAGCAGCTCCTGCGTCATGGCAGTTATGATATAACCCGGTGAAATGGTGTTGATGCGGATGCCGTACTGGCCCCACTCCTGGCACAGCGACCGTGCAAGTTGCAGAACGGCCGCCTTGGACGTGTTGTACGCCGTGTTTTCGAGCCCGCGGTTCGCGATAATGCCCGACATCGACCCAATCAGCACAATCGAGCCCGGCGTCCCTTCTGCCACCAGGATCTTGGCCGTGTGCTTGGCCATGATGAACGAGCCCACAAAGTTGATGTCGACGATTTTCCGGTACAGCTCGACGGGGTAGTCGATGGCTGGCAGCTTCTGGTTGATACCGGCGCAGTTCACCAGCCCGTGGACCGGTCTGCCAGCCTCAGCGGCCTCCTGAGCGAGCCGTGGCAGAAGCAACTCGACGGCCGGCTCGCTGGTGACGTCGAGCGTGTTGAACGAGAGGGACCCGCCGTTTTCCTTGGCGAGCGTCTGTGCGGCGGCCCACTCTTCGGTGAGCGGCTCTGGCAGCAGATCTAGTGCCACTGCGCTGCCGCCTGCCTCGAGAATGGCCGTGATAAGGCTCAGGCCGAGGCCGCGGGCGCCGCCGGTGACGAAGTAGGTCCTGTTTTTCAGGTCCAGGCCGGCTTTAACGGAGGACGGCGAGGCAGGAGCAGGGTCGGTGATGGTGGCGAGAGGGTTGTAGGACTTGTACGTCATGGTGCTGCACCCAGAGGGCATGCTACTGCTGTATTTATAAGGCCCAGATCACAATAGCGGTATTCGATGGGAGCCGCATTGTGGGGGCGCCTATTATTTCCAAATTAGACAATACCAGTGAATCTAATGCATGCACCCCGCAATACGCGCAGCCTTGGTATATATGGACAGCTGGGAGCCCTGTTGCTCCCAAGAATGTATTTGGGATTGAAAGGCCGCAACTTGCAGTGGGGAGTCACCTTTGCCTCTGGCGCAGGGTTCCTGCTCTTTGGATTTGATCAGGGTGTGATGTCGGGGCTGCTGACGGGCGCTGCGTTCACGCATCAGTTCCCGTCGATCGACACGACGGCCACAGGCCACGGCAGCTCATCGTTGCAGGGCACCGTCGTGGCCATCTACGAGATAGGGTGCTTCTTTGGCGCACTGTTCAGCTTTGCGTTCGGCGAGCGCCTCGGCAGACGCTGGAGCATCATGATCGGGTGCATAACTCTGTCTATCGGGGCAGCGATCCAGACCTCCTCGTACAGCCTTGCGCAGCTGATTGTGGGACGGATAGTGGCCGGCCTGGGCAACGGCATGAACACGGCGACGATTCCTGTGTGGCACTCGGAGATCTGTAAAGCCCACAACAGGGGCCGTGAGCTGTCGATAGAGCTGGCGATCAACATTTTCGGAGTTATGACGTCTTACTGGGTCGACTATGGCATGAGTTATGTCGATAGCGAGGCCCAGTTCCGGTTCCCGATTTCGCTGCAGATCCTGTTTGCGCTGTGCACGCTAGTCGGCGTGATGTTCCTGCCGGAGTCGCCGCGGTGGCTCATTGCACACGAGCGCCACGCAGAGGCCAAGCAGGTTATTTATCTGACGATGCACAACGCCGAGCAGATAACCGCCGACGACCCAAGCGTGGCGCACGAGATCGAGCTGATCAAGGAGGCGCTCGCCGAGGAGCGCCGCTCTGAGCGTGTCGGCTTTGCGGCCGTCTTCACCAACGGTCCGCAGCGCTTTTTCTGGCGTACCTTTTTGGGCATGTTTTCGCAGTTCATGCAGCAGCTCTCGGGAATCAACCTCATTACCTACTACGCCACGAGCATCTTCGAGGAGTCCGTCGGCATGGGCCACAACCTGGCGCTGCTGATGTCAGGGTTCAATGGAATTGCGTACTTTTTCTCGTCGCTGCTCCCAATTTGGTTGCTCGACAGAATCGGTCGCCGCAAGCTGATGCTGTTTGCCGTGATCGGACAGGGCTCGTGCATGGCGATTCTGGCCGGCACGGTCTCGAACGGCAACACCGCGTCCGGAATAGTGGCCACCGTGATGCTGTTTTTGTTCAACTTCTTTTTCGCCGTGGGTCTGCTTGCCATTCCGTGGCTGCTCCCAGCAGAGTACGCGCCTCTCGCGATCCGTACGAAGGCGGCGGCGCTGGGCTCCGCCAGCAACTGGATATTCACGTTTTTGGTCGTCGAAATCACGCCGTCGAGCGTTTCCAACATCGGCTACAAAACGTACGTTTACTTCTGCGTGTTCAATTTCTGCTTTGTGCCAATGATTTACTTCTTCTACCCGGAAACGAAAAACCTCCCGCTCGAGAAAATCGACCGCATGTTTGTAGGGGAGAAGGTGCACCTGTTCTGGGACGACGCGCTCGAAGACGACTTTGCGCTTGTTGCAGACCAGACCCCCGAGAAAACGGAGGTCCAGATGGTGGAGGCCAGTGTGTAAGTTTCAGCTTAGCAATATCAGCCGCAGCTTTTCTATGTCCCCGCGTAGCTTTCCATATCGGGAAATTTCGCGCGCAGCAAGGGCCCCAGATAAATAGCACCGATCTGGCCTGCTGGAACGCAATGACGATCGACAACTCTCAGACGCACCAGCTCGTGCTCAGCACTTTCCGCTGCCTCGTCGCAGACCTCGTCCAGCAGTACGGCGGCGGCCATCCCGGCGGCGCCATGGGCATGGCCGCCATGGGCGTGGCCTTGTGGAAATACGCCATGAACTACTCTCCAAGCAACCCAGATTTCTTCAACAGAGACCGTTTCGTGCTCTCCAACGGGCACACATGTCTGTTCCAGTACGTCTTTCTGCACCTGGCGGGCTACAGACACATGACCATGGAACAGCTGAAAACGTACCACTCGGACCGTCCAGACTCGTACTGTCCGGGTCATCCGGAGATTGAACACCCCGGCATTGAGGTCACGACGGGCCCGCTCGGCCAGGGCGTCGCGAACGCGGTCGGGCTCGCCATTGCGTCCAAAAACCTCGCCGCCTTGTACAACAGGCCGGGCTACGACGTGGTGGACAACTCGATTTTCTGCATCGTCGGCGACGCGTGCCTGCAGGAAGGCGTCGGGCTCGAGGCCATCTCGCTCGCGGGCCACCTTGGTCTCGGCAACCTGATCGTGCTCTACGATAACAACCAGGTCACGTGCGACGGCAGCGCCGACGTGGCCAACACCGAGGACGTGGCGGCCAAATTTCGGGCGTGCCAGTGGGCCGTGCTCGACGTGGCCAACGGCTCCGAGAACGTCGAGGCCATTGTGGGCGCCATCGACCGCGCGAGGCAGATATCCGACCGGCCCGTGCTGATCAACGTCCACACCGTCATCGGCTACGGCGCGCTCAACCAGGGCCAGGCGTCCGCGCACGGTGCAGCGCTCGGCGAGGACAACGTGAGGCAGCTCAAGCTGAGGAACGGTCTGGACCCAGATCTGCGCTTCCACGTGCCACAGGCGGTGTACGAGTTCTTCAGCGACTGCGTCCCGCGCGGCCAGCAGAGCGAGCGGCTGTGGGAGGAAAAGGTGGCCAAGTACACGGCGCAGTACCCTGAGCTGGGGGCCGAGTTTGCGCGCCGCGTCGCGGGCAAGCTGCCCTCCGACTGGAAGAAGCACATCCCAGCAGAGTTCCCTTCCGGCCCGACGCCAACCAGAAAGAGCAGCGGTCTCGTTTTCGCGCCGCTCGCCAAGGCCGTCGACTCGATCATCGCCGGCAGCGCCGATCTGACGCCGTCTGTGCATGTGACCTGGCCTGGCGCACGCGACTTCCAGAACCCGCTGCTGCAGACCAAGTGCGGTCTGGGCGGCGACTACTCGGGCCGCTACATCCACTACGGCATCCGCGAGCACGCAATGGCAGCCATTGCCAACGGACTCGCCGCCTACAACAGAGGCACGTTCGTCCCGGTCACGTCCACCTTCCTGATGTTCTATCTGTATGCTGCTCCCGCCGTGCGGATGGGTGCTCTGCAGGAGCTGCAGACGATCCACGTCGCCACGCACGACTCGATCGGCACGGGCGAGGACGGGCCAACTCACCAGCCGATCGCGCTGCCGGCGTTTTACCGGGCGCTGCCTAACTCGCTGTTTTTGCGGCCGGCAGACTCTGAGGAGACTGCTGGCGCGTGGGAAGCTGCCGTGGAGTTCGGGCACGGACCGAGCCTCATCTCGCTGTCGCGCCAGGCGCTGCCGCAGCTGGTTGGCACAGCGCGCGACAAGGTCGCTTTGGGGGCCTACGTCGTGAAGCCGGAAGCCGACCCGCAGCTGCAGCTGCTGGCCACCGGTTCCGACCTGCAACTGGCGCTGAAGGCCGCCGAGAAGCTGGCTGGACGCGGCATCCGGACCAGGGTGGTCAGTTTCCCGTGCACACAGCTGTTTGAGCGGCAGAGCACCGAGTACAAGCAGAGCGTGCTGCTGCGCGGCAAGATCCCGTCCGTGGTGGTGGAAAGCTACGCTGTGAACGGCTGGGAGCGGTACGCGACGGCGGGCTACAGCATGCGCACGTTTGGCAAGTCGCTGCCGGGGCACGCCGCGTACGAGTACTTTGGGTTCTCGGCGGGCCCTGTGGCAGACCGGGTCGAGAAGTACTTCCGCTCGGCAACCGCAGAGAAATTATGGTATTTTGAGGATTTGAGCTAAGTAGCTGCAACTAACGCGCTAATAACTCCAGTGTTCCTGTAGGTCGCGGATGCGCCAGCTGGTGGACCAGCCGGTGGTGTTCTCGATGTCGCGCAGCAGCTGGACGATGATGTGCTGCTCCTCCTTGCTGCTCATGAGCTTGCCCGCGACCCAGAGCGGCTGCAACGCGTTGTTGAGGCAGCCGTGGTCCGAGTTGGACAAACTGATGCCGACGACGCACTTAGCGTGCCAGATGAGGCTCTTGCGCATGACGGGGTCGACAGCGAGCGTGGGCAGCGGGCGCACCACGCGCGTCTTGTACTTTATGAGCAAGATCATGGCGGTGTGGAACATCTGCGTGCCCGAGATGGCCGGGGCCACGCAGAACAGGATGCTCGGGAACGGCGTGCCGTCCTTGAACATGCTCACGACAGGGTGCATCTCGGCGGGGCGGTCCTGCCACCAGCGGTCGAGCTCCGTGTACAGCTCGATCCACTCGGCCTCGAACTCGTCCTGCTTGAGGCTGCCCGAGTAAACCAGCCGACACACGCGGGCAAGCAGGAAAACCATGTAGTTGGCGTACATGTCGCGCGACTCGTTGACGTCGAACTTGGAGTCCATGAACAGCGCGCGCGCTTGCTGCACCGTGTGGTTGCGCGGCAGCCAGCTCTCGCACGGGATCAGCGTCGCCGTCTTGTGCGAGATCGCATGCATCACGTCCATGCGGATAAAACACCAGAACACCGCCTGCCGCAGGCCCCCGGAAAACCCGTGCAGATCGGCCACTCTGAACAGCGCGGCGCAGCCCTTCAGATGCTTAGTCCACGTCTCGCTCGGGTCCGACGACATCATCTCGAAACAGCACAGGATCACGCACGACGCCATCACGCTGGTGTCGGGCACCTTCTTCACCTTGGGAACCAGGTACGTGAGCGACCGCTCGTACAGCCGGTACGTGGTTTCCGAGACGGGCCTGTCGTGCTGGAGCTTGTCGCGCTGGCGGCTGGATATCGTCAGGATCGCGCACATCAGCGGGTCGTTTTTGGCCGTCTTCGACAGCAGCGCGGTGAAACAGCTCCTGTGGTCGAACATGTCGAGCCAGGGCCCGATATCGTTGACGTAGCGCGTCAGCAGCAGCAGGTTCTCCTCGGGCGACAGAATATCGTGGTCGCCCGGGCCGTGGCCAAACTCGAGCCCGTCGTGGAACGCGTTGATGCCCTTCGTGAGGTTGAGCAGCTGGTCGTCGAGAGAGAGGTCGTTTTCGAGGATGTTGCCCGATAAGTTCGCCGGCGTGGACGGGCTGGTCGTCATGGCGTTCAGAAACATGTAGTCGCGCAGCGTCTCGCGCAAGTTGGCGTAGTCCGGGCTCACGCTCGCCACCTCGTTGCGCTCGAACGCCCACGGCCGGTCCCGCACGCTCTCGTCCGACGACGGCGTGATGGGCACCGCAACCGGCTTGACCTCGTTCAGCAGCGACTTGAGGTCGTAGAAGCTGCTGCTGGCGGCCGGCTTCGCCACCGGCTTGCTCTCGATCGGCTGGAGGTCCGGCGTGGCGGGGACTTTTGTGGGCCGCTCGTCGCCGGGCACCATCAGATGGAACGTGCTTGCTCGCGAAGGCCACACGCACTCGAAGCGGCGGCGCGCGCAGAACCCGCACACGGGCTTGGCCTCGTCGCATTTCTTGTGTTTGCGGCGGCACGTCAGACAGCCCGTCTTGACGCGGCGCCGTGGCTCCTGCGCGGGAGCAGCGTCTTTGGGGAACATGGGGAGTATGAGTTAAAATAAATAAATATGTACCCCAACTTTTTCATGCACGGGGATAGCCGGGCCTCCACACCCGTACACGAGAAAACAGGGGAAACGGGAGCCGCGCCGACACGGCCACGCCGGCGTGGCAGAGGTCCACGGCTACACAGGCACCGGGTCCATTTTCGGGAAGATGCGCGCGGCCTGGAAGAAGATGCGCGCGGCGGCGGCAGAGGCGATGAGGCTCTTGCACACAGGCCGTTTCTTCGGGTCTCCTCCGGACTGCACGCGGTCGTCCTCGCTCGGCTGGAACGTCTTGTGTCCGCCAAACTCCGTGCGGTACCGCTCGTACGTGCGGTCGTCCAGCCGGTAGATGTCGAACGAGCAGAAGTAGAGGCCGTCGCTCGGGTCGTACATGTATTTTCTGAAGTACGACACGTGGCGCAGGATCTCGTTTTCGCAGCAACGGCGCGTGCTCTCCGGGGCGTGCTTTCCAAACGTCACCAGATAGTCCACGAGGCCCTCGACGAGCAGCTGGATGAAGTAGGAAGGCCCATGCCAGAACCGTTTGTTCCAGTCGTTGTAGTCTCTGTCGAAGAGCGTGCGGCCGCGGTCTGTCGCTGCCTCGGCGAGTTTCTTGGCCTTGTCGATCCACTGCGGGTCCCTGTCGTACTGGTAAAGCATGCAGATGGCCGAGAGCGTGTTGCCCGTGTTGTACGACCATTTTGTTCTGTCGATCACGTCCGAGTCGTACGCCACGCCGTCCATCACGACGTTGTCGGACCTGTCCCAGAGGACCTGCTCGATGAAGTTGACGCACAGCTTGGCAAAGCTGTACAGCCGTTTCTGCTCCTCCGGCGACGAGTACTTAACCATGCGCATGGCGCCCGTGGCGGCCACGCAGTTCGAGATGGTGGCCATGTACTTGCGCGAGATGTGCCACTTGAGCCCCGGCACGTGGAACTTCTGGTGCTCGACCACGCCGGTCATCAGGAAGCGCGCCAGCTCGCGCGACAGGTCCAGATACTCCTGGTTGCCCGTGGCCTCGTACAGAGCAACCATGCCGCGCAGCAGGTGGGCGCAGTCGTCGTAGTTGATGTCGTCGTCGCCCGAGTTCTGCGCGCCGTGGTACATCACCGAGTACGCCCCGTACTTCGGGTTGCGGTAGCACGTCAGCGCAGACACCGTGGGCGCGACGATCGGCAGCGTGAGGTCCTTGTACGCGGCGCAGCACTCGGCCACGGCGTGCAGCACGATGCCCATGGTCCAGCACGTGAACCGGCCCTCGCGCGACTCCTTGCAAGGCACGCGCGTCGAGAAGTTGCCGATGCTCGGGTTCCAGTACGTTTGCCAGAACGTCTTGACGATGTTGTAGCCTTCCAGATTATTGTCAAAAGACATAGCAATAAAAAGATAATACTAAATTATTCTCCTGCATCTCGGCTTTTGTTTACAGCCGGCCAAGAAATATAGTTTTTTATTTTTCAGCTCCCCCGATGGCCGACACAGAGAACCAAGCCGATCTCAAGACCCCCTTAGACGTGTCGGAGACGCCCGTACAGGCCGCGCCCGTCTCCAGCGACATCCCCAACACGTTCACCGGCCGCGGGCTCGCGTCCGTGGTGGGCTGCATGCTCTTCTCGTTCAACACATGGGGCGCCAACTCGGCCTACTCGCTCTACTACCAGGAGTACCTCAACTCCGACGTGTTCCCCGGCACGACCAAGTACGAGTACGGCATTGTGGGCGGGCTCACGTTCGGCGCCGGGCTCACGTTCGGCCCGCTCATCAACTATCTCGTGGGCACGCTCGGCCTCAAGCCCACCATCGCGATCGGGATTGCGTTCCAGCTCGTGTCGATGCTGCTCGCGTCCTTCTGCACCAAGTTCTGGCAGCTGGTGCTCACCCAGGGCGTCTGGCAGGGCCTGGCGCTCGCGCTGATCGCGATCCCCAGCATCGTCGTCATCCCGCAGTGGTTCTCGAGCGGGCCGGGGGGCAAGCGCAACCTCGCGCTGGGCTTCTCTGCAGCGGGCTCCGGGCTCGGCGGCATCCTGTACAACATCGGCATGGAGCCCCTGCTGACCCGGCACGGCTACCAGTGGTCGATGCGCACACAGGCCATAATCTGCGCGTTTCTCAACGTCATCGCCGTTACGCTGATCCAGTCGCGCAACAGACACATCAAGCCCATCTACAAAGTGTACGACAGGGTCGTGTGGTCGAACTTCGGCGTCTGGTGTCTCTTGGCGTGGGTCATGTTCACGCTGTTCGGCTACGTGACGCTCATGTACAACCTGGCCGACTTCACGCGGTCGCTCGGCTACAACGCCAGCAAGGCGTCTGTGGTGGCCACCATGACGTCCGTCGGCATCATCTACGGCCGGCCGACGATGGGCCAGCTGTGCGACTTCCTCGGCCCGGTCAACATGACCATCTGCGCGAGCTGGATCGTGGCGCTGTTTGCGCTGGCCATGTGGATCCCGTGCCGCAATTTCCCGACCGCGCTGATCTTCGCGCTCTTCGAGGGCTCGCTCATGGGCACCATCTGGATCACGCAGCCGTCGATGACCGCGCACATCATCGGGCTGCGCAAGATGGGCATCGCGCTGTCGCTATCGTGGGTGGCCACCGGCGTGTTCGGCTTCCTGAGCCCGATCCTCGGCATCGCGCTGAAGAAAGACGGCCCGCAGCGACCAGAACAGTACCAGGACGCGGCCGTTTTCGTCGGCGTGTGCTACTTCGCCGCAGGCGCCATGCTCGTCATCCTGCGCGGCTGGCTCATCGCCAGACAGCAGGTCACGCCGGGACACACCGACGAGCAGCTCTGGCACGCGCGCGTGCCCATCAGAAGCGCCGTCCGCTGCACCTTCTCTTGCAAGTTCTACAAACTCTAATCTGTCCAGCTATATGTCGTAGCCCTGCTGCGAGGCCATCTGCTGGTGGTGCACGATGTCGGTGCTCTCCCACGGATACGCGATCCAGCAGTCCGGGAACTGCTCGCCCGCCACGTAGTTGCTGCGCATCAGCTCCGCCGGCAGCTGTGCTCTCTTTGGCTTGTCCTTGTTGTGCAGCACAAACACGAAGAACTGCGTGTTCGGGTCCGCCAGACCCTTTGCGCGCGCCTGCTGCGCGGCGTCTTTCTGCAGCTCCCGCAGCGCGTAGTGCAACGTGGTGCGCGTGTCGTCGACCTCGTCGACGATCAGGATCTTCTTGTTGCACAGGTCGACGCCGCTCTCCTGGTAGTTGATCCACTGGATCCGCTTGACCTCCGCGCCCGCCTGCTCCTCCTGCGTCGACACCGTGTTCAGGTCCTCGTACAGCGACAGCACAATGGCGAATATCCGCAGATTCGGCCGGTTCTGCTGCTTGAGAAACGTGCGCAGGATCCGCGCCGGGATGAACCCGCCGCCGCCGATCGCGATCATCAGGTCCAGGTCCAGCGGCTTCAGCGTCTCTGCCGCTCGCTGGCACAGCTGGTGCACGTTGTTGTACGAGATGTACCTTTTATCCATGTAGGAGGGAGAGCAGCTTGAGCATTTATATATTTTTTTTTATTTTTTCCAGTTTCCAAATACATCACCGGACTGGTTCCGGTGATAAGATAAGACCAACAGGTGCGATAAATAAATACGCCGTCTACAGCTTGAACATCCGCACAGGATACTCGTCCGTGTACATGCCGTGCTCGGGCTCCTCCAGAATCTCCATGCTGAGCTTCTTGTTGAGGTTCGGAGCCACTACCGGCTCCCCGCGCGGGCCCAGCAGCTCGCCGTTCAGAACCGCGCTGTCGGCGCTTCGCAGCACCTGCGGCAGGTCCACCTGGCCGCTGGACGCGAGCGCCAGCTGCTTCACGCCCTCCTCGCCCTTTGGCAGCCGGCTCCGCTTGGCGTTGCCGATCTGCAACAGCGCGCCGATCTGCGGCTGCGTGAACACAGACGCCCGCGGATACGCTCTGCGCTTGTCTCTCCTGAAGTAGTCGTTCTGGACGATGTCTCCGGCCGGAACGGTGCGCGGGTCCTTGTAGACCTGCTTGTTTGACGACGGCGACGGGACACGGTAGTACGGGACGTACGGGTTCCCGGACGACCGGTTAGGCACCAGCACCAGCATCGACCGGATCACCTCCCAGATGCCCTTCGACCCGGTGGTGTATTTCTTCCAGACAGGAACGGGACCTCCAGCACTCATGGGGAGAAATATATTTTGGGATGGAGTCTTCTCCACACTAGTTCTCCGGGTAACGAGATTTTTCTTTATCACGAATTATGCCTCTTCTTCGCAGTTCCAGACGGCTGCGGAGCGATTTCGGCGAGCTTCCGGCGGACTACGCGGACGAGTCGCACGACGAGGAGATCCCGCAGGTCGACCTCGACGAGGTGGTCGATCTGGCCAACGAGCTCATGCGCAACGGCGCCGGCGCCGGCATCCGTGTGCGCCCCAGGAACATCGAGCTTGCGCGCGACATCATCCTGGAGCACGAGCGGCGCGCGGCAAACGGCACGCCGCGCCGGCTGGACGACCGTCCGCTGTGGATGAAGGTTGTAGACTCCGTCACGATCACGCTGTTCCCCATCATCTTCATCCGCATCGTCAAGAACCTGCTCAGCGTGTCCTCCTTCTCGATCGACGTGGTGCAGGACACGTTCGACTACATCGAGTACGTGCAGGGCGCAGAGCGTGCGCGCGAGAACAGCTCGCTGCTGATGAAGTTCGGCCAGATCCTGATGGCGGAGTTCCCTGGGCTGAGCAACAACGTGATCATTGTGCTCACGCTGGCGGTGTTCTACGTCTACACGATCGTGTTCTCGATGTTCATGGTGACGTCGTTTGCGTTTCTGATCCTGTGTCTGACGTGGTCGCTGGGGAAAAGGTGGCAGGGCATCGAGAAGCTGGTGATGGGGATAATCGCGGACGGCGAGGGCTGTATATAGAAAAAATAATTCGCTATTTTTTACTCATTGTTTCCATGGACAAAAGACCGTTCGACCAGCTAGACCCGGAGTCCACGCCGACGCCCATGTCCGAGACGCCGTCCAAGCGGGCGACGCCGGACCCGGCGGGCACCACCGTCAGCGGCGGCTCGTCCAAGGTGCCGGCGCACGTTCTGCAGAAGAGACGAGAGGGCCGTTTGAGGGCGATGGAGAAGCTGCAGAACCGGCTCGACGAGCTGGGCATCAAGCGCGTGGACCAGGAGAACGCGCTCAAGTTCAGCTCCATCCCGCTCATCCAGGCCATCAACCAGAAGAACTACTACACCGACTACCTCAAGAAGGACGACCAGGTCATGATGATACGCGAGATGCGGCAGCGGCTGCTGGAGGCGCGGCTCGCGAAGAAACAGGCCGAGCTCGAGCGCAAGCAGGAGTCGCAGAACATGATCAACAAGATCAACACCCACGGCTTCGACTTCGACGACAACGAGGACGACGACGACGACGACGACAACGGCAAGATGGGCTCGAGAATCATAGTTCTGCACCCGGGCTCCGCCAATATCCGGATCGGTCTGTCCAGCGACGTCGACCCGCTCGTCGTCCCCAACATGGTGGCCCACAGACGGCCTGCTCCCAAAGCAAGTGTGGACCCGCAGCGGCGCGAGGACGAGAACGGCGACATGAGCATTGCGGACGAGCACTTTGTCGCTGCGAAGCGCACCGTGACGTCCAATTTCAAGGAGCGGATGAAGTTCTACAAAAGACGCATTCTGCCCAACTCCAACGAGCAGTGCTACAACTACAACAAGCGCGTGCAGCCAGAGACAATTCCCGAGCTCGACGACGTGCACAAGCTGGACTACTTCGAGAAGGTGCGGGAGAATTACGTGACGGGTGCCGACGTGCTGAAGATCAAAGACCTCGAAAACTGGCAGGTCAGAAGCCCGTTCCTCAACGGCAGGTTCAACGACAAGGACGTCGCGTACCGGTCTGAGCAGGACCTGCTCGGCGACGTTAAGCTGATTCTGACCGACGCGCTCAAGCGGTTCAACGTGTTCAACAGAAAGACCCTCAACACGTACAACTGCGTGCTGGTCATCCCCAACCTGTACGACAAGGTGTACTGCGAGAAAATGGTCGGCTTTCTGTTCAACCTCGGGTTCGGCCAGGTCGCCGTGTTCCAGGAGGGCCTGGCCGCGACGTTTGGGTCCGGCGTGAGCTCTGCGTGCGTCGTCGACATCGGCGCCACGTCGACCAAGGTGTGCTGCATCGAGGAAGGCTACATTTTCCCGGACTCGGTGGTGGAACTGTCGTACGGCTCGAACGACATCACGCGCGCGCTGATCAAAAGCCTGATTGGCCAGCAGTTCCCCTACAGAAACATCAACCTGAACGAGCTCCGCGATTGGACGCTGGCGACCCAGCTCAAGGAGAACATTGTTACCTTCAACGACGCCAACGTGGCTGTGCAGATCTTCAAGTTTGTGAACAGGCGGCCGGGCCAGCTGAGCGAGAAGTACGAGTTCAAGTCGTTCGACGACGTGATGGTGACGCCGATGGGGCTGTTCTACCCGGAGCTGTTCCTAGAGGCCGGCGAGGCGCGCGAGGAGAGCACGGTCCTCGGCAAGTGGTCGCCGAATAAAAAGCTGACTGCGGGCCTGATGGGCAGCCAAGTCGCGAAAAGCACGGCGCAGAAGAACGAAACGGAGCGGAAGCTCATCTCCGAGATGGACACCAAAGACCTGATGGACCAGCTGGTGAGCAGTGCGGGAGAGGAAGCGGAAGCCGGCGACGGCGAGACGGACGACAAAGTGACGCAGACCAACGACTTCCGCGTGAACATGACGCCGTTGGACAAGGCGATCATCGAGTCGATCACGTACGCGGCCAGCGGCGACCAGCAGCGGCTCGAGAAGCTCTACCAGAACATCCTCATTGTTGGCGGCGGGTCCAAGATCGAGGGTTTAGACACGATTCTGGTGGACAGACTGCATCTGAACCGTGCGCCGCTGCTCGCCTCCAGTAAACTGGCCGAAATCACGAAGCAGGTGCAACAATGGAAGGACAAAGAGAAAGCGTTGAGCGAGGAGCACGTTCAGGAGATAAACAATAAGGTTGCGTCCGGGGGTGTGACGACGATCGAGATCATTGCGAACGACGAGAACCTGGACCCATCGATGCTCGTGTGGAAGGGCGCGTCTGTGTTTGCGCGGCTGAAGATCGTGGAGGAGATGTGGATCGGCGAGAAGTACTGGGACATTTTTGGCGGCCGCGCGCTGAGCTACACGACGCTGTTTAACTACTAGAAACGCGATTGCAGAATGCCAATTTTTTTCATATTTTTTTTCCGTTCTTTTGGTCTCCACCTCACACCTCGCCGCGCTATCACCCGGTCGGACTGGCGGTGCTCGCAAAACATACGCTCTCATCAAAAACCAGCTCACTGTTTATTTCTCTCACGCAAAATGTTAAGAAGAGCCTTCTCAACCACAAGAGCAGCCAGAAACTATTCGGACACGATCAAGAACCTCAAGATCAACAAGGACACCAAGGTGATCTACCAGGGATTCACGGGAAAACAGGCCACTTTCCACGCTGAACAAGCCCTGGCGTACGGTACCCAGATTGTCGGTGGAACCAACCCGAAGAAAGCCGGCCAGACCCACCTGGGCAAGCCTGTTTTCGCCAGTGTTGCAGAGGCCATGAAGGAGACAGGAGCCACCGCCAGCGCTATCTTTGTTCCTCCTCCGATCGCAGCAAGTGCCATTGAGGAAGCTGTTGCTGCCGAGATCCCGCTCGTGGTGGCCATCACCGAGGGAATCCCGCAGGCAGACATGCTGAGAGTGTCGCAGCTGCTCAGAACCCAGTCCAAGACCAGACTGGTCGGACCTAACTGTCCGGGAATCATTGCTCCAGAGCAGTGCAAGATCGGAATTATGCCCCAGAACATCCACAAGAAGGGCAGAATCGGCATTGTGTCGAGGTCCGGAACCCTCACGTACGAGGCCGTCAACCAGACCACCAAGGTCGGTCTGGGCCAGTCGCTGGTCATCGGAATGGGAGGAGACCCATGTCCGGGTACCAACTTCATCGACGCCCTGAAGCTCTTCATCGAAGACCCAGAAACCGAGGGTATCATTCTGATCGGCGAAATCGGCGGAGAGGCCGAGGAAGAGGCTGCCGAGTACCTCAAGCAGTACAACCTCACCAGAGACGTTCCTAAGCCGATTGTCTCCTTCATTGCCGGCGTCACTGCTCCTCCGGGAAGAAGAATGGGCCACGCCGGTGCTCTGATCTCGGGCGGCAAGGGCACTGCCAAGTCCAAGATCGAGGCTCTGACTGCTGCCGAGGCCGTGGTTGTGCCTTCTCCAGGCAGACTCGGCAAGGCTCTTTACGACCAGTTCGTCGAGAAGAAGTTGCTCTAGATAGTAAATAGCTGATATAATTGATTCAAGCTCTCCTCACACCTTGCTCAGCCGTTCTTTCAGGCTCAGCAGCTCGTTGTTCAGAACAGCCACACGCTCCAGCTTCTCGCTGTTCATCTCCTGCTCCAGCTCCTTGTACAGCTGGAAATACTCTCTGTACGTCCGCTGGAACCGGCGAATATCGTTTGCCACGTCCGGCCGTCTTTTCTGCGGGCTTGTAGGTCTGCCCTGTTCGCCCCGCCAATTGCGCACAATCAGCCGCTTCCTGATCCGTCCCAGATGCGCGGCCGTGTTGTCTCTTCGCACGCCGTACACCTCCGTCGCGTACTCGGGCAGGCTCGAGAGCTCAAGCCGCCGGGCCCCTGCCATGATCTCTGTGATCTGGCCCTTGCGTACCACGACCTTGAGCCCGTCGCACGCGCTTGCCAGCCCTGCCGCCTGCTGGTCGCTCAGCCGCAGCACGGCGCAGTGTCCGCCCCTTTTCTCGCCCGCCAAACGGTATGTGTGCGGAGCCATTGAATGGCAAACAAGATATTAATTTTAGAAAATAAATTACTATTTATTTATCATGGATCCCTTTTATGACGTCTACAACGACGGCCTTGCCCAATTGGAGCGGCTGAAGTCCACGTCGCCGAACTCGCTGGACTTCAACAACATCAAAACAGAGCTTGTAGAAACCATCGGAGACCTCACAAACGCCCTCGAGGTGATACAGCAGTCCAAGAACCGGGCCAAAACAGGCAACGGGAACGACGCTTTCGCCCACATAGACGCCGCAGAATTGCACTCGCGCGAGGCCAAACTGCAGGACCTTAAGTCGCAGTTCAGCGACGTGCTCAAATCCGTCAATCTGCCCGGCCATTACTCAGACAACCCGTTCGAAGACCCGCCTCCCATCGATCAACAGTATACCCAGCAGCTTTTGCAAGAGCAGGACGACATAATCTCGAACGAACTCACAAAGTCCATCCAGAACCTGCATCAGCAGGCACTCACGATTGGAAACGAGCTCGACTACCACCAGGAACTGCTGCAGGACGTGGAACAGGATATTGACCGACTCAACTTCAAGATGGTGAACCACGGCATCAAAAGAATCAACAGGTTCCTCGAAACAAACGAACGAGGCGGCAACTGCTGCATCGCCGTGCTTGTCGCTGTGCTAGTAATAATTCTAGTGCTACTGATTGTGTTATAGAAATCGACGGTATTTTAGAATACTTTACTTAATTGTTAAACACCTGGTCAAGCAGGGCCTCCTCCTCGGCAACGTGCATGGCCTTGGATCCGGCTGCAACAGAGGCCGAAGGGTCTCTTCCTGCGTATCTCAGACCCAGTTTCTCAAGGCCAGCTTCTCTCAACACGGTCTCGATTCTTGGAGTAACATAGGAGTAGGCTCCCATGTTGAATGGCTCCTCCTGACACCACACGAGGTCCTCAAGAGCAGGGTACGACAGCAGAACGTCTCTCAGTTGCGCAAATGGGAATGGATGCAGCTGTTCCAGCTTGATGAAGGCGGTCTCTTTGTCTCCCAGATTCTGTCTTCTCTTGTGCAGAGCAGCGTAGACTTGGCCGCTGCACAAAACAACTCTCTTGATGCCGGGCTTTTCGTTGATGCTCTTTCCAAGTTCAACGTCCTCGATGATCCACTGGAAATGAGAGTCGCCGGTGAACTCGTCAATGCTCGATCTGGCCAGTGGGTGTCTCAGTAGACTCTTGGAGAAAAAGAGAATCAGTGGTTTCCTGAACTGACGGTGCATCTGTCTTCTCAGAATGTGGAACAACGATGCCGGCGTCGATGGATACACGACCTGCATGTTGCAGTCTTGGTGCTGTCTCTCCAGCTTCTCTGGTGTAGGGAAGTAACGAGGGTCCTCGTTACAAAGCTGCAGGTATCTCTCGAGTCTTCCAGAAGAGTGTTCTGGTCCCTGTCCATCGTAACCGTGAGGCAGAGAAAGAACAACGCCCGACCTCTGTTTCCACTTGGACTCACCGGCAGCGATGAACTGATCAACAATGACCTGTGCAGTGTTGGCAAAATCACCGAATTGGGCCTCCCAAACCACAAGAGCGTCTGGCGAAGTCAAGGAGTATCCGTACTCGAATCCCATCACACCGTACTCTGAAAGAGACGAGTTGCTGATCACGAAGTCTCCTTGGTTCTCGTCAAGATGCTTCAGAGGAATGTAGGTCTCTTCGCTCTTTTGGTCGTGCAAAACAGCGTGTCTCTGCGAGAAAGTACCTCTTTCCACATCCTGTCCCGACACACGAACGTGGTATCCTTCCATAGCTAGCGAACCAAAAGCCAGAGCCTCACCAGTGGACCAGTCGATGCCCTGTCCGCTTTCAATGGACTTGAGTCTGTTTCCCAGAATTCTCTTGAGGTTTCTATGCAAGTTGAACTTTTCAGGAACGGTCGAAACAACCTTCCCGATGTGCTTGACCATGTCCTCAGAGATGGCGGTAGGCAAATGAGGCAGAACCTCTGTAGCCAGTTCCTTAGGCGACTTAAACCCTTCCCATGGGGTGGTCAACCACTCTCTTGAGTCTGGCTTGTAATCTTTCGACTTGCCAAAAGATTCCTCCAACGTGTTCCACACCCATTGTTTGTGCTCATTGATGTCTTCTTCCGTGAACGTACCCTCTTTCAAAAGCTTGTCGATATACATGTCCAACACCTGTTTCTTGTGTGCAATTCTCTCGTACATCAGTGGCTGCGTGAAGGAAGGCTGGTCGGTCTCGTTGTGGCCGTGCTTTCTGTATCCAACAACGTCCAAAATGACGTCCGAGTTGAAAGTGGCTCTCCATTCGGCAGCCAGATTGAACATGTAAACCACAGACTCAACGTCGTCGGCATTCACGTGGAAAATTGGCGCATTGATAGACTTGGCAATGTCAGACGGATAAGGAGTAGATCTGGCAAATCTAGGATCTGTGGTGAAACCGATCTGGTTATTCACGATCACGTGAACAGTTCCTCCGGTAGCGTACGCAGGCAGAGCGGTAAAGCCCATGGTCTCGTAAACAACACCCTGGCCAGCGAACGCAGCGTCACCATGCAGCAACACGGCCATGGCCTTCTTGAACTCTCCGACGTCGTTTTTGTAATGCTGAATGGCTCTGGTTCTTCCCAGAACGACTGGGTCCTCGGCCTCCAAGTGGGATGGGTTGGCGACAATGGACAGATTCACAGTTTTTCCAGAGGTAGTAGGTCTGACATAGTTCATACCCAAATGGTACTTCACGTCGCCGGAACCTTCGTCAAACTCCTTGGAACCCGTGAACTCGGAGAATATGGCCTCGGCCGGCTTACGAACAACGTTGGCCAGCATGTTGAGTCTACCTCTGTGAGGCATACCAATAACCACGTCCTCGACTCCAAGGTCCACGGCGGTGTCGATCATGGCCTTCAGGCCCGGCACAACCGACTCGGCACCCTCAAGACCGAATCTCTTGTCGTTAGGGAACTTGGTGGACAGGAAATTCTCAAACTCACACGACCACATCAGTCTATCAAGGATCTGTCGTTTCTGATCTGGAGTGAACTTGAACGGCGTAGGGATCTCTATTCTCTCACGGAGCCAGTCGCACTGCTGCTTCGATGGGATATGCACGTACTCAACACCGTACGACGAGCAGTACAGCTTCTCGCACGTCTTGATCACATCCCGGAGCTTCATGGACGTGACGCCGTCCTTGATGAAGTACGGCAGAATACCCGGACCGAGAGTGATGTCTTTGTCCAGGTCGGCCTCGGTGAAGCCGTAGTACTCGAGAGTCAGCTCTTTTGGTGGCGGAGTGTTTTTGTCGTCGCCGAAGGAGATTCCCAACGGATCGATGTGGGCTCTTTGGTGGCCACGCACCTGGTACGCCCTCACGAGCAGCTGCGCTTTCAGATGCACCAGAATACCCTCGCTGATATTTCCCGAGGTCGAGGGCACAAGATGAGGAATACCTCCCTCAGGCTGGGGAATCAAAGTAGGAGGCGGAACAAAGGCAGCGGAAGCCGGCTTGTTGCCGTTCATGTTGCGAAAGTACGCATCCCACGAGACATGCACGCTCTTGGGATCTTTGCTCCATGCCTCATACATCTCGTCGATATAATTGGCGTTATTGGTCTGTAGAAAGCTGTCAAACCCAGTAGCCAACGTTCTGGCCGGGATCTGCGACCGCAAACGCGAACGAAGACCGTTTCTCGCAACAAATCTAAGCATGTTGAGTTGGAAAAGTTGCAAGGTGTATGAACAAGACTATTTCCGTATTATCCCAGGTAGTCAATGTTTTTATCTATTTTTTTTTTATACCCACAGTGTTCGTTGCCTCCAGCACCGGCCGCTGACGTAAGCGTCCGGGGTTGGAGAGGGCTTTAGAGCTGTGCCATTAACAAATGCCGGGCTGTGATTGGCTGCAGGATTTTGCCTTCGGTTTCCGGGGACGTACTTTCTGCAAGGAATCCGAGTCGGTGTCGAATCTCCGGGATGGGGTCGATCGACCGAGCTGGCTTGTGTCGACGCGACGCGGGCCGATCGACCTTTCTCGGCTTTTTTCATATTTTTCAGCATGACCGGCATCCACCACCGGCAGGTCCTTGCTGGTCTGAGACGAATACACTGTTTCCGCGACCCGGGGCCGTTTTTGGAGAGTCCGCGCGCGCCCCTGAGTCTTTGTCTCGAGCACAAAATCAACCGTGCGCTCGACCAGAACGTCGCTTCCGAGCAGCTCGTCCGCTACTTCAAAGAACATCCGCGAGAATCCATTGGCGCCGCCACCTTGGACCGAGTACTGGAGCGCCTGTCCCCGAAGCTATACCGCGAGTTTTTTGAGCGGCTTCTTGAGTCAGGCCACGTTTTCTCGGCCGGGTCCCAGGCCAAACGGCTGCTGACCCGTCTATGTTCAGGAACCGTTGCCGAGCGAGCGACGTTCCTGCTGAAAACCCGCGAATACCCGCAGAACCCGTTTCTGAGCCAGTACTCGGACGATATGCGCGTGACCACCATCAAGCGGCTCAACGAAAAGGCCTACACGCACGAAGCTCTGCTCTTTCTTCGACTCTACAAGTCCACCCTTACACCAGAGAGTGAGCGATGGCCGCAGTACTACCGGCTGTGGAACGACCTGCTGTTGCGGCACGGGCGCCATCCCGTGCTGAGCGCGTCGACCGTCCACTCGAGCATCGACCTTATTTTGAGGCACTATTTCGTCGTCGAACGGGACCTCGAAAAGGGCCTCAAGATCATGAACCGCTATTTCGAAGCTACCGATACCAAGCTTCCGCCACACAGGATCGACGACATCAACCTTGCGTTTCTCAAGTGCTTAAGCGCCACTCCCGCCGCTACGCCGCAGGTTCTTGTGAGCTACGTCCTCACAATGTATCCTAGGAGCTACCGTGTTCTGGAACAGGTTGGACTGCTGAGCATGATCTACGAAAATCGGTGCGGGCCTATTTTCAGGCGGCCGGAGCTGCTACTGAAGCCTAATATTCGCGATGAGCTTGTGTGCGGTAACAGAATGCCGCCCCTCGTCGTGCTGGCCGTAGTGTATCGCTCGCTGCTATTTTCGACGCGGCCGTCGAAATTGCAGACCAAGGTGCTCTTTGCGCACTATCTGGACTTTATCGAGACGAACCCGCCCTCCTCGACCGCTGTGCTTGACATGTTTCTATCTTACATGGACAGGGTGCACCACAGGCCAGTGTTTGCGGCGCGGCTCCTGGAGTCGTTTCTCGAAAGAGGCGGCTTTTCCAAAGCCGCAAAAATCCACTCCACCGCCGTCAACGCTGTTCTGTCGCGGCTCGCCTCGCGCGACGTCGCGCGCGCTGTCGGGCTGGCCAATCGACTGAGAAACATCATCTGCTTCGACGCCCGCGTGTTTTACAGCTTCGTGTGCAACCTGGACAGAATAGGCGAGACAGACGCGGCCAGAGTGTTCTACAACAAGCTGCTCGAGCACCAGGCGTCGGTCGCGCCCAACCACGCCATCATGAACTTCTCCAAGCTCGGCCATCTGTGCTACAAAAATAAGTGGCCCGTGCCGCAGCTCAGTCGCGAGAGCACCCCAAAACGGCGGTCGCACGAGATCGCAAACACGAAAAAGCTCAGCTACACGGAGATCGTGGACTTTCTCGACGCCATGCGAACCAGCTCCTGAACACCAGACTCTACGCCATGCTAATAATCTCCTGGATACCTTTTTATACACCACCGGTCACATGTATCGTAATAAATAATTAAATGTCCTCGCCAAACGAGTCGAGCGTCACCACCTGGCCGGGCTTGAACGCAGGAAGCCCCAGGAACGGGCACCCGTCGCATCTGAACGCGTCGCCCAGAGCGCACGAGTTGCACCCGCCGGTCTTTCCCTCGATTGTGAAGTCGACCTCTGTCATGTCTGTGTCCGAAAACTTGATTTTCTCGCCCAGCTTGCGTCTGGCCTCGTCCCGCTTGGCCTGTAGTCGTTTTTCGATCTGAATCGCCTCGTCCGTCGCCGAGCGCGCCATCTTGCTCAGAATGCTCTCCTGCACAGACCGCTGTTTGCGCTCCTCTTCCTCCTCTTTCTCTCTCAGGCCGCACGTGCAGTCCTTGCAGGCCTTCCGTCTCTTTTTGCCCGTTGTGGTGCACTGCACGGGCGCCACCAGGTTCTCGCTCAAACCGAGGTCTGCGCTTTTCAGCAGCTCGTTCTCGTCGATGTACGAGTCGCCAATCTCGGTGTCCGACTCCGAGTCCTCGAAGAACACCAGCTTCGTCTCCTTCAGCCTGCTCTGCTCCACGCTGTCGCTGTCGTCCTCGTCAAACTCCGACGAGTCCGTCAGCGTCGGAGGCGACGCGAGTTTCTTGAACAGCGGCAATCTTCTTGTAGGCGACTTGTTGTCACTCCGCGACTTGAGAGGCACGGCAACCGGCACCGGCTTCGTGGACTGCGGCTTCTGCCAGCTCTTGTCGTCGTCCGCAATCACAAAGCCCGCCATGATGGCCTCCAGAGCACAATCTGCCGGAATCAAACCCGTGAACTGGCCCCCGGGAACAAGAGAGTCGTACAACTGGGCAATCAGACCCGACGTGAACTTGTTCTGTTTGGCCTCCTCTGGCGCAAGATAATGAATAAGCTTGTAAGTGTTGGCATCCAGCGTCTGCTGGCCAAGGGCCACGCGGTCTACCACATGCTGGACCAGGTCCGCCTCGGGGTTTGATGCTATCAGGAATCTTTTGGTCTGCTCCACCCGTTCAGGCTCCGTGACGACCGTGGGATGGATAAGAAGTAGTATGGATGGCATCAGTGGAAAAAAAAAGCGGGTTAAACGACGTTTTATCCGCACTTATCTCAACAACCACAAACTAGTTTCCGCCTATCTATCTTAGTAATCCTGAAAATTTTTATTGTTCCACTTTGGCCACATTAATTCGCCCTTGCACAGCCGTAATTTACATCCCTACGAGGCAATCATTTCCTCGGCTCGGAATATTTGAGGCTACATGGAGATTAAGCTACGGCCTCCAACGTTGCAAATCGTTTCCTAATCCGTTTATATACATACCGTCATCCCCGTCTCTCGTTCATCTTGATCTCGCCGCCTCCACAGCATCCGCCGCCGGCCATCTCGCCGCCAAACGGGTTCCTCTTGCCTTTCTTCTTCTTGATATCGTCGTTGTCTCCCAGCTCGGTGTCCTTGTGGATATTCAGGAAATACTTGTTCTCCTCGTCCTCTTCCTTTCGCCCCTGCACGATGTTGCGCCGCAGAAACAGCGACACGTCGTTCAGGTGCTTGATCCGGTCCTCGATGCTCTTGTCTGGCATGTCTGGGTCGACTTCAAGAGCCATCTTCGCCTTTATCTGCGCGCGAGCAGCCTGGAGCATGGGGATATCGCTGTTGAACGCGACCGAAGTAGCACGCAGCGCGCCGCGATATGCGCTGAGAGCCTGTTTTGCGAGAGACATGCTGTATCTGTTTATACCAATCGTAGGATTACAATTAAAAAAAAATTCCAGAAAGAAGTGCACCATGTATTTTGCTTATGTAATCAGAACTGAGCTACGAGAACACCACCAGCTGCTTGCCCTGGTTGGACTTGGCCAGGGCCTTCTGGAAGACCTGGAACACCTCGTCCTCTGAGGCGTCAGCCGAGACCGGGTTCTCGTACATCTTCACGTCCACAAGGTCGCCGTCCTCCATCATTTTCTGCACCGCCTTGATGGTGTCCTCTCTGGAGCCTGGGATGCGCTGGATGTTGGCAGAGATCCAGAATCCCTTGGCGGTGATGTTCTTGAAGATGAACAGCGTGGTTGGAACCGTGACCGGCTTCATGGACATGCCTCCGTAGGTGACGAGGGTGCCGTCCTGACCGAGTTTTCTCACCATGTTGGTGCAGTTGTCACCTCCGACACAGTTAAGAGCCAGCTTGATTGGCTTGCCGTTCGTCCACTCAGCAATGGTCTTGCCAAACTCTCTGGAAGCGTTTTCCTCCTCGGTGATGACCTTGGTAGCCCCCAGGGCGGTGAGCTCGTCGACCAGCTCCTTGAGGTTGTCTCTGTTTCTGACGATGGAGATGGAGTTGAGGCCGAGCTTCTTTCCGATCTGGATCGCCGAGCGGCCGACCTGCGAGTTTCCTCCGTTCTGTATGAACCAGTCACCGGGCTTGAGGTCCTCGTACAGCGTCAGCATCTGGTATGCGCTGGACGGGTTAACGGCAATGGTGGCGGCCTGGTTCGCCGAGATGGTCTTTTCCATCTTCATGAGCGCAGACTCCTCTGACAAGACGTGGGATCTCCACGTGCCGAAGTTCACGTTGTTGGGAATGACCCAGTCGCCCTCTTTGAGGCCTGAGACCTGGTTTCCCACGGCCAGCACCTTGAACAGACCTTCGTTTCCTCCCACGGCCACGGGCTCAGACTGGCCGTACTGCGCCTTGAGCTCCGGTCTCGACGGATAGACGCCCTGGATCTGGTTAATGTCGGATGGGTTGATAGGACAAGCAATGGTTTGCAACAGCACCTCCTTGCCCTTTGGCGAGGAAGGCAGCTCGTGAGACACACATCTGAGCACTTGATCAGGCTGGCCGTACTGCGAGTAGAGCATGACCTTGGCCCTGATGGAATTGGCAACGGCAGAGGTGCTAAATGATCTTGACATTGATTGGAAAGCAACTGGGAAAGCAACTGGCACTCTAAACATTTCCGTTATAAAAGCAACTATGGAGAGGGGCAATGAGAGAAAACTGCGCGAGGCCAGTCGCGTCGATCAGGAAAAATATAATTATTTTTGTTCCCCAAGCTCTGTTGCAATGTTCTTGTCTAATTCGCTCACCCCGCCCTGGAGCGGACAACAGCGAAGCAGGCCGCTTCGCGTGTCAAGGACCGTCTCGGAGTCTGTGCTGGGAACAGACACGGGCTCGGGCTCCGACTGGGAAACGTCCACTGAGGACGCAGACAACGCCGAGTACGGGCCGTCTGCCATCCCCAAACGGGTCTTCTCCTCGTCCTCAGAAGTGTCGAGCCGTCGCAACTCACTCAACACCGGCCTCAAGCGGCCCAGCGTGCCAGAACTGCTAAGTCTCGAGTCGCACTCTGTGCCTCCTTCGCCCAATGCCATGCCCGCACAAGACTCGCACAGTCCCAAACTGCACCCGGACGACCAGCTAGACCTGGCCGGTGCGCCGTCACCCAACCTGGTTTTTAAAAAGATCGTCTCAAAGAAGAAGATGGTGCCCAAGGCGAAATCGTTCAAACGGGTGATAATCGACCTGGAAAACGAGTTCTCGCCGCTCGACACAGAAATCCAGCACGAGTCGATGGTCACGTCGGCGCTCAAGGACAAATCGCGTGTTTTGTCGTCCCGAATAGCCACGGCCTTGCTGGCGAGACCCTTTTCGCTCAACCAGGACAACCTGAAAAAATTCGAGATCATCAACAGAGCCAACGAGCTGTGGAACCAGCGACCCGTGCCGCGCTCCCGCTCGAACTCGGCAGCCTCCACGGCGTCCGATATGACACCGCAGCCGGCTGCCCCGGCTCCACGCGTGAAACGGCTCCCTGACGAAGGGCCCCCGACCAGCTCGTTGAAACGCCGCGTCGTGTCCATCGCACACTCGCCCCCGTCGCCGTTCTTCCCGCCCAGCCGCAAGAGCTCCAAACTCGTCCGCGCCGCCCCAGCAGACCCCGGAGTCCATCACGCTTGACAAGGTGTGAGGTGTGCCACCCCCTGAACAGATAACATGTCCGCAATCTGCGCCAACAACTTGACACAAAAAATTATACCCAGATGATGTTTGTCCGGCACTTTAGTACGGCCGTCCGCAGATGCGCCAAGGTCGACTCGTCGGCGAAGAGCACGCGCGCAATCGCGAACTCGATCGTCCACAACATGAACTCCAACACGCTCCCAAACAAAAACCTCGCCGCAAGCAACTCGGCCATCGACGCGGCCCGCTATTTTGACGGGCTCCAGGCACAGAACTTCTTTGAGCACGCAGAATACAAGCAGCTGCCGGATGACTCGCAGTTTATCGAGAAACACTACGACGAGCTCAGATACTACAGAGACAAGCTGGGCAAGTCGTTTGGCGAGTTTGGCAGTGTCAGCGAACTGTTCCGCGCGCTGAGCAAGTTCAAGCCGCAGTTCGGGTCCCGGAACACGCGCGCGCTGCCGGACACAGAGGTGTTGCAGGACATGGACCAGCTGGCTGTAGTCAAGTTTGACCGCTTTATCAACGACCTGGCCATCACGCTGCGGCTCAATGGCGGCCATCTGTTCACGCTGGACCTGCTGCTGCACAACAAGGAGCTGTTTGACAGCTTTGAGCAGGAGAAGAAATGACTTTATGTAGCGTTAAGGGACCGCGATTTACGATGGCAGACAAACCCGATAAATCGATTAAAATTAATATTTTTCTCCACATGTCTCTTTATACCTGGAGTCTTGATCGCAAAACCTTGGGCCTTGGGTGGCTGCCGTTCCACTCGACGATGGTCCACTGGAGATTCTCGGACGCGGTGTACGCGGTGCTGGTGATTCTGCTGGACGGGCTGATTTTCGAGCGAATTGAGCCGTACCAGAGACAGTTCACCGTGAACGACCTTACAATCAGCCATCCGTTTGCGCCTGTCGAGCGCGTGAGCGGTAAGATGCTGCTTTGGATTGTCACCGTTTCTCCGCCCGTGATTATCGCTTTTTGCGTTCTGTTGCTCACCCCTAAACAGCACAAGTTCTATGTTCTCTACGTCAGCATACTAGGACAGTTCGTTGCCCTGGGAACGTGCGTGTTTGTCACAGACGTGTTCAAGAACTGGATTGGCAGGTGCCGGCCCGATTTCCTCGACAGATGCCAGCCAGACCCGACAGCGATCAAAGATACCCTCTACTACGCAAAGGAGATCTGCACCACCAAGTACAAGCAAAGGCTCCTGGACGGTTTCCGCACCACCCCGTCGGGCCACTCCAGCATGAGCTTTGCAGCATTGGGCTACACGTCTCTCTGGCTCCTGGGCCAGCTGCAGGCTACGAGAACCGAAGTGGGGGCATGGCGGTCTGTCGTGGCCATGCTGCCCGCGTTGTATGCTTTCTACGTGGCCATGTCGCGCACACAGGACTACCGCCACCATTTTGTGGATGTGCTGCTCGGCTCGGTGCTCGGTTCGCTGCTGGCCTGGTGGTCCTACAGAAGAGTCTTCCCGGCCGTAACCAGTCCCAAAAGCCACCTGCCGCACGCCCTGACAGATTCCGAGCACACCTACTCCAGACTCGGCAATGAGACTTACCCGCTCACGTCGCACCCCGATGACGCCAACTCTGAGATCCGCTCCGCTGTGTAAAGTAGAATATACGATTCCAGCTACCACCGGCCGGGTAACTCTCTTGGCGTAGGGCCTGCGCCAACAGACAAAAAGTGGATCTGAAAATCTCTTGTCTAACTATGGGCTCACCCAAGAACTCCACCTACTGTCTGATCTCAGACGGCGATCTGCACTTCCTGCCGTACCAGGGCGTTTCGCGCACGGGGGGTCTGCCGTACCAGTCCTTTCTGGCCAGCAAGACCATGTCCTCGCTCGCGGCCAGTGCCACGGCCTCCCAGCCCGGCTCAGGCTCCGATATGGAGTCGCGGAGCGCTTCTGGGTCGTCGTCACTGTGCGACGGGGTTCAGGGCGCCTCCAGTCTTCAGACTTCCGCTCTTTTAAGCCGCTACGCTACCCACGCGTTGTATCTCCCCAACATCTACATCGAGCCGTCCAACACAGGTAACCACGAGGAGACCAAGAAAATGCTGTGCACGATCTTCCCGCATTGGAACGACGAGTCGCAAATCAGCGTGAAACAGTTCACAGGAGGCATAACCAACATGCTGCTGGAGTGCACGATGCACCACCCAAACACAGAATCACATGAAAAAGTTCTGGTGAGAACTTATGGCCGCGGAACGGGCATGATTATCGACCGCGATAGAGAGTTTGTTTCGCACCTCGTGATCAACTCGGTCAACTTGGCGCCGCCCATCCACGCGCGCTTCGGCAACGGGCTGGTGTACGGCTTTATAGAGGGCCGTTCTCTGGAATTCACAGAGCTCGCCGACGAACGTCTGTACCCGTTGATAGCCGCGAAACTGGGGCAGTGGCACCAGCAGGTCCAGGTGGACGCGATCGAGGAGTGTTTGGCTAAGCTGCGCCGGGAGTTCCGGGGCTCCAAGCCCGAATCGAGCGCTTCTGATCTGTGGTCTGTGCTCTCGAACTGGATCCAGCTTCTACCCGAGATCGAGGGCATTACCAGCAGCTGTGCGCAGAACATCGACATCCGCGAGGTTCAGGATCCGCAGGCGTCGCTTGTGGACGTTCTGAAGGCCGAACTGGCCTGGCTGCGCGTCCAGCTGCACTCGAAGTCGCCGTTGGTGGCCAGTCACTGTGACCTGCTAAGCGGGAACGTGATCATTTCCGAAGATCTGTCGCAGAAGCTCAAGACTGGCCTCTCAGCGTCCGACATGGAGTACTACAAGCAGTACAACCCGATATCGTTTATAGATTACGAGTACATGGTGAAGGCACCGCGGGCCTTTGACATCTCGAATCATTTCATGGAATGGCAGGGATTCAAGTGCGAGCGACACAGAATCCCCAAAGCAGAGAAGTCCAACCTTTTACTGAGACGATGGTGTGCAGCGTACTTGGGAGTGCGCGATGCAGATATTGACAAGAATGCTATTGATGATCTTATTTCAGAAATATCGCTACATTACGGACTCCCTGGATTTTACTGGGGCATATGGTCTGGCATCCAGAGCGGCATTTCGCTGATCGACTTCGACTATAGTCGATATGCTGGAGAGAGGATCCAGGAGTACTGGGACTGGAAACGCAGTTTCAAGACGCAAACTCCTGAATCACATTTCTAACCACCATGGTTTTGTGCATCATCCTGGATTGCGTGCCAATCCGCACCGTCTTGCCGGAAGACTTCTGTGGCGACTCTGTCTGCGAGGGGTCGAACTCGTGGAATATGTCGCGGTAGACGTTGCTGGCGCCGCGTGGTAGCTGGTACACCCAGTTGTGGCTCGAAAGGAGACTCATGAACCCTTCGAATTGGGGAATTGTCTTCATCAGCTTCTCGCTGCCCAAAATTATGAGCTTGGATTTCGCACGCGTCATGGCCACGTTCACGCGGCGCCACTCGCGCAGCAGCTCTCCAGCGACGTTTTTTTCGTTCGACCGCACCAGCGAAATAATTATACAGTCCTTGTCTCTGCCCTGGAACTGATCTGCCGTGAGCACTTCGATGTCCGGGTGGTTTCTGAGTCCGCGATAGAAGTACCGCAGCTGCGCGCGGTAGAATGACATAACGCCGATGGACGAGGCAGAGACTCCGCACGAAACCAAACATTTGATGATCTGCAGAATCAGGTCTGCCTCGACAGGGTTTTCTATTTTCTCGCCGTTGGCCACCTCCTGCGCGGGCACGCCGTCGTGGTTGAGGAACAGGACGCGGTTCTTCGGGTCGAACACGTGGTCCATCCATCTGAACTGTTCGGGAACCTGAACACACTGCTCTTGCAACCGTTCAGGGAGCGGGACCCGGAGCGTCTGGTAGGCGACTTGGGGCGTGCCGCATTTCAGCCGGCCGTCGTAGATCAGGCAGTTCGACAGCATCATCACGTCGGCGCTCATGCGGTACTGGTGCGTCAGTTCCACGACGCTCTGCGGATACTTCTCGCTCAGAATCCGGAACAGCGACTTGTCCATGCCGCCTGCGCGGGCCTCCGCGCTCCTCACGAGCGGCGGCAGCTGGTAGTGGTCGCCGACCAGCACAAACTTGTCGGCGAACCGCAGCGGACCGAGACACACGGGCATCGACACCTGCGAGGCCTCATCGATGATGCAGTAGTCGAAATGCTGTCTGTGGATGAATGCGGTGTCCTGGATGCCGAGACACGTGGTGGCGACGATGTTGGTTTCGAGGAACGCGTGGCGGAAGTCCTCGGCGGACTCCATTGTATAAATTGTGTCTGTAGAATACAGCGAGTACTTGCGCACTTTTTCCGTGATTTTTTTCGGTGCACCAACTCTCAGGATTTTGGGGTTGTCGACGATGTCGATCACTTTTTCGAGGATGTTGTCGACGGCGGAGTGCGTGTAGGACGCAATCAGCACAGTCCGGCCGTTTTCCACCAGACACTTGATTAAGCTGGCCGTGACGGTGGTTTTTCCCGTCCCCGGCATGCCCAGGATCAGACAGTAGTCCTGTGCGCGCAGCACGCGGTCGAATGCCCTGAGCTGGTCTGTGTTGAACCGGGACTTGTCGAAGTGGCCTTGTAGCAGCGGAGTCTCCGCAAACTGGGGCGGCTCAAGATCCACCACGAGCCGTCGTGTCTTTTCGTCTCCGTCGGGGAGAAACAGGTTCAGCAGGTTGAACCGCGCAAGAGCCAGGCCGTGGAACATTTCGTCCTTGTCGAGGCGGTAGGTTTTCTTTTTCGCGTCCACGCTGGCCGCGCTGCTTCCGCTGAGCACGCTCTCAAACACCTGGTTGCGCGCTGCGTCGAAATTGCTCATTTTGACGGTCGAGTTCTCAAAGCGACGGTCGGTGCTCACCACCACCACGTTCGACCGCAGCGTCTCAACAAACCCAAACGCAAGCCCGAACTGGCCGCTCTCGTCAGAAACGATGATCCGGTCGTGTTTCGCCAGCTGCGTGTTGCTCATCGGCTGGTGTAGCGTGTCGTCGCGCTCAAACGTGTACAGAAACCGCTTGGCGCGGCCGTTCGCGGTGTCCGTCTCCTGGCACTGCGTGAGATGCAATCCGCCAACGGCCTTGCCCCCCTTGAGCTCTCGTTCTGCTGCCGAGTAGCACCACAGATCCTTCTTGAAGCTGTTGACAAAGCCCTCCTCCTTGGACAGCAGGCCGTTCCAGTGGTTGAAAAAATCAGCGTAGTGCGGCCTGTTCAAGTGTCCCGTCAGGCTCTCGTACAATCCGTCGTCGAGCCCGCTGTCCTCGGCCGTGCCGTGCTCCGCGAGCTTGTTGTACGTCATGCACTCGTTCAGCGCAAAACAGCGCTCGCAGCTGGGCTGGTTCTTGATCGGCGGCAGCTCGCTGGCCCCGTAGCTCAAGTACTGCGAGATGTGGTTGCGGATGTTGACCAGCATGCGCAGGTCGCTTGCATTGATCGCCTCGTAGTAGCTCTGGCGCATCTTGGTGTACACGAGCGCGAGCGAGCGCGCCTCGACGTCGTAACGCTGGTTCACCAGCAGCGTGTACAGCGTGGCCTGGGCGCGGTTGGCAATGTAGTCCTTGCCGGTCTTGATTTCCATCGGCACCACCACCTTGCTGCCGTCGCGCAGCGACGCCTCGATCACGACGTCGATCAGTCCGCGCAGCCCGTACATCGGCGACCAGATATTCTCCTCGATGTCCAGGACCTTGGACGCCTGGAACGGCGCAGTGCCTGCAAATTGCGGGTTGCGCGTGTACGTGGCCACCCACTCCTTTATGTAGTCGACGTGCTCCAGAACGGTGGCTTTCAGCTCGTGGCGGCTCGCGCCGAGGCTATAGAGGGCGACCTGGTTGGCATCGAGCAGCTCTTCGAGATACTCGTCGAAAAATGCGTCCGAGACGTTGTTTTCCTTCAGACACGCCTGGAACAGCTGGTGGACGATATTGCCAAGCACCAGCGGCACAGCGTGCTCGCCCGTGCCCTGGATTTTGCTGCTCAGCACCGCGCGCCGCTTGCAGTCGACCGCGGTCGCCGCCATCGTTGCCGAAACCAAGATGTCAGGGCCCCAGATCAGCAGGTTGCTGCTCTTGTCGACGAGCTGCGCGTTCGCGCTGTCGACCACCACGTGCACGATGTCGCCCTCGCGGTACTCCAGCTCCGTCCACAGGTCGCGCACAACGATATTCCGCGTCTCGTCGTCCTCGCGGACGCACTTGAGAACCAGCTGCGGCCCGCCTTTGTACTTGGAGCGGACGACTTTGGCTATTTGGTAGCGGTGGCAGTTGCGTTTCTGGATTTGCGAGCGCACGGTGTTTTCCACCGTCTCGTGGACGGCGGCGGCTTCGTTTTCGAGTTTCATGTCCTTGAACCGCGGCACCGACGCTGTGCAGGGTGCCGCGAAGATCTCGTCGCCGTTGTCGCTGAACTCGTCGGACAGGCCGTCGGACAGCTCAGCCGGCGTCGACGCCGACAGAACGGGCTCTGCAGACGCGCTCTTCTCGCGCTGCGTCCGCCGCAGCGTTGCGAGCCGGTCCAGCTCGGCCATGTCGACGTCGCTCAGATCGTCCGCATCGTCCGCATCGTCCAGCCCGTCCAGTATATCTCCCGCCTCCTCGCGGATCGTCTTCCCGATCAGCGTCAGCAGCTGCGAAACGCTCTGCGTCGGCGTCTCCGCAGGCGACCCAAAAGCACCGCCGTTCAGCAGCCGTTTCGACGCCTTCAGCTTGTTGATGCTCTTCTGCATGCTCTCGCTCAAAGTCTGCTTGGTGGCAATAATCGGCGTCTCCCCGACCGCGGCAAAGCTCCGGCGTACCAGCGAGTGCGGGTCAGACACAGAGCGCGAGAAACTGGGCGTCCGCTGCACGTCTGCAGAGTTGTCGTACCTGTCCAGCAGACTCTTGAGGCTCGGGTCCAGCAGCTGCACGCCGTTCAGCGACTCGTCGATCGGCGACGACAGAACGTCGCCCTGGTCGAGGCTGTCGCAGCCCGACGTGGTGGCAGAGTTGTCCTTGTTCTTCTTGATGCTCGGGGTCAGCGCCCAGAAGATGTTGTCGTCGCTGCTCGGGTGGTGCAGCTCGCTGTTGGCCCGCGACGCGTTCTTGTCCGGAGTCTTGACGCTCAATTGGGACTCCTGCGTTGACAGAGCGCGAGGATTGGGATCCTTTGGCTGCAAAGGAACGGCCTCAGACGCCGGCTTCGACGAACGGCCGGGCTTGCCGCGCGCCCGCGGCTCGGCAAACCCGAGCTTGCTCGGAACGCAGCGGTTCTCGCGGTCGCAGTCGGCCTTTATCCGCTTTGTGCGTCTCTGTGGCGAGCCAGACATTGGATCAAAAATGATACACAGCACGCGTATTTTTCGCACGAAAAATAGAAAAAGATCACGTGCCGCGGGTCAGATGCCTCCCGCCCGCCGATCCTGAGATATTTGTTTTTACGCAAGCTTCTCCAGTATGTCTGTGCCGTATACTGTGATTGCCAAATACCCGTACACCCCGTCGGCCGAGAACGCCTCTGACGACCTCGCGTTCAGTGCCGGCCAGCTCATAACCGTCACCGAGGAGGTCGACGCCGATTGGCTCTTTGGCACCAGCAAGACAGGTGGCGAGCTCGTGTCGGGGTACTTCCCCAGGAATTTCGTGGAGAAGCAGGCCGAGGACGAGCCGGAGGAGGTGGCGACGGCGGAAGGTGCGCCAGATGCTCCTGGGGAGACGCAATCCCCGGAGGAGCCTCAGCTGGAGTCGCCCGTCGCGCAGCCTCCAGTGCCGGACCCAGCGTCGCGGTTGGTGTCCGATCCCGTGTCCCAGTCTGTTTCTCCAACCCATGCCGATCCGTTCTCAGCAGAGCCCCAGTCGACCATCGAGTACGGCACGTCCGACTTCAAGCACAAGCTGCAGAGCTTCAACGTCGGCTCTGCTCCTCCGATGCACGGCCAGGCCGTTGCCGATACCAATTTTGTGAAGAAGACGTTTATTGCCGCCAGTCCGCACTCCACGTACGTTCCCCCCGTGGAGAGACGGGAGAGCAGGAGCGACGAGCGGCGTGTTTCGTCGGGCTCGTCTGCCGTGCCCCATGCACCGCCGCCAGCGCAGCAGGCGGCCGACGAGCATTCAAACGCAGAGAAGGACGTTCCGCGCATGACACTGAAGGAGCGGCTGCGGCTACTGGAGGACAGACAGAGAGAGGAACAGGCTGCTGCCGAGGCGTTGATGAAGCGGCGGGAAGAGAAGAAGAAGAAGAAGGAGATGAGAGAGGAGCCTGCTGAGGAGAACGAGGAGAACGAGGAGACAGAGGAGGAGCAGCACGAAGAGGAGACAGAGCAGGACAGAGAGGCAGAAGAGGACGAGGACGAGGAAGAGGAGGAGGACGAGGAGGAAGCTAAACGGCGCCAGCTTCGCGAGAGAATGGCCAAGCTCTCTGGCGGAATGGGAATGATTGGAATGATGGGGTTCGGTGCCCCTATGCCTGCCAAAGAGAAGAAAGTCAAGGAGTCCAAGAGGACCGACGACGCGGCTGCCACTCCTGTTCCGGGCCCGGTCCCTGTTGTGCCTACTAAGCCGGACCCGCAAGAGGCTGCCCCAGAAAGCGCGGGCGAAGAGTCACAGGAGTCCAGCGACCACGAGTCTGTCGACCTCACCAAACAGCCAGACGTCGGCGACGAGGAGGACTTGCCAGCCGAGCTCGAGGAACCGAAACCGCTTGCGTCCGCGGCCGTCCCAGCGCGGCAGTCGCCGCCGCCAATTCCTACCTCGCCAGCCGTGCCCCAGCCGCCCACGGTCACGGCGCTGCCGGCCTCGTTCTACGCTGCAGACCGTGCACCGCCGCCACCACCGCCACCTCCGCCACAAGATCAGGCGTCGGAGTCTGACGACGAGAACAAGTCCGTCTCGGCGGCGTCTCCAACGCTTTCCGTCTCGTCGCCTGTGGCTCCTGTTCCGCCGGTGCCGGTGCCTGTTCCAACGTCGCCGCCAGCCCCGGCCGTTGCACAGGCGCCTAGAGCTCCAACCTCGACTGCTCCCCCTGTTCCGCCAGTGCCAGCTGTGCCTCCTGTTCCACCACCGATGTCGGACTCCAGTGAAGAGGTTGTGACCGGGTACGAGGCCGACGATGACACGGACATTGCACAGGCCGACAAGCCGGTTAACTCGCCAATGAGACCGGCGCCCGTCGTTGCTCCTCCTCCGCCTGTCACCAAGGCTCCGACCGCGCCTCTGCCGCCCAAAACCTCCCCTGCTGTTCCTGCCGCGCGTCCGCCACCGCCAATTCCTACGTCGCCACTCGCACAGACCGCTCCTCGCGCATTCCCCTCGTCGTCCGTCCAGTCAAAAGAGCGCAGACTGTCTGGCAGCAAGACAGCCACGTCTCATATACCGCCACCGCCGCCGCCTGTCGCTGCCCCGGTGCAAACAGACAACACCGGGTCGACCATGCATTCCGGCTTCCGCTCGAGTATGGAGATCAGCGACTACGGCTCGTCGTCCAAGTGGTGGCTGACTAAGAGTCTTCCGGCAGAACTGTCTGCCAGAGACGTCTATTACGAAGTGGACAGTCACGAACTAAAAAAGAGAAACGGCAAGACGGTCGTCTACCTGGACTACTACGTCGTCAACCAGGACTATTCGACAAAAATATGGGAGCTGTCGTACGACGCTGCCAATCCAGACAAGTTGGCGACCTTTGTCGAGACGGTGAGAGAGAAACCGGCAGCAAACTCCACGTACCTGCTTGAAGCGTCACGAAAGTACGGCGCTGTGGCGTTCCAGCTCTCGTCGTCGGTCGTCGGTACTTCCAAGGTCCAGGAAGATCTGGTCTCGTGGGTGTTTAAACAGCTGCCCCACGACGTGATGCCTCCCGTCGGATCCAAAACGTTTGGTGCAACCATCTACAGAAACACAAACAACGTCGAGATCAACCAGCTCGACGAGATCCGTCCCGGAGACGTGCTTGTTATATTGAAAGGACGGTTCGAGGGTCACTCCTCGGGACCGTTCCACAAGAGCAAGACCGCCGAGCTGGGCTTCAATGGCAAGCCATACGCGGCCTTCGTGGCCGGCTTCGACCCGTCGAAGGGCAAGATCAAGGTGATTGAGCAGTCCGCCAGGGGGGTGCAGTCGGCCTCGTACAAGTTGGGAGACTTCAAGTCTGGCAAGATCAGAATCTTCAGGATCGTGGGCAGAAATTATTTTGGATGGTAAAATAAAAAAATGATTATGATTTTTAGCAGCGTTGTAGCACTCAGTCGACCGGGACTTGCAAGATCGGTAAGCACGATACGTCTGACGTTTTTCGGGAAAAGCAATTGCGGACTTTGCGATGAGGCCAAGAGCGCTCTCAAGCTGGCCCTGGATAGCAAGGAAGTCGCCCCGATATCTTCACGCATTCAACTGAATGATATAGACATCACCGCGAAAGGAAACGAGCAATGGTTCGACTGTTATAGATATGACATTCCCGTTTTGCACATCACCCGCGAGGGCTACAAGACGGTCAAGTTCATGCACCGATTCAACCCAGAGGAGATCAAGGAGGAACTAGTGGAGGAGATGTGACGTTTTTGGTCTGCCGCGCTTCCTTTTGCGGAGGACTTTCGGCTTTTCCGGCATGTCCTTGGTATCCAGCTTTGCTGTTTCCATCCCTAGAGATGCCAGCTGCTCGGCTTGGGACGCCACGGTCTGCTTCAATGTCTCGATTTCCTCTAACTTGTCGTTGTGTCGCTTCTCAAAGTCTGCATGCTCCGCATTTAGTCGGTTATAATCCTCCATCAGTGACTGATACTCCACCTCTCGCTTGGCCTGCCTGAAATCGAGCAGAGCCTGGTCTCCGGAGAGTTGCTGCGCTTCCTGGACAGAATTTAGCGTCCTCTCAATATCCTCGAGCTTTGCAGGGATTTTCTCTGACTTCTCTGCCAATCGACGCATCTGCTCAGACATCTTCCGTGAGACGGCTATCAGACCCTGCTCGAACTTGGCTCCAATTGTATATATTTGGTGAACTTCTTGCTCCAGCTTATCTGTCGCAACAACTGCACTTGCCCTATTTCCCATTACTTTCATCAGGTTGGCATTTCTTGCGCGCTCTTCCTCCAGCCTTGAAAGAGCGTCGTCAAGCCTCATTCGCAAAGAAGTCATCTCTATCTCCTGTTTCGTCACCATACACTGTGTGTCCATATGTCTAGTTTTGAGCCATTCAAACCTCCTCATGTGCAGCTGTAGCTGTTCCCTGGTGTCCTGGGCGGTCCTCTTGAGCTCTCTGGACTCCTTCAGCACCTCGAAAGTGGTTCTGCTCAAGTCCGTACATTTCTTTTTTCCCTGCAGCAGCTCTTTCCGCGAGACAACGAGGTCTGACTCCAACGACTTCAGCCTCTCCTTAAAGGAGGCAGCCAGCCGCTTGTGTACTGCCAGTCTTCCGTTTGCCTCCGCTAGTTTGGCCTCCGTCTGTCTGAGCTCGGAGTCGTTTTTCTCCGTAGCCGTGTTCAGATGCGATATTGTGGACAGTAGGTAATCGATGGGAGGCTGTGTTTCGGAGCATTTTCTTCTTTTATGTGGCTTAGATGGCATTTCTGGAGCAAATCTTGTCTTCGGAGGAGCACGGTCAAGAAAAACATTCTTCTCTCCCTCTTCTACAATCCCTGAGTCGTTGCAGAGCGTTGTCTCCGACACATCGCCAACGTCTTTTTCCGACTTATCCAGCTTGAACGTGGACAGTTTCGACCGAAACAGCAACGAGTCCTGCGGAAAGCTGGCCATGGCAGATGAAAGACAACCCAAAAATTAATCCCCAAAATGTGCCCATCGAAAAAATACAGGTTATTACTCCAAAATTTACGGTAGCTGCGAAAATCAAGCGTTATTGTATAGATCGGTAATCAAATGTTGGCAGTAGAGCCAGCCATGTTCATCCACCCAGACACAGTGTCTGCGTCGAGAGAGTCGCTGAAGTCGACGTTGTCGTCAAGAACAACAATGTGAACCTCTCCGTCGTAGAAAATGGCAGCAGCCTTCATGGTCGAGTCGGTAGGTCTCTGGAAGTAGTCCTGCGATCCTCCGCCGCCATAGGCAGAGCCGTTGTCGCCCTGGCCGTCGTGGAGATGGGAGATCAGCTTGTCAGAGCCCGAAGAAAGAATCTCAAACAGGTCCAGCTCTCCGCAGCCAGTAGACCAGCAAGAGCAGTCTGCGCTGCCGTACTGCAGGGTCCTTGGGATCTTGGCGTTGAGCAGCCAGATGGCTGGCATGTCGTAGTTCGTGGTGGCAGAGTCGGTGGCGGTAGGCATCTGGAACTCAAACACAAACATTTTGGTAGCACCGGCGAAGCCGTGGTAGGCCGGGATGCCGGATCTGTAGTAGCCACAGTCGCCAGCAGAAGTGTCGTCGCAGTCCACGCCAGACATGATGAGGAACTCAACGTTCGAGTCGACGGTGACGTCACCAAGAGCAACGCTGGAAGAGGAGGCAGACACACCGTCCGCAGCGCAGTAGGAGATCGAGTTACCGAAGCAGTAGGAGAAAGTGCCCGAACCAGAGCCACCCTTGTGGTTGAGGAAGGTGACATTGTCGTTGGAGCCTGGAGTGAAGTAGGAAGATCTGCTCCATCCGGATCCGGAGGACGAGGAGGAGGAGGAAGAGGTGGAAGTGGCCGCAGAGGAAGCGGAAGAGGACGAGCTCGAGGAGCTGCCCTGGGAGGTGCTTTCAGAAGCGGCCTCGTCGTCCCCGTCGGGAGTAGACACGGCTTCTGCTGCAGAGGAGGCAGTGCTGGCGCTGCTGACGACACTGGTCTCGGCAGCGGAGGCACTGGTGGTGCCGGTAATCGTGTTGCCGTTCTGGTCGACGTACACGGTCGCGGTGACAGAAACGTAGTCAACGGCTCTTCTGTGGCGGTGGTGGACGTGGACAGTGGTCTGGCACTCCTCGTCGTCCTCGTCTCTCTTCACTTTCGAAGAGGACGAGGATGGGTAGTAGACACCAAACTGCAGCAGCTTCAGAGGACCTCTGAAGTGCACAGAAAGTTCCTCGTCCAAAGGAGACATGGCGCCAGAAAACGACTTGGTTTCAGAAGAGCACTGACACGAGGACTCGTCGATGTTGGTGACGTCAGAGTAGGAGCCCGAGTAGCCGATGCCCTGGTAGACGACGGCATTCGTCTCGGAACAGTAGTAGTTGCCGTCCACGTAAGAGCACCCGGCACGCGCAGTAGCGCAGATAGCTGAAAACACGGTAAGGAGCGTAGCTCTGTTGAATATCATGGTCTGGTGATATTAAAGGAATGAATACCAGACAAGGTCCACAGTGGAAACAGATTTTGGTCGACTCTCACGGAAAGCGCAGTTTATTTTAACAAGTGCAAAGCACTCGTCCAAGCTTCAGACTTGTTTCTTAGAAGGGATGGCCAAGCACGGGTCGTGCGCGGCTCGGGATTTCTGCATGAGAATGGTTTTTTTTTCAGTTTGGAGGAGGCTGGATTTGGAAACTTCCAAACACGGTGAAACGCGGTAGGGTTCCACCGTGCTCAGCCTCACACCCGTGCACCGTATCTGGCAGAAGACGCAGCCCAGCATGCCCCAAAATGGAGCGGCTGTTCAGCCATCTCTCAGGAGCGCGCGACTCGGGCGCCGCTGTCTGGGTGGTCCAGCTCCCGACGGCCAGCAGTCTAGATTCCTGGTTGCAGCTGGCCGTCTGCTCTTTCCTTTTTCTATTATCCGAGCAGTCCCAACCATCCCCGTTGCCGAAAACGAGCCTAAAATTTTTCGTGGGTCGCCAGAACCTGCAGCATCTATCTGGTTCATGCACTGATCTTGCACGGGCCAGCCAGATGCAAGACGAGGTTTTATTGTATCGGGCAAATGCGATTACCCTCATGCAGCTAATTTGCGCAAGATACTATTGTTGAGCACCGTTCAGCCGGCCGTATGCGCAATGACGGACCCTCCAACGGCCCAAACGAGGCAGTCTGTCTGTACGCAATCTGCTCCGTGTGCCTCCTTCCCTATTGAGCCATACGATAGTACCGTTGAAACGATTGTTTCACGATTGTAGCACCTTCTTTCTTTTTCACTTCCGCACCCTTCCTCCCAGACATTTGTCGATGTGGGCAGCAAAACGGCCGCCGGCAATCTTTCTTTCACAGTTGAGACACTGGAAGTAGGCATCCGAGCTGTTGGCGCTTCTCGGAAAGATCTCTCTGCCGTTCTGTAGAAAGCCTATTCTGCCGATGTCTGGGACGGAGCCGCTTTCTCCGGACTGCGGTGTCGCCGCTGCCGACGACTGGCTCGACCCGCTGGCCGAATTCCCGATATTCTGTCGCACTTTCTTCACCAGCCCTGCCGCGGTCTCTCCCTCTTCTACCAGGCCCGGTTGCGCCATGCCGTAGTCCTGTCGCAGCAGCTTCTCGTCCAGAATCGACCTGCTGATGATCTCGCCCGCAATCTCCAGCAGCATGTCCTCCAGAATCGAAATCGATACCGACGAATAGGTCACAGTCATGGTTTGATCCAAGTTGAGAAAAATTATCTTTAATGGGTGCAAGGATGCCTCGAAATAATTGTAAAAAAATTCCATGTCATACATGGATCAAGAAGAGGTGCATGACTGGACCCTGCTCGCAGAGCTCGCCATGAAGCGCGGCGACAAGAGCTTTGAGCCCGTTTATGACGGAAATGCCCTTTCCCAGTACGACGCCGACGCCCTCGAGAAACAGCGAGGCATCATGTACCACGCTCTGTCTCAGCCGCGGGGGTTCCTCGCCCAGCCAGACAAACTCATCTCTTCCACCATTCGCTTGGGAGCTGGTGTGTACATTGACCAGCCGCGCGGCAAGTTCTTGGAGACAATGGGGAGAACAGACCGTTTGGGAAGGTGCCATCTGAACTTCGAGGAGGCAATATATCTGGTGGAGAGAGGCACCTGCGTCGCAAAAAAAGAGGATTCTGAGCGCATTTTGTCATTACAGGAAGTCTACGGAAGTCTCATTGCCAACTCAGAGCAGTACGACCAGCTGCTCGTATACTCGCTGCTGAAGAGGAACGGCTACATAGTGCTGCGGACGACGCAACACACCGCCGAGCACCACGAACGACCTACACCCCGCTACGGCTCCATTTTTCTGAACCTTGTGGTATCGCTTTTCGGCCTCAAATTCCTCCCTTTTCGCTCAGTTTTCAGCTACCTGCACTCGCTCATAGCTCCCAAAAAAATCTGCCCAATCCCCGACCCCGATTGGCAGCCGGTATATGACGTCTGGAAGCCAACCAAGGGCTTTAAAAAGAGCGTGCCGCCCGTCCCGCATTTCCAGGTCGTTATTGTGTCTGCAACGGATCAAGTGCCAGAAATCGAAACTCTCAAACAGCATTTGCACGAGTCGCCGTCCTTGCTGGTGGCAGTCGTCGACAACGGTATCGTGAACTTCTACAACCTCGCAGACATGGACTTCAACCGGCTAGGAATCGTGTGGAAGGACCCGTGGGGGCACAATCGCACGCTGTGGTCGCTGGCTCGTCGTCTACTTATAGCGAAAAAATAATAGCACCGGTTGGTTTCGATCCAACGACATCAGGGTTATGAGCCCTGCGCGCTTCCACTGCGCCACGGTGCTTGATAATATTGAGCGGTGGCCACCTGCCGCCAAGTGCTCGCGCCGTATGGGGCACCCCCCTCCATACGTCATACCACCGACAGAATCTTTTTAACCTTTCAATCAATGACCGACCAGGACGCAAAACAGAACAAGAACCTGTTCTCGAAAATCAAACAGTCGCTGTCGGCCAGCCACAAACACAGCCGCTCGTTTTCGGCGCTCGATTCGCTCCAGGCCAGCCGTCAACACCCCCCGAACGGGCCTCAGATAATCTCCAACTTGCCCCTTTACAATCCTTACGGGATCAACAATCGACATTCCCACTCAATGCAACTCGCGGCACTAGCTGCCAGCGGCACCTCCGACAGCCCAATTCCGCTACCTTACCCGATAGACTCGCCAAAAAACCACGTTCCGCAGCCGTTCCGGAACGAAATCGAAGACTTAGACCAGATGTACGAGATCGCCGACTCAGGCAATTTCCTCGGGTCAGGAGGTTCGTCAACCATTCGCAAGGTGCAGCGAAGAGAGGACAAGAAAGTAGTGGCTCTCAAAATCTTCAACGTGTTCAAAGACGAGGCCCCCGGCACGTACTACCACAGGGTTGCTCACGAGTACATCATCACAAAAAGCTTAGCACATGTTCACGTAATCACGGTGTACGAACTTGTTCGGCTGCCCACGATTCTGTCGCGGAATTGGGGGATGGTTATGGAGTACTACCCGCACGATCTGTACAACGTTCTGCGCCAGCCGCACTGGCAGGCAATAACTCTTGGCGAAAAACTTTGCTACTTCAAGCAGCTCGTGTTTGGGCTCTACCATTTGCACTTGCACGACATTGTGCACCTGGACCTCAAGCCGGGCAACGTCCTCGTCGAGCACGGCGTCCTCAAAATCACGGACTTCGGCTGCGGCGACTACGGCCACGTTAGTCCGGGCAGATTCGAATCTGGTGTACGGATGTGCGATAAGCCGTTGGGCACACCCCCGTTCCAGAGCCCCGAGGTGACGGTGCTGCGCCTTGCGAAGGGCCAGTACGACCCGTTCAGGGCTGACTGCTGGTCGCTGGGGATGATGTTGTTTGCTATCGTGAAGGGCCGGGTCCCGTTCAAAGAGGCCCAGGTGCTTGACAAGGACTACGCCGATTACGAGCACGAGTCGCGCTGGTACAAGGGCCTCAACCCGTCCTTTGTGCACAACGACGAGCAGAAAGTTCCCAACAGAGGCCCGCTGGCGCACGAGTTGCCGCACGGGCAGCTAACGCGTCTTTTTTGGAGACTGTGCGACCCGGTGGCTGACACGCGGATGACTCTGAAAGATGTTTTTGCGAGCGACTATTTCCAGAAAATACCGATGTGTTTTAAAGAGGAGACGCACGGCGACGGAGTGAGCATTCTAGACGAAACGGGCGCGGTGGTTGAGAGCACGGGGCTCGGAGTAGTGGCCGATGTGCACAGCGTACACCTGGCGATCGGGTCTCGGATGGAGAAGCACCTTCACGATATCTAGGACGGCCGATCGACGCGCCGAAAATGGTCGGGGCGACTCGAAAAAAGAAAAATTATTATCGTGCAATTTTGACGACTGCGCCCAATGGACCTGAGAAACCTGATTTCCAACGACGAGATGTCGGCGCCGAACATGTCGCGCACCAATTCGCAGCAGCGAATGTCTATCCACGACCTGATGAACTCCGACGACGGCATTCGCCAAAGAACCAGCATCACGAACCTGACAAACGACCAGGACGTCGACATGAACGGCAACAGAACGATGAGTCTGTCGCGCAGAATGTCGTCTGCAACATCGAGCGACGCCGACGCGTCTTCCACGAAGAGCCGCAACTCGTCTTTCCACGAGCAGATAAAGCCCCTGGAGGAGCCGAAGGAAGACAAAGAGCCAAAGGTGACTGGCGTGGCCAGAAAGCCAAGACGGTACGCAGAGAAGCCTGTTTGGGCGCGGGACTACATTCCTACGGTGCGAAAAAGTGTCCGCAGGCCTGCGCTGACGACTGTGGCCACCAAGCTCAGCGTCGCGTCGATCACGGGGTCTATTCCGAGAAACGACTTCAACAAGGTCGTCACCGAGTGGATATGGGCAAACGTGGAGGGCGTGCGCCACGAGTATGCTGCGCAGGGGCCGGTGGACAAGTATCTTGAGCTGGAGCTGAAAATGGGCCATATATGGGACAAAGTGAAGGACAAGCGACTGCGGCTGCCGGTGAATAGCGAGACGATTCTGAACGTGGACTTTTTCCAGAACGAGTGCTTTTTCCGTTCTGGCGTGCCCGCCCAGCAGTTCCACGATCTCAAAGCGTACATTAGCAAACTGGCGCAGGAGAAGAACCATAACAGAGGCAACCGGTTTGTCGTGGAGAATTCGCACTGCGTGGACCTGATAGCGCACGAGAGAAAGCGCAACGAGAAACCGTCGACGGGACGTGTCTCGGTGGACGTCAAGACCAAGAGACGGATGGCCAGCGTGCACAAGCAGCGGGTGGCCGACCTGGTGATGTATCTTCCGAACTCGCTTTACGACATCCGGTTGTCGATGTCGCTGGAACTGCCGTACGAGATGAACGACGCGGCCTTCGAGAGCTTCCAGCAGCGCGTAGAGCTGCGGCGTGACAAGGAACGCGTGAGCTTCACGCATCCGGCCACGTTCACCAAGATCGACATGACCAAGGTGAAGGAGAACGGGGCTGTGAAGCACGAGGTCGAGCTCGAGCTGGACGTCAGAGAGCTTCTCAGGAGCATGGCCATGGTGGCGGAGGATCCATTGTACTATATTGACTTGGTCCAGGCGTTTTTGGACAACGGGCGCATAATAAGTAGGCAGCTAAGTATACAGGATTGACCGAAATATAAAAAAATACGGCTGTGGACCTATTTTTTTGTTATTATTTTACTTTCCATGTCGCTGGCCGTTCTAGCCACCGTTGCCGCGGGGCTCGTGATAAGCGTACGTGATTGGTCTGCCCCTACTAACTCCAGGTGTACCTCGCGGTGTTTCTGCTCACGCACAGCCCGAGAAAGCCCTACGACAGCGAACTGGAATACATAACCAACGGCACCGCTGGTCGATTCAAGCTTCCGCCACGCAACTCGGCTCCGCGCGACGGCATCGAGATTTCCGTCGTGGTGCCCTGTTTTAACGAGCACGGCCGGCTCCGTGCCATGCTAGCCGAGTGCGTCGAGCATCTGGAGGCCCGGTTCCCTGGCCAGTACGAGATCATAATCGTGGACGATGGCTCGAGCGACGGGACGGCGCAGTACGCTGTGGGCCTGGCTGCGGAGCTGGGACTGAGGCCGCACGTGCTGCGCGTGGTGCAGTTTGTGAAAAACCGCGGCAAGGGCGGCGCGGTGACCCACGGGATACAGTTTGGCCGGGGCAAGTATGCCATCTTCGCCGACGCAGACGGAGCGTCGAAATTCAGCGACCTGGACAAGCTGCTCGAAAGCGTCCGGCGGCTGGACGGGGACGAGCCCGAGACGCGTGCTGCCGTCGCCATTGGCTCGAGAGCGCACATGGTGAACACGGACGCCGTGGTGAAACGGTCGTTCGTGCGCAACTTTCTGATGTACGCTTTGCACGCTCTGGTGTTTGTGTTTGGCATTCGCACCATCAAGGACACGCAGTGCGGCTTCAAGCTGTTCAACAAGGCTGCCGTCGCGAAGATCTTCCCGAAAATGCACACCGAGGGCTGGATCTTCGACGTCGAGCTGCTGATCCTCGCCATCAACCAGCATATCCCCGTGGACGAGATCGCGATCAGCTGGCACGAGGTCGACGGCTCCAAGATGGTGCTTGCACGCGACTCCATCACGATGGCTATCGATCTGGTCGTCACCCGTCTGGCATATATTCTCGGTATATACTGAATAGAGTATTTTTTTCACTTATTTTACCATGACCAGTTACACTTCAGCGGGCGGCCTGCGCATCGTGCCGCCGTATTACCGCCAGTGCGCCACGGCAGTGAAGGAGCGATGGCGCAACAGACTGCTGCTGGACGTGCTGACGGCCGAGTTTCGCGAATATTCAGAAAACCAGCATCTCCAACGGATCAAAAATAATCAAATAATAGTGCACCGCAGAATTAAACAGCAAACGCTCGAGCTGAGACAGGAGCAGCTCCTGTCTGAAAAGCTCAAACAGGGCGACGTGATTTTGCGCCATGTGCATGTCCACGAGCCGCCCATCGTGGACGCAAAGATTGAGACTGTCTATGAAGACGACGAGGTGCTCGTAGTGAACAAGCCGGCCGGCATGCCGATCCATCCCGTGCAAAACTTTCACTACAACACGATGGTGGAAATCCTGAAGCACGGGATGGGCCTGGCAGAGCTCAGGCCGTGTTTTCGCCTCGACAAGGTGACGAGCGGGATCTGCATTCTGGCCAAGAGCGCCGCTAAGGCCAAGGAGATCCAGTCCGCGATCAGAGACAAGCAGGTCCGCAAGGTGTACGTGGCGCGTGTCGCGGGCAAGTTTCCGGACTCCCTGGTCTGCGAGGACGACGTGGTTGTCGTCGAGACGAAACGCGGCCTTACGAACGGGATCGACCGCAAATCTGCTACCACGGAATTTAGCCGGCTAAGATACTCGTCCCTGCTGGACGAGAGTATTGTGGAGTGCCGGCCGTTGACGGGCAGAACGCACCAGATCCGTATCCATCTTCGGAACCTGGGCTTTCCGATTGTTAACGACCAGCTCTACAGACACGGACTGCTGGCTGCCAACCAAGACTACTCGGACCCAGACGTCTTTGAGCGGATCGCAAAGGAGGCAGAAAGCGCACGCATGGAACAGTTCACTGGCGAGTTCTGCGAAGAGTGCGGCAAACGGCTCTTCAAGGAGCCAGAGCCAGAAAAACTTGTGCTCTATTTGCATGCAAGAGAATACTGCCACAAGGAAAATAAATGGGCATACGTAACTGAGTACCCAGAATGGACGAATATATAGCAGCCGCCATGCTATGTTCGCTGGCGCGGGACTAAAGGTGGCAGCCCGTACAGCCTGGACACGCTATCGATTTTCTTCCAGTCCAGGCGAGCCTTTGGCTCTGGCGCTGCCCGGTAGCGACGCACATACTCCAGACTCTTCTGGATATGGAACTCGAGATTTTCGAAGTCCTTTTTCAGCACAGGACGCAAGTACAGCTGGAAGCGGTACAGGCCGTCCCATTGGTCTATCATCTTGTTGGCTGTGAAATGCTCGAAGAAGGTTTTCCGGTAGAACTTGGAGGTCTTTGTGCGGTGCACGGATAAAATAAACGGGTAGTAACCAGCTGCGTCTTTGCTCAGCGTCTTGCCGAATTTCACCCCGCGCGACGCGAGCGTGTTCAGGAACGCGTTGTTGTCGTACTGAAGCATCAGACCCGGCCGGCTCTTGCGGATCTGGCCCATGTAATATGACTCTGGATAGTACCACAAGGTGAAATAATCGCACCTGTAAGCCGGCTTGATGTGTCCGATGTGCGTCTCCATGGCGATCGAGCACAACGTGGCCTGGACGCCCCTGAGTTCCTGGTAGTTTGCGGCAATCGGGGTGTCTTTTGTCACGTATCCGAGGGGCGAGTCAGGAACCTGTCCCGGCGCCTTGTCGAGGTCCTGTTGCGAAATGTTGTATTTTTTCGGGTCAAAGTGGAACCACTGCACTTTTTGTATTGGTTTGTACTCGTGTGGGATCGTCTTGAACTTTGCAACCTCGGCAACCAGGTTAGGTCGCTCCCGTTTGAGACCCAGCTGCCGGAACACCTTGTCCAGGGCCAATTCCACCTTCTCATTCCGCAGCGGCACAAATTTCCCAATGTCCACCCTGGTAGTTCCCAAAAAGCTCACCGACGCTCGCACCTGTCCTGGTTTTAAAATGCTCCTGCCCATAGAGAAAAAACAAACCCAGATTTTTTAATTTATTTGTTCCATTTATCTTATGAGTGCCCCTGCTTATTTAAAAAGAGGCAGCGTCCCGTTGCAGGATTCTGGTGCTGCCATGGCTAATGCGAACCCGGCGTCGGCGTTTGGCCAGCCGACGAACCCCTACATCACGTTCACGGCCTCCTCTCCCAACGGTTTGCAGAATGCCCAGCCGATGCCGGCCAGGAAAAGAATCTGGGTCAAACGTCCAGGTGGCAACGCCACGACGCTGTTTGTGGGTCCAGGAGACCTCGTGGACGACGTCAAGTCGCAAATCATGCTCAAGTTCCCCACCACACTGGCACAGCAGTTCGACCCCTCAGAGCTCATTTTGAAACTGGAGATCCCGTCTGTCTTGTCTCCGTCCTCGTCCGCGTTTAATACTGCTTCGGGCCACCCGCAACGAGACTCCACTTTCCAGAACTCCCCGCTGGCGGCCCAGAACTCCACGTATGCACCGAAAACCATCATGAGCCGCTCCAGCAGCACCAACTTACAGGGCAACAAAATGTCGAAAATGAGGCCGCACGCAGCTGTCGGGGAGAACCCCTCGCTCCACGCGCATCCGGTGTCACCGATCCCTGTGTCCGCATCCAAGTCGTCGCTGTTGAGCCACAACGAGGTCTCGGCAGCAGACCGGGTGCCCGAGCCAACTCACAAACCGTCGCCCGTTGGCCATACCCGGACCCATGCCAAGTCGCGAACCACCACCATAGTGCTGGAGCCCGATGCGTTCATCTGGAAGATAGTGGACCAGTACTTCCCATCCGGCATGAAGGTGGAGGACTCGTTCATCATCGACACGCCGTACCCGGTGGTGGAAAAGAGACCCAGTGCCAAGACGACGTTCCCGCAGGCGGCCGAAACGAGCTCTCTCAGCCAGGCCGGTGCAGGCGGCCTGGTCAACCCAGAAGCTAAGGACGCCGCGAATGCTCCGCCTTTCTATAGTGGCTCGCTGTCTGGCCGGTCCAACCCGACTAGGACTCCCCAGGACGCCGCTTTTTCAGACAATAACTACTCTGGAAAGGTAGCAGTGCTGGGCGAGCAGAGCCTGCCTCCTCCAAGAGAGTTCACCAGGCTAGGACGCAATTCTGTCCAGGACCAGAATCAGTCTTCCTCCACAGTGATTCTTTTCCCAAAGGGCACCAGGACAGGCAGTAAATCGCCGGCCTCGCAATATTCCAACAACGCCCCGACTCCTGGAAGAACGCCGACATTCGAGGAGAACCATGCTGCAGACGAGTCCAATAAGGCCTCCACGACTCCAGAAAGCGCGTCCTCGTCTTCAAAACACCCAATCGTGCTCAAACACGGGCCAAAAAAGGAGGAAGTGGCGTCGGCGCTGCGTTTGAAACAGCAACCGAAGCCAGGGATTAATAAGATCCTGAACAACATTAATGTACTGGTTGTGGAGGATAATTTGGTGAATCAGAAAATTCTGGCCAGACACCTAAAGTCCTGTAACGTTCAGTTCAAAATCGCTTCCAACGGAGAAGAAGGCCTGCAGCTGTGGAAGGAAGGAGGCTTCCATCTTTGTTTTATGGATATCCAGCTGCCTGTGATATCCGGAATCCAGGTGACGGAGGAAATTAGACGGCTGGAACGACTCAACCGGATTGGGAATTTCGCCAACTTATCTCTTCCGACGGAGCAGGAGGAGTTGAAGCCGGCTGACCAGCTGGACCACGACCTGTTCCGTTCGCCGATAATCATTGTGGCGTTAACGGCGTCGACGTCTGCGGCCGACAAGCAACAGGCTCTGGCTGCTGGCTGCAACGATTACTTGACGAAGCCTGTGCAGCTGAAGTGGCTTCGGAATAAGCTGACAGAATGGGGTTGCATGCAAGCGCTGATCAACTACGACCACTTCAGAAACGGTAAAGATTAATTAAACGGTCATTCTGTCCTCTCTTATTCGTTCGTTTGGCTGTACAGAAACTACAATGGCTCTCTGGCGGCCTCAGTGTTGTTTGTCTCGCGTGCAAACGCTCCCGGAAGCGCGCGTCTGGGGCTCGTTGACTTTCTAGCGACCCGCGAGTGAAGCAAGGCTTCATACTCGGAGTATGCTGGCGAGGTTGCGCCAGAAAATGAAGCTGGACCGCAGCAGTCGGTGTGTTCTTCCTGGATCTGTTTTCGCAAATAGGCCATGAGCTCCAAAACCTCGGAGTTCTTATAATTCTCCAGCTCAGACTCCGGAAGCAAATATATGAGGTTGTGGGGGGTTGGCGGCGTGGAAAAGAATATCAGGACCTCTCCAAGCAGGTCGGTCTTGTACCCCGATTTGATCAGCGTGCAAATGTACTTGAACACCTTGTACTGTGGCGGAACGTGTGGAGTCATCTTCCAGGCGGCGAACTTCCTGTCGACCTTCACATGTCTGGATGTTGGATATTTCCAGCAACACACACAGTACTTGACGACTATCTCAATGAAGGCGCCGACCAGAATCGTCGGTATATCGTCGTCTTTGATGATGAAGTCTGATTCCACGAGCTGCTCGATCAGCATGCCGTACGACATGAGGAATATGCGCGGGTTATTGAATTTCTCCAGCCCGAACGAGCTGGCCAGAAACTTGATGATCTCGAGCACTCGCGAGGCAGTGTCCAAAGAGCAGTTAAATAGATTCAGCCGAATCATCGTCAGTTCTTTCTCGATCTCCACAACCGAGCTCTCCGAGTAGAGCGGTTTTTTAGGGAACAGGATCTCTGTAGCAAGCAACTTATTGTCATCTCCATCCACAAACTCCTGGATCAGGTCCAACGGCTCTAGCTCGTAGAGCTGGACCATGGTATAGACGGTCTTGGGCTCATCTTCGTGGCGGCCGCTCGCTTCTGGGGAGTGTTGCTTGTAGATGCTTACAAAACGGGTGTTGTCTGCCGTCTGCTCCACCAAAGACCCGTCGTCGTTCACAAGACAGGACGTCTCGGGGGCAGATTCGTTGGTGGCCATTTTGTTCGCGGGGTCGGGCGAAACGCTGCCATGAACGACGTCAATCGGCGAGAGTTTCGAGTCTATCACAGACGACCAGGTCGGCATGCATCCGCCGTCGATAGGCGCAGAGAACTGCGTAGAGGCAGAGTGTTTGCCTGGCAAAGTCCTCGATGTGCGGCGCTTGGAGATCTTATGGAGAGAGTCTTTCCAGGAGTAAAGCGTCCGTGCAACGGCAGGAGCCGGTTGCTCGACGTCGGGAAGAGTGAAACTGGTTTTGGGCAGCTCGCGTCCTGGGCCAGGCAAAAAAGCAGACGCTCTGGTGGACGGCTCCCGCAGTGTGGCGCCGCTGTACGCGCTCGGAGCTTTGGGCTCTTCGTCCAGTTCCTCCTCCTCGTCGCAGGGCGGGACATCTTTTTCGTATAGGCTGACGCGCCTGAGAAGAAGACTGTACTCTCTGTAACCAAAATAGACAGCTCCGCAGAAGACGGCCAGCAGAGTTACGAAACAAACGATCAGAAAAACGAGGATCACGAAGTCCTTCTTCTCAAACGTGTATTTCAGCGGCTGGGCCATTTTGCTGAAGAAAGAGCTTTTCTTCAGCGACTCTGTAGCGTTCTCGGCGGCCACGGCCTCCATCAGATAGCTGGGTTCTTTGTACTGCTTGAACTCGGCCGCCACCTCGAGGTTGCCGCCTAGAAGGTCCTCGAAATCATCTCTTCTGATTAGCCGCATGGTGAGAACAGAAGAGCAAAAGATTGAGAGACTGGCTGCGATGAGCGTCTAAAATAAGCTGCTCCCAAAAAACCGCACAGCCCGAATTTGGAGCTTTGTTTTTTTTTTTTTGGTAGCTCACTTATTGGCGATAGGCAGGTCCTGGTAGCCGGTGTCTATGAAGGCGCGATTTAGGTATGTTTTCCATAGTTTTTTCGCGCCGGCAGTTTCCGCGTCGTCGGGAGCAACAGCGGCAGATCTAGCCAGCTTCCGCGCCATCCTCAGCCAGTCAGAGACCAGCAAGCTGTCCATCTGGTACTCGTCGTCGTCAGTCGAATATTCCACCTGGTACTCGAATTTCCAGTCGGGGTGTTTGGCCGCGTAGTCCAGGTCGACGTAGTACTGCGTGTATCTTTCTGGAGAAAATAGCTGCGGCGTGTATGCCGGGCCCAGAGGCAGATCTGACGGCATGAGTGGCGGAATCGTCTTGTCTTTGGAAGCTTCGGTGTGGAGAGTGTCCGTACTGTCCTCTGCGGCCAGCTCCTCCTCGAGCCGAGCGAAAAATCGCTCCCACGGCTCAAAAGATTCGGCTTCGCCGTGGTGCAGCCCCGACACGTTGTACTCCCAAACGCGGAACCCAGGGTTGAACGTGGGCACCACTGACGCGGTCACGTGCGCAAACGAGTACCGCTCGCCGTCCTTGCCGGCCTTTTTCGGGCCCTTGAGCTTGGCGTACAGTCCGTCTCTGACGTCTTCCAGGTACGACACCTTTCCGTTCGGGGCGTTGTCGTAGCGTCGCGAGCCGCGGACGATCTCGAAGTCGTCGTCGAGCAGCCCAAGCTGCTCGTACGTTTCCAGATCGTCCTCTTCGTCGCCGTCGCCGTAGGTCTCGTAGTCCAGCTTACCCAGTCGCTTCTCGATGGTTCTCCAGGACTTCACAGAGTCCAGCGGCACAAAGTGGTCGATGTTCATGTGTCCGTACAGCGAGCCAATGATGATGTCTCTGTATTCGTGCTGCCAGACGCTCATCTTGGCGTGGCAGCTGTAGTGCAGGTTTTTGGGCACGGGCGGAACGTGGCCCGTAAGCCAGACCTTCATGTTGCGCCTGCGCAGCTCCTTGAGCACGAAACCAAGCCATTGGAACAGCTTGTAGCCGGGCTCCTTGCGGTTGTAGCAGTTGTCGCACAGCGGGTTCGACTTGAAGAGATACAGCGTGTTTATGGACACCACGGCCAGCTTGTTGGGTATAACCTCTCTGAAGAAGTAGGCCCCCCTGTCGAACGTGTGCAGCTGCTCGGTGGGGACGAAGTTGCGCCAGATCTTGTACAGCTCTCTCGTCTGCAGCGTGGGGCCCGGAGCAAACAGGTTGTGCGGATAAACGTCGTTGTTGCCGAGACTCGGCACGATCTTGACGCGGCGGTCCAGCGGCATGGTGTCCTCCTCGCCGTCGTCCATGAACACACTGCTCATCTTCTCGGCGACTTTCTCGTTCATGGAGAATATCTCGCCCTCGTAACGCGGGTTTTTGCGGTCGTTGTCGTGCCGGACGTTGTCGCCGGTCCAGACGACAAAGTCGATCTTGTCCTTCAGATTGGCCCGGATCCACTCCATCGTCGCCTCGTACAGCTCCAGCGGCGAGTCGCAGCCGCTCATCGCGTCGCCGTACCGGTGCATCGCCTCGTCGGGCAGAGCCTGCTTGTCTTTGCGGTGGCACCTGTTCGCGAACGACGCCCCAGTTTTCGACATCTCGTCTGGATGCAGGTCGGTTATGTGAAGAAACCGGCCGTGCAAGACCGTCTTGTCCACCACGGCGTCGCCCGCCAGCGTGGTGACCTCCACAGAGTGGTGGGGCGTCAGCCCGAGTCTGTAGTACTCTTCCGCGTCGGCGTCGACTATCCCCGAGGAAACGTGGGTGTAGCCGGTGCTTGCGGCGGTCTGCACGCGCCGGCTTCGCTCTAAAACCTCCAGCATCCCGCTCAGGCCCAGAAGGACCACTGCGGCCACAACTACCTGACGAAACATAAACGTGCCAAAAAGAAGGCTGTGCCACAGATATTTAGAGCACTACTTAATGAGGTCGAGAACTTCCTGTGCACAGGCCCAGCTCTCTGTGAAGCCCAGATTGCTGCAGCCGTAATTGTGCACGAGCCTTGGGTTCTGCGGGTCGACTTCGATCCGCACGCCGCCGTCCCTGTGCGGCCGGAACCCGATGTTGTGCTTGAGGATGCGGATCTCGCCCTGCAGCTCTGGCAGGTGTTTGGCGGCCTTGGTCTGGAGCCGCTCGACGTAGTCGGCGTGGACAGACGTGTCGAACGCCGGCGAGTGCGCGTCGTAGATGCCGCCCAGCACGGCGCATCCCTCCTTTCGCGGGAACAGCATGAGGAACTCGCCCTCCTCGACGGGACTGCTCTCCTTGAACATGACCTGGTACGGCAGCGTGTTCTCGATCAGCAGCGTGTGGCCTCTGACAGGGCGCAGGGCCGCGTCGCTGCATCCGGCGATGCTGTTGTGCTGGATTCCCGTGCAATTGATGACGTAGTCGGCTGCTACGTCCTCGAAGCTGCGCACGACGCGGCGCTGGATAGCCACGCCGAGCTTGAGCAGCTCGTTCGCCAGGTACGCGAGGTACTGCGCAGGAGAGATGGTGAAGGTGTCGAACCGGTAGATGTGGCCGACGCCGGGGAATTTGCGCTGGTCCTCGCCAATCCACTCGTAGTTGTCCACAAACGACCTGAGATCCGGCTCCGTGGCAGGCCCCTTTGGGTCGATCTGCCCCACGTAGACCGGGACTCTCGTGACCCAGGCCTCTGGAACTCTGCTGAGCTCGTCGAAGATCCGGTACGAGAACTCCGCGCGCTTGTTGCCCGCGTAGCAGGCCCACTGCGCGCCGGCCTTGGTGGAGGTGTAGAGGGGGTCTGCGTCGCCAGGTATCTCCTTGGCAACGACGACGACGTCGCAGTCGAGCTTGCGCTTGAGGGTCAGGGCGGTGGTCAGGCCGATGACGCCGGCACCAACAACAACAACCTTCATTAGAGAAACAAAAAGTGCGCCGGCTCTGCATCGGGAAGTATGCGATAGATAAGGCCGAGATCGACGCGTCGGCGACGGCATGCAGGCAATCGAAGTTTTACCCTCTCAAACAGAAAATTGTTCTATTCGGGAAATCGGTTTTAATCCATGAAACGATAAGATCCATGAGTCTTGTGTCCGAACAACAATTGCTACAAAACCAGCTCCAGCTCAAACAGCTGGACGAACAAAGACAGAAACAAGCCGAGCAGACAAGAAGCTTCCAGTCCAAGTCGTCGTCCACACAGGAAATGCTGCACAACCTGCGCCAGAAGGAAATGGCCAAGCGAGACCCTACAGACCCGCTGGCCGTGCTTGTTCCGACGGAGGCCAACCCAACAGACATCCTGGCCACCCGCTTTGGTCTCTGGCGCACCATCATCGGCTGTCTGGTGCACTATCTCAAGGAGATAGTGTCTGTGCACGAGGAAATTAGCAGACAGCAACTTAGACTCCATCACGCCATTACCTTCCCGTTCGTGACCCAGGGCCTGGACGGCGAATTTTACCAGCCCGTGAAGGTCAACACGGGGGCCCCGCAAGGCGGGCCGGGCCTGTTTGGCCACAAAGAGCAGCCGCACCCAGAAGCGAACGACGAGTTCGAGACGGCAGAGAAGTTTTTCCTCCCGCTGGGGAACGGCAGCATCCAGGACCTGCCTACCCTGCTGTACCAGTACCACTCAAACTCGGCCCTCCTGGCCCAGGCCACCGTCAAGGAGCTCAACGGCACCATCATTCCGCGTCTCGAGAACCTCAAGCGGGACCTGATTGTGAAAATAAAGGAAATCAAGTCGTTGCAGAGCGACTTCAAGAACCAGGTGGCCAGATACCACCAGGAGACAAAGCAGGAGCTGAGTGCATACGTCAAGGCCGTCGAGACCGCCAAAGTGCACCCCGAGCTGCTCACGCCGAAAGACGACCCGTATTTGCTGAGGTTCAATCTCAACAGGCTGATCAAGCGGCAGCTGACCGAGGAGAACTACCTGCACGAGGCCTTCAACAATTTGCAGGGATCGGGCAAGGAGCTCGAGAAGGTGGTGTACATTGAGATCCAGACGGCGCTGACCGTGTACGCCAAGCTGATTGGCCAGCAGGCCCAGAACGTGTTTGACGGGCTGATCTCGAAGCTGGACTCTGGGCTGCTGACCAAGGACCCCAGCTTCGAATGGGACTCCTTCGTCGCCAAGGACACCAAGAACTTCATCGACGTGAACCTGCCCATGAGACATCTGAGCGAGATCCACTACCAGCACCAGAACGACCCGCTCACGTTCGAGATCCGGTCTGGGTTCCTGGAGAGAAAGTCGAAGTACCTCAAGTCCTACTCCAAGGGGTACTACGTGCTGACGCCGACCTTTTTGCACGAGTTCAAGTCTGCCGACCGCAAGCGCGACCCGGTGCCGATCATGTCGCTAGCGGTGGAGGACTGCCAGGTGGCCGAGCACTCCAAGAAAGACGAGCACAACCCCGACTCGTACCATAAGTTTGTTCTGCATGCCAAGCAGAACGGACTGCTGCGGAAGGGCCACAATTGGGTGTTCAGAGCCGAGTCGTACGACCAGATGATGAGCTGGTACAACGACCTCAAGAAGGTCACGGGGCTGCCCTCTCCGCAGGCGCGGTCTGTCATCGGCTGGGAGCGCAAGAAGCAGGAGCGGCTCTCGTCGCTGACCTCCTCGTCGCTGATTACGAAAAGCAGAAGAGACACCAGTCAGACCAGCGTGACCGACCAGTCGAGCTACAAACGCGGCCAGTCGCCGCGCAGCTCCATTGCGCACCAATCGCTGAACACGGTGTTGTCGCTGCCGAAGAACCACCAGCCTGCCACCGAGGCCACGACGGTCGCCGACTCTGACGTCCAGGCGAAGCCGCGGCTGCCGATGGACATCAACAACAACTCGTTTGTGACGCTGGACACGGGTAATGGCTACGTGGACGAGAAGATCGGCGACATGACACTGTCGGACGAGTCGAAAAAAGATACTCAAATGTAGTAGCACAGCTAAATTTGATTATCTAAGTGTAAAAAATAATAAATTATGTCTGGGCAGACACCGTTGACGATACGACAGGTTTCCGGCGCCGGTGCGGGCACTGAGCCGTCTTCGCGCTCCGGGTTCGGGCCCTCTACGGCCCTGGGTGCTTTGTTGGGCGCCCTGGTGCTTGTGTGGGCCGTCTACAAGTGCCTCGACGCCTCTCTTCTTCGCTTTCTCGTGGTGCCTCCACACAACTACCGGGACGCGATCGCGCGCAGTCTCGAAAAGGGCGCCATTCCAGACTCCGTCGTGGGCATCAAGCGCGGCTCGTTCCGCAGAAGACTGGTTCTGGCGGCCCGCAAGCCGCAGCTGTACTCCACCATGAAACTCAACGGAGACTCTCTGCCGACGTCAAAGCTGCGTCTGGCCAGAGTCGACAAGGACGACCCAGACTTTATCGACCGTCTGCGTCCTGCCGACCCCAAATCGAAACGCAGGCTCATTTATGGCTACTTCCACCCCTACAGCGACGCCAACGGCGGCGGCGAGCGAGTCCTCTGGGAGGCAGTGCACTACACGCTAAAACAGTCGGAACAGAATCTGGTCGCGATCTACACGTTCACGGCGTCGGACGACGTGTGTGTGAGCTCAGCTTTGCAATCTGTGCGCTCAACGTTTGGAATTGATTTATTTGCAGACGGCCTTAACGACCGCATAATTTTTATTCAGCTCAACAACAGGTATAAGTGGCTTATCGACGGCGGGTCCTGGAAACATTTCACAATCATTGGCCAGGCGCTGGGCTCTGTTTTCGTGTGTTTCAACAGTCTGACAAAACTCGTGCCCGACGTGTTCATCGACACCCAGGGCCTGCCCTTCTGCTACCCGCTGGTGGCTCTCCTGCGTATTCCGGTGGTGGCGTACGTGCACTATCCGCTGATCTCGGCTGACATGCTCAACAAGCTGAGCTCGAAGAGCGTCTATAACCTGGCCAAGTACCTCTATTGGACCCTGATGATGAAACTGTACCAGCTGGCTGCCAATTTTATTGACTACACCCTGTGCAACTCGACATGGACCTGCAACCACATCCGCGCGATCTGGGACGACAGCGCGCAAACGGGCTTGCGTATTGTTTATCCGCCAACCGGCATCGACGAGTCCAAGATCGCCGATCCGCTGGGGGAAAAGGAGCGTGTTCTGCTGTACCTGGCGCAGTTCCGGCCAGAGAAGAGACACGGGCTCTTGCTGAAGGAGTTTGCAAGCTATGCGAGAAACAGTTCTGAGCCGTTTAAATTGGCGTTGATCGGGTCAACAAGATCCCAGCAGGACGAGCAGACGGTGCAGGAGCTGAAAGCGCTGGCGGAGCAGCTAGATGTCTCTTCGCTGGTTGCTTTCGAGGTGAACGCTCCTCGCAAAACCGTCGACGAGTACCTGTCGCGGGCCGCTTTTGGGCTCAACGTCATGTGGAACGAGCATTTTGGCATTTCTGTCGTCGAGTACATGCTGAACGGCGCCATTCCTATAGTGCACGCCAGCGCTGGACCGTTGCTGGACATTGTGCTGCCTGTTGAGAAGGACAAGGTTGTGGCGCCGGAAACCGAGCATGCTACGCCGTCTGGCTTCTTTTTTGCCGACCCGTCGGATCCCGACTACAAAGCATCGTATCCGTCTTTGAATGAAGTGCTCCTAAAGGCTGACCGTCTAGATAAGAACGAGGCGACCGCTATTCGCAGAGCGGGCCAGCTGGTGGCGCAAACTAAGTTCGGAAAGGACGTCTTTGGGCGCGAATGGACGCAGGTGGTGGCACAGGCCAAGAAGGCCGAGCTTGAGAAACGTCAGCAGAGAAACAAGGTGGAGATGGTGTATTGATTGAAAATATTCGAACACTGCCAAATAAATTTTTCTGCACATTTTTTTTTTTTTAATCATGGTTGAATCGACTAAATTGAACACTAACCCAGAGGTGCTGCTCAAGAAGCGGAAGAACGCCGACAGACTCCGTATAGAGAAACAGGAGCAGGCGCGTAAGAAGCTCGAGGAACAGAAGAAACGCAAACAACAGCAGAGAAAGGCCAGGTTTATCAGAGCAGAGACCCTAGTGGCCAAACATCGCGCATCCGAAAGAGAGCAGTACCGTGTGAAGCGCGTGTCCCAGCACGAGCGGAGTTCTGCCGCACCAGAAGAGTCCGACGAACGTCTCTTGTTCGTGGTCCGCATTCCAGGCCCGCACGGTGCCAAAGTGCCCTCCAAGGCCAGAAAAGTGCTTGAGCTGCTGCGTCTAGAACACGTGTACACCGGAACTTTCATCAAGTTGAACGCTGCCGTCAAACCTCTTCTCAGGCTGGCCAGTCCGTACATCGCCATCGGCACCCCATCGCTTGCTACCGTCAGAAACCTTATCCAGAAACGTGCCACGGCCAGCATCGAGGAGGACGGAACGACCAGAAAGGTGAACCTGGACGACAACAATCTGATTGAGGAGCACCTCGGAGACTATGGAATCATCTGTGTGGAAGATATTATTCACGAGATCGCCACTTTGGGCGACTCCTTCAAACAATGTGTCAAGTTTTTGGATCCGTTCAAACTGAGCCCGCCTGTGCACGGCTGGGGCCCTCTCAGCAAGCTGAAACGTCTGGAGCTCAGAGAGGAGAAGCGTAAGGTGAACAATGCGGCCACTGCTCCGCTCGATGAGGTCGACATCGACCAATTTGTGTCTGAGCAGATCTGAGCGGTGAGTATGTAAGCGATTTGGTAATGCGAGAACAAAATTAAAATGACTGAAGCCGACGATTTTTCAGTTTTTTCCGGTACCGGCGCAAATTAGTCCATCATTTTGCAATCATGAGTAAGAACATTGTGCTTCTCCCTGGTGATCACGTCGGCCCTGAGGTTGTGGCAGAAGCCGTCAAGGTTCTTGAGGCCGTGTCATCAGCCAGCGGCGTCAAGTTCAGCTTTTCCAAGCACCTGATCGGCGGTGCCTCGATCGATGCTTGTGGGGTGCCGTTGTCCGACGAGGCTCTCGAGGCCGCCAAGAAGGCCGACGCCGTTCTGCTTGGAGCTGTTGGAGGCCCTAAGTGGGGGACTGGCGCTGTGCGTCCTGAACAGGGTCTGCTGAAGATCAGAAAAGAGCTCAACTTGTACGCAAACCTGCGTCCATGCAATTTTGCTTCCGACGCTCTGTTGAAGCTGTCTCCGCTGAAACCAGAAATTGTCAAGGGCACTGACTTTGTTGTTGTGCGTGAGCTGGTTGGCGGAATTTACTTTGGCGACCGCAAAGAGGATACCGGCGACGGAGTTGCCAGAGACACCGAGAGCTATTCGGTTGCAGAAGTGCAGAGAATCACGAGAATGGCGGCTTTTTTGGCGTTGCAGAGCGACCCACCGCTGCCGCTGTGGTCGCTGGACAAGGCCAACGTGCTTGCGTCCTCGCGGCTGTGGCGCAAGACTGTCGAGGAGACCATCAAGAACGAGTTCCCGCAGCTGACGGTGCAACACCAGCTGATCGACTCCGCGGCCATGATTCTGGTCAAGTCGCCAACCAAACTCAACGGCGTCATTGTCACCAACAACATGTTTGGCGACATCATTAGCGACGAGGCCAGCGTGATCCCTGGGTCTCTTGGTCTGCTGCCTTCTGCCTCGCTGGCTTCTCTCCCTGACACAAACAAGGCGTTTGGCCTTTACGAGCCGTGCCACGGCTCGGCCCCGGACTTGGGCCCGGGCAAGGTCAATCCATTGGCCACAATATTGTCTGCGGCCATGATGCTGAAGCTGTCGCTGGACATGGTGGACGCGGGCCGTGCGGTCGAGCAGGCCGTGAAGAACGTCCTGGACGCGGGCATCATGACCGGCGACCTAGGCGGAAGCTCATCGACCCAGGAAGTCGGCGACGCCGTTGCGCAGGAGGTGAGCAAGCTGCTTAACAAATAAATAAGGAGAAAAATAGTAGGATCTCAAGTAGTTCCCATTTTTGCCCAGAGCACTAAACAGGACATCACGCAGATTTCATTTTTTCGACGCGACGCTCTATTGTTTATTTTTTAGCTTTTCCATGTCAACATGAGACTCGGTGTTGTATTTGTGATCTCGCGAGTCCTAGCAGGCTTCACGTATCTAGGCTGCTACTCTTCGGATGCCATTTCCGGCTTGACCATGAAAGACTCGTACACGTGGCAGAGCTCCAGTCATTGCACCGAGCAGTGTTCGGGACACGCGATTGCTGCATTGATCAACGGCCAGGACTGCTACTGCGGCGACGAGGTGCCTTCGGACGACGCCGACGGCTCGTGCACGCAATCCTGCGCGGGGTATCCGATGGAGAAGTGCGGTGGTACCGACTCTTACTCGGTGTATGTTGACGAGTCGCAGGAGGAGGAGGACAGCTCGTCGACGCTGTCGACGCTATCGACGCAGTCCTCCGCGGACGCTGCGACTGCCAGCTCCAGCTCGACTAGCTCCTCCAGCTCCTCCAGCTCCTCCAGCTCCCCTGAGCCCAGCTCGTCCACGTCGTCTTCCTCCACCCAAAGTTCCCCCACGCAGAGCTCCACCCAGTCTGCTCCGACCTCTGCCCCAACGTCTTCCACGACGTCTTCCACGAGCTCGTCCACAACGAGCTCAACCTCGTCCTCCTCGGCCTCCACCCTCTCCACGTCCTCGTCAACTACCTCCTCCTCCAGCTCGTCTTCCGAAACAGTCCGGATAACGACGTCCGTCTCGCCCGGCAACACGCAGACCTCCATCATCTACATCACGGAGTCGGTCGCCACTAGCACCTCCGCGTCGGCGGCCGCGTCGTCGTCGAGCGGCTCGAGCGTCCGAAAGGGGTCCTCCGGACTCAGCGCGGGCGCCAAGGCCGGAATTGCGGTCGGGTCGATCGTCGGAGCCTTGCTGCTCGTGGGACTCCTGCTCCTGCTCCTGCTCTGGCGCAGGCGGCAGCGCGAAGAAAGAGACGACCTCAGCGAGAAGCGCGCGTCCAGCATTCTGGCGTCGCCGCTGCCGCCTCCAGCAGGCTCGCGAGGCGTGGCAGCAGGCATCGGAGCCAACGCGTTCGGGTTCTTGTCCGAGGAAGACAGGCTGGACATGCCGGGCACGTCGAGACGGTTCAGCGACGGGTCGTTGCCGGACGCTGCCGCTGGGGCCGCGGCGCCGCCCAAGAGTGCGCGCCAGGGAGGTTTGCGGGTGGTGAACCCAGATCTCAGCGACGATGAATAAATTGCATATAAACACTTACATAAACTTCAATGTCCTGCCCATTCGATCGAATTCAAGTCGATTCCCTCGTTGACCATCTCCCACAGCGGGCTGAGCTCCCGCAGGAACTTGACTCTCTCGGACAAGGCCTGGATCACGTAGTCGACCTCTGCCTCGGTGGTGAATCTGCCGATGCCGAACCGGATCGACGAGTGTGCCAGGGCGTCGTCGGCGCCCAGAGCATGCAAAACGTACGAAGGCTCGAGAGACGCAGACGTGCAGGCCGAGCCCGACGAGAGAGCAATGTCCTTCAACGCCATCAGAAGAGACTCTCCCTCGATGTACGCAAACGAGACGTTGACACAGCCAGGGTATCTGTGGATCCGGGATCCGTTCAATTGTGTGTGCTCCATAGACAACAGGGCGTCCATCAGCTTTGTGCTCAGGGCCTTGATGTGAGCCTGGTCGGCATCGTACTCTTGCACCATCAGTCTGGCGGCCTCGCCGAACCCGCAAACAAGCGGAGGCGCCAGCGTTCCGGACCGCAGGCCTCTCTCCTGGCCTCCGCCGTTGATGATCGGGTCCAGTCTCACTCTAGGCCGTCTTCGCACGTACGTGGCACCGACGCCCATAGGACCGTATATCTTGTGTGATGAAATCGACATGAGGTCGATGTTGCACTTGTTGACGTCGATCGGTATCTTGCCGTACGCCTGGGCGGCGTCTGTGTGGAAGAACACTTTGTGCGAGCGGCAGATGCGGCCGATATCCTCCAAAGGCTGGATCACTCCGATCTCGTTGTTCACAGCCATCACAGACACCAGACAGGTATCTTTTCTGATGGACTTCTCCAAGAGCTCTAGATCGATCAGGCCGTCCGAGTTGACCGGCAAATACGTCACCTCGAAGCCCTCGTCCTGCAGGTGTCTGCAGGAGTCCAGAACACACTTGTGCTCGGTCTGGGTGGTAATGATGTGCTTCTTGCTCTTGCCGTAGAACCGGGCAACGCCCTTCAGGGCCATGTTGTTACATTCGGTGGCGCCCGAAGTGAAAATGATCTCCTTGGGGTCTGCGCCGATCACAGCAGCGACGTTTGCACGCGCCTCCTCAACAGCCTTATCGGTCTCCCATCCGTACGCGTGGGTAGAGGAGTGCGGGTTGCCGTAGAGGCCGGTGTAGAACTCCAGCATCTTGTCCAACACGCGCGGGTCGGTCGGCGTGGTCGCCTGCATGTCCAGGTATATCGGTCTTGTGCCGTACTCCGAAGGGTCTCTTTTTGCGGACTTGAGAGATATCGATGATCCCTGCGGCGGCTGGGCCTCTGACTTGGGCATTGCATGCTTGACGCCGCTCGACGACGTTCTTCTCAGCGCAGAGACGGAAAATCGTCTCGCGCCAGCTCCGATCCTGAACCTGTACATGAAGAAGAGTGCTGAAAATAATGAAGATAAAATTAAATGTTTTTGCCTCCAGCTAAAACACCGACCGCTTAACTCCGACGCGACGAAAAATCATTTTTCAATGAACGAGTTTACCATCTCGCTGGTCAGCGGCGGGGCTGCGGGAACGGCCACCGACCTGGCGTTTTTCCCGATCGACACCATCAAGACGCGCGTCCAGGCGCACGGAGGCTTCCTCAAGAACGGCGGGTTCCGGGGCCTGTACCGGGGGCTCGGGTCGGCCGTCGTGGCCTCTGCTCCTTCCGCGTCGCTGTTTTTCGTCACCTACGACGCTCTCAAGCGCAGCCTCATAAACGGCGGCACGCCGCCCGCGGTGTCGCACATGGCCGCCGCGTCGTGCGGCGAGGTCGCCGCCTGCATGGTGAGAGTCCCCGCCGAGGTGATCAAGCAGCGGACCCAGTCGATGCAGTTCCGCACCTCTACACAGGCACTGCGCCACATCCTCGGCAACGTTTCTGGCGAGGGCGTCCTGAACGGCCTCTACCGCGGGTGGGGCACCACGATCATGCGCGAGATCCCGTTCACGGTGATCCAGTTCCCGCTGTACGAGTACCTCAAGACGCTGTGGGGCGCGGACGGCGCGCTGTCGCCGGCCAGGGGAGCCGTGTGCGGGTCTGTGGCTGGGGGCGTGGCTGCGGCAGCTACCACGCCGCTTGACCTGCTCAAGACGCGGCTCATGCTGAGCCACGGCAAGGTGGGCGTGTGGAAGCTGGCGCGGCAAATCGCCCGCGACGAGGGCTACACGGCGTTTCTGCGCGGCATCGGCCCGCGAACCATGTGGATCAGCGCCGGCGGCGCCATTTTCCTCGGGGTCTACGAAAACGTGCGGGCCCTCCTAGACAAGAACCTATAGATAACAGAAAAGCGCTCTATTCGATGTCGATGGCGAACCTGAAGCCCGTGCTCTGCTGCGTAAGCGACTTCCACAGACTTCTGTGCTGCTTCAGCTGCTTTCCGTTGAGCTGCAGCAGTCGCTCGAAAATCTCGTAGATCGGCAGCTGCACGTCCAGCTCGCCGATATCGTCGTTCGAGTCCACCTCGCCGATCTTCTGGAGCAGCCCGCCGTCCATCTCGCCCGCGGCAACACACCGTCTCACAAATTCCAGCACCGTCGCAGGATGGAAGCCAGAGACCTGGTCCTGCTTCTTGCGGAAGAACCGCGCCACCTCCTCGAGCTTGCACTCGGGAACAAAATTCGCCGTTAGCGCGACCGTGTCCTCCAGGTTGATCACCATGTGCCACCAGCCGGCAGGAACATGGAGACACTCGCCAGGAAAGGTGATGCCAATGGCGCAGCGCTGCTCTGCCCGGGCCACCTTGAGAGTGTCGTTGAAAAAGCCGGATAGCACCCACTCTGCGAGCCCCAACGGAGACGTCACCTCGCTCTCGTCCTCGTTTGTGTGCACGCCCGGCGGAGTCACGTCGGGCGGGAGCATGATCCACAGCTTCGAGCCGTCCAGCACCGTGTTCCACGCCGAGGTGCTGTTGGGGTCCTTATGGAACGTCGAGCCGGACCGGTGCGGCCCCACAATCAGCCACGTGTGGTCGGGCCGGCACGAGTAGCCGTGGCGCGTGAACACGTCGAACATGTCCTCGGAAAAAACGCCCGGACGCACAAACTCTGTCTTGAGCTGCTTCATGGCCTCGGAGTTGCAGTCGAACAGGTACAGCGGGCTCTCGTCCTGGTTGCTGGCACAGTACTCCGCGTACAGCTTCAACGGCCACTGCACACACTCCTGGCGGAAAGTCGTGTTGGGAAAGCGGGCTCTAAGCGTGTCTAGCGTCCACGCTGGCCACCGGGCAGGATCGGTGGATTTGAGAATAAACGGGCGGTCGTGGAAGCGCTGGGAGAACAGCGAGGCCGTCATGGTGTTCTCGTCGAGCCGTGGGATGGAGAGGTCATACGGGATACTCGCAGAAGCCGGCATGACCTGGTGTCTGCGCTTGTTTTCTGTGATTATGATTTTTTCGAAAAGCCTGGAATAGTCGACCTGAGAGTTTTGGTAGGGCACAAATAGCAGGTCTGAGTGCACGATGCTGCAGTCTATGGCGCTCTGTTTGCATCTGAGAATGCTCTCTTTCCAGCTTCCGAGCCATCGGTCAAATCTCTCTCCCCTAAGATATACCTGCTTCCATAGTTCGTCCGAGCTGGCAAAGGCGTAGAAAAATCGAGAGACACACATCATGTGTCCCAGATCAGCAGCAGAGTCCAGCAATCCCAGAATGTCCATTATCAACTGCTCTGGAAACCTGTAAAAGTCGCCCATCGACATGTGCAACTTTTCCTCGGTCTCTTTTCTCGCGAGCAAAAGGTTCCCAGCAGGGCGTATTTTCAGGGGATGGCTCACCACCTGCAACGACAAGGACGCGGGAATGGCGTACGGGTGGAAAGTCCCCGCCGTGGGCGTCTTCTGGCGCTTACGAGACTCTTCCGTCTGCCCTGGCATTAAATATTTTTTTCAAATTATTTTTTCGACGCGTCGATCTATGTACATTATTTCTCAACAGGCAGCGGCTTTGGACGTTTCTCGACGTACTCCTTCAGCCGCAGCTTCTTGACGTGCGGACGCTCGTACGTCTTCGGGTAGAGCACGCGCTCGTCAGCAGGGTTGGCAAACTCCTCCTTGTAGACCGGTGGCTTCTCGGCCTGCTCGCTCCACAGCTGTTTGATCTCGAAAAAGCAAGACATGCACAGGAAATGCGATCTTTTATACCTTCCGCACGACGGACACCGGTTCAGGTTGTGATTGGGCTTGATTTGCTTGCTTCCCGGCGTGTACAGACGCAGCCGGCGCTTCATGCGGGACGTTTTCTTCTTTGGGGCCGCCAAAACGAGACCGTTGTCCAGGAACGACGGAAGCAGTTTGGCAGGCAGGCGGTCGCGCAGGCGGTCGAGCAGCGACTCTGCGGGAGCCCACAGCGCGTTCGAGAGGGCCGGCACAGCCGGCAAGGCGAGTCTGGCGGCAAGGCCAGCCAGCGGATGGGCAACTGCAAGAGACATGAGAGCAGGTTCTGAAGCTGGAAAAATATTTTAATTGTCGGTTTGGGCAGGCAAGAAAACTGGCATGCACCGGTGCAGGCGCGTTATGCTGCGAAATTGTTGTTTTTCGCGTCTAAGTAGCGTGTAAATAAGATCCAAATTTAACAACTAGCGACTAAACTCTTTGACATGACAGACTTCCAGGGCGTCTCCGATGCCTCCTCCCTGCTGCAGCCGAAATCCTACGTTGGATTCGACACGATCACCACGCAGATCGAGAACAGACTGCTCAAACGGGGCTTCACGCTGAACGTTATGGTCGTTGGCCACTCTGGGCTGGGAAAGAGCACGCTGGTCAACACGCTGTTTGCGCAGCACGTGATTGACTCGAGCGGCAGAAAGACGATCTACGAGCCGGTCGACAAGACGTGCGAGGTCAAGGTCACGTCGCAGACTCTGGTGGAAAACAACGTCAAGCTGGCCCTGAACGTGATCGACACGCCGGGTTTTGGAGACCAGGTGAACAACGAGAAGTGCTGGGAGCCGATTCTGAAGTACATCAAGGACCAGCAGAACCAGTATCTCAGAAAAGAACTGAACGCCACTAGAGAAACATACATCAAAGACACCAGGGTCCACTGCATCCTCTACTTCATCGAGCCAACGAACTACGGGCTCAAGAAACTGGACATCATTGCGTTGAGAAAGCTGACAGAGGTCGCCAACGTCGTGCCAGTGATCGCCAAGGCAGACACGCTGACCTTGGAGGAAAGAGCCAACCTCAAGTCTATTCTGCAGGAACAGTTCAAATATTACAACTTCAGAATGTACCCCTACGAGTTCAGCCTGGGCGAGGACGGCCTCACTGCCGAAGAGAGACAATTGAACAGCGACATCCAGTCGCTCTTGCCTTTTGCCATCATTGGCTCCGAGGACCTCATCACGACTCCCTCCGGCGAGGTTATCCGCGGGAGAAGAACCAAGTGGGGGCTCATCAACGTCGAGGACGTCACCCAGTGCGAGTTTGTCTATCTGAGAGACTTCCTGACCAGGACACATCTGCACGACCTGATCGAAACCACAGCCTACGTCCACTATGAGAGTTTCAGAACAAAGCAGCTCACCGCTCTCAGAGAGAACGTCGGGGCCAGAAACACGCAGTATCAGTCGCAAGGCCCTATCCCGGGCACTGCGCCAGGCCCTGCTGGTCCGTCCATGGTGGGAGGAATTCCTCAGATCTCGTAATAGTGCAGTTTTTTCTAGTGAGGATAAATAAAATTAAGGTGCTAATTTTTCCAGCTCCTGGGACTCCTGCTCGTCCAGCTGTTCGTCCTGCTCGATCTCCTGCAGCGTCTCGGGCCGCTCGGTCTGCTCCCTGCTGGCAATGTAGTTTTCCAGCTCCGCGCCGTTGTCAAACGCGGCCGTGAACGGAATCTTCGTCAGCGTTGACGGTAGCGCCGTTCTCGCACTGAACGAGCGTGTAGGCTTCTGTCTGGCGGGGGATTTCTCCCACGGGAAGATCGGGTGTTTTGCAGCGTAGTCGTCCTGCGGAGTCTCAACGTCCAGTTGTGATAGCGAGCGCGCCAGCTCTCTAGTGTCCAGCTCTCCAGCGTCCTCCTCCTCCTCCTCGGACTCGCTAGAGTCCTCCCATTTGTTTGGCCCCCGCGACTCGTTGAGCTTCCATGCCTCGCCACGGTTCTCTTCGTACTTTTCTGGCTCCGATTCTGGCTCCTTGTAGTAGTATTGGTGGTGAACAACAGGTGGCTCTGGCTGGGGCTCCACCGCAGTCTCCACGGCCTCGACAGTCTCAACATGCTCTGGCTCGAGTACTTCGGTGGTTTGCCGAACCTCGTGCTGAGACTGTCTGTCCATCTCAATCGACTCATAGACCTCATGCCAAAGCTCATAAACGTTCTTGTTGTCTGCGACCTTGAACAGCGAGGGGTCCCTGCGCAACTGCTCGCCGTAGTTCGGGTCCCACGGCTTCTTGTCGCCTATGAAATGAAAAAGCTTGATATCGTGGAAGTAGCGCTGCATAGCCGGGAAGTACTCGTAGTGCGAGTTCAGCGTGCAGTTGTAGATGAACGGCAGTCGCAGCCAGCGCGAGGTGCCGCCGTGGTACAGGTCGGGGTTGAAGTAGTGGTTGAGCAGGCCCTGGTCGGCGCCGTCGAACGACTCCGTCGAAGCGTACAGGTCCATCAATTCCTGGAATACCGTCATGTTCGGTTGCAGCACCATAAACCCGGAATTGAACAGGTCCGGCCAGCCGCAGTCGGGCGCCGCCATGACCTGCGAGGCGTCGAAATTCTCCGCAAACAAATGGTCTAGGTTTTGCAAGGGCAAAGTGTCTGCGTCGAGATACACGAGCTTCGAGTACTCTACCAGTCGCCACAGGTTGATTTTGGAGAGCGTGTATGCCAGGTCCGGCCGGCTGAGGACGGATTCTAGTGTGTGGGGGGAGTTGGACACGAGAAGGTTGTCGTCGATGTCGATGAGGTCCGAGAACAGCTCCGAGGCAGTAAACAAGGCAATTGTGTCTTTGTTGACGTTTTTGGCTGAGTAGAGGAGGACCACCGGGAATTGGGCGTTTGTGTCAGAGAGGGCCTTGCGGACGGCAAGAATGCCCGGGAGATAGGTGTTTTCGAGCAGGAGAAGGGCGTAGGCCGACATCGGGAGCACAAAAAAGGAAGGCGACAAGTACGAAAAGTGGTTGTTTTAATAGCTAATTTAATTTGTAGCAGCTTTGTGTGGGGTGGAAGGCCCGGGGGCGTCGGTCGACGCGACGCTTCTCTATTGTGGACTGGCGTGACGTTCTGCGTCGTTTAAATGTCCGCGCTTGTGTCTTTGCCTATTTAGGCGAGCTGTTGCATGTGGTATTATGCATGCAGAAAATTACAACCACATGGAGAGAAAAAAATGATCCCAGGCGGTGGTGTCACTGCAGATTCAAGTGGACCTCGATTGTAGCCGAAGGAGCTCCGCCAGATACGCCTCGTCCACATCGAAAAAGCCAGGGTTTTTCCAGAACAGGTACCGCAGCAGCTCGCGGAGCTGTTTTTGGTCGACAGCCTTGCCAGTTTTTTTTTCAAACTCCCGCACCAAATACCGAATTTTTTCCAGCTCGCCTTGGTCCACCACATTCCGCAGCTCCATCACGTCCTCGGGCCCGCAGTCATTGCTGCCGCCGCCCTGCTGTCCAATCAGGACCTGGTATCTGTTGCGAGCGGCCAGAAAGTTGCCTACGTTAGCGAGCTCGGCAATCTCAACCCACGACTTGCCCGCCTTTTTAAGGTCGATGATCATCTGATCCTGTTCCTTGGTGAATTTAGACTTGCGCTTTGCTCGTCGAGTCGGCTGCTGACGTAAGGACTCGGGCGACGGCTCAAGCTTGTCGAATGGCGGCGTCGGTAGTTGTTGCGACAGCTCGTAGGCCAGCGGCGAGATTCCATGGGTCTGGACCGTGATTGGCTTCGAAGGAGGAGGGTGCGGAGCCATGATGAGCGGCGGTTGCGGTGGGAAGTATGTCTGCGGCGATTGTTGGTATTGGAACGGGCTATAAGGGTAGTTGATCTGCTGGGGTTGGTTCTGCCCGGCGTTGTACTGGGGAAACTGCGACGTGTACTGATTTCGGACGCTGTAGCCCTTTTTGTCAGCTGGATGGCTAATATTCCGGTCCATGCTTCATTTTGAAAGGAGGTTAAAACTAAACGGTTTTGCTGAACATTTATATACATTGACATTCTTGTATAGCTGTAATTTGGGAAGTGATTGGATAAATCACCACTGTAACAGAAAGCTCTATTGTTTGCTTAGTACACACCACCTATAGTGGGCGCACTTTTTTCTTCTGTGCATTTGCATGCATATGTGAGACGTTCCCTGATATCAGAAAAAAAATAGCCCGCTAATGTGATCATGAGGTTTACCGGTCCCGCATTCCCAAGACCGCTGGAGGAAACGTAAACATTCCGGACATAGCTCCGCAAAGAGCACGCTGCCGGGACATTGGTGTGCTAAACTGAGCTGAGACTCCATAGAATCAGCTGAATCATGAACTGCAGCGACCAGAACCCGACCTTGCGCAGCTTTTCGCGCTGGAACTGCTCGTCGCTTAAGTACTCAACGAAGCTGTTGTACACGCCGACACTCAAATCGTCCATCAACAGACTGTCGTAGACGGTCCACGACCCGTCGAAGTCCTTGAGTTGTTTGTAAACGCGGCAATAAATAGGGATAAACGTTTTTCGGGAGTTGATGTAGCCCACAATCGGTCTAATCAGTGCGCTGTTCACGTACGAGAGCTCGTTCGGAAACAGCGGCACGCTGGCTTTCGGGTTATTGAGTCGCAGGTAGAAGTCCATGATGAAAGGAGCATCATAACTCTGGTTCTTTTCGGACGAGGTGTAGTACTTGAAAACGTCTCTGAGCGTGGCCTGTTCGGTTGATGCGTTTTCCGGAACAATAACGTCCCCAATCATGTCCACCGTTCCCCTGTAGATCCATCCGAAGGGGCCCTTCATGCCGCCGTTCAGATGCTCCAACGGGAGGTTATCTATCCGCAGTCTGGTGACAGTTTTGTTTGTGAGGTCTATCTCCTGTCGCGAGCCGTCCGTGGGCACCTTGCGGTACTCCTCGACCTCGCCGCCAATCTGCCGCTCTCCACGGAAATCGTCCGTGGTCTGCACACGGTCGATAGTGAATAATGCGCCGTCGTAGCAGCCGTTGATGTGTTTGCCGTTCAAAATGTCGAAAAATAACCAATTTTTGCGAAACAACGGCAGCTCGCAGTTATACACAGAAATGTCAAAACTGCGAAAGTTATTTGGGTTATGCATCGTCACCAACAGATCCTGCATGCGGAAATCGGATATCTCCCAGTCGCCCGGCCGGTGGACATTTTTGTAGTTCAAGGCTGAGTCGCCAGGCTTCCAGTAAACGTGTGTCCTGTCCACCACGCCGCGCACGCCGCGCAGAGAGCAGTTGTCTATTATTCCCTTGCCCGATAGCCACTTCCCAAAACTGAGAGAGATGTCGATCTGGTCGATGGTCAGGTCGAATTGGGTGTAATTGCCGTCGTCAAGGTCTTCCTCGGGAGCCGTCTCAGCGCGCTTATCCTTTTTGCGGAACATGTGCCGTTTACGGGGGCGCCTGCTCACCACACAGTGGTTGAACTGGATCTTTCCATCTTTCCAGTTGGGCACAATTGCGTTGTCGAACGTGACGCTGAGCGCAGAGTTTCTGGTTATAACGTTCCCCACAAACTCGGCCACCATCTCCTGTGCCAGCACGGTGTTCATGGTGTAGAGAAGAAGCGAGAAGAACGAGGTAGTACCGATAATCAGAAATGCTATGTTGCCGGCCATAAGCCACGAGAAAATGGCGGAGAAATCGTCATTGTTCAAGGGCCGCTTGCTCTTGACTAGCGCCCACCGAAGACGGTGGCACTTGTCGTAGACGTATTCGAACACTCGAGAGACTCTGCGCTGCGAATAGAACTGACAACCCAATTTTCCGACCCGACCAGGCAGCGTCAACCTCACAAGAGAGCTAGGCGCTATAGCAGGCATTCCGGTAACACGCACCCGGCACGAAACCGGGAGGCCTCGTGCTGCTCGCCAGGAGCATCGAGAGATCAGCATCTATTTTTGAGATGATTTTTTTTTATTATCGAATATTTTTAATTTCCCCAGATACTCTCATCCAAAAAAAGGTTAGCAACTATCTATTTTAGCAATAAATAATTCTAGTTATTTATTCGAGTCCTAGTCGCCGTTTGTATCCGATTTCTCGAGTTTGCGCAATTTTCGCCGGCCGGCATCCGTCAGCACCGTCTGCGGCTTGTCGCCAGCCTTACACTCCTCGCTCCCACGTGCTTCCGGGGCAAGCTCGTACTCCACGTCGTCGTGGCACCCCACCGTGCCGTTCACGCGCGCGCCAACAAGCATAACCATCCGCTTGTAATACAAATCCAGCACCTCTGAGGCATTCTCGATGCCCAGCTTGATCTTCTTCAGATAATCCGTGTCCAGCGTCCCCGTGCTGCTTTTCCTTTCCTGTAGTCTATCGTAGTTGAAATCCCGAGGAACCACGCGGTACCCGACCTTGTTGAGAAACTCTGTCTCCAGCACGTTGAGCTCCATCAGGTTCACACCCCCTACCTTGGCATAGTGGCTATTGGAGCAAAAACTGTCGCACAGCGCCTTGGACGCCACCGTCGTCGCCGTCAGCAAAAAACGGTGCACTGTCAGCGAGTTCACCGCAAATACTGGATAGCACATGCTGAGCAAATCGATGTAATAAATGCTAGTTATGAGAACGGAATTCTCCAGAGACGAGTAATGGGACAGTCTGGAAAGATAAGAATAGAGCGAGATTTGCGGCGGCGAGCGCGAGTGGAAGCGCGTGAGCGACTGCTGGTTGATGTCCGAGGAGATTTGCTGGTCGTTGATGGAGATGAGCGAGGAAAGCATGCGCGATATGATCACTATGAGGTCGTCCTTGGGGCAGTGTATGAACTTTTGCGGGAGCGTGCGGCAGGTTGCGGGCGTTGGGGCGGATTCGCTGGCGCTCACGGGCGGCGGAGGGATCACAATGGGCGGTCTTTTGGACTTGTGCGGCTGCGAAGTCATGGTGTTTTACCCAGCGAGTAAAAAGTCAATCTATACGGGCCCACCTTTGCACCTAGTGCTTTAAATAAAAAATATTTAATTATTTTCAACACATTCATGTCTTTTGTCTCAAAACTGGGCGCGTTCGTCCGCGGCCTGGCCACCGCGACGGAGTCGAAATTCCCTCACAAGGCCATCCCGCCGACGTACACGCTGGCGACGCTGCGCGCGTTCCCGTCGCTCGAACCGCACGCCGTGTTTCCCGTCCACAACGCTTTCCTCAATGCTCCGATCCGAAGAGACGTCCTGTGGCTGGCCGTGGTCATGGAGCTTGACAACAGACGTGTGGGCGCGTCTAACCCGCCGGGAAGAAGCGACCACAAGTTTTCCAGACACAAATTACTGCCGCAGAAGGGCACTGGACGTGCCAGAGTGGGCGATGCCAACTCGCCGATCAGACACCGTGGCGCATACGCCTTGGCCCGCACGGCCCCCAATGACTTCAGCACGGACCTGCCCGAGAAGGTGTATGACATGGCATACCGGATCGCACTGAGCTCGGCCTATAAGGCGGGCAAACTGTTTGTCGTGGGAGAGCACGAGGCAGCCGGGTCCGAGCTGCTTCCGGGCGACTCGTTCGACCTGGAGCTGACGCACAGTCATCCCCGCGCGCTCGATACATTTGTGACGAAGCACGGGTTCGGCAAGCTGAACGTGCTCTTCATTCCTGGGGAATACGATCCGGAAGCCAACCTGGCTAAGGCGGTGAGCAAATACGGCGACAAGGTGCGGATGCTGCGCAAGGAGGACGTCGGGGTCAGAGACCTGCTGAAGGCGGACCGTCTGGTCGTCTCAAAGGACGCCCTTGTGTACTTTGCGGCCAAGTACACGAGACACATTCTGTAGATAGAAGCTCTGGTCACGTGACGCAGCACAGGGCAGGGTTTTTTATAATTAAAATTTTCAGTCCATGAAAAATTGTAACTTTAATACATCACCATGGGACTCGTTGTTCAAGAATCTGGCTCGTTCCAGCACATTTTGCGTCTCCTCAACACCAACGTTGACGGAAGAATCAAGGTTATGTACGCCCTGACCACCATCAGAGGTGTCGGTAGAAGATACGCCAACTTGGTGTGCAAGAAAGCCGATGTTGATCTTTCCAAGAGAGCTGGTGAGCTGACCCAGGAAGAGCTGGAGAGAATCGTCACCATCATGCAAAACCCAACTCAATACAAGATCCCAGCATGGTTCCTGAACAGACAGGCCGATGTTGTTGACGGAAAGGATTACCACGTTCTTGCCAACAACCTGGAGAGCAAGTTGAGAGAAGACCTGGAGAGACTGAAGAGAATGAGAGCTCACCGTGGTCTGAGACACTCCTGGAGACTCAGAGTTAGAGGTCAACACACCAAGACCACCGGTAGAAGAGGTAAGATTGCTGGACCTTGAGCGGCGAGCAGGCAAGCAAGTGCAGCTAGCATAAATATGTGATAATATAGTGGAAACTATGAGAGCAGTAGACCCTGTGTAGCTGGCGGTTGGGCATGGTTATACCAGAATAATTTAATTATGCTTCGTTAATATATAAATATCATAACTCGTCATATGCACTACGCCGGAGTTTGACTTTTCAAACTCAGCAGGTTTTCCACGCACTCAATGTCTGTCTTGCCGCTCTGCTTTGTGTGCGCCATGTTTGTGCTGTCCTTCAGAACGTTGCCCAGCTTCTTGTTGACGTTCATTCTCATAACTGGCTTCTGTCTTTTGTGCAGCGTCTGGGTCATTGGCGTTGCCAGCCCCAGATCGCTGGCCTTGAACTTGAACGTCATGGTGGCAGAGCTTGGCGTGCTACGCGGCACGTTCTTGCGCACTGGCGTCTTCATTGGTGTCAGGAAAATGCCCTTTGGTGGCAGGTTTTCCTCTCTTGGAGACGAGGCCGCGGACGACTCCACGGAGGTTGCAGAGTCGTCCTCCACGCTGGTGTCAGCGGCGGACAGATCCTCGGCTGACATGAGCTGCTGGTCCAGGTCCTGTCTTTTCGGGATGTCCAGCACCACCTCCTTTATGCTCTGGTTATTTTTGCGTAGCGACTGTCTTTTGTTCTGGAACCAGATCTGCACGGCTTTCTCAGTCATGTCGACCTTGCGCGCGATCTCGATTCGTCTCATCTTGTTGGGGGTATTACCTTTTTCGAACTCTGCCCGCAAAATGGCGAGCTCGGCGGGGGACGTTCTTCTTCTTTTGCGTCTTGCGAGACGCGCATTGTCGATGTCCGGCTCAGAGGACAGGAACGTGGACACCGAATGCGAAATGAAGGCAAAGCTCTTGCCCTCGCTCGGCGGCGACTTGGACACCTGTCTTTGTGGCTTGTGTGGAGTAACGGCGAATTGGCTTGGAGGCTGTGCGCGTAGCGCGGGTGTCTGCGAAAACATCGGAGGTGGGGGTGGTAGCACACGGTTTGCCACAGGCGTCACAGGGCTGCTGTACAGCGGGAACGAGTTCGACCGCTTGTAGCTGGGACTCGACGTGATGTGCTCGATTGGGGGGAGCACCATCTTGTGGGATGGCGTATTTCCCGGCCGCACTTGCGAGCGCACCGGCGAGTGGTTGAGGAGCGAGCTCAGAGGCGGCAGCCTTGTTTGGCGGGCCGGAGACGGATCAGAATTCGATCTGGTAGGTCTAGACACGTTAACAGACATCGGTGTTGGCAACAGGCTGGATATTTTTGTTGTTTATATATGTTGAAGGCCTCCTGTGATTGAACCTCGAAAGTGTACACAAAGGGCGAATGAGTGTAATTAGACTTTGCTGAAAATAGAAGTTGCGGCGCACAGCATGCAGCAGTTTTATTATATTTCGACATTTCATTTCTGTTTTCGGCCAAGAATCGAATAGAACCGTGTTTAATATAGCTGCAGGAATAGCGAACGCGTTCGAAGGGGCTTCATTTGGAGGCAGAGCGGACGCGTGCAAGCCAAGGGCGATGAAACAGGAACTAATATGCAGCATACATACAAATGTGGGAAATGGGCAGCAGACGCACTCTGCCAGAGCGAGAATGTAACAGGGGCAAACATGCCTGCCCTTCGCGGCGCCACAGGGCACGCTGTCGTGGTGCACGGGTGCAACAGCAACCAGCGCCCGCGGTCGCGGTCGCTCCCGGTGCAGAGATGTCTCCCAGCACAGCAGCGCGGAATATCTCGCGCGAGTCCTCTGGCCAGCCAGCCAGCCAGCCTGTTTGGCCTTGTATCCAGCTCCCCACGAGACTCAGACATTCCTTTCCGGGCAGTCCTTTCCGTCCGCTGCTTTCTCCCCAAACTGCGGCCAGCCTGCCTGCTCGGCTTTCCTCGCCCTGTGTCCTCCAGCTCTGATTGCTTGACACAGACACATCAACTCTGATAGATATCTCTACCGTCTTCCTATTGTGTACGCTATTGTTCTTTCGACCGAGCAAAACCGAACCGTTCCTGTTCCAGATTGCACACCCAGCAATCCGCGCTTATCTTTGGACCACTTTCCGGATTAGGCAACTATTTCGCAGGCTGCTACCATTATAAATACACCCTCTCTGTACCCTTCCAGCACCAATGGCAACCGCAGAGCTACTCCAACAGATCCAGACCGGCAACCTCCACAAGAGGATTATGCCCCACGCTTACGAGGCGCAAATCAAGCCCATCAGCGAGACCCTTAATAACGTCGACATCCACGTGGAGTTCGACCCGAAGAAACACCTCGCCTTCACCCCAGACTGCCTGCAGACCGTCAAGCGCACCACGATGGAGGAGCTGGGCGCCGTGTCCGACGACCAGATCTCCGACATCGGCGTCAGCGCACCGTTCCCGCTCTTCACAGAGGAGGCCGTCGAAATCATGAGAGCGGAGATCCTGCGCGAGGAGGTGTTCTCCAAGTGGGCCAGGGTCTCGTTCAGCTCGACGACAGGCCTCGACTGCGGCATCCGCGGCTACGCAAAGTCGACCTGCCCGTTCACGTACAGAGCCTGGACACATCCGGAAACCGTGGCTGCTGTTTCCGCCATGGCCGGCGTCGAGCTCGAGGTGATCATGGACTACGAGGTCGCCCACATCAACGTCGCGATGCGCTCGGAGGACGAGGAGTTCAACCAGAAGATCTCTGCCAGAAGAAAGTCGTCGCTGGCAGACAAGACAGACTCCGACATCCCGGCCGTGGTGGGCTGGCACAACGACTCGTATCCGTTCGTGTGTGTTCTGATGCTTTCCGACACTACGGAAATGATTGGCGGCGAGACACTCATCAAGACCGGCTCCGGCGAGATCGTGCCTGCGGCAGGCCCGGCAAAGGGCAAGGCCACCGTTCTGCAGGGCAGGAAGTTGACCCATCTGGCAGCGCTGCCGGTCGGCTACACGGAGAGAATCACGGCAGTCACCTCGTACAGGGCCAAGGACTCCACGAAGCCGGAAACCAGCGTGCTCAAGACGGTCAAGCCGGAAAAGAACTTCGGCTCCATCTATAACGAGTTCTACCCAGAGTGGATCTCGTACAGAATGAAGGTCATTTCCGACAGAGCGATTGCGATCGGCGAGGAGTTTGAGCGCAGGAGACGCGACGGCGAAACGTTCGACAAAGACGCCGCGTTCAAAAAGCTCAAGGACCTGCAGGCGTACTTGGAGCACACCTGGAAGGAAATGGAGGTGACCGACGAGGAGTATGCTAGCCACTACGCCAAAAAATGAATAGCCATCACCTTGCGTATATTCTATTCCATATCCTATGACAGTCTCAGCCCGTGACTCGTTTCTAGTCTATCTCTAAAATCCTAAATCTCTCTTTTTTGCTGCTTGCACATCCATATCCGTGTCTTGTATATCCTGAATAATTCCTTCACCAAATCCCTGAAATCGATCCGTGCGTTGGAGTGGTAGTAGAACGTCAGCTTGCGACGGTCCCATTGGTACTCGGCATCCGTCACCTGCATCACCAGCCCGTGCGACTTCACCTTCAGCTGGCACACGTTGCGCGACTTCTCCTCGTCGCTCTTCTTCAGCAGCAGTTGCGCCACCTCGTTCGGGTACGCAAAGCGCACAATCGGCTTTGGGAAGTGCAGCACAGGGTGCTTGTCGTTGTTTTCCTGATTAAGAGCCGCCTGCTGCTCCTGAAACTGTTTCAGCTTCAACAAACGCGCCTCGTCGATCGACACGTCCAGCTTGACCACTTTTCCCAAATCACGCCCTCTATCGGCCTCCACAATCACCAACTCGCCAACCTTCATGTTCTGCAGCAGTTTCTGGTTCTCTGGCGGCAGGAAAAACACGTCCAGTCTGCCGCTCTTGAAACAAACAAGAACAAGCTTCACGCCGGGCAGGCCTCCACCTGGAAACTTCGGCAATTGCTGCGTGTTGAGGTTCTCCAACACCTTCGACAAGTTGAGCGACTCCGGCGATGGAGACGTAAAATACAAGTCCGCCTCTTGGTATGCTTGTGAATACTGATCTTGAAAGTTCAGGACTCCCGGAAACTGAGTTGTCTGTTGCGGTCGCGCTGTTGATTTTTGCTCGAGTGATTTCACAAAGTCCAGACCTGGGGCATGCCCGAATGTTGAAGATGCTGATTGTCTTTTTTGCTGGAGCGCTGGAAGTAAGGGCTGCGAGTTTCCGGAGGACCCCGACTGCGCGGCAGCTCCTAATGCAGCGTCGTACGAGTACCGTCTGAGAGCAGCAAAGTCTGATGCCGGCGGTGACTGCCATGCGGCGGGCAGTTGCGGAGGAGAGCTCAGGTTGGGGAAACTGAGCAGCGGGCTCCCAGCAGACCCGATCGAGCTTCTGTTGTCGTCTCTGGAGTTCCAGATGCTGCCTGTCGATGGTCTGCTATGCGTGGTGAACTCGCCCACATATGAGGTCCGTCTGGACCCAAACTCTGCTTGAGACGGAGGCTGGGCAGAAAATGAGGATCCCGAAGGGGGGCTCAATAACGTAGCGTATGGAGAAAGTGGCGAGACTATTGGATCCCGTGGGAACTCTAGTGCGTGCGACGAGGGCGAGAGTAGATCCTGCGGTCCCTGAGGTTGCGGTTGCGGCGCAGAAGTCCAAATGGAAGAGTTTATCTCGAATGGGTTGACAAAGCCCGTCTGCGCAGTGCTGCTGTTGTTGTTGTTTGCTGTCCCCGTGACCGTTGAGCCCGTTGCTATAGTATCCTTGTCGCTCAAAGTGTGGTTGTCCATTTCGCTGGCGTAAGATAGAACACTGTTTAGGTTGTTTACAGAGAGATCATATTCTCCCGGATTCGAAAAGATGTTGGAGCTGTTGGAGCCGTTCGACTCGAATGATAACGATGATCTGGCTGATTCCGGGTCTATGAATGTGTCGTAGTTGATCGTTCTGGACATGCCCTTTACCTCTTTAAAAAACAACTGCTCGTTTGCTAAAGAGAAGGAAGGCAAATTTATTTATGAGATAAGCCTGGAATATAATGTGCGTGTGGTGTGCGGGGGGTGGAGGGCGCGAGGCGAGACAATTTGATAGGAAAGGAAATCGTTGGGGACCCTGTGCATGTCATGTAAAAGCGCGGGCAAACTAGGGAATCTTGTGGAGACGTCACGCCATGCACTGTTTCTTGCTCTCCTCCACAGGTCACGGAGTTCCCGGGCGTTTGCCAGAGCCCGCCGCCCATGTTTGCTTACGTAAGCGCAGCTGATAAAAGAAGTAGCTGTCAAACCAACCTTAATAAACGGAGCTGACAATGCGGTGGTTCTCCTTGTTTTCTGCGCGCGTGCCTGCTCGGGAAGTATCGCCGTCGTCGAGAGACGCTGCTGTGAGCAAGTCCAGCAGTTTCTGGCCGCCCTGCGCGTGGCTGTTCTGTTTTTCTTGCTCTAGATCGCTGATCAGGCGCTCTTTCTCCGCCTCCAGCTGCTTGAACTCGCTCCGGAGCGTCTTCAGGTGCGCGGCGTACTGTGTGCATTTCGAACGCAGCTGAGACGCGGCCAATTCTGTGCGCATAAGCTCTTTGGCGGCCGCTTTATTTTTCTGAAGCAGCTCGAGCTGCTCGGCGCGGAGGGCCTCCAAATAGCCCTGATCAGCCACTAACTGGTCTTTTGTGTATTTGACAGCCTCTGTGTCCGCTTCGCCCTCCCCCAGTTCCCTTGTTGTCCTCAACTCCTCGGCAATTTCGCGCAGCTGCTCGACCAGTGTCTGAAGCTCTTTGCGCTCCTCGCCGCCCGTCGTCTCATTAAACCTTGTCAGATTCTCGTTCAGTTTCGTCAGACTCTGGTTGTTGTTTTTCGAGCGCGCTTTCAGATCCGTCAATGCCGTCTTGATGTCGGCCAGCTCCTCGCTGATCTTCATATTAAAGCTGATCGGCAGCGGTTTCGGCTGTGCAAACTTCGAGATGTTCGTGATGGACGGCGACTTCTTCAAACTGGCCTCTTCTTTTGTCTCGGTGCTCTGCGAAATTCCCAATGTCATGATGTCTACGTAAGGAGTCCAAATTCTTCTCATAAAATAAAAACACCGGTGCCAGGTGTGTCTCGTTATCGAATATGAAATATATCCAGCTCGTGCTCTGTCTTGCCTGGTGGTCGCTGGCGCTCGCAAACACAGAAACGCTGCCGTTTCTGCCCGTGCGCGGCGAGGCGCCTCACGCCACAGCTCCCGACGGCTCGCGGCCGCTCCAGCTCGGCCTGAACGTGCTCTCCGTGTCGCTCGCCCCGGTGACTCACGTGGCGCCGGCGGAGAACGGCCAGCAGGTCCAGCTGCGGCTGCACACCAACAACCTCCGCCCGGCGCCGCACTTCGCCAGGCTGTGCTGGTCGGCAACGGCGCCCGTCAACATCGACCTCCGCCAGATCGACGACGCCGTGCTCATAACCGTGGCTCCAGACTACTACAGCACAGACGAGGAGCAGACGCGTCGGTACCTGGGGGACATCCGTCTCGAGCTGCACGTGAGCGAGGTGCACGCGCTCCCTGCAGACCTCTGGCCGACGCTGGGCTACGTGGCTTCCGTCGCCGTGCTGGGACTTTTCGTCTCGGCCGCTTACCTAATACGCCTCCGCCCAAAAATGTGTTGAGCCTTGTTTTTTCCAGCCTTGTTTTTAATCGCAAGAACGGCCTCCTAGTATCGCACAGATCTGGCAATGAACGACGACCAGAATCTCACCACAGACCCGGCGCTCAAGGCGGAGGGCCAGCCGGATTTATTGCAATATTCGCAGGACGCCCCGGCAGGCACAACAACACAGCCTCAATTACCAAGTTTACAAAAAAACCCCGGGTCTCTTATAGGCCAGCACCAGTCGCAGCCGCTGTACTATCCCTCGTCGACGTCGCATTTGCGCGAGGACCATAAAAAGCTGCCACCGATAGAGATGGCTGGCGCAGACTCCAAATACATCGCCAACCTGTTCCCCTTCGCCCAGCACCCGTCGTCGCAGCAGGGCGCGTCCGAGTCCGGCAGCTCGGGCCAGGCCGCGCAGCAGGACAACCCGCTGTTCACGCTTGCGAACTCTGTGCCGTACCAGTCGATTCCGGGCGGCAAGGCTGAGAAGGAGGACGAGAACTCGATCGACTGGTCGAGAAAGGCGGCCGACATCGCGCTGCGCATAGTCGGCACCAAGCAGGGCCTGGTGGACTCGTCGAACGGCGGGCTTCCGTCGCCGCCCGACAAGCACGGCGCCCAGGGCTCGAGAAAACAGCCCCGGACCTTTGCGTGCCCGTTTTCGGGCTGTGGCAAGACGTTTTCGCGGAAAATGAACCTCAACTCGCACATCCAGTCCACCCACGAGCACCGCAAGCCGTTCCAGTGCGACAAGTGCAAGCAGTTCTTTGCGCGCCACAGCGATCGCAGACGCCACGAGACTAACCAGCACAAGAACGACGGCGGCTTTGTGTGCGGCGGAGTGCTCAAGAACGGCGAGGAATGGGGTTGCGGCAAGAGTTTCAAGCGCAAGGACGGCCTCACCGCGCACTGGCGGTCTCAGAAGGCCAAGAAGAAGTGTCTCAGACACATCACCAATCCGAGCGAGCTCGAAATGATGACTATGGCCAAGTGAGTGTCTCTGCTTTACGTATTTGTACTATATCAGCACCTTGAGCTTGCGAAATCCAGATCCCGATTGCACGGGTCTGACTTTTTATTTCGGTTTTTTTTTTTTTGTTGCTAACACTTACCTCACATTTATCTGTCTATGTTGTTTGCCCTTCTGCTGCTCGCAGGCTCCGCGCTGGCAGGCAAAATCCGCCCCTTCCCGGACCCAGAAGACGACATCTCCAGGCTGCCCGTGTACGCGCCCAGCGACGCCGTCCCGCTGCAGTGCAATGCCCGCCAAATCGACAATGGAGAGCACAAGTTTGACCCGCAGGGCAACGTCGTCTACGCGGACTTTCTCAAGTGCCAGGAGACCGCCCAGCCGCTGGCGCTGAAATACGGCCTCAACGAGCAGATCGAGTGCACCGTCAAGTTCGAGGACGAGATATACCACCTGTTCCAATTATATCTACATAACGACGCTCCGTTCTCGTGCAAGGTGGACATCAAGCCGAAGTCTGGCGTCAGCGTGCCGATTGTGTTCCAGTTCCGCGGCGTGGTGGAGGAGTCCCACTTCGATCTGGACCCGAACGTCAACGTGCTCTTCATGACAAGAGACAACCAAATAGTCTCAGGAACGGCCTGGTCCAGCTCGCTCAACACGACAAAGGTCATCATCGGCGACTCGGTGCCGCTCAAATTCGACGTCCAGTGGCTAGCCAATGGGATTGAGGTCACAGAAGATTCCGGAATGACGTTTCTCCGGTTCCCGAAGCACCACAGCCCGCTGCTCATCGCCACGTACTGCGCCGGCTCGCTCGTCGTTGGGGCCGTCGTGGCCCTGGCCCTCGGATACAAACGGATCTCGAAAAAGATCCAGCTCAGCGACCTGAATAAGGTGGATTGACTACTTTAGCTTCTTCACCAGCTGCGTCAGAATCTGCTTCACCTCGCCGTCAGCCTTGCTCAGGTACTGCTGCGTGATGAAGTCGGTGTATAGATGTTTGACCTCGTCCTTGACGGCCTGCTCCACCTTCGCCCGCGTAGCCCACGACTGGTACGTCTTGACCGAGCTCTGCAGCGTGCTCACAAACTCGGCGTCGCCCAGCTCGACGTAGCGCAGCGGCAGCGTCAGCCGCAGCAGCAACACCTTCGGCACGTGACCGTGGTCATGTGCAAGCCACTCGACAACGTGGTTCGCCAAGTACAGTCTGTCGAGGATGTCGTAGTTGTCGATCAGGGCGAGCACCCTGCTGCAGAAGTCCCACACCTTGGCAAACTTGTCTTCGGACAGCTGGACGTTTTTCTGGATCGCGTGCACGGCAACGTCGAAGATGGCCAGCACCAAGTCCCCCTTGAGCACTGGGTTGGTCTCTGCGGTTCCAAGCACGTCGATGTTCATCTCGGGCAGTTTATTCAACTCGTCGTTGATTTCTGTGTCTGGAACTAGGCTGATCATGTCGTCTCCGTCGAAATTGCCTGCCTCGTTTTCTTTCAAGTCCTGAATCTGCTGCTGTTCGGTAATGATCTTGAGCAATTTTCTTCTAAGCAGCAATTTGGACAGGTACGTCAGTTCCAGCTTGATAAATTCCTGCCACACCTCGCTGCTCTCTGGATTGAACCTCACGCATCTCTTGAACAGGTTTCTGGCGGACTTGACGTTTCTGTTCTGTTCAAATTCGTAGCTGGCAGCTGAGAACCAGACGTTAATATTCTTGGGCTGTAATTGCAGCAATTTTGAGTAAATCGAGTACACCACCTTGACAGAGCCGTTTTTGCGGGCAAACTTCAGGTACGACGACCACAGATCCATGCTTTTAGGGAACTTGTTGACTCCGCGCTCGAAAATGAAGAAAATACGCCGGGTGGACGCCCAGTCCGACACAGACGGCTTGGTGTCAATCACTGGCTTCATTCTATTGTAGCGTTTGCGTCTCAGCTTCTCCAAAGTCTTCTCGTACTGGGCATACGCAAGAAAATCCATAGGTTTAGATCCTCGGCCCGCGATCCTCTGTTCGAAATCAGTACGTCTTCTCATGATCATCGTGATCTCTTTTCTCGTAAAAAGCTTCTTGCGCTCCAGATCCTTCAGCTCAGGAACGCTCTGTTCCAAAAAGTAGCGAGACTTGGACATGGTGAAAAACGCTAAGTTGTCTCAAATTTTTTTAAAAAAATATTCAAAAAATATTCGCACAATTATTTTTCCTATAGTACAGTATAATACATTATGTAGCATTGCACCATTTCTGCTGCACAAAAAAGTCGTATATTTTCATCGTCTTTGCAGGGTCTATCTTGATTAGCTCCTTGGCAATCTTGCGCTTTAAGACGCCTCCCGTGCGTAGCAGCTCGCGGAAGAAAGTCTCCTTAATTGCCAAATATGGCTTCGGTAGTATGCGAAGGTTAGAACATAAGACCTTCTCTTCGTCAGACAGCAGGTCATAGTCGAGGGCCTGCGAAATGTCCAGCGGCTGGTTCCCGCGCTTCTTCGAGTTGCCGTCAAATGACGGAGTCTGGTGTCTCGATGTTGACCTAACAGAGTTCAACGTGTGCCGCTCTCTGCCAGAAGTGATAGGTGCAGCACCAATGCCAAGATTCAGGGAAGATAGCCGGCTAATCTTGTCCTTCTCATATTTGGCGCCGCCCTCAAAAGACATCACACCGTTGCGACGCCATTCCTGCAGCTGCTGGATCCGGTTGCGGATACGCACTTCGCTCAACATGTCGTCGGTGAACTCCTTGAAATCCTCTGGGGTCATAATCCGCGCAAAGGCCTTCAGTTTGTTGTACAGTTCGCGCTCCTCCTTCGTCCGTTTTTTGTCGATAGCTATGTTGTTTCGGTAATCCAGTAGGTTGTTTTTCAGCATGAGCCGTTTGCGCTCGGCTCGCATCGTCAGCTTCGAGTTGTAGATATCCAGTATCGTCAACTTGAGTTCGATATCCTCCTTTGTCTCGTCTCCCTCGAACACCATGTCCTGTACAACCTTCTCTGCCTCGTCGTCGGCTTCCTCCTCAAACTCCAGTCTACCAGGCATATACTTCTGAATGTCCGAGCACAATGGCTTTGAAGTCAGCACCTTCTTCGGTGGGGGCAGAGGCATGTTCTTGCGTGAGTCGAGTCGCTGTTTGCGTTTGCGCAAGAACGACGATGTGGAAACATGCTCAAAGGTTTTGTTCAGATCAGGAATGGGATAGCACGGAGAGTTTAGGTAATATTCCTCGTAATGTTTTCCAACTTCCTCCTTAGACCGACCTCCGATGAAGTCGCTGATATCCTGCCAATTACCCAATCCAAGAGTCTGGCAGCCTTCTATCAGCAGCAGCTCCTCGTCGGCTCCCCAATCCTCGTCGAAAATCGGATATTGATGTTGTTCGATCACCTGATAGTCGTGGTACGGCTTGTGCTTACCAGAACTTTCGCCCTTGGCAAAACACGGCACACAGAGGTCGTAGTCTGCACAAACTGCGCACCGTATACGCACGCGGCGCGTGCAGTCCGACGAACAGACATCGCAGTGGAACTTGGCCATTGGAAAGAGGGATTTTTGTCACTATTTATATTTTCGCCTCCGACGTACGTAATGCGGGTGGTACCTCGTACGTGAATTATAATGAGCAATAAAGTTACGGGCAGAAAAAATTGGAACCGTGTCACGTGATGTAACAGCGGGCCAAAACCGCATTTTTGGTTCAGTGCTGTGAAAAATTTCTTTACCAGGATTGAAAACTAACATCACAAAATGGTAAGTAGGAGCTAGCTGACTTAGCGAGTGGCATCCCCAAGACTAACATCTTCAGGGTAGAGTTAGAACCAAGACCGTCAAGAGAGCCTCCAAGGTTCTCATCGAGAAGTACTATCCAAAATTGACCTTGGACTTTGAGGTCAACAAGAGACTGACCAGTGAAATCGCCGAGATCCAGTCCAAGAGACTGAGAAACAAGATCGCTGGCTACACCACCCACCTGATGAAGAGAATTCAAAAGGGCCCAGTCAGAGGTATCTCGTTCAAATTGCAAGAAGAAGAGAGAGAAAGAAAGGACCAGTACGTCCCAGAAGTGTCAGCCTTGGACTTGAAGAAGAACAAGGGCCAACTCCACATTGATGCCGACACCGACGAAATGATCAAATCCCTTGGCTTCAAGGTCCCAGCCTCCGTGATCGCTGTCTCTGCCAACAGAGGTCTCAGAAGATACAGAAAGTAAGCAAAACACTTCCTGTTTAATATTGTGTATCTCACAGAATAAACAACTATAGCAAATCAAAGCTCTGATTCTGGCGAGAACAGTTTGTTGAACTTGTTTCTCAGACTGATCACCTTCTCCACAATTTTCTCGTAATCCTGGATCGTTTCTAGCGACTCATTGATCCATGCTGCCATGTCTGGGTCTCGCATCTTTTTGCACATCGAGCTCTCTTGTAGTCCATCTGGTCTCTTGTACGAAAAGAATGGCAGCGGTTCCGTCTCTAGTTTGCGTTTCTTGGGGTTGCACGGGGTCGACGTTGACGAGTTGGTGATACATGAAACAGAGTCGTCCTCTCTCAGCTCGTTGGAATTTAACTTTGTCCCCACGGTGGCCGCCGTAGTGGCAGACCCAGCAGTAGCGGCTCTGCCAAAGACGTTAACCGGGGTCAGCGATATGTCGTTAACATACTCATCGAACCTGATTCCGTGCCCGGCCCATTCGTTCGACGCTCTCGAAACCACCTTCTTGGCTTTGGGCGTGATAACGGGGATCTTAGAAGCAACGTGCTCTCTGGCTGACATCGGGGTGATCAATTCGCTCGTCGTCTGCTGCTTCGGGGCACTCGCCGGTCTCAGAATCAGCCAATCAGATCCCTTGATGTTCGGCGTGGACGATGCGGCGTTGCACTTGGACGTCTCCCTTTCCATATTCAATTAACTGCGTCTACAGATAAACAAAGAATTTAGGGATATTCAGGGGGGGGCAACAAGGGATCCGCCGGGGCAGGGTTTTCGCTGTGCTACTATACTTTTGTGTATGTAATTGATGATGTAATCACACGCTAGGACGAGTAACCGTTAGCCTTGAGCCAGTCGGCCACGTCCTTGGAGTCTCTGCTGACCCATTTAGCTCTGGACTCGATAGACTCCAGAGCCTGGGCAAGCTTCTGGTCGAACGCCTTGGTGTCCTTGTCTTTGAAGAACTCCTCCACCATGCGGTATTGCTCCATGGTGGTGAATCCGCGCGTGGCACAGTCCACCACGTAAGCCAGCAAGGTCAGTGAGGCAGGGATGGCCTTGACAATCTCGTCCCATCTGCTGGTCACAAAGTCCCACAGGTGCTCGACACCGGCTTTGTGAGTAGCCATGCCCGCCATTGGTCTGATCACGTCCTGGGTCCTGATAGTTCCGTCCAAAAGCATGTCGGTGACCTTGGTAAGCAGCTCTTTGTCCTCAAACTTGCCGAGAGTGGCCAGCACCTCCTGTTTTTCGTCCGCGAGCGGTGTCTCCTTGTACAAGTTGACGAGCGCCTCGAACTCCTTTTTGGAGCCGTGAGTTGCGGCAACGCTAAACACGGTTCCTCTGAGGTTAGGGTCTATTTCTGACTTCTCGTTGCCAATGTAGCCTGCGAACAAACTCTTGGCAGCGTCGATAACCTTCTGGTCGCCGTTGGCGGCAGCGGCGCTGAAAAGCAGCGCCTTGAGTCTCTGCTCAAGGAACGGCTCGGACGATTCGAATTTCCAGCCGGCCTTGTGGCATTTGTCGCTCACGAGGCTTCTGACCAGGGCCTTGAGGCCCTCCTTGATGCTCTCGTCTTCAAAGAGCCAGGCACGCTTGACAGCGCTGATTCTGGCGATCATCTCGGACCACACAAAGAACGATGGCTCGTTCTTGAAGAGCGACGTGAGAGAAAGCAGGTTGGTGGTCTTGGAGTAGCCAGAGACCGAAAGCGCACCAGCGTCCGCAACAAGACCGATCCTGTCCTCGACAGAAAGCTTGTCGGCGGCAGCACCTAGAGTGTGCCATCTTTCCGGCTCGTAATTGACTCTGAACACACCGGTGGTGTCGCTGTTGAGCTTGAAGAAGTCAGAGCTCTTGAGATCCAGCTCCTGCTCCTTCTTGTCAAACACAAACTCCTTAACACCGTCGTCCGTCCTGATGCTTAAAAAGATCGGGTACACGGTCTCGTCGTCCTCTGGCTTGACGTCGCCGGTGGTGAGGTATCTGTGCTGTCTGATCGTCACCTTGCCGTTGTCCTCGGACACCTGCACCAGCGGATAGCCAACTTTCTTGGTCCAGACGTTCATCGTGGACTGGACGTCCTTGCCAGAGACCTCAGACAGCGAGGCCCACAGGTCCTCGGTCACGGCGTTGGCGTACATGTGTTTTTTCACGTAGTGAGAGACGCCCTTGATGAAAGTCTCCTCGCCGAGGTAGTTGGCAAGCATTCTGAGAACAGCAGATCCCTTTTCGTACGAGATGGCGTCGAAAATCTGGTTAATTTCGTCGGCATGCGCAACAGGAACCTCGATCGGGTGCGACGATCTCAGAGCGTCCAGCGAAAGGGCCATCTGCAACGAGTCGCCAACAAAGTTCTCCCAGATCTTCCAATCCTTCTCGAAGTGGTCGCAGCACTTCCACGACATGTAGGTAGCAAAACTCTCGTTCAACCACAGAGAGTCCCAGAAGTCCATCGTACAGATGTTTCCGAACCATTGATGTGCCAACTCATGGGCAACCACCTCGGAAACGCGCAGCTTGGTGGCCAGATTGGTCTTGGTCTCGTTCACCAGCAGATCCACCATTCTGTACGTGACCAGACCCCAGTTTTCCATAGCACCCGCGGAGAAGTCGTGAATACCGACCATGTCCATCTTCGGCAGAGGATATGGGATGTCGAAGACCTTCTCGTAGTATTCGAGAGCCTTAGCGGCGAGCTCTGCAGAGTACTGGCCCTCTTTTTCGTAGCCTGGCGTCGTGTACACTCTGACAGGAATATCTCTGAATTTGTACTCGGACTCGACGTACTTCAGGTCTCCGACAATAAACGCAACCAAATAGGTGGACATAGGCGGAGTCTTGTTGAAAATGACCTTTTTCTGCGTCTCCGAAACAGGCTTCTCCTCCTTCACGTCCATGTTCGACAAACAGGTGTACTGCTTGTCTGCCACAATGGAGATGGAAAAGGTGGCCTTCAGATTAGGCTCGTCGAAACATGGGAACGCCCGTCTGCAGTCGGTGGCCTCCATCTGCGTCGTGGCCAGGTACTTGGTCTCGCCGTTCTCCGTGTACGAGGACCTGTAAAACCCGCTCAATTTGTCGTTCAATTCACCAACGAACTTGATGTACAACTGGACGGATTCGCCCGATTTGAGAACGTTGTCGCCAAACTTGAACGTCGTCGACTGCTCGTCCTTAGAGTAGGACGTCTCCCTAGGAGCCAGCTGTCCTTCCTTGGTGCTCAATTGCACCTCAGAAAGCTCGAGCTCCAGTGTGTGAAGCTCAATGAAGTCGCTTGTTTCCTTCACGTCCAGGGCGATGGTGACCTCTCCGTCACACTTGAAAGTGGTCAGATCCGGCTTCAGACCCAGATCGTAGTGAACTGGCTTGACATTGGCAGGCAAAACCTTTCTCTGTGGGGGACTCATGGTTCCGTGCGAGCAGTAGTGTAAATTTTTGACCCCGTATGGATTTGCCACTTTATATATTTTTACGTGCACATCCGCGTGTCGGAACGGCATTGCCTGATATTTAGGACGAGTTAAAAAACTCCATATATTTGGGCACAGGCTTCTATGAAGGGACTTCAACATCTCGGCGACAAGTTTTCGGGCCCAACGTTTTCGACACGGTGACGGGACGATGGTGATTACATAAGCACTCCCTTCTCATCCTGTTCTCTCGATGAGATGGACGCCGCTGTCTGACTCGACGACGTCGCTCAGCTCGCCGACCTGCAGGCCGAACGCCGCCTTCTCGAAACTGGGCTGCATCTCTCCAGGCCCGAAATAGCCCAGGTCGCCGTTCTTCGAGTGCGAGCTGCAGTCGCTGTGTTCAGATGCGATCTCCTCGAAGGACGCCTCGCCGGACTCGATCTGCGCCTTGTAGCCCTTGATCAGCTCGACCGCCTCCTCCCTCGTGCGCGTGATGTTCTGTTCTTTCCACGAGGACGGTCTTCTGGAGTCTCTGTGTTTTACAAGAATGTGTCTGGCCGCCACCTTTTTCGGCTTGTGCAGGTTTTTCGACAGATACAAGTCCAATGCGTCTTTGTCCGTTCCTTCTGGAGGGGTCCAGATCGACTCGGACGTTGAGGGGTTGTAGTAGTACTCCTGGTTGTGCGTTTTGGAGATTTTGATCTTCCAGCCTTTTGGCAGTCCTGTGTGTGGATTTAATGACTGGGTGTTAGGAAAGCCGAATTATTGCGATACGTACCATGGCGGCAAGAAATCGATGCAATTAATTATTTCGTCACCTTTATTTTTCTAATAAATCAAATCGATCTAACTTTTTTTTATTAACGAATATTATATTTACTTGCTCAGCTATTCCGTTCACCTTGCCCTCAGTTGCGCTCCTCGAAGCTGGTCATATGCTGTTGGCTTCCTTAAGCTCGTCGGTGTTTAGGTAGTCGGATCCCAACGCGATAAGCTGCTTCCAAACGGTGTGTTTGATCGACTTCGTGAACCTTGGGGTGTCCCAGATCCGCGTCTTGAGCCCGACCTTGTGAGCAGCAGAGATATATTTCTCAAGGTCGGCAAGCTGTTTAGCTGACAGCCCGTCAAACAGACTCAATGCCTTGTGGGAGCCTGTCAGCTCAGACAGCGAAGCGGAAGAAAATATCGAGATTTTGCTGGCCGGATAGAGGCTGGCCTTTTCTGGGTCCACAAGATCTTTCAGCGGCGCATCAATGAATGTGTAAATGAGCTTTTGCGAGCTAATGTAGTCGTAAGGGAAGTCTCCGGTGATAATGACGGTGAGAGGCCCTTCGTGGAATTCGTCCTCTTCTGCGCTGTACGAGGTGAGGTATCCCTTGGCGAGGAAGCGCTCCAGTTTCTTTTCCAGCGCCTGCAAAAGCTGTTCCCCGTTGTTCTTGATATCAATGTAGAAGTATGTGGTAGTTTCCGGCGCCGTGTAGAAAATGCCATTTCTGCGAGAAGTGTCGTTTTTGACATTGGCCTTCTCCAAAATATCGTACAGGTGATCCAAATATAGCGAGTCGATGTTTAGCTCCTTCTTGAGAAACACGGAGTTGTGGCCCACATATATGGTATCCGGGTCGTCTGGGAAGTAGAAACAGTCGGCTTCTACGGAATTGGCACCCGCTCTCAGAGCGTCCACCAACGGATGTCTTCTCCACTCGTCGTTGTGCGAATGGATCGGTTTGACAATGACATCGTGTGTGAGAGTGTCTATGTTGACGAGCCGCGGGCCAATTCGGTCCTCGAACTCGTGACTGAGGCGAACTGTCTTGATGTAGAAATGGAGAGCAACCACGGACATGGCCAACGCCAGCAGCAGCGAGAATATGTGTGCGCGCACCCGACTCACATACTGGCTCTGTCTGAGCTTGCACATGCCCTGTGCTTCCAAGTCCTGGTACGGGTCTTTCCACAGGTTCAACATTTTTTGCTGCTTTGTAAAACTCCGTTTCGTTCGATGTGATTTTGAACCGCCCCAAGATAACGGTAAAGCTTATTCTCACTCAAGCACGCGCTGTCCTAAACTTTGGCACGCTCGTCGCCTTTATATAGAGCCAAAAAGAGTCCCGCGTATATTTATAAGAATCCTACTGCATGCTAGCAAAAATTAATTTTATTATGCCGTATACTGCCGCATCGGTGCGTAAATTAAGGTGTCCGAGATCTAAAAAACGTGCCAAAGATTTGAGCGCGGCTCATGTTGCGTAATTATATACATAATATGTGGGCTTCCAGCAACATGCTCGTTTTCGCCTCTAAATCACAAAACTGCCCAGACCCACCAGAATCAGGTTGCCCAGGATGAAATTGTTGAAGAATATCTCAAAACTGGTCCGTTTTGAGTAAGCCTCGATCAGCCGTTGTTGCAGCTCCTCCTTGTACAGCAGCAGCAGCCCGAGCATCTCGGTAACGGCCGCGTCAATGAGCTTGTTGGTGTTCTCGAAGCTCTGCTTTTGGGCCCCACTCAGGTCCCGCGGCGGGTCAGTGTGCAGCCCCAAGCAAGCAACCATGTCCACGAGCTCGAAATTGGCCAGGTTGTGCACCAGACGGAATTTTATTGGCGGAACACGTGGCTCCACCGCCTTGCCCTCGTCTGGCTCTGCAGCAAGATTTGACCCGTCAAAAGGGTTCTCGTCGATGTCCCACCTTTCAGCCGTGCGCATGGCTAGCCCAAAACGTTTGTCATTGATAAACGTGATCAGGCTGCGTAAATCTGCTTCTGAAATGTACGGGGCATTGGTCAACGACGAGCAGGGCATCTTTGCAGGCACCCTAGCATGCAGGTCGTGGAAGTTCACCTTGAAGTCCATGACCACGTATTTATTTTCCTCTGGGGCCTCATTCCCCTGCAGGAGCAGCTCCTTGAGACTGTCCGAGTCCTCTTCTGTAGGCAGCATGATGTCGACCGTCAGCTCGACCGAGCCCGAACGGAGCCAGTTCAGCTTCGACACCGGGCCTGTCACCCGCGCGAGGTCCAGCTGGTCGATGCGCAGCCGGGTGATTTTCTTCCACGGGTTTGTGTCCTCAGTATGGTCCAGAGCAGAGAACTCTGCGAACTGGTTCTGGCGTTTGTGCAGCGTGATCAACGACCCGTTGATCGATCCCGAAAACGCATCCGCGTTGATGAAGTCGTAGGTGATCCAGTTGCGCCGCAATCGTGGGAGCTTGCAGTTAAATATCTCCACCTCCAGCGGAGGACAATCTGCGCGCCTCACCACCAGCTTGAGATTATTTATCTGGAAGTGCTCGAACTCGTACTTTGCAGAAAATGACTCGTCCATGACCTCCTGGTAATGCTCGTCCATGTGTGCCGAGCCGACCACTCCGGTCAAATCCACGTCCTTGATGAGTCCCTTGCCGTCGAGCCATTTCCCGAGCGACAGTGTCACGGTCACCGTGTCAATCTTCAGGTTGTAGTGCAGATGTTCGTTGGGGCCGAACCCAACAACGAGGTTCTGCAACTTTATGGCTCCGTCCTCCCAGGAGGCCTTGAAATCGTCTCTGCTGATGTCCACATTGAGTTTATTGTCAAAGGTAATGAGTTTCTGCAAGAACTTCTTGTTGATCTTGCCGTCTGCGAACGTATTTCCAACGTAGATCAGCAGGCCACAGAATGTGGTTGTTCCTATAAAGACCCACAGAAAATTGCCCATCACGATCCACGACAGAAAAGCGCTGATCTCGTCCATGTTGAAAGGCCGGTTTTGCCGCAGAAGAATCCATTTCGCCCGCAGAACGAGGCGGTCGAGCCTGTTTTTGCCCGCCGCCAGAAATCGCTCGCGCGGGCTCATGTTAGTGTATGTGCGTCGTAGCATGTTCGTGTTCAGTTTCATGGCGGTCTGCGCGCGCGGAGTCGTCATTAGTGATGCAATGCTGGCTCTTGGCGTACAAGAGGTAAATGGTCGTAACGTCGTCCGGTGGAGCTCTGGTTTGGTCAGTATGTTCCGCAGGAGCAGTCCAAGCGTCCTCTGTGATGCAAGCCCCGCAGCTTGGCGCCCAAGACAGGAAAAGCGCACACCTGTCAAACAAGAGGGTTTAATCATTTATGAAAAATTTATCGCTAATTGGCTGTGCTAAGTGCTGATAGCATGTAACTAAAGCCAAAGGTAGCGGGAAAAAGCCAAAAGCAGCCGAGGCTCGCAAAGGAAACTGGGAGATAGGCCTTCTGGCGCCACGGATGCACCACACGCGAGGATGCTGCTACGCGTGGTGGACGGGGCCTGCTGCCTGTGCTGTCGGCTCTGTATTTTCGGTCCTGGCACGAAACAGACTGCATTCTAGATGCGGCGGCCTAAACTGGGCCCGGAGACAGCCAGGCATAAGTCAAAACTGCTTAAGCAACTGCCCCATTTCGATCAGCTCGCTCTCGTCACTTTCTGCTACGCTCTCTATTAATTACGTAAGTACTGAAAAGATTTATTATCCAAATCCTCTACGTGGCGATGAAAATAAACACACTCAAGCGGACCCTGCTTCTGTCTGTGAGCATTGTGGCGATCGTCGTGGTGCTGATCCGGCTAGCGTCGGATTCGACGCCAGACCTGCACCAGGTGCTGAGCCCCGGAGTGCCCATGTCAGACTCATCGCAACAGGATCAACAGGGCAGTGGCCGAGGCCGGCGCGGGCCAGGACTCGGTCTTGCGGGGAAATCGAACTCAGAAGAGCTCGAGATTGCCCGCAAGCTAAACGAGCTGACCGAGAAGCTGCTGAACGAGCAGGACGTTCGTCTGAAGAAGCTGGAACAGGACAGGCAGAGACTAGAGAAACAGCTGAGCGAGCTACGCAGACCGGACCCGGAGGCGACTCTGCGCGAGCGTTTGGCATACATGTTCCCCTATGACCAGAACAGGAAGTTCCCTGCTTATATCTGGCAGTCGTGGAAGTACGGTCTGAACGACCCCAATTTCGGGCCCAAGTACAAAGAAGGAGAGGAGCAGTGGGCGTTGAAGAACCCGGGCTTTGTGCACGAGCTATTCAATGACGACACTTCGAACGCGCTTGTCCACTACTTATACATGCACATGCCGGAGGTGGTGAAGGCGTACGAGCTGCTCCCCCACATTGTGCTTAAGATGGATTTTTTCAGGTATTTGGTGCTCTTCGCAAAGGGAGGAGTTTATGCTGACGTTGACACGCAGCCGTTGCAGCCAGTTCCTAACTGGATACCGGAAAACGTGGACCCCTCGGAGATCGGGATGATCATCGGGATCCAGTCAGACCCAGACACGCCCGACTGGCGCAAGTTTTTCGCTAGGAGACTGCAATTCGCCAACTGGGTGATCCAGGCCAAACCGGGGCATCCCATCTTGCGTGAGATGATTGCTACGGTCACAGAAGAGACACTCAAACGGGCCAAGGAAGGAAAGCTGGACTTTGACGCCGCCAGCGACTTGTCGATCATGGAGTGGACTGGCGCAGGCGTCTGGACAGACGTCATTTTCAAATATTTTAACGACTACGTTCTCAGTGGAATTTTCTCCAAAGTCACCTGGAAGGATTTCACCAAGCTGGACGTGCCGAAACTCGTGTCGGACGTGCTGGTGCTGCCTATCACGTGTTTTTCGCCGGGAATTGGCAGAATGGGTGCCCACGACGCAGACCATCCTTTGGCATTTGTCAAACACTACTCCGAACATCTCTTTGGACAGTGAGGCCTGCTCCATTGACTTTCCGAAAAGAGTAATATTTTTGATACAGCGATTACGACTAAAACCAACTCCACACGGACCTGTCTGGTATAAAGCCTGCTGGACGCGCTCCGCTGCGCTATCATGAGACCCACCGAATTAGGAAAAGTCGAGGAACTGCAAAGCGACGGCTGTGAGGACCAGTTCTGCACTTGCCACGTCTGCGCGCTCCAAAACGCGTGTATGAGACACATCGCGAAAGTAAGTACACTCTCCGCACGACACTGACCGCCAGCTGTTTGTTGTTGGCCTGCTGCTGCCCCCGGTGCTCTTCGCCATTGTTGGTGCAAGGATGTACTGCTGGCTTTACGACGAGTGCACTCTTGGCGGTTCTGTACGCATGTCGCGGTCCAGCGACGACGAGAGCGGGTACGATGACAAGAGCGTGGTGTCTGACCCATTTGCGGACCCTGTGGACGGTTCTGTTGCCGGTGCCGACGTCGAGGCGCGCTGGGCTGCGCACTGCCGCGTGCAAGAGTGCATGTCCCGGTGGGCGGGCCGTGCCCTGACTGGCCTGTTTATACAGGGGTGTTTAGCAATGGTGGTTGCGCTTGCCCTGACACACAAGCGTTAAAAGGGGAGAAGTCGCTGACGGGTGTCTCAGATAGTGCACAGCCGTGATTTCCGTTTTGGGGTTGCAAAGGTGAATTATCAGACAACGGTAGCTAACGGGAAATTATATAAAGCGAGCGAGATGGGGACGGCAGAATACATACAGGATGGTTGATTTCAAAGCGTTTTTGATCAGCATTCACACGTTGTGCTTTGCACTGAACGTGCCGCCGATGCTGTGGCACATCCGCTCTCGCAACATCCCTGCGAGTGCCCTGTTTATCTACCTCGAGATTATGATGCTGGAGTACATTGTTGCGGCGGCGATATGGGGCGGCGACGACTACGCGGATGCGTGGGACGGCAGAGGCTGGTGCGACCTGACTGTCCGTGTGCAGCTCATGGCGCAGTTTGGCATCACCGGCTCCATTTTCTGCATTTTGCTCAATCTGATGATGATCTTGCTAGCTAACCGGTGGACCGAGTACTGGTTTAACAGCAAGCGCACCAAGACGGCTATTGAGCTGTTCAGCGTGGTCGGGTTCCCGCTTCTGATCGCCGTGTTTGTGTACTTTGCGCTCTACTTCAGATACGCCATCACGCAGTGCACAGGGTGCCGGCTGGTGTTCCTGAAGTACGGCATTTCAATGCTGCTATACTACTTCTGGCTGCTGCTGTGGGCGGTGCTCTGCTTTGTCACCGCGCTGGTGACCCTGGCTGTGTTTTTCGCCAAGAGAAAGAACACCAGAAACATCTTGCAGTGCACCAACTCGGGCTACTCGCTGCGCAGGTTTAGCAAGATGCTGATTTTCTGCTCGCTCGTGATCGGCGCCATGTTTCCGCTCAAGATCCTGTCGCTCGTGCTCAATATGAACGGCTGGCAGCCGCAGTTCAAGCCAGACATCAGCAGGAAGCTGTACTGGGACACGATTCTGCGGCTGCCGTATAACTCGTTCGACGACGCAGAACGGTGGATTCAGATTGCGATGTCGATGGTCGGCTTTGCGCTGTTTGGACTCGGTGAGGACGCCGTGTACATGTACGTTGACTGGCTGGAGTCGGTGCCTGGTGGCAGTCGGCTGGTGCAGAGGTGGCGTGCGTGGCGGGAGTCCAGAAAAGTCGTCAAGAAACAGAACTACGTCTCGAGAAACACCACGGCCAAAACGCAGTACAGCACAGACTCCGGCTCGTACAAGGAGTACGTGCAGGACTCGCCGGTCTCGAGCTGGGAACTGGACGACGTCAAGTCCGGCGGCCGCAGTCTCTACGACGATTACGTCAGCACGCCTTCGTCGCAGCTGACGACGCCGCACGACGAGGACATCCGGCGCGAGCTGCGGCAGGCGGAGTTGGACCTGCTGGACGAGGACATACGCCGCGATCTGCGCCGGATGGGGCTGGAATACACGGATATATAATTACTATTTCGATTGAGCTAAGACTACCTTACAAAGCAGGTTGAAAAAAAAAGCTAGGGCTTATTCAGACTCGGGGGGCTCCTCTCTCTTTGGGAATCTGACGACCTCGAGGCTGTTCTGGAAGAGAACCCAGGAGATGTATTTGGAGCCGTCCTCTCTCTCAACGAGGCTGTTGGACACGTCGGCTTCGACGTACACTCTGGCTCCCTTGCCGAGACGTTCGCTCATAAAGTTAGCCTGGTTCTCATTGAAACAGGCAATGTTGAACCACGAGGTGGTGTCGTTGTTTTTGGATCTCGAGTCGACCGCCAGCGAGTACCTGACGTACTCCTTGCCGGTGGACGTGGTGGCCTTGGTGACGTCGGACCCAATAGTGCCAATGAGGCTGATTTTGGCGAGCTGGGTTCTAGCGGTGCTAGAGAAAGTTCTGGCTTGCAATCTGAACATCTCCGGTTGAGTATAAAGTAAATTGGGCAAACAGAAGTTGGGAAACGCGCTTGCTTTACACAGAATATGAAAAATAAAATGGCTTTTACCAATTTCCCCAAAACGGTGGTCCGGGCCGGGTAACCTCTTGGGGTGCCACAAAAGGTGGAGTACACCAAATTATTTCTTTCTCGTTATGATTCGCATCGGCTTGAGACAGGTTCGATCGCTACACTGGTCCCGCAGAGTGCTCAAGCCGGCACTGTCGGCCACGGCCGGCTCCTCGCAGTCGTCGTGGCCCTCGGGCTTCCGGCTGCCCCGTCCTCGAACCTGGGAGGAGTCCAAGGAGGGAGCGCTTTCCAAAGCAACCAGGTGGTACCTGCTGGCGGAGATGTTCAGGGGCATGTACGTCGTGCTGGAGATGTACTTCCGCGCTCCGTACACCATATACTACCCGTTTGAGAAGGGAGCCATCTCGCCGCGGTTCAGAGGCGAGCATGCTCTGAGGCGGTATCCGTCTGGAGAGGAGCGGTGCATTGCGTGCAAGCTGTGCGAGGCCATCTGTCCTGCGCAGGCCATCACGATCGAAGCAGAGGAGCGTGCCGACGGGTCCAGAAGAACTTATAAATATGACATCGACATGACCAAGTGCATCTACTGCGGCTACTGTCAAGAGAGCTGTCCCGTGGATGCCATTGTCGAGACCCCGAACATTGAGTACTCCACAGAGACGCGAGAGGAGCTGCTGTATAACAAGGAAAAGCTGCTTTCCAACGGTGACAGGTGGGAGCAGGAGTACAAGTACGCTGCCGATGCAGATGCTCCGTACCGCTAACGTATTTATTTTATTTATTTATTGGAAAATTTAGTTTTTAGATATGTCTATTGTATCTCGAAAGGAGGTTTTTGGGGACAGCGAGTCTACCGCCGACGCTAGCCACGAGTACGCCTTTGATCCTGGGATCGAGTTTGAGATCGTTGATGTTGCCGATGTCGTGCCAGGGCCACAGCCAGAAGCTATAGAGACGTTTCCTCTGTTTTCTGGGGCAGCAGATGTCCAGGTCAGTTTGGAGGAAAAGGAGTATGTTTACGAGCTGGGGAAGGAAAACACCGAGCGGCCGCGGAGCTACTATTATGCAGAGTACTCTTCGCAGGAGAAGGCCGAGTTTCAGCAGGCTGCTGTCGACGGCCAGGAAATCGTTTCGCAGAGCAGAAATATTATACCCAGCAAATACAAGCTCGTTGTTTTGGACAGACAAGAGTATACACAGAGACCCGCAACGACAACGAAAAAAGCGAAAAGGACTCGTCCCAGCAGAAAGCAGCGTCTAGGCAGGATTGAGGCCGCCAAACGGCGTAAAGAGTTCAGACACAGGCTTCTGCAAATACAGCAACGGAGCAGGATCAAGAAGACTAGACGGGGCGGCAGGCGAGCCAGGAAAAACAGCAGACAGCCCGCGGGCATCGATTTAGCTATCTAACATTATCTAGAGACGCAACACTGTTCAGCATCATTCTCACTTCCAGGCACTCGGGGCCTCTGTCGCCGTCAAACGAGTCCAGCACGGCTTTTTCAATGAGATGTCTGATTTCTTCCTTGAGCTGTTTCAAGTTCCTGGCGATCGGGCCACCTCTTGTCACGATTTCCTTGAATTTTGGCTCCACTCCTATGGCTGTGTCTTTCCAAAAAAGAGTCCCCAACGAGCTACCAAACTGCAGCACAGAGTTCACCTTCTCGTAGATCGTGAGTGTACTTGCTTGCGTGTCCTGGGTGTTGTTTGCATTCTGCCATTTGTTGGACTTCATCACTCTCTCCAGCTGATTTACCAGCTTACCAGAAGCCGACACTTCAGCAAACACCCTGTCGAGGCTTTTCGTGTTGTTGAGGTTCTTGATGATCAGGTTGATGGCGGCCGCGATCTTGAGGCTCAGGAGCTGCTGCAGCTGATTGTAAAACGACTCCGACGACATGATCGAGAGCGCGTTAATCAGGTTGAGCATCGATTGCACGTCGTACGAGAGCGAGAGATTTTTGAGATGCGTGTTGCAAATGTCCATCACCCTTGCTGTCTGGAGCTGCTGAAACGGTTCGTAGTCCCGCACAAGCTTTAGCGATTTCAGAAACGGCGAGTCGGCAAGGTGAATCTTGACCTGATTCAGCAGTCTGGCCAGCGAGATGAGCGACTTGAATGGCATTTTGTTGAGCTCCTGGTCGGTCTTGTCGATTTCCTCTATGCGGGAGATCAGATATATGAAATATGTGGAGGACCGCAGCAGATTGGACGTCTGGTGTATTTTCCTCAGTGCAGAGTGCAAGTTGGAGGATTCGTTGTATGGTTGTAGAATTTCGGTTTCGAGCCGCGCGTATGACCCGTTGACCTGTTTCAGCGACGGCTTGGTTTGCTGTATGGTATTGTGCAGTTCTTCGGCCGTGTCGAGCTCTGAAATGAGGGTGGTGTAGTTTTCGCTGGCAATTTTCTGGAGCCGTTTTTCCACGTCTTTCAGGTCGAACTGGAGCCGTTTGATGGACGTCGTGAGGTCGAGGTTTGAGTCCTCCACGCTATTCGTCGACACCACAAGCTCATTGGCATATTTTAGCGGGTCGAAGTCTTCCAAATAAGCGGCATACTCAGACATTCGTGAAGAGACTAAAAAAATTAAAAAATAAAAGCAATTTCATATGGGATTCAAGTTCGGATTCGAGGACGACGAGCGAGATACGGCCGCCGCGAAAGACGCGTTTGACGTGGCTGAAGAAACTGTCGCTCCGCGGGTGCACGATATCAGCCATTTTCTGGAGCTGATGACCGGCACGCGGATCTCGTACGAGCATATTGACTTCCCAGGCTCGCTGGTTCGTCGTGAGTTTTTCGATGTGCGCCACCAGCTGATGAGCGAAGATGCAGAATCAGACGAGCTGCAGTTTCTGATAGGCTCGACCGCCGAAGACGTCCGGAACGGGGTTTACGAGGGAGGACTCAAGTCCTGGGAGTGCTGCTACGACCTGATGCACAGACTGCAAGAGGTCGACCTTTCTGGCTACAAAACGTTCCTGGAGCTAGGGTGCGGGACCAGTTTGCCGAGTTTGCTCGTTTTCCAGAGCCTGCTACAGCACAAGCAAACTCACGTCAATCTCATTCTTACAGACTTTAATTACGAGGTTCTGCGGCTGGTGACTGTTCCGAACCTATTTTTGACGTGGTGTCTCACAGCTCTTTCCAAGGACGAACTGGAGCGGCTTCAGCAGCGGCCAGACGTGGAAGGAAACGTCCGGGACGGCGAAATCGACGTCACCCCCGAGCTGGTAGCCAGGTTCAATAATGCGCTGCGGGAACAGCACGTCGCCATATCGCTTATCAGTGGATCCTGGGGCCGCCAGATGATGACCCAAATAGACGCACTGGCGCAGTCCCCCATGCTGATGGTTTCCTCAGAAACCATCTACTCTCCAGAGCACTTGCCAGTGGTGGCACAGATGGTGTCGGAGACAGTGCAGCGCGCGGGCTCTTTGGCACTCGTGGCGGCGAAGGACATATACTTCGGCGTGGGCGGGTCGCTCACGGAGTTCCTCGCGTGCCTCGAGAAAAAGCCGGTGCAATATTCTGTTGAGAAGATAAATGCTGGCCTGCAACGCAGCCTGGTTAGGGTGCACAAAAAAAAATAAACTAGATTTATTTTTTATCTACTAAATTTAGAAATCTTGTTTCAAACAGGAATTGACTGTTCAAATCGGCGTTTTCTTGCAATCCAAGCAAACCCTCTTTCTCCCGGCTCTGGTAAGATATTCATGCTTATGGCGTGATCCATTCTATGTCCAGCGATACTCCCACCCCGCAGGACACCATGTCCACCCAGCACTCCCTCGCCAACATGAACGGCGTTCGACGACCAAGAAATGTCAAGAACCTGCAGCTCGACCTGTCCAAAAACCAGACAAAATACCCGGTCCCTCTCACATACTCCTCCAACGGCAGCAAGCAGGTTCTGTCCCATTCTCCAGCAACCACCCCGCGGACCCCTAGACTCTATCGAACACCATCTCTCAACACTGTCCTTATGTCTTCAGCCAACTCCCCCACGCAGACAGCCAGCATCCAGCCCCCCACACGGTCGTTGACTCTCTCTATAAACTCCTCAAACGGCCACCAGAGCCAGAACACAGCACAGCCAACCCCCACGGTACAGCAGTCCCTCGAGTCCTCCGATTCGCTTGCATTCTCCTCGTCATCCACCATCGACTCCTCAGGTTCACTGTCTGCCGTGACAGAGGTGCCCTCGTACCAGCCGTCCAGCTGCGTGAAAGCTTATCCGGAAGGCCCTGTTTGCGTTCTGGAGCCGAACCTGTTTCTGTACTCTGAGCCGTCAATCACCCAACTGATCGACTTCGACGTCATCATCAACGTGGCCCAGGAGATCAAAGACTATACAGACCAGATCTCCAACAAAACTTCCATCTCAGGCCAGAATATCCAGTATTTTTACATTCCCTGGACTCACACGTCCAAACTGATGCCTGACTTCCCGAAACTCACAGAAATCATCGACAAGGCACTGGCAGAAAACAAACGTGTCCTGATCCACTGCCAATGCGGTGTCTCGCGCTCGGCTTCTTTAATCTTGGCATACCTGATGAAGCACAAAAAAATCGGCTACAACGACGCCTACAACATGCTAAAAGAAAAGGCTCCGCTGATTTCGCCGAACTTCAGTCTGATATACGAGGTCATGGAGTGGGGGCGCTATCTGGGTTATAGCTCTGCTGCTTCGTCCACTAATGATATGTAAAGTCTACGCTAATACAGTCGCGTCGATCGACGATATTTCCTACCACTAACGCAAATAATCCAATAAATCTTTTACTCAGATGTCTTCAGAGCAGGGCGTGAGTGCGGGTCCATCAGGGCCAGTTCTGCACGCAAATGATGAAACGCAGCACCCTGTAACACTGGAAGCCGCGGAAACAGAGTCTGGTCGGGTGGATGTACGGGAGGAAGCTCCGCCGCCCGTCAAGAAGGAAGAGCCGTTGCTGTCAGAGTCTGAGACCGACATTGATGAGTCGATCCCGCTGCCGTCCAACAGAACCAGAAGGCTGCATCGTCTCATGAGAAGAAGCTCGGAGGACAACGACTCGGACGATGAGCGAGGCTCCAAAAGACAGGTGCAGAAAAGGTCTGCGTCGCAGAGCTCGCGGTCTTCAGAGCGCAAGGTTAGCGGCAGAAGCGGGAAAGACGCCTCAGGAAGGTCGCTTTTGCAGCGACACTGTGCAAAAGGTCACTACGACGAGGCCAAACAGCTCATCGAGAACGGAGCAGACGTGAACGAGGCTGATTTTGCCGGCAACACGCCGCTCCACGAGGCCGCGCTGGAAGGCTATCTGGATGTTGTCGAGCTGCTGTTGGACAATGGAGCAGACATAAATGCGCAGTCGGCCCACATCGACAAGGACACTCCCTTGATTGACGCAGCCTCAAATTTGCACTACGATGTGGTGCGCACGCTGCTGGACCGGGGAGCGAATCCGTGTTTGGTGAATTCTCAGGGCGACTCTGCGCTGGACTCTGTAGAGCGAGATCGCGATCTGAACGATTTGGAGGAGGAAGAGCTTAACAAGGTCAAGAAGCTCAGAAAGCTTCTTGCTCAGGCCGCTCGAGAATACAAAAAGAGCCACACCAAGAGCCAGAGCTCAGGGCCAGGAACAGACTCAGAGAAAGAGGAGGTTTCCAAGCGGTCGAGCGCCGTGTTCTTTGATCCCTTCTCGAAGGAGGGCAGATCTGAGATCTACCACAAGGTTGCGGAAAACGACGTCACGTTTGTGCTGAACTACGTTTCGAACCTCGCCGGAAGCAAGATCTCTCCCGAACTGCTATGTCTGGCTGCGAAGCACGGCCATACTGACATAGCCAGTTTGCTTATTGCCTTTGGAGCCAAGGTGAACTACGTTGATAAGAGCGGAATGACGCCTCTGATGCATTCTGTGGGAAAGGACCATATTGACATGGTCAAGCTGCTTTTGGAAAACAAGGCGGATGTGTCGTTGATGGACAAACACGGCCGGACGGCGATTGACATACTACAAGAGAGCTACGAACCTGACGACGAGGAGATGAGGATTCTGATGGAGGCAAGCCAAAAGAGTTCCAAAAAACGGAAAGAGCGTGCTGAGACACCGGCGAATGAGCGGAGAAAGAGCGAGGTGAAGAAAATAAAACACAAGCCGTCTACAGACAGCGACACGTCGACACGATCTGCCTCTCAGACGCCGGCTGCTACGCGTGTTTCGACGCCTGTGAAACAGGAGCACAAACCAGAGCCCAAAACGGAACCGAAGACAGAGCCTAAACGGGAGGAGAAGCCTCTTGATCCTACTCCAGAGGAGCTGGAGGAAAGGAGAAAGCAGGAAGAGGAGGCACGTAAAGCGCGCGAGGCTCTCGAGTTACAGCGGCTGGAGAGAAAGAAGGCGCGCCAGCAGCAGATTGCTCGAACCATCGCAGAGCAGGAAAGACAGAGAAACGAAGAGCTGCGTGCTGCTGCCATGGCGGAAGAGAGAAGAAAACAGCAGGAGGAGCAGGAACGCGCCCGGAGGCTACAGGAGGAAGAGCAGCGTGCTCAGCAGGAAGCAGAGAAGCAGAACATGGAACGCAAGCAGTATATTCGCAGCTACTATCCGTACGGACTGAAGATTGCAAGGTTTGACGGTGACCGTACAGAGAGAGAGATATCGCAATATTTTCCGGTGTACGTGTACGAGGTGGGCGGTGAGAGCTATTTGGTCGATTTGCAGGCGATCTTGATACTGGGGACAGAGAAGTTCTACGACGAGAATAGTGAGATCGAGAAAAGGCCGCTCACTAGAGCAGAAAAAGCGCGTGTGTGGAATATCCTGTGGCCGATGATTGGCGTGTTTCTGAAAGGCGACAGTGTGCAGCTACAAGAGCTCAGAAAGATGTATGACCATGAGGAGAAGAATTTTGAGGAGTTGGTGCTCAACTGGATCAAACTGAGCGACTTTGACAAAATCCTGGAGAACTCAAAGTACGCCGTTGCCAAACAAGTCTCCGAGAAGTTTGCGCTCTGCAAAGTGTCGCCCGTGGAGCACACAGATCAGACTGTGACTTTACCAAAAAATGAGATAAGCGGACCTGTGACGGAGCGCCCGGTGCCTCTTCGTCTCGGGCCTAAAGCCAAAGCAGTCCTACAAACGTTCGACAGGAAACTGTGGTAATCAATTTAGTGTATAATAGTTTAATTTTATTGCTAATTTGCAATAACTAGCCTAACAACCACCCCACTCGAGGTTGGTCTCTGTCAATGAATAGGTTCTTGATTGATGGGGATGAAAAAGGTCTTATTTGGATTGAACTTGAGAGTATCCGCTGAATGGGTTGGCGTTCTTCGATTTCAGGTACTCGTCGGACATCTCTTGCCATTCTCTGTTCATGGTCTTTGGAATGTATCTCTTTGATCTGTAGTAGAAGAAACCAGCGGCGGTGACAGCAATACCAATGAAGGTACCCCAGAAAATGTATCTAACGTCTTCAGCAGAGTGGATAGGCTTTCTTGGGCCCCATTCACCGAACGAGACGTAGAAGGCAGCTTTTTTCTCCTCTGGGGTCAGCTGAGTCCATGGCAATTTTTGTCTCTCAGCAAGAGCTTCGATCACTTCCTTTCTGTCCTCTTCTGGAAGTTTCTCCCATCTAAGTTGTATGTTCGACACGGTGGCTTGTGAAAGTGCAGAGGCGTGTCTCACTTGCACCTTAGGAACAGTCTTCAATGCTTGTCTCAACATATTGTGTACCTAGAGAGTTAGTATATGAAAAACGGGGACCAGGTGAAAAAATCTTACCACCGCTTGCTGACATAACATGCTGTTTTTTGAGGATAAAAAATTGCAAAATCGTTGCACTCTCATTGGCTAGAACCGGCTTTGAGCAGAAACGGCTTTTAGATCGAGTTCTTCGCCTGCGTGGAGGCAGGCCTGACTAGTCGGAGCCCCTCTGCTATACCCCTGCAGTTCTTGTCTTGTGTTCGCTGATGTCAAATGGAACGTCAAAGTGACCCGTAGCTGACGCACATATGACCGCGCCTATATGCTAGCTACCATGCCCTGTGGAAAGCAGCATCGTCCCAATTGATTGCGGTATATTCATTCTCCACAAATACGTGTGCAATCCTTTATGTCGCTAGTTTTGCAATAAAAAACCTCCTGAAAAAGCCTTGTAAAATCTTTCCATTGACAACGTCCCCATTGCAATTCCTACTCACCCTTTGTATCCTGACTTCTGGTGTATTCCAATAAAGAATCCAGCGGTCGATAAACTTCTATAGAATTTGTTTATTAGACACACCAAAGTATGGAAAATTTATCCTTGAGCTTCTGCCACTCTCAAGTACGGCCCTACGCTCACCAAACATTGGATTTTTATTGGAGAACACGATAAACTGGTGATTTCCTCATGTTCGACTATACACCCGTACACCGCCTAGTTCGAGATCTTCTCTCTCAACTGAGTCAGGAACTCTTTGTAGCTCAAGTTTGCGCTCACTCTATCCTCAACGAGCTCGGACATGCTCCACATTCTGAGCGGAATGATGTCTCTGTTGGTATTCATCATGTTCTCGTTGGTCGAAGGGCCTCTCACAACGTACAGGTTCAAGTACTCGATAGAGCCCTCGTTCTCTCTGACCTTGTTGATAATGTTTCTCACACGGATGTTGAACTCGTTGTCCAGCTCTGGAAGCTCAGCCTTGCCAATTGGCACCTCGTTGATCGATTCCACACCAAACACGTCGTTCACCAGCTGAGGAACAGCGTCTCCTCCAATGTACAGGAACAACTCAGAAGTGTTGTTGATCAGATACAGGCCGTACTTCTCAAAATTCGTAATGGTAGCATTGATGGCCTCTGGAAGAACAATCTCGCCACGCTTCTTGGGAGGAATGTCGTATGGGTCGTCCTCACCGTCATATGGCAGTCCGCAGTCGTCCGTCATGGAATGCAACGCGTACACGGTTGGGTAGATGTAGTTGATCAGGCTAGGCAGGGGCAACGTGGCTAGTCGGTTCAGAGCAGCGGAACGGTGGTCAGAAGGAACCTTACCCGTTCTGAACGCAATGTGCTTGGTGAGCGATTGCAACAACAGCGGCAGCATTCTTAGGTTGGTGCAGAGCTGCAATGGGGACGAAGATCCAAGATTGCCAGGAACAATTTCTTTCTTGTAGACACTGAGGATATCCACCAACACCTTGTTCAAGTAATCTCTAGCGTCGTTCAAGGAAGAGGACAGCGTCTTCTCAATGGCTTTATGCGTGAAGTAGTTGGTAATGGCCAGTTGGTCAGCGGAAGCATAAACGTCGGTGAGATCCTTGGACGTTGGAATGCCCAAAGTGAGCACTCTTATTCTTCTCTCTCCGAAACATGTAGTATGCAGAACGGCACATTGGAAGAAAACGTATGGCTTGGATATGTACTCGTCAATTGCAACTTCAATGACATACGATTGGTCTCTTGGGAAAGTTGGGAACGAGCATAAGTCCGAGGATCTGTTGAAAAAGTTTCCAAAGAAAGCGTTCATTCTCAGTCCGCTGGAGCCTCTCACTCTCAGGACAGCCTCCAAAGCAATGTCCATGGAGAGGTGATTAGACACCTCTTTTGTGAGCTTAGTAATATCTTCCACTCTGTTGGCGGACCATGCTGGATAGAAGTGAGTCTGACCTGCTGTGTACCTTGGAAGGTTCGAAAGGGTTGCAACATCTTGATAATTGGAGCCCGTCAAGAACATGTCGACAGTCACCTGGGACTTGTTACATTCCACGGCGAACGACTTGTAGAACGAGTTGTTAGAGGTCAAAAGTGCTGATGCCTCCTTTGGTTTACCGCTGACAGCGTTCTCATCTCTTATTGCTAGTTTTCCAACACTCATGTTTGGAAGAGCAGATGTGAAAGTAATAATCTTACCGCCGATCTGAGAAATCAGCTTGTGTGCGGACTTGAGAGCAGGTCCCAGTGCCGATCCAGTATTTTGGTTGTTGGCAAAGAAGTCAACAAAGTTGTTGAGCAGTTTCTCAACGTTCTTTCTGCAATCTTTCAAGTTCACCAGCAAATTATCTGGAGAAGGTATCAGAACGTCGTCAAGATCGGAAACAATCATCATTGAGGCTTCTTTATCTTCCTGGTCGTCACTTGGGATGGTGAAGAAAGAAATACTGGAGTCAACACCCAGGAACGCAACTCTAGCTCTTCCGTTTTCGTTCGGAATTCTATCGAGAGTGTCTAGAATGGTTCGGGTGACAGTCGCCAGTAAACCATTTTGAATAGAGGCATAGGAGACGTCAAGAACAAAAACGTAAACGAGCGGCTGTGGTGGTCTCACCATATACTCGGAAGGAGCCACGAACTCTACCATTCCGTAGTTGAGCTCGTTTCTCTCCAACCTGTTCAATGGCGTGGAGTTCATTCTATCGTAGTCGAACCCACCGGGGACGTCGTTCAAGAGCGAGCAGAAGTTACATCTCCATCTTCTTCCCTGTTCTGTGAACTGGATAAACGGATTGATATACGATCTGCATCTGCGACATCTCGAGATGATGGTATCGCTGACAACAGGAACAGGTCTCTCGGAGTCATGCAGCGAGACGTATGGTCTCACCACCAGGGCAAATGGCAACTTGGATTTCTTCAGCAAGGAACTGGTGCTTGGAACAACGTTCAAAGTTGATCTGAAGTACTCTGGAGAACAGTTTGCCTCTGGGTTGCCATTGACGGACGTGCCTGGTGCCAGAATCATCGGTGGAGGCGGAAACTGCAGGTCAGCAATGGGTGGAGGAGTTTCTTTGAGCAGATCTGTGGAGTAAAGCTGGTTCAATGGCAGTGCTGCTTGCGCTGGCTGGGCCGGTGATTGGTACGAAGGCTGCGGATATGCGGGGTTTTGCAATGGTGCTGCGCCCACATCCTGGCCATAGACACCTGTTGGAGCCGTCTGAGGATACGCTGGCATGTTTGGTGCCTGGGGCTGTTGGGCATCGAGGTTGATTCCTGCAACACCCTGTGCCAGTTGGTTGACCGGTGCAGCCGCCTGTGGAGAGGAATACAGCCCCTGGTTAGCCTGAGGCTGCTGTGGCTGCGATGGTATACCGTATGCAGCCGACGGGTCTGGGGCCTGGTACATTGGCTGTGGATATGCTCTTCTTCTGTTGGACATGGTGGAAGGTTTTGGAAGGCGATGATTTTATGGTCTGAGAGCGCAATTCGGTTCTGGAAATTCGTACGAGTGGTGACTCCGCTGGGTTCGGCTAAAATCTGCCGGTTGGATTGTTCGATTGCAGCTCGTTTAATATAACACGCTCCAGAGATTCGCAGAGAACAAAACAAAACATCTTTTTTTCATGAAATGCTATCCAAATCACCACTCGGACTTTGGCAATTGTACACGACCATAGGTGGCAACAAAATACATTAGAATTACACCAGCCACATCGGCGCATATGTGGCTCAGTTCAGTCTTAGCTGGAATAGAGTCTCGAATTGACCCCGCATGGCCTTCAGAGAGTCCAGTAGGCGATCCAGATCCGCCTTTGAGAGGTTTTTCCAGTCATACCTGGCCAGCGTTCCTGCTACAAGTGCAACAAGCATCTTTAGCAGATGATACAGCTGAATCAGAGTATACTGGATTTGAGGCACCAATTCCGACAGTCCGGGCTTGTTGTTGTATAGATGGATCGCGACAGCAACAACGGCAAGAAATAGCACCAGCTTTATGGCACTGACGAGCGTTCTGTAAATCATTCTGGCCATTCTGAGCACCAATTTAGCACCCACGTACAGAACGAGAACGCACATGAATAGCGACCAAATTTCGGGATAGGCTTGCTTGAACCGCGAAATGTAGCCTGATGCGGTCACCACTGCGGCCCTGAGCGAGGCCAGCACCATGCTCACAGTGAGGTCGTAGTCGGAGCTCATGATGAGAACAATTATGTTTACGATTCGTAGGTGTAAGGGTTACCCCTAATCGATAAATAATTATCTAGGGGCAAAGATTTTACTTTCCAGTTGATTTCTTCTTTCGCCATGGCTTCAGCACAAGAAATACTGTCTTTGTACAGGCAATTTTTAAGATACTCGCGCAAGTTTGAGAACTACAATTTCAGGGAGTACTTTTTGAGAAGAAGCAGGGAAGAATTCCGCAAACTGAAGGACTTCGACGGTGACACCTCGGCCCTTATAGAAAAGGCGAAAAAAGAGCTCGGAGTTCTCAGAAGACAGTCTACGATCTCGCAAATGTACCACTTCGACAAGCTGGTGGTGGAAAAGGTGAAGAACCACTGATTTATGGTGTTGATACATCTAATACAGTCTATTCTAGTTGGGCAGCAACCTCTAAAACCGACTTGCTGAGTCTGGCGGCGGCCTCGACCAGCAGGTCGGTGCTCCCGGTGTAACAGATGGCCATCCGAACGAAGTTGGTGCGGTCCTTGGAGAACTCATAGTTGACAGCCATGGCGCCTCCATAGACAACGCCCACTCCGTTCACCGCGCACCTTGCCTTGAGAAGCTCGGTGCCTTTTTCCAGATTTTCCTTGCCAAAGTCGATGATGCTGGAGACGAACATGCCGCACTCCGGATCCATGACTTTCAAGTAACCCTTTTTAGCGGCCTCTGTATCTAGAAGAGCTTTAACGAAGGCATTTTTCCGAACGAGATACTCGTTTCTGACCTTGATAATCCACTTGAGCCAGCCGTCCAGGCCGCCCATGTGGCGGATCGTGTCGTTGACCAGAATCTGCGAGATTCCGCTCGGGGCCCGGGAGCTGAGATCCGAGTACTGGGTGCAGCTCTGGATCACCCGTTTGTGGCCCGCCAGGAACCCGAGCCGCAGACCCGGGGCGAACACCTTGGAGAAGGTCTCCGTTCTGATGACTCTTCCGGTGGTGTCCAGGTTGATGTAGGAGCCATGCAGAGAGTCGACAAACTCCTCTGGAGTGAGGTCGAACCTTGGAGTCTCCGAAACTTTTTGGAAGTTGAGATAGGCATACGGCTCGTCTTCCAGAATGACGAAATCGTGTTCCTCAGCAAGCTGAAGAATCTTTTTTTTGTGCTCAGTGGTCTGAGCAACGCCTAGCGGGTTCTGGCCCGTTGGGATAGTGTACAATAATTTTGGCTTCTTTTTGCCGGGGTGCAGGGTGTCCCAGTTCTCAAGCACCTCCTTCAGGTTGGCAGAAAAATCAAACGTCTTGTCAGGCCCGAAGTCCAGCTTCACTGGCACCGTGTGGACGCCGAGGTTGTTCAAGGAGTTGAGGATCGGAATAAACGTGAACTCCTCCAGCAGCATCGAGTCACCCTTGCTCAGAAAAGAGTCGAACACCTTGTCGATTCCGTTGGAGCCTCCGCACGTGAGCATTGTCGACCACTCGTCGTAGCCCGGTCTCCACACCTTTTCAACAAAATCCCGCGTAAAGTCCACCAGACACTTGGTGCCGTTGGTGAAGCCGTACTGCAATCCGGTTTTCAGGTCGATCTCCGACGGATCGGACGCGACCTGCGAGACCAGGAATGACGAGTCAGGCTGTGGCTCGTGAGCCACAGCGGTCTCCTCGTGATACCCGTCCTCAAAAGGCTTCTCAGCAATGCCAATTCGGATGCTCTTGACAGGGAAGAAGTCGTGGTTCGGCATGCCCCCAACCAGGCTGATAGGAGCAGGGTGCGGCTCCTCGCCTTCGGGAAGCTTGGCAGAGCTCCAAAAATGGCGAGTGACGCGCGCCTTGGCGCGCTCGGACATGAGATTCTCGTGTTGATAGGACATGGTGGCAAAATAAAAGATAACAAACTAAGCAGCCGTGTGACGCTTTTACTATCTAATGCGGTGCGAGGGTGGGCGCACTCAGTAGCTCAAAAATTTGCCACGATAAATGTTTTTTTTTCCACTTTTAGACAATGTCGTCGTTTTGAAGGATCAGAACGGTAGCATTGACTCCAACGCTTAATGCCTTCGCGTGGACCGGTCGATGGTCTGTGTGAACACTTTTGTGTTGGGAAAGCAAAACCGACAAACGTCGGTTAGGATTACTCCACCCTGGTCAGACTTTCCCGTGTCTGGTGAGGACTAAATCACCTTCCTAAATTCTTTAAATAACGAGCAAGTGCTATTAATCTACTGTATACACTGGTACAAGCTTTTGAGGTATCTAGCGGCGACTAGTTTTTGGCGGCTCCAACAACACCGCCAACCACGGCTCCGACAATGATGCAAATGATCAACACGCAGACCCAGAAAATGATCCACTTGAGTTTTCTGCCCTTGCGGGCGTGGTCTCTGGCCTTGACGACGTTGGCGTCACCTCTCTCGAGGTGATCCTGGGCCACAGCCACGTTATCGTTGATGTTATCGAACATCACGTCCTGCTCAAAGACAAGCTCCTGCAGATCGCCAAACAGCTGGTTCAGCTCGGCAGCAAGTCGCTCGGTTCTCTCCACCTCCATGTGCCTGGCCTGCACCTCCTGCAGAACCGTCATCGCCTCGCCTTTCCTGTTCGACATCCTAATGGCGTTGTCGAACACCTGCTGGTCGCCAACCGTGTATACGAACTCGGCGGCCTCGTCGTACGTAGCATCTGGATTGACAATCTTGTACTGGTTGATGGCTTTCTGCTTGTTGGCCTGGTTGTATCTGTCTTCGATTTTGGCCAGCTTTGTGATCAAGGCTCTGAACTGGGCGGTCAAATTCTCGGCCTGTTTCTGCTTGTCGGTGTCGGACCCGCACTCCTTGTACAACGCCTGCAATTTCGGCTTGATGGTGTTTTTCTGGAGGTCAGAGAGCGTATTATTGTTATTGTCAATTTGTCTCTGGAAAGACGCCATCTCCTCGGATCCAATCGCGTTTAATGAGTCCAGTTGCAGCTTTTCGAGTCTGTCAATCAACGTGCTGTAGTCTGAAAGGTCGTCCTTGATGTCCTGGACGAGCGTGAAGAACTGGTTCGTGCCGGTCATTTCGTACGCCGAGTTCTCGGCGTAGGGGTTCCCTTGGCCGGCAGCGTACGGGTTATCAATCTAGAACGTTAGCGCCCACACTAAGCCGCCCATCTTCGGCCATTGGCCATACCTACCGTGCTCATTGTTCTGGTCTAGTGCTTTATTTCCAGGCGGAACAAAAAATAATTATCAAAAGAATTGTGCCAGACTATACTTTTTGCCAGACCGCGGTGCGAGGGTGGATGGCGCTCCTGCGAAAGGGACAGGGCATGGGGCCGTCCTGGCAGGTCGGGGGTAGGGCAACCTGCCCGTTCGCTTTTTCTGCTCAGGGCCTCTTCTCGTGTGGTGCTGCGCTTTCCCTCCCTGGTGCCCCAGAGCCGTTTGGAGCTGGCGTTTTCGCTCTTGGAGGCTTTTTTTGCACAGCCTTGTTTCTTGACATGAAAAATAAAAAAAATGGTACTCGGGTGATTTTCTGCATATGCCTTCGTCGTCGGGTTTGCCGCAGAAAAGAGCCTCTGAAGCAGTCGCGTCTGCTGGAAAGCGCCAGATCAGTATCAAGCAGACGCCTGAGGAGGAGGCCAGAGCTAAGGACTATTTCCAGTCGCATATATTTGATGATCGTTTCAAACAAGACCTTAAGAAGCAGATCGCAGATTCACAGCCGTATCGATGGGGCACAATCCAAAACCTGATTGACGATGACCTCTTGCGCAGCGTGCGCAAGGAAATCATTTCTGAGATCAGCTTCAAGAAGAAAGAAACAGATATATACAAAGTGTTCCAGAGCGGTGATCTCGCAAATCTCTCGGGTATGACCAAGCAGGACCTTGAACGGCTGCCCAGTCTCTACAAGCTGCGCTCAGCCATCTACTCGCAGACTTTCCGTGACTACGTATCGTATGTGACGGGATGTGGCAAGCTCAGCGGAGTGAAGACGGATATGAGCATCAACACGTACTCGAAGGGCTGCCACTTGCTCACGCACGATGATGTGATCGGCTCACGAAGGGTCAGTTTTATTCTGTACATGCCAGAGCCGGGAAAAACGTGGAAACCCCATTATGGTGGCTCGTTGAGACTGTTTGACTCTGTCGTGCCAAACGTGCCAAGATCAGACTACTACTGCAAGCTGACACCGCAATTCAACCAAATAGCATTTTTCACTGTGCAGCCGGGACTCTCTTTCCACGATGTCGAGGAGGTGCGGGTGGACAAGCAGCGGCTCTCGATCCAAGGATGGTTCCATATTCCCCAGGCTGGCGAGGACGGGTATATCCCCGGGGAGCAGGAGCGCACAGAGGCCAAGTCGACACTTCAGCAGCTTGAGTCGAAGGAGCTCAAGGAGTACGACTTCCCGAAAATACAGTACAATGAGCTGCCTCCGTTGGAAACCCAGGAACTGGTCACTCTCGTTGGAAAGGAGTCGGATTATCTCACCGCATTGGATCTCGAATATTTGCGAAAATACATGAATCCATCGCTGCTGACCGCTGCTTCGATTGAGCGTCTAAATAGCATTTTTGCCGAGGAGTCTGTGGTGGACGTGCACGCGTTTCTGAGCGAGGAATATTTAGGCGACCTGAAGAAACAAATGAAACAGCTCGAGCTGAACGAATACCCAGAAATGCCCCAAAAACAAAATCAGGTGGTCTTTCCATGGAAACTCGCCGTGCCTCCGCACAAACAGAGATACTGCTACATCGACGGGTTGCAGAAACAAAATATTGATAACGCAGAGAGCATAGCGCAGATAAACCAGGTCAGGTCCATGGAGCTGCCGAACTTCGAGCTCACGAAAAACATATTTGAGCTCCTGAAGCCAGAAGCGGCTCGGGAGCTGGAAGAGGCGCGGAAGAACAACCCCTCGCTAACGAGTATCCACGACGTCTCCATTCGCCTGTGCGAGCTGGCATCCTTCTTCAAAAGTGTGAGCTTCAAAAAGTGGCTGATGGCGGTGACAGGACTGCGCCCAACGCACGACCAGATCCTTGCGCGCCGGTTCCGTCCTGGCCACGACTTTACGCTGGCGTCCAAACTGGACCTAGCTACAGACGACAGGCTTCTGGATGGCCTTTTGGAGGCCACGCTGAACTTGACGCCATCTTCCGGTTGGGATAGCGGCGAATTTGGTGGATACGAGCTCTGCATGGGCACAGACGAGCCAGAAGCCGAAGAGGCTGCCGAGGAAGGTTTGAATGAGGACGAGGCTGCCATCTACAAGGCGTCGGGGGACGATTCGGTTGTCCACGAGTCGCAGGCCAGCTGGAACAAATTGAGCCTGATGTACAGAGATTCGTCTGTGCTGAAGTTTGTGAAGTACGTGAGTTTCAACGCTCCGGGCTCCAGGTGGGACGTGAGCTGCGGATGGCTCTGCGCTAAGGACGAGACAGATGAGTCCGGGTAATAGACTAATTTTTGATAATGGACCTTTTTTGGATTTTTTTTGGATTTTTTTAAATTTTTTGTAATCGTGAGTCTTGTTTGTTCTTTGTATGAACAGATTGATAAATCAAACTGCCAGGAACTGTTTGATTTTCTACAAGAACAAGACTAACTTGCTTAGACCCGTCCGTTTAGTTTCTTCGCAACTTGCAAGACCAATGATGACTTCTGCTGTGGATACTCTTTCGTCCAAGCTCGATTCGCTGAAACTGCAGGCTCCTCCTGCCATCCAGGGTTCATTCCCGGACTACAACACCGTGGACCTGTGCAGAAACTACATTGCCAACCAGCTGTCTGAACTGACCGGAGTTGACGCCTCGATCGCATACCAGAGTTTGGAGTGGTCCCTTGTTCTGGAGAACGGAGACCTTATCGTTCCTCTTCCTCGTTTGAGATTGAAGGGCGATCTCGTTGCGCTGGCCAAAGAGCTTGCTGACAAGTTCCCCCTTGGCGGCTATCTTAAGAAAGTGCATCCTGAGGGCAAGTTCCTGCAGTTCTTCTTCAACCCAGAGTTTTTACTGAAATACGTGGTCAAGGATGTTCTTGAACGCAAACAGGACTTTGGCTCTTGTCCGCTGGGAAAGGGCAAGCGTGTTGTGATTGAGTTTTCTTCGCCAAATATTGCCAAGCCGTTCCACGCCGGCCATCTGCGCTCGACCATTATTGGTGGTTTTCTGTCCAACCTGTACGAAAAGCTCGGCTGGGAGGTCATAAGAATGAACTACCTAGGAGACTGGGGGAAACAGTTTGGTCTGCTTGCTATTGGATTCGAGAAATACGGCTCCGAGGCCGAACTGGAGTCCAACCCTATTCAGCATCTGTTCGACGTCTATGTCAGAATCAACCAGGACGTGAAGGCCGAAGAGGAGCAGGCTGAGAAGACGGGGGTCCCCCTCGACGAGGCCAGCTCTGTGGACGGCGCTGCACGTGCTTTTTTCAAGAGAATGGAGCAGGGAGACAAGCAAGCTTTGGGACTCTGGGAGAAGTTCCGTGCGTTGTCAATCGAGAAATATATCGATACATATGCTCGGCTGAACATCAAATACGATGTTTATTCTGGTGAGTCGCAAGTGAGCCAGGAGTTGATGGATCGAGTGCAGAGAGAGCTCCAGGAGAAGAATCTTGTGACAGAAGATAGGGGCGCTCTGTTGATTGACTTTAAGCAGCTGGGCGAGAAGAAGCTGGGGAAAGTGCTCGTTCAAAAGAGCGACGGAACATCGCTGTATATCACACGTGACCTGGGGGCGGCCATCGAGCGTAAGGAGAAGTACCACTTTGACAAGATGATCTATGTGATTGCATCGCAGCAAGACTTACACGTGAGACAGTTTTTCCGTATTTTGGAGAAAATGGGATACAGCTGGGCCAAGGACGAGCTGCTGCACGTGAACTTCGGCCTGGTGTTGGGAATGAGCACCAGAAAGGGAACCGTCGTGTTTTTGGACGATATTCTGGAGACAGTGAAGAGTGCCACTTTGGAGATCATGCAGAAGAACGCCGAGAAGTTCACGCTGGTGGAGGACCCAGAGGCTGTGGCTGACCTCGTTGGCATCTCTGCAGTGATGATCCAGGACATGCAGGGCAAGAGAAACAACAACTACGAGTTCAGCTGGGACAGAATGCTTTCTACCGAAGGAGATACAGGCCCTTACTTGCAGTATGCCCACTCGCGACTGAGGTCGATTGAGAGAAACTGTAATGTTGCGGAGCAGAAACTGCTCGACGCCGACCTTTCCATCGAGAATCTCGTTGGCACAGAGGAGCAGGTCAAACAATTAGGACTGGAGCCAGCGGAGCAGGCAAAGAAACTCGAGATGTTGGCCACTCAGCGCGAGAAAGTGGAGTCGCTGGCGCGCATTCTTGTGTCGTACCCGGACATTCTTCGGTATGCGTCGAAGAATCACGAGCCGTCCACGCTGGTCACGTACCTGTTCAAGCTGACGCACCAGTTCTCGTCGACGTACAAGGTGCTACGTGTGATGGGCGAGAAGGAGCAGGTTTTGGAGGCCCGGTTGGCATTGTTCAGCTCTGTTAGACAGGTGCTGAACAACGGGCTCAGGGTGTTGGGCATCACGCCGGTTGACCGAATGTGAATTAATAATCAGAAAATAGAGTGGTAGCAAAAAATAAAATAAAAAATGATCAAATTAGGTCAACTTTAGCGTGGATGAACATATCCTTTCTGTAATTGCCGAACCTTTCGAATTTACCATACCCATTGAATGACTTTCGACACTATTGAGGACGCCCTGGAAGCATACAGGAACGGCGAGTTTCTTGTCGTGATGGACGACGAGGACCGTGAGAACGAGGGAGACTTGGTCATCGCGGCAGAGAAGATGACGCAGGAAAAAATGGCCTTTCTGGTCAAGCACTCGTCGGGCTACGTGTGCGCGCCGCTGAGCACGGAGCGTGCGGACGCGCTCGACTTGCAGCCTATGGTGCCGCATAACACGGACCGCCATGGCACGGCATACACTATTACTGTGGACTACGGCGAGGGCACCACGACGGGGATCAGCGCGCACGACAGGGCGTTGACTGTGCGGCAGCTGGCGAACCCGGCCTCGAAGCCGGCGGATTTTCTGCGTCCTGGGCACATCTGCCCGCTGCGCGCACGGCCCGGTCTGCTGAGAGAAAGAGTCGGCCACACCGAGGCTGCCGTGCAACTGTGTGTTCTGAGCGGTCTGCAGCCGGCGGGAGCCATCTGCGAACTGGTCAACGCGGACGACGGGCTGATGATGCGGTTGCCCGAGTGCACGAAATTTGCTCAGGAGCACGGACTGAAAATAATATGTATCAAGCACCTTGTGGAGTACATGGATGAGAAAAAAATCTACTAAAAATAATGAATAGACTATTTGGAACCCGTAACAATTTGCCCAAGGCGACGCTGGGCGACGCGATTAGCAGCATCGACGAGCGCGCGGCGTCGCTGGACGTGAAGATCTCCAAGCTGAACGCCGAGCTCGCGACGTACCAGCAGAAAATGGCCAAGATGCGCGACGGGCCGGGCAAGACGGCCGTCAAGCAGCGCGCGCTCAAGGTGCTGAAACAGCGCAAGCAGCTGGAGGCGCAGAAAGACCAGCTCGACGCTCAGAGCTGGAACATCTCGCAGGCGCAGATGACAACCGAAAACCTGAGAAACACCATGATCACCGTGGACGCCCTCAAGAGCAGCAACAAGGAGCTCAAGCGCACCTACGGCAAGATCGACATCGACAAGATCGAGGCGCTGCAGGACGAGATGCTCGACCTGATCGACCAGAGCAACGAGCTGCAGGACTCGCTTGCCCGCAGCTACGACGTGCCGGACGACATCTCGGAGAGCGAGCTCGACGCAGAGCTAGAGGCCCTGGGCGACGAGGTGGCCGAGGACGAGACCCCGGCGTACCTGGAGATGCCTACGTTTGTGGACGAGCCCGCCGAGCCCGAGCAGGAGGAGGCGGCCAAGGAGGGCGAGCTGGTGCAGTGATCGAGCTATATACGCTATGCTGTGCGCTGCAGCGCCATGAGATAGTTGCCCGTGTCGGGCAATCCGGTGAACACCCAGCCCCGGAGCGGGAGGTATGTGCATCCTCTGGCGTCGACGACGCGGAACTGCGTTCCGTCCACAAACTCGGCGATCTCGCGCCGGTCGATGTACTTGGAGTACGTGTGCGTTCCGACGGGCACGATGCGCAGCACGTACTCGCCAAAGACGATCGTCGTGAGCCACGAGACGAGGTCTCTATTGATGGTGGATAGAAACAAAAACCCGTCCTGCTTGACGTGCTGCATCGCCGTCTGCAGCACGAGCGCGGGGTACTCGACGTGCTCGAGCATTTCCATCATGGTGACGACGTCGTATTGGTCGTCTTTGTCGAGCTGCTCTATGGATCTTAATTGATAGTCGATTTTGTCAGTAATTGCCGGGTCGAGCGCCTTGTGCTCGTTGGCGACGCGGACCACCTCCGGGCTGAGGTCAATGCCCCGCACAGATGCCACCATGGGCAGCCGGGCAAGCGATTCGGACAAGATGCCGCCGCCGCAGCCGATGTCGAGACACGAGAGCCGCAGCTTGCTGAGCTCCTGTGCGATGCGTCTGTCGATTTCTGTCTGTATTGACTGCGCGACAGGGCCCGGCAGCACGTTGTGGTGGTTCCAGCCGGGCACAAACGTCTTGTGTTCGCCGGGCACGCCGGCGTTGATATTGACATGTCTGCGCAGGGTCTCGTTGATGAAGTCCATGCGGACGAGGTTCATCTTGTGCAGGATGCGCTGTGGACCGGTGGTGTCCCACCAGGACGCGGCGAGATTGTTGAAATGGGATTTTTCGGCCTCGGAAATGGCCGTTGACAGTCTTCTGAGAAACATAGATAGTTTATTTTATTTTACTTTATTTTATTTTATTTTATTTTTTCTTTAATTATTTATGTCTTCTTCCGAGGAGGAGTTTGAGAGTCTGATTGCGACGCGCGAGCGGCGCGCGAACGCAGGGTCGCGGCTGAAGAAGCTGCTGGAGGCCGAGGAGGACGAAGTGCTGGGCGAAGAAGACGAAAACGTGCAGCTGCTGTTTGCGGAAGAGGGTGAGGACAACGAGTGGAGCGACGAGAGCGACGAAAGCGAGGAGGAGCAAGAGGAAGAGGAGCAAGAGGAAGAGGAGCAAGAGGGCGGCGGGGCCGAGGAGGACGCAGAGTCGGGGTCGCCGGAGGCAAACTCAGACGAGATGCTGTCGTCGTCGGAGCTGTCTGCGTCAGACACTGACGAGAGCGAGGGCGAGCGCGAGTTGCAGAGGGAACAGAAGCGGCGCAGGAAAAAGGTGGAGATCCCGCCGATCCGGAGGAAGCCCACTGCGACGGCCCCTCGCAAGCGGCGCAAGGTCGACTTGGAGACGGGCGACAGACGACTTTCGACCAGGGCCACCACGGCGCAGAATACACAGGCTATCCAGGAAAAGCTGGTCAGGATGAAGGAGCGACAGTCGCACACGAAGACGCGCGTGCGGGAGGAGTACGTGGAGAAGACGCTGGAGGAGAATCTGGAGGAGGCAAAGGTGACAGAGGAAATGAACACGCAGTCGTTGAACCTGTTTTTCCAGCAGGAGGTCGAGAAGAAGAAGAAACAGCGTGACCTGATGAACAGCAAGCGGTTCCGGCTGCTGGAATACGTCTCTTTCCAGAGTATTGCCAAGTTGGTGACGCCGCAGGACGAGCTGGACCGGATCAGGGAGGAGAAGGAGCGAGAGGAGCTGGCGCGGCGAACTACAAAAAGGCGCGGCCGGAGACGTAAGAGCGAGATCGAGCGTGCGCGGCTCGAGGCAGAGAGGCAGCAGCAGCAGCAGCAGGAAGAGGCGAAGCAGGAGAAGCAGGAAGAAGTGCAGCAGGAGCAGCAGGAGGTGCGGGACGAGATGAACATCGTCAAGGAGGAGACAAAGGACATCAACGCGGACACGAACGAGACGGCGACTGAGAGGACGGAAGAGACGAAGCATGACGCCGAGGACGCCGAGGACGCCGTGGAGGAGGCTGTGGAGGAAGCTGAGGCCGAGACCGAGAACGTGCCGGTCGAAGGCCCCCCACAAAAGGTGGCTGTGCAATTCATCGAGTCGCACCTGCGCAAGGACATCACCCGCCTGGAGCTCAAGGCGATCCTGTTCGGCCCGCAGTCGATCGTCCCGGGCCCGCACCGCGACCCGCACGCGCAGACCATCTACACGATCAAGCGCGACTTCCAGAAAGAGCTGGATCTCAGGAAGGTCACCAAGGAGCGCGACGCCGTGTACGAGAAGCTGCTGCAGCTGCCCAAGTTTGGCGAAACGTACCACACGGTCGAGGACCTGGGCGTGGCCAAGCAGACCGACGAGCACGTGATCAGCATCACGACACCGGCGCCGCTGGGCATCTACCTGCCCAACGGGGCGAAGAAGCAGTGCCCGATCAACGGCGAGGACGCGATGTACTACGACCCCTCGAACGGGGTGCCGTACAACTCGGTCGAGGGGTACAAGGTGCTCAAGCACGTTGCCGAGGGCGGCTACTTTTGGACGCAGATCGACGCAGGCGGCGTGAACTCGGTGTACAAGGGCGGCGTCGGGTGCTATTTCGGCCGCTGGGACGACCGCCACGCGCAGGGCGTGCCGGAGGGCTTTGCTGGATGATCAGGAGACGTCTATTGTGCTACAGATCTATGGAACGTCAGCTGGTGTTGTGTTTGAGTTCGCTCTCGAACGTCGCGAGCAGGTCGTCCTGGAAGCGCTCGAACACCGCGCGGGCCTCAGGCACGAGGTGTGTGCGGACGAGGGCTTTTTTTTCGGCGTCGCCAGAGACCTCGAACTCGAAGCTCTGCTGGTCGTGCTCGAACTCCACGAGACGCACCGTGTGTTCGGAAACAGAGCCGTCGTGGTCGACCTGGACGACGAACTCCACTTGCAGGTCGAAGATGCAGCGCACTTTGCCCTTGCGCTGGGTCACGTCGCAGTCTCCGGCCACAGGCTTGACGCTGCTGACAGAAAACGTGTGGTTGTCGCTCGCAGCGCGCACCTTTGGCAGCCGCTCCTGGAAGTACGCGTTGGCCCAGCTGAGACAGTTCTTGTCGACCCAGTGCCAGTTGTTTGGGTTGTGTATGGTGGTCATGGCGTGAGCTGCTTGGGTGCTGAGATTATATACCACGATAAATCTAGAAAAATCTTTTATTGACCCGCGCGTCGGTTGGCGTCGAGAATATTCAGCAGCTGGCTGAAAAAAATGTCGCTGCACGGCTCGACAGCGAGGTTGTGCGCGGCGCCCTCGAGCTCGGTGTAGCTTGCGTGGGTGCACCCGATGCTTTGGAGGTTGGCAATGAACTTCCTGCTGGCGCGGCAGTCGTTGATGTGGTCGGCGTTGCCGTGCAGAATGGCTATGGGCAGGTCCCTGTTGTAGCGCGCGTACAGATCTGGGTGGAGCAGTCGCTTCCCGCGCAGCACGAAGTCGCGTGCCTCGATCGCCGTGGCCGTCAGCCCGGCCGGCGGCGCCCTGCTCCGGATGAACTGCTGCACCTCGGGCAGCGACGAGACGTACTCCACCTTGAGTGGGGTCTTGACTCGCAAGTACCGAACAGGAGGAACGGCCCAGCACAGCGCGCGAATCGCCCACTCTTGGTACTTGGGCACCGCCGTCTCCGGCGAGAGCTCGATCAGCGGCGAGCACGCGACCGTCATGAGCAGCCGGTCGCGGTACGTGCCGAACGCGCTGTAGTTGAGAATCAGCCCGCCGCCCATCGAGTGGCCCATCAGAATCACCTTGTCGTCGGCGTCCAGGTTTCGGCTGATGAAGAAGTCCATATCTTTGTAGACGCGCGAGTCGTCGTTGCTGGACTGCACGTTGCTGGCCGGCCGCGACGTGCCCTCGCCGCGCTGGTAGTGGAAATGGACGTCGTAGCCGTCGGCGGTCAGCTTGTTGAAGAGCCCGAAAAAAAGCTCGTAGATGTCTCTGTAGCCGTGGATGAAGACAATGCGGCCTTTGTAGTCGCCGCTGTGCCTGTGCAGAAAGGTGGGGAAGACGCACCCGTCGTGCTCGACTTCGCCCGTCTCGACGGCGCACTCCAGCTGTTGCATAGTAGGTCCAGGCAGATTGCACAAGGAAATATACGTGGCGGCGCACCCCTGCACCGTCGCTGCTGGACATGAGTACTCCGGTGTGGCTAGTGCTGACAAACTCCGGCATAGTCCGCCAGGTTTTTTATCCCGCAGGGGCTCCCCAGCGGCGATTTTGCGCGGCGGCCTGGCCGAAATGTCCAAGTTGCTGGCCCAAACAAATATAAATGGAGAGCGACGGAGTTTTTTAAAAAGTTAACGTTTAATTAATCAACGCAATTATGAGTGAAGCTCAGTAAGTACGCAAACGGCGCGCTCTAACAACCAGAGGTGATATCGGACTGATCGGACTGGCCGTCATGGGCCAAAACCTGATCCTCAATGCTGCAGACCACGGATTCACCGTTGTTGCCTACAACAGAACCGTGTCGAAGGTGGATCACTTCCTGGCCAACGAGGCCAAGGGCAAGTCGATTCTGGGTGCCCACTCGGTGGAGGAGCTGTGTGCCAAGCTCAAGAGACCTAGAAGAGTCATCTTGCTCGTGAAGGCCGGCGACGCCGTCGACAACTTCATCAACCAATTGCTGCCTTACATGGAGAAGGGGGACATCATCATTGACGGTGGTAACTCGCACTTCCCAGACACCAACAGAAGATACGCCGAGCTGAAGGAGAAGGGCATCTACTTTGTTGGTTCTGGTGTTTCCGGAGGAGAGGAGGGCGCCCGTTACGGTCCTTCTCTGATGCCCGGAGGAGCTCCAGAGGCCTGGCCGCACATCAAGGAGATCTTCCAGTCGATTGCCGCTAAGAGCGACGGCGAGCCATGCTGCGACTGGGTCGGAGACGCCGGAGCCGGCCACTACGTCAAGATGGTCCACAACGGTATCGAGTACGGAGACATGCAGCTGATCTGCGAGGCGTACGACCTGATGAAGAGGGTCGGCGGATTCAGCGACAAGGAGATCTCCGACGTGTTTGCCAAGTGGAACAAGGGCGTTTTGGACTCGTTCCTCATCGAGATCACCAGAGACATCCTTGCCTACAACGACACCGACGGCACGCCATTGGTCGAGAAGATCCTGGACTCTGCCGGCCAAAAGGGTACCGGAAAGTGGACTGCCATCAACGCCCTGGACCTGGGCATGCCGGTCACCCTGATTGGCGAGGCCGTGTTTGCCAGATGTTTGTCTGCCCTGAAGGAGGAAAGAGGCAGAGCAAGCACCCTGCTGGCCGGCCCTGCCAGCGCCCCAAAGATCGCTGACAAGCAGGCCTTCATCGATGACCTTGAGCAGGCCCTGTACGCCTCCAAGATCATCTCGTACGCCCAAGGATTCATGCTGATCAGAGAGGCTGCCAAGGAATACAACTGGAAGCTCAACTTCCCATCCATTGCTCTGATGTGGAGAGGAGGATGCATCATCAGATCGGTTTTCCTGGGAGAGATCACCGCGGCCTACAGAGAGAACCCAGACCTCGAGAACCTGCTGTTCCACCCATTCTTCAACAAGGCCATTTCCAAGGCCCAGGCCGGATGGAGAAAGACGCTTGGTGTTGCCATCGAGGCCGGTATTCCTACGCCGGCCTTCTCGACCGCCCTGTCCTTCTACGACGGCTACAGATCCAAGCAGCTGCCAGCTAACCTGTTGCAGGCCCAGAGAGACTACTTTGGGGCACACACCTTCAAGATCCTGCCGGAGTACGCCACCGAGGACAGAAAGGTCGGCGACTACATCCACATCAACTGGACCGGTAAGGGCGGTAACGTGTCTGCCTCCACTTATAATGCTTAGGTGAATAAATAAGAGTGGTAAATCGATTCCTGTCACATCGACGCGTCGCCGCGCGTCGCCGTAGACGAAAATTTTCTGAACCTTTTTATACTTGCACCTGTCTTGTGTGACTGTGTTTTGTGAAATATTACCCCGGATTTCTTGATTAGATAACCAGGATGCCCAACAGCATCCCGCCCTCCGAAAACAAGCCGGGCGACGCGTATCACTTCGACGAAAATGAGATTTTTGACGAGAACCAGCTGCGCCAGGCCATCGAGGACGCTCTGCACGCCGACAAGGACAAACAGCTATTTACCGAGATCAACAGCGCGATCCAGGCCCTCGACGGCCCCGCAGACGACGCCAAGCCGGATGACGAGCTCACTCAGGCCATCGCCGAGGCAATTGACCACGTTAAGCCCGCCGAGCACGCGGAATCCGGCGTCGAGACTCTCGAGCCGCTCGGGCCGCTAGAATCGCTGGGGCTGCCACTGGACTCGAACGAGCCGGAGCTCGAGTCGGCCCTTGCCGAGATGGTGCAGACCGTGGTCGACACGAACCTGTTCCCGGACAAAGACGCACCCAAAAAACACACAGAGACAGACCTGGAGCAGTTCCAGTGGACCAAAATGATGGAGAAGGCGATGGAGATGGCGATGGAGAACCCAGAGCACCTGATCTCGTCGCTGAACGACGCCGACCCGGGCGAAAAGCTCAAGAAGAAGCAGACGGCGAAAAGCAAGCGCAGCCAGATCAACCTGGCTGTGCAGCAGCGGTTGCAACAGCAGGCGCGGGCTCTGCTGGCGCAGCAACAGCGCGACCGCGAGCTGCGGCAGCGGCTGGAGCAGGACAAGCAGCAGACACAGAAGAGCGCTGCGGAGCAGCTGCCGGCGAGCGTCCTACAGTTCACGGTGCCGACGCCGCCGACGTCGATTCCCGGCCCTGTGAAGAGCGGCGAGAAGGCGTCTGTGCTGGAGCAGTTCCAGAAGTTCCAGCGGCCAGACGATAACAAGTCGCCGTCGGTAGCCGACACACTCGCCGCACAGCGCGAGAAAATGCTGCACGCCTACGCGAAGCAGATGTCGCGAACGCTGCCGCAGGCCTCGCCACCAGCGCAGTCGTATGCGAAAAAGTCCGAGGGCTCGTTCCTGCGCACGATTCTCTCGAGTCTCAACCTTGCCCATCTCGACACCTCGCAGATCGCAGAGCAAATCTCGCCGCCGCAGCTCGAAGCGATCCGTGTCAGTGTGTCCTCCGCCGTGGACGTGCTGCGCAGCAGCCAGTCGCTCACCAAGGCCGCTCCGAATAGCAGCGACAAGCAGGAGTCGCCCAAGCTCGACGACAAGGAGCGTATCCGGATCGAAAATCGAGAGCGCAAGAAGAGATGGCGAGTTATCAATATCGAGCGGAACAGAGACAATGACTTGCGCGCGCGCGTCATTAAGCGAGCCGGCCAGATCTTCACGAACCCGGAGGACGAGGAAATCAAGAAGAAATGGATAGCAGAGGAGTTTGAGCGTCGCAAGCGGAAACGGCTTGAGAAAAACGGCACCGACGCGCCGCTTGTCCAGTCCAACGAGCTCGAGCACCGCTCCGAGTCTGTGGCAGCTCTTCTGGCCGATCCACAGGTATCCGCCAATATTCACGCCTTATACCAAACTCTTTGTGGAGCCGTGCCGAGCGACGACAAGCTGGCCACGGTTTCCGTGCTGGCCACCTCATTGGCTGCCGCATACGTCGTTTCGAACAAGTCGCTCAGCGAGAACCTTGTGCCGTCGATTGTGAGCTCGCTAGTGAATTCGCTCAATAACCAGCTCAACGGGCCTGCTGCGCAGTCGGGAACGCTTAGTTTCAAAGTGATGGACCCAGCACCAAAACACGCCACCGAACCCGGGCAGCAGGGCGAGGTGAAAAAGGTGAAAATCGACCCGGACCTGATCAATCTACCAGACCATTTATCGAAATTCGCCAGACCCACCTTAGAAGAACACCACGATGCCGCGTACGCGCGGCCAGCAACGGTCTCCCACCAGCCGCGAGCCCCGCACTACCAGCGGCCGCCGGCCGAGCCCAAACCCAGCACCCCTACTGTGCGGTCGATCGTGTCCAAGACGCCTGTCTCAGATTCCGTGGGCGGGCTACGCAAACCGGGTGCATTCAGAAAGCCGGTTGGTTTCGAGAAACGCGGCTTTGGGATTGCTCCGCTGCCTCATAAAGGGTGTTAGATGTATAATAGGATGTAATCAGTGAGAGAAAGCCATTCTGGGACGGGTTATGCTGCCAGAAATGGAATATAACTGCTTGCAAAAACGAAACTTATCGAGGATATGCGATTAAATTCAAGGTTATAGGCTAAAAAAGCCCAGGCTTGCCCGCGAGCCTGGACAAGCCACTACGCCGCTCGTTGTACGATCAGCATTTTGGCACGATCACGCGAATGTGAGGAACGAAAAAGACCATAAATGGAGAAGCTAAAAATATGATCGCGCCCAGGATCGAACTGGGGACCCTCTGCGTGTTAAGCAGATGCCATAACCAACTAGACCACGCAACCAA